GGTGGGTAGGGGAGGGTTGCGGGGAGATTAAACACTCCGACACACGTGTGGACGTGTTGTTTCGTTTGCCCCTTGGTTTTGGTTTTTTTTTTTTTTTTGTTCGTTTTGCTTCAAGGTGAGAACAGGATCCGTCTTGGCCGGTATCCCTTGCGTCCAGCGCAGAATCTCACACGGTTTCGTCACATCGTGTAAGTATGTGACAGAGACGGCATCGACGCAGAGAAAGAAAGGAAAAATCGGAGAAAATCTTTCGGAGAATTGGGTTGAGGATGTTTAACCCAATTGATCGGCTGCCAGGCTTCTGCAGGGACTGGATGCCACCTCACCGCATGATTCAGGTGATGAAAGATGAACCCGCTAGTCAACTAGCGTGACTCGAGGAAAGTATAAGCCCAATATTTCAATGTTGCTCCAGGGCTATTGCAGAAGAGCGCCGAGGTCCACGGGTTGTTTCACGATTGACTAAGCGTATATACGTGGCAGCGTACGGAGTAGACGAATGGAATATTCCATCCAGACATCCCCTTTATCGAGAAGAGCATCTAGTGGAGCCGAGACGGAGAGTTGAGACGGAGTCGGTGCAATATTTAACACGATTGCGGAGTGGGACTCGGCCTCGGCACGATAGTCTTTCGTCATAGTCCATTTGTAATGACCACTCTACTTATTTAACAGGGTCGTCCTCTCTTGACTTTCTAAACATTTACATCTCACATACCTCACACACATCATGTCTTTCATGAAAGCAGTCATTGTCACCGAGCCCAAGACCGAGGGACTCGTCACTGACAGACCCGTCCCTAAGCTCCGCGATGACTACCTCCTCATCAAGACCGTCAGCGTCGGCTTGAACCCCACTGACTGGAAGCACATTGCCTTCCTTTCTCCCCCCGGCGTTCTCGTTGGATGCGACTACGCAGGTGTTGTCGAGGCCGTCGGCAAGGATGTGAAAAAGCAATTCGCCAAGGGTGACCGTGTCTGCGGGTTTGCACACGGCGGTAATGCAGTGCAGCCCGAGGACGGTACCTTCGCTGAGTACATCGTCGCCAAGGGTGATGTGCAATGGAAGATCCCGGAGCACATGAGCTTCCAGGAGGCCGCCACCCTCGGAGTTGGCATCAGCACCGTCGGCCAGGGTCTGTATCAGAGTCTGAAGCTTGCACTGCCCACCGAGCCCATCAAGGACGCGACCCCCGTCCTGATCTACGGCGGTTCCACCGCCACTGGAACCCTGGCCATCCAGTTCGCCAAGCTCTCCGGCTACAAGGTGTTCACTACCTGCTCCCCTCGCAACTTCGATTTGGTCCGCAGCCTCGGTGCCGACGAGGTCTACGACTACAAGGATGCCCAGGCTCCTGCTCAGATTCGCAAGGCTACCGACAACAAATTAAAATACGTCTTTGACTGCATCTCACTGGAGTCCAGTGCTGCCTTCGCGGACAACGCCCTGTCTACCGAGGGCGGCGAGTACAGCGCTCTCCTCAACGTCAAGATTGCGCGTGAAAACGTCAACGACCGTTTCACACTCGGTTACACCACCATGGGCGAGGCCTTCAACTTCGGCAACATCCCCTTCCCCGCCAAGCCCGAAGACAAGGCTTTCGCCGAGAAGTGGATTGCGATTGCTGAGGCCTTCCTTGCCGATAAGAAGGTCAAGGTCCACCCTCCTCGTGTTGGCCAGGACGGCCTCAAGGGTGTCATTGATGGTCTGAAGCTCCTTAAGGAGGACAAGGTCAGCGGTGAAAAGCTGGTCTACAACGTTTCTGAGACCCCATGAATCAGGCACTACTTCATGTCTACACGATGATCAATTAAGAAAGCGATAACCAATTGTGAGAACCATTCTTCTATTTTACCAGAAAATCAGTATTTCACGGGGGTTCTATTAAAATGTATAGTCTGATTCATGTTAGTAAACCTAGCCAATATCCCTCATACAAATTTTACCTCTATGCGACCATTTTTTTATTTGAATTTAGTCCATCACCTATATCTCCTGTAATATAACGTCTACCATCACGACCTTGTTCAATTCTCAATCGAGCTTGGAAACCCTCCGCTCCGTCGCAAGGCCGCGTACAGAATTCCACATTTAGACTGTTATTCGGGCCAGCCTGATTTGAAATCAAATACGAAGGCCAGTGAGCCGGTCAAGTGAAACACGGGAGAAGCACATCGAAGCCAAAAAAATCAAAAATCTCCATGATGAATAAACGTGAATTCCTCACAACGGCCGTTACCGCATTTGGTTTAACCTCCACTGGTGGCGCGGAAACCTCGGCACTCCCTGAAGCTTTTCCCGCTAGCCAATCACATCGAGCTGCATCTGTTTTCGGTTTAGTCTCCGCAGAGCTTCTATACGAGTGGCCACCTTGATATCCAAGATTTCGAAGAGAAGAGCACAGAAATGGGGGTATAAATGAAAAGAGTATGTCTCGTTAATTGTAGATCTCTACTCATTCCTCCCCATTGCTTGAACCATCTCACACAACAACCCGCAATGGCATTCCCTTATAAGAAAGTCCTCATCATTGGCGCCACCTCTGGAATTGGCAAAACACTCGCGGACAAAGTCATCCAAAATGGATCCAAGCTGATTGCTGCCGGTCGGAGAAGGGAGAATCTTGAAGATATCATCCAGAAATATGGCAGTGACAAGGTTTCTGCGAAGGTGTTTGATGTTATGCAGCTCGAGCAGGTTCGATTGCCAGCCCAACTGAAAGGTCATGGGCGCCAAACTAACGAACCACACACACTGCAGATTCCCCAATTTGCCTCTGAAATCATTGCTGAGAACCCAGACCTGGACTGCATCTTTGTCAATTCCGGCATCCAGCGCCCCTTTGATTTTTCGAAGCCGGAAACTGTCGATCTCGACATCTTCGACCAAGAATTGATCACAAATTATACCTCGGCCGTGCGCTTGACGAAGGCTTTCCTCCCACACTTGCAGAGCCTGAATGTCCCAACAGCGATCGCATTCACAACGTCTCAAATGGCGCTCGTGCCGATGATGCGATGCCCAAATTATGGCGCATCCAAGGCCGCATTGCATCACTTTATTCTGGCTCTTCGCACTCAGTTGCAAGATGGGCCTGGAAACGTGAAGGTTTTGGAGATCTATCCTCCCGCTGTGCAGACCGAACTTCACGATGCTAAGCATCAGCCCGATTTGAAGGATGGGCATCTGATTGGTATGCCATTGCAGGAGTTTGTGGATGAGGTTTGGGGCCGGATTTCACAAGGTGAAGAGCAGATTCCGGTTGGATCTGCCCAGGATATCTTCAATGCGTTTGAGATTAAGAGGCAAGAGTTGTACCATGGTATGACGGAGTTGCTTTCTGGGCTGTTGAAGCAGTTCTTGCGCTAGATACACAACTCCGTGATATGTTAGAGTCGTCCTTTCTTCAATATAATAGAGATAGAGCTCACCTTATGATGGTTCAAGCTGGTATGCTATCCCACGCTCGCCAAATTCGAAGCAGAGATGATAGTTGCTGCGTATGAATGGTTGATGCTGAATGCAGACGTTATCACGTCGCCATATAAGTTTCCACGGGCGGGAATGGGATTGTAGAAACCGCTTGTCCTTTGCAGGCCGCGAGTATCAACGCACTAAATCCAGACACATCACGGACACGACCGGCAGCTAGGCCATCAGACCATTCGTGCAATGAGACCATCGAACCATTGGAATTAGACAGAGCATTCTGCCATGAAACATCCGAATCATTGTCCCACAGATTAGTGCGCAGATCAAACGGCAAGGAATCAACGAACGGTGTTCGAACCGAATAGTTCCTCGTGTTCAAAGAGTAAGCACTGCGTAGCATGAAACACACAATGATCGTTCGCCGGACGCTTTCAGCCAAAAGCCATGCGTGCCGGGGGCTGAGGGCCTGCGGAAGTTGAATGGGTGCTTGTTGGAACAATCTTCCAGCGATACCCGCCAGCATCGCGCTGACTGCTTCTGAATATGGGCTTGGAGCTGCGTCCTCATTAAGGATGAGGATACATTGAATCAAGACCAGCGCTTGGCTGCATCCCAATAATTCTTCGAATGTGGCCGCGTGATTCAGTCGACGGCGAATCTGTGTTGATTGCTGCCGAAGCATTGATAACAAAGTGACGCTGGCACGGCCTGTTTGGCTGATTTGCATGTTCAGTCTGCAAATATTGTGGACCTCACGGACAGAGGTTGGTAAGCCGTTGCGGTACAAATGAGGATGGATAAAGAGTGTCTTTTGAGTTTCTGCGAACTCGGCCGGTAGATCGCGCAACCCGGCCACAAGGAATCGAATGATATTGGGGTCATATTCCTTCGCGATCTCGAGTCGTAAGTGTGCAGAGATTCGAGGAGCGAGTGTCGCCTTGACCCCAGAAGACTCGGAGTTAGCATGACTACCAGAATCTTCTTTCAAGTTCAGCTTTGCCGTCAATGGTACGTTCACATATTCACAGTCGATTTCTTTGCTCAGACACCTGGCACATGTGGGCCAGCTTTGGTCGCATCGTCTCTTGCCCTTGATGCACGCTCTGCAGGATCTGCGTAGCGTGACTGGCTTGGAACGGTCAACTGGCATCTTTAGATTTCATTGAATGCAATTTAGTCTCCATAGGGAAGAGTTGATTGATTCGGGACTCAACTGAAATTGGAAAGGCGGTCGCCTTCGAGATCCGCGCGGCCTGTTGATCGAATTTGGCCTGATCGATGCCTTGATGCCTGATACTCCATACTTCAAATGCTCCGCGCAGAATATACATTTACAGCCTTGAAGTTTAACGCCCAGGTGAGTCTTCCATGATCAAACTGCTCTTACTCCTTTTCAACAGCTTAAGCTACAACTTGAAGCTCAACGCCACACATAAATTATGCATGACCGTTCCTCTAGGTTGGTTGACACCTAGCGCACTTGGGCAAGTCCAACCTTGGAATGCGTCTTGAAACATCATACTGTTCTGTCTACTGGTATTTCGTATAGATTGTGAACTCATACCCAGGTGCATGGGCACTTGAGTAGAGCTTCGTGTTGTCGAGGATGAGATGCTTTTTAGATAGATAAAACCCTCAGTGTTTGCCTTTTGGAGCTTGCCTTCTGCAACCTCTTCCGCGCCCCTGAATGGATCGCTTTTGTGTCTTTTTCTCGGTTCTGGAGCCTCATTAGGCTATGAGCGCCTTTGTTGCATGATCTTGCAGCTTCCCGTTGAAGCCCAGCTTTTTTTTTTTGCCCTCCAGGTAGGTCATTCAGTGGCTCCGGATACACTTGCCCGCCCTTTGTGCCATATTCATCAAACTCCAATACAACATCATCAACCTGCATCGTTTGAATCATCATGGAGGACGACACTGACTGGGACGCAGAATACGCCGATATGCTGAAGAAGGTTGAGGCCCAGAAGGATCAATCAGTCGACCTGCCCGAAGTGGGCTCATACAAGCTGCTCCAGACCCGAACTCCCCTGACGATAGATGGGAACTTTGAAGTCGATCATGGATAACCTGCGATCTTATAAACTGCAGAACTTGATCGAATCCGGTGTCAAATGTCCAAATGAAGATGGTCCAGGTGCCAAAAGATGGTATCAACTCTCCCAGCGGACAACATACTGGTTTGCGGTGAGTATGTCAAGCGGCGTCGTGAACAGGGTTGAGGCTCGAGAGACTGAGACTCTTTGCAGACAGGTTTATGGAATATCTGCGAAATTGATCCTGGGGCGAAGGACCTGTCCGAATTAGTTTTTGACAATCAGGGATCTGCGCAGGGCCGCATATCCGACGTCTGAGGCCTTTATCACAGACCTGCAGGACTGGCATTCTCAAGGAGGGCTCCTTGGCATGAAGACCTCACCGTACAGCTTGATGATCATTGTCTTAAAGGGGCTGGGCGATAAATCTCACTTGGAGAATGTTATGCACGTCAAGCGCGCCGAATTTCACCCCAAAGGTGTCACAGCGATGGAGACTGTCACGGTTGACGATTTCTATAAGGAATGCGTCAAAATATTGAATGATGTGAGACCCATGGAGGAGATAGCTGGGTTCGCGCGTGAAGCATCGTACTTCAGTAGGTATTCCTAAAGTCCATAGTTGGCATGGAAACAGACCTTGAGCTTCACTCGTAGAAACACGGGACTTCAGAAAGAGAAAGTACGATAAAGCGCGGGATACCCGTGGGCCGATGTGGGGGCTGCGAATATCATTCCTTCTTACAGTAGCAGTCCAGTCGTTATTTCGACGCAGTATGAAATCATTGAATCTTCGTGTTTCGCTACAAAGCTTAGGATTGCGCCTTACGGTAGAGAACCTTAGCACTCAAAGCATGTGGTGAGTTTACAAGTATTGAGCAGCCTACTTTTGAGGATTACCTAGCACATTGCTCGTACATGTACTTAAGTACTCCAAGGCAGAAAGTGGCTCATATTTGGCCCCGAGGTGTATTGGCCTATGCATACAGCAAGCCTTAGCGTTGATCGTGGTAGCTATTCATTAATTATTTGTGGATTAGTTTTACCTCGGTTCAGCTTCCAGCAATTCGGGCACTCTGTACGGAGTACGGGGGATATTTGTGTACTATGAGCGTGTCCATGTGGGTCCCATAGTGACGAAATATCGACTACTCGTACGTTAGATGGGACAAATCTTGCTGGGTAAAAACACACTGGCTTCAAATGTTCAGTAGAGAAAACGTACGGTAAAATGCCCGGGCAAAACTTCCGGCAATCGGCCAGCGCTTGGACCACGATTCCGCCTCGATCTGACATGGGCATTCCATTGAGTTCGAAACACCGAGTATCTACTCGTACGTGTATCTTCAAATGGTGTGCATTAACCTTGAGTAAGCTTAAATGTGCCACGCACATGCTCGGGCCGTCAAACTCCCGTCGCGTTCGCGGTGATATGTATTGTGCATCTCCGACGGCTCGGTTGCGCCAGGCCCAGATAAATCTCAGCTGAGCCGATCAACGAGAGATCGTCGGCGGGTCAATTGGCTTGTGACCACAAAACTTGCATTAGTTTTCCTTCCTGCAAATGCAATACCGCGTACAAGTGAATGGGCGTCAAGCCATCATATCTGGCTACTTTTTCAAGGTGAAAAGAAGTCGCTCTTTGCAAGGGGCTGCCTCCAGGGCTGTGCCTATCTCACATCCAACCCCTAGCTCTAGATACACCGATCTGGAACCCTAGCGGGTGTTCACCAAGATAACCGTAATTGCGGGCTAGTTTAACTTCTACTCCACAGCGCGAGAAAGGTCCGATCGTTAAATTGATCCACAACGCCAATAATGAACGCCGTCGGCTGGATATGTGGACTTGCAATGGAGCTCCCTTGCGTGTTTTTTTTTAGCCGTGTTACAAACTTGTTTTTCTTTTTGATTTCCCATAATGCATCTTGCAGCCGTACCCCAAGGGTGGAGATGATTCGATCAGGGGCCAAAAAACTATGTAAGGTCTGATACATCCAACGCTGCAAGTACCTAAGTTCCTACCCTTCACCTCTGAAGTTCTTCAACCAATGCCCTGGCTGAGGTGAAACTCCGTACCATGCATTATCTCAAAACAGCAGTGATCTTTCCGTTTTTCTTGTCGGCATTGGCAACCCCTGTTCCCGTCGCTGATGCCTTGGCAACTCGCGACTCTTCGACCTTTATTTCAAGGCTGGAAAATACCTTGAAAGGACTCGGTTCCCTTACCAAAGGTGTCTTACAAGAAGTCGACCTACTCATCGGCGGCTTGCAGGATGTTGTAGACGGCAAAACTGACCCTGTCACAACCATCGAAGAAGCCCTGGGCTCTTTGTCCGATGTTCGCAACGCAAGCGAAGCAGGTCTGGTCGGTGTCGCCATCGACCTCGTCACAAAAGGCCTGGCTCCGAAAAATATCGTCGACCTAGTGAGCGGTTTGAACGAAGAGTCTATCAATTCATTCAACAACACGAATCCTCTCGACCCCCAAACCTCCATTTTCCCCAAAAGTTCCAACGATGCGCCCTATACCCAGAGCGAAGAAGACCTCCGGGCAGCAGTCTATATCCCCGAGAAATTCAAGTACGGTGCTGATGGCAAGCAACCTATTCTTCTTGTGCCCGGTACCGGTGATCCAGCTGGTGTTTCCTACTACTTCAACTTCGAGAAACTGATCCCGGAAACCGACTTTGCGGATGCGATCTGGGTCAATATTCCCAACAACTCCCTCGCAGATATTCAGTTCTCTTCTGAATTTATCGCCTATGCCATCAACTACGTTGCCGGTATCACCAACACCACGATCGGAGTTGTTGCCGCGTCTCAAGGAAACATCGGTGTTCAATGGGCGTTGAAGTACTGGCCGTCAGCGCGTGATTCGGTCTCAGACTTCTTGGCTATCAGTGCCGATTTCCATGGATCACTTCTGGCAGAGGAGTGCTTGATTCCAAACTCTGCCTGCACGCCTGCTGTTATGCAGCAGGAATATGATTCGAACTTCATCAAGACCCTTCGCTCGGATGATGGTGACTCGGCTCTTGTTCCAACCACCAGCGTCTACTCTGGTCCTGATGAGGTCGTTACCCCGCAGACAGACCCCGACGCGTCTGGGGCCCTTAAGAACGCGCTCGGTGTTGGTGCTACGAACGTACAGATCCAGTTGGCCTGCCCTGGGTTGCCGGCTGGTGGCTTTTATCCGCATGCTGGTCTTTTGGTCAACCCCATCACTTGGGCTTTGTTCATTGATGCGATGAAGCATGACGGGCCAGCAGATTTGTCTAGAATCGACTTGGATCCTATTTGTAATCGGATCCTTACCGAGGGACTGGTTTTGACTGATTTGTTGGGCACTGAGACGGCGGTCGTGCTGGATAGTGTTGTCCACGCGCTTGAGTACAATTATCAGGGGCCTGCTGAAGAGCCTGTTATCAGGGACTACGCCCGTTCGTCGTCTCAATAGATTTGGCTGTAGGCCTCTATTTTCGGCTTTCCTGGGTCGATATGAATATTCAGGTTATTTAATTCTCTAATACATATTTGAAATACAAGGTGCATCCCGAGGTTCTTTTTGGGAAGTTCCAAGATGCTACTTACTGTGTAGATTCCAAGGCTGAGATACCTGAGACATTCGCTTTACAGCATCCCAAAAGAGCATTCAGAGCCAGAAGAGGAGTATGACGTTTGCCTTCTAGTTACCTATCGAGAGATTGTAATGAATGAATAATAAATTGAGAGGCAGACGCACGAATTTTCAATTGGAGGAACGAATTGAAATCAAAACCAAAATTTAGAATAAACTCGGAGCATGTTGAATGCTCGCATTGGATACTCGCGGCTGTTGAAAGTGCCAGAGTACCCATTCACCGTAGTCACTTTAGCTCCACGCTGGCATTGGCACTGAGTGAAAGTGGTGTAACTGTGCCTAAGCCCGCCCTCATTTCGGCATCTTCAAGGGTGAGAGTGGCATTCTTTCCACTTCCAATCCCAAATGCCCTCTTGACAGCCTTCCAACTCTCCACAAGCACCAGGTAAACGAGTGTGCATCCGAACACGACACCCCACTCCCAACCAATTGCTTGATGCTTGAAAACTGTTTTGTTGATGACCGGAAGATAGATTACCGGGAAGGCAATGACAAACCCAGCCATCACAGCCCAGAATAAAAACCGATTGTTCCACACCGTGGGAATCACGGAGAGTGCCTTTGGATACCGGATCGGATCCATATTGAACAGGGACCGCGAGAAATGCTTGACTTCCCATGCAGTAACAAGCAGGAGGAAAGTGAGGGTCGCATACGTGGTGGCTCGAGCACGGAATACCTCGTCACAGCTAGGATTGTACCCCTGGTTGCAACCGTCGCCCAGAGAGGACGTCCCTGTTCCTGCAGCGTAGATTACGCAGACAAAGGATACAAGACACAGGGAACCCATGAATGTGCCATAGATCATTTTATCCATGATGAGCTCGCGGGTGAACACGCCGATGCGAAGATCATGCGGGGGTCTATACATGATGTCTGGCTGGGCTTCTTCGAGTCCGAGTCCGACCGCTAGGAATGATGAAGTGACAAGATTTGCCCATAGAATCTCCAAAGGCGATAGCGGGAACACTGAATCTCCTCCTGCGTCTTTGAACGCGAGAGCGATGAGGAGCAGAATGACTTGAGCAATGTTTGATATGAGTAGATGCATGAGGAACTGTATTTGATGTCAGTATCAGTTGCTGTGACATCGGTTCAAACTTCACTACCTTTTGAATGTTATCGAACAGACGTCTTCCTTCCTCGACGGCCTTGACAATAGACGAAAAATTATCGTCTGTCAAAACCATATCCGCAGCTTCCTTAGCCACATCACTTCCATTTTTACCCATGGCAATGCCAACGTCGGCTCTTTTGAGGGCAGGCGAATCATTGACGCCATCACCTGTCATAACGCAAAATGCCCGACGACGATGCATAGCATCTACCATGCGAACCTTTGTAGCGGGACTGCATCGGGCGATGACAAGAGGAAGCTCTTCGATAGCGTCAACTTCCTGATCAGTCAGCCTGTCGAATTCGTCCGCTGCCATGACAAGTCTTCCCGATTTGATATTCGCTGTAACCCGGTCTAGAATACCGACTTCTGAAGCGATTGCTGTTGCAGTCTTGATGTGATCTCCAGTGAGCATATGTACCGTGATACCGGCCATTTGACATCTTCGCACAGCTGCGGCTGTTTCAACTCGAGGGGGATCATATAAGCCGACAAGGCCCCCAAAGTTGAGTTGGGATTCAGCAGCATCTCGTGGTGAGACTTGAGAGTCATCGTTGGCGGGTGATGTTTTGTATGCGATACATAGAACTCTGAGTCCCTCGCCCGCCATGCGATCTGCTGTATCTCTGATGTTCTGCTTCTCTGTTTCACTGATGCCAAGAGCTGGGATGATTGTCTCTGGTGCTCCTTTTGTGTAACACTCATTGACTTTATCTTGCACATTGTGATAGACAACGGTCATCTTCTTGATGGCAGAATCAAAGGGATACTCTGTCTTTAGCTGTAGTTGTCGCCTTTGCAACACGGAGGACTTTCCAAAGTCAAATCGCATGGCCAGCACATGGAGAGCCACTTCTGTTGGCTCACCGACTGCGCTCCAGACTTGATTGTCATGGTGTACAGTTGAGAGATTGCAAATTGAGATGGCTCGGAGGAATGTGTGCAATGCAGGGTTTTCCTCAATGGGCTCGGTTGAGTTCCAGTCGATTTCATCAAGTTGGACAAGTCCACTTGTTGGGTCGAAAGGATCCGTCGTTTGGCTTACGGTCAAAGTGCCAGCGCCAGGGATCCACGCAGACCGAGCAATCATTTTTCCCTGGGTCAATGTTCCGGTCTTGTCGGAGCAGATGTTGGTGACGCCCCCGACAGCCTCGAGACATTGGAGCTTTCGGACAATTACATTTCCTCTGGCCATTGCTTTTGTTCCGACGGCTATGGTGATGGTGAGAACAGCAATCAAGGACTCTGGGATGACCGCAACAGCAACACAAATGCCGTAGATGAGAACCTCGCCCTGGACATCCCATTTACTGGCCGAGAAGACAATGATTGCTAGTAGTATAGCAAGTGCAAATAACAAGAGGGCGAATTTGCTCAGCTTGACTTGCAGCGGGGTCCCAACGAGACCCAATATATTCATGAAGAACCGCTTCACCCCATTCACCCATCTCATGAGCCGACTGGAATGGGCAGAGCTAGGCTGAGTTTGAAGTAATTGGGCGATCTTTCCGACTTCGGTGTTCATACCACTCGCAACGACGATTCCCATCGCTCGGCCCTGCGTCGTGCTACACCCCGAATATGCCATATTGGTCCGGTCGCCAATAGGAATGTCGGGTACTGCCAAAGTGACATGGGGAGTCTTGAGTACTGGCAATGATTCTCCTGTTAGGAGAGCTTCGTCCATTGAAGCGTTCATGCCATCGAACAATCGCAAGTCAGCCGGGACGATATCTCCAACTGCCAGCTGAACTATATCACCGACAACCAGTGATTCTGCCTTAACGGAGGCAAGCTGGCCATCTCGAATAACTCTGCATATTGGCGCCGAAAGTCGATGCAGTGACATGATTGTCTTTTCGGCACGATAGTCTTGCACGAAGCTAATCGAGTTAGTCTGAAGGCTGACAGTTGGCGTGGTGAATACATACCCGACCACGATGTTCAAAACAATCACTGCAGTTATGACGCCACCCTCGATGTAATCATCGATTCCAAAAGAGAGGGCCATGGTTATGAGAAGTACCTGTCGAGTAGTCAGAGAATATTCATGTTATTCCTCGCGAGTAAACATACTAGGGTCAAACTGTTGGATACCTGCCTTAGCAGTATCCCCCAGACGGAGACACTCTCCATTTCACGCACGGTATTCGGACCATCGCGCTGGAGGCGGGTCGCCGCTTCTGTGCCTGGCAGTCCATCTCTGATGACTTTGTTAGATTGAGTAAAGGTATTGATTGTTGATCACGCACCGAAGGTCTGTTTGGAGGATTGAGGCGAGCTCTATTGGCTCGGTAAGATGGGCGATACGATCCGGTGGCTCTTTGTCCGGTTGGCTCGGTGGTGCAGGGTCTTTTGTATGCGAGATAGACTTTTCCTCGGTAGCGCAGGGCTGAGAATTTAAGTGGCTTGTCACATTGGGTGTGGGATCCTTATAACCACATATAGGAGGTTCTGTCGATTCCTCGACATCAAGGATTGTCTCTACGCCCATTCAATAGGAGAAAGTGGTGACGGGAAAATAGTGAGCCTTGAAAGAGCTAGACTACTTGAATTTTCCGCAAGATAGACAACAGTAGCTCACTGATGGGAAAATAGACCGTCTGCACCTGAAGTGAAGATGGAGCAGGGAAATGGAAGCAAACACGAAGCTGGGTTTAAATGTGTTGGGCTTCACTGGAACATTGGCACATGGTCCCGATGAGGGGACTTGGCCAAGTAGTGAGGGGGCGACCCTAGCCATCGTGAAGCCACACGATCATTGGGGCAGCCAAACGAGGAATGCTTGGCCGCCTTGTACGCGGACGATACGTTCTATAAATGCATGTCCATGATCCAGTCATGATTTAGGGCGATGGGATCCTGGCCCGGGATTGGACATCCCAGTCCGGGGGTTCAAGCCACTATCCACCCACTTCTGGGCACTCGTGGCGTGCTGCTTTGGATGAGGAGATCTGGAGGCTGACAGGATATCGGAGCTAGGGTAATGTTGACTCTGGGATCTGATTTTCTGACTCCAGGTATACTCCGCAGGGCAGACTGGAATACAATTCCCAAACATTATCTCGTTTGTCCTCGGTCCAGGAGAGTGAAAGGATGTATTGTCGTGCTAGCACAGCCGCCTTGCCGACCTTTCCTGACTGGACGGATTTTGTTCCAAGTGCTCGGCATTCTGGGTCTGACACGTCCATTTTAGCGTCAGCCTATAGGAATCATCTGAAGGATCGGGAGAGTTGTCATGGATCGACGGGGCATCGTTCTGCCGTGTCTGAAGAGGCCAGAAGCATATTGGAATACAGGCCAGGTGCAAAACAGGTGATTGTTACACTCAACCCTGGGAGTTGTGAAAGCCGGGGAATATCCCAAGGCTGGAAAGTTGGAGAACATCCAGGGATCTGGTGTAATCACAAAAAGTATGGAGTAGTCAGTACCTGAAAATTAGCTGGGGGACTGTAGACAAGGGAGGTACCCAGTACACAGCATATTAGCCAATCACAACGCGGTCCGCAGATCGATAAAAAAATCACCGCCGTCGACCGAAGACTCCTCAAACAACAGCTTTCAATTCGACCACACTGCTTACTCATTTCCAAGATGGTTGGCCCAACTGCATCTCTCTCGATCCTACAGCGCGCCGATGGCTCTGCGACATATAAATGCCCTGCTACGGGCTACAGCATCTTGAGCGCTGTTAACGGACCAGTTGAGCTCCCAGGCCGTCGCGACGCATTGAAGCCGGAGGACGCCACGGTGGAGGTCTTTGTCAAGCCTGGTACCACTACCGGTGGTGTAGGAGAACGAGCCATCGAAACTACTCTGAAATCTGTGCTGGGAGATATTGTGCTCGGGCGAGAGAAAGGATTTCCTCGCCGCGGCGTGGTCCTGACCTTGAACATTGTTGGAGGAGAGAATGTGGAACGTGGTGATTCTGTGAGTACTATACCGCCATGGGCTGCATTTGTATTAAGTCTTGAGACTAACTTTTGTAGTACCTTACCCTCCTTCCAGCTCTCCTGCATGCCGGCCTACTCGCCATGATTTCCGCCTCGATTCCCCTATCCATGACCCTCTCCGCTGTGCTCCTCGGTGTAACCACCTCCGGCGAAATCGTACAAAACCCCTCTCCAGCCGCCGCCAAGTCTGCTGTGTCCCTTCATGTCCTGGCTATCTCTTCCAAGGACCATCTTCTGCTGAACGAAAGCCGGGGCCGATTCGACTTCGATACCTGGGAGCTCATTCGAGCACGGGCGCTTTCCATTTGCCAGGGCGCAGCTAACGATGGTGATGTTGCCATGGGCGAAGGAACGAATACTGCCAGCGTCAATGGTTTCATTCGCGAGACTGCCGAGGACCAGATCTACAGCGCCTACGCCCACAAGTTAGACTCGATCTGAGTCGGTTCGATTGTCATTTTCCAAGCGAAATTCAGACGTGATCTGATGTAATGGATGGATCAGTGTGACCCGGACAGCCCCCTGGCCCTTTGCCGGCCCCGCGCTCTGTTCGACATCGGATATACCAGGGCGACCGTGCCTTGTGCCTTGGATCGGGGATGTGTCAAGGCTACGAAACATTGGCGTAGCACGGTCAAGGCACCATCACCTGACTCCTGCTGCATGTACAACCCACCTTGTTCATCTGCCACAGCCGAAAAGCCTTGCTGCAGATGAGGCTTATTCGGGGTGACGCTACCCCCGTGCTCTTCCCGCATCACCACACTGGTCATTCTAGCGGTGAAATTTCAGACCTTGCGGGGCCTCCAAGGGGCAATACGACTTTACCGACATTTGACGCATGTCTCGTCAGAATAGGAGTCTCTTTTTTTTTTTCTCCCAGCATATATTGTAAACGTCATAGCAAGCGTATTCAGCCCTCCCATGCCGACGGCCGCATTGGGCGAACCGGCCATTGGACCGCATATTACACTCATCCCGCATATCTCGCGTATCCCGCATATCCATGGCTCCAGGCCACTTCAACAGAGGAACGACCTATCGTGACCCTCTGTAGTAAATTGTAAATCCCATGGAATCTATTCCCTTGGGAACGGATCGTCACGGTCCGTGGTGTTTCTCCGCAGAAAAGCACGTACGAGTAGAGTTTTCTTAGCTGCCTTTCGTCTCTCTCTCTGCTTATCAACTTAATCTATAATTTACCCGGTCATCTTGGAAGATACTAGAACTTTGACCCACGGGGAAACCCTGCGATCTCGAGACTCGGATCCGCAATCCCCGTTACATCCGAGTCAGATTACCCTCCGTTCTATTTTACGTGCCGCCCAAGCCGATGGCGTCCAGCCGTGAACAACTACGGTCTGACAAGCCCTCGAGAGCATCACAACCTCACCCCTCCCCGGCTAAGGCCCCACCCCCAGCAACCGCGGCCCTCCTCCGCGATTATGCCCTCAACATAGAATCCTCAGAAAATCGCCGAGACTCCAGCACCGCGCTGCTCTCACAGAGCCCTGGGTCGACCTCAGACGAAATCGCCGACTGGCCGTTGCCTCCCAACCTCCGCTCGTTGCACCAGAAGTCGATTACCCGACCGAGATCGACCAAAGCCCTGTCGACTGACTGTATCCCGAGACAGACCATTTTGAAGGCGTTGGCCTCCAGGCCTTTGATTCTCCGAAATCCCAATCACAGTCTATCCGCCAGCTCATTGACGAACATGTTGGCGAACAAATCCACACAGGCTTCCCCGCCCTCCGAGGATCGCCGGCGCGGGAGCAATGCCTCTCAAAATCTCTCTGCGGCGCTTTCCAACCTTCAATTGAGCGGGTATCTCGATCGATCGCCTGCGACCGCAAGACTAGTTTTGCAATCCCCGTGTTACTTCCACCAACGCTTCGACGATGCCGTGAACATAAAGAAGGTGTTGGAGGAAATCGCCGACGACGAATGGCTCTCGCACTCTCGACTTGTTCAGACTGCGACAGGTGTGCGTGAAGTGTCAAAGCAGCTTCAGCGTCGGCCTATCAAACGAGCAGTGCGAAACGTCATGATTGTGACCAAAGCTCGGGATAACAGTTTGGTGCACCTGACTCGGGAGGTCGCCGAGTGGCTGCTTTCCACCCCCCGGTACGGCAGTGACCTCGGCGTGAATGTATACGTCGATGCGAAACTCCGGAATTCCAAACGATTCGATGCCCCGGGCCTACTCCAGAAGGATCCGATGTTCGCCCAAATGCTTCATTTCTGGACACCAGACCTGTGTTGGACATCACCGGACAAATTCGACCTAGTCCTCACCCTAGGCGGCGATGGCACTGTTCTCTTCACCTCGTGGCTCTTCCAGCGCGTGGTTCCACCTGTCCTTTGCTTCTCACTCGGAAGCTTAGGTTTTCTCACGAACTTCGAGTTCTCCGACCATAAATCACAACTCAACGCCGTCATGGGCGAAGTCGGCATGCGCGTGAATCTCCGCATGCGCTTCACATGTACTGTCTTCCGTCGAGACCGTAGCAAAAGCGCAGAAGTTGGCGCCGTGGAAGAAGGCGAGCAGTTCGAAGTGTTGAACGAGCTCGTCATCGACCGAGGCCCATCCCCTTACGTCTCCAACCTGGAGCTGTACGCTGACGACGAACTTCTCACCGTCGTCCAAGCAGATGGCTGCATCTTCTCAACTCCGACTGGCTCCACTGCCTATTCCCTTTCTGCTGGCGGCTCTCTCATGCACCCCTCCATCCCGGGTATCCTCCTCACGCCCATCTGCCCCCACACACTCTCCTTCCGCCCCATGGTCCTCTCAGACTCCCATCTTCTTCGCATCGCGGTCCCAAACTCTTCCCGCTCAACAGCCTACTGTTCCTTCGATGGAAAGGGTCGTGTCGAGCTCCGCCAAGGCGACTACGTCACCGTCGAAGCAAGCCAGTACCCCTTCCCAACTGTCGTCTCAAACAATAATGAATGGTTCACAAGTGTCCAGCGCGCTCTACGTTGGAACACCCGTGGCGCCATTCAAAAAAGCTGGGACGGAGGCGACGCAGACGCCGAATACGGCGAAAACGAAGACGAGCAGTGGGATATCGACACCGATGCCGGGCTAGCCGGTACGGACAGTGGTATCGGCCCCAGTGAAGATGGAGACGCGCTTTCTCCAAACCCCATGCGCAGACAAATGAGCTTGCTCAATATGTGATCTTAGCGAATGTTTTTTTTCCCCTTTTTCCTATGTGCTCTATACCTTGTTATTCTTTTCGGCGTTTCATGATCTGTCAGCGTGACTTGTGGCGTTGGCATTTGTACTTATTCTTCGGCTTTTTCACATATCGGGCAGATGCTCCCTGTCTTCTGGGTTGAGAGGGCTCCTCTGTCAATAGAGTTGACATATGCCTCGACGGCTTGAATAGAAGGACCTCGATGGTCGTTTGTGGATTTCTCATTCAGAAGCTGGTTTTGAGTAGGCATCTCGTTCGTTTTCATGGGCTCTGGCATTTTTTCTCTTGCCCAAGCTGTTCTCATGCTGACATCGAGTAGCGCGAATAATGGGCTTATCCGAGCGCGCGTTTGTATGGACTCAAACCCACCATCATCGCATGGGATCTATGCGCGGTCCACTGGTAAATGATATTCACGTTACTCTGAGAGCTTTGCAAAGGTTTTGTGGCTGTGCTCAATAACAAGTCCAATCGAAATGCTTCAAAGCTGGGATTCCTTGTAGATCCATGCATGTTTTCCCGGGTGCAAACATTGAACCGCCGATCTGGGGGCCGACATTTAAAAGGTATAAAAGGGTGCCGCGCCGTGTCAGTTCTTCAATCGGAGGGTGGAGTGATTCGCCGATTGTCGCCCAGTATGAGAGTCAATATACAAGGAATTCGCAAATTCTGCTCTGGAGTAATGTTCTTTACATGCTCGAAATACACACCTGTTATGGGTGGCATTATTAATGATGCAAAGCAAAGCTCAAAGTAGGGCACCCGAAATAATTTTGCCCTTCTCCCTTCATCACTCGTTCTAAGAGATTTCAACCAGGAAGAAGAATAAACTCACAGATGGCATGGATGATCTGGAATTGGCTCCTCAGCGTGATGATGAGCCTCGGTGGATCAAGAATATACGCTGGTGCGCATATTGTTCAGTCGGTGTCTTACTTCTCAACATCGTCTTTGCAAGCACCCTCGCGGGGATGGCAGGGAAAATTGAAGGCCAGTCTGCAGACAGCCTTCTATCCTTCTCAACCGCTTACAGTGGAAGCTGCTCCCTTGTCAAGAGCTGGGGCATTTCCCTGGACTTGCTAATCAACCTGCTCAGCACGATAGCTTTAGCCGCAAGCAGTTATTGTATGCAAGTGCTGGTGGCCCCAAGCAGAGAGCAGGTTGATCAGTGCCATGCACAAGGGAAGTGGCTGGATATTGGGATTCCTGGAATAAGAAACTTGACCATTGTTGGACCTTTTCGAGTGGGACTTTGGCTCATACTACTCCTCACATCAACACCTTTCCACTTGATGTATGTCACTTCTGATGATCAATTGCTCCACTTGATTTCTGACAATAGAAGTTACAACTCGGCAGTATCCAGATCCATCGTTTTGTCGCAACATGATGTCAATGTTTATTTCATCCCGCGTGATATCGATCCAGCACAATTTCCCCGCCTTCTAACTCCACGGAACGAACAATGCTTCGCTTATGGCAGCTTTCAGCTTGGTCTGGATGAGATGTCTTCATTCCTCGCCAATGGCAGTTATGAAACAGTGCGCAAGGATCGATGTATCAGCATGCTTACCGACCAAGACACGCCCATACTAGGAACATTTTTCATGCGCACCAGTCAATTGAATTCCAGTATGTCAGGCAATCGCGCTTTCAGAAAGGGTGCTGGATCTCCTGGCCAGAATCAAACCTTGACTGGGGATCAGCCTTTGGGGGTATGGGACTTTGAGTTCGATACTTCCTATGGCGCTCTTCCATGGAAAACAAATAGTTTCGACTGGGATACTTGTTCTCAATACGCCACATCGGAGACGTGCAACGATGCCCGGAATCTGACATCATGGCTCACAACTTCTTTACCGGAATCCCAAGGTCTGATTGATAGTTATACCAAGTCACTCGGGAGTAATATCACGGTGAAACCAGAGACACTAGGATACTGTCAGGGGTGGGGATCGGGTTCCCAGCTTGATTTTGACGATTGCTTGGTGATCCAGCAAGACCCCAACTGCCAACTGCAGTATAGCCCGTTCATTTTCGTGCTTGTTGCTGTCATGGTGATAATCAAGATCATTGTCATGATTTTGATTGTCAGGAACGGACTCAGGAGTCCAAGCCCGTTGTTGACTATTGGTGATGCAGTCGCCTCGTTCTTAACGCTACCAGATTCCAATACACTCGGTATCTGCTGGATGACAAAGCTCGATCTAAAGAAGAAAGATTATGCATGGCGGGATCAAGCACATTTGAAGGGGAGGCTACAGGGACCTTCGATCTGGATCAGAGCCGCAAAGCTTTGGCGAAAGCTCATTGTGCTAGCTCTGTGAGTCTGTTGGCAAGCATATGTCTCGAAGCCTACTAATTTATACGCTAGATGGATAGGATGTATCATTTATGTCTTCTATCAGTTAGGCATAATTGCGCACAAGTGGTGTATTGGTGAATCCGATTGCTCTGCAATCAGATCATGGTGGATAACAGGGATCGATACAAGCACAATGCAGCGCGGCCCTTTCCAACTGTGGGAGACTTACACTCAATCATCAGTTATAGAGTTGGCTTTGATATCCAATCTTCCTCAGCTCTTTCTGACATTCAGCTATCACTTTTACAACAGTGTTCTAACGAGCATCCTTGCAGAAGCTGAATATAGCTCATATGGAACTCAAAGAAAGGGTCTTCGTGTATCTTGGCCCCAGGACAACACTGCTCAGCGGTCAACGTACTGGCTGAGCGTTCCACTTCGTTATTCTGTGCCACTATTGCTAATATACCTTGTCATTGGTTGGGCGGTGTCCCAAAGTCTTTCTCTGGTGACAAGCAGCGAGATTCGTACAGACGGGATCCTGACTTCATACTCGTTAAAATATTCACCGTTGGCGATAATCATATCTTTGGCTCTTTACTTCGTGATGGGGGCATCTCTTCTTGCATTGGGACTATGCAGGAGATTCAAATCCAAGTTACCTCTGACCGGGGCTTGCAGCGTCATCATCAGTGCAGCCTGTCATCCGCCGGATTCTTTGGACGATGCCACAAAAGGGGTTCAGTGGGGCGAAACACTTTTGTTACCCGATGGATTGGAACATGAGCCTGGGGTTGGTCACTGCAGTTTTACTTCGAAGGAAACGTTGTTACCTTCTGGCGATAAGGATTATCGTTAAAAAAATGTATTCTTTCCTAACCATAGAAGCCAGTCTTTTATTCTTTCTGGCTCCGTCAGCACTGATGCGCCGAAAATGGTATATGGCACTAATGGTTGTGATGTACACCATCACAACGCGAAGAGGATACCGGAGAGCTCCGAGGCAGCGCAAACAAACTTGAAACATACGTCCCCGGGTTTCGAGCCAAATAGTGTCATCTCGCTGTTAAGTGAACTATCATTCGGCTACACAGCAATACTGCATACATGCTTCCAAGGTTCGATTGTCAACAGCTGACCACTAAGGAGAATTTGTGATAGTAACATACCTCACGCCGTCTGCTGTACTCGGCATAAAAGTCGAGCCAATGATGCCGATCACGACAATCCTCAACCTCCCTATCATCTGGGCTCAAGTGGCAACCAGGTTTCTTTTCATCTAAAATATATACTGGAGGCTCATCCGAGGGCTATCAATTCGAGTTAGCAGCGAACCTCTCTCAGGGCGAAGACTCAAAAACGAGTTCAAAATACCTTTGGCACTGGCCAGTCGGAGAAGTGTAAGTATTTAGCTCTTTTGAGCACTTCACCCGGGTCCCATTCTCCCTCCTTTCCCAGGTAACTCGAGTGATTACGATTGCGGAACTCGCCCGTCAACAGTATATATGGGTCGTGCGGGATGACAAGTGCACGGTCTTTGTAGAGCTTGTTCACAATTTCCATATCATACATATTCTCGTTTGAGTGCTTGGTTGCGCTCATGACTTCAGCAAATTCGGTTTCGGATGGTGTGATCAGCATCAACGCAGAGGTGAGTTTGCTCTCGGGCATCCAGTACGCTTGAGGCATGGCAATGGGACATGGCGGCATTAGAAACAATTCATCCATGTGCTGTATATTTGTCAGAAGAATGAATCAATTGAAAGAAATACCTCCTTACCTTCAGAATAGTTGCATCCGAGTCCAAACTCAAGACGCGATCATATTGTGTTTGGTTGAATGCCAGCAGCTTGGTGAAGCTACTTGCCCAGGTCGCTGAAAAGCACCGTATAATTTAGCCAAGCAACTTCAGAGACTTCTAAAACGTCACAAATGGAAAACAATACGTACCATCACCACTGGCTTGGCTCTGGACTTGGACGGGAACCAATTTGACCTTGTATTGATCCCGAGCTTTGCGAAGTAGTCTACTCGCAGTACTGTTCTCATCCTCCAACAAATATTGCATTGGATAGATCAGGACTCGATCCGCTTTGGCATGCAAACGATCAAGAGTTTCAAATATCATGAGAGAGTTGCAAACGTGGGATGCACTAGTGGCATATTGCACGTAAGCAAAGCGAGACCAATTTAAGCCATGTGTAGGGGCCAAGGCCTGGCCTGCGACAAAAATCTCAGGTTGGGCCTCTGAATATCGGCTCGGTAGGTTTCGTATTGTTTGAATCACGAATAAGCCAAGAATTAAAAGAAAAATGGTGTGAAGCGGCCTGGGTAAACTTCGTGGTAAAGGGAGCCCCATGGTCGAGGGGTCAAAAGCTGAACTCAGCCGCTTGGCGTGGACAGTAAATCATCGATAGTCCTGCTTCGAAAGCTAGTGGTCATGATACCACAAGAACTTGTGTTGTTTTCAGGATTTTGAGGAGAAGGAAACATTATGTGCAGTGAGAAGTAGTTGGCTGACACGCTATCAGCCGCCGGGGCTAAGCATGGGGTCCTTCGTATCCAAGTGCCCGCAACGGAGGAGCGCCCCACTGTAAAAGGGGGCTAAAGGCTTGGCTTAAATCAGACCCGATCTTTGCCTGCGAAATACTTCCGTGAGATTATCCGTTGTTTATGAATCTGACCTCGACTGTGAGCATCGGTTTCATCAAACGCGCCTCGAAAGGTCAAAAGCCTTAGAATTGTGGAATGGCCTGATTGCCGAGACGGATTTGATGGATTTTACAAAATTCTGAAACCACTGCCACCGATTAGCCGCCAAGCTAATGCGAATGAGGATGGCTGCACCATTTAGTTCCAGTCTGCCTGTGATTCTTGGTATGCCAACAACGATGCGCGGCTACCAGTTCACTTGCCGATGGCACCGAGACTAAGGCTGTGGGTTGTCGTCTCCCAGTTTTTCCATCTCGTGTTAACTCTTTACCCTCGTTCTGTGTTTGACAGGGGCACCCTTCGTCCTATCCCAGTCATTTCCTAGTTTATATGAGCGACTGTTGGTGCCATGCCTTTCTCGAGTGTTGAAACAGGCCAAATAAATACCGCTTTCGTGCTTTACGCTCTCATAGGACTTGCTTCCTCGCAACGGCCCCTATCAGTGCCATGGTCTGATCAAAGCTTTGGGCCCGATGGTCCCTGGAATGCGGTGACGTTAAGAATGGGTGGTGGAGGAAAGGTCGCATTGTACGCAGGTGGCTGGTGGGAAACCTGGTTGATTCCCTCGTCGTATTGCAGGGACAACGTGACCACGTCTACTTGTTATGCGGAAGATGCTGGGCTCTACCATCCGGAGTACTCAGGTGGTTTCGACAACACATCTATTGAGCTAGGACCCTCTGGCTACGAGTGGGAGGATCTGGACTATTCGCCAACAGGTGCGACTCCCCTGGTTGGCAAGGCTAGGCGGGCCCAAGATACGTTCCAAATCGGCGGCAAGGAAGTTGTTGATGCCGATATCATTGTCATCAAAGAAGGAACACAAATTTATCCGGGAGGGCAAACCTACCCGGTACAAGTCGGTCACTTGTCGCTCGGTGCTGGGGAGATCAACCAAACATTTCAGACATGGAAAGAGATTCAATCCACGCTTGTCGCCAGCTGGCTATGGAATGGAACACACGAGATACCATCTTACTCCTATGGAATGCATGTCGGATCAGCCAGCCACAACATCCCAGGAAGTCTCATTCTGGGTGGGTATGATAAGAGCCGAGCTCTGGGCGACATTTCTGCCCAGCCTCATACAGGAAATTCAGCTCCGATTCAGTTGCTTGAAATCAGCCTTGGTGTCGCAGCTGGAGGTTCGCCTTGGGAATTTCCGAGGAAATCCGGACTCCTGGCTCAAGGCAATTCCTCTCTCACCTCTGGCACTTCAGTCCTTGCAAATGTTGTTGATCCTTACATATATCTCCCACAAAGCTCGTGTGATGCAATTGCTGCAGAGTTACCGGTAACACATAATCCTGATCTCGGCCTTTATCTCTGGAACACCGATGATACCCAATACACCAAGATTGTGACCTCCGCAAGCTATCTGGCATTTACGTTCATCAAGGATAACACCAACGATCAGAACATTACGATAAGAGTCCCATTCCAACTACTCAATCTCACATTAGAAGCACCTTTGGTTAAGAAACCGACACGATATTTCCCCTGCTTCGGAACAGAGGGCACATATGCTTTGGGACGAGCCTTCTTTCAAGCCGCCTTCATCGGGGTAAACTATGGGACCGGCAACGGCATAGGAAATTGGTTTTTGGCTCAAGCCCCGGGTCCAGGGATATCGACATCGAGCATCATTGTCACAGAGGCTGGCGCGACCGAGTTGACGGGCTCTAGCGACAGCTGGGCAGAGACTTGGACTTCACATTGGACTCCGCTCCCTGGGTCCACTGATTCTACGATCAAAGACTCGACTGAGGGTTCGAACACCAATTCTACACTCCCTAAAAACCCGAAAGATGAAGGCAGTAGCCTCTCACTCGGGGATCGAGTGGGAATCGGCGCTGGTGCTGGTGCCGTGGGCTTGATACTCGCTGTTGTTTTTGGGTGGTGGCTCATGCGTCGCCGCAAACAGCACAAAAAGACAACGCTGAATAACGACAGTCAAAAAATCCAAGAGGATTCTGCTTCTTCTTCACGGTCGGCTCAAGAGCTCGGCTGGGAAGCTCAGAATTCAATTCCAGAGCTCGAACACACCCAACAAGTGGCCGAGCTTGATCACGCGCAGACCTTATATGAGCTTGACCATAAGCAAGCCATATATGAAGTTGGGACCCACCGTTCTATCCAGGGTCCTTTTGAGATGGGCCCTGGCCGAAACAGTGGGTGGTTATGAATCAACATCATGCACATGGAATGATGTATCCCTGAATTTGTTTGAGCATCTTCGCTCCTTTTAGATACCCGAATGAGTTTTTTATAATGAAGTTAATGAAGAATTTCGTCGAATCAGTCAGCACGTCACTCGTCAGATCATCAAACTTATTGTATTAACATTATTCAGAGGCGTTGCACTATATCTAACTGCTGTGTCCGGAATCAAGCTCGGATAATGGTGCCTTCTGGTGTGCAGGCAATTCAGCATGCATGTAGGTATCGGAACCCAACTCGGAGCGCCCATCTCTTGCCCCGGAAGGAAGCTCCTGAACCGGCTGGTATCGTTGTGGCTCTATTCCAGCTCCGTCTCCTTCTTCTGCCGTTTGCTTCCTGCGCCTTAAGAAGAACCACGCAAGTCCTCCTATCAAGGCTAGCCCTGCTACTCCACCAACGACTCCACCTGCGATGGCACCGGTGTTCGTCGATCCAGACCCTCCATCGTTAGTGTTATTGGACGGAGACGAGTTACCGCTGCCAGTGGAGTTTGTCGTTGTATTGTTTGTCTCAAAAATTGACCGCAGCTCCGATGAAGCCCAGCTAGAAGGAGTCGGTGATGCTTCGATATCTTTCGCTGTTGCTGAGGCGAGGGAGAATAAAGATAAACCCGGCTGGTATCGGTTAGTTTCTCTTCTTAGGAATGGAATTTTCATTGACTGACATTGAAAGAGGATCGCGACACCTCGGACTGCGCGTCGTAGATGAAGGCGGGCGCATCGTAGCAGCCTGCCGCACTATCATCTGCCCAGGCCTTTCTTCCACCAATTCCGAAGATCTGACGCCCATATGAAACGCAAGTGAGAGTCATGCGGGCTTCATCAAGAGGAGCAGCGGAGTACCATTTGAAGGACGGGATGGACAGGTAATTCCTAGAGACGGTTAGCACGGCGATCAAGCAAAGGTGACACTTGATCTGCAACATACACATCTAAGATTGTGTCCTGTGATTTTAAGTCCGCGCCTCCTATCACATAGATCTGATAAGAAGACGACGAATCATCGTGCTGCACTGAAGCGCAGAATTGCGTTCGAGACGTCACTGTTCCTGTTGTTGACTGGTTGTACCATTTGGCTCCGGCGATGTCGTAGACTTGAACATGATTCCATGAATTCTAAATCATTCATTAAAATTTTGATCCCAATAGATATGTCTTGTCAGCTTACCGATGTCATGGTGGCGTTGATACCGTCCTTGATGGAGGGGACATCACCACCGATATAAACCAAAATACCCATGTCGCCAACTGGCACATACGAAAGGGAGCCTTCCTCGACAGCTTCATACGGTCCATCTAGAGATGTGTAGATACCTGTTGTGGTATTCAGTTGGATGAGACCTGTGGCGTATTCCTTTGTTGAATCGGTAATGGTGGTAGTTGTGCCGCTAGCTCGATAGCCACCAATCCAATACCCTGCTTGAATCTGCGGCGCGTTGGTGTAGACTGTCAATGAGGTTAGTATCGCCCCCCATGAGTAATCCAAACATCCACATACCACCGTACTCCAGTCTAGTTGGTTGAATGGTGCCATCCTGCTTGTCCCACTTCTTGTCCCCCACAGTATAAGTCCAAATGGTGTTCTCGTTGGTGATATTCTCCAAGAATCGGCCTCCGTATTGGTAGAGGGTTGTGTTGTCTGCTTTGGACCAGAGTGCCATGTCTTTGACTTTGGGGACATCGGTGTCTATTTTTGTCATCTTATAGTTCTTCCCTTCGGACGTGGATAACGAGGATGTGAGATCGAGAGTCACGAGATAGTTATCTAGCAGTATCGAGCTATCAGTATACTGTGGAGTAACCTATAATCGGCCGTGATTGACTCACTCGAAGCATCGCCATCATCTGGAACCAGTCCTCCATCCAGTCCAACCATGTACAACACATTGTTGGCAATATCCGCTAAGATTCATAAGTACGAAAACTGTAGATCTTATCACAAAGCCTCCACTTACCGCCAAATCTGTAACTGCGACAGAACCCACCGGACAGATCTGACAGGACTGATCGCTGGGCAAGGTCGATGACACGAGCCCTAACCAGCGGTGTCAACACCCAAAGCAACACAAGCCACCAGCCGGCCATATCGATCCGTGGCAGTCAAAACACCAGGATGCAAGATTTTGGAATTTTTCAGGGTCTAAGTTCTTGCAGGCTGGAGGTGCCCCATTATTCAAGTCCCCGGCTGGAGAGCTAGTGTTAGTGGGCTAAGCCTGCTCATTTTTCTCATCAGGGGCTAGTCTTGTTCCAAAATAAGCCTCAGTAAGCGTTTGACTCTAATCTTTGGGGGCCGTTTTGACTTCTGCAGAGTGGCGCACGCACTGTCGAATTAGCAGCGGCATGCAATTGGGTCAATTGGCCAGGGTTTCCGATCTGCGCCTCAGATTACCAGCACGGGCTTACTTTTCAGCCGGGAAGGGTAGTTTGACATGTCTATCATCTCACACTGATTGAGCCTAACCTGAACTCTGTGTGACATCTCGACGGAATAACCTCGGGATCTATTTGTCACATTGCTCGTATTGTGTGGCTACGATGGTGGTGCACACACACGCCCATCTTGCAAAGGCATACGGAGTAGTAAGCACTTGATTCGATGAGCACTTCGATAAATTGCTGATTTGGCTTGAAGCTAGTAAAGCTGGAAGTTTTGATTGCGCTGGACCGATCGGCAAACTCGATCATCCTTGTGCTCTTTTAAATGCCAATTTATGTACGTCGATGAAAGACATCTGTGGGAGATATCGTCAAGCTCAGATTTTCAGAGTGCTCAAAGATTGCTTTGGAGAGTATGCAATCCTCAAGCTCGACTCAAAACCCAACGGAGGTCTCAACACCGTCCGCCGTATAATGAGTCTCAAACCCAGCCTTTCCAACACAATCACCATACTCATAAGCCTTCTCCAATTTTCCATCATACCCCTCCGCAACAGGGTAACCGAAAGTCACAGCAGTTTTGGGCAAATCAGCACACTGATGACTCTCTTCAGCATTCCAGGGATAATATTCCACAAAGCCCATCTGCGACCCTTGAATGCCCCCCGACCCAGCCGGAAGTTCATATGAACCAATTCGAGTCTCACTCCCACTAACAGAATCAATCAAGGTTCCCACCCACGTCGTCCCGGCCGTGTTATTGATATGCAGCTGGTATGTATGGGCGTATGAGCCCTCAATGTCAACAGCGCAGCTTACGCCGGCGCCACCATCTGCGCCATCGCTACAGTTCTCATCGCTTGATTTGGTGCCCGAGATAAAACTGGAGAAGGCTGCGTGGAGAACGGGCTTGGAATTGGAGTCTTCGCGTGGTTGGATGCCTGTGTAGCCTACGTCTTTTTGGTTGATGAAGTTGAATTGTTGCGCGAAGTAAAATCCTGTTTCGTGGGGCGCGGAGTTGACATTCATTGGGAAGCTGAGTTCTGTCAAGCCAGTTGAAGGTGCGTCTGATACACTCCATGATATTCCCACTAAGGCTGTGGTTGGTTGGAGGAAGGGGAGGGCGAGGATGATGGATTGGACAAGCTTCATCTTGTACGGAGAATTGAAGTGAAAGTGATGGGCTCGATTTCTGTCAGTCCGTGGGTGTCTTTCTTATACTTGTGGATATGTTGGACGTTGCATCCCTTCAAATGCTGGAAGGGGCCTCGGCTTCAGATTGGACCCACAATACAAACACATCGCGACATCATGACTTTGGATTGATCTCACAACTTTGATAGAGACAATGCATTGATCCAAGATTCTGGAACGTCTGGTTGCTGACGGGTCCTCAATTGCACGTTGTCCTGTTTAGGTATGCTTCAGTTGCTGGCTTTGCACTATTCACACAGCAGTCCCATCGTACCACTGACGTTGTGTTCAGCATAATGCATGAAGTGCACAATCCCGATCTCCAGAAACTCCAGTAGTTCATTAGGGGAAACACTTCGGCGTTTCAGTATCCGAAAGGGTGAGCTTTGAGCCCGAACCTGAAACCGATGTAACCCACGACACTCCAGTTGTAATCCAACCGTTCAACTGATAGCATTTGACGGCGCCGATCGTGAAAATCGGCGGTTAATCAATCACAAGCCAAGGCTATAAGCGAGATTGGTCATTGTAGATGGGATGTCAACCAAGCTGGTGGACCCGCTATTGTGTGGGGTGCGTCAAATAGACGACTCGATCTTGATGGGAGCCCATGAGATACACGATGTAGATGGCCTTCTCCATAATTCCAGCTTCAGGTGAATAACTCCTGAATATCACCTGTTTCAGTTCGCACTAAGTGAGCATCTGGGGCGCCATCAAATTGGCTTTCCGTTGAAATGAGGTCCGCATCTTGATCGCATTTCTTTGCCGATCCTGCAACCTGTCTGCAGCAGTCTCACTAAGATTAAAGATCACCTACCGAAACCATGCGCTTGGCGGGAAATCAGTTTCAAGGGTTCGAAGCGAAAGGGTCAACGCCTCGTAGGCGTCGCGTTCCAGTCGTCAAGCTGTTTGATGTCTGTGTCGTGGGAGGTATGTCTGTATCCACACAATGCCATCTAACGGACTTGGTGCACTGCTCGAAAGGACACAGATGTAGCGAATCTGTAGGCGGAATACGAAGAATTGCCAGCGAATCTATGATGGTGACAGAATCCTGTTTGATTTACTTCGCAACGAAGATCATATAAAAAGACATACACAAGAGCCTGTGGCAGTAGCAGACTCCCGCGAAAGAAATGTTAAAAAACTTTTGAAATGGCAGCAGCCACCAAAAACGCAGACCTGCATTCAAAATTCCTCTCAACCAAAAACCGTGTCTTTCCAGACTATTATTCAAAATTGTTATTTCACCAATCGCAACTATCGGCCAAGAAAGCGGCCAATTTCTCAAGGTATTTCTTATCTTCATCGTCGAAGCCTGAGGGATCGGTGCAGTCGATGTCGATAATGGCAACAACCTATCACTGTTAGTGCGATCATTAACACTTGGGATGCGGTACTCACCTCGCCGTTCACCAGGATAGGCACAACGATCTCACTGCGACTCTCTGCATCGCATGCGATGTGGCCTGGGAATTCCAGTACGTCGGGCACCACCACGGTCTCGCGCTTCGCAGCGGCGGTGCCGCAGACACCCTTTCCGAAACGAATCTCTTGGCAGGCGGGCTTGCCGTGGAAGGGACCCAGCAGGAGGAGCTGGTCCTCCGATGATGTGTATGTGGTTGAGATGGTCACGCCGCTTGTGCCTGGCACACCGGACAGTGGTGGTGAGGAGATGGGTGAGGCGAGAGTGGGGAATTTGTCATCGCGGATGTAAAAGCCAGCCCAGTTGACGGAGGAGGAGGGGGCGGGGAGGGAGGCATAGGCGTGCCACAGTAGAGATGCGACGTTTGAGAGGTTGCTAGAATATGTGAGTAGGCGTTCTTGTTCGAGGAATTATCCAACATTTACCTAACCCAATTCCTCTGGCCGTCTAGTAGGCCTTGTGTTTGCATGAGAAGCATCTCGTAGACATCGGCTTTAGATGAGCCGGGCGCAAAGTAGGAGGAGTCGGCGTGAGGCTGAACTAGTTAGCAACAGAACAAACCACACTCGCAATCGACTTACCATGATGGCGGTTGGAATTCAATTCACAGGGAAAAGTTGGGAAATGTCGCAAGAAGATATGAGAAATTGCCCATAGCGGAGAGAGGGGCTCTTCGGTACCGCCTTCGTTCTGGAACATCGATCTTCACTCATCTTCCTCCTTTTGTTGATCCCATCGTTGTCCGGGTTTATGTTCCTGTTTGACAGGCCATGACATTGGCTGAACCAAAATTGAAGTCGTTTTGCATCCGGGTCTTTCTCGTCCACGCGGGGTGAACTCAGAACTGACGTCTGAACCCCAAACTCTCTCGGTCCGCGCCAATTTCAGGCGGTTCCAACCAATCTCAACTCCAATTTCAGGCCTTGATTTCAGAGGGCGGTAATTGGGAAACGTTAAACGCCTGATCGCCGTCTTCTAGATCACTCTCTCCAACTGTCCAAACTCTATTGCGCATCAACGGTCGCAATTTGGTGCTAGCCACCCGATGCACCAAATGCTTCTCAACCAGCCCACTGATGATCTGGTTGATCTCCACCCGTAGCATCGATCGCATTCGGGAGATGGATCGCCGCTTGATCTGGAACTTGCGCGAGTGTCCGTAAGTCTGCAGTGTCCGTGTCCCTTTGATCCACCGGTCTACAGAGCGAGTTCCGGTCGGTTCTTCAACATGCACTTCATCGGGCGTAATGCGAACCACCGGGCCTAAACTTGTGAGAGATGAAATCTCATTGGTGTGAAATGATCTTACCATATGTTTGGTGCATTTCTTCAATCTCATCATTGAATCCGTTGGTACCCCAAACTGAAAAATAGACCTCATACAGTCCTGTTGCGGCGGCTAAGCGGGGTCCCGGGAATTTGTTCAATGGGTGGAAATGGAGTCGGTAGATCACCATGACCAAGTTGTAGGCCACAACACTTCCAAGTAGGAAAAATGCCAACATGGTTGGGGTAGAGCACAATAGTACAAGTCGTTTTTTTCAGACTTCCGGAGGATAGTGTAGACTGTTCTAGTCCGGGGACTTTTTCTGAATATAAGCTCACACGATGAAAGATTCTTAACACTCCAGACTATTCCCCCCCACTACGTTGTACGCAGCCCCGGGCCCGAGAAAGGCCTTCATTGGCCGATCCCATACCGCATATTGTACTGCATACCCCCTTTAGCACGAACACCGGCAGATCGCACAGAATGACAGATTGGATTTGCTCGGGCTTCCCCGAGGTATGGAACAGCGCGACACGATCTCCGGATGTTGTACGAGTCTTATCAGTGGGAGGCAAAGGTATGAGCTCATTCACGAAACAATTCCAGCCTGATTGGGTGTTTTATAAAGCATACCGTCACTCTGGACGAACAGCACACCGATATTGAAATCCGTGCAGATCTCGCATGGCCTGTGCATGGTGGGGACTGATCGCAGATGCAGACCGCCAGTTGGGTGAGCCCGGTGCTTGCCACTAGTTGATCTGTCATTTTTGATTGGAAGTATCGGTGTCATGATGCATGTTTCAAAGGGCTCGGTTCGGGTCTGGTTTCTTTACCCGGTTATCTTGATGTGGGCTGATATTTCATTCGGCCATTTTGTGCATGATTGATCAGATATGATGAAAGATTATGGTAGATTTTGATGTTCATTGGGTGGATTGCTCGTGCTAAATAAAGGCCTGCTCGTGGGTTGCACCATATGCAAGATGGAATATGGGGAAGTCGATGAAAGAACGAATGCGCCGGTGCCCTATGTCAACCCTAAACGGACCAACGGGTGCAAAGCCTCGGTTACCCCTCGCATTATCAAAGGTAAGGTATCTGATATCTTAAATTCTCGACGGAGTATTTTGGCGTCAATGTCCTCTGTGGAGAGTTGTATTCCGAGTACGGGGTACTCTGTACAAGGCTCAACTTCACGCTGTAAATGGTATAGAGAGTACTATGTGGCAATATCAGAGATGGACACAGAGCAAGCAAAAAGGTGTATTGAGGCTGACGTGGCACACAATAGAGCCACCCCCCGTCAACATCCATGATGTAGTAGCCATGGATCTGCTTGATGGATATGCTTTAAGTGGCTTAGCGATAGGATCTCCAGGGCTTCTAAAGTTGCAACTTCCTAGGGAGGCATTGTCTCGACCTGGAAACTCTGTATAGCTTTAGAATGTGATTCTCTCTACGAGTGACGGAAAATAGGTAAAACTAGCACCAGAAAATCGCTGTCTGACCAAACGACGACCCGGAGATCCAAGGATGCAAGAAATCACTCTGTAGACATTGCACAAGTGACCTCCAGCATCCCGTTGCGCAGGTTCTTTCACACTCTTTGTGTGTTAACCTTGTGAGGAATATGGCATACCACCATCCCATATATAATGATATATGGCAAACATCAAACTCTCAAATTTCGATTGTCAGCCTGGGGAAAGAAGTGGGTATATAATGGCTCTCAGCGTCTTCCTCCGCTAAAATCTTGATCCTCTATCAACTTCCCAATCTCCATCATCTGTTCATCATCAGGAAACAAACATGGTATCAACTCGAAGCGGCCAAAATGTGGTGCCATCGTTCTCCAACCAAAGCTGGAATGTCAACCCCGAGGCTGTTGAACATCAGCGTGGTCGCAGCAAGTCCCCAGCAAAACAAGCACCTGTCATGTAAGTCACAAATCCTCGTGTAGAGCCCATCCAAATGACTTATTAACGTAGATCAAGCCCACCGTCAGGTGTGAGAAGTGCCATCTCCGATTTCGCAACAGCATTCTCATACGAGCCATCGGACCACGTCGGAAATATTCCAGATACACCCGTGCCAGCCCTTGGCCAACTCCACAATAGCTCTGATCTCCTAACCACACCTTCAACATTCCTTGAGGTAAGTGAGCTGTACCAAACACTACATTGAAGGTGTCAATGTAACCGCGCTCTAGTATCAGAATGGAAAGTTCGTCCGCCCAGGCGACGCGCCTGCGTCGCCAATCTCAGGCAACGAAGCCCCAGCCGGCCCGGAGGATGAGACTGCAGTCGCGGGCGAAACAGAGCCCGTGGTCGAGGTCGAAGTTCCAGCCAAAGCTGAAACAGAGCTCAAACCCATGGATGAACTTCTAAGCCAGCTGCAGGCCGAAGCCGAAGCCGAGGCTGCGGCTGAAGCTGAAGCTCAGGTCGTAGCCTCTGACACACCCGCCAACCCGGAAGTGAACGCCAGTCCCTCGCCGCATCTGCCGACGTATCGATCCAGCGAGTCGTTGAGATTGCTTATCTCGGGTTCTCGACAGACACTCAGCATCGAGGCGGAGAAGTTGGAGGAAATGTTAAAGCCGGAGACTGGAGAAGTCTTGCAGGCTCATTTGGATATGAATGGGTTGCTTTCTCAGTATGAGCAGGCTAAGAGGGAGTATGAGTGGAGAAGGACACAGCATGAGATTTATGCGGCTCAGCAGGTTGAGATTCGGAATCGGCGGAGACAGCTGGATGAGGCGGAGAGGGAGTTGGATGAGCTTTGTCATTGAAGGTTGGGATCTTGAAAGCTTCCGAGGTTGTAAACTCGGAAGGTCATTGGGCTTGGTTCGGGGCTGGTGGAGGATGATGTTAAATGGAGAAAGTGAGACACCTAGCTACATACCTTGGATGTAGGGCATGAAACGAGTTTTCTCACGGCTGGCGCAATATCTTCATATCTCACCAGGTGTGCCAATCTAAAGGGTTTCCTTGAATATGTCGATAAGCTTGTCTACAAATATGTAATACAAACTCCTGTTGAACACCAATAACTTGTCAAATTAGGAACGATATCCTATGGCGTTCTAGAATATAATACATGGCCCACTCTAGTTGGACTTGCAGGAGCCGACAGTAGGCTCGGCCTGGGCCTGAGCCTGAGACTGTGCCTGAGCGTGCTCATGAGCCCACTTGTGTCCGCGGTGTCCGTGATGTCCCCGACCGTGTCCACGGGAGATTCCAGTAGGGGTACCGCTAGGGGCAGCACCGAAGGCACCGCTAGGCACCTCGCCCCATGATCCACTGGGAGCTGCATCCCAGAAACCGCTGGGAATGGCACCCCAAGACTCGCTAGGGAATCCACTTTCGGCAGCAGCCGCGCTAGGGGTGCTGGGAATTTCGACAGGGGTAGCAACGGGGATCTCGTTCACGGAAGCGCTGGTCTCCATGCTGAGAGTGGCAGCGGGGATAGCAGTCGTTGAAACAACGTCCTCGGAGTTGTTGCCGATGGCATCAACAACACCGCTAGCCTCAGCGCTAGCAGTAGCCACGGAAGCGACGGTAGCTTCGCTGGCCTTGACAACAGCACTGGTGGCAGCAACGTTATCGGAGTCATCGCCAATGGCGGCGACGCTGCCGCTAGTGGCCTCGACGGCAGCTTCGGTGGTCTGGCTAGAGGCAACGACGGTCTCGGCTGAAGCAGCCTTGGTGACGGCGGCAGCGGTCTCGCTCACGGCAACCTTGGCAGCTGCGCTGGTGGTGGCACTAGCAGTGGTGTTGGAGGACTCGGTTGTTCCATCGAGACCGATACAGGCGAAGCTCAGCTTCTTTCCGGCCGCGGAAGATCCGTCGTTTGCCTGGGAGAGGTCCCAGGTCATGCTAACGTAAGGCCAGCAGATACGACCATCGGACATGGTGACCATATCACCAGCGACGTAAACATCGTCGCTGCTGAAAGACTCACCAACCTTGGCACCGGTCGAGTCAACCTCCTGGAAGAAAGTTCCAGCGAACGAACCGCGACATCCCATGGCGATGAAGTCACAGGTTGGGTTGGAGATCTCTTCCCAGGTGATGAGAGCGTTGCTGGCACCGAAAGTGGCAGCGTGGGCGTTGGAGCAATCGTTAGATCCGGAGGTCACCCAGTTAATCTGGCTGTCACCGTCCTCGGTGCCAACCACGGAAGTAGCCTCGGCACCGACCTTAGTGTACTTGTCAGAGAAGAGAGCAATGGCGACGTTACGACCGTTGGTGCGGTTCTGCACGTTAGTGTAGCCAGATCCCATCCACTCGTTCTCGGTCACGTCCATCGCGCCGCGGGAAACCCACGCGAAGATGTACTTGGTAGTTTCGGCGAAACGAGCCAACGCGCTGTAACTACCAGACATGCCTCCCATGGGCTCACCGGAGGCACCGTTGGTGGTGTTCTCGTTGGAAATCTTGACGCCATCAGTGGTCATTCCCTGGGTCTTGGTGTTGAGCCAGATGGCACCCTGGTCCTCGGCACAAATTCCGGCGAAGGGAGCAGCGTCAGCAGCCTCGAATGCGATACCGGTGTTGTGGCTACATCCCCATGCACTGGTGGCACCGTCAATCTGCTTGAGAGTTCCATCGGTCGTGACGTACTCGACGCTGTCACCGAAGTGGCCCGACGCATCGCCAGAGTAGTCGGTCACAACAAAGTACGCACCGTACATCTCGGCGGCCTCAGAGTAAACAAGATCACCGTTCATGTCGGGAGAGGCAGAGAGTCCCTCGGAAGCGTGGACACCGGGACCACCGAGCCAGGTCTTCCATGTCTGCTTACCAGAGGTGTACCGGTACAGCACAGGCACAGGGGTCTCACCAGACGGCGCGTTGGTAGTGCCAGAGGGCATGGCCTCGTTGGTGAGAAGGGCGAAACCATCGTTGTGGGCAACAAGACCACCGGCTGCATAAGATCTTAGTCACCTTGCCTGAATAACATCAACAATCCTACACACCTTCCTTTCCACCGGACACAGTCACAGTGGTACCAGTGGCGGCAAAGGTAGACGGGTCGACCTGCTGGACATGGACATCGGTTGCGCTTGAGTCCAGGTACGCGACATACGCGGACTTTCCATCAGGCGACACAGCGAAAGGTGTCCGACGGTGGTGAGGGTATCCGGTCCAGTAGGCAGGCTCAACGGGGTTGAAAGCGTAGTCGAGTGCCAGCACATCGACGTGACTTTTCAGGTTGGATTTTGAAACAGCCGCGCTGGCGCCCAGCGCCGCAGAAAGCAATGAAAGAATGAAAGTCCCACGCATACTGGGAGGGTGTTGCTGTCTGATCGCGAGTCCCGGTCCCGGGATCGTCACTCTTTAATAGATGGAGCAACATCTCTGAATCCTCGGGGAAATTCCCTGAGGAAATTGAATTGAGACAGTGGCGGTGTCATCCTGGCGCCCAAGTTCGTGAATAGAGTGGTGTCAAGTGGTGTAAAGTGGAGGGCGTCGCGCCCCTGTCTGAATTAAAGTAGCCCGCGCACGGAACGGGGTCTTCGCCCGAGAAAACACTGTTTCAGCCCTTCCAATCGGATCTTCCCGTGTCTCCACTCCCGGAGTTTGTTCATTTCTTATTTTCCCTTCAGGGTGTTGAGCTGTTGGAATTGGATGCCGGCAATGATCTAGGCGCTCCAGACAATCCTTCAGAGAGCATGTTGGTAGGATCACAAGTTCCCTGCATTAAGGACCATGTCCCCTTTTCTCCTGGGTTGTAGAACATCATATAAACTAAAATAATTGTAGTTACCTAGTACCATGTAGCCAGCTGTCCGGATCCAGGGCGAAGTCTGTTTGTCGCATTCAAAGTCCATGGGGACTGTTGTGAACGTTCTCTCCAAGGTTGCGGTCTCAAAGCCACTGTTTATTGTGTGCAATATGCCCATGCATCGTGTTCTAACCAGACTCAATTTGAGCGGGTCAATATCATTTGTGGACAAACATCGGGGCCAACAGTTTACGAGTACGAGTACGAAGAAGATTCTGGACGATTGGCTACAGGGAAACATCAGAGTGATGAGAATGAGACCACAGGACATTTCAAGAAGTTCGCTACCCTCAGACAGTTTTTAGACTATGATTATAGCTGACTGTGTGTATGTCCACAGCAGTGTCAAATAAAAATCGCAAGATTGAGCAACTTTAGATCAAAAATTCGTTCGTTTCTTGCACATACCACCTCACACTATTATCTTCAAAGCCCATTCGTTGTCAAGTGCCATTCTTGGCCCCGGATGAATCCCTCTCTTTCACTTCCTCGATCAGTCGCTTCCATCTGCTTTTCTTCCAATTCTACTCAATACCCCGTAGGACCCAAGAGCTTAGAGCCCCATTTGAGATGCCTGAAAGTGGGGTTGGGCATTCACACATCTCGCAAATCAGAACGCCTCCCCATCACACATGACGCGCATTTGGTTCTCGCATCTCTAAATTATCCAACCACAAGCGAACTGCATCAAACTCATCGCTCGTCGATCCAATCTCTTTGCTCTTTGATCTATATGTATCGCTGATGTCTGAAGATAAACCAGTCATGTCAGCCAACCTACCATTTCCCGGGCTTGAATCAAGTGAACCTCACTTTGATAGCGCCGATTCTTCCGCGCTGGGTGAAAACGACACCCGAGATACATGTTCACTCTGTGATTGCTTGGAAGATGTGATAACTGAGACGATAGGAGGCTCGGAAGTAAGTGGGTGGTCAAGTCTCAATCACCGCGGTTGGGATTCTCCAGAAAGACATCAGACTCAGAGAGCATTTTTTCATCAACCATGTGAAAGATGCTCCAGCACAGCAAATGACACACTATGCAGCTTTTGCAACCACATGAGACTTAAACATCTTGTGCAGTGTCTAATCTTGGCTGACATTGATGTTGAGCCTCGAAGTAGCATCCGGGAAATTGACCTGGATTTGGGATCCTCCCAAGGCTTGGAAGAGCGTTCCTTCAATTGCGACACCTGTCGGCTATTTGCAGGTCCAGTCAGCCAAATGATGAACGAATGGGCCCTTTCATCAAATCAATCGTGCGTGATCACTATCGGAAAACCATCGCTTGAGTCATACCCAATGAAAGGCGTCAAGTGTCCATTGGAATTGAATATTTGTCTTCGAGACCCAAAGCTCCGTCAATGGGATGACAATAAAAGTAAGCTTATTCCTACACGAACAAAGAGAGACCAAGTATCTTCCAAACTTTGCTCACACACTCCAGAGAGCAAAACCTTTTTCGTAACTACAGACCCCATCGATGGCCACAAGCTCGTTTCTACGCCGACACCTTCGGCAGAAGTTGATTGGAATAAACTTTCTGACTGGGCAAGCGATGCTTTGGGCCCCGAGATCCTCGGCCAGGAAAGGCCGGATGGCCCACGGCCCAATGGACTTCGCGTCATTGATACCAAACAAAGGTGCATAGCACTTGCTCCTTTGACGTGCAAATACGCGACTTTGAGCTACGTATGGGGCACTACGAGCAAGCCACTACAGGCTAAAACGGACAATATCCAGACCCTCAGTACACCAGCTTATCTGAACAGCAATGTTCTGCCACAGACCATTGAGGACGCAATTGTCGTATGTGAGAATATAGGGATACGCTATCTTTGGGTGGACCGCCTTTGTATACTGCAGGATGACGACCCAAAAAGAAAGACTTACTGGCTGAATGCGATGGGAAATATATACTCACAGTCGTGCCTAACGATCATTGCTCTCACTGGACGCGATGCTGATTACGGGTTGCCTGGGGTGGGCAAATTGAAGCGATCTGCCTACTGGGTTGGAGCATTGCAGTGGATTTTTCTTGTCAGCAAAAGCCTTTCATGGGATGCTCACAGGGAAGAGGGACTTTATGGCACAAGGGGCTGGACCCTTCAAGAACATATGCTGGCCTCACGAACTCTTACGTTCTCCGATACACGTGTTACATATGAATGTCGCTCCCCACTCGCTCTTCAGGACGAAATTTGTGGCGTTCTTTCCCCATATTACCAAACCCTTCAGGGTTGGGATCTCTGCTACGGTATCTGTATGCTAAGACAAGATCATTCTTTGCTACCGAGAAAACTGTGGCCTAGGTACAGAAATTGGAGCAGCAACCGAGTACTTGACCGCATCATATTCCAAATGAGTACATATCATTCCCCGCAAATGTTTCAACTCCACAGAAAACCCTGGAAACATTGCGGCGACACATTTGGGTAAAACTGACCTCACAAGCCATCTCCCGGAGACCAGAGCTTATACCAGCGAGTATCAATCCCGGGATCCTCCTTCTCATAGAGCCTCAAGTCCGTACTCAGGCGGATTCGATTCTCAGGATCCTCATTCCGACCACTGGCATGGATACTATACGGATCATGAAACACCACGTCTCCAGCCTCATAGTTCGTAACCAACCACCTATGGTCATCATGTGCAGAATGCATGGCTTGGAACTCCTGTGGTGAATTTGAAATCATCCCACCATCCAGCATGTTTAAATTGAATGCGGAAATCCGCTGCTCGGGTGTGAACTCCTCCGCGCGCTTGGTGTAATCTTCTTCAATTGCCCGGCCCAGGGGAAGTGAGTTCTCCAGGTAGCAAAGACCTCCACCTTGTACGGAAATATCCCCTATCCATGTCAGTCAAGTCCAGTTTTATTTCTGAGATCAAGTCTTACCAATAGGCACCCAGGCAGTCAGGAAAAACCCTTCTCCTCCTCTGAGGAACAATTTATCATAATGGATCCCAGTTCCTTTACCAAGGGGTATATTATGCCGCAGCATCGTCCGATCCAAGATGCGATGCTCTTTCCATTCCATCAAGTCTCTGATGAACTTCGTCAACGCTGGATGTTCCACAAATGCTCGGTATTCGGGCTCTTTGTGAGCATCGATGAGTATCTGGTGCTCAACTGGGTTGGACGGAAGACCCTGTCCACCTATGCCTTTGTGTGAATCAGGGGAAGATCCCGAGTTGAAGATACCATCTCGGGGAGAAGAGCCCGGCTCTAATAGCGACGTGTCGGAATACTGCTTGAAGTAGCTTGAGGGGTGAGCAAAACTCTCATCAACGAGGAAAGTGACTTACTGTTCCCTCGCATCGAGAACGTCTTCTCTCGGGATAACGCCCTTGACAAAAAGGTACCCATCTTCTCGAAGCCGTTGCCGTAATTGATCTACAGGCAAAGACTTGGGCGTTGGTCGAAGAAATCCAATTTTCTCGGTGGAAATGCGGCCACCATTCTGTCCAAGGCCATCTGGCAGACAATCTCTAACCGTCCCACTAAACAGCGGAGTTGCAACCTGGCTCTGTACTGCAGTCATACTCGAAGGTTGCAGAAGTGATGAAGCGTGCTCTAGAGGAAGAGCAGATGCCAGCCATTTTTATCATTCTCATGTGTGCGCGTAACGCGAACGAACTGCTGACCTGTGTTTGGCGCGAGTGGGACAGGTCCATATATAATAACAGAGATCTATATGCCATGTGCACCCCGCATCGAAACGCGCACCAATCGAATTCTAATCCAAAGAGGCCTGAGCCGATGATTGAAAGATAAGAGCTTTGATTGGTCGAGCGGGTTTGCGCTTTGCCGTATAGGGAGGCTGATCTAGCCGCATTAAGGACAGAAATCGCCGACGCTAACCCAGTTCATCAGATACCGGCGACGCTAACCTTAAACTGACTAGGTATGAGTATGAGCCTCTCCCGGTTCTTCAGGCTTCTACGAGCTTTCAAGCCCAGTGGAATGGTCTTGAATACATTTTACCCCTGTTCAGCAACAACAAGTTCATTCATAGATAGCTTCTCCATCTCTTGTCGTGGCGGTTCTAGTAAAACCCCAGCACGTAAGCCTAATCAACCTTCGACTGGTGATTAAGTACCTCACCATTTCCACTATTCGAAACTGTTCGATCGGGCGACCTTTCCCCGTGTCTGTAGACTTGCTAAGAGTGAATGAAAGCAGAAATTAGAGAACAGGCGATGCGATGGATTGAGTGGCGGGGCAGAGGGATACTTAAGTAGAATCCCGCACGTACGAATTCGCTTTACAGGCGGGTAATAGGTTTCGGAGGACGCTGGCGGATTTCGGTATCTGAGTCTGTTCATCCAAAGCTCTTAGCCTGTTTCCTGGATCTTTACTCTCCTCGCTTCTTTTTCGGATTTTCTTTGGACGACCATCATCCAACCTTCCCACACTTCGATCAGATTGTGTGTGTGTGTGTGTGTGTGTGTGAAGTTTGAGACATTATTCGAGTCTCGTTATTGCTGTGGATTTGTTGTATCTCTGGATATGAGGATGCCTTAGACTTTTATAGAGAAACCAAGGATCTCAATTGCATCGACATCACAGAATGTTAACTTTAGAAGCACGGCGAGTTTTTCCACTCCTGAACTCGAAGTCACATTTTGCGGGGGAATTCTGTGGGGTATCCGAACGGGAAGCATTCCCCGGCCAAATCTTGAACCAACGGGATCATCGGTCAAGACTTCAGGGGATGTTTATTGGTGGTTTATCGTCCAGTGACAAGTTTCCAGACTACTTGAAAGTACTTAAAACTTATTGATTTGAATGAATGATGAGGGTTGTTCCTAAATGTCACAGTATGAATGTATGTACCTAAGTATTCACTTTATGCTACAGTCAAACAATATCTTACGCAAAGTTAATGCCCAGCAGCGATCGGCTTTTCTTGGGTCTTCATCCTCTCCTCGATGATGTCCTTTCGCTCCTTTCGGAGCTGTCTGGCATAGCTGACACCGAATCCGTGCTCGAAGACCTCCTTCACCTCTTCCAAAACCAGGCCAGACACCTCGGGATAGAAGAAGTAAAGCCAGATGTATCCAAGACCACAAATCGCGGCAAAGAAGCCAAATGCACCAGAAGGAGTCCACGCCTTCATCATGGAGAGGAAAGTGCTAGAGATAATGACATTGGCGCCCCAGTTGGAGCAGGTCAGCCACATTGTTCCAATGGCACGCACCTCGAGAGGGAAGAAGTCGGTGCTCATCCATGCAGTGTTGCCAACGGAGACGCCGTAGAATACCACAAACCAGATGATAAAGACTAGGACTGCGATGGCCGCCGGGGGAATCCCAGTTGTTGTCACTTCCATTGTTTCCATGTTGATTGGGATCCAGCGGAACGCAACTGCGACGGCAATCATCCCGACGGACATTCCCCACACGGTCGAAAGGAGAAGTTTTCTCCGCCCCATTCCATCGACCATCATCATGTTAACGAAAGTCATGATGAAGTTGGTACCTGCTACCACAAGTCCGACCGCAGTGGGGTTGTCAAAGCCGACCAGTGAAAACAGTGTAGCAGAGTAGTACATCAGGGCATTGAAACCGGACAGTTGTGAGATAACCATCAGACCGCAAGCACTGATCAATGCACGGAGGTTGCTTGGGACAGTGTGGAGTTTCTTGATCTTTGAGAATCGAGACCCGCTCTCGTTGATTTCGCGGGCCTGGTCGCATGCCGTAATGATGGAGAGAAGGACCGCGTCAATTTGATCCTCAGTGGCCTTGGCGTAGATCTTACGAAGCACAACTCTTGCCTCGTCGTGGCGACCATTATAGGCAAGGTGACGGGGGGACTCGGGGCAGAAGGGCATAAGTGCACCGAGGATAAGGGCAGGTACAGCACCGAGTCCAACCATGTATCGCCAGCCATGGGGAACGCTTGAGAAGGCTGCTCCGATAGCATAAGAGATAACTTGCCCTCCGGTGATTGACATGTTGTTCAGTCCAATGAGCTTTCCACGGGCCTTGGCCGGGGCAATCTCTGCGACGTAGAGCGGCAAAACCATGGCGCCACAGCCAACGCCAAATCCAATGACCAGTCGGCCGACGGCCATTTGAGCAATGGTATAGGCAGCTGCCTGGATGACGGCACCAGCGATGAAGAGGACACAGCCGAGGTAGATGGCCATTTTGCGACCGAACTGAAACTTAGCACTCATAGGTTTATAGATAGGATTTTCTTACTCTGTCTGCGGTGTTACCGGCAAAGATGGCACCAATGAAGGCACCTCCTGAGCAAAGCGAGGTAATCATCTCTTTCTCGCTGCTTGTTGCAGGTCTGCCATCAAGAGAATTCCCCAGAACCACCAGGACGCCGGAGATAATGCCTGTGTCGTATCCGAACAATAGACCCGCCATGGAGGCTGTCAATGCCGCGAGCCAGACGAACATGCTGACCGGTAGGTTGTCGATACTGGTCGCAATGTTGTCGATACTAGCGTCAATCTTCTCGATGTGGGCGCTCTCCAAATCATCTTTAGTGTCGGAGGGTGGATCTATCTTGGTGTCACTTTCATCTTTGTCTGAGGATTTGCGTGGCCACATGGTGAAGTATAGGTAATGAAGAATCGCCAATTGATTGCAATTGAGACAATTCTCAACCACCACTGGAATCGTAGGGTTATATAGTGCTAAATCACAGACTTGTACGTCAATTCTCCACCCCCAGATCCCCGCACTGCCAAGTCCAAAAAGATCTGGGGAAATTCCCGCTGCAGATCGAATTCCTTTTTCCCTTTTTCCCCAATCATCGCCGCCACTTACCCAATCAGTCTTAACCTACGAGCCTTAGGGTTTGCAACCGGCAATGGGGGTTTCTTGTTTCGGGTCAGGGAAAATGGGTTCCAGCTCCCAAGCCCTGGTCCATTAGACATCTCCAGGCTACCACCAATGACATCGACATTCCTATCGCTCTAATTTACCTTGGCTCCCCCCGAGATGTTTGAAGGGGGAGTCTTGGACCGGCCCGATGATCCTGTCTTAGACTGCAGCCCGCTATCCGCATGATACAGCCGATCTAAAAGGCATATAGGGCGGTTTCTACTGGCTCGCCGGGTAGACGATCAGAGGTACATATGGACAAGAAGCTTGGCTTGAGCCATTTTCCAGCCATCTTCGGGAATAGGTTTCATGCCCTTCAAAGGAGTATATTCGTATAGCAGATGTTCTAATTCACGCATTCTCATGTTCTTCGAGGTCGGCCCTCAGGATTCGACAAGCCACGAGAACGGGGTCTGCGACATGCAGGCTCGTGCCCAGGCTCAACAAAGCGGGCCCCGTTCAACATAATCCCGATTGCCACCAATGAGACTCTTCAAATAGCCTCGAATACCTCCAACATTGCCTATCAAAGGATTGCAATTGATGCATAGACGCCACATTAGGTGGAAACCCCCCAAGTTCACTCACCGAAAGTCCCCAAAAGCATAATCCGATGGGGTTGTTGCATCTTGGCACCTCGGGTTCCCCGTGAGGATCAAATTTCGGGGCAAATCTTGAGCCGAAAAGGGTGGCTTGGCCCCCGCTATCAACGCCTAGACACGGACTCTAGCCGACTTCGTCTGGGGCGAAGACGGGTCATCCCTGCGCTTTTTGGCTGGAAACCGGTTTGTTGCGGGTGTTTCGCTTTGATAGACTAAAGGGTTCTAAAGAGTATCGCATGATTCATCGCATGATTCATGATTCAACCTATAGAGTAGCCATGGTATGTAGTGTGACCTAGGATTCAAGATGATGTCGTGAGAAGACCAAGTCTCTTCAGATCCTACATGGAGTATAGAGTCCAATCGCCCGGTTTTGCTCCAACCCGCGGTTTATTACACTGCCTCGCGAGGGTGCACAGGCTCATCGCCAATCTCCTCCATCTTGGCCTCCAACAATCGTGTCATGCGCTTGACCACCTCACCGTACTTCTCCTCATGGTAACAATTAAACAACTCAAGTGGATCTTTCTCACAGTCAAACAATTCCCATTCCTTCTCCTCGCCACCGGGTCTGGTCCCCTCAATCCCAAAGTCCTCATTATACCAATAGATCAACTTATACCTCCGGTCTCGCACACCATAGTGCGCATATGCCTCATGAATAACATCGCGATGCATCCAGTAGCGATGATACGCCACCTGCTGCCAATCATGAGGCGTATTCAACCTCAGCGATTCGCGGAAGCTCACCCCCTGCATATAGGACGGCATGCGGAGACCGGCAAAGTCCAAGAATATCGGCGCAAAGTCCACATTACAGATAATGTCTTCGCAGACACTACCTGCCGGGATTTCCCGAGGGTATCGGATGAGGAACGGCATTTGGAAGCTCTCCTCGTACATGAATCGCTTATCGAACCAGCCGTGCTCCCCAAGGAAGAAGCCCTGGTCGGAAGTGTAAATCACAATCGTGTTGTCGGCTAATCCCTCTTCCTCCAAGAAGTCCAGCGTCCGGCCCACGTTGTCATCAATGCTCTGAATTGTCCGGAGATAGCGCTGCATATACCGCTGGAACTTGAACTCTGCTAACTCCTGTGTCGTTTTGAAAGTGAACACCGTTCCATCCTCCTTGTCGATGAGTCGCATCTTCGTCACATCGTCTGGAGCAGGGATCTTTCGGTCTTGGAACCACCATCTATCGATCATTTTCTCGCCGACCTCGCTGCCACCATCTGGTTGCACCAACCCCAGATCAAAGTATGTGAGATCCTCTGCGACGCGGAACTTGGCAACCTTCGCTGCCTTCGCACGGTTCTTGTAGTCGTCGGTGAAGGTATCCGGGAGGCGGACAGGGTCTCGATACAGATCTTTGTGCTTGGGATGACATTCCCAGCTGCGATGAGGTGCTTTGTGATGACACATCATGAAGAAAGGCTTCTGGGGATCTCGCTCCTTGATCCACTTCAGACTCTTGTCTGTAATGATGTCGGTAGCGTATCCGCGTTCTCTGACTTTGCCCTCTGGTCCGATAAACTCGGGGTCGTGATATTCGCCCTGGCCAGGGACAACGCTCCAGTAATCAAATCCGGTTGGTTCATGCTCGCTTCCCTCGCCCAGATGCCATTTTCCTACCATCGCCGTTTGGTAGCCACCTGTTCGCAGGGCCTTTGCAACGTTTGGGTTGTGCTTGTTGATTTTCGAGTCCAGGGTCATGACGCCGTTCACGTGGTTATGTGTTCCAGTGAGGATCGCAGCCCGCGATGGCGTACAGATACTGTTGGTCACGTAGCAGTGGTTGAATTTCATGCCTTCAGTTGCTAACCGGTCGAGATTTGGGGTGTTGTTGATCCCAGCCCCATAGCATGAGATAGACTTCGAAGCATGGTCATCGGCCATGATGAAGAGGATGTTTGGACGAGATGGCGCGGTCATCTTGACGGTAGGGGTATCTGAGTACAGCGATTGTGTCCCTCGGTATCTTGAGAGCTAACACTACACAAGTGAGGTCAGCTCAGGGGTATCACCTGGTTAAATGCATTTCCCTCATTGACCTCACTTGCGTGACATTGAGCCCCGCAAAACAATTAGGAGGCACAAGCTTCCACCCCATCGAATGAGAAAGCAGTAGAGGGCGATCATACAAATCGCAGATCCACTTGGTACGTGTGGAGCGGCAGTCGGCGGCAGTCGGGGTTTGGGGCACCACATTGGATGAAGCACACCTGAAAATGAAGCTCGTGCCTGTCTTTGGTTTTTGAATGTTTATTGCTGATTTCGCTGGTATACTTGATCAAGCCTCCAGTCTCACACTAATTATGTGAGATTTTCATAGCCCTCGTCCACAAAATGGGCCTGTCGGACCAAACTGTGAATCGCCAAATGATTATGTCTATGCACACCTTGATCCAAAGAAGGTGAAGGGCACAACTCCGAGTAAATCTTCTCAGGGTCTGTGTCTGCTACTTGTACAAGTCGCTGGAGATCCAACACGAGCTCCCTTGTACTCGGCGATGAGAAGTATTTCTGGGCAACGGCAACCGCGGTGTGGGCTTTCTGAACGGCGTCGGTCATATCCAGCTCCAAGCCTACATGCGGCGAGGATGGTAGAAAGAGCGTTAATCGCGTTGCTTGGTATGCACAGATAGCGATGTAATGCGGCAGAACCAATTGCGAGGTATTTAGCAAGCCGGAAAGAATCCGGTTGACTTGTGTGACATGCTCATGGCATTGACGGGCTGCGTGATCCCTCACGTCAATATCTATTGCATCGAGAATGACCCTTGGTGCTGCTTCGGGATATCCAGTGAGGAACAGTCTGTATAAATCGCAGTGGGCTTGGTGCCACGAGATAGAAATCTGCAGATAGCGTGGGAACCATCGCGATTTCTCCATTTCGTATGGGTTCCAAATAGAATATCCACATGAGATTTCAACTTCTGCACGCAGTCGCCATAGATCTTTCTGAATTTCCTGGACGAGACCATTCAGCTGTGCAAATGGTTGTTCGGACAATGCCAGCTGACGAGTCAAGCGCATAATGTCTTTCTGGATTTTTGAAATGCGAACACAAGCGCCCAGCAGACTAAGCTGCGCTTCTGTTTGTGGATTTCCGCTGAACATATCCTCCGAAGATGGGAGCTGCTGGTAGATGATTGTGTGTGGTATAGTTTCATACTCCGGCAGGCCCACGGAGAACTGGCCGTCGACGAAAGTCAATGCCCAAAGAACTCGTCGCCGAGTCTCTTGGGCAATAGGATTCAATTCGGGGCGCTCATAATTGAGGCGCAAAGCTGTAGCTCCTCTTGCTGCTAGCCCAGCAAACATGTAAGCTCGCGAAAAATGTCCTTTCTGTATGTGATAATGAATTATGAGCAATAATGACTGGAGCTTCACCATGGAAGGCCTTTCCACATGCTCCCAAATTATTGCTTCGGCTCTTGTTATCAAGTCACTTTCGTCTTGATCCGATAGGAGTAGCTTAGCCACTGCGACGATTGACAATGCAAGTGACGGCTCTAGGGCACCTGTCAGGCTCTGTTGGCGAACTGTCTGCTCGTGCAAGAATGCATACGAGGACAGGGGATAAAGATGCTCAAAATAGCCATCTATACCCCGTGAAAGATCCTCCGGGGAGATAGGAAGGCTGCTCGTCAGAAATTAAAATAGCAACGTAGAGCAAACGACTCACTCGTTATCACTCCCTGCCCGGGACTCTTTCGGGTACAGACATGGACGTTGGCGACGGACACAACTTGCGCATTCAGGCAACTCTCCCGAGCAGCGTGACTTCTGCCGGCGACATTCTGTGCAAGCCTGGCTCCCGCGCTGCCGCTCTGGTGGTTGGTCGACCTGGGCGGATGAATTGAATTGTATTGATACATTGGAAAACGAGCATTTGAATTCCAACCGAGCGCAGTTCTTGCAAGTATCCGCTTGGCGATCACAGCGGACCTGACTTGGTTAGCCCGATCGACATGCGCGTTTCTGCCACTTTACCTTGCGACATCGACACTGATAACATGGAGATCGCTGTAGCCGTGCCATTTCTCATGCCAAATCCTGCTATCAGTCTTGGCTGTTACAGGTGGCTGGAGGGTTGAAGGGGGGTTCTTCGGGTAAACTGCGGCTCCACTGATGCCATTTGGCTGTAGATCGCATCACCTTCCCCAAGCCATTCGACTCACTGTCTGATTTCACGTATATTCGACAACTCCCAGTCAATTATTCAAGGTTTGATATGTATGTTTTCAGCAAAGCAATTAAGTATCCGTTGATATGTGCTCTTCATATCTAAACAAGCAACACTTTCATATGGGCGCTCAAGCTCGAGTGAGTAGGATCCTGGTCAGCCCACACGACTGAGGGCTTGGGTCATTATCAAGCCTCACTATTATACGAGTCGGTAAGCCGATGACAATCATCCGGAGACGTCTTGGGTCTTCCTGAGACTCCCCCTGCGCAGCCGCCCACAATGCAGGCTCGTGGCGTAGAGTTGTGGCGAGGGTGAAGCATTCTAGTTCCCAATCAGCACTGCCTGACATCGATATGCTTGATGTGTACAGCGACACCTCTGCTCTATCGCACGGTGTCACCTTAAGCTGGATCAGTTGTGTACCGAGAGTATGTATGCGATCTGATAGATTCCGGGAATCTCCGAGACTTCCGACAAGCTTTGATCAATCCAGTCAGCTTCCAAAAGATGCAGTGTGTTAGGGCTGTGGTGGCCTGGAATTAGAAAGGTCAGAACTAAAGCCACTTGACGCCACATCTAGCATGACCTCTGAAGTGAATACGAGTAGCAACCTTGGAAGATGCCCAGCTCGGGTATCATTAGCTATCGCGGGCCGGTGATAGGGCCGTTAGACCGCCTCGGCACGTGATAGTCGTGTGGGGGAAGGCGGAAGAATGGTTTTCCCGACTCCACTTTTAGCTTCGCTCGCCTTCGCAAAAAGTACTGGATCAGACGACTCCTTGCCTGATCTGATCACTCATGAATCCATCTACATGAATTGAACGCCATCATGAAGTTCTTCGAAAACAAGTTCACCTACGACTATTCCTTTCCTGCCGTGTCCCTCGCGTACTTCCTCCGCTATCCGAATCCTTACTCGCGCCATGTGCTCACAACCGATGTCATTGATCGATACGTCGACCCGAAGACCGAACGTTTGCACACCATCCGACTTCACCTGAAGAAGTCAAAGGTGCCATCCGGTATCCTCAAGCTATTGCCCAAGGGCATGGGAGGCTCCGATAACTCCGGTCAAAGTTACATCCTTGAAAAGACCATTGTCGATGCCAAAGAGGGCTGGATGGAGACTGAGTCTCGCAACATGGAATGGACCGGTATTCTCAGCGTGGTAGAGAAACAACACTACCAGCGCCACCCATCAGAAGTCGCTCTTGATGGTCTTGCCGTTGACCAGACAGCCGAGCAGACTACCGTGAAGACCACGGTTACCTTCCGGTCCCGGCTTGGCCAAGGCAAGCTTCTCGGGCGCAAGAGGCAAGAGACCGGAGATCAAGAAGAGGAAGAGCCCCGTAAAGGATTCTTCTCTTCCCTCTCCACGGCCGGAATTCAGCGGACCATTGAGCTGATTGGTGTCAGTCGCACCAAAGAGGCTGTTTTGAAGAGCAAGCAGGGCATGAACATTGTGCTCGAGCGCATGCGAAGCGGCGGAATCGTTGGTGTTCTGGAAGGAATGCGACAGGACCGTGAGGCTGCTTTCGGGCCCGAGGGACCATGGAAGCGTGTGTGGCTGCAGGGCAAGGACCGATCTATCGACGACGATAAGGCTTGATTAGCCTTGTCAAGGTAGCACACTCGATTGTCCGGTGGTCTGTTACCATTGCATATTGATTTCAAGCGTGTGGCGTTCGGCGTGGAGATATGGAAACTCTCCCTTTTCTTGTCAATATTTGACTCTCTTTTAGGTCTATCTTTTGCATGGAAGTCACTTCCTCTGAACTTCGCGTTCGCATGTATGTTAGGGATATGGTTAATGCCTTTGAAGGTCTGTACAATATGCATTAAATCACCAGTTTTCTTCAATGGGTGTAACACGATTTTCCACTCGAATTTCCGTGTGAATTGGTGGTTTGTTTGTCAGTTGCTTCAAGCCGTTGTCAGCAAAGAGCACTCTTTCAAGCCACCCGAGGCCCAGCGTCAGGGTAAAAGTAAAGAAATAGTACACATGGATCATTGGGAGTGTCATTGAGGCTCGTGGCGTCATTCCAATGAGGTCTGTAAACACATGCGAGTTGCCTCTCCAAACATATTTCACCATTCGTCCAACCCTTGGTCTTCTTCGTTGCCACTTGCTTTTTGACCTGCAGACACGAACTCTCCCGGCGACCTTGAAAGAAACTTTGCTGAGGTTGGTGTTATGCGCGCATGACATGATGCGCCAGGCCCGCCTCCAGGGCTGTCCCCGCCCCCGCGCTCACTCGTTAAGTATATGGCCTTACATTCCAGAGGAAACCATGCCCTTGACAACGGATACCAGTCAGAGCCGGGGCAAGCCCCAGGAGCCCTAAGCTCAAAGCAACAAGAGGCCGGTCTTGATTTTTCCATTCTAACCCAACGATGCTGGTGTCTCGAAGACCTCACCTGCAGCGCCGTGAAGAGCATCAGTAAGATGTGTTGATATGCTCCACTGGATCCGAAATCCGACGATGGTTACCCTATTTTTCCTCATCAAGCGTTGTCTTCTTGCGGTCATACATACGGAGTACATTGTACTCCGTCCATACTACAAGCAGTCATCGGTGGACCGGAAGACACAGAGCATTGGGCCAAACTAGTGAATCATGTACTCCGTAGCACTCCATGCATACCACCTACCGAAAGTTGAGACTCAGAGGGTCCATTTTTTGGCGACTTGTCTGCCCATTCAACTTCTCGACATTTGTCATTGGCTCCGAGGTATTTCCAGTGGCATTTGAGATTGCCAAGCAGTCCAAGGGAATCCTAGGGACCAGTTCGTAAGGCGCCGACTCCTCCGTAGTACTCGTATACTCGCACTCGCACCATGAGTCGGCACTAGTGTAGCCGAACACCCCCAAGACCCTTGGCGCCTGTCTCACAGTCGGTACATGCCGGTTTTCTTACGTCAGAGTGGACAGCAAGATCGTGTTGGGCAAGGGGCCTATCGGAGGAGTATGCACATGTACGGAGTATGCTGATCGGTGATACCGATCAGAAGATTGCTGTCTCGCACAGATCTCTGTGACATGCCAACTATTCATTAATTGGCAGTATTCTCTGTACGGAATATACTTGTAGTCCGTATTGTATTCGAAGTCTGAAATTTGCGTGGGGCAGTCAAAGAACAGAATTCTTTGAAAACCAGTGAGAGTAACAAAGACAGCGGAGTAAAACAACTCAAGACCCAGTGTACTATAAGAGATAGTGCTCCGTACAACTATGAGGTCACAGTCATCGGAGGATCTACCTGATCTTGAACATCTTAACGGGTTCTGAAAAAAGAAAGGATCTGAGCAGTCCTACTTGTAAAGTAATGGTATATAATGTTATAAAATACACGTACCTGACACTATTATTCTCTCCAGGGGTCCAAACTAGAGATATCAGTGGCTGCGCCAGACCCTCCGAAATATGCACCCAACACCTGTGAGTGGCTGGACCCTGTCGGGGCCTGCAACCCTGACTCCGATCGCCGTCAATACTTACTGTGTTGGGTAATGCGGAGGGGCTTTAGTGCGTTCACAGCCAAGGAAATGAGAGAATCGCAAGAAAAAATAGGGAAATGGGAAAATAAAAAAAGAGGAGAAAGATTCCAATCAATAAACTAAACCAGATACCTCCACGGAACTTGCCTCTTGCCTTGCCCCACCACCCTGCGTCAGGTACCCAGCAGGTACCCTTCACATAATACGCGCTCGGTTTCAGGAATGCTCGGAGAGACAATCATTCTCCAATTGACTCTCTTCCGCTGCGATTACTTCTGAACATACGCTCTCTACCATTTTCCATTCTTCCTTTCCTTTCGAGACTCAGATACTCCATTATTTGCTTGCTATTTTTTTCTGTCTCCCACGGTTCCCTCGGCTACTGGTCTTCGCCTCCACCCACAGGACCCTTTTCCCTGACTTTCACCGAGACTAACCTCATTTCTCGCTCTGGAAGACCTAAAAGACCCTAGTATGTATTGCGGGGACCCTCTTTCCCTCATAATATTAATACCCTGGAAGGTTTTATAAAAACCCTTTCCAGACCATGAGCTTGGAATCCCAACCTTGATCCATACTCGAGGGCCTCCGCGGTCGCTCGGACATCATGCCTTTCTTACGGTCTCTTGGACTTCTCCTCACCCTGCTGCAACTGGTCGCGGCCCAATACTGCTCATTCTGGAACACCGGGTGTATCGACTCTCTCGCTCAAACCGCCGTCCGCTTCGATCTCGACCCTCTCTTCGCCGACCCCGTCACGCTCTACTATAGTTTCGATGCCAGTCATTCGGGAAAGGGCGAAGGCCCCATGACCAAGACGGCATTCTGGCTAGGCTACCCCAGTAACAACGTCAATAAAAACGCCGTCGACTCGAACCGCACGTCCGAAATCGGTCTCAGGATCGGTAATATGACCGGTACCCCTTCAGGCTCGAACAACGGATGTGATGGAATTTGGGGGTCTGATTGTTCGCGGGATTTCAAGAGTGCGTTGCAACGGAGCATGTATCTTCTTGCTATCTCAGGCGAGTACTATTCCAAGCCCCTGGAGGTGGCCCTCAGCCAGATGTTGAAGAAACCACCGTCGCTGCCGTCATGTCCACCACCTATCCTAGACGTGGCCTCTATCCCCGTGCAAGGTATGTACTGATAACGATGTCAATCCTCGTTACGTGGCTGACATTATCCAGATTTTGCCAGGGAACATGTCCCCGGTCAGAATGTAACTCTCATGCCACCCGGCTCGGGCGCATGGCCATGGCAGGTCTGGTACCTGGATGGCATGAACGCTAGCAAGCAAGCTTCTCAAGTGGCCGTTGGAATCATCAGTCGAGCCCCTTCATACAACAGTTCCCCGCCCGATAGCCCGGACGACATTATGGTCGATCTTGTCTGTCTTCAGGCTCCTTCGGGTGGATCATCCAAGGGCTCTCATGATTAGTTGAGGCTGCATGGACGATCGACGTGATCGTCCAAAGACTTTTCCTTTTACTCTCTTGGTCTTCATCGACCAACCTCACGGTCGCTTCCAATATGATCCGCTCCCAAAGGGTTTGCATATCGTCGCTGCATGGGCCGACCGTCGCCAAACAGGTTGGGCACGACACCAAAACGCAAACGATCTTTTTGGCATATGTGCATCCCTGAGTCGACCAGTCCACATCGTCGCCAGCGAGCTTCATCCTCACGGCGAACGCGAACTCGAACCGACACGCAATACGGTCGAAATTCATTCCTGGGCTTGAACACATATACCATTGTCTAGACAATACATGACGAGCTACAAAGTCGGCAAACTCATATCACATGGCACCAACTCGCCTTTACCTCTGAAATCCTCCAAAACATCCGCCTGTTCATTCAAAAGCAACCTATCCGTCTGAATGCCAATTCTCGCCAGGCCCCTCCACCTCTCCATATCTGCCCCGACGCGCTTATCCCCATGCGCCTCCCGCGCATTCTCCCAATGACCCTTGGAGAATCCAAGCAAGGTAGTGATCTTCTTGCGCGGGATATCGTACACCAGGGAACAAATCGTCCCCGTCTCTTCGAGCCAATTACACTGCCACAGTTCACCAGGTCTGATACACTGGTAGTGCGCTTCTTGGAAGTTGAGCCGTCCGGCCATCGGACCACCATGGATGGCATAGTTGATCCGGTCCTCGTTCTCGAACCACATCTCATAACGCCATTTCTCGGCATTTCCTTGTGCGTCTTTGGCGGCATAGTCGTACACTAAATGGCGGTTTGCCAGGTCGGTGCTGAAACTCGTTTCGTTGAGTGAGGGGTGGACGGGCATGGTTGGGTATTTATTCAATGGGGTTTTGTCATGTAGATTTTGTTGGACCTCAATATAAGATCTTGAATACTATCACTTTTTTCTTTCTTAGATCGCTGATATGACCTGGTTCTGTTTGATATTCGAAGATAATCAAGTTAAGCTCTGCGAGCACTTGTGTGACATCACGACTTCCTCGATCCTCCGAATGCAACTCGAACCACTCTTCACACAGTCACTCCCGAGCCTACGGGTATTTCTTCCGGCCTTGGTCGTGGTTGAGTAGTCAATTTCAAGCTTTAGCCTCCGTGCCGACCTCGGCAGAACTATGCATGCTACGCTGTACATAGTTTTTATAGCGTCTTCCTGAGACTGGGCATAGCAAGGTACGTAACTTTTCGGCGAATGATTCGGGGTTGGTGAATTACAAGTACTCACTGTTTGTTTCATTGCGATCAGGTTCAATTCTAGTGTTTTTGTATAGTTCGCATTCTTGGCCGTACGGTTATTGATATGCACACGGACTACCCACGTTCTCATCGTGTGTACGAGTATTATCAATTGACTACTCCATGCTCTGTGCATTTCGCATTATTGGCGCTAATTTTAGATAGTGATATCTGTACCCCGTACTCCGTACTTCGTGGATCAATATTTGAACCAATAATGGCCGTCTAAAATTATCTTTCAATAGCGGCAGTTGGGGCCTAAATTGCGAGACTGATCAGACCCCGGCAGTGTGTCAGGTTTCAACCCCGGCATAACTACCTAGTTACCCAGCTACCGATTTGATCCTAAAGATGTTCGAAAGACGAGGTAAGAACTATGGGCATGCCAACCGCGCCCAATCGTTGGTGTGCAGAACACTTAGCGGGACCCCTTACTTTCCAAGGCCGCTAGGTCAAATATACCCCTGTGGGCTTCTCTGGACCTTAGAGGAAAGTTGGATTCGATTCAAAGTTCGGACCAGTCCACTCAATTCTTGGAGATCATATATGCAAAGAAAGCATTGGAGTGCTGTTGTTTCCACTCAGGAACGCCGTCTCCACCACGTGGGCTCTGCACCTGCTTGTCAACAGACGCGTTTGACCTCGACCCTTTCTTTTTTTTTTTGTTAGTTACCACTCTGGTTGACATTGCCTGATCGCAATGGCTTGCTCGCTTTCGTTCGGGATGATCCTGCTACTGGTTGCAGGCCTGATCTCAGGTCTTGCAGTGGCATCTTCTCTTCCGGGTAACATATCCTACGTGGCTGCGGCAGGGTTTCCTACTTCTGCCTTTTCGTAAGATCGGCGTTGATCCACACTGGAGCCTGAATTGACCGTGGCAGGTCGTACTACATTTCTCCCGCCCTCCCAACCGAGGAACCTCAGCCCATCATCTATGATCCTGTGCTGGATCTCACGTTTCCTTTTGAGTTGACTGACCCAGACAACATCCCGGATAATCATGATGAAGTCTACTATCCAGTGCCACCATCTCACATGCCCACTAGGAAGAGGTACAAGCTGGTCCAGGAGATTGTGAACAATGTCTCTAGCATTATCAAGGCCAACTCCACGGACCATTGTGCCAAATGCAAGACTGCTCTGGCAGCTGCTAAGCCAGCGGCAATTCATGCCCCAGCTCTTGTTCCAAATGCCATGGTCGACCTCTGTAAGGCTTTTGCATTTCACAGCAACGATGTTTGTGAGCAAGATTTCGCTGCCAATGCCTTTGGTCCTATCTGGACTCAAGTCCTAGCATATGCCGATGTCGAAGGTCTCGATGGTGAATATATGTGCCATTCCTTGAACAAGAAATACTGCGATGATCCGAAGACCAGCCCACTGGACTCGAGCAAGCTGTTTCCCAAGCCCAAGCCGGAAAACGCAGATATGCTAGTACCCAAGGCGAGTGGCGAGCGAGTGAAGGTACTGCATCTCTCGGATTTCCATTTGGATGCTCGGTATTCCGTCAGTTCTGAGGCAAATTGCTCATCCAAGCTGTGTTGTCGACGTGATAATGACAATGACCTTTCCGAGGACGAGCCCTTGCTTTCTGCTCCCGCCTATGGCTCGTTCAAATGCGATACCCCCTATGACCTGGGTCTAGCTGCCTTGCAGGCCGTCGGTCCTTTGACCGGAACTGGGAAAGGAAAGCATGACGAACACCTCGCCTGGACGCTTTACACGGGTGATCTCGTCTCCCATGACCCAGCTCCACAGATATCCAAAGCTTTAACACAATACACAGAGACCAGCATCTATGGCATGTTCAAGCACTATCTGTCTGGTCCTGTCTTTGCGGCGCTCGGAAACCATGACACTAGCCCTGCTAACATTGATTCTCCTCACAACCTTCCTGGTCGACTGGGGGAACAGCAAAGCTGGAACTACGATCATCTAGCCGCGCTCTGGCAGCATGAGGGATGGATCAGTCGTGAAACAGCCGATGAAGCTCGAACACATCACGGAGGCTATTCGATCAAGACACATTATGGACTCCGTATAATTTCGTTCAACACTGGTATGGCATATACCCTTGTTATTAACCTTGACAATTCACTTATCTTCTCTAGATTTCTGGCTCAGAAGCAACTTCCTCACCTTCATCAATGCCACCGACCCGGACAACTCAGGGGTGTTTAGCTGGATGATCTCGGAGCTCCAAAAAGCCGAAGATGCCAATGAGCGTGTTTGGATTATCGGACATGTCCTCAGCGGCTGGGATGGCACTAATCCACTCCCCAATCCCACCGATCTATTCTACCAGATTGTTGAACGTTACTCACCCCACGTCATCGCAAATATCTTCTTCGGACACACCCACGAAGACCAGTTCATGGTCTATTATGCCAACAACGGAACTGTGCAGAGTGCCCAGACAGCTCTAGCAACAGGTTGGATTATGCCCAGTATCACACCAATAACAAACCTGAACAGTGGGTTCCGACTGTACGAAGTCGACACGGGAGATTTCAATATTTACAATGCTTGGACTTTCTACAGCAATGTATCCGACTATCCAAATCTCAACGAAACAGGTCCAACCTACCAACTCGAGTACTCGACTCGGGAAACGTACGGTGCTGCAGCAGATTGGGACGAGGATGAGCCGCTGAACGCTACTTTCTGGCATCGTGTTACTGAGGCCATGGAGAAGGACCTGGACCTAGTCACTTTGTTCAATGAGTACCAGGGAAAGAAGAGCGTTAAGAGTCCTCCTTGTGTCACCGCTGCGTGTCAGAAGGCCAAAGTCTGCTATATGCGCAGTGGGAGTGTCGCACTGGGTAGCCAGTGTCCTCAGGGGTGGGTGTCTGGTTCGATTTGGATTGGGATATATATGCTAACTTTATTTAGGTATGGATCCGTGCAGAGACCGTTCAAGGGAATGTGATAGAGGTGAAAAGGGCTTTTTATTTTTATGCAAGCAGACAGATGCGTCTGTTGTTTGGGACTGATGCAATGCAGTTTCACATTTAAGTATCGGCGCATGATTAATTCACAGAATTATTCGAGGCTACTTAATATAGCCTAAACGATGTGCTGACCTATCAACTGCACAGGCGGTTTCATCTCCAGGGCTCTCAGTAGGCGTAGATTAGATTACAGTGTTAAGAACGCCAAGTCAGGGGTTGGGCTTTTTTGAAGAAAGCTAAAGCTTCCGGGCAAGGTTTTAACATGTTTAATTTCCACAAATTCAACATTCTTCGTCTGGCATTGATATCTCTTTCAAATTGGCTTGGAGCTAAAGACCGGCCGATACCCGTTTGTACTCCGTACTCGTACAACCCTATTGGTAGTGCTTTTCAAGTTTGTACGAGTATGACGGTGCCTGGTCTGCAGAGGATCTGTCAAGTGGGGGAAATAAAAAATGGAAATGATTGACACTATGGAATGTCCGTACATTCTTTCAACCTGAAACCTTTGGGCAAATTCTTTACACTCGAGAGCATGATATGAACCAGACAGGCACATACAAAAAGAAAAAGAAAGAAAAAAAAAAAAAGGTCCCGAATACCACCTTGGAAACTCATTCTGTCATTGACCAAGTGAAATCCCCTCTCATGATTTCATCTTCAACAGCTATAGTCCGCATGTTGCCGAATGCATGACGTAGCATCGAGATTTAGCCTTCGAGCATCACCGTCATCACACTCCGGAGCTTCCGATTTATAACCTCCATCTTTCCCCGATTTTGACAGACACACATTTTCTGCGTGCCCGTAACCGTCACCATGGGTTTGAACATCGTGCAATTAGGCCTTCGCGCCTGGCAGGTATGTACAGCGACTCGCGATAAAGAGTATACTAACAGCTCCAGTTCCTTTGGACCCTCCTCATCATGGCCCTCGTCGGCAACATGATCGCCGACTCTATCTCCGGCAACCCATCGACAGTTAACTACGCGATTTTCTGTTCTGTCTTCTCGATGCTCACGCTCTTCTATACGATCCCCGCATCCTTCAACATCAACTGGGCCGGCCACCCGATCATCATGATCGTCACTGACGCCCTTAACACCGTCTTCTTCTTCTGCGCCGCTATCGCGCTCGCAGCCAAGCTCGAGTGCCACTCCTGCAACAACAAGGTATGCGCTGCTCCCCTCTAGCTCTGCACAATCCCAATACTAACCCTCCCAGTCTTACCTTGTTAGCAACGAGATCACCAACGGCGCAACCAACATGACCAAGCGCTGCCGCGAGGCCCAAGCCTCCACCGCCTTCCTCTGGTTCGCGTGGGCCGGATACATGGCCTCGGTCGTGGTGTCCGTATTCATGTCTCGCGCGGCGACAACGAGCGTGCGCAGCCGCACCGGTAGCCGTCGTGGTGGTGCGCCCAGCATGGCGCAAGTCTAAGTTGGAAGATCTTGGAGGGGGTTTGGACCCCCCGCTCTTGATCTACTGAATCTACCCACGAGTATGCAAGTGCATTACTCTTGGATTTTGGGTTACGGTTATTGGCGCTTGGAATACCGGTGTACGATGTAAGGGGTTTGGGTGACGGCATGACGTCTTTATATGATTATGGATTCTTGGAGATTGGATACGGAGTACTTTGTGTGCTACTACTTATTCATAATAATGCTTGGTTCAAATGGTTTTCAGTCGAATCTTTGAAACCACAATTTAATTGACTTGGTGTTTATAATTTTTTGGTAGAACTTGAGAATATGTGTTTTGTACGGAGTATTTCGGTTGGACTTGTATACATCGAGGATGTACTCCGTACCTTAGAGGCGACAGTGACAGGGGAATCAGAACATGCGATTGTGTTTAGCGATAGCTGATATTTGGGAGATGTCAAGACTCTGATTACTTGAAATAAAAAATCAAGCTCTTGAAGTAATGATTTGCAACAAGCGTTTGCCGGTGCATTGAGCGTTCGTCATGGAGGCGAAGATTGACTCATATCCCGCACCAACCCTTCCAAGAAACTTGCAAATTGAAGAAAGAGTGAGACCGATCTGAATAGATTCAATCCTTTTGATCTATTCATCTCCACGTTATTGATCTCGAGCTAGGGCTTAGCGGGGCACGTCTCCCCTCTGCTCCACCCAAAGAATTTCTCCAGAGCTCCCGGACACTGGACACATTTCCCCCTTCACAACACCTCTCCACAACACTATGCCAGTCCAGTGAGATGATCTCCCCGAGTGCCTGCGCAATTGCGACCGCTGATTCTAACTCCTGCCAGCTACCTCATTCTCCTTTCCCGGCAGGGCAAAGTGGTAAGGGTCGTCGCCCACCCCAGTACCTCCCACCACTGACTCCTTCTAAGCGCCTCGCCAAATGGTTCACCACTCTCTCCCCCAAGGAGAAGGCCAAAATCATCAAAGATGTCACCCAGCTTGTGCTGTCCCGCCGGACGCGGATGTGCAACTTCCTCGAATACAAAGGTCTCTCTCTCTCCTCCGATATCCTTACCCGTGCGGGCAACTCACCATTATCCTATAGACTCGAAAGTCGTTTACCGTCGCTACGCATCCCTTTTCTTCATCGCCGGCTGTGCCTCGACCGATAACGAACTGATCACCCTGGAGGTGGTGCACCGATACGTGGAGCAGATGGACAAGTACTACGGCAATGTTTGCGAGTTGGATATCATCTTCAACTTCCAAAAGGCCTACTTCATCCTGGATGAATTGTTGATAGCGGGAGAGATGCAGGAGACGAGCAAGAAGAATGTCCTGCGCTGCATCAGCCAGCAGGACAGTTTGGAAGATATGGAGGTGAGTTCCCTTTTTATTACATTCCAGTGTCTACACTTTCCGTCGGCCATGGCGCAGTCCAGGCTAATGGGAATTATCAGGTTGAGGAAGATGTGGTCACGAAGATCATGTAAACCAGCGAGCAGGCTTGCTGTATATAGTACTAATCAATGGAATATTGTTTCAACAGGACTCCGATGACATTTCACGCAACTTGGAGCAGGTCGGCCTCTGAACCGGTGAAACCATGGTTGCGCTGCCCGTGAGGTCAGTGCGGCTTCTGACTGGCTCTCCCTCCACGTGACACTCCCCTCTCCCTCTCCCTCTTTCTTAGTATATTCCCGGGTTCCCATTTGCTTTCTTGGATTCTCTTTGACAATTGTCCTGCATTTCACTTTGGTGGTGATTATTTTGGTAGAGTATCTCTGTTGGTCTGGCCCCTTCCCTGCTTGCGGTTATCGCCGATCGACACCGCATCTCCACCTTCGGCGCAATCGCCCGTATCACATCATCACTCTTGCCTGATTCTCGCCATCTCCTTTCTCTCGTCTTTCTGATCATCTCGATTTTCTATTGCTTCAACTTGCCCACACGTCATTCCAGTGCTTATCGGCTTATCTCGGGTTCTCCACTACCCCGGTCGGATCTCACGATGAAGGTAAGGAGCGGTCGGCCCCCAGAGCCAACGCGTTTCATTCATATGCTAACCGGGTGATTCTAGTTCCTACCTCTCCCAGAATTCGAAGACGTGACAAGCAGTTTGAACTTTGATACAAATGATTGTCATATCGTTGGAGGGTGCGACGTTTACACCACCAAGGCCGCACGCTCAGACCGGAAGCTTTACAACCACATCGAGCAGTCACTGGAAGCCCAATATGAATCAGTTCTACGGTTCTCGGCATCACTATCACCTCCCAACGCCCATGATGCCGCCGAGACTTTGAATTTATCGCGATCCAGTCCCTTCGGCCCCCTGAGCGATCATTCCAGCCGTCGGACGTTTGCCTATTTGATTGCGACTCTCAACGCCAGTAACCCGGATTACGATTTCTCACAAGTTTTGCGACCGACCGATTTCCGAAGGGAAAGGAACCTGAAGCGCACGATGAACACAATAGACTCCACATTGCTCAATCTGCGCCCGCGCGAGAACCTCACCATGTCTCCCGCCTCTCCCGCCACCCTATCTGGATCTTACAACGCCGGCTCATCTTCTTCCTGGGGACCACGTGTGTGGAAGACAATCGATGAGCACATGTCGCTCAAAGAGTGTTCAATTTACTCGTATTCCCCGGAAGAGGACCCATCCGACGCCGACGATGGGGCCATCTGGAGTCTCCACTTCTTCTTCTTCAACCCACTCCGCAAACGTGTCTGCTACATTTATCTCCGCGCGATTCCTATTCTTAGTCACACCCCCGACGACGTGGTCACCACGCCATCTGGCAAGCGCACCTACGACGATGGATACCTCACTCCAGATCTCAGTTCCAGCAAGCGTGCCAAGTTCTGGTTCGGTGAACGCGCCCGCTCCACTCTTATCGCCAGCGATAGTGATGATGAGATGGACCGTCCACCCCGAACTCGGCCTTCCGCGGATGAATACGATACCTACATCATCAGTGATGATGAAGATCCTCTGCCACCCCGTCGTGGGGTGCGCGCTATGAGTGAGGAAATCGCCGATTCCATGGAGGTTTAAGACTTCAACCAGTCTTTTCGCTATTTGGTATTTTTTTATTTTTGCCTCTTTTTTTAATCTTTGTCTTCTTACCCCGTTGATCGGGTATGGTTTTTATTTTTTTCTAGCCGGGGTGTTGGGTTGGTATCCTGGGGCGCAATCAACTTGCATGGTTTCTTTTATGCGTACACGAGAGGTGTGGCTAGTTTGTAACCGACGTGATGCCCTTGCCTTTTGTTGACTTGGATTGTGTCTATTACTTCCTAATATCAATCTGCTCTGGATGCTCCAGGCTGTTATGCTAAACCACTATTGAAATGGACTGGACATTATCTTCTAAAGTTGTGTGGTCTGTGTAATTTCTTGCCACAGTTTGAATTATTCGTTTTAGGAACCCAATAACCCTCTATGCTCGGTATCTCAATCGTTGTTTACCTTTAATCGAATTAAGTAAGACTGAAGGGGGGTTGGAACCTTGAAATCTCGTGTGTGGATCTATATATATCCCACATTATAGATCCGTCCTGAGAGTCGGAGATGGGGGTTCTTCGTGAATTTTGAAGCTCTACAAGATCCACGACCCCGTTTTCAATTGAGGGAAGGCATCGACCTAGTATCACTGATCAATATCCCTTAGTCAACAAGTTCGATGTTTTATCGTAATGACCTTATAAATTATTTATCTGCGATCGCTCTCTTCCACATTATATAACGGAGCAATAAGAACAACTTTAGAAGTAATAGGGAAACTAAATGTCGAACATGATATATTATTCGAGTACACTGTTATACAATACATATTTTTAGCTCGGTATTTCGAGCGAATTCGGGGACGCCAGGTCGCATTAAAGAACTCGCTCGACCGTCCAGTTGCTTGATCCATCCTGCAACTTTTGACGATCTTCGAAGAAGGGCTTGAAGACAGTCTGAATGATGGTGTCAGGGTGGTAACCCTCGGTATAGCCACCGCTCGAAGGGTCGGCAATACGTGCTCTGATCAGTGGCATGCCGACCACGACCTGAGAAGCTTGGGGCAGCACCTTCGCAAAGAGACGGCTGATGGTTTGAGATGCAGCCTTAGCAGCAGACAGCGAGGAGAAAGCAACCTGCGGCTCGGTGTCCAGCGTGCCGCCTGTGACCAAGAAGAGCGGCCATTCGCCCTTTAAGACGTTTTCGGTGTTGGCATTTTTGGTGAACCATTTGCCTGCGACTAGAGTACCGACTGCAGAAACCTGGAAGTCGAGGTTCAACATTTCCGGTGAGACTTCAGTGATGAGAGAGTCAGCGACGCGGGCAGCGTTGTAGTTCAAGACATCCAGTTTGCCGTTGAATTGTGAGGCACACCAGTCGAGGGTGGCTGTGAGGCTGTCTGGATTACCAGCATCTGCGGTGCGATAAATCACTTTGGCGTCGGCGCTGGTCTGGGCGGCTTTGACTTCATTGGCGATCTTGGACAGGCGGTCTTCGGAACGAGCCACAAGTGCGATACTCCAGTTCAGGCTTGCCAGTCAGAGGGCAAGGGATCGGGACATGGTTGATCCCACGCCAATGATGGCGATGGTTCGGTTCGGGCTAATGCTCATGGTGGTGGATTTGGATAGAGATTTCGGTGATGTGTTCCATATGAGCAGAGCGAGGCACCATTGCCCATTTATACCACGATCTAAGGGCCTCGACAGTCCCCCCTCAATCTTGGAATCTCCGAAGTATGAATTTCGGTCTGAAGTTCAACCTCACATACTAATCGTTAAAGTCCCCGAGGCGGCCAGATTATTCCCCCGATTCATCCAGGACATATCTTGACGCAAGTGACCCACGTAAATATCATAATATCTGGAACTAGACATCGGGATCACCCAAATAGAGATTTTCTCCAATAGTTTTGATGTGATCGTTGAGTGCTGTTCACGGGTAAAGTCCCCGAGGTGGCCAATTATCCCTCCGATCTACATTTTCCCGATGTTAAGGGACCCGAGGTCGATATTAATGCCATGAACTATATCAATCACATGAGGACTGTCTTCGTTAGCTCTAATGTGATCATATAAAGATTATCGTGTCTCAGAATGGCTATTCTACACCTAGTCCAGTTCACCTTCAGACAAGAGGTTCCGGCAGACACTCGACAGCAGGTGAGTTACCACATATACATCCCTACTTTGCCAGTTGATAATCAGTCACCTACTTGAGTCTGTCTAACACAGCAACAGCTTCTGAAGGAATTCTTCGAACTTCCATCCAAATGCAAAGATGCGTCGCAGAACCTCTATCTCAAAGGCATCCGTGCCGGATCCGAGTGCAGCGATACAACAAACTGTGTATGTTCTTAAGACTTCGTTTCTGGTTTCATCCTACATCTTGGTTAATCTAAAGCTACTGAACAGAACCGCACCCACCTTTTTGTACTGGAATTCGACTTGATTGAACAGCGAGAGTATTACAAGTCGGTTGACCCTGTCCACGCCGACTTTGCAGCACGCATCATTCCCCTCATCAATATTGGCCAGCTCACAGCCTTCCAAGAGATTGAATTCTGAGGCAAACACTTTCCTAGATTGGATTGGTTGATACTCAGACAGAGGATGATTAGGGAGCGGTTATTATACAGCAGGCTTCATATAAAGCAAGAGAGAGATCACAAGCCTTGACCCGTGGACGATTGTACCATTCATTCGACTTCGAATAATCGTCCCAATGCCAGAGCGAGAATGCTTACAGCCCCCGACTACCTGTGAAATTTATCGAGCTTCTCTCGGTGGGCTCCATCATCTAAGAGGCTTCCAAACATGGCAGCCTCCATCATGTAGTTGACCTGCCAGGCGTGCTGAGCGGCATGCGCAATCAACCAGGACATCTCAGCCACATACCCCTGACGGTACGCCTTCACTTCTGCCTCGCCCAGCTTAGAGCTGAGATCACGCTCTTGTACTTCGTCCACAACTCCTCCGAAAGTGTACTCGGCTGGTCGCGTAACAGCACAAAACCAAAGCTCGGTCAATAATTCTGGATTTCGCGAATCCAGCAGAAACCGAGTAACATGGTCACATGGGTCTTCACCATTACAAGCATCTTTCAAAGGTCGACTATAACCAGTTGTGTGATAGTCTGCGTCAAAGACCTCATCCCAGTCTCCCTCGCGCTGGTCTGGTTTGTCCTTGCGAACTTTGGCATGTCCCATCACAGCCCTCCGGAAGAACAGATGTCGATCGTTGAGCATGTGCCATAGATAGAGCTGCCCAGCCATTCTGGCCGTCGGCTCTGCCCAGCGCTCTGTGTAGATCCTGGCACATGTATGTGCATAAGCATCATAGACTCTTCTCAATGCCTCTTCGGTGACAATGCCATGTTCGGCACCGCCAATGTCAGCAGTGTTCAGGAAAGAGTTACAGACTTCGCTATTTATGAGATCAGATCCCACATCCAACACATCTGTGCCTGGTGAAGTAAACACTGTATCAGCAAATACGCTTGCTGGATCAAAGCCCCGAAACACTGCTTCCCTTAACATCCCTCCCAGACTGTTCTCAGCAAAGGACACAATTTGGGCAGTCCGACGGTCAAATCGAGCAGACTTTCCCGTAAGTTGCGCCCATGGGGCACGACTTTCTAAGTCCACTTTTCGCTTGATATAGGCAAGGCCAGATTCAGATGCTACACGGCGCTCCCGACCACCCGGCGTGCTCATGCTGTATGAATCTTCAACAACAGCGGCTCTGAGAAGGGGCTCAAACGCAGGAAACGCTTGAGCGTAGCCGTGCTGGAAATTAAATGACACCGTTAGAAAAGGAAACGACACGAGAGACCAATAGATCAAAATACCTCATAGTAAAAGGCCATGTCGCAGCAGCAGTTCGAATATAGAGTGCGAGCATCATACGCCCCGATGAGCAAATTCCCAAACACACTTCCAAATAGCGCACCCTTGGACACCAGAGGAGCAGGCCAATCTGTGGCTCCAAGAATATTCAGAACCTTGTCGTCCTCGCGAAGAAGGCCGTACCCTTTGGCAGGCAGGATCCAACCTTTTTTGAACTGTGATTTGCGCCAGGTTCTGAGCTCATCGGAAAGGCAAAGTGTATTAACCTCAACTTTGCTCGGTGAGTAGGCTGTTTTTTGCATACCGGGTGACCTTGCGGGCTGAGAGCCTGCTGGTATCTCGATTGCTTCGAACATTTGGTTGAGAGCCTCAACTGCACCGCTGATAATAGCTGTCCAAACGTCCTGGCTGCCATCACCGCCAAGGTCACGCTCCTCTGCATAGCCGTGACTGCGAGGAATGCTTGATGCCTCCTTTGGCGAATAGGTAGCTCCCCAAAAATAAGGCGGCATAGTATAGCTGCAGGCTGCAGGTGCCAGGTGTTCCTGCGTATCAACAGCTGGGCCAATGCTGGCAAGATATTGCTCATATCCAGACTGTTTGTCTGGCACAAAAGTCCGCTGTTCAGACTCGATCAGGGAGAAAGAAGCCGGCTCACAAGTCAGGATGGCCATGGTTCACCTAAGGAGATGTTCGTACACAAGAGCGTGCTGTCTTCTGATGAGAACTTGAGATAAGATAGAATGTTATTCTGTCTAGAAACCCCCTGGAGCTATATATAGGCTGCCGCAGAGGCTTCATAGGCAAAAGTCCTAATACCCCTTGAAGTCCCAGCTCACAAATGGCCCCCTAACACTGTAAATATCTCGCAAGGCGTGGCTTTTGAATTCCTGGCCCCTGTTGGGTCAGTCTACTAACCAACTTCAGAATGAGCTCATGCCTTGGGGCCAAACTATTCCAAGGTTGGATATAGCCCTAAAGTGGCATTTGAACCTATCTAGTACTATTCCCGGCTTTCTGTGGAGCTTCGGCGAAATGCCTTCCTTATCATATTCATCTAGGCTCTTTTTGGACAATTGTATCAGCCTACAATCAAGCTAAATACTCTCTCACGTTGAGGCTTGACCTTTGTCGATGTCGCTCGCCAACCTTGGAATATACTCACCCTGGGTATTGTTAGGCGGGTTCTCATAGTTGTCCCGGGTCTATGTGAATAAACTCTTTGTCCTTTAACATGCTATTTACCCAGACCCAGGTACGGAGTAGCTATTGCAATAAATATCATAACTATACGGAGTACACGACTTAGATGCCCTGTAGAGTCTGATGTAGAGAGATATGTGGTCCGTGCATTGGGGAAAGCTGTTGTGTTCTCCCGAGGTCTCCCTTCCACCCCATCTTATCCATTTCACATCAACACTCGAATATGGCTGACGACGAGGAGCGCATCAAAGCAGAGAAGCTGGCCGCGGCCAAGAAAAGAGTAATCACCCCCAGCGATTGCGTGGTGTGGTGAATGTTGTGCCTAACACGTTGCTTCGCAGGTGGCCCAACTTCAGAAGAAGAAGAAAGCGAAGAAGACTCCCGCCGCTGGAGCGGATACACCCAAAGAAGACCCGACGGAAACAGCAGATGCATCACCAGATGCACCAACAGAGGCTGAACCCACCAACGAAGCCCCTGCAGAAACACAACAGACAGACGCCCCCGCGGAAGCTGAGCAAGATGAACCCGCCGAACCGGAGCCCGCTACCTCCCCGCCAGTGGCCTCAGAGGAGCAATCACCCCCACAGACCGAAGATGCGCCAGTTGAGTCTCCAGTTGAGCCGATGCCACCAGCACCTACATCTCCTGGCCCGGACGCCGAGCCACTGCCGATGCTCGATACGCCCCGCGCCAATCATGCGCGCCAGCCATCTCTATCGATCCAGTCCAAGATGCGGTCATCGTCTTTCCGCAAAACATCCGTTTCTCAAGGCAGTGTCTCCCCCTCTCCATCCTCCGCTCTCAAGTCCCCCGCACAATCATTACCGCCCCTGACCGGTGACGGGGAGTCTGTCCATGAAGTGTTCCGCAAACAGTCTACGAAGATCGAGGAGCTCGAGAAGGAGAATAAGCGACTGGAGAAGGATTTGTCGGACGCCACGACACGCTGGCGCAAGACCGAAGAGCAGGTGGAGGATCTGCGCGAGGCAAGCGTTGATGGCGCAGAGCTGAGGGAGCAGTTGAAGAAGGCTGAAGAACAGGTAGCAAGTATTGAGTCTTTGGTGTGTATCTGTTGGACACTTGAAGCTCTGCAATTATGCTGACCACATTACAGAAAGAGGAGATTGCTTCCCTCCAGAGACAGAATTCACAGCTACAAACGCGATCACATCGTACTGTCAGCAACACAGAGTCACCTCCTGCTGACCTGGTTCGTCAGCTCGAGTCTAAATCGGCTACCATTGAATCCATGGAGTTGGAGATCTCAAACTTGCGCGCACAAGTCACTTCCCAGACATCCTCCAACGATGCGCACGAATCTCAGGTCGCAGCGCTCGAAGAGAAGGCCTCCAAGAGCCAAGCTGAGTTCGAAAGCTCCCAGCGTGAATTGGCCGAGACCAAGGCCGCCTTGACCAGTGCATCGGAAAAGGCAGCCAAAGAAGATGTTGACAAGACATCCACTGAGGCGCAGATAAAGTCACTCCAACAGGAGATTGAGGAACATAAGAACGACAAGGTCGAATCAGAGAAGAAACTGGAGAGCCTGGACAAGAAACTTCAAGCCATCGGCAATCTCCACAAGGAGACCGAAGCCCGACACCAGACCCGACTGCGCGAAAGTGAAAAAGCCGATAAAGAAATCACCGTCATGCGCAAGAAGATCGCCAGCATTGAAAATGAGAACCTCCGTCTCCGCGAGGAGAGCGATCGCATCCGCACGCGCCAAGCCAGCGGTGGGGCCGACGACGACGCCCTAGATGAACTCGAAGACGAAGAGCGGCAGCGACTCGAGCGCCGCATCCGCGAACTGGAAGGTGAAGTCTTTGACCTGCGCCGTGGAGTCTGGCAAGAGAAGCGTCAAGAGCTAGAATACTACCCGGATGACGGACCTAGCCCTGCCGGAGATGCGAATGCATTTGACGACGTTGATCTCGTTGGTGGAAGGCCTGACCACGCCCGTCGCCGCAGCATGGGCCAGCAACAACACTCGTCTTTCTCTACCGTCCTGTCCAGTGGATTTGCTGCGTTCACGGGAGCTGGTGGGAACCGGGCCGCCTCGTCGTCCAACCCGCCTCACCCTGGTAGTTTGGAGCTTGTGTCCGAAGAGAACTTTGATGACGAGTTTGACGAGAATGCGTTTGCGATTGCGCAGGCCGAAGAAGAAGGGAGGAAACGTGTCGCTTGGATGCGCGATATCAAGAGCAAGCTTCGCGACTGGAATGGCTGGCGGTTAGATCTGGTTGATAGCCGTGCTGGCGCAGAGGGCGCAGGCGTAGGCATGGGTGAGATCTTCGAAGTCTAATCGTCCTATGCGACATGTCTTATTATATACCAGGTCGTTTTAGACCAATGAAACGTATGAACTCCTAACATGAACTCCTGAACTGTATAGACTGTAGAGCAGACTAGATGCATATGGAAGAAAGCAAAAAACAAAGATCAAACGCAATTTTCAATGCCACTCGCTACTCCGCAGATTTGCCCGTCAGATAACCCTCCGAGGACCGATTCTTCCTCCGTCCCCAAACATCCCCAACCCAAGAAGTAATCTGGAATAGCCATCCACCAGTAACAAGGACACCGGAAACCGTATTGATAACCCGGATAAGGAGGGATAAGAATCCAGCCCTCTCTTCACTAACCAACAGCAGGATTGGCTCAATGTTATACTTGAAGAAAATCCCCGGAGTAAGCATAGGTGATTCCGGAAGCGCTCCGGACTGACTAGTTGCCGCATATTGGTTTGTGAAGACGGTGTTGCGGCCGCGCTTTTCAGGGGCACGCGCATAAGCCTCTAGTGCGCCCTTGCCACGACTGTATATCGTCGGCACGACAGAGAGGAAGTACTGGAACTTGTAGTAGTGCGCATCACTTTCGGCAATAGTCTTGTCGAGTGGATTCATCAGATTCGGATAATGAGGACCGAAAGAGAGCTCCGTGATCATGTGGGAGAAGTTGAATGCTGGAATGGAGGAATCAGCAAAAATAACAAACCAAAAACCACAAAAAGAAAATACATACAGCCATGATCCAGATGCGGCGCGTTCTCATGATATCCATGACCTCGTGCCGTGATATGGAAATCACCTTGCACCTTATTTCCCTCCAAACTACCATAAATGCGACAAGCATCTTGCTTATCGCCCCTTCGCATCCTCGGACCCTTTGGGAACTTCTTGCGCGGATTATGGCGCACTTCACCGAGGACATGACCAGCATGAGAATCAGCCTCTTGCTCCTCAAGTCTGTCAGCGCCCTCATGAGACAGCGTCTGGTACTCGTGTGCATTGTGAGATTCGTAGTTGCGCTGCTGCATCCACAGTAACCAATTTGTGTTTTCGCGTTTGAGGAGTTCGCCAGCGAGGATGCGGTCGCCTGCTGCGTCTTGGATGTTGACGCGCAGGTGGTCGCAGGGCATGTCGACGACGATGTCGAGGTTTAGTTGGAGGTCGTGCGAGACGCCCTTTTCAACGCTGAAGTGGTAGTTTTCCGTGCCGCGCCACCATGTTTTCAATTCGCTGTAGCTGAAGAAGGTGCAGATGCACAGAATGAGGACGGTCCATTGGCCGCCGGTGCGGGTTGGGGTCGTATAGGAGGCTTTTGTTTTGGCTGTGACGGGTCAGAGAGAGAGAGAGAGAGAGAGAGAGAGAGTATTGGAGGTAATTGAAGACTTACGGAAGGCGTCGAAGGTTTTGAGGCCTGCTAGGGCCTTGTCGCCAAAGGCGTCCTCGTCCAGGCTTTGTTTTTCGAAGCCATTCATCGTTGAACCATTGACGGAAGAAGTGGTTGGAGAGGGAGTGGAGTAAATAAGATAAGATGAGGCCAAGTAGCCCGATTGCGCATGCCGCGGGTCGAGACTTCAACTTGTCAATTGAGCAATTAACTATGGAGTAGAGACAATTGAATATGAAATATGTTTTTCTACTGGTTACAATGGCAGTTCTCATCGATAGTCATTAATTCAATATAAAACTAGACACGTCAAATCGCTCTACACGCGAACACTCATCGTGGACTCTTAGAAATGCAGATAACAATGTACAAGGGATTGCCCTGGGTCATCAAGTATAAAACGAAGGGAAATGCATCAGCAATGAGGTATAGGCGATCGGACTTTCAGTCGTAGGCGCAATGCAAATAACGAAAAAAAAGGATGGGGGGTATAACATGAATGCATCTGAGCAAAATGCTGACATGACAACCGACCCAATGCAAGAAAATTAGAAACAGAAAAGGGGAAAAGCAGAAGCAATCAGGGTTATTATTACAGGACGTTCGGAACACATGCAAAGAGATCATTTCTTCTGTCGGCGGGTCAGCTTCCGATTCTCTGTAGCCCTGGGCCGGCCTAACTCACCAGGCTTGTCGCGGCCGCCGCGGTAGCGAGGTCCGGCTTCCCGCTGATACTCCGTGCTGAGACGCGAGGGAGAGCCGAGCCCGAGCTGGTGGTGTTACTAGAGCCTCGCTTGCCAGGGCTGGACGGGGGGCCATTGACGGTCGAGTGGCGTTTCCCACTCTTGACCGGAGAATGGCCTGAGATATCGCGGCGGGAGAACCCACTCTTGAGGGTAGCACCCGGAGGATCGGGGAGCGGACGGGACGAAGAAGATGCGCCCCGCTTGGAGGGTGAGTTGGTTCCATGTATCCTGGGCCGAGGGGCCTTGATGCCGGTAAGGAACTCGTGCTTCAGCGCATCGTGGGGAGAGATTCGACGGGCAGGATCCCATCGGAGGCAGCGGGAGATGAAATCGAGGAAGGCCTCGTCGTCGCACTTCAGGGCCTGGCGGAGTTCCTTGGAGCTTGGGCGACGTCGACGACCCTTGGATGAGACAGTCAAGCGAGGCTTGCCCAGAGAATCGAAGAACAGCTTCTTGCGAGAACTCTTTTCAATCAAATGTTTTTCCGGAGGACCAAATACTTCCATGATGCAGGCAAGTTGTTCCTGTTCGTTCTCTCCAGGGAAGATGGGATAGCCAGTAAATAGTTCAGCTAAAATGCAGCCTAAACTCCACATGTCAATCGGCATGCCGTATGACATTCCCAGAATCACCTCCGGTGAGCGGTAGAAACGACTCTGGATGTAGGTGTAGACCTTTTCATTTTCGAAGCAACTCGAACCGAAATCAATGACACGAATCTCGGAGTTCAAGGGGTGAACCAGCAGGATATTCTCGGGCTTCAAGTCACAATGGATCACCTTCTTGGCGTGTAGCAACACCAAACTGCTCAACATCTGCTTCGTGAACACACGAATCAGCTTCAGCGAGAAACCCCGGAACTCATGCGCCTTGATGAACTCATAAAGGTTCATGCCAAGCAGTTCGGTTGAAATACACAGATGGCCTCGGAAGTAGAAGCTTTGGGTAAAGTTGACCACGCTGTGCTTGCCATGAGGGTCCCACTCCTTGAGCTTCTGGAGAAGATTGACCTCAATGAGAGCCTGCTGATGGAATCGCTTCTTATTACGGATGATCTTGATAGCAACCAAGACGCCCGTTTTGTGGTCAACACATCGCACGACTTGTCCGAAACTTCCCTTGCCCAGGACGTCAACAACCTCATACCGGTAGGCAAGATGATCGCCAACCACGATGTTGTAATCACCGCGGTCATCGTCATATCCGAAGTTTGCGGCACCGGAATGAAGGTCTCCGACATGCTTCTTGGCAGTTTGGGTACCGCAGAAGAAGATATCCCGATAATCGATAATCTCACCCCGTTCGAAGATGTTGAGAGTCGCCATTTTCAACGCCTGAGCGGGACTGACACGGTCCTTGGGCCCAGCCTTGCGCCGTAAATCATCGAGCACCCTGGCTGCCTTTTCAAAGTCTTTCCGCTTAGATCCAAGTCGTTTCATCTCTTCGTCTGCAATGATCACATCTGTGTCGACTTCACCATCAGTAGACCGTGGGGCAGCCGCGGCGCTAGATCTAGCATTGTTGATCATTTTGTGGACAGGAGAGATGTAAGAGCTATGCACGCGTCTTGAACGATCACTTTCACCTGACTCGTGGGAAGGAGTTGGCTCCAGGGCGAGACTCCTGTCGCTGCTGACGCTTGGTTTGCGGGCCGCTGGATTGATTGCGCTTGAAACAGATGATTGTCGACGAGGGTTGAGATAGGACGGCTTAGGATTCGGACTTGTTGAGCTGACTGAGGATAGGTTGTTCCACGTTGCAGATGCTGGCAGCTTAGGTGGTGGCATGTGGTTGAACTTGGCTGGATCAGTATCAGTATCGGCATCAGCTTTCTGTGCTTTCGAGTTACTGCGAAGACGCGCAACTTTGAGGCGGTCGCGCAGCGAGGAGCTTGACGCGGTGACACTCTCGGGCTCGGAAGGCGTGGATATTTGACTGAGTCGTTCTGGAGCAGGCGTGAAGACAGCACTCTGGGTCTGTGGTCGGGGCCCCGTCAACTTATGCGGCTGGTTTCGGTTGGAGTAATCCGCGCTGACTTGATGACGGAGATGGTTCAGCTCGGTACCGCTCTTGGGCAATGTGTATGAAGCATAGGGAGAAATGTTGCGAGCCGAGGAGCCGGGAGTCTCGAAAGATTCAAAAGCGCTCGTGCTACTCGAAGCGCGCACTGCGGCAGTTGAGGAACTGACAGCAAAGTGCGAGGTGCTGCTCCGAGCTTGAGTGTGGGGCAGTTTTTCATCCTCGTCATGATACCAGAAACTCGCTTTGGATGCTGTCATCGGGGTCCCGGGTGTTTTTGAAAGGACCTGGTTAGACGGTGTGTGGGCATCGCGCTCTTCGTCCCTGTCTTTGAGTGCATCGATCTTAGCCGCCATAGGGGTTCCCAGAGGCAACAGGTTTAGTGGGGGCAGCTTCAATGGCTGCAAGCCCTTGCGCCCCCCTAAGACCGTGGAAGTACGTGTTCGTACATCAGGCGTGTTGACAGTGTCTGTAGGCTCGGCATTCTCGACGGGACCTGTACTAGCTGTTTGCTGGGTGGAGCCCGAGTCTTTGATGTTCAAAAGACCAATGTCGAGGGGAATGCTCGATTTTCTGGGCGCAGGGAACACAGGTGCATCCAGTTCACCCTTAGGTGACTCATAAGCTTTAGGGATTGCTGGAACTGGTGGTACTTCTTCTCCGTTGGGATTCGTTTGCTCCGTCCTCGGTTTTGGTGTTGGTAACCGGGAAGAGGACAGGTTCTGAGAGAGACGATTCTGGAGCGAACTTCCAGAATTGCGTGCTGAGTTATAACTAGTGCTCGAAGAAACAGACAGACCTGAACTGTAGGATTTGCGATTGGGGTCGGGTGTGGTGCGATTTGAGGAGGGTGTGACGCTCTTCCTTGGGATTTGAGAGGGAGATTGAGTCGAAGAAAGAGGACGCATTGGAAGAGGTTCTGTTTGGGTTGGAGGTGTATGTGGCATTGGAGGCGCAGTCGGAGCAATGGACATTCGCTTCATTCGTCGTGCATCGGTAGGACTGATAGTTCTAGCACCCAGTCCAGTCGCGTGCGGTGGCATGACAGAGGCGCGTTTTGAGGATGAGCAAGGGGTCGCCGCGGCACCCGCGGGGTTCTTCACCGGTGTTCGCACAGCATTGGTCGACGACGATCGCGAGTGGTCAGCGGGAGCTGTCGCGGTCAAAAAAGGACCGGGAGCATCTCGTGGACTAGGCTGGAACGATTTGGCCTTGAGGTTTCGAACGGCAGCAGGAACTTTGGTTTCAGAGTCTTGGGTTCTGGGGCGGAGGAAAGCAGTGCTTGCCTGAGTGGTGTCCGTGCTAAATTTACGGGCACTCAGACTTGCACGCCTGGCCGAAGCATTCGTAGGCGCAAAAGCCCCAGAGCTGATTGATTTCCGAGAGCCTCTCGAAGCAGTGTTCCCAGCTGCCGGTTGAGCTAGGCTCTGGCGACGGGCACGGGTGTTGGCAGATGATGCCGTGAGCCCTGCACCGGCAGGTTGACCGTTCGGACGCTGCACCTCACTTTTTCGGCGAGCCGAAGGAGGACCCCGCGTACGCTCCGGGGCATTGTGCTCGTAGTTGTGCGTTTCCCAGGGATTGGTCGGACCTGCTTCGCGATTCTCCCCCGCGTAACTGTTCCCGGGCATAGGGAAGTGGTTCAAGCTAGGCTCGCCCATGATGCTGTTATGGAAGTCGTCGAAGTTGACTGGCGCAAGGAAATCGCCGTTCTCTGCTGAATTGGGGTCGGCCTTGGCCAGGTTCCCCACACTCGTAGACCGAAGGTTGAAGTTTTTGCTTGAGTCGAGGGTAGAATCAACGGATGAATTTCCAGAATGGATATACGGGCCAGGTTTGCTAATCGATCGGTTAGCCCTAGGTACTGCACAAAAGGAGAGGCTAGCTTTCAAACTTACTTCCATCGTGATGCATCTTGGGGCCGCGGGCCTTGAGGCACCTTCTGATCCCGAATTGACATTCTTCTCCTATTCATCCCACCTGCACGCGGCCCGGCCACCCCATAAGAGGATTCATAGTTGGAAGTATTCGAGGGAAAATTAGTCGAGGCTGATTTTTGTAGGCGCCTGCGGGCTGGGGTTTCTGCTGTTCAGAGCGTGTCAGCATGTCTCGCTGCACCTTCCCGACGGTCTCTCTTGACTTACCTCCCGAGCCCGAATCGTTGGAGAGATTGGATGCTCGTGAATTGTCAGTTCGCACCTGACCTCTCCCGGGGGTTTGCGGAGGAATTGTCGGCATTATTCAGTCGAAACGTCTTAGAGAGCAAAGAAGTCGTAAACTCGTCGGAGAAAAAGGAGAGGACTGGACCGTGCCAGGTTGACCGATCGCAATTACATTCAGGAGAAGTGCGAGGCCTCAACAAAAGACACTTTGAGCACCGTCGCGCGACTCTTGTCAAACCACTACCGTGCCATTGCGAGGGGTGAAAGAGGGCCGGGGGGTCTCTTTGATAAATCTGGAGCTGCGAGGGTTGCCCAGGTTTCAAGGCGGTAAATAAGAAAAAAAGAGGCAATTGGAGGGGTTCTTATAGCTCAAAACAACAACAAACGATCGATGATCAGAGCATTAAAGAAAAAGAGGAAAAAGAAAAGAAACGAAAAGAGGCCAAAAGAGTAATAGACAAGCACTTCAAATTGGAACTATCCAATCTTTCGAGGGACCCCTGATGCAAACAGTAACGTACAAAGTACGGTAATCAATTATGTCAGCTGAGCATGTGCTTTCGGTCTCGTGGATATATAGCCGCGGATTTGCTCTTTACCCTTTTATGGATGTCTAGACATCATGGATGGATTTACAGAGGCCCTAGGTGAAGAGCCTAAGCCTGGGAAGAAGAGATCGGGCTCGCCAGACAGTCTACATTCCAGATCATCCTCTGGAACCAAGCACTCCCTGCAGGACCGCCTATTGACTAAGTATGCTTGGGATTCCCCTCTCACCACAGAGCACACCAGCTGATCATCTACAGACTGATTCAACAAGTCATCCCCGGAGACAATGAGGATGAAAGTGAATCATCGGACAAGGCTCCCGCCTCTCCGACAAAACCAGCGTTCAGTCTGCCGGTGATGGGTAACAACTTCCGTCGCTTCAATGCAAGGTATGACCGAGACACTCATCTATATCCGCCGAAACTAAGCACTGCTGTAGAATCGGAGTGGTATTCTTATTCCAGGATCGTGTGGAGCGACTCCTCACTTGGGATACACCATCTCACACCATATCGCTCCTTTTTGTTTACTCTTTCATTTGCTTGGAGCCTCATCTTCTGCTGGTCCTTCCTTTGGTGGTGCTTTTGCTCTTTATCATGGTGCCAGCATTTGTGACTCGTCACCCCCCACCACCCAACACGTCCACTTCTAGTACTACTCCTTACTATTCTTACGATGGACCGGCGCTGGCGCCGGCCACAACGATCAAGCCTGCGCCGGAGACGTCTAAGGACTTCCTTCGGAATTTGAGAGACCTGCAGAACTGCATGGCTGATTTCTCGGATGTTCATGATGCTGTCATCAATGTGATTGCGCCTTTGACTAACTTCTCTAACGAGAAGCTCTCGTCAACATTGTTTTTGGGCTGCACTGTAGCCATTGTGGTATTGTTTGTGGGCGCACACCTCGTGCCTTTGAAGCTCGTGATGCTTCTTGGTGGAAATGCAGCGATCTTATCAATTCACCCCACCGTGGGGCAGTTTGTCGGGGCTATGATGCAGGACATGGCCGGGGAATCCGGAGATATGGATTTCGACGACGAAAACAAGGATGGGTTTGCTTCATCAGTACCCTCAGATCCTACGGAAGCAATGTCGGCAATGGAAAAGCTGGCGGACATCTCATTAGATACATACCCTGAAGAAAGGGAAGTGGAGATATTCGAGGTGCAGCACCGTGCCGCGGGAACTTCCGAGTCTGGCTGGGAGAGCTTCCTCTTCAGCCATGCGCCCTATGATCCACTATCACCATCTCGCATTGCCGGAGACCGACCACGGGGATGTCGGTTCTTTGAAGACGTGCGAGCCCCGCCTGGTTGGGCCTGGAAGAGCAAGAAGTGGGAGCTCGACCTAGACTGTCGGGAATGGGTAGTGGAGCGTATGATTACTCGAGTTGGTTTCGAGGTTCCAGGTGTGACAGCCGAAGGCAATGCTATTGTTGGCGAGGTCGGTGGCTGGGTATGGGATCTACCACCCAATCACTCCGCGGAGGATGACGAAGAGATGTCATTAGCCTATGGTGACTTGCCGCCGGATACACCAACCCCACAGGAGAAAGGCAAAGCGAAGGAGGACGATACACCCAAGCTCCGAGATTGGGAAGAAGGCACAGCTTCTCATGGGGTGGGAGAATGGAGACGTCGACGATGGGTGCGGGTTGTGCAACGAGTCAGCCTTCCACCGGCAGGGGCAGGGTCTGTTACATACTCGACACTTAGCAGCCGGACGAAATAGGATCAAACATGAGATAATGAATTCCAGGCAGCTATTTGCTGCCCATATATTTACTACTTGGGTTATGCATAGCATGGTAGATAAGTACTTTTGAAAACCTGGGGGAAAAAAGAACGCCAGACTCGCCCAACCAAATGCGCAATGAACACACTACTGACTCTTCTTCCACTTGTTGATTCTCCTCCGCAAGTCACCGACACTCTGCTGCATCGGGTTCAACTTGCGGTCACGGGCCATGGCTGTGAAATCTTCACCGTGCTTCTCAATCAGACGCTGAGCCCACTCGCCCTCACGGGTACTCTGGAACCGAGGCTTCTTAGCCCGAACCGTCTTTCCTTCCTGATCAGCCTGGCGTTCAAGTTGCTGGACAATGATTGAGTCTGCAAGCGGATTGCTCTCGACTTCGCCGGACTCAAGGGCATTCAAAGGGTCGTTGAGGGGGTTTTTGCGGGAGAGGCGACGTCCAGCAACTTCGATGCTGTCGTCGTCGTCATCGTGGATAACACGAAGAATCGCACCGGTCTCGGGATCACGCTCGACACGGGTTGAGCCCAGATCAAGCTTGGCAGCGTCGGCTTTAGCACTACCGCGAATGTGGAGGGAGTTCTTGTTCTCGGGGAATTGTTCGTCCTTTGCGGGGAGGCGTTCACGACCTCCGGATGGTGCGTTCAGCTTGTGCATCAGACCCAGGCGTTGGTAGTTTTGGGTTAGAGTCAGGTTGCGATCCCTTTGGATTGTTAGATCTCGAATGTTACACATAGAGGCAAAACACATACCAGTTGTCGGCGATGATCTGATTACCCAGGACATTGATCTTCTTGTGGCCGCTCTTGAGACGGTTGTCCTTGGCGCGAGCCGTGGAGCGACCGGAACGGGCCTTCTTTTTCTGCAGAACTTTACCCATTGTGTATGTGGAATGCGAATATGGTTAAAAAGTTGCTCGTCGGCGATGATAAAAGCGTTATCGAAACTTTTTTTCTGAGTTTGCATGTCTTGGCATGTTTGTTCAGGGTCCCGCGATAAACAAGTGGTCTGACCGCGATAAAGCGGCTGTACATCTGGGGGCCTTATTCCCCTGTCACTTCGACATACCTTTGGGGAATTCGTTCGCAATGGCTTCCCGCTTCTTTCCTTCCCGCAAAACAGGCCTTGCCCTCGTTGCAGGTTGTCTATTGTTCTCTGGTCTAGCAGCAGCTCATGGTGGCCACGGACATCTCTCCGTCGGCCAGATCGAGGACCAATTGCAGGTAAAATAGTATACGATGTACTTGTCCTACACCAAAGTTGACATATCACAGAGCTGCCCAGTGGTCGAGTCTCTCAATGAACACAAGCGTGCCAACCAGCCCGAGACTGCTAGCTTAACAGCTAAGATATTCGCCATTCTCTTCCCAAGCAGTCCCGCCGTGAACGCGCTACTGGCAACATTGTACATCTCCGGCCCTCCCAGTAAGCTCTTTCAAAATCCGCATTTGAATACTGTGTGCCATGCTTACCTCTTCAGACTTCCTCTTGGCACTATGCCCGCCCAACATTGACCCCTCTTCGCTATCGGTGATGGTGGCCTTCGCCGTTGGCGGTTTGCTAGGTGACACCCTCTTCCACCTCCTCCCTGAGATCTTCGTCGGTGAAGACTCACCCGACCATGTGAGCTTCGTGATGGTCGAGCCCAACAAGAACCTCCTCCTCGGCCTAGGTATCATGGTTGGCTTCTTCACCTTCGTAGCAATGGACAAGATCCTGCGCATTGCAACCGGCGGCGAAGGCGGCCACGATCACTCCCACCACGCGCACGCCGAGTCCATCGCTGCAGTCGCATCTGGGGCCGAGACCAGCAAGTCTGGCGAGCTCAAGCAGCGCAAGCCTACCAAGGAAGCTTCCACTCCGGTAGCTGTCCCAGAGAAGGAGATTAACCCCAGTGCTAAGCTTGGTGGTTACTTGAATCTTATTGCGGACTTCACGCATAACATCACTGATGGTCTGGCACTGTCTTCTTCCTTCTATGCTTCCCCTACTATCGGCGCCACGACCACCGTGGCTGTTTTCTTCCATGAGATCCCCCACGAGGTCGGCGACTTCGCTCTGCTCATTCAGTCTGGCTTTTCAAAGCGCAAGGCCATGGGTGCCCAGTTTGTCACTGCCATTGGTGCATTCTTGGGAACCATCATTGGCATCGCAGTCCAAGAGCTTGGTGGTAATGGTACAATGTTGGATGACATCGAGCCCGTTGGACTGTGGGGAACCAGTCTTACTTGGGGTGACATGCTTCTCCCATTCACAGCAGGTACCTTCTTGTATGTTGGAACTGTGGCTGTGATTCCCGAACTACTGGAGACTGGCAAGGACAAGGGCCTAGAGATCCGTAAGACAATCGTCCAATTCTTGGCTGTTGCTCTTGGTGCTGGAATTATGCTTGCGTGAGTATTTCAAGTCCCCACATTGATTGCACCGCGCTAATGACCGATAGAATCTCTTGGCACTAGATTTATCAGATCGTGCGAGCTAGTGTTACAATATTTTCCAGCAATTGCACTGGCTCATTTATCGAGCCGCGAAGACACTCACCCAACTTCTGTTGATAAAATGGTGATACTGACAGACTGTACGATTGTTTCGTTGATAATGCCCAAGGATTTCATCAAGCGGATAAATAGCATTTCATTTGAGATGACAGTCGGCCAAATTAGCCCAAAATAAATGCACAAGAACCACACAGCAACGCCCCTAGGTTAACTCCCCTCGAAAATGATAACCAAGTCCATGTTCATGGTAAGACAAACAACCAATGCAATGGCAAATTAAGAAATAAACACTAAGCACGTATGAAACAAGGCCCATGATGACGCTGCAAATGTTGAAGAAAGTTTCCCGGTGAAGATCAAAAGCCGGCAACGCGAAAACGCAAGCTTGCGAGAAGCCTACTCATTATAGTGATATACCTGACACACATTAGCAAAATTCGAGGCCAGATCGTCGAGTAAAGGATACGTACGAAGTAATCTGGAACACCAATGACCTCGTATCCTAACCTCTTCGCCATTTTGGCAAAGCCCTCTGTCTCAACAAGGTGGAAGAATGGAAAGGCAGGAAACATGGCACCATCGCGATGCACATCTGCCTTGACCATCAAGGCCGTTCCTCCCACGCCATCCAAAGCAACCATTTTCCTCGTATCAAGATTCTTCATATCAGGCAAATAAGCCATGAGCGTGCGATAAGTCGGCATCTCCGCATATCCCTCCAGCAGAATCTCATCAGGCCCCATGGTAGCAGCCATATTCTGCGCCGTCTGGCTATCAATCCAAGAATTGAAATCATAAGGTCTGACATCCCACCTCCGTTTCGTAGTATCGTAGTAGCGCTGGAAACAATTCGGCACAATAACAGGCTGATCATACCCCGTAAGATCCTGAATCAGCGTCTTGGGCGTCTCAACAACATCGCTATCCAACCAAAGTACCCAAGAAGTATCCGGACCGAGAGTTGTGAAGACAAGACTATTCCTCGCACGACTCATTGATTCGCGACGCTCTTTCTGAGCGGACATCGAATGTCGGACTTTTTCCTCTTGCGACGCCAATGGAGGCTCGAAGTCTTGGCGCAGGATACTGATACTGGCGAACCGGTTATCAATCGGACCAGACTGTGTCTTGGCAATTGCTTTTTCGAGCTTCGCAACCGCAGCATTTCCATCCGGTGTTTTGGGAGCGATGAAACCCAGCGAAATGAGCTCGTGCGGATAGCTCAGCTTTTCCAAATTGTCCCAGTATTCCGTGTAGAAGCGCGCCAGCGGAGTGAGGATAAGTAGGCGCTCGCCATTTGAGGCCGAGTTGGAGGTGCTGGTTAAGGCGTTGAGGTCATAGTGGACGACGGGGGGTGCGGCCTTGTGTCCATCTGGTCGGATAGGCTGGGATTTGAAGAAGGGTTTGGTAGGAGGGGAGAGAGGGTGCTCGGCTGCATCCTCTTGACGTTGTTGCGATGTCGCGGGTTCGGGAGTTGCGGGGGATGAGGGGGTGAGCATGAAACAGATAAAGCCAAACGCCAAGATAGCGGCTAGCAAAATGGTGGTTGGGCTCGTGCGGCGCATTGAGCGGGCAACGGCCATGGCCGATGAATTAGATCGATGTTGGAGATATCGCGGAGTTGATGGAATGGGTGAGATGTGGGTGTGTGCCTTAGGCAGATCTAGTGGTCCTTGCCTCGATGTCTCAGATGTTCTCTGTTTTAGTAAGAGAGGGGTGGGAATAGCATAATTGAAGAACCGGTCTTTTTATTCTTTAATGTTTGATCCGGAATGAGTGTCACTTCACGGAGTCAGCAAAGATTCATGATCTATAAATTCAATGATCCAATTACAGATCGCCATCCGTCGGAGCTCACATCCCGTGTTATCGGGACAGTCGAGGGGCCGAGTGTTGTCGCCGAATGCGGCATTCCTGGAGACGGGTTCCCGAGATCTTGCAATAGATGTGGGGATGGTCGTCAGATTCTATGTGTTCGGTGTGTTCGTTTATATACATTAGGCTAGGGTAGGGAGCGCATCACACCCTCAAAGGCAACAAGAGCCATCGCATTCGCCGGGAATGCCCTCAAGAAGCAGGGCACAAAGCCGCGCCAGTATCCCTTGAGCCCGCGTTCACGCCAGACGGCAACCGCGGCGTCTTTCCAGCCGCGGAACTGTCGTTGGCCGTCGTTCAGTGATCCACCCATGGGATCCGTCATCAGACGCTGCTTTACAACGTCTGAGGGGTAAGAAGTGAGCCAGAAGCACTGTGCGGAGATGCCGCCAGCCCAGAAGTTAATGGCGGGAGCAGACATGCTTGTCTTCTCTTTGAAGACTCGAGTAAGAACATCGTAGGAGCTCCACCAGAAGAAAAAGAAGGATCGGAAAAAGACAGTGGCCCAAAGTCCACGGTAAACACCTGCAATGCCATGCGAGCGGAGCTGCGATAGGTTAGTACATTACTCTCCCGGCATGATATTGCACATACCATCTTGACCAGGCAATCAATAGGCCCGCTGTACATGCGCTTGGTCTTATCCGCTGCATACTGGACCTGTAGTCGAGCCTTGATGTGTTCAACGGGGGCAGCAATGAAGCTGACCGTTGTGCCCGCCATGATACCCGCAATACCGTGACCAAAGCTCGGAAGAACCGTCAGGTCCTGGCGTCCACCGAACGGCGTATATTGGCGAATACTGGGTCGCGAGAAGACATTCTCAAGGAGTAGGCGGCGGTATAGCGTTAATGATCCCAGCATACTGTATCGGTTAGAACCCGCGGAGTAGAGCAGAGCAAAGCCGAGAACAACTCACACAGAATCCATAATCATCCATCCGACCAGCGGTGGCGTCGCACCCTTATAGAATCCCCTCAATCCCTCATTCCGTAACGTCTGCAAAGTGCAGTCCAATGGTCCGCGGAATTGTGTATCTTTACTTGTCTGCAAGCGAACTTTGATCGTATCGAATCTGGACTGTCAGCACAGGCAAAAAGAGAGGCAAACGATTCCACATACGGATGTCCAACTACAATACCACAATCAGCAATTAACTTCAAATAGCACCCACACAGAAACCAACATACCACTCAGCTTCGCAATACCCGAAAACACACCGGCCACAAAACCCTTATAATTCGACTTCGACGATCCAGACTTTTCAAGCGCGCTCTCCGCGATTTGCGGCTTATCCATGGGCAAAGGCGCCTGCGCCATCGTATTGCCTCTTTTAATCCCTGATCCTTGTTTGCGTCACGCGCGAAGTGTAGGGTCGTGCGCGATGTGGCGATATGTGATGAGGGTAGGCGATGAGGACGGGCGCGGGGTCGCGTCGGGCGGCACGTCGTTATAAATAGGTGAAAGATATGGGGTAGAGGGGGAAATTGAGAGTTGAAGACGGTTTTAGATGATCGTCTTGCCCGCAGATTCGGTTCGGGGAGAGTGGGTGTTCCTCCGGAAAGTGGTGCCTCAGGTGTACGGGTGGCTTTCACTAGGGCCTTTTTAGGACTGGGGTAATGGATCCGGGGGTACGAGTACGGAGTAGAGTTCTGCATGTCATTTTTTTTTAATTGATCCTTGTAATGATCGACATGGGGCGATCCGAGATTAGTTCGTGGATATAGTTGGCTGTTTCTAGATTTGGTTATGACCTGGATGAACGATCTACAGCGGTGTGGGATAACGAAGTATGAAGAAAAAGGGTACTGATATAGTGCTTGGGCTCATTTGATATGCCAAGTTCCAGAAACACCTGGATTGAGTGGGGTATATAATTTAGATACATGATATCGTATGCAGAATCGAACAGTGGTTCTGATGCTTTGATAGAATGAAATGCAAAGAGTCGCAAGAAGAAAAACCCCAATGGACCACTTGAGCAGTGGTCAGCAGTCTCGGGCCAGCTCATTTTATGCCCGAACACCAAGGGAAAATGAACAGTCAAATCAACAAACAAAAAGAACACGGAAGAAATAGTTCCCAAAATCTTTAGGGTGGTAGAAGCGAAAAAGCGTCTAATGCAGATAGACATCCTTCACCGCTTGGCATTTTTACGGTACTGCCGAGCCTTTTCCTCATAAGCCTTAAGTTTCTCAACCATCTCCGGGGCGTGCTGCTTAGGAACATCACGAACCCGGTCAGATGCATTGCTGACCGAGCCATGGGTCAGGTAGTCGCCCGCCTCAAGGGCCAGAGGGGTGACAGGGCCCGGACTGACAAGTGGGTCAAGTCGAGGCGCCTCCGGACCGGAGTGCGAAGCCTCCATCAGTTCGCGATACTGCCACATCATATCGCGTGATCCGGATGTGCGGTAGGAGGATTGGCGGGATTGGCGGGGCGAGGGTGGCTGAGAGCCAGTGGAATGAGAGGTGGTGTTAGGTTGATAGACTGCCGGGTGGAACCTTGGCAGGCTTCCCAAATGGAATCCTTGAGTTGGCTTGGACTTGGATTGAGGCTGAGACCGGCGGGAGGGCTGGGGCGAGTTGGAGCGACGGGGAGACATGATGGGGGAAGCAACCGGGGAACAGTAAGGGGAAGTGTCGGACCGCATTCTTAAATGTCGAGATTGATGGCGGTGGACCGGAGTAGAATGGGATTTGGCGGATTGAGATGCCCGTTCCCAGTCGTCAAAATAGGTGTGATTGAAGCGACCAGTCAGCGGTGTGACCGGTAAGTCTTCGTATGTTGGTCGTCTAGGGATTGGAATGGGTCTCGTGGGAGATGATAAAGTAAGCGGATCAAAGTCAAGGTCCGGAATGGGTCCCGGCGAAGGGGGAGTATAAGTAGACGAGGTGGCTGTCAAATCCCTTAAGGATGACAGTGAGACGGGTGTGGGGTAACCGTGCTTGGTGATCAGACTCTCCAGATGGTCTCTTGGTTGGAATGCTGAGCGACGACGAGGGGCCGGTGATAGGCCTGTAATTTGCGATTTAGTATAATGAGAATGTCACACGTGTTTATGGAATGCTAAATATCGCGATAGCCGACGAATTATGTCACCGGATTCGGATAGACAAATGAGAGCAAAGGCCAATAATCACGGAGGGGAAAAGACACCCGACATCAAAATCGTCTGAAAAGTCTCAAAAAGTCTTAAACAGGGCCACACTCACTGGAAATTGAACTGCTGCGGGAGGAAGGGTAGAAGGAAGAGGAGGACGAGGGCGACGACGAAGAGAAGGAAAAGGAAAAGGAGTCTTGGTTTCCCATCTGTGGTAATTTTTTTCTCTTAGTGTTAAGCACTTGCGGGGGACTCCACTATTGCGTATGGGAGATGATCAATATGTACTCGTAGTGCTCCATAGTGCATCTCGGTGGGTTCAACATTAGAAAATCCCAATACATTTTAGACACAACCAGATGTAACAATTCCCTCAAGCAAAGAAAAAAGAATTCAAAGAAAAAGAAAAGGGAAAAAAAAAGTAGTTCATACCGTTGGGGCCATATGACGGATGTGCCGGTGTTGTGGGTCCAGAGGGCGTTGGCATTGGAAAACATATATCCTATGCACTTGAGCAGCTGTATCTCTGTAGAATGAATACTAAGTAGCACTTTATCGATCCCTCGAGGGAAACTGTCTGCCTTTTAAAAGCTCCGATCCTCGAAGGCACCTGTGAAACCCCTTTTCACCCAGGTACCTCTCCCCACGCGCAACTACCGGGTGACCCAAGCCTTGGAGGCTTCCAAGGCACAGGAGTTCACTAATCTCTCAAGGTTCCTAATATCACATCTATCACACTCTACACAGGAGATCTGGAATCTTCGTCATGCGTCAGGTCAGGTCTGATTCGCTTGACTCACGCAGCAGAACGTCTTTCGTAGTCGACCAACCATCGCCTGGTGCGGTGGGAGTGTGCATCACCCGATACCTATCACCACGCTTGGAGGGAGAGAACCCCCGCTTCCTATTGGCTGGGAGAGGGGATCTGCCTTTTTTTTCTCTGCCTCCCGGCTGTGAGTATACACCGTGACGGTCTTACATGTCTCGGTCCAAGCTCCACGAGCCCGGTAGTTGGTGGCAAGTGGAGGCTGCAGAATTGAGATATCTTTAGAACCAAATTCTTTGTGGGAAGCTTGTGAGGGGAAGTGCATAGTGACATCCGCCGTGACTGGTCTATTAGATTAGGGAGTCACAGGCAGCGAGCTTCAAACCCAGGTGGGTGAAAATAAATAAATCTAGATATAGGTTTACATATTAAAAATGTAGAAAAAGGAACATCCGCCATCTCAAAACAGTAAGATATAATATAAACTGCACTCCCTATTGGGTTAGCTGCAGAATGGGCTCCAGGTGGTTTCATCATCGCGTACTTTGTAGAGCCGATCCTCTTCAGAACCCATCTGAGACCACGCGGATTGGGATTTTAAAAAAAGGGGGTTACAAGTGGCGATTTTGACTATGCCGATCGAGAGAATTTCCTATGATGCCAATCGTCAATTCAATGTGTAATTTAGTCCCCGTGGATGGAGCCTGTCTACTCCGTAGGTTTCGGCGCCTCTTGCCCCTGCATACACTGATGCACCTCGGACCTTTCTGCTGTGCGACTGAAACGGAAGGGCATAGTTCATTTTAGAATACGTGGGACAACGATTCCCAGCTTCATCCCGGAAACTATCTCAGTGCAACGCGTCGGAGTATTCCTTACATCCCCTACAGAACAGCCAGCACAGCAAGCGGGTCGCCAACTCTCCAGATACTCCCAACTACGTGTCGTACCCCGACAGCCCAAACAGCAATCTTATAGTATCACGGCTCATTTCTGGGATTATTGACAGCGAGCCTGCGAGGTCGGATTCGCCAACGCTGCTCCAGACAACTGTGGAAGCCAGTCCACCTCGAACACGCATCGCATGCTCGCATCGGCTCATCTAGCCCGACACATGTACACCGTACAATTTATACAGTCCTACACGGAAAACGACCGGGCGCACAGCCATGCACTCGACCCACAAAAAAGACAGCTAGCTCAAGAGCCCAAGAGGTCCAACGAGGCGACCTAGCGGCGGGAGAGTGCAGCGGGAAGAGCCCTGGAGTAACCATTGAGTTAAACAATCCATACCAAGCAAGTGGTGCATACGGAGTACAGAAAAAAAACGAACACAAATATCAAGCCGATTTCGAGTCCCGTCTCTTTCTCAATTGAACCCCATTGCGAATGACCCACCACACCATCGGGATCCCACACCAAACCCACACTGCGCCAGCGAACGTGTGGAACCAGCCTTTCCCGATCTTGTGGAGGAGCGGGAGTGCGCACGCCGTCACACCCGCGCCCAGCAGACACCGAACGAGATTCACTGTTGCACCCGCTGCGGCGGGGAAGCCTGGGTGGAGGTCCATGAGTAATGTCGTACCCACCTGGCAGACGGAGGAAGACCAGAAGCCGAAGATGAGTTCAAAGCAGTAGACGAATGCGACTGGGTAGTTGTATTCGAGGAGCCAGCCGTAGGTGATCTGGGATGATTAGAAATTGATCAAGAATCTAGAAGGGACGGACGTACAATTGTTGCACCGGTGATTGCTAGGACGGGAATGGCGAATTGGAGACGGGCTTTCTCGATCGGGAAGTCGGGGAAGTCTTTCATGTCTGTTTCTGGGTCGAGGTTCATTCTTCGCGCCTCGCGCCGATATACCCAGTCTAAATATGTGCCTGTTGTGAATGTCGATATCACTGTTCCTGCGCTCCAGGCTAGGAAGAGATATCCTATCTGCTCACTGTTATAGCCGTAGGTGCTATACATGAGACTTGGGATGGTTGTCATGAGAGAGTAAATGCCACTGTAGCTTTGGCCGATGATGAGTAGAATCATTAGCGATTCCGGATCGGTGAGAATGACTCGTAAGATGGGTAGAGGGTTTTTGAGCTGGGTTTCTTTATTTACGGACAGCTCTGGCGATTTCCAGTGCCGGTTCCGACAGAGCATCTGCTTAATACTTCTATTCCACCATGGCGGAGGCGTAGATCCGTCATGAACAACGTTGCGTGAAGTCTCAGGAAAGAAAAGCACCATTGGAATGAGTAGTACAACCGCTGCTATACTAAGGAACCAAAATATAGCGTGCCAGCCTAGATGGCTGGTCAATAAGCCCCCGGCAACAGGGGCACTGGAAATTTGCCAACTCGTTAGTAAAAACATACTTGATGGTCAAACGATGCTTACACAGTAGGTCCAATGATCTGCAGGGCCAGCATCACGCCTAAAAAGGAGCCCCTCTGCTTGGAAGCCGCTATATCGACAGCCACTGCACTGGCCAATGCAATGGTAGGCGAGGACCCTGCGCTCTGGAGACAGCGTAGACCAATTAAGCTGCCGTAGTTTGATTGTAGTGCCAGTCCAATGTTAGCCGCAATGTAAAGCGCAAAGCAAACCAAAAATGCCGGTCTTCGGCCCACGGCATCAGAGCAAGTGGCAATGAAGACGGGTGAGATGCCCTGGAAGATCTAACGCCTGTAAGTAATGGCAGTACATAGCTCGATTCTTCAACAAACCATAAAAGTAGTGATCGTTAAATTGACCTTCGAGTCGCTAACGTGCAGATCCTCCGCGATGGGATTTAGAGCCGTGAGGTATATATTGGAGGACATTGGCGAGATCAAACTGGCGACCGAGGCCATGATCGTAATGAGATATTTGGATGTCGATGTGAAGATTGAGAACGGGATATTGAGAGTCCCTTGGAACTCTGAATCTTCATCTTGAAGTTTCTTCGCCGCTTCTGGAGACAATGTACTTGTGCTGGTAGTGCTGGCACCCATCGCGGACCAATATAGTTCGACGCTCGAAACCCGCCGCGACGTGGATTCGAGTCAATACTTGGGCACGGATTGTCAATCAAGGGGTAGAATAAAATGTCCGAAGTCCTGATTCTAAATTGGTAGAGCTTGTTTTGATGGGATCTGCATTAAACTATGTGAGCATACCTTGTATCCTCTGCTGGATACCACGTACTTTGGAAGGGGGTTGACTTTTCGTGACACCCACACTGCCCTTCACCCATCTGAGCCAGGGCATTCAATTTAGTTAGATTTGTTGCCGAGGTCGTCTTGCCCAGGTAGGGAGTGAGCTTCGTAGGGCGCAGGAATGACATGGTTGAATTCGAAGAGGCATGGCTGCGAAGTCATGTAAAAGATGTTGTGGTAGGGAACTAAATGCGTGTAGACGCGTTATTTGAGCATAGCTGATAGCTTTTAATTTGAAAGGTTTGGAGCTCTGGGTTTTTGGTTGTGTGATGCAGCATGTGCGAGTTCGTCGCTCGGATGATATTGTGGAGAAGAGTACAACGACAGCGGCAGCAGCCGCAGCCGCAGCGACTAGAGCGCTCGAATCCACAGTGAATAACTCGAGAAAGGAAAATATCGTTAGCATCTGACTGGGACGAGATAGTATTCGTGTGCTTTGCGAGTTCACGCCCGAGTTTTGACTCTTTGGTTATATGGAGAATAGTTCGATCTTTGCAAACCACAAAATTCGAGGTGAAAATTCACAGATGACGATTAAATATGAGACACGCACAGTGCAACGAAACCGAGAAGAAACTGACAGTAAAAAGTGGATGCTTATAGCGCAATTGCAGTGCCCACAAAGGGTTTATTTGCAACACGGTGTATACTTAAGTACACAGAGAATGAACCACGAAAGATAACATTTGTCGGACTCAAGCTCTGTGGCGGTTCCAACATGCCATGGCACTTTGGGCTTTACGACTTCTGTTGTCTCCTATTGCCACTTACCTGCTGCGTGCTGATATTTACACCTGCGAGCCCATATTCGCCATCTACCCCTCACCAACCTGACACCCACCACCAAACTCAGCAACAATGGGAATGAAAGCTCGCTGCCAATGCGGAAAAATCCAATTCGAAACACCCACAGACAAACCACTCAAGCTCTGGATCTGCCATTGCACAGAATGCCAGCACCAAAGCTCCTCTGCTTTCGGCATCACCGCCACATTTCAATACTTTGATCTCCCTGGTGAATCATCCAGTCTAGCAAGCAGCTATACGCGTGTCACGATCAAAGGCCGAGAAATGGAGTGCCTATTTTGCAAGAGCTGTGGTGCCCGTCTTTTCCATCGCTTCAAAGATGCCGTGCCGGCACAAGGAGAGCAGCCGCATTTTTCTGCAATCACCAATGTTAAGGGAGGCTGCTTGGAAGACCTCAATAAGGAAATGCTGCGGAATGCGGTCCATATCTGGTGTCAAGAGGCTATCATCGATATCCCCGATGGCGTGGAGAAATGGGATCAGGCGCCACCGCAGCCGAATCCGTTGGTTACATGATAAGCTGCCGGGGATATTGGTTTGGAACAAGCATAAGATGTAACTCTCAACCAAAAGAGAGAGAAAGTGTGTATTAAATCGAGAGTCCATACCAGAACTCAATAGTAGTATGTGAAATGCAAATTATCCAACCACCGAAGTCCAGCCATTATCAATTGCAATGGTAGCACCGTTGATCTGGCCAGCACCTCTCCCGTAAGTCATGTTTACACAGAACCCGGCAACTTCATTGATGTCGACAAAGGGCGCCTGGATTGCCTCCAGCACTGTCTTCATCTTCTCCATGCCCGCAGCATTGAAACCAGACCCGAAAGCATCGGCGATGTTGGTCTCCATAGCACCCATCATAAGAGCATTGCACTTAATTCCCATATTACCGTAGTAAGCAGCAGTATTCTTGGTCAATCCGACGAGACCATGTTTGCTAGCCGTGTACGCAGCACCTGGAAGAGTTAGCCGAGAAACAAGAACGAGGGTTAGATAATTCATACCACTGGCCCATCCAGCCTTGCCAGCAACAGAAACAATATTGATGATGCGGCCGTCGGGCTTTGGCTGTGCCAGCATATTGCGCACGGCAAGTTTACTCAACAATGCCGGCGCGGTAAGGTTGATTGCCATGACGCGATCCCAAAGCTCCATGTCCATATCGCCAATTGGATCGAAGTGGTCCATGATACCGGCATTGTTAACGAGGACATCGACCTTGCCGAATTCGCCAATAATAGTCTCGAATAGGCTCTCAACCTCGTTGGTCTTGGTGATGTCGGTCTTGATGGCTCTCAAGGGTCCCTTGGGGGATAACTCGGCCGAGGTGGCTTGTAGACGTTCTTCGTTGACATCGCAAATGACCACGTTGGCGCCAGCTTCAAGGAAATGGGATGCGATTGCCTTGCCTAAGCCGCCGCCACCACCGGTGATGAGGCAGGTCTTTCCTGAGAGAATCTGCTCGGACATTTTCGTAGATGTTTGATGAAAGAGAAACACTGGGCAATGAGGAATATGAAGAAAGGTTAAGACAAAGTGAAAAGAAAGAGAAAAAGAGTATCTAATTATACTTCAAGTTGTAGCTTGAAGTCCGTACAACAATTTCGGTTAAAATTCTGAAGATAGGGGGCAATACAATTGAATTCTATTGCGATTAAAATATTTTCAGCGACGGAAGACTCTCCCTCCGATTTCCGTTGACGTTGGACCACGTTGTTATCCACATTGGGCTTGGGAAGTCGGTTCGGTTGCCGCGTGTCTCTGGGGTACAGCCAACATGGAGGCCATCGAACGATCTATGGAAGCTGGCCCTGCCGAGTGGAAATTAATGCCTGTGGTTACAGTACTCGTAGGTCTGAGCGTTTGCTGCGTGTATTGTATGAATTGGTAGGTGATGGGCCTGGTAATTAATGTATGTGAGATGAGTTTGAGTAGCTTGAATAAAGAAGAAGAGCAGAAATTGAGTAGACTCAAAGTAGAAACAACGTTCATAGGCATCTGCATGGTTTTGACCTATGTCGTTGCAGCTAATTCTCACCCCGGTTCCGGGAAGATCCCTGCTTCATGCATTGCTGCCTGAGGCACGCCGGGATCTAGGCTATCCGAGAGCCCTAAGCCCCATTTCCTATTTGGGACATGTCTTTACGATTGTAGTATCAACATCTGAATCTTGGAATTTGATTCATTCCAAGTATGATCAATGGATGTGAATCCATAGATATGAGTCTGATCAGAAGTATGAATTGAAGCCGGACAATATTGGATTGACCGACCAAAAGACACCCGCATCATCTCCTGAAATCATGGGGAACATCCATCGGTCTGCGATCAGGTGTTTTATGATGAGTGTTTGCTGAAAGCTTCAGGATGGAATAGGGAAACCTTTTTTGAAGCTCACTTGAAGGCACCGGATCACAATTTACTCCGTACGAACGGAATACTGCGTAGCAATCAAATCGTTGGAAAATCTATACGTAGTTTGGGGAAACCTTCCAAGTGAAAGTCATTTGAGACTGATTCATCGTAATTTATGCTATCAGCAGCAAACATGTTATTCACCGAACTATAAGCAGAGACCCTGAAAGCGTCCATGTCAAGAAGACTATCTGATCCACCATATCTAAGAGTGGGTCTTCATAGTACTAGGGGTGTCTTATGCAGCTCACACCAACACTGAGCCTGGAGACGAAACAGAGTATTCAAAGCAAAGAGTAAAGAAAGACCAGAGACAGCATCAGCCGCCATACATAAGTATGACAGAAGAAAAGAGTTTGAATCGCGTAGGTGAGAGCGACAGAGCATGAGAAAGGAAAAGGTGAGAGAGAGTTTAATGTTTACCAAGTGCCCAGCCTCAAGTCCAAGGTGGTATCGCCCCAGAAAAAAACCAAAACTGCCAAGCAAGTGCTTCATTTGACTTGACAGCTTCTCAGCGGTATGTCTATCAGCCACAGTGGAGACATTCAACCTCCCCCACGCATGCTCTGATTAGGCAACGACTGGATATTTCAAGGTTATGAACCAAAAGAGAGCCCAGAATGAGAGTTGCGGCACAGGGACCAGAAATGTTTAAGTAAACGATGGTGGCATCCGCCGATAGTGCCCAGGCGGATAGTAATGCCCAGGTGTGTAAGGGGCCCAAGTACCGGCTACCGGCCCTACGCCACATAAGGTTTACCGGGGCTCTGCCAAGTGAGAAAAATGGCCCACGATAAGTGAGAAGCCTGTGAAAGTACTCCAACAGTTTCTCTCGACAGCGATTTCTCTTGCAATTGCCTAATTGCCTCCTTATCATGCCCTTGATATACCGAGACTCTCCCCGCAAAGAAGCCGAGCTAAGGGTGGTTCTCCGACCCGGTTGGCAGCCGAGCCCCACAGCCATCGCGCAGACCTTCTCTATCCGGCAATCGAGCGAGAACATCTATCTTATCACGATGTCAGTCTGGTTACCCCGGGGTTATGACACAAAGTATGGGGTGTGTGCTCTTTCTTGAGGTGTCTGTTTATAAGTCAACCGGCCCCCTTGCTGAGCGTTTTTCAAGGCCGCCTTTGCCACTTGCAACCTGCAGTCATGTCAGAAGAGGAGAACCAAAAAGTGTTTCAGGGCACGCCGAGTGAAGATGTACGCCTGGAGAATCTGGGATATGAGCAGGGTAAGTCCAGTCTTCGGGTTCTTCAACATGGGTACTGATCTCTGCAGAGCTCAAACGCTCCTTCGGTCTGATCAGTATGATTGGATTTAGCTTCAGTGTCGTAACATCGTGAGTAAGATTCAAGATCCGGTTGATTGATGCTGATTAGTTGCATAGATGGACCGCGTTGAGTGGTGTCTTCATCGTCGGAGTATCTTCTGGGGGTCCCCCCGTGATGGTCTTCAGTTTCATCGGTGTTAGTCTGTTGACTCTGGCCGTTGCAATTCCCATGGCGGAGATGTGTTCGATGTATCCAGTAGCAGGTGGCCAGTATTCTTGGGTTGCGGCACTTGCACCACCGAGTATCGCACGAGGCCTCTCTTATGTGACAGGGTGGTTCATGCTCATCGGTGAGTTTGTTGCCCGGCGCGTGGAAAATCTTCTAATCTGTGACAGGACTCCTTGCGATGGGTGCGACCAACAATTCCATCGCGTCCAACTTTGTGCTGGGAATGTCGAATCTGGTCTTCCCCGAATTCGAGATCCAAAGATGGCAAACAGTACTCGTTGCTTATTGTGTCGCGTTCCTCTCCACAGCCGTCAACCTTTGGGGGTCACATTTCCTGCACAAGATTTCCAAAGGAATCCTGATTTGGAACGTCTGTTCCTTTGTCATTGTCACCGCCACAATCCTTGCTATGAATGACCATAAGCAGCCCGCCTCGTTCGTTTTCCAGGACTTCCAAAACGGTACTGGATTTGGCACGGGGATGGCTGCAATCATCGGTGTTCTCCAGGCTTGCTTTGGAATGTGCTGCTATGATGCTCCCTCACACATGACCGAAGAAATGAAGTCTGCTTCCAAGGAGGCACCCAAGGCTATCGTTCTAGCTGTGATCCTAGGTGCTGTCACTGGATTTGCCTTCCTGGTCACTCTTTGCTTCTGTATTGGCGACATCGAGTCAACCGCCAACACGAGCACAGGAGTACCCGTGATCCAGATTATTTACGACTCAACTGATAGTATAGCCGCCACTTGTGTGCTCTCCACTTTGATCTCGGTGATTGTCATTGTCGCAGGAAACAACATCCTCGCCGAAGGCTCACGCGCCGTTTACGCTTTTGCTAGAGACAATGGCTTGCCCTTCTCCAAGTTCTTCAGCACGGTCGAGAGCAAGAGTCATGTTCCGGTGAATGCTGTACTACTCACCCTCGCGGTTCAACTGGCCCTCGGTGCCATTGAATTCGGTACCACCACTGGATTCCAAACCGTTATTGCTATTTCGACAGAAGGCTTCTGTAAGTCCCCAACACCTCACCTCACTGGATTTATCACTTATCAATCTTGCAGACATGTCATACGCAATGGCTCTCCTAAGCCGACTTCTTGGCTACTATACCGGCCACGTTACCAAGCTCGATGGGCCATACGCATTCTCCGCACCAGTATCCATCGCCCTCAACATCATCGGACTCCTCTTCCTTCTCTTTGCGGCAATTACTTTCAACTTCCCCAGCGAGAACCCGGTCAGTCACGAGTCCATGAACTACACTAGTGCGGCTGTCGGTGTCGTTGGTCTCATTAGCTTCATGACGTGGATCACAACGGGACGGAAGCAGTTCTCGGGTCCGGGCGCAGTGAGCTTCTTAAGCGGTCAAAATACAGCCGCTCGGAATGCGGAGCCAGCAGAGCATGTGGAGGAGAAGAAGATTTGATATATCACATTGTGCAAGGTTCATTCATACGCACAGCGTGTGTGATGCATTTTCGATATAGATCAACAGAATTGTTTGCTTTAAAACCCAGGCTAAGAGCTGTCAAATGGTTACAAAATCTTCTATGTATATTATAATTCAGTTCAATGCAGATCACTCCAGGGATTCCAGGTCCCCCATCTCTACTTAAGGATGAAGTACTCTGTGTCAGCCTGTGGGGTATATCCGTGCTACCTGGGATTGATTCCCTCATGCAAGGCCCCGCAAGTGAACCTACCTCAACGACAAGTATACTATCTCATTCTTGGTTACAGCTCGCTCCATCACCGCGCAGATTTATCCAGCAGGTCCCACTTCAGTAGGTTGCCCCATAGTTTATACGGAGAAGAGGCCGCATCCTGACTGCCTTGATCAGCAGCTATTGGAAGTGTTGATTTGAGTGGCATGGATACCCAAATTCGGACCGATCAAGCCAAGAGTTTGTCTATTTATGAACAACTTTAGAACGAAGCAATTTCAACATCTGAGCAATAGAAAAAAAGAACTGATCCTATAACAAAAAAAAAAAGATGGTCGGGGGTACAGGAGGTAGCACCAAATGAGCCGCGGAGAGTGGAAAGCGTCGTTCATCTAACTTGACGCTTTCCAATGACGATCCCGATGCACATTGTTACTATTCTTGGGTCCAAAATCATCTCATTGTTTGAGCCTTGGCAATTGCGTATTTACATCTCTCAGAGGTAATAATTTGCCGCAGATCTATGGATCTAGTCCCTAGGCGACTATGTAAGTGTTGATAAAAGTCTCCAATCCCTACCTGTCTCAATATGACTCCGGCAAGAGATAACGGCTGCCTCTTTGAACTGCATTCGCTTGTGACCTGCCAACGTAACACTTTATGCAAGGATTCGATGACGCAATTTAAATTCTTCTTCGGGATTACATATGCCATGCAGAATGTAAATCTACGATCTGATCTAGTATACTCTGCGCATTGATCTTGATATTTTCACACCGCCGTTGTGGTGGTCGGACAGCTAATTCGCCAAATATAAAGCGAAGCAGGATTTTCCCAATGTCTTGCGTTCTAGCGTGGATGATCGTGTGAATCTTGCAGCTCGTATAGTCAGTCTTGCATCTCTGGTCATTGGCCGCGCATGTAGATCGCCGGAGGAGGGGTGGTCGGTGTGTGGCTGCGGCGTGATCCATAAGAAAAGAACTAGCACCTCAGGTTTCACTGCAGTTCGTACCGTCTGATCCGAAGGACTTTAAATCAGAAGGCCTGTGGTCAAGATATATTGTTATTTTCAAAAGCTTGTCCAGACACTCGAGGCATGCTGATACAACACCCCGGAACCTCTTCGCCTGAGATGGATCACTCGATCGTTCCCATGGCTTCTCTCTTTTCAGATGAGAATTTCAGCACCAATGTTGCATTGAGAACTTTGAAGAATCTCCAAAGTCTCAGTCCCCAGACTCGTTTCATCCGGTTCCAATGGCAGGACCTCTCGGGCGTGCTGAGAGCTCGCGTAGCACGCATTGAATATGCATTGCAATTGGCAAATGACAAAAAGAATGTCCGGATAAGCCCTGTGGGCCTTCATAGTACAGTGAGCAACCATCTTTTCATCAATGGATGTATGCAGGGGATGCAAACATTGATGGCCGACTGGTCATCTATGAGGATTATGAAAATAAATTCTTCAGGACCTTCGTATGCAACAGTGATGTGCGGCATCCTTGGGAATTCCCCTGGAATACCTCTTCAACCCAGCAACATATGCCCAAGAGGTGCACTCGCAAACGTGATCCGCAAAGCATCCGAGGAACATGGTGTGAGCTTCCTCGTCGGATTCGAGGTGGAATTCGAAATCGTCAAGATCGGTCCTTGTGGTAATGTGGTTTCAGAGAGCACCAGGATGGGCCGATACTCCGTGGATGGAATGCTCGACCCCTGTTTCCAATATGTCGAAGAGGCGGTACAGGAAATGGTCGAAGCCGGGGTCCTTCTCCAGGAAATTCATACTGAGGGATCCGTGGGCCAGTATGAGATCACTGTCGCTCCGTTACCACCTCTGCAGGCGGTAGACCAGCTAATCCTGGTCCACGACACACTGAAACGAGTATTTGCTCGCCATAATCTCATCGCCAACATGTCCCCAGTATCGATCGCCAGCGCAGAGCAAGGAACAGGTCAACATACACACATCTCTATCAACCCACCCATCAAAGAAGAAGCCTTCTTGGCAGGTATACTCAAGCGACTTGCCGGGCTTTGCGCTTTCACTCTTCCCCATGATGTGTCATATGTTCGCGTGAAGGCACTGCAGGCAGGTGAGCACATTGCCTGGGGGACCCATGCTCGGCAAACAACTATCCGAAAGATGAACCCAGGGCACTGGGAGCTCCGATGCGTGGATTCGACTGCCAATATGTATCTCAGCCTTGCTTCGGTCTTTAGCGCGGGTCTTTTGGGCTACCAAGCAGAGGAAGCTCTCGTCTGGCCAGACATGGCGCTCGAGTCCAGAGAAAAGCTTGCAGCCGAATCAGAACGAATGCCACATTCGGTGGATAGTGCTCTGAGCTGTCTTGATGGCATTTCAGAGGAGCTTCAGTCGATGATGGAAAGCAGTGTTGTTCAACATTACCTCGAAATGAAACGGTGGGAGTTGAGTCTGCTGAGGAACATGGATCCTAAGGATGTGAGGGCACTACTTGTGAAGGTATTCTAATATTCGAAACGGCAGCTTGGAACTTTATATACTGCGGATAATCAATGCATGCTTCATGATGCGTGTCAATGTTGTTGGAAATAACAAACGCCTTCTTGCAACTTCGAACAAATAAAAAAATCTTTCAAATCACCCCAGAGCTCAGCATAGAAGAACCGAATTCCAAAGCGCTGGCCAATCATTCAAGCAGTACTCCGTACTCCATAAAACGCCGAAATGTAAATAATTACAATGATATTGGCATTGGCGTGGAGTGACTTCAAAAGTCAAAGTGAAAACGATTCATAAGAGTGCCTTGATGAGACCGCGGGAACCAAAAGCAAAAACTGCCCCAAGGGTCTCCAATACTTAAGTATGTCCTCATATTAGGTGCCCATGAACCCAAGGTATTACCTGTCCTTGAGTGCAGCTTGGACGCTTCGCGGGTGCTCACCGACCGAATTTCCAGGTGAGAACTATGCGCTCGGAGAAATATTCTCCAGCCACTGGGATTTGTATATTGTCTTTATTTTCAAGTTAGAAAATCGTCTGTTTGTTCACATGTGGGAGTAGTTTTGGCAATCTTACCACGCCCGTCGTGCCAAGACCTCCATCTTCGGTCGGCCAGCTCCACACGTGGATCAATCCCCACAGCGACGGTATTATCGGTATACGAGTGTAGTGGTAACGCGGTGGCTGAAGCTGCTCAATATTGTCAGCAAAAGTAAAATAGTTATAGAAAGGGAGGCTCGGTTTGACGTGCTTGCTTCGATGTCAGAGATCCGTCTACCAAAATATTTCCAAAAAGAGCAAATCAGCTGTATGACAGCAACAACGAGGGCGAAAATCGCGATCATTGCTTCAGTGGAAACTTGCATTGTGAAGAACAATAATGTAATTTGATTGAGGTTTAAAATGGTCGGGGATTTTGAACACCGTATTTTTAGACTCTTTTGGGCGGAGCGTGGTAGTAGTAAAAGATTTTTTTCTTCACCAGGATGGGATCTGAACTTGAACTTGAGAGTTGCGAAAGGAAATTTCGCTTGGGGATGCGGCTCCCAGGTCCCACTCGAGCACAGTAGAGGAGGGGAGATTATATGACCAGGGCTCGGTAAGGAGGATTAATGGGAAATAGAAGACTGACGGGTGTTTTCAAGAGTTTATAGCAAAGCAATTGAAAGCAATGACCTACGGGGGAAGCTTGTTCCTGGTACCTGTTCAAGGCTGTACAGTTGCTGATAGAAAAGATGACTTGGATCGGCGCATTGATTGCCATCCCTCACCTTTTTTTTTTTTTTTTTAATGGATTGAGATTTAACCTACAATTGAGATGGAATCGAGAATGGTATCTTTTTTTTCAAAAAAGAAAAGAAATAAAAATTGACTTATTCTATTCTTTTTTTAAATTTCAATTTGCATTTAACATTGGGGCTCTCTAATAAGTAGATATGGAGTACACTTGTAAATCATGATCATCCTTCGGAAAAATAACAGCATTTCTTTCATGCTCCTCCAGATACGGCCTAAAAGCATACTAAAGCACACCAAAGCATACTCAGCAGTATACAAATACAAATATAATAATCAGACAGTTACGTAGTACTGAAGCTATTCAATATTGTTAGCAAAGATATGATATCTATCACAAGGGAAACATGATACGGAGTATCTGCTTCTAAATTTCAATGTCAAAATTTCGTCTACCAACGTAGTTCTAAAGAATGCTGGGTCACCGCGATCAGGTGACCGCTTGCTCTGTATGGAATAATAATTGCGGAGCGTAGCGGAGCAATTATGTTACAGTTCCCCCTGATCACGTGATCTGGATATGTATTGGGTCCCAAATCACAGGAAAAACAGCTTTTGAAAAGTAGCTCTGTTACTCGCGGCAGAATGATGTTGCTGCCCACTAGTCCCGATTCGGCCACAACCTCACATTCTGGCGAATCATATGCCCCAAAACACTTAAGGAAAGAAAAGGAAGGTGCACTAAGCGCTACGCTCCGCAAAGGCCAAATGCCCCCCTCCCTAGGGTCCTGCTATCTGGGGACCAAAGGTCCTCATGATCCCTAGTAGACCCAGCTCCTTTCGCCTCTCTCTTTTGTTCCTTTCCTCCTACCCAGCAGAGTCAACCTACTTCTAAAGTTAAGTACTGCGTGCTTTGCCTCTCCTACTTGCTCTCATCGAAACTAACTATTAACAGTATCAACGAGGGCAAGGATTGTGAATCTTGTTTCATTGAATACAGGCATCGTGTCAATGACAATAATCCTAAGACAGAGTTGAATTGCATTTACTAGCCTAATGATTTTTTTCTCTTGAAAAAATGAAGAAAGATTGGTTGGAAGATTCGACAGAATGGGTGTTCAGCGGGGGTTCCAAAAATGAAAGCATAGGCTGATCTGGCGTTTTTGGCATATTTAATCATCGCATGTAATACAGCGGCTCAACCCCTTTAATTACTTAACAAATCCCCAAGAATTTTGTTGGATTGTCATGGCCAGCCCCTTGGTGTGAAAATGCGTCAAACTGGTGATAATGGGCTTATCAGAGTCCAGACTTGCAGGATGAGAATAAACTGAGACAAAAGATTGAAGTGAGTTAACAACTCTTGGAAGATCGTGACGGGATTGAGAGCATGTGGCCAGGTATTACACTGCACAACCTTCACCGAGGGGGAAAAAAAGAAGAGAGAATGAGAGAGGGAATGGGTTCCTGATTCGCGTTCACCACATTTCTCTACATCAGGTGAAATGTATGGAATTGAGGATTTTGGGCAATCCAACGTTTTAGGAAGGTCCTCGCCAGTGCAACACGCCTACTAATTCCATTAGCCGTTTCAACGACCATCAAATCGACTACCAAGGGCTCGTCTTGTGAAGTCCCCCATGCTGATGAATGTTTCAGTGGCTTCCCCGCAACATCACGCCAAAGGTTTTCGTCCCAGACTGTTTCATCCATGGGAAGTGCACCAATTTTCATGGAGAGAGCCAGCAAGTCGAATCTAGCATCTGGGTTCTGTTGGCGGGTATGACTGATTCGTTCCTTGTTGATGGAGTTGTCGATGACTTGGGCCTCAAAATCGCCGACTTCGATAAAATGACCGGATTCGTCACTGTCGCTCTCAGACTTTAACTTGAACTGACTGATATCGAGTGACTGAGTATATATAAGGATAGACCCAGGCGGACATTTATGAAGTCTGGAGGGGAAGCGTCTTTGAATGTTTTCTTCGGACATTCTTCCCTGGGCCATCCCGTGTGCTTCATCACAGAGCTCTGCCAAAGATCTCCACCTCGTAGTGGCAATTCTACCAAACTCATCCCAGGTTGCGTCGATGTTGAGGTAGTTCGGTAACGGTGCTGAGAAGCATCCTTCTTTCCAGGCAAGAATAACAGCAATCCGTACCAGTGCAAATTTGCAGGCGCGTTCTTCGCACCCGCGCCGCCAAAGTTGATCCATGTTAATGATGTTATAAGGATCGGATAGAGCTGTTCTTTCGCTTTCAAGGTTTTTTGCTTTTTCCAAGTCGTGGGTTTGAAGCTGTATCAGGAGCTCTAGCTCATTCGATCCCTCTGGCTCCCCTAGAGCATTTGCGACGACCTGAATGCTTGGCCGTTGATCGAAGTCCGGGGGAATTGCCCATGTCGCTAGTGATGCCCGTAAATCTCTCCAATAGCCGGGGGACGTTTTGAACATGTCCGGGGTTTGAACGTCAATAGGACATTTTATGGAAGCCCACGACCATGAGGGAAATGAATCTTCAAAGTCCGCGCGTCTTTCGGGATAGGATCCATCACGAGCCACCCAAAGAAGTGCATCGCTGAACATACTTAGAGGTAGGCCGTAATACGTGTGCGGCCCCCACACCCTATACAAAATCCCAGCAAATGAGCGAAGTATATCAGACTCATGCGTGAGATCTCTCCTTGTCAATTCTGCTGCCAGTGTACCCTGACAGCTCACACACGTGCATACCGACATGTTCACTCCGCTTTTCGGAGTGCCTAGAGAGTCAATGTGTTAGAATTCCTTGAAAGGTTTAGTTCACTGCAGGTCAACACATCTGGGCAAAAGTGAGCTATAAAACTGCCCCGCAAATTGCGTGCCCGGGCCCGGGGCTGAAGGATCCACATAAAATTGAGCTGAAGGGTGTTTGACGCACTTGGGCACATGGTCTACAGGTCAACGCAGCGCTTATCTGTAGATCCCCCTGACATCAGAAATAACATTCTGCAACATTGGAAAAAGTATGTTCGAGGAAAAACTATAGAACCTTGGAAGAAGATGATCATGGGTCCTATTCCCTTGAAATTTGAGCAAACGAATATATACATCAGTGGTAGCAAGCAGCATAACCATTGAAAGAAACAAGATCAAGATCCAGAGAATCACACCCAGGACAGCACGATAGTCATATCACACATCATAGAACCGAAACTCCTATGTATCCCAAACTCCCCAAACCAAGGCAAACTCTGTAAAGTGCAAATCATCAAGCCATAAAATTGATATTCCAAAGGTTCACTCTCACGGATTGCGCGAGCGATTAGCATCAGTATCAATCTTCCCACAGCTCGGACCATCCCGATCCCCATATCTGCCATAGGATCTCGATCTCGGATCCGGATGTGAGGGGTAAGAAGTGGAGGAGCTGCGGCTCAGGGAGCCGGGCGACGAGGGCGCAGTTGAGCCGGGAGTTATCGCTGATGCAGATGTGGGGTTTGCCATGGCTCTTGCGGCGGCAGCTGCAGCTGCGGGGTTACAGTGTGCGCAAACGAAGATGTTAAAGCCGCGGCCGTTGCAGCTAGGACAGATAGAACCTCTGGTTATGTCAGTAGTGGATTAGAGGGCGGAGATGGGAATTGGTTACCTTGGGGCATTCCCGGCGCAGCTCTTGCATGTGACTACTGTTCGTCCACTGATGCATGATATATGCTCCGGGTCGAGGTTGAACAATGTGTGGGTGGAAGCCATTGTGGAGATGGAATTTGGAAAATGTGGATATTTGGAGTTTAATTAAAGGCACTGTAGCTTTGTGATGTTGTTCTTTGTGATGTCTTGGAGTCAAAGGGTTGACAGGAGGAGTTTTGTCAAAAAACCTCAAAGAAGGGAACAAAAGGAGACAATGGTGTCGGGCTTGATGATCAGATGTAAGTCAAATCGTGTCTAGGCCAGAGCATAACGAATCCAAGAATGCGGCGAACGGGTATCTTATATCTCCCTCCTAAAATAACAGCGGTTGTGGCACCGGTTCACTGATCTCACGAGGCTTTCAGGTGTTACATACGCAGAATATGCACCGCGACAGACCGTAGAATTGATGACGGGTCAGGATCGAGTCCAATGTCCGGATCACCAGGACAGTAACCTCAAAGGCGCGACGGTGATAGGACAGATGGGTGACTCGGTTCATTTCAATTTACATGCATAATTGGGGGCGAATGTCGCTCGAATCCTTCGGTCATGTTCGGGACTATTTCCCGAAAAGGGAAAAATAGAGGACCAGAATGAAGAACGGCGCAAGGCCTGTTCTGGGCTTAGCTGAGGTTGAACCCCGCCGTAGATGCGTGCCTGTTCAATGTATGACGGGGATGCAGGGTTGCTGAAACAGGAGCTGGTGGGGAGGGTTCTAGTGTATTTCGATTGATCCACACTGTCGCTCAGTCGTTAGCAAAAGAGCCATATTGGCTGGTCTTATGCCGTGGGAAGAACATTTGTGGAACGAGCCTTGGCCGTCGAATCAGATTTTTCAGACGTGTGTTTCGCAAGCAATTTACGCCCCCTAAAGGACATGGCTGCTACCACAATCCCGTATCACGACACTGTGCCGACGCCAATTGTTGGGAACTCTGTAGACCGTCACATTAATGCCCAACTGAGAGGATGGTGTGTCGGGAAAAATAGGACGAATAAAAAAGAGCGTGAGCACCAACCACGGATGGCTGCATTTGGACCATGCGGCCATCTGATTTTCGAGACTTGAAGCCCACATGCTGGATATTCAATGGGTTTCCCAGTGGAGTTCGTAAGCTGTCGTCGCATTCTCTCTGAGGTAAGATGGGTCCTTTCCATCCCGACCAAATGGAGAAAATAGTCCCATATGCACACCCCAAAAGCTCGATGGTCAGATGGTCACCTGCACTCTTGCAAAGACTCGATCTGGAACGGTATACGAGTATCGCTTAGTGAATGATCGTTCCCGCACGGATCTACCATCAACGGGATGATCATGGCTGCATTGATCTCCACAGGCACATATTGTACATTACTCCGTACATGGTCAGCACAATCTCCGATAAGCAAAAGCGGATACACGGACCTGGCAAGCGCTCGTGGTGCGGGCTGAAAAAGAAAAGAGACCTGAGATGCATGATGTGAGGTGAAAAGAAAGCTGTGTGTGAGGTGTGAGCTGCCAATCAGAGGGTGTCAGAAACCAAAAATTGCTCGGCCGGCCAATAGTCGTTAATATCCGAGAGCCCGAGGCGCCGTGGATGTGACATAGCTTCACGCAGCTAGCCGGCTGGTCGCGGCAAGGACAGGCCCAGCCAGATTCCCATTTAACATTTCAATGTGACAGGGGGTTCCTGGTGGCCGTTTTAGCCTTCGTGATTATCCGAGTCACACGTCGGACCTCCCGATCTCTGCATTGTTTGTGCTGAAGCTGACGGGATCTGCTTTAGATCTTCTCACTTGGATAAAGCCACCCCGTTATGTCAACGCATGTTGGCCGCTCTCGGCACTCAGGATTGGGCGAAAATGGGTCATTGAACGCGATACATGCAGCCAGCCTTTTCAATCACGCGCTAAACCGGGATTTCGTGTCAGGCTGCGGGTCAAGGCTCTGCATTGGCGGTAAGGCAGAGAATGTTCCATAGGTCTCGAGATGGCAACTTGAGACTTCCGAAGGTCGACCCGAAACCACGTTAATCGTCTTTCTTGCCATTGGTGTGACTGAACCCCGAGGACGCCGAAAAGATGAGAACCTCGCGTTGTACATGCAGGTCAGCTGATATGAACTTGTGGGATACCTGCAGCCCAGTTCTCATTGTATATGCAAGAGGTGTGTGGGCTTGGGATCCTTTGTTCGTGGGTTGGAATGTCTCTGGGTTGACGATGGGTTTCAGATCATGTTCTCATGTATTGGGTTGACAACTGGGTCCAGCTCGGGATGGGAGAGTCAAAGAAGAGAAACACGGAGACGTTCAAACTTCAAGAAAAACCGATGTCTCCGAGCATCGGCAATGAGAGATAAAGGATAATATGCATGAAAGCAGATATGAAATGAGCTCACATGAAATGAACTCACATGCAATGCTCAAGCCCAGAATGCTCGGGCGGAATGATATCACGGTGCATTTTAAAACGAAACTATCCTAAGTCGGTACCTGGCAGGGTTACACTGGTACTCTGTACGGAGTAGAGAGGCCTTCAATTCTTACTCTTTACGTTGAAAAAGAAAGCATTGTCATTCTTGCTCATTACAACCTGCAGAGCTATCACATTGAGGGGAAAGATAGAGCTGGGGACGCTACGTGGCGTTCATTTGACCATAAAACTGAAAAAGAAAAGCGAAGAGCAAACAAACCACCCTTCCTATCCGAACGCCAGGGTAATCTTAAAGCCATGGAATCGTAAAGCCCCCCCAAAACACAAAGGGGTGGGTAAATTAGGAAAGATGAACGAGTAGCAAAGATAGCCAAGGACCTGGCTGGAGCGACCATCGCAGAATCAAGCGAAGTACTCATTTGGCAAAGCTGCTAGCGTGGCAACTGTTGCTAGACCACCCAGGAGAGCACCAACAAGCGCAGTAGTAGCATGGCGAGCCAAGCTGGTAGAGGGTGTGTGGGTTGCTTTGGCCCGCTTGGCCGGACGGTCATTCTCAGTGACCGCCGAGGTGTTCTCGGCTAGTGCAGAGGCAACCGCACACTTGGCTTCCTCTAGAGACGCCCGCTGGGTATGTTGAAGGGTGACAGATTCCGGAGGACCAGAGGACTCCATCTCAGAGGCGGGTCGCTTCATAATCCCAGCAGTGAGGGGAGGAGATAGAGGGAGGGGTGCAATAGGTTTGCTGAAGTTGGTGTTGATTGAAAATGGCCCGTCATGATAGACACGGCCCACAGACGTGGCCGAAGGCTCGAAGCTGAAAGTACGAGGATTGCCCTGGCAAGAACTCGGTAGCTTCAGAGATACAGCGTGTTCCGGGAATTGAGATTTTGGATTCGTCAGGCCCTGGAAAGCTTCCTCAATCCGAGTTGGGGACTCGAGAGACACGGAAGAGTCAATGATATGATCTTCCAACAGGCTCTCGTCAGCCTTTGCGGGTTCTTTCTGGAGAAGGTTGCGGAATGAAGAGGGACCTGCTTCCGCCATGTATTCCTTCGAAACCATGCCGGGTTGAGTGAAGTCCCAAGCATGGTAGATTGGCGAGGTGATCGAATCCATTCCATCGTCATCAGAGCCATCAGAGCACTCTCCAGATTCAGATTCGCCCTCAGATAATTCGGCACTCCAGGAATGTTCAGATGCGAAACTGCCTACACCAGATTCCTCATCTTCGTTTTCATCCAGTGAGTCTGGAATAGACTGAGAGTCTACCGAAACATCTGATTCATCATCGGTCTCGAAGTATTCATGTCTGTTGGTCCCATTATGTTCGTGGAGACTGCAGAGAGGAAGTTCCACGGGATCAACATTCCCGAGACTTTCATGCTCTTCATCATATTCGCAATCCCAGTCTTCCTCATCCGAGTCAGCAGATTCGTCGTCAGAGAAAATTATCTGTTTGAAGCCAGAATCCCAGTATGGGGGCGACTCGAGCCATATGTCGCCGATCATCCGGGGCTCCCAGGTCCTAACAATCCAGCATTTGTGACAATCGGGGACCTCGGATTCCTTGTTGATTTCCTCCTTGATCGCATCACTAAGAATGTCCCATGGCTTTTCAACAATCCACCACCAATTGTCCATTTCCTGGCCGTCTTGGTCCTCGCAGATGACCCAGTGTCGGCGCTTGTCAACGGCCCAGTATCTGAGATTGCGCCCGGGCATCCGGTGGAAAGAACTGTCCGACTCGCCTTCGGTCAGTGTGAAGGGAACTTCAGTACCAACTTGTGGTTGGAAGCTGGCTTGGTCATCCACCCAGTAAGAGTCGCGGGCCAGGGAGCAGCGGCGTGTGGCATGGATAATGCGCTTTTCGTAATCGACGTCTGGTATGTGGTCCGATTCACCCCAAGTCATATCGGCCAAACGCATGAAGATGGGCTTCATGATTTTCCAGTCGCTCAAAGTGTCTTCGGGTATCTTGTCGTAGCAGGATTCTGAGAATCGACCATCTTGCCCGAAGGAATGCAACTGGGCATTGGGAAGTGGGTTGTGCTCAGATGGGGCTGAGACTAGTATCAGTGGCCTCACGGGTTTCGAACCCATAGGCTCGAGGCTGCTCGATGAGTTATCACATGGCTGATCCACGGTGGCAAGATCAATGACCGCAGGATTAAGCGTCCTCTCAAGATTTGACTCCACGTCGGGCTCTTTTTTCTCACTCTTATCCACACCCATCACCGGTGAACGGTCTGCGAGATGACCCTCAGGCTTTGGCTTCACATCCTGATCTTGTGCCTCGCCCTTATCCACACTCGAGGGAGGCGAGGTCTCGGCGGGCTCAAGATGACCGGATTCCCAAGACCGAGGAACGGATTCTTTGGAGTCGTCACTGGGGTGATCAGAATGATCCTCCTGGTAGTCTTGACCAAGAACAAGAGAGGACTCCCCAGCGACACTCTCGTCTTCTTCGAAATCGCTCTCGTCATCGGGAACAGTAAATGTGTTTGTAGAACGACCGTCGGTGGCTTTGAAAGGAACTGTCTCGACTGGAGGGTCATCTGCAATGACTATCACCTCGCGCTTGGGCCAATCAATGTTATATCGGACTTCGATGGCTGGAAAACTGTCTGTGGTCATGTTAGATCGAATAAAGGTTCCAGGTTGTATATCAAACCTACCACGACCATGGTCCACGTTGACACCGAAGCGCAGAATATCTCCATCATACAGGGGAGTAAGGAGACCAGTGACCAACTTTGCGTCGTTCAGGAAAGTTCCATGAGTAGATCCAAAGTCGCAGACATGGGCGTTCTGCTAGTTTGTCAACATGAATATCACAAGTATGGGGGATATCGACTCACCCGTCGGTCCGGATTGATGGTCAGGGTGCAATGATCACGAGACATCACCCGAGAATCATACCAAGCATTGTCTACTGCAGGGGTTCGCTTTCTGATCTCACGCTTAGAGCATCGACCAATGGACACCTCCAGGTGGTCACCAGATGGGTTGAGGAGGAGAGAACGTGGGGGGTTGGCAACGTCGATGAGCGGCACCAACGTCACGGTGACTATGGGATATGGGTGTTAGCTTTCTCAAGATGCTGAATGTGATTTTAGACAGTCAAAAACTTACCGTGTTGGTCCGACATGGCGGCTGGTCAACTGTTGCTCTGTTTGATAGTTGAGAGTGAGGATGTGAAGTTTGTTGATTCTGAATGAAAGTTAGATACAGAGCATGGGGAGAAGTCGAGATATAATGCTTCAAGAAATGAGGGAGGGGATGAGGGGTGGAAGGAGAGGTAACAAAGACAGCTTACCCGGGTGTTTCCAGGCTGCAAGCTTACACACACGTATGAGCTGGTGTGATGGACAAGACAGCCCGGAAGTCTCCGCACTTCCGAAGCGAAAACACCGAGAATATTGCAATGAGAAATATGAAGACTTCTGGGGATCAAGAAGAAATGACAAGACAAGTGTAGGTCAGGTAGGTGTTAGGAGAGGAAAGAAGGGAAGAGGGGTAGTTGATGAATCAGGTCGGACTTAGGTTCACCGCTGAGCAACCAGGCACCGAAGGGCGGTCCAAAACTCTCAAGCTTGAAGATACTATTGGATTATTAGCACGTTTCGAGTCAGAACAAAGTCATGGCCCCCCCGGAAGCTCAGGAACAATGAGGTATGTATGAGAAGTGATAAGAAACGATAAGGTAGCGTTGGGCTTGGATTTGTGTATGTAGCCGGACCCTGGCCGAAGGATTTCCAGATGATGCTCTCCACCCTGGTCTAGTAATAACAGAATCACTTACCTTATTACGAGCTGAGAAGTATGTAAATCGGTGGGCAAGTAAATGAACAGTCAAAAGAAAGTCCGCAAGCCGATAAGAGAGTGGGTCAGCTGATGTGGGGCTTTGGGAATATGGCGTCATGGTCATCAGCACATACGAACTACTACTCTTATAGACATGAGTCGAGGAATTTTGGAATTGTCTCATTCTCTATTGTACACAAATTACTACATGGTCAAACTCCCAGATGAACTTGTAGTCTGCCGGTACCCTCCTAGTTAGCCCAAATAAGAAATAAAAGAAAACAACGGCCGGGGAATATGTCAACCGATAGTAGATACACGCAGAGAAATGGCTGGGCGGTTAGCCCTGAAGAGAACTGGCAGAGAAAACACCCAAGTGAGGGTGAAGACAAGTGAAACGATCAGCAGGTTAAACCACGCTTTTACATGCCAGGGGCACCACCACCCATGGCGCCCATGGTGTTCAGGCGGGCCGCCAGCTGGGGGTACTTCTCCTGGACCTCCAACTGAGTGCGGGTGGCCTCGGCGTAGGAGATGGCATTGACAATCTCGGCCTCGGTGCGAGCCAGCTCGGCAGCGCGCTCGAAGTACTTCAGAGCCTGGGAGACCTTGCCCTGCTGGAGGAGCAGTTGAGCCATGGTGCCAACGGCGATGTCGCACTCCGGGTCAATGATAAGAGCCTTCTGGCAAAGGCTCTCGGCCTCCTGGAAGTCTTGCTTCCATTGGAACAGGGCCAGAGCCTTGTTGATCAGGGGCAGAACGTTGATGCCCATGACCTTGCTCTGCTGCTCCATCTCCACGGCCTTTTCGAACTTCTCGATGGCCTCGGAGTAGTTTTGTTGGTCAAGCAAAAGCTCACCGTAGTAGTTATATACGTCAGGGACGTCCTCGAAGTTCTTAACCGTCCGGCGGAAAGTGGCCATGGCCGAGGCAACGGAGCCCATCTTGTACTGTGTCACACCGAGTTGGATGTGAGAGTAGATGAAGGAGCTATCAAGGTCGATGGACTTCTGGTAATCCTTAGCGGCTTCGGCAAGCTCGGTCAAGATGAAGTGGAGCTGGGCGCGGTGGTAGTAAATATCGGGGTCATCCTTGTTGTGTGTGATGGCAAGCTCGAAGTCATCGGCGGCGGCGTCCTTGTTTCCAAGCTCCAGGTGCAGGCTGGCACGCTTGATGTAGCTCTGAACCAGGGAAGGCGAGAGCTCAACACTCTTGTTAAGGTCAGTGAGGGCACCGGTGGCATTGCCGCCAAGGTAAGTGAAGGTGGCGCGCATGTTCAAAGCCAAGCCCTCGAATTCGCCGAGGTCACCGAGCTCCAAAGCCTTCTCGAATGCGGCGGCAGCCTCCTCGTAACCGTCACCGGTCTTCTGGCTCATGGCAATGAGACCCTTGCGCAGCTGACCCTTGCTGGATTCGTCGTCCAGCTCAACAGACTCTTCCAAACCTTCAGGCAGAACCTGGGGGCGGAAGCTCTGGAGGTAGTTGGAGACAAAAGTGGCGCTAGGCAGCTTCTTGGTGCGTGCCTCCAAAATGGCCTGGCTCTTCTTCTCGGCGACCTTCTTCAGCAGACGCTCGAGAGAGTTGCGGCTGACATCGTTGGAGAAGGCATCGATGATGCAGCTGGCGGTGAAGTCGAGCAGAGCTTCACTGTACTTCTCCAAATGCTCGTATGCGATGGCTCTGCGGTTGAGGGCCTTGACGTATTCACTGTCCATGGCGAGGGCGGCGCTGGTATCCTCAACGACCTTCTCCCAGTTGGACTGGACGTTGTAGCAGGCGGCGCGGTTGGAGTAGAAGACGGGGTCGGGCTTGCAAAGGATGGCCTTGCCGTACAAGTCAATCGCGTTGGGGTAGTCCTTGGCTCCGTAGGCCTTGTTACCGGCAGCCTTGAGCTTGGCCGCGTAGGCGTTGCGGATCTGGACAGTTAGCCAAAGGCAGGAGTGATAGAATGGCTAGTCACTTACCTCTTCGGAGAGTTCTCCGATAGTCGCCTCATCAACCTCGGGGAGCTCCTCGGCGGGCTCCTCGGTCTTCTTCGGAGACTCTGGTCCCATGTCAGTCATGCGACCACCGTGTTTAGATCCAGATCACCTACCGTCCTGCACTGAAGCAGTCTTCTTTGACTCTTCGGCCTTCTTCTTTTCTGTTCGTCGCTGCTTCTTGCTCTTCTTGGGGACGGAAGGAGTGGACTTGGTGTTGTCATTGAGGTAGTAGACGACACCAGCACCGGTCACAACGACGGCGACACCGGCAATGGTGTACACAGCGGCCTTGTTCTCGGAAACCCAGCCGGTGATGCGATCCCAAACAGATGCTGATGATTGCTCAGTCAACTTTGATGTGTCGAGCACCACATTTTGGGCAGCCTGGGTGGGCGTAGGTAACGGCAACTGGTTCGACATGATGTGCAAGAACCACAGAAAGTGACGCTAAGTCTAAATTGCAAGTCAGATTAGTATTGCTTCAATGGACTTGAGATGGAAGACAATGGCGCACCTCGACAAAAGAAGTTAGAGATAGGGAGACGGGAATGATGAAGCTGAGGAAAAGTCAAGAGTTCCGTTGGCCGCCTCACCCAATCATGTGCGCTGCGCCGGCAACGCTCGAGTTCTCCACAAAACATTTTCCGGATTGAACCGCCAGCGCTTTTGTTCTGTCGCAAGTGTTCACTCTGAACGGAGGTAGCTCCTAAATTATCCGAAAACTAACCGGATATCACAGCAATTGCTATAATGCCCGATTTCCAGATTATATCCTCGCTTCGCTTCGATCCAGCCCTCCCTGAAGCAGCTGCGCGCTATTCGTCATGCTACCCGGATCCCGACAAGACGCCCTACTACCTTGTGCGCTACCATCAAGACCGACTCATAGCAGCTGCTCGTGAATTCGAGTGGGAGGAGGCATTGAAGTGGCTAGAGCAAGATCTCGAAAGCTTCGAGCACTTCCTCGACGCGTCGATACCGGATCGAACCAAGGCGTGGAGGCTGCGCATTGCAATCGATCATGGTGGAAGAGCAAAGGTCGAGGTGAACGCGACGGCAGGAATTGATCTCATGAGCTTGTTCATTCCGTCGCTTCATCCTGCCCCGAGCAATCCTCCCTGGTGCGTCTACGTTGACTCTGAAACCACCATCCCGTCCAAATTTACGAAACACAAGACCACTGCGCGCGATGATTACACTTCTGCTCGTCTCAGGCGGGGCATTACTTCCCCGTCAGACACTTCGGAGGTCCTAGTGGTGAACCCGAATGACGAGATCATGGAAGGCAGCATCACCACACCGTACATTTTCCGGGGCCATATGTGGATCACGCCCCCACTGAGCAGTGGCGGTAATCAAGGTACAACACGCAGATATGCACTGTCTCGGGGATTCTGCATTGAGCAAAATATTTCCCGGCATGGTCTTGTGGATGGGGAGCCGTGTTGGTTAAGTAATGGCGTGAGGGGATTCTTCCGAGGCCAAATCTCCTTGTCGTAGCTCAACAATATAGTAGCCAAAGGCCTATGGATAAATAATGATCTTTGAAAAAATGTTGAAACATACACGTTTATTCAATGGTATTGGTGGACTGCTGAAAGGCTATGAAATCGCATCGATCTTTTTATTTTGCTCCGGTCAATGGCCCAGACGTTTATTTCTTAGCCTTCTCAACCACGACAGGGTTGGGGTTTCCCTTCCACTCCAGGGGACGAGGGCGCATATACTCGGCCATGATCTCATCGGTGACCTGGGCGCGACGCTCTTGGAATCCTTGGACATAGGTTTGAAGCTCGGCGATACACTTCTGCTTGATCTCGCCCGTCATCATCTTTCCGCCCTCGTACTCAGTGCGAATGCGCTCCAATTCCTCATCATCCTCGAGGAAGAAAGTCAAGTACTGGAAAGGAATGTCGTTCTTGGTGTTACCACCAAGCTCACGCTGCAGCTCGGCGGTGTCCTGGCCGCCAGAGAAGGCGTGCTTGTTGATCTTGTTCTTGATCTTGTTGGGAGTGTCGCTCATAAAGATGGCAGAGCTGTCAATGCTGGCAGACATCTTAGATCCAGGACCCTGAAGAGCAGGAAGGAAGATCGAGTGGATGAGAGATGGCTTCTTGAACTTCATTTTTTCGGCATGTTCACGGCATTGACGGAAGTAGGGGTCCTGGTCAATGGCACAAGGAATCAAACAGGGAATTGAGGCGACCTTCTTGGTCTCGGTGCCGAAAATGTGAGGGAAACTGGTCGCGAAGGCGGAAGCGGATTGAGTTGCGCAGAAGTGGAACTCGCCAATGTTGTTGCTGTCATTGAAGCCGAAAGTACCCTTGACTTGGTTGATGGTGATGCGCTTGGCCATGCGGCACATGTTCTCGTAGAAAGCGCCGCCAATAAACTCGAAGTCACTGAAAATGAAAGTCTTCTTCATGTCGAATCCAACAGCAATGATGTCCTTTGCGTTGGCCCGGGTGTATCTCTTTGAGTCTTCAATCTCGATCTTCTGGGAGTGCATAAACTTTTCGTCGTCGGTCATCATGATCACGAGAGGCACATCGAAAACGTCCTGGAGCCATCTGTGGAAGTTAGCACATGACTATGAAGGTGATAAGCAAGAACCCACTTGGTGAACTCAAAGGGCACCGTATGTCCGACGTGCATGCTGTCGCTACTCGGTCCACGGCCCGTGTAAAGGAAGAAGGGCTCGCCCTTCTCGTGCTTGTCCAGAATCTTGGACAAGTCACGGTGACTGAACACGATGCTCCGGCGCATGAAACGGTGAGGTCGGTGACCAGTCACCTTCTCGAAGCGCTCCAGTAGAGCTGCGTTGATAGGTGTGGCACCAAACTCTCTTGTGAGCTTCTCATAGTCGACGGGCAAGAGCTTGCCGGACTCATCAGTTCCGCCGGAGACGTCAAAGGGTGTCACGACCTGGCCAACGGCCTTAGTCTCGGTTTTCTCGTCAATGCTCAGGTCATTGAGCGCGGGGGGTTGTTCGGTTGCCATGGTGAACGCTTATGTGACACTGGTTTTGTTAATCTCAATCTTCCAGGTGCAAAATTCAAGAGTGGGTTCTCACGTTATCATAAGTTATGGTCGAGAAATCGAATTTCTGCCCATCTGCCCCTCTCCCCAATATCGGGATGACTCAGAAAATCTGCTATCAATGAGAGCTCTGGTTGGCTGGGTGGCGTGCCCGTCAGGTGACCTGTCTTCCACCCCGCAACTCCGCCGATTTTCTTTGTTTTTCTTTTTCATGCGGTCTTATGTTGGATATTTAGATGTTTATATAGAAAGCTTGGCTGTTAGAATCTCCTTACCAGGTAGATTTTCAAATTATCCCTTAGGTATGGCAATAATTGATGGGAGAGACAGCGGTCCTCAGAAGTATATACATGTCCATGGGTGGCTTCCAGGTTGCTGTAAAGGGTGTAACAAAAAAGCCCATCGATTTCATGAGCCCCAACCCCAAACACTTTTCATTTTGCTCTTTGTACTCGTGGGAGGCCAGTAGTTTGTATCACGAATAGTGGTGTCCACAACCTCCATCAATGCGTCCTGTTCAAATCGATTGGTGAACCGATCGCCACAAACTGTGATGGCAATACATGCTGCTAGCAGCGCCGTTGGAGACTGAAGGTTCGACAGAGCTGTGCCGCAGATTTCCAGAACGATGGACTTCAACTTGGCGTCGAGTGAAGCCGTGGCATCTCTCTGACCGGGTCCAATCCGCGCAATGGTCGGATCGTATGCTGCGAATAGTATATCTATCAATCCAATACTATGAGCAGCCAGAATATGATGATCAGCAAGGTACCACCTTTGCGGAAATAACTCGTTGTTCCCTGTGTCTGGCTCAGCAGAAAACACGGGAAGGAAGGATGCAGGTCGATTATTGAGCCATCGATGATAGACCTCGATCAATTCTTCGTAGGTCACCGTGTCAGCGTGCAAAGGAGTGCATTCAGCAAAGGCGCGCAGCCACGCGCACGTTGCGGAACAACCAAACCGAAATGGCGCTCAGGATCGCATAGATCGAACTAGTTTGGTTGATGAGTGAAGCTTTGAGTGAGGGATTTCAAGATTGACCTTACCCATTTCGCTAATTCTTCTACAAAATATCTCAACAAGAATGCTTCTCCGATATTAATGTCCAGGGATGACAGAGGTCGTTCCGATGATGAAGGTGGTAGGTGCTGCGAGGATTTAGTACCCAATGATAGACATAGCATTCTTGACTTACTATAGGACTCAAACTCGTTTGGTTATCAGCATAATCTGAGAGTCTTTGTTTCAATATGAAGTTGGTGGTTGACTGGGGCGAGTTTTCATTTGGAGGATCGGGCTTAGCGGTGGCGGCCACAGGAGCTCCAGTAAATTTTGATGTCTCATCAACGTAGTGAAGGACGGTAGACTCTAGTTCAGATTAGCCTGTGATAGACGAAAATGAAAACGACCAAGAAACCTGGATTTGTGAAGACCGTCCCATTGGAGGAAGTATTGTGGAATTGAAGTTTCGATTTACGACGGATGCATTCTCGGCCGGATTTTTGGCATCTCAGGCATTTCGGAGTAGCATCGTCACCTACTCAAGGTTAATATTGTCTCCCAGGAACCAAAAATAAGAGAAGGTGAATTAGCACTCACACTTCAAATGATTCTCTGTTTACGGAAATAGTGAGTTGTGCCAATCTAGGGCATTGGGGAGATGACATCACATACTTCTGCAATTATCACTAGAATATCAACAAGGTCAACAGAGTATATTATGGTAATCACAAATCGACTTGAAATACCAAGGCTTTAATTTTGGAGTCATGCCAGAAAGGGATAGACTCTGGGCGATGTTCGATAGAGTAGATATTTTTGACAGTAGAGTTAGAAAAAGGCGGGGAAGATGGGATCAGCTGACCGTCCTCAAGATCGTAGCCCTAATTACCATAGAGCAAGTACCTAGTAGCCCATATTGCTTGAGCTGAAAGTGCAGATTCTAGTCTAGGAAAAGTTCAAGTTATATCATTAATTAGTTTTCTATCGTCGCATATATGAAGGTATCCACCAGCGAATCCTCTGGTTAAGTCAAGTCTTGGCCGAGGTGAGACAAGCTTGAAGGCCGAAGATTTCCTTCACCAAAACTCCGAATTTTCGGTTGCGATGGATGTTTCGATATATCAGAGACATCAAAAGTATGGTCCAATAACCCCCTGAAAGTGGAAAACAAGACCATACCGGCGAGCGTCGGACTCGCGGCAGCGACTCTTTCCACTAAATCATGTATACTGCACGTGAAAATTATTTCAGAGACCAAGATATTCGAACTGTACCCAAAAGTCTCTTTGTCAGATAACCGTGGTAACAACCATGGGGGTGATTGCATGGGTCGCTTCAGCGTCGAGCAGTATTTGTCTCACATGCTTGTACCCATTTACCATGGGCCAATATGACAATGACCGGCCCTGACAATCTTTGGATGCTAGATTCACTTTGCCGTGCTGAACCAATAGTCTCACAACAGCCTCATGACCCTTGGCTGCGGCCATGTATAACGGCGTCCGACCCTCTGCGTCTCTAGAGTCCACATCCACTCGTCCTGTTGCGAGTAATTGCTCCACCACGCAACTATGCCCATTTGCTGCAGGTAAAAACAGGACTGTCCACCCAACAGCATCCACGGAGCTTGGATCTGCTGATTGCTCAATCAGAAACTTCACCACAGCGTCGTGTCCATTTGCCGCAGCCCAGAACAGGGCCGTCCGACCCTCGGTATCTTTCAAATTCACCTCGACTTTTCCCGTATCAACGAGGGTCTTCACCACTGCTAGGTGTCCGTTGTGTGCAGCTCGAGATAACAGGGACCAGCCACTGTCGTCTCTGATAGCAGGATCACCTCCCTCTCTGATGGAAAGTCGAGCTGTTGACTCGTTCCCAGTCTTGACAGCCCATAAGAGGGAGGAGCTTGCGCCGTGTCGAGAATTATATCGATACAACCATGGTGTCAGTATGGTATGAAGCCGAGTAGAGCATCGGGACATCGAGCTTATATCTTTTTCTGTCTGGAGAAATGTGGGTATTGACAACAGTAGCTCAGTCGGTAATGTGAGTAAGCACATTTTAGTGATTCCACTGAGATCTGACTTGAAAGAGTTCAGGAATTTCTAGTGGCAAAGAAAAAGAAAGACAAGCTGCGAGCATTCCAGTTCTTCAGTGTTCCAGTGAAAAGTTTTCTGATCTACATCGGGACTTCGGGATGCCAGGGCATCCACTCACCCGTCGCAGGCCCCACTTTTAGGAAGGATTGCAGGCGATTACCCGTTCATGCATGTTTTCAGTGGCGCGTCACATTCAGCGACGCATCGTACGCCTGGAAAACTTGCTCGTGGACTCTGGATCTTTAATCTCATGAGTTCCGGGTACGTATTCATCTGCATTTGCTGGCCATACGAGCTGCGCTTGGCGTGATGTGGCGCAAGTCCCTCGCTAAACATGCATGGTGACAGCCTTTTTCATTGGAAATACAATGGCAAGGTAATTGGCCGATTTTCTCAGCTCTGAGCATACCCCAAATCAGCCAGCCATCAATCTGCTTATATGTGTACTGGTTTTTTGTCATTTAGCCAGCCACACAACTATTCACCGAGGTAAGCAACATCTTGGAAATTCAAAGACAGTGGTTGCATAGCATGCTGGATGTCTACCGCTGTTCACATCGCAAGTAACCATTCAATAGACATACACTCCGTAGGTTCGAACTCCTGGGCTTCGGGAAATATGGAACTACGCTATGACCAGGAGTATTTACGATGAACTCCTGTTGAATAATCCACCACCCTGACCAGAAATCTGAAGAACTCGTATTGTCTGACATTATGGCGCCACATGCATGCTCAATACCACCACCATCAGCACTCACAGTACGTTTTCCCCTGGGCTGAGACTCAGAACATCCTCTAATGGTGTATTAGGATCCCATACTAGTTTGAATTTGGAACCGACCATAAACAACGCACCCATACCCTGAATTAAAGGATGCCACAATTAGCATCTCGAAGTTTTTCACCTCTAAGCGAACGCCAACAGGTAATTATCGAGGCGACCCTACGCTAGACTCAATCCAAGAGTTGTGGTATACCCCTGCCCCTCACGTGTCACACACAAATTGAGAGGGTTCAGTGATTGACAAAGTCTGAGGCTACATGGGATTCTCAAGACTCTCTCTTCTGCCATACGCTCAACCCAAAATCTACTCCAGGACGAAACCAATCTGGTGTCTGCTGAGCGGGATACCATTGCACCTCATTACCCATCGACCTGGAGACTGGGATACAAAGTTACCAGTCATAGTGCTGGCTCATATCCTGGCTCTTACTTTTGGAATACTTGCATCAAACCGTTACTTCTCGAACAATGACACATGAACGGATTCGCTGAGTGGCAACCTCGGGCGGATTAGCATACCATCTTATAGGGGTCTATGGAAGCATGCTTGTCTATCGGACGTTCTTCCATAGGCTTCCAAGGTTGTTAAGCTCCCTCGTCTTTCTCTTGCTCGCGTTTCCAATCTCTTTTTGACAATATTGGCAATGAAAAGGCTTCAAATTCACGAAGAGATCCATTCCTTACATAGTCGAGACGGTGATTATGTCAGGATAGATAAGTCCAGAGCTCTAGGGGTCACAACTCAACTCTACGTTCCTGCATAACACGAAATACTAGGCGCAAATGCTTGTATTGGCAAGCGGCATGCCATGATGAAAATTCGACGGGTAGTTGCAGAGCTACTTGGTCGCTACAATATTCATTGTCTCCCGACCAAACCGAAAAGAGGTTCATTGAAGGCAAGGTAGACACATTCGCGCTATCAGCAGCCTCTCTGTCACTGAAATTCAGAATGAGGGAAACTGAAGGAGGCAATTGATGTAAAGATCTAAGACATCAGCCACATCAAGTTAGCGCAGAACCTTACCCCGTAGATCCGGGCGGAGATCTCGGCACTTGGGAAGCCCGCTATACCCTTCCAGGCTCTCGCATTATCTATGTAAATGCTTGGAAGTTTCGAGGTGAAGATGCCTTGCATGCGAATACTTAAGTATAGAGAATATACGAGTATCTGTGCTGTTGGCATCTCCATGACGTGACCAAAGCCGTAAAGCCGAGGAACCATACACGAGCAACCTACGGAGTCCGGCGTGGAGATCACTAAATGAAGCTCCATATAAATGCAGATCGTACCCCTCCCCCCTAAACTTTAGAATGCAAATAAGAAGCCGTCATAACCCACAATCAGTCACTCTCCGAATTTACCCCATTCCCTTCCGCTTCCCAACATGGCAACAACTCACCCCAAATTAGCCGGCCTGGACCTTATCCAAACCACCTACAAAAAAGTCAACGACCACGAGATCAGAACAGATATTCTGATTCCCCAAAAGCCCCACACAGGGAAAAGACCCGTCCTCATCCGCTTCCATGGCGGCGGTCTGGTAAAAAAAACACCACACCCGCAATCAACGATCCAGCTAACAATGAAAGGTCACCGGCGACTCCCTCCTAATGGACTGGTGGTCTCACTGGGTCACCGACCTAGCCATTGAAAGCAATGCGATAATCATCAGTCCAAATTACCGACTCCTACCAAGCGTGACAAGCGCCCAGATCTACGAAGACATCAATGATTTCTGGACATGGGTCCACTCATCCAAATTCACAGATCTGCTCACTGCACACTCGACCCCCACAGAGGCTGATCTCGATCGCATCTTGATGGCTGGTGAATCAGCAGGTGGACTATTGAGTATTTCCCTTGCGCTTGCGCATACGCGCAAGATTCGCGCTTGTACCGCTGCGTATCCGTGTGTGGACCTCTCTGTTGAGGCATACTCGAAGCCGCGGGATGCGTTGCCCTATGGCGTTGATACTCCCGAGAGTGTCTTTGATGATGCTCTTGCTTCGTTTGTGGATGTGGAGAGCTCTGCTGAGAGTGAGCGGAGGTTGGGATTCATGCTTGCTGGTGTTCAGTATGGGAGATTTAAGGAGCTCTATGATGCTGGGGTTGATGGGGAGGTTGAAGTGAGGTATCCGCCTGTGAAGCTTGAGAAGAACAAGGAGGTTCCCGCTGGTGGAATTACTATCATCCATGGGAAGCAAGATAGTGTTGTTCCGGTTGAGGAGAGTGAGAAATTTGTTGTACGGGCTCGAGAGGTGTTGAAGGGGAAGCCCGGTGGCGATAGAATTTCTCTGACGGTAAAGGATGGTGAGCATGGGTTTGATGCTGATCTGAGATATGAGGGCTGGTTGAAGGATAGCCTTCAGGGTGCTGTTACTGCTTGGTTGGAATGAGAGATATGATTTCCATTTTATGATGGATTGTTTATGTTGAGTGTATCACAAAATTAATGTAACAAGAAAATATGAAAGCAATGTAAACACCAGAGACGCTTCTATGAACAAAAAGATGAATATAGACAGGGCCAATCGACCCGAGAGTGTATAAGTGAAAAAATGACAAGAGGAATGACCGGCGATCGGTTTATTTGCTGCCCTTGTTCCAGCGCTTCACGCGAACGAGGTAATACATAACCACAGCCACGAAGACATTGAAAGCAATGAATGCCCACATGATGCCAAAGTTGCGCCATCTCTCGGAGTAATAGATACCGAATGAGGCCAATGACTGGTCGGCAACGGACAGAGGGCAGTATTCACAGTTGCTGGTTGCATTTTCATTCATGATCTGACCACCAGCTGCAGTGGCATACTTTTGAAGGTACTCCACGCAAGTCTGGCCAGAGGGGGGGTTGAAAATCGACAGCTCAGAGGCCGAACACTGGACTTGACGCCCGTGAAGTTGCGCACTGGCCATACCGCCGACCCAGTATGTGAATGGCGAAACACGGTACATGAAAATCCAGAATCCAGGGAAGGCGTCAGGGGTCTGCATCACACCACAGAAAGTGAGAGACATGGCGAAGAGGAGCACAACCACGGCACTGGCGGTCTGTTCGTCGGGGAGACCGGCGATCACCATGTGTGTGAATGTAGAAGCGTAGATGAAGAAGACAATGCAGAAGACGAGGACAGTACCCTGAGCGGCAGAATCCGGAATTCCGACGACGGCGTAGAAGTAGCAGGCCCATGTCAAGATACCCATGATGATCATGTAAGGGATTTCCACAACGATGTTGGCAATGAGGAAGGCCTTCCATGAGTAGGATTTGCTGGGACGTTCACGTCCCTCGTAAAGAGAACGTTGAGTGACAAAGACGGGCATGATCTGTTGAGACAGTGAGGAGAAAATGGTGCAGATCATGAAGAGAGAGTAAATGATCGTCTGCATTCCTTGCAGGGAGGTTTTGGCATCGTAGAATGAGAAACCAATGAAAAGACCAGAAGCGATTCCGAGACCCCACTTGGCCAGCACATATGAAGGCATGCGCCAGTATTGGGTGAAGACACGGTTGGTGACGAGCGAGATTTGAGACCAAAGAGGCATGGCGAACTCAGAGTGGCTCGCAGAAGTGTCTTCTTCAACAGCTGGTGCTTCCTTCTCCTTTTCGGCGTGGATCCGGTTCAACTCAGTCTGTACCCCGGTGCACTCTTCGCTCTGCTTCCACACATCATGCCAATCTTGTCCCTTGTTGTTTTGACCGGCGTTGACAATGTTCAGCATGTATTCGGCGGGATTCTCGCTATCGTCGCACTTGCGTGCACCGTTGGATTCGAAGTATTCAAGCATGGTGCTGGAGTTGTCGCCGACCGGACCGAAGTAAACAGTCTTACCACCGCGGGCAAGGAAAAGCAATTGATCGAACTGCTGGAACAACATCGCGCTGGGCTGGTGAATAGTGCAAAGAACTGCTTGACCGTGCTCGGCGAGCTGGCGAAGGAATGAGCAGATAGCCCAAGATGACTGAGAGTCAAGACCACTGTAAGGAAAAATTAGTTAAAATGCGTACTATTGGGTACTGTGTTTGGGAATTGACATACCTAGTGGGCTCGTCCAGGAAAAGAAGCAGCTTGGGCTTCGCGGCAAGTTCAACACCAATCGTCAAAAGCTTACGCTGTTCGACGTTCAGACCCTCACCAGGAACACCAACAATGGCCTCAGCGAACTCCTCCATTTTCAACATCTTGATGACATCCTCAACGTAGTCATACTTTTCCTGGGTGGAGACAGAGGCGGGCTGACGCAACATAGCACTGAATCGCAAAGACTCGCGCACGGTGGCAGTGTCCAAGTGAAGATCTTGCTGTTGAACATATCCTGTCTTTCGCTGGAAGCTAGCATCGAGACCGCGACCGTTGACAAACATGTCACCAGTGATGACACCCATGGATGTACGATGAGCTAGAACGTCAAGCAGGGTAGTCTTACCGGCACCACTGACACCCATCAGTGCAGTGAGTGTGCCGGGCTTAACCCATCCAGAAACGTTATCGAGAAGGCGGCGAGGTTCACCCTTGATCTCGATGTCATATGAAACATCGCGCCAGGTGAAGGTGTCAGTCTGAGCCTGGATGGCGCTCATGCCCTGGTTACCAGACTCGGCAGAAGCCTCGGCTTTCGAGGGCTCGACGTTCTCGACATCGGATCCAGCGTTGAGGCTTTGGCGCATGCTAGCGGGCTCGTGGCCGCGGCGGAAGACCAGAGCTTCAGCGGTGCTAGTGGTGGAGGAGTTCAGTTCGGTGGCAACGAAGTAGATGCACATGAAGCCGACGAGGAAGGCAATGAGAATTCCAAAGTTGCGCCAAACATGACTGTAGCTGTAGGAGTAGTTCAGTTGGATATACCGGTCACCGCTGACAGTCAATGAGCCAGCCACCGAGCCGGCAGTGCTGCAGCTGAATGCATCACCAGTGAGATCGGCGTAGGATGGAACGAATGCAGAGCAAGGGAAATCACGACCGTGGAATTCGTTGGCGATCAAAATCTCGAACGCATAGTAAATCGGGTTGAGATAGTGGATCCATTCGAACCAGGGATGCATGGACGGAACAGGAATCACGAAACCGGTGTACACAACGAGGGCAAGAATCATGACTCCTGACAAACCCATGGCTTGTGCAATTGTTTTGGTGACTGCAGCCAACGTGCGGAAGACAGCGCTCATGACGAATGTGATGATGAAGGTGATCAGGAAGTAGAGGAAGAAGGTGTCTGGTTCACGCTTGAGTCCAGCCAGGAAGTAGAGGATGATGTTGAAGGCGACTGCTAGTATAAATTTAACAGGGATGTCACTCAGGACACCCGCAATTGCTTCGGTTGCAGGATGATAAAATGCGAAGGATGTATGTTTTTCAACGATTGGGCGTTGGGAGTAGAGACTGTTGATCTCGGACATTGCAGTGAGAGCGTTGAGAAGGACGGCGAAGAACAGAGTTGCACCTTTGGACTGGAAGCCCGCGGTGGCGTCTACTGTCCCATAGAAAGTAGAACCAATGATGAGGGCCATAATGATGTTGGTGGTTACCACTGCGATTGTTGAGGCAGCATCGTTCCACAGTCGTTGATATGCACGAACGGTATTTAACTTGATCTGCATGGGAACACTGATGAGGTATGGGGACTTGGGGCGAGTGTGCTTGGCTTGAGCGCCACGCTTGTTCTCGCGGAGGTCAATGAGAGCCTGAGCGTCAGGGCTGATAGGGTTTTTTGTCTCATAATCCTTGATTTCACCCAGAAGATGTTTGTTTTGGGGCGAGTTGATCCACGCAGCCTCGAAGTCCTCGGGGGTGCGGGGAACACGGTTCTCCATGCCAGGTTTGGTGCGGCGCTCTTGGGGGTTGGTGATCGAGGTGAGGAAATCGCCAGTAGTCTGTCGAGTGGGGCAATCCCAGCCTTGCTCCTCGAAATAAGCTTTGGCACCAGCGGCTGAGCCAAAGTAGATTTGTCGACCTTCGTAAAGCAAAATGACCTTGTCAAAGATGTCGTAGATGCTTTGACTGGCCTGGTAGGCGGCAACTGCGTGGCATGAGCCAGTGATGTCGGAGGAGAGGCGGAGGGCTTCGACGAATTTCAGTGCTGTAGCTGAGTCCAATCCTCGAGTCGAGTTATCCCAAGCGGCAATGGGGGCATGGGCCACCGCCATCTCAGCGATACTGACACGCTTTCGCTCTCCACCGGAGACACCGCGGACAAAGTCATCACCAACTCGTGTGTTGTAGGTGTGACTCAAACCGAAGACTGCCATGATGATCTGTGCCATGTATTTAGCATGTTCAGACCGCGTCATGTCCTGGAAGCGATTGGCGGGGGTTCGTGTGGCGGCGGCGAACTCCAAAGTTTGGCCAACGGTCAAGTGAGGGAAATGCCTGTCAACCTCTTGGTTGTAGACCACTTCGCCCTTGAATTCCTTCATCATGCGGCTCTGCGGGATTCCATTGTAGTGAATAGTGCTGTCCTTGTCCAGGTCCAATCCGTGGAGCTCTCCGGTCAATGACTTCAAGAAGGTACTGCATCCAGCACCGGGGCGACCGAGCACAAGCAAAAGCTCGCCACTCTTCATTAAGCCATTGAAATCTTTAAGGATGCGCCGTTGGGGAGCATGCGATTGTCGAAGACGTTGTGGCCATCTGAACGGCGCCGAGAGTGTAGAGGCAACGGTATCCTGGAACTGCAACGCAGCCCCCGATCCATACACGTTCAAGTTCTTGAAAATAACATCGGATGAATGGCCAGGTGCGCCATCACGGCCGCGATCATTGATGGATGCCTTGAGCCATTTTCGCAGGTCGAACTTCCCAGACAGGGGGTCTAGAGATGGATCTTGTTGAGCAAGGGTGGTCAGTGACTCTTGAGGGCCGTGGGTCGATTGGCGGCGTGACCGCTGAGTGGCAATTTTGGTTAGGGTCTCAACATCAGCCTCATTGATGAGGTTCATGGGGGATTCCCCAATCGTTGAGGAGTCTCCGCTGTGGGAGGTGTGGGGGTCAGGCCCCAACTCCTTATCCCGAAGCTCGACAGAGCCAGTATCCAATACCATCGCGTCAGTATAGAAAGACACGTGGGAAAGGTGTGATGAGATAAAAAAATATTATTATGGAGTAAACAAAACTAAGTCCCATCGGAGGGGGGAGTGTGAGATACTTAAAAAGCCGTTTCAGGGTTAAAATCTCTCCTTTGAACCCGGATGCGACATCCCCGACGACCGTTTCCAACCATACAGTACGGGAGTATTTCTTTGTGGGTCCCTCGGCATCGGAACAGTTAAAAAAAAACAATATGAGTGGAGTATGAGATATCTGCACTAGCAGCACCAATGATTCAGTGGAGGCGTCAGACATTAGTCTCGGCAAGGCTCGCAAGGGTGAGGTAGGGGGAGCCTGGACGCCTTTGGGCGCTCGCAACCTTGGCACTGATCCAGCCGCTAAAGTCAATTTTAATCGATAAAAAAATTCGCCCGGGTTCCGATGACTCAGCGGCTCTCTTTCGGTCCAAACTGCTGCCAAAAGGTTTGACGGTGGGTTCTCGGGGCGGATGCTGGAGATCCCGATGCCTTGATCGTGGATAAAACTTGACTTAGTCATGTTATGAACATAACTGAGCTTTCATATTTTTATTTCCAGGGAACGATCCACCCTGGTGGACAATCCTTAAAACCTCAACTGGTAGAAATTACAAAGAAAATCAGAAGTCGGACGAAACTTCGGTCGAATATAGACCCTGGTCCGTCTTAGCTCGGGATCGCTGGCGCTAGAACGAGATCCTGCTTCTAGGCGGAGTTAGCAGCCTCCGGTATGTGAGCCCCTCCCGGCCTTATCTCCGTTGCCGTGTCTTGGGATTTTCGGCCGATTTGGGCCGAATCTTACTCCGTAATCTCTGGGTTCATAAACACGTTGAAGCGCCCCGACCTTGAAATTTCTCGGGTGCATTAGATTACGGACTTTGATCTGCTCCGTACCTAGGTATGGAGTAATGCAGTGTACGAGGCTAACTCCGTCTCCGGCCATGAATCTGCGATCGCACAAGTTGATCTGAGCACTCCGTTATTACGGACGACTTCGTGCGAACTATTGTGGATGGTCAAGACATGATTCATGCTGTACATATCACTCAACCACTCGTGCCGTCTCCCAAGCTCGATTCTGAGGCTGAGATACACTCTTGAAATTGATTGACTGGCATGCTGACCCGGGAGGGGTGAGTGAGCATGGAGCACGTCACCACTCGACCTGACCTCGGGAGCGTTCGTGTCAGATTATCCGTACTCCATAGCTGAGCATTGTATTCGCATCCATGGCACTTGGACTTTGTGGGGCATTTTCAATGTTGCCAGCTTATCAAGTGGGGCTTCCTAATACGAGCATACTGCAGCCACGTATCATATCCCTTGCGGGAGGCTGCAGGTCAATACAAACTGGGAGTGATACTCGTACATGTTGTCCGGGGTGCTCGTATGCGTTCTCGCCATCTTGTTAAATCTCACTGAGATTCCCTAGATGTTCCACCTTAAATTGTCGCCTCGCCCCCGCCAAGATCGTTTAGTGCAATCAATTCTCTCACTTGCTTCCTCCTCTCACTGGTCAATCTCGATACTGACAAGAATATTCGTCATATGGCGATCTCAACCACCTGGGCACCTATGTGAATTCTGATGTAAGCTTACTTTTTCCTCCCGACGTCGTGGACCAGTACGGAACTTCGTCCTTCCCACGACCGTAGACCAAAACTCCGTACGGAGCACATGAAAATTGTCAGAGTATGAGCTCGGACAAATATTGTCTCCACATAGACGCACGGAAGGGAGGATCTTACCCCTGAGATCCTCTACTTGTACTCGTAGAGCTCAGGCCCCCTCTTTTCAAAATAAATATCCATGGGTCATCCCGACACAAGATCTGCTAGAGAATTATGTACAAAGGGTTCCTCATGGAGTACTTTTGTGCAAGAGTGGTTTCATCACCACATCAATCTTAATACTCTCCATGCGATCCGTGGACAATGCAAGGTACTCCGTACGATGTACGGGCTTCAGGAGTACTCAGGACGGAGAATATATCAATCAATAATCCCCTTTATGTGACACGTCCTATGTCTGTTAGCACAACAACCACAAAAGCCAGCACAGCCCCATTACGCACTCCACAGTACGGAGTACTCGTATACCCTATGTACGAGTAGGTCACTTACTTTTGCTCCCTTGAGTGAGCTCTCCTCGGCTCCCCGTCTCTTACAGACTTGCGGGCAAAATCTCAAATCAAGATCTATAGACCAGATGTTCTCCCGAGATCGTTCTGTTTTAGAGCGCAAAAACGGTGTGCCGAATCCTTCCAAGTTTGGAAGCAGGTACCTCCCAACGTCAGAATCTATGCCACAGCAATCCATTTTTATGCAAGCACACAGAGTCAATATTTGGAGGAAGAAATTCTTTCATTGACCTTGGAAAGTGATAAGTACTCTGACGGTCAGTTTTAAACGAGTTTCAGCGGGTCCCACCTAGGTATGGACCTGGACTTCGTAGGCATTACTCGTCCCCGAGGAACCCTGCGAGGCCGATTGTAATGCATCCCACTGGAGGCACGATTTGGCTATATTCAAGATTTATTTCGCCCATCGGGGCTCAGCTCGAACCCCCATGATCTCGCACAACATGAAGATTCCATGTTCAAAAGACCAATGGTCTTTCTAAAGTTCTAAAGTTGCACAATTGCGCCCGCTTAAGCAAGGAGCTTGCAGCCAGAGCAACAATCACAGTCCCGCGCACAGCATCCTCCCACTCCATTTTATTCTTCGATGTTCAAGTAAGTGCCTGTTGTGTAGGCCACTTTGGCTGTGAACAGTGTATGGCTCTGAATATCAAGCAATCTGGAAAATGAGTGTTCATGATTCAAACTTTAGAATGATTTTTTTCTCGAGTCCGTACAGAGTACTTCATTCTCGCATGTCTTCCAAGGTTTGAGGGATTCAGGATCCATAGATGTGAGTGACTTCTCCTGAAGTCTGTCCATGCCGTCATCCTCAATCAACTTCTGTTGTTATTATTTCACATGATCTGGTTCAAATTTACCATGATACTTTTAGCGGTGATCAATTAGAACGGATATAATCAGTGCTCAAGTGGTAGTGTTGATTAAATGCATTGCATGTACGGAGTAATCTACCTACAGAAAACATTGATAGAATATGTATCCATCACACTTGAGCATTACTTAACAACGAAAGCCCTAGCGCGCATGCTGATCAAAGATATACAAGTCCCCGTCCTTATGGAGGCCAGTTGTCAAATGTATCTTGGTCTCGTGATTAATATTCTGCTGCTCATAAGTAAACGACTTCAGGATGACACCCAGACACTTGAGCAACTAGGAACTGTAGAAGATATTAAACAAAGCTAAAGCGGGCTACAGATATGATGTCACGGCCGGGGAAACAACTTTAAACTTTTGCTGTTACCGCGGACCTTTTGGTTAGTAGCAGACTCTTTAAAGCTTGATTTAGATGTTGTATCTGTTTTGCCTTTCTCAGGTGTATCATTTCAATTCTAAAAGCACTGGAGGATAACTGTACGAAGTTCCCAGGTACGAGATTATCGAGAAATTTTCGGGCCCTTGCATTATTTCCACCTGGGCAAGTTATTGTGACTTCTAAAGTTGGAGAAGCCAGTCTGTTCCCGAGGTCGTATTCACATTCCTGAAAGAAACAACCTTAGAAGTCTCCAGTCATCTGATCGGGATGCCAAGTCACCTAATCTGACAGGTCAACCTCAATCACCCAATAGCTTTGGACCAAACAGAACTAACACGAGATGATGCAAGAAGCTGTCACCGGAATCTTCACCCGCCCATGGATACAAGCTTGATGTTTGAACAGCATTAAAACACAACGGGGTTTAAACTGGATTTCTTGTCTTCGTTATTAAATAAACGACATCAGCGGCTGCGGGGCTGATCGGCGGGCTCCGGACACAAAACAAGCCGCTCCCCCAACATCTCTCTTCAACTTCACTACATTGAGCTCTGGGTCCAACAATGGCGATCCAGTCTCTCCGGGAAATAAATGCCTACAACATACGCACCTTCAGGCGCCACTATGTCTCCGAGATCTCAGGCTCGCTCGGTGATCTGGGCACTTTCCTTCCCATCGCTATCGCACTAGCCATCAACGGCACCGTCTCCCTCACCAGCACCTTGATATTCTCTGGTATCTTTAACATCCTCACCGGTGTATTATTCGGGATCCCGCTCCCAGTACAGCCCATGAAAGCCATCGCCGCGGTCGCGATCGCCCGCTCTTTCTCCAACGGCACGATCGCCGCTGCGGGGATCTTCGTGGGTGCTTGTATTCTGGTTTTCAGCCTGACTGGTATCCTGCGCTGGCTCTCTAACGCCATCCCAATCCCCGTCGTTAAGGGAATCCAGGTTGGGGCTGGATTGTCTTTGATTATCGCTGCTTCCAGTAGCGTGCTACAACCGCTGGGATGGATCAGCCCTTCGTGGGCGGATAATCGCGTCTGGGGAATCGTCGCCTTTGTCGCGCTTTTGGTAAGTAACGTCTACCGCCGTGTACCGTACGCGCTTGCCGTCTTGGTTCTGGGTCTGGTCTTCGCTATTATTCGAACTAGCTTGGCCGGGCACTTGCCTGGTTTTGCGGTGTGGCATCCGTTTGTTGTGATACCGTTGCCGCATGAGTGGAAGATTGGTGCGATTGATGCTGGCATTGGTCAGATTCCTCTCACGACGCTGAACTCTATCGTTGCTGTGGTTCATCTGGCGAATGATCTGTTGCCGAACGTGCATGGCCCGTCCATCACCCAGGTCGGGTTGAGTGTCGCTGGAATGAACTTAATAGGCTGCTGGTTTGGTGCGATGCCTGTTTGTCACGGATCTGGGGGGCTGGCGGCACAGTACCGCTTTGGCGCTCGGTCAGGGTCGAGCGTAATCTTCCTTGGCATCTTGAAGCTGCTCATCGGACTATTGTTTGGAGAGACATTGGTCGATCTTCTGTATCGCTTCCCGGCTGCTTTCCTCGGTGTCATGGTCATTGCTGCTGGTGTGGAGCTCTTGGGCGTTGGTGAGAGTCTCAACACCACCGGTGCTCGGGATCTCAACCAGGCCGGTGCCGGTCTCGTGGCCAACGCACAGCAGCACCTCGGTCCTGTTCTCACAGACGAAGAACGAAACCGTCGATGGACGGTTATGATGGTGACGGTGGGAATGTTGGTCGGGTTCAAGAATGATGCAATTGGTTTCATAGCTGGTATGCTCTGCCATTGGTTCTACGAGATTCCAGGTTGGCTGGAGAAGGGACGCAGCCGCTGGTCGGAGGGACGTCTACGTTTGGACAACTGAACCCAACTTTCTCACCGTTTTCCGTATCATACGCATCCCATATGTTCATTTTCTATTTACAACAAACCTTTTTAGTAGTACTTACCCATTCTACTAAAGCACGTCCGAGGCATCGATATCCGACTGCTTGCGCAGTCGACTTCCAGTACTAGGATCTTCAAATACGCGATGCTCTCTCGCCGAAGATGTCAAGCCATCCGAATCGAAGTCCACATGCCTCCTGGACCGACGTCCAGCGGCATTCGCCTCATGGCTTTGTCTGGTAATCCCACCGATATCATAATCCGTAGGCTCGACATAAGCCCCAGTCATAGAGTCATAAACCCTAGACCCCAGCGGCGCAGAAACATGATCAAACGAATCGTCCTCCCCATCCCCATCCAAGAGTTGAGCCGCCGGACCCCCAGCGCCAGCCAGGATAGGCGGCGCGGGAGCGGAATCATCGGCGTCGAGATCGTCCTCTAGACCTGTGATCTGGCGAATTCCTCCAGCGGATGTGCTTGGCTCAGGGAGTGCGAGCTGTTCCTGGCCTGTGCTGTCGTAGCGTCGCTCTTCAACTACTGCTGGTTGGCCGAGCTCTTGCTGTGCGGTTCGCACGATGGTCGTGCCGTCGCCTTGGGTGTGTGATGTTGTCGAGTATCGGTGTCCGGTGGTGCTCTTGCCGTCGTTGCCGTTGGTTGTGGAACTGTAGTAGTATGAGGAACTTGTGAAAGAGTCGGACATCGTGGTGAACGGTGGCGCTCGGGGGAAGATGTGAGATGAAGAGATATATCTGGTCCACTTGGAGTGATTTTTGTGAAGAGTCGTACTTGAAATCAATAAGAAGATTGTTTCGCGCAGTTACTTGATACTTGTTGTTGTTACATTGGCTTGATTTTCAACTTTCAAGTCTTTCAAAACTGTCGTGTTTATATACAATTTCGACTTCCCCAGCTGTGGCAAGCTCTACTTGCCTCTTGCCTCATTGCCTCTGGCGGCAACGGCCTTCTATGGCAGAGGCGATGACCCATCGGTGCCGCCGAGGGATCTGGAAACGCATGAGCCAAGGGGGGAAAAAGTGAGTTGAACCATTCAGGGCAGATTTGCTTTACACGTCCAGAGGTCCAGAGGTGTGGGCTCGGCTGTGGAAGGGGAGAGTTGAATACTCCACTCTCCAGTATGACATCTGCCCCAGGACCCCACTACGGGTAATTCAGATACTGGAAATTATGTTTTATCTCTCACAGTGTTATGTCGTTATGTCGTTTTGAATTTGCTATGAGAACCCGATGATGAATAGTCCCAGTCCCTTCTATGAGATCCTCAAGGCTAAAGACCTCGGAAGCAAGATGATAAAAAACAACCAAAATAAGTTCTAGATGTGCCCGGAGCCCCGGAGTTCCGATGATTTTGGGCGGTCAGGTACTGCCCGAGAAAACAAACTTGGAATGGTTACTCTATTTAGTTAGCGTGTTATTTGGTCCACCCGGTTTGTTTTCTATACATAGCTTTACGGTATTATCGGTCTTAAAGTGCTCCGTAGTGGAGGCACAGTATTATTTTTGCACATAACTGTAATTTTCAATCCGGAGTACTGAAATGCCCTTGTATTATGGCACTGTGAACAATGTGCAACGGTCGGCCATGGAGCGGGTCACGGGTTCCGGGGTGAATGAGTCAGCATTACGCCCAAATAGGAAATCAAGGCAGGTGTAGACTTGGAACGTGGGCTGATAGTAGATATCCAGCCAACAAGCCCTTGAGAGAAGATGTGAAGATGATAATTCAGGGGAAATAGTCGCATTTCTATCTAATTTGATGTCTCCCTCACGACCAGAGCCGCGGGCGTCACCTGACATGTCTATTAGCTTCGGGCCGGGAACTTACTCACTTCCACCATCATGGCCGAAGGCTGAGAGACATGGCTAAAGATTCAGGCCCGACGCAAACTTCGCGCAATCCATCTCGGTGCCAGGCTTTGAATGTCAGCGATCTCGATCCACTATGTTCCACTTTTTCGACTGACGTGAATTAGGCCTGCGATGCCTGTCGAAGACGAAAATCAAAATGTGATGAGGGAAAACCAGCCTGTGGCCGCTGCGTGCGACTAAACTTAGATTGCAGCTACGTGGAGACTGTTGCCGCAAAGTACAGCAATACTAAATGTCTATTTTCGAATTTCACTGCTAACAAATTCCAGGAAGAATCTCTCTGTATTGGAGTTAGCAGAAACATTGAAACGGATGGATGAGAAACTCAACACTTTGACTTCAATTGTCCAGGAGAACCGCGGAAACTGCACAGGTCCTTCACGTCAGACTGAGCATACCACCCGGGAAATAGTTGCAAGTCCAAGCACCAATTGCCCTACGGCGTTCAGCCCGACTGTCACCAGCGGGCTAGGAAACCCATACACAGCCTCAAGCCCATTTCTGGATACAGGTCGAGTCTTGGAAGAGCTTTCGCTGTCTCAAAGGCACTCAACAGCCCCACAGCATCTTCTATCTTGGCCGTGCTCCTCACTGCAAATGAGCGGTCTTGATTTACAATACCCAATGGACCTCGAGATCAATCGGCCAAAACTGTCACAATCAAAATCACCTCCATTGTTCATTCCGCCTTGTTCGAGCGAGGAGGATATCTGGCTATCTCGGCTCTCCTTATCCCAAGTGAGTCTTCTGACGCAATCTTACTTTCGATATTTCCATCCGTCTTGCCTCGTCATGGATGAAGCCCATTTTTACTCTCATACTATTCCCATGGCAATGCAGGAGACTTTCGCCAAAAGTTTCAACACGTGTCGTGTGTTGTATGTCTGCGCTCTAGGCTCCATTGCTGCGTACTATTCTGGGCATGAGCAGTTGGCGTCAGGCCCGAAGCATGAAGTCGGCATTGAGTTCTTCAACTTGGCAAGTGAGATGTTCCGAGACCTAGAGGGTGTGAACTGGGACAGCGTCCAGTGTCTTCTTCTCATGGAGTAAGTTACCAACAAGCTTGCCTCTGTATACATTTTGCTAATGGGATGAGTGTCTAGGATGTTTTACTCTGCTAAGATGAGAGTGTATGACGCGTGGCATGCAAATCACAGAGCTTGCTGTACTATTTTGATCCTGGTGCCCTTGTAAGATATACCCACATCTGGACACCAGAGGTGAATGAAACCCACCTTCTAACCCAACACAGGCAGGGCATTTTGGAGGCACAGCATTGTCAGCTTTTCTGGATTGCATATTTACATGAAAGGTATACCGAAGGACTTTGATTGAACTTTGGATCATATCTCTGACCTCATTTCCAGCCAAATTCTCGCCGAGTTCGACTTCCCAGCTAGCGGCCTCGGCAAACTCGCGAGCAACACACCGTTGCCCCTGATTCCTGAAAACAGCGATGACCCTAGTCGTGCGAAATACCAATTCTTCTTCCTTGCCCTGATTTCTATGAGGAAACTTCTGAACCGCATCCTCTTCTATCTTTACAACAGAGGTATGTCCCGATACCAATTCTTCCCTCCCCTCTGTGTGCTCATTCGACCACCAGATCACAGTAAAGATGATCAAAATCACAATTCGCCGGCAGTGGATAGATCGACCAATTTCTCATCGGCATCTGAGTCGGTTATCCAGGAACTTGATCGTCAACTAGAAGAATGGCGAATGTTCCTACCCCAGGGCTTGCAGTTTCCAAGCCATTCAGGGACGGAGGACCTAGGACTACCGGAACCACATGAGCCTCGGACGACCGATCAGAGACTTCTTGGGCATCTAATGGCTCGATACTATTCCGCGAAGTCGATTATCCACCGCCCCTTCGTCTATAGAACTCTGCATTGCGACCAATTCACCCTACTTTCCGAGACAGACAAATTTGGCACAAGCACCGCCGTTGGAAGTGCCTTTATGTCTGTTATTCACAGCGGAATCTTTCATGAGCCCCTTGAATTGCTGTTACACCCCATTAATTCATGCAGAAGGTATGAAGTCCGCAGCTGGGCACGAATATGGAGATCAGTGAGCTGACAAATTTTCAGTCTCTTCGCTGTGGAGGTACAATTTGCTTTCTTGTCTTACACAGACTTTATGCGAGATGCACTACCGAATGAACGGAAATCGATTGAGGAGGCAAGAAGGATCATCGTGGGCTCAGCAACACAGCTTTCTCCTACTGTCATACGGGATGGCGAGATATTACAACTGTTAGTTTAGCGTATGACAAAAGCAAAACCAAAGCGCCATTTTTCAGACCCGGCAACCTGGAAGAACCGAAAAATATTTCTCATTTATGAATTGAAATGTAGGTTGCATGTTCTAGTTTACCCATTGATACTCTTCCCCAGAGTGGAATGTGGCCGCCATCCCGTCATCTCTTGAGTTTTGAGCGGCAATAACGTGGAACTCGGCATTTCCCTCGATAACCCACCTATCCAGGCCGTCGTCCCAATAGGACACACTGACCTTGTCAAGGACTGCACGAGCGGTGACGGTCTCGCCAGGGCGCACGAAGACCTTGTCCCAGCCCTTGAGTTCCCTAGGGGGTCTGCTCAGCCTGGGGTTGACCTGGCTGATATAAAATTGCACTGCTTCCTTTCCTTCCCGCGATCCAGTGTTGGTCACATCCACTTCCACCTCGATCTGTCCATCCCCGGAGAACTGCTCACTGCTTAGGCGGATATTGCTATACTCAAATGTGGTATAGGACAGACCAAACCCGAAGGGAAACAGAGGCTTGATCTTGCGGTGGTCGAGATATCGGTAGCCCGCGAAGATGCCCTCGCCGTAATGGACTATATCGTTCTCTCCGGGATAGTTGTCAAATGAAGCGGTGTCTTCAATGCGCCGCGGGAAGGTAATCGGCAGCTTGCCGCTTGGGTTAACGGCTCCCAGGAGTACGTCTGCGAGACAGTTTCCCTGCTCCTGTCCCTGATACCACGCTTGAATAATAGTTGAAACATCATCAATCCAGGGCATAGTGATTGGGCTACCCGTTTGGTTGACAACAATAGTGTTCGGGTTGGCTTTAGCGACGGCTGCAATGAACTCGTTCGATCGTCCGGGTAAGTCCATAGAGACCATATCACTTGTCTCGGTCTCCCACTCGTGGTCTTTACCGACAACGACAACGGCGATATCACTTTCACAAGCCATATCAATCGCCTCTTGGAAGAATGCATCAAGATTGCCGGGATTCTCCAGGAAGCCGATTCGGCCTCCATCTTGAACCTCCTCTCGCTCGAGCTCGGCAGACATATAGTCAAGGTCGTATGGCTTAGGCTCACGGCTAACAGACTCAAGTAACAGATCATATTTGCGTCCAGCCTCCATTTGAACTTGAACTCGCTCCTCTGGAGATCCGTAACTCATGAAAAGAGCCGATTTAGGAGACCACCAGTGTCGGTCAATTTCAATGAGGACTTCTCCATCTAAAACGAGCTTTCCAGGCCCACAGCTCGAAAGTGAGAATTCATGCAACCCGCTTGTTTTGGGCGTGATGGTTGTTCGGCCTCTGTATGAGTATCTCTCCCCAGTGGTCAACTCAGGCGGAAGTCCGTCGTAGCAGACCAGATTCGAGCTCGGACGATTCTCAACCATGAACGGTTGGCCTTCGTGTGTCATGTTTCTCCATAATGATAGAACGAAGCCACTGCTTCCCGACTCGGGGTTTTGCATGATGGCTGGGTCAACAAGTGGCAGATAACGATGGTTCAAAATACCAGCGTGTGTTTGTACCTTGGCAGTAGGGAACTTGGAGGTGACTTCTGTCTTTAACGAGTCGTATGGAGTTGTTAGATAGTGAGGCGCAAGGTTTGAGCTACCACCACCTGTTGAAACCGACCGATTGGCGTTGGGACCGAGCACTGCAATCGTCTTCCCGTTCAAGTCAGAAAGAGGGAGGGTATTAGCCGAATTCTTTAGCAAGACGATTCCTGGAAACGCCACGTTAGTTGTAATACTTGAGAAAGTGTTTCAAGGTTTCGTACCTTCACCACCTGCCCGACGCAAAATTGCGCGATGCTCAGGGAGGTCATCGGCTTTCTCCTGACCTTCTTGCCAGTCAGGCACAACACTCTTCCCCGTCTTATGAAGTAGCTCCAACACCCTTGATGCCGATGTATCAATGTAAGCCAAGTCAACGAGACCTTGGTTATGAGCCTCAATTAGATGTTGGCCTCTCCTCCTGATCGGACCAGGCATTTCAAGATCCAGTCTAGATCCACGATTATCAGCTCTGTTCTTGTTCGGAGGATTCAAACAACTCACCCAGCCTTCAGTGAAGGAACTACACTATTTGTGCCGAACCAATCACTCATAGCCAGACCATCCCATTGCCACTCGTTCCTGAGAACTTCCTGCAGTAGGAAGTCATGTGCCGAGCAAAAGACCCCGTTCACCTTGTTATACGCTGTCATCAGCGTCCACGGGTTGCTATCCCGAATAGCAATCTGAAAAGGCTGAAGGGCGATTTCGCGCAAGGCTCGATCGGGGATCTTTTCGTCGATAAAAAAGCGGCGTGTTTCTTGATCATTGGCCACAAAGTGTTTGATGCAAGCTCCAATGCCTGCACCTTGGATCGAGTTGATGAACTCTGCCGCAAGCTTTCCCGTCAGAAAAGGATCTTCGCTATAGGCTTCGAAATTGCGACCGCCGAGGGGAGTTCTGGGAATGCAGACTTGTTGACTGATTAGATCGGGTGTATGTTAAGAAGGGAAATCTCGTTTACCTGTAGGCCCAAGAAGCACGTCGACTTCCTTGCTCTTCGCTTCGGAGATCAACACTTGACAGACATCTCTCATCACCTTCTTATCCCATGTCGAAGCCAAAGATACACTACAAACAACACGTGTAAGCATATACTGAAGAATCTCGCGCATAGGTGTCTTACCCTGTTGGTAGCGAAGCTGCGCTCACTCCATCTGTGAAAATGCCACCACGGACGCCTACTGGTCCATCTGAAGTCTTGATTCTGGACACACCGAGACGAGGAATTGGATTTGTTCTCCAAAGATCTTGTCCGCAGAGCAGGAGGACCTTCTCTTCCAAGGTCATCTGCGACAACTTCTCCTGCGCCCATGTTTTCGCATCGCTCGAGGCTTGGGTTTTGAGCGTCATTGTGAAATTAGATGGTCGGAGTAATTTATTGCGATGATATGCAGAATAATAGTGGTCTTTAATATAATCACACATCTTATACTATCATCGCGGGGACAGGCGGACTCGCTCCGCGCGGGGCATACTCGAGCTGTAGTCCGCTTCTCCCCGACCATTGTAGATCCTCAACGTGGTTTCGTGCATTTGCACGTATTTGGCTAGTGCGGGGAATTTTTAGATCTGCGTACCGAGAGACATCGAGTCAGAATACGTCGCTGCTCAACGATGAACGACTTCACGGGTTTCTAACATTTCCACGCCAGTGATGCCCTCAACTGGTGGACACTTCAGACAGTGAATGTTGCCTATGAATTATCCTCGGAAGACAAAGAATTCAGCTCAGCGCATCTATCGGATGGGATTATTATGCTTTCCCCAGCTCAGGAGTCAACGAAAAATTCGAGGTCTCTCAGTGTGCCGCTCGGCCTTGAGGCCCTTGATCCTGCATTTCAACTGTCTGAATACCTTCGATCACGCCGAATAGAGTCTTCGCCAGCTGCAAACGATGATCTAGTCGATACAAAAAGGTTCCGATCGCCATTCACCTGGTCGACAAGCCACAAGATCATTGTTCTTTCCGGGGCATTTATGGCATCGACGCTGGCTGCATACTCAGCCGGTGCGTACGCGCTGGCCTCTGAGCCACTAAGACATCAATGGAAGATCAGTGATATGAAATTCAATGCCGGAATCACTATCTTCGTGGCTGGCTTCGGTTTCACGCCTATGATACTTGCACCAGTATCTGAAGTCTACGGTCGCTATTGGGTCTTTCTCGGATCGGGAGTTGTCTTCTTCCTTGGTACTCTGGGGTGCGCTATCACGAAAAGCTACGCCGGTATGATGGTCGCGAGATTGATCACCGGTTGCGGTGCGGCTGTCTTTGCTACACTTACTGGAGGTGTTGTCAGCGATCTATATCGTAAGGATAATCGCAACACGCCAATGGCCTTGTATTCACTCTCCATTATGGCTGGCACTGGCCTGGGACCCTTGGTTAGTGGTATTGTGGTCGATCGCCTGGGTGCGAGATGGATCTTTTACCTTCAGCTTATCGCCATAGGAGTTACTGTGGTGGTGCTACTTTTGTTGTTCGGTGAGACATCATCACCTTGCTGTTTGAGGAGACTTTGCCATGCTTTGAACAAGAAGCAGCTTCGAACTCTGTCTGGAGAGAGACTGTATTTCTTCCCATCTACGACGAAGACCCTGAAGCTAGAAGTTGCTATCATCTGGCGCAGCTTTGCGTTTCCTCTCAAGCTACTTGCAACCGAGCCCGTTGTGTTCTGGATATCTGTTTGGGTTTCATTCGCATGGGCAATTCTATACATGCAGTTCAACAGCATCGGAATTGTCCTCAGGAGTGTTTATCATTTCAACAGTACCCAAGTTGGTGCTGTCTACACGACAGTCATCGTCGGATCGGTACTCAGTGCCATCCTCGCCATTTTGGAGGGTCCAATCCGTCGACGCCTCTTCCCCAATCGTTCCTCCGCAGATACACCAGAGCAGCGGCTCTTATCTCCTTGCATCCAGTCAATCTTGTTGCCCATTGGTCTTTTCTGGTTCATGCTGAGTGCGAAAGCCGACATTCCATGGATCTCGCCTGTACTTGCGATCGGGTCATGCACAATGGGTATCTTTAGCATATACCTTGCTGTGTTCAACTATCTCGCCGACACGTACCATCAATACGCCTCATCTGCGCTTGCAGCTCAAAGCATGTGCCGTAACCTTCTGGCGGGGATCTTCCCCTTGGTCACAAGTAGCATGATCAAGAATTTGACATTGGCGGGGACAGGTGGTTTATTGGGTGGACTTGGTCTGTTATTGGCTATTATTCCGTGGTTGCTATTTTTCTTCGGTCGAAAGATTCGGGCGAATAGTCCTTTTGCGAAGGAGCTAGATTGATATCCATTTGAGGATGGATCTAGGCGGTTAGAACTTAGAATATAAATTAATATACACGTAGGAGAACACACCCAAATTACAGTATCACAATCCAACATTTGAACTCCATCTCTTAAGTCTTCTCCAAAAATTCCAAAAATTAGAGCTAGATCAATGAGAAATGATAGAATTGTTGTCGTGGTAGTCAATGGTAGGTCTCGGAGAGACGCGGGCGACGTCAATTGGCCCTGCTACCTGCGGAGTCGGTCCGTCTCTCCGCGCCTTTTTCACTTTTTCGGTTTTTTGCCTCTGGGGAACATGGGGATGTTTCCTGGGGCCCCAGTTTTCAAACAATCTGGATATCAGAATGAGCTGATCCCGAGGTCAGTTAGCCCGGTAACTTTGGCCAAGCTAATCCAACGACATTATGCTCATGGTATGGGCATCTGAACATTGTCCGAATTGCCCTCAGACTATAAAATGGCTATACACCCCTGATTCATGGGATGAGAAGTACTGTTAAACTTCATTCATTTCTTGACATCCTTTGATCAAAATGAGCCGCAACGCTCCCACTAGTTGCCCGGCTCGAAGCGTCGCCGAAATCCTGGCCACGGAAAAGGATATCTCTCCTTTCGCCCTGTCTCCATCGCTCGTTCGTCTTTATACCATCCTTGCTCCAGCCTGCCTCGTCGTCTGTGCCACTAATGGCTACGATGGAAGCGTCCTCACGGGTCTGCAGGGCGTGGAAAGTTGGAGAAACCAGTTCGGCTCGCCCACCGGCGCTCTACTAGGTATTACAAGCGCATCATATCCCCTTGGTGCAATCGTTTCCACGCCGTTCTCCGCTTTCGTCTCGGATAGCTTCGGCCGTCGTATGTCAATCATCATTGGAAGCTGTATCATGATCATTGGCGTCATCATGCAATGCGCGAGTACCGACATTGGCCTCTTCATCGGTGGTCGTGTCGTCGTTGGATTTGGGATCACCTTCGCTCTCGCCGCTGCTCCCGTTCTCATATCCGAACTCGCACATCCCAGACACCGAGTCTTTTTCGGTTCTCTATACAACACAAGTTTCTATCTGGGTGCCCTCTTGGCTGGATGGGTTGCTTTTGGAAGTTATCGCATTCCCGGTGATTGGGCCTGGCGTCTTCCAACTCTCCTCCAGGTCGGCCCAGCATGCATTCAGCTCATCTTTGTGTGGTTTCTTGACGAATCCCCTAGATGGCTAGCATATAAAGGCCGAGGTGAAGAGGCATATAGGGTCTTGGTCAAAACACATGGCAATGGAGACTGGAACAGCCCTCTTGCTCAAGCCGAGTACTGGGAGATGAACGAAACACTGAATTCCGAGCGCGCTGTCAGCAACCAGGGACTCAAGCTCTTTCTAACTACCCCAGCAAACCGCAAACGTCTCGCTATCCTTGTTACACTGGCCATCGCCGGGCAGTGGAGCGGAAACGGTCTCGTGTCGTACTATCTCACCAAGATCCTCTCGAGTATCGGCATTGCAACCCAGCACGAACAAACCATGCTGAACGGAGTTATCAGTACCGTGAACTATGGTACTTCTCTATTCGCTGCTGTTTTGTCTACCAAGATCGGTCGCCGACCAATGTTCATCGGTGGCGGTATCGCCATGTTTGTAACGTTCTCAGCTCTCACCGCTAGCATCGCCATCTACGACGAGACAGGATCAAAGGCTGCTAGCAAATCAGCTCTTGCCTTCATCTTCATTTACTACACCAGTTTCAATATCTGTCTGAACCCTCTTCTATTCCTATACCCTACTGAGGTCTTGCCGTTTAGACTCCGAGCAATGGGCCTTAGCATATTGGTCTTTTGCACGAAAGCGGCCTCTTTCTTCAATCAGTTCGTGAACCCAATTGGTATGGACTCCCTTGGCTGGAAGTATTACCTTGTCTATGTGTGCTGGATTGTCGTTGAGATCTTCATTTTCTGGTTTTTGTATCCTGAAACAAAGGGATACACCCTGGAAACGGCCCAGGAGGCGTTTGGAGAAGATGTCAAGCTGGATGATCTGGAGGGAAAGGGACATCATGACATTGGTGAGGTGGTGTATATTGAAGAGACAGTTGCTCGGGGCAGCAGTGTTGACAAAAGAGAACCAGCGATAACGCCTCAATGATAGATTGACTCTCTTTCGAAGCTGTGGTATGGCGTTGCACTGCTCGATAACACTCTAAATATAAAATTTAGAAAACACTTGTGATTGTGTTGATCACCTCCAATATTCGAGGCTTCATTATCTAATGTGCTATGCTTGCACTGTTTCACAGGCATCAAAGGTGTTAAATAAGAAATTTGTTCGAAATTTACAGAAAGTAGACAGTAAAAATATATGGAAACGGATTTGAAACGAGCGACAAAGTACTGCGACAAAGCAACTCACCTTTGAGTTACTCAATAAATAGCCAAGGTCTGTATAGTCACCTGGGCACTGACCTCGGAGATAAGCCAATGCCCAGGGCAAAGTCGCTTATCACCAAATGTTTTCCCCCCGCTTTTTGCCAGCTGCGCTTCAACCTTGTAACTTCCTCAACCATGTCTGGACTTACTGATGCCCAAGTCGCCTCCTTCAAGGAGAACGGGTACCTCGTTCTCCCCGACTACCTCAGTCAAACGGAGCTCTCCTCCCTCCTAACCGAAACAAACAAACTACTCGACGAATTCCCTCTAGAATCCCACCCCCTCACCCAGTTCACAACAGAGGAAGATACAGCCGACCACGTAGGCGATGACTACTTCCTGACCTCAGGCGACAAAGTGCGCTTCTTCTTCGAGCCAGATGCGTTCAGCTCCGAACCCGATCCTCTCACGGGCCGTGCTGCCCTCATGAAACCCAAGAACCGCGCCGTGAATAAGATAGGACACTCGCTGCACACTCTATCGCCACCATTCAAGGCTGTCTCGCTGAACGAGCGCAACGCGGCTGTTGCGCGCTCTTTGGGCTTCGTCGACCCCAGAGTCTTACAGAGTATGGTTATCTGCAAGCAGCCCTCGATTGGTGGGGCGGTGCCTTCGCATCGTGATTCCGAGTTCTTATACACTGATCCGCCGTCGGCGGTGGGCTGGTGGTATGCGCTGCAGGATGCGGGACCCAAGAATGGTACGCTGGGTATGTACAAGGGGTCGCAAACGGGGAGGAAGGGCGGTCATATCACCAGGCGGTTTGTCAGGAAGGAGGGGGGAGGTACGGAGTTTATTGAGAATCAGGGTCCTGCTTTACCGAAGGGAATGGAAGAGGAGAAGAGCTCTGAGCCCTCGGATGAGGATCTGGAGATCCTTGATATCAAGGCTGGGTCGCTGGTGCTCATTCATGGCAATGTTTTGCACAAGAGTGAGAAGAATACCAGTCCAAACAGTCGGTATGCGTATACCTTCCATGTAATTGAAGGCGCAGAGGGGTGGGAATATGATGCGCGGAACTGGCTACAGCCTCCCGCCGAGGGATTTTCCAAATTGACGTGATTGTACATAAACCCGAATGTGAAATGATGTTACGGCCAGTGAAATTGGTAATGGTACTTTTAATTTTATGCAAATTCCTGTACAAAAAAGTTTGATGGCCCGCCATGTACACCGAGTGCGAATCCCAGATACCCCAAACTCCATGTGTGATCAACATCAGGCCTTCAACATGTCAAGCATTCCCTTCGTCTGCCACGCCTGCTGGGCCATCTCCACCTCGTTGCGGACCCGGCCATGGAGACGCTCCACCATCTTGTCGATTTGTGCAGATTGGCCGAGGTTACCGGAGTAGATGTCGAGGAGGTTCATGGCAATCTCGACACTGAGATCGACCAGGCGTGGTTCACGGATGTGGCTGTGAACCCACTGGAGAACGGGTTGAAGGGTGACTTCATCGCGATCCTTGAGGGAAGCGCGCAGGGCAGAACGGTGGCGCAGGGCCGTGAGACATGTGAGGGTGGAGGTCTTGTCGCCTGAGGCAAGCACTTGGTCCAAAGCAATGGCGTAGCGGGCTTTGCGAAGGTCTTGCTCCCATTGTGCCTCTCTCTTGCGCTTCTTGCTGTCTTGTCCCTCAATGACAATTTCCACGCCCTCGCCGATGAAATCACGTCCGCGCAAACGCTTATCCCAACCGGAACCGCGGGTCTTCTTCTGCTTGGCAACTTCGCGATCATGCTCCTCCAACTTGCCCTCCATAAGAGCGGCCATTTCCTTTCGGCGCTCCTTCTCCTTGATCTTCTGTTGGCCAGAGAGACGGGTCTTGATCGATAGTAGACCAGACTGCATACCAACAGCAATGTGCTTATCTTCGTGTTCAGTTCCGGAGGTAATCGCACGAAGTGAAAGAATTGGTGACGGGTATTTGGATCCAGATACGGGGTTCCATCCGGTAGTTTCGAAGACCTTCATGTGTCCATCCAGCGCACCAGAGAGCAAACGCTCACCATTTGAAGCCAGCGCAAGGGCAGTGACTGTCTTTTGATGGCTCTGGATCATATGCAAAGGCTTACCAGCAACAATATCCAGCACAGCGATCTTGTTATCGGCAGCAGCCAGAACAGTAGTTCCAGCCGGCATGGGCAGAACGCTCTCAACCGGCGCACCCATCTTGAAAGTCATAGCAGCACGGGTCGCCACACGGGGATCCCAAAGACGAACAGTGCGATCATAAGAACCAGTGATAACCAGGCCGGATGAAGCCATGGAGCCAGGCATGTAAGAACCAGAACGGACGTAATCGGTATGGCCGACAAAAGACCGCGAACTGTTCTGCGAAGCCAGATCCCACGTCCGCACTGTGCGGTCGTCACTAGCCGTGAGAAGCGACGTGGGGTCACTGGGTGAGAATTTGCTCACCCAGACGGGTTGCTTGTGTTCCTTCCATGTCTTGAGAATGGCGCGCGACTTGACGTCGAAAACCTGCACGGTACCGGTATCGTCACCTGCTACCAAGACACGACCATCGGGACGAACATCCGTACTGCGCACGGTATCTTCAAATCGGGTGATTGTTCGCAGGAGTTTCCGTGTGCGAATGGAGTAGATCTGGACTCGTGCGCCTGTCGTAACGGTGAAGACATCGGGCGGCTGTGTGAGGGAGGGGAATGCCGCAGCAGAGGAGGGAACGGCGGGCTGAGTGATGAGGTTGACGGGTCCATTGGCTGGTGAGGGGATCAGGAGAGGGTTTTTGAAGGTGCGCCAGTATTGTTGCTCCGGCGTGAGTTGCGTCGAAGGCAACGAGGCAAGCTTCACCTGCTGCAGTGGCAGGACGGGCGCCGCCATGGTTGCTGTAGATTGACAGTGGTCGGTCGGGGCTGGGAGTATATATTAAATGAGCGACCGGAGCAAACAGCAGCTTGGTGAATTCAGTCCAACTGGAGTGCTATCGTGAAGTTCAAGACCATCTTTTTTCTGCCGATCAAAAAAGTTCGTCTCGCCCAATCGGGAATGGTGGCGGTAGCTAGTTCAGCCTGAGGCATCATTTGTTACCGCCTTAGGCCACAAGGCAGAACTCTGACATTCCAATCACTGGGTCCACCTGGATTCATTGAAGCACCGATTCTTGCAAACATTCAATACGAGTACTCGCGAAGTCCGCCGATTACTTTTTCAATGATGTTGCATGTGTCCGGATAAGGTTTTAATGGAAAAGGTCACACCATCCGATTTCTGAACATAAGACAGGTTCCCGGGAGGATTCTATAGAAATGTTTGTTTTGGACAGTCTGAACATGAACGTTCACATCTTCCAAGGTTAACACGAGCAACATGCGAAGGAAACTTTGCCAGCCCCCAGATCTATATTTAAACAACTGCTTATACGGAGTAGAGTTTACATTTGTCTCCCCCACTTGTGTTGATTCTTCCGAGGTTTCGATAAACATTCTCCAAGAAATGGTGAATTGACTTGGGCATGGTTGACAGGTGACAGCTTCCATTCCAACCGGTGGTGTGGGTGACCCTGACCTCACTTTCAAGGGCAATCCTCAAAATTGATGTCAATTGACCCACAGCCATTGTTCAAACGGTCATACGAGTAGGCTTCCACATTCCAGGCTTAAGAATAGTCTCAGCATGGGGCCAATTCGTTCGCCAAGGTCAGATTGCCTGAGCCCACTCGGGCAGTGAGACAGGCAGCATTGATAAATTTGAAGGAGCTCCGCAGGGATGCACAGTACGGTGTGTAGTCCATACCCCGTAGGTGGCTTAAATAAAACAGTCTCAATAATATTGGCAATGTATGAGATCCTTCATAGATGAAGGTGCATACAGGTGCAGTTGCTCTCTGGCACAGGAGTGGTCGCTATGGCAATTCAGCGGGGGGCAGATCCATCGTGGTGCAGCTCATAACCCTAAAAGTGGGGGGAGCCGCGACGGCTTGACAGCTTATTGAAGCCCCAGTGCAGATGAAACCGGATTGACAAGAAAGAACCAGGAGAGATGACGATCTCATCTAGACCAGTCGCCAATCATTGCATTGGTCGGTAGTCTTCGCCTTGTTCCATGTCCGGAATGTGTAAAACCTCAAAATTTCCGGTGGCTGGGGATGCGATCGAGCTCCACATTGGTTCAAATGCCTGACAGGGGTTGGGCCAGCAAATAGCTAGTAGTGTCATGCAATATAGGGGATCCCCGTATAGAGTACGAACTTGAGAATAGCGAGTATAGAGACATGCCCGTAATACCATGGACATGAGAAAGACACACACGTTCTCAGCAAAGTCCACTGTTTACTTTGGTATCAAATGATGTAAGCCTCGTTTTGGTACGGTAAAAGGCCCGAGTCTGGACACCGCCGCCAGGGGGTGCAGCCAATCATCGGCAATCATCGCCCCAGATCTGATACACCCCAGCCACCTCCAATACCGCATCGGACATTCCAGGCAGGAGGTTCTTATCGTCTTTTTTCCCTTTTCTTTCCCCTCTTCCTCTTCAAAACACTTGAGACACTGCCAATGGTTCTCTTTACCTGCACCTAAATGCGCTAAGAATACCTACACTATGTCGAAGCTCACCAAGGTCAACCATGCGGCTGGCATCTTTGCTGATATCTCCGTTGATGGCCCGATCATTGGAACCCTGGTCGCCATTATCGACCGGGCCAAGAACCTCCCCAACCGAAAAACCATGGGCAAACAGAACCCATACGCTGCAGCACGGCTAGGAAAGGAAGCAAAGAAAACACAAACGGATTTGAGAGGAGGACAGACCCCCAGATGGTATGTCAGTCACTGATAAGATGAGTGGGAGAATGGAAACTAACTAGAACCAGGGACTCGGAACTTCGCTTTACTGTGCACGAGTCACCCGATTACTATAAGCTCAAAGTCTCCGTGTTCAATGACGATAAGAAGACCGACATGATTGGCGAGACCTGGGTCGATCTACAGAACCTGATCATTGCCGGTGGAAGTCAGAATGACCACTGGCACCCATTGCAGTGCCGTGGAAAATATGCAGGAGAGATCCGGATTGAGATGACTTACTATGACACCCGGCAGCAAGATGAAGCTATAATTGAACGCAGACAAGAAGCAGCAGACAGAGTTCAAGGAAAGATCCCAAGCACTCCAAGCGCCACAGGCTTGTCTGGCCCCCGACAGCTCAAGGACGTTAAACGACGACCATTGCCAAGTGGTCCTGCTGGAGCACCGCCACCACCGAGGCCAGCTGTACTTGAACAAACTCATTCAGCTCCTCCGCTTCATCACCCGGCTCCATCGCGCCCCGCCATTCCCGAGCATTTGAACTCCGTTTCAAGTGCTCCTGAGCCTATCGTCCACCCAATGAGGCAATCAGAGCCTGTGTATGACGCGTCGGCATATCGCGCGCCTTCCCCTGCACCTCCCCCTTCTCGAGGTGGATATGATGGCGCCGAAGCTTATGCACCAGAATGGGAAAATCCGGCTGTCGCCCCTCTCCGCAGACCAAATACCCATGAAGTGCCATACGCCCCTCAGGAAGTAGTTCAAGCAACATATGACACGCGTCCACTACAGCCTCGAAGCCAGTCCGATTATGATCAACCACCTTCCCGAGACTATCGAATGGCCCGGGAACAGACGTATGAGCCGGATCCTCGAGAGGTGATGTATCATTCTGGACACCAAGACCCGTATATTCAACCCGAACAGCCCAGATACAGCGCAGATCACATGTCCTATGGTGCCCCGCCCACGCGTGAACTGCCACCATCGGAATACATGGTGGATCCTGCGCACGACACAATAGATGATATGAGGTATCGTCAGCGTGGTGCCCGGCCCCTGCAACTCACCGCCCGTCCCCATGATTGGCATCCAGAGTACGCCGGGATGCAGCCACGAGTAGAGGATGAAGACGACGATCTGGCGCCGCCCCCACCACCGGCACATCGATCACGAAGGGCAAACTCCCAGTTGCCTACCCCAAACACATCACCCAGCCCATATGCTTCCTACACGCCTCGATCTGCACCCCGCTCCCCAGCCGCCCATATCCCATCAAGCATGTCAACACCGTCCCGTAGCCGCTACCAGGAGCCTGCTTCTACAAGAGGCTCGCCTGCCGTTCCCGCTAGCCTTGTCGCCGGGTATGAAACCGAAGACTCGTCGGAAAGGGCAGCCTTCGAGAGGTCGGCACGCAGGCCTAGCAACCCTTGGGATGATGAGATGATGTTTACCGACGCTCCTGCGCCAGTTCCTGTTGCAGCACCTGCTCACTATGACGCGCCTGTCTACCCATTGCGAACATCTCCGCGTCCCGCCATTGACCAAAGACCTGTATCTAGCAGAGGCGTGAGTCCTGATACGAGGGCTGTTACTCGCAAATCAGTCAGCGTCAGCCCACGGCCTTCTTCCTCTGATGGCCGCGGTGGCTCATCCGTCCCATTCTCTCCCGATTCATACGCCTCTCTGAATCCTCATACATCCCGACCCTCCAGCAGGGATCCTTCACCGATGTATGACACGCCCTCTCAGGCTAGAGATGCTGTTGTGCGCGGCAAGACTGAACCCAGACGTGATGCGGACCAACCAATCATTGGAGACGATGGGCGTGAGATCGATCCCTCTGACCATTTGCCCACCGATACATGGGCACCCGAACCGGAAAGGAAGAACCGCAAGCCAGAGGTCATCATTCGCTTCAAGCACTCGCCTCGGCCAACATCTCGAGGCAATGACGCTCCTGCTCCTGCTCCTCGTTCATCCGGTCCGCCTCGTGTAGGATTCAGTCCTCACACCACCACCTACCCCGCGGATCGCCAGATCAAATACACACCCACACATCACGCAAATCCTGGGGCAGTCGTTCGGACTCCTCCTCGAGCTGACTACTCTCGTGGACGTTCCGACAGCTATCAAAGTCGAGGCTACAGCACACCCACTTCGACTGACCGCCCACGCTCCTCTAGAGGCTCCGTCTCGCCGACTCCCAGCGCCCGGTCCCCACTTTATGACTATAACACTGGCCCACCGATCCCCAGCAAAGTTCCCATCTCTGGTGGTAGCCCCAGCTATCCCGTAATGTCTGGAAACCCCAACATGGGTCGCATGGATGCTCTGAGCAGAGAGCTCAGCACTATCGACATCGGCTCTGCCGGATGCAGCCCTGGTCGCGGCGCCATGCGAAAATACATCCCTCGTGCACCTGCATCGATGGGATACGCTAGTTAAACGATTCACATTGGAACGATGAATTATGTACAATCTTCCGGGTCTTGTTGGATATTTTTTCCCGGCTCTTTTCGGTTTTTTTCCTCTTTTTTTTTCAGATTGCATTCAGATATCCGGCAAATTGGGCGTCTGGGATCATGGTTTTCCTTCGAGTTTTGCACATTTTTGAATCATGTACACATAGCATTGATGATACCTTTAAATGAGTTGATTCTTGAAGACCTTTATAAACCCCTCGTAGTTCCAATATTCTGTCCGCAACGTACTCGCCCTGTCAATTTACGATTGACCTGTGCACAACCTTGAAACTTTTGCTGCTGTCCAGCTGTCGCGTTAGCGATATTGAACCTGAAAGCTGCTAGTAGTAGACATACCAATCACAACTTTCGTCTCTTCTACAAGTACGCGGTACTTCATCCATAGGTACTCCTTGCCTATAGCCATACAAAATGGCATTTCCACCCTGCTTTCAGTGTTTTGTCAATTTTGCGGTATGCCAAAAAGGCACCGACTTGGCGTGCTGGGTTTATCTTTTTGCTGGTCTTTGCTTAGGTATCTAACAACTGGCAGCCTCTGCGAAGAAAGTGAAGATGATCTGAGAAAATATCACAGTTCCGTGCACGAAAAGAGTCGTGTACGAGGCAAGTGACGGAAGTTTGCCACGCAAGTGAAGAGTGTGTATGAAGAAACCCGATCTATATACGCATTGCCTTGGTAGGAATTGTGTATTTTACCGTAATAGCCTGGAGCTCTTGCAGTCTGGAGATCTATGAAGGTATCAATAGGCGAAAATACGCTCGAAATCGTCGCAAGTTCTTAAAATCGTCCAGTGTGTCATATTATCAAGGCACGATGCCCTCAAAGTCGGTCCAATGCCGTTTGGCAAATAGCGGCAATTTCCTTCAAACAATATAAAAGCCATCCTATCGTGAAGTTCTCTTTCTTCCTCTATCCTATCTCTACAACCCTGCATCATTTACTCTGGTTGTCGGCCTACACCTTCCATCTTCCATCAGATCCCTCGACATCTTTATCACACACCTCTAGAGTGTCAAGCGCATCCAAGAAGGACTGTTTTTTGGGCTGTTGATTCCCATGATGGAGCATCAGAATCCGAAGGACCCAGGCGATGGCCACAGCAGACGTGGGTATGTATCAAGTGCTCTCATCCCCTCTTCCCACACCTCGACATCTACCATCTTGCTGTATCAGTTCAGTCATCACCTATGTTTCCTGAAGTGCAATGATGTTGCCCTTACTTGGAGGAAACCTGCATCCCAATTCATACTTCAGGGCCTTGGCCATCAACTTCATCCATGTACGCTGCTAACAACGTCTCTCAGACGAATCAACGCTCCACCTGGTCAGCCAGCATCTCAGTATGTCGATGAACTATATTACACACACATGTCCACTCTGCACATCCAGACCGTGACCATAGTCACGTCCCAAATCTTCTTTGTTCTCCCTCCATATTCCTATTTTCCCACTGATCCACTGTCATACATTCCATATTTGATACCATGGCCTCAGCGATAGGAAGAATACAAGCTAACGCTTTTGGATGTCACAGGGAATCCTCTGAAGGTGTCTATCACCAGCATGTCTCTACTCCCTTCAACCAGCTCCTCATGAGTCCTTCTGCTTCGGTCCAACTGCCCTCTACTCCTTTCAGACATTGCTTGATGGGTGTTCCGCTTCCACCGATTCCTGCTTCACTAAACCATCACCACATGATGAGTCCTGACTCGGTTCAACCTCGTCCATTCTCTTACACACCACATCCTTCTCAAAGCACCTCTCCTTGCTATGAATACGGCAATGAGCTCCATTCTCTTGTCCCCGCCTCTCTTTCTCCTAATCTTTATGTTGCCGCAGCTCCTCCTCCGTCATCTCCTCCTACATCTTATCTGCCTTCTACTTCTTCTCTGTCTCGTGACTTTCTCACCCGCGGAGAATGGCTCATTCGTCAGGCGGATGAGACCAACCCGTACCGAGTCAGGACGGAAGAAGACCAAGCTCGGAGTCGCAGCCCTCGCCTTTCCGATAGATTTCAAGGACCCCACAACTTGTATCAAGGCATGTCACCTGGGTATCAATACCAATATGGCTCTACCAACCAGCTTTCGCATCCAGCTACCCACGCACCCATCACACCACGATCATCCGAGCACGGAGGTCAGCAGATCAGAGGCTATGGACAAGAAGAAAATATTGTTCAGACCACTGAAACAGCTCCCCACGGTCAAGAGAGCCACAATGAGCTTCGGCATTCGGAGCATCTAGCTGTAGTCCCACGGACTTCCAGCTACGTGACCGATGGGGGTCTTGCAGATTGTGAAGAAGAAGAAGAGGAGGAAGACCTGCGGTGTGAATTCGCAGCACCTTGCCGAATGGATGCATCCCCCGATGGACTACACTTCCGCAAGGTCGTTTCCCACGTGTTCGGCAGGAACAAAGCCGTCACCAAGATCTTCCCCCCAGAAGTCTGGGTTCACTACTGCCGGAAGCACTACCAACGTGCCCGCTACCGGGCCGATCAATGGCCCTTTACCCAATGTGACTTACTGATGGAGTCACTTCGCCGCATGGAAGAGTGGAATGGGGTTGTGGATTTCGAGCTGACTCTACGTCGTCGCGAGAGGATTCGGGTGGCAGAAGCCACGAACGACAAGTCTGGCAGGAAGGAAGTCCCCAAAAGCGAAAACAGGGCAGTCAAGCCCATTCGCCCAGGCCGCAAGCACCCAACTGCCATCATCGCGCCTGCCCCAGATTGGCTTCGCAACTGCACTGGGGAGCACCTGTCTTTCGATGCCATCCGCAACATCATTGAGCGGATCCGCAAATACATGACAACCCTTCGGGCACGGGAGAAAGAACAACAAGCTCAGCAGGAGCACCCGTTCAATAACACGGGCAACACGGATAAGTCACAATCCAGCCTCGCCATGCGGGCTCCGGCCAAGCGCCAGAGTCAGAAGACTCACCCATACAAGCTGCGTCCGACGCCGAGCATGGTCCGTTTCCCGGACATCGAAATCCTGCCCAATTTCCAACAATGGGTCAGGGATGCAGCGCTTCGCCAGCGCTCCGCCGCTACTCCCGTGGCAGGCAGCGGCAAGGAAGTGAAGAAGAGCAAGTCTGGTTTGGCCTCGCAAACTCAGGCCAGTGCCCAAAATCCCCGGCACGGGATCACTCTTCCTTCCCGTCCGCGCCGACCTGCGGGGAGCAACGAGGCTCCCCGCGTCTCCCCGGCCTCGACGGCCGCAGTCAATCGCGGCCGGCGCGCAGTAATTGGCCGAGCCGGCACGAATCGTGGAAATTCCGCTAGCCAGCAACGGCGTAGCGATCGAGTCTTCCAGCAAGCACTGGATAGACTGCCGCGTCGGGGGCGAAAGGCCAAGGAGGAGGGCAAACACGATGCCCACCCCGGAAACGATGCCGCCTTTCAGTAGGCGGGTATGATGGACCTGTTGTGACTGGTGTTGAATGAGAAAAATCGAAAATGAAAAAAATGAAAAAGAAGAGAAAAGAAAAAGATTGAAAATGGAAACGTGAAAAATGGGGATGAAGAAAACCAGAAAAACCCCATGGGGGATGATTTGTTGATATCATAACTATGTAGGGTTTGGTCAAGTGGGAACCTTGGAAGAAATGTTGTTTGGGGGTACAGACAACTCGGGGTGTTTAGATGATTGACGAATGGACAACTTCAAACGTATCACACGCTGCTTTTCGGATCTAATATGTATTGCCCAGAGCATCAAGGCATTTCTGTAAGAGATCAATTAACCGTAAGAAGTAAAGAGTAAAGACTGATCAAAAAGGGAACTGCAATTGATATTTACAAACACATCCCCAGAGCTGGCAGATATTTTCTTCAAGATAAGACATACTCCGTACAATGTAACCAACGCTTGCTGAAACAAAATGCAAGAGAAACCAAGATCTCCGATGCAACCTGGCAAGCAATATTAACAAAAAAAAAAAAATTAAATAATGAATCAACTAGCCACAGCCAGCTGGGCAACGAGATCAGAGGCCACGTCAAGGAAGGGGTAAGGGCTTGTAACCTCCTTCTCCTTGTTCATGAAACGCTTGCTGATAGGATGCCACTCTGTATCGCCCTCGGGCCGGATCACATTCTGGTATCCGTCGCACTTGAAGTCGACCATGTAGTTGTTTTCTTCGAGTTGGTAGAGCTGGATGTCCAGGAAGACCCAGACGCCGTAGGTGATGTGGGGGAGACCGGTTGGGCCTGCGGCAGATGATGCACCGGAGGCAAGACCGCTGTCTGGTGCGGAGGACTGGTGGTGGCGGTCTTCGGTGGGCACGGAGAGGCCGGAGATGTTGAAGCGACGGCGGAGTTCTTCGAGGTCACTGCGGCTGTTGTAGACGCTTGTGTTGCCCGCACCAGGGGCTTTAATGCCTTCCTTTAATAGTCGGGCACGGATGAACCATGGGTCTTTGGGGATGTAGTAGTCTGATGGGAGGTCGGGATATTTGCTCTGTAGGGGTTTGGATTTATCGGATGGGATTGCATCGGGGCCGATATTGGTGCCTGCAGGATGTGAGAAAAAGAAATTATATGTGGCTTGCGTGACTTACCTGATTCAGCGGGTTGGATATCCCACAGACCACCCTGGGCAGCAATCGCCCGGTACAGATATAGCATAGCCTCGTAGGGCTGGTTTCGTGAACGGATGCCGAATTGCCACTTGCGGCTTCTCTTAGGTTGTTTTTCGACCGGTTGGCCGGTTGGCGGCTCGAAGCGAAGTTTATCCAAGTCAACAACGCTGCGTGCGTGAGGTTTCAATGCCCGAGCAGTAGCAGCTTGCTCCTCTGGAGACATGTCCCGGTAAGCAGCCTGGCTTGGATGGTCAAGGTCGAGGCCTTCCTGGCGTCGCTGTTCAAGCATTTCGTTGCGTGCTCTCCGCTCGTGTTCGCGCTGCTCCATGAGCTGCTCGTGCACATACGGTAAACTCGTGGGGAGGATTCGAACGTGGCTGATGCGAGGTTCCCCGGCTTCTGGATGGGGTTCTTCCGAGGCTCTGCGGTGCGACACGCTGGTGGCTCTTTGTCGTGCAGCTGCAGACTGCGGTGGATGCCTCGGGGCGGAAGCTCTGTCTGAGGATGAAGGTGCAGCTCCTCTCGGTTGCACATTCTGGGCGAGTATGTTATCTTCCGTGGGTGAGTTAGTCTGCATCATTTCATTCTCGACGACGATGGAGAATGCATCTTTGATTGCGCTGGGCTCTGGGTGTCTCAGTGCTTCTTCGATGTCCTCCTTGCCGTATCCCATGCTTCTTTCAAGCTTCGAGACGGCAATCGTGTGGATCTTGTGTTGTACCGGTGCCGGTTTTGCGGGATCAAGCTTTCCGTTATCGACCTTCTTTGGATCAACTCCTGGCGCGATGAACTCTTCGGGGGGTGGCTCCAAGTATGAGGGGAGGTTCTTGGTAAACCATGGGTCTAATCTGATCTCAGGAATGGTGATTCGGTGAACGGGATGGACCTGAAGCATTGCCCGGATTAAACGAGCTGCCCCAGATGAGATGTATCCGGGAATGTGGAAAGTACCCGCGGCAATCTTCTTGAAGAGGGCGGGGATATAGTCGTCGTCAAAGGGCAGACGACCGACCAACAGGACATACAAGATCACTCCACAACTCCACACGTCCACTTCGGGGCCCGCATAGAGCTTTCCAGAGATGACCTCCGGTGCTGCATAGTTGGGACTACCGCAGCTGGTCTTGAGGAAGTTGCCGTCCGTCATAATATTACTCAATCCGAAATCCGCAATCTTCACATTCTTTTGGTTGTCGATGAGCAAGTTCTCGGGCTTCAGGTCACGGTGAACGATTTTGTGTCGATGGCAGTACTCAACCGCACAGATAATTTGTTGGAAAAACTTCCGTGCCTCATCGTCGCCGCATCGTCCCTTCCGCACAAGGTAGTCAAACAACTCACGTTCCGCATACTCCAACACCATGACGATATCGCTCTTGGTCGCAATCACGGTATAGCTACGGAAAACAATTTGGTCAGCCGATTGATATACACACTGCAAGAGTTCTGGTGATCATACAGTTTGATGATGTGAGGGTGTCGCAGCAATTGCAAATACTGAATTTCACGCTCCACGCGACCAACCATATCCCGAGATAACAGCTTGCGTCGCGAGATAATTTTCAGAGCTACCTGGCGACCACTGGGCTGATGAATGGCGAGCTTCACTTTTCCAAAGGACCCCTCGCCCAGCACCCGAATGGTCTGGTACTGGTCGAGGCGCTGCATGTCTCGTGTGGTTGAGGGTGACTGCAACGGATCTTCCGGTTTCCCAGTGGACTTTGAAGGCGGCATAGCCATGGCGGCGGGGTTCTGGTTCTGGGGTGGCCTTCTCTCACGACGATCGCGATCGGAAGGGAGGGGGATAGCGAGGTCTTCCTCATCGAAAGCGGCGGCCATGGTGACGTTATTGATTTTTTGAGCGGTTGGACGGTCCGAGACAGCCGACTGAGCCTTGGTTGCAAGGGGATTTCTTTTTTCTTAAATCTTCCCCCTTTCAAATCATCGAGATCCAATCCGTCTATAAGTCTCCCCCACAATGGAACCGAGGGAAGGACAAGTTGACAGTTTTGCGAGGTGGGGGAGGGGTAAAGTCACTTTTTGTTCAGGGGTGTCGAGAGTCGGGGAAATAAAATATCCCAAGTTTCGCCGATGAAGAGAAGAATCCGCTTCAATCTGGGGGAGCCCTGGAAGTCTGGAGGTCTGGAGGTCTGGAGTTGGGATTCTGGGACTCTGGCCCTTACTAAGCTATGTCTCAAGTGGGCAATGAACCTCACGATCGTGTACTCTGTACTCCATAGGAGTGCCCTATTTGGACGATGGTTCATCACTTCTGGCACATAATCGGATATTTTGTCTGCTCTCATATTCAAGACTTTATCCTCACTTGTTTTTTTTAATAAAAATATATATTTTTTAATTGCATTCCCAGATTCGTTGCAGAAATATCTTCAATGCCATCTGAGCCTGGAGCAGCGTGCAAAATACGGAATTAGTTAGAGCCGACTACTAAAAATCCTCATACATAGTATGCACGGTAAATCTATGGCTCCGGTGGTCTGTGTAACTATCTCAGAGCTAATTGAATAAACACAGCTCTAGACTTAAAAAAAGATTTTCTATGCCGAGGCTCCGAAGCTGTGTGTCACAGTGGGTCTTTAAATGAAGGACTACGAACTATGGACGTTGCAACTTCTTAACCTTGGTACATTCCAAGGTTGGTACTTAAGTACCTCGACGAGACATTTCTGGAACGAGTTGCAGAGTAGGGAATCACGTTCGCGAGGCTCTGCATACCTGCACAGCTCTAGAGGGCCCTGGGCTATGCAACACAGCCTCAACCTTTCACTGGTCTCCCTTGCTCTGTTTTATATATTTCAGGCTCCCTGGTCCTGGACAAAGTGCAAATCACAGTGTAACTAACGACATCATAACCATGGAATTCAGGATCTGTCGGCGGAAAAAGAAAAGGAAAAAAATAGAGAGGGAGAGAGAGTCGAAAGGCACCTGGATCTTCATAGTAAACATCAACCCAGAGTAAGTACCTCTGAGGTACGGTAGTCCCCTTGAATTTTCCTACGGAGATCAACGGTATTTTACCGCATTACCCTTTGTTGTTAAAAATTACAAAGCTTAACAACATTCAATACCTGAATATTTTGAGAGAAAAACTTGGAAACTTATACTGAATGAATTCAAACATGATATTCCAGGGAAAATGGGAACTTTAGAAAGAGAGAAACATCATAACATCCTAAAGTTGATGGTCGAAAAATACATAGACGTCAGGTTTGAAACGTAATCTTCGGTCAGATGACGTTACTCCGCTTTTTGTGCATCTTTCTCTTCTTCACTCGCGTTGACCCTAGGTTTATTGGATATTGTGACCTGGATTCATTAATTATGCATATACCGATTCTCATCTTGAGAATGATTGACGAGTTGTAAGATAAGTACTCCATAGGAGATTGTGGAATACATAGATCGACCCCTGGCACTGCCGCAACTATGGGGTAAGCCTTTCTGACTCATAACTGCGTTTGGACCCATTTATGACCGTCTGCTGCGGCTTGGAGCGATCGAGTCGGGCTCCCAAAAGGGTTTGGCGTGATTAGCGCGAATTCCTGTACTTCTTGAATATTATAGCCAGCGCTGCCTTAGGTCTTACCAGGATTTCTCACTCTCCTCGGAAGCTATTCTTCTTGACCTTGGCTCAGGCCTCTTCTCTCTTTGATTGTTCTTTTCTTCAGATACCCCAGTGATACCCCATTTCTATACGTTATTAGTCTTTGTTCTAGTTATGGCTTACGTTGATCAATTCTACCCCGAAAACCCCGAGTGGGTGGACTTTGATCAATTCCTGGACCTCCCCTCAGGCTACGACGACCAGTCGTCAGCCACGGTTTCACCACAGGATCTGGCATTGCCCTGCGAGAGTGAATTCACCTCTCCCGTCGATGTCATGACACCCTCCTTCGCTACGACCTATGATTATCAAGACTTCATGAGCATGGACGGAGGATTCATGCAAGATCCGGCTGCTCCCTTGTTCGACGATGCTTCCTTCGCGGGATACAACCCCTACGATAGCAGCAATGCGTTCCGAGGCATGGTTGAGGCGCAGGCCGCCGCTGACCCTCGCGTGGCGACCATAAAGGAGAAGCGTCGCGAGGCTGCTATTGCGTTGCATCTTCAGCGCCTCTGCGATGCCACTGCTCTCGATCTAGACATGTCTTCGGATTCCAACACCAGCTTCTCATCACCCAGCTGGTCCGACTACGTGTACGAAAGCAGATCGCCTCTCCCTAGCCCCAAAACCACTGTCACAGAGGCACCCCCTCCGGCAGCAATGGAAATTGTCCTCGATTTGAACATGAATGCAGCGGCCAACGTGCCAAAGAAGCAAAAGCCCCGTTCTCAGGCCCAGAAAGAGAACTACATCAAGGCTCGCAAGTATGGAGCCTGCGAAAAGCACAAAAAGCAACACAAAAGAGTGAGTCTTCCCCGTGCTTGTCGTTTGAACAAGCTAACGTGACTAGTGCAATTGCCTGGAAAAGGCCGCTGCTCGCGCCACTGCCAGCGAGTCACCGACTACAGTCGCTCTTCAAGGGCGACCGGAGCAACCGAAATTGCAACTATCTGCTCCTCGCGAAACATGCTACCCAGTCTCTCCAGGCCAAACCCCTTCACTACAAACCCAATCGCTGTCCTCAGTCAGGCCGATCAGGGGGACATCAAGCTCGTCTCCTGGTCACCACTCATTAATCCGACCATCAGTCACACCACAAGATGTTGTCAGAACGAAGTTTCAAAAGAGTACGCCGCCAGGACGAGATTCTGTGCATCCAGGCGTCTCGAGTTTCAACAACATGTCACCTCAAGACATGGTTGTCAAATCTGGCAAGTTGGTTGCGAAGACTGCGATTTCGACACTCGACAAGGCTGCCCCACCAGGAAGGAATGTCACGAACGCATCTGCGGCTCACGACGTTGTCCAACGCGGCTTGATGACAAGGAGTCCTTCTGGCCGCGACATTGCTTCTGGCAAGAAAGCTCTCAGCTCTTCCGCTGGTCACGAAATATTACTCTCTGGCAAGAAGTCCGGCACATCCGCCAGCCACGACATATTACTATCCGGCAATGCCCCAAAGACAGCGGCGCCCGACAGAGGTCACGCTTCATGCCAATCTACCCATCTATCTGGGACAGCTCGGGTGCCAAGTGGCCCAACGAGTCTGCGCTGGCGTGTTTCCTTGTCGAGTTCGTCGACACGAACCGACAGAGCAACTTCCTCTGGTGTTCCATCTACCGTGCCTTGCACAGCGCCGGATGTTCAAGCTCGAACCGTCCGGTCTACTTTGCCAGGCACGATTGTGTCAGGAACTGTTCCTGCTGCCCATGGAATCCATCCGGGAGGAACGTCTGGGGCTCTGGGGCTGCAAAGAAGGTCGGCACCGACCCTCGCTGCTGCTATGCACCCAGTCTCAAGGGACCAATTGGCCTCGTCGTCTTGGCTTGGCTTGGGTGTTGGAGATCGTTCGCCAGATATTTTTGGAAATGGGTTGGTGCATTCGCTCACTCGTGTTGGCGGTATGCTTTCCAGCTATGTTTCTGTTGTGCTTTGTGCGAAGCTTTCGCTTTCTATAGCCAGATCGGTTGAAGGAGCACTTTACAGGGGACTTTCTTCTGCTGGCAGATATCTGTTATCTGCTCGGAAGGCGTTCAATTGGCGGGCTATGCAGTCTTAATGTTGGCATTGTTGAGCACAAGCTCGACTGAACCTTGTTCCCTTGAGGAATAGGTTGCCTTGGAAGACAGATTTAGATCATCTCTGTTTACATGGATAGAAAGGGTCAGATATACTTTTTGTACTTGCGCATTTTTGCTTAAAATGCCTGGGACTAACTTTAGAAGAAATCAAGTTCTGAAGTTTTCTATATTTCAATGTTTCACTTAAACGTACTTAAGTAGTATCTTTATCCACAAGTGGTAAAAACGTAAAAGCAGTGACTATCTGCTCAAGTGACCACATTGAAACCTTTCAAGCTCGATCTTCTTAGATATCAATGTTAGAATCACCCCTGTGGTGGAAGCACTAATTTGTAGAGTGATAGAGACGATACTCCAAGATTTCTTTGATTACCGCGTAGAATTGTGGCGAGCGGGATGTATAGTCCTGAAGTCAGTGACCCTATTCCTTTTGACAAAAGTAACCAATGGTCACAGGGACTTGAAATTTTACTATTTTGAATTCGCAACACGGCCATTGTTGAGAAATTGTCAGATGAGTGAGAATCTAAGTGCGAAGAAATGATCATGAGCTCTCAACATGACTTGAGCCCTAAAGTGGGTGAAGAGATTCAGACATGAAAGCCTCAGGGAGCCCTGATAACTTGGATTGTAGATTTTGGGGCATTGAAGCTTAAAAAGAAGTTCAATGGGTTGGATTCAACACTCAAGCCCCTACTTAATGTGATTCAAGGTCTATTGCGATTTTTGCCTTCGGGATGCGCTTGATTTACTAGGCTAGACATGCTTGGTGACAAAGGATATATACTCGAACGTTGGACGGCAAGAAAAGTAGCCACTCAAGTATAATTCCAACGGTCTCTTGCTGGAACGGCTAATCCGAAAATCTACAATGTACATATTCAGTCTTAATTCAAGTGTGATATTTGCTCCTAACTCGTGACGGGCGACTCGTCCCACTTCAGCCCTATACCCGCCAACCCAAAACCCCTCCCTGCACTACCTCCCTCTCCACTCGCCGGTACCACGATGCCTCGACTAAGTCTGACCACAGTGCCGGGATATTTCAAGCAGGATGATCCTTCGACTGACCCCAAGACATTTGACTATGTGAGTCCACGGTCTAGCAGCAGCCCCTAGCCCCTGACCCCGGGGTCTGTTTTCGTATTTTCTCATTTCAGAATAGGCGTGTGAAAACTTCGGCATTATTGATCGCCAGTACAGCGATGATCAATTAATTAGCCCAGAAGATAGCGTGTGGCAGCGCTTCCAAAACCATGTTGACCACCTAAACTCCACTGATGGTGCACGGTTCAAAGTTTTGTTCCTCGGACGCCACGGCGAGGGAGTCCATAATGTTGCTGAGGCTCGCTATGGCACAAAGCTGTGGGATGTGAGTTGATTTTTTTCCTGTTCTTTCTTCATCTTATCAAGAAACAAGAAATCCGAGAAATTCGCTGACGATTTCTCAGGAATACTGGTCCCTCCAAGACGGAGACTCACATGGACAGTGGGTTGATGCCCGCCTCACCCAGAAAGGAATTGAGCAGGCAAGAGTGGCACACGATGCCTGGGTAGATCAACTCCAGACAGGAATTCCACCACCTCAATCCTTCTACGTCAGTCCTCTGAATCGGTGCCTTCAAACCGCCCATGTTACATTCAATGGCCTCCCCATTGCCAAAACTACTCCATTCAGGCCTGTTATCAAAGAAGTAAGCCTTTCCAAGGTAGAAAGAACAAGTGATTAGTATCTGGTACTGATTATGCTTAGTTACTCCGTGAGACGATGGGCGAGCACACCTGTGACCGTCGCTCCAGTGCGACGGATATCGCCTCAGAATACCCGCATTATCGATTCGAGGCTGGTTTCGAAGAGGACGACTTGCTCTGGGATCCCAAGATTCGGGAATCGGACCATCATCGAAACAAGCGTCTAAGAAATTTGCTTGAAGACATCTTCTCTACTGATGAAAGCACCTACCTGTCATTGACAGCTCACTCTGGAGCCATCACCAGCATTCTGGAGGTATTGGGTCACCGAAAGTTTGCCTTGGCGACTGGTGCTGTGATTCCGGTGCTGGTGAGGGCGGAAAATATTGATGATGCTGAGATATCTACTGCAAATGGACAATGAGTACGGAGCCCTGTCCAGCTCATCACTTGACCTCAAGCGTGACTGTAACATGTTCCAGCGATATGGGTGAATCTCATGGCTAGAAATATGGCTGAGAGCTGTTCAACCAAAACGTGATGAACCCTCACCGTCGTCGAGAATATGTTGGATGGGTTGCAATGGACCCAATAAGACAAAATCATCAAGTTATGCTGCACGAGAAAGAAAAAAGCTGGCCCAAAGCATGAATGGGACCAGACCACCGGGATTTTGGCCACTGCCACACTCGAGCTCTAGAGGCTCTACGAAAATTAAATCAGTAATAGGACCAGTTGCCTTGGTATGGGCACTTTGGGGTTGGAAGATTTCAGATCCAAAATTCAATCAGTATTGTACATGGGCCGCTCAATGGCGACTTTTCCATAAATGCAATTCTCGCCTCAAAATAGGGGATGAAACACAACTGTCCACGTGCGAGCCATCTAATATAAATAATACAAACGCCAAGAAACGAATCACCAGCTGTAATACTGGTTCTGCGTGGGGATCTTGCGATCCGGAAGTTGGGTCCAAAGCTGTGATCTGCGCTCACGTTGGGCCTTGGCCTCACGCTGCTCCCACTCGCGGATGCGGGTCTTCTCTTCCTTCAAAAGAACCGACAAGCTGGTGGTAGGGGGGCGCATGCGGTTGATCTGACCACGGGCACGGTGATCCATCTCGTATCCGTAGGGACCACGGTTGACCCAGGCCTCCTGAATGTAGATGGCGGATGGATCGTTGATCTTCTTGCGCTCGCCGGTCTTGAGTGTAACAGTAATAGGCTTGGGGGTCTCGGCGGCGGGGTCGTTCAGGCCCATACCGGCACGGACAACGGCGACGTTCTTTGCGTGCTCCAGGTGCTCCAACACGTCCCTGGCAGCCTTCTTGTTACTGAAGCGCATCTGGAGAATGGCCTCGTCGATGTTCTTGCCGGCGATTTGACGGGCCAAAGGACCGAGCTTCTTCAAAGAAGTCTTGATCCATTGGGACTTGGAAAGGGATTCGCGCTCGGAACGCTTGATCTGGACCTTCATCGGCAGACGGCCTCGTTTCCGGATATCACGAATGGCCATCTTTCTCTCCCATCGCAATTGAGCATTAGGGTCCGGGTGTAGTGCGGCCCGAAGACGAGTAGCATCACGCTTTTCCAATCTGGGAGATTCCTCGGTTTCTGTCTGTTTTTCCTGCTTCGCTCGTGATGGCGTGGGACCGGATGATGGCGCAGTCAAGTCGGATCCGAAAATGGAGTTTCCTCCAAGACCACCCTCCTCCTTTTGAGGAGCGGAAGGTCGGTGGGTGACCTTGGAACCCTTGGCGGAGTCACCAATGAACAAATTTTTAAAAGAAGCGAGCAGGCCGGTCTTCTTTTCGCCATTGTTCGCGGCGCAACGGATGGGGGTTGAGGTCAGAGTTCGGCGAGGGACGAAGACGACACCGGTCCGGGCGGCTACTGAGAGGTCAGTGAAGAGCAGAGAGAGTCAAATTTGACCCGGGACATACCTGACCGGACCAATTGCCCTGAGCGATAAACCATGGTGGCTGTTGATGTTGTTGTTAGAAGTGCACGCGGAAAAAAGGTGGAAAGATTCCCTGCACTTGTGGTCTGTGCAGATACCCGGAGCCTGAGGCACCTTTAGTTGATCGATCAGAATAACCTCAAAATGCGACAGGAGACCAGGATAGACCTTCAGTAGGATCTTGGGATTGCTGGATATTCTGCTACGTGTTTTGGGCGCCAGCTAATTTGCGCATGTTCATTCTCGTGCTTCTTCACTCTTCTCGAAATCATCTCCACAGTATCCACTAGCCCTCATCTTTCCCTCTTCCAGTCCTTTCCCTCTTCTCTCTTTTTCGTCACCCTCCTACATTCTTGTTTTCATTTCCCAAGGCCTCAGCTTGCGGTTTCCACCCTTTCTGACTCGAGAAAACCTTCCTGAACAGCTGTCACGGACTCGTACCCGCTCCTTTCACTCCCAACCTGCAAGTTCTATCGGGTTGCCCGACCTGGCATTTGAGAGCATATCGCAGCCAAAGACCAAGGGGGGATAATCTGAACAACCTGCGGCCGATGCAGGAATGGATGAGTTGAGGTAGCTAAAAGACTGTCGTATGATCTGGATCTCTGCTTTACGAGCACTATCCGTGGTTACGACACATTCCATCGCTATTGACAAACTTGCTCGACATGGACATCAGTTCGCTTCTTTCGCCGGACTCGAATCCGAAAGCCGGTAATTCGACGCCCGTGCCTCATCCTACGTCAAACGCACCGGCCACCTCAGGGCCATCCCCCCACAAAGCTCTTCAAAGAACTCGGTCCGGCTCTAGAAGAAAAGGAAAGACATCATCACCTCTTGCACAGCAAATCTACGCCCCTGCCGGTGAACCATCTCCAGGGCCTGGGGGAAACGGGTCTTCCCCAACTGAAGGTCCGTCGAGACAGCCTGCCACCCCCGGGATGGATACTTTGGCGGATTTAGCTTCCATGCAGCACCATCAGCCGCAACGCCCAAACCCGACCACTATGATTCGGAACACCGAGTCCTACGAGCACCAACTCTCCCCTTCAACCATCCACCCTCATGTCAATTCCGTCAACCACAACACTCCTACCTCGCTCGTCCCCTACGGGATCGCCATGTCTGATGGACGCGATCCGTCCCAAAGAACCTACGCCGCGACATCGCTCGACCCCGACGCGCAGACAATGGCGACTGACCTTTTCCGTCGAATTTCTCAAAATCCCCACACACATGACGCGCACGTTCAATTTATCGGATTGCTGCATGCTGGGTTCGTCAACCACGTGTACCCGCCCAACAATCCAGATGTGCACGGTGACCCACGACGTTACGACTTGCTCAACGACTTGAAGACAGCTCGTGAGGAGATGGATAAGCTCTTCGCCATGGGTGAAGATCTTTGGGCCGAGTGGATCCAGGATGAGAGCATGCTCGCTCAGGATGTGGATGAGCGCATTGGTGTCATGGAGCTTTGTCGGCGGTCAGTTGATGAAGAGTTCGGTAGCACGAAGCTATGGAATATCTACGGTGAATGGGTTCTATATCTGTACAACTCCGCCCACGGTGAAACTGGCATTCAATGGACAGAAGAGGATCGCATTATTGGCCGCGAAGTGTTCACCTGGGAGTCGGTCTTGGAAGTGTGGCAGCGTGGGGCTGATGCCACCAAGTGGAGGATCAACAACAGCCACCTGGTCTGGGATCGCCTTCTCGATCTCTATGCCCAGGATATTGCGCGCGGTCCATCTCAAGAGAAGATAAATCATCTCCGCGGGCTCTACGACGTTCGCCTACAAACACCCCATGCCACCTGGGACGAGACTTTCCAAAAGTTCTCTGGCTTCATCTCTACCTATTGCAACAGCAAGTACGAAGACATCATGGCTGAGACTGTCGCTCGCGCCGCCGAACCAAAGGCGCTCTACAGTGCACGGGAAGAATTTGAACACCGCTTGGCGAAGGCGCAAGAATCTGGTGACCGTACCCTTGAGTGGACTGTTTACTCCGAGTACATCGAGTGGGAGTTGACTCGAAACCGCCGCAAGCGAGGGGAATTCAGCTTTGATTTAGTCAACGCCATCTACCAGCGCGCCGTTCTCCAATTCCCCACCGATGTGTCACTTTGGGAAGACTACGTTATGTTCCTGATCAGTGAATCACTACATCGCCATGCTTCTACAACGACCATATCCACACTGGACCGTGCCACTCGTCACTGCCCATGGTCTGGGAACCTTTGGTCCCAATACTTGCTCAGCTCGGAAAGAGAAAACCAGTCATTCAACAAGATCTCCAATATCAAGCACAAGGCGACTAGCACGGGACTTCTCGATGCCGGTGGGCTAGAGGAAGTTCTCAAAGTACACGTGACCTGGTGCAGTTACCTTCGCCGGCGTGCGTTCTTGTCTGACTCGACTGACGAGGACATTGATGTCGCTGAAGTCGGTATCCGTTCCGCGATTGAGAGCGTGCAAGAACTGGGCGAAAAGAAATACGGACCGGCCTACCAGGGCGACCCTATGTTCCGCCTCGAGCGAATTTACATTCGATTCCTTAGCGAAAGCGGCAGCTGGGACAGCGCCCGGGAAACTTTCAGGGGGCTTGTGGCCCGCCGTGGTGGTAGCTATGAATTCTGGCTAGCCCACTATGGATGGGAATTGATCTGCTGGAGCAAGTTTGTACAGGGCGAGGCAACTGTCGATGCGGCCCGCCGCACCCCGAACCCGAGTTATGCCACTGCTGTGCTAAAGCAGGCGATCAAAAGAACCGACTTGGACTGGCCTGATAAGATCTTCCAAACGTACATCACTCATTGTGAAGACTATGAGGACTCTGATGAGCTCCAGCTCGCAGTGATCGAGACTCGCAAAGCTATGAGAGCGGTAAACGCTCGGAGAGAAAGGGAGGCACGAGAGGCCGCAGCAGCACAGCAGCAGCAACAACAGCAGTGGGAGGCTGCTATGGAAACAGCTACCTCGCCGGAGAAGAGAAAGCGTGAGGACGAGGACGCAATGCCAGAGCCTAAAAAGGCCCGCAGCGACGAGTTGCCAGTGCCATCCACAGAAGCGGCTGAAACAGCCGTGGAATCTAACCTCTCCCGGGATCGGGAGAACGCGACTGTCATGGTCAAGAAATTGCCCAAGGGTACCACTGAGCACGCTATTCGGCAGTTCTTCCGCCACAGTGGCACTATCAATCGTGTCAGGTTGCTGCACAGGGAAGAAAAACAGACAGAGGAAGCTATCATCGAGTTCGAGACTAAAGATGAGGCTCTGGCTGCTTTGACCCGTGACCAAAAGCAATTCGACTCAAATGTCATTGACGTGGCGATTGGTGCAGGAACGACATTGTGGATCACGAATCTTCCACCAACTGCGGATGAGAAATATTTCCGCGAGCTCTTCGGAAAGGTACCGTATTCACCCTTCCCTATGATTGAGACAATCGCTGACCTTTAAGTAGTATGGCGAAGTTATCGATGTTCGCTTCCCTTCTCTCAAGTATGACAAGGACAGACGTTTCTGCTATGTCGACTTTTCAACCCCGAGTGCAGCTCTTCATGCGACAGAGCTGAACGGAATGCGTTACGACAAGGATCAAAAGCTTTCTGTCAAAATCTCCAACCCTGCACAAAAAACTGACCGCACCGGTCCAAGATACGAAGGCCGAGAAATTTACCTAGTCAACATTGATTGGAGTGCTGACGAAAATTATCTCCGAGAGGTTTTCTCCCGGTTCGGAGAAATTGAAAAGGTCAACCTTCCTCGCAAGATTGATAACACCAGCAAAGGATTTGGATTCATCACTTTCAAAAACAAGGAAGATGCCAACCAGGCTCTCGTAATGAACGACGAAATGATCAAATCCCGCCGTGTTCGCGTTGAGATTGCTACCCCTGGTGGTCACAAGCGGGTCTCTGCCACCACCATCTCCAGAGTCGCCGGACGGGGACAATCAGCGGAAGCCAACGGGACCACTGACTTGGAAGTGCCAGTCGGTGAGGTTGCCGAGCGCACAATTGCCTTGATGAATGTTCCCGACACCGTCAACGAAGCCCGCATTCGTGCCCTTGTGGAGCCATTCGGACGCCTGGTCCGAATTTCCTTACGCCCTGACCACCAAGGTGCCGTTGTGGAATTCGTCGATGTTCATGACGCTGGCAAGGCCATGATGGCGCTCGAAGGGAAGGAAATCGCTCCTGGGCGCCCACTTCACCTTGGTACCGTCCCAGAAATGAAGCAACAACGCGCGGAGTGGAGGTCCGACCGTGTCACATCCATGAAGCGGGAAGACAACTCCAAGAAGAAGGTTAGCCTTCAACCTACTGCCCCGATTAAACGACCTCAGCAACCCGGTCGGAAGGGTGGCCTCGGAATGAAACGACATGTCCCCGCCCACGGACAGAAACCAGCTGACCAAATGGACACCACGGCCGACGGCGAGAAGCCCAAAAAGAGCAACGACGACTTCCGCGCCATGCTACAGAAGTGAACGGCATGAAGTGCAAGTACAATGACAGTGTTCCTGGCGCAAACTTTTTTTTTTTTCCGGCATGTATTCGGTTGGCGTTCTTTGCTTTACTTTTACTCTTTTGTTTCTACTTCGGTGGTCCTCTCTATGTTTTGATTTTTAGATCCCCATCTATTCATTCGGGTCCTTCGCGCCACGACCTGTTCTTTATGGCACATGCCGTCGTGTATATTATGACTTCGTTCTGCTCCTAGTTCTAATGATGATGTCTGTTCCGAAGGGCTGTCTTGTCAAGACATATGCCTCGATGATTACAATATTGGATGTCTCTTTGTATATAAGTGTTTCGACACCTTAACCTTGGAAATGTCCCTTGATGGAGGTGAAGCTTTAGACTCGCGGATGCAGCCTCTGATTGGCCGAGCTAGACCGCATTGACATCTGCCTTGATTTGACCTGCGGGGAAAAGAGAGTACAGAGCGATTTAACAGTCACCAACCGTGAAGACTTGATATTCCTAGGCTATTCTACTGTACCTAGGTACTTTGTACTCGCCCCGTGATCCTTTCTTATCGCTTTCCCGCCGATTATCTCATCTGCGCACACCTCAACCTTGCTCAAGTGACAACCTTCACCCCCCTTCCTTCGCCCCTACTCCTACTTATTGCTGCAAATGCCCAGTCCCAGTCCGGGCCAAGCGCACAGCTACATCCATGGACTTCCACCTTGTGCCCCGCGGCACTGACCGCAACTACACAGGCTTCTTTACAAAGACAATAGTCTACACCGGGACGTTGGTGATATTCCTGGCTTGTGAGCGTCCTCCAGCCCCCGCCACAATGACCACTGCTGACCTTGATAGCTCTCGGCCTGACTATAGCGTCCATCGTCATTCCAAAATGGGTCACCTACCAGAGTGAAAAGGTCCGCCTGCCCTTGCCCCACTATAGCTCCAAGCTAACGGGTCTAGCCCAATTATCATTACTCCTACGGTCTCCATCGCCGCTGCTCCTCCATCACAGATACCTGCGAGAGTTTCCCACAACGTGAAGACTGCCATGGCGAAGATCGGTATTTCTGCTCCATGTGGCGGTCGGTCGGGTTCCTCATGTCCTTTGCTATCGTTTTACAGGGCATGAGCGTCGTCACATACTTGGTCATTCTCTCTGGGGGCAAGCGCTTGCGCGAAAACGGATGGACTGTTCTCAGCTTGATGGTGGGACTTTCTGCCATCGTGCAGGCTGCGGGTATGTCGATTGTGGTAAGTTGCGTCATGAATCGCGTTTTCGCCATATATCGAGGGCCATTACTGATCGGATGTAGGCATATTTGTTTGATAACGAGGACCGATTCTTTGTTGGCTGGCAACTTGATCAATCCTGGGTCTTTTGTACAGTTAGTTGGTGCATCAGTCTTTTCTGCGCTGGTGCAGTCATTCTGGCTGCCAAGGTCCTGCCCTCTGAAGGAGGCTACGAGTTGATTCCTGATCATGATGAGCTTAGGATCTCTTGATCGGACATGGGAAAGGAAGAAAAAATACACGAATCACGCGTTATGTACGGAGTAATTAGGGGGTTTTCTGTTGCACTGTTTAGTTATGGTCTGATTATTTGTCTCACTGTTTTTAGTCTTGAGATCATAGGTGTCCATGTTTAATATGTCTCTCTTATCCCAAATTCTCGCTGGTTTGTCGGAAGCTAAGTGAGATCTATATATTGGAGCCTGGATGGGGCCTGAAGGTTAAATTGGCACTTCCCCATACCCCACACAGCAGCTCCATTCCCCCCTTTGACCTTTCAAAACCACTGAACCACTCACCGTCCACATAAACATGCATGAGGCTCTGGGGATCTTGGATTCGTCTGACGTAATTTCCAAGGCGGGGGCCAGGGGCTCGTGGCTTTCGTGGCGGCAAAGCTCAGCTGAAAAGTCACAAACCCCCAAAGTATAGATATTGGGATGACTCGAATTCCAGATATAGTCCGCGACTTCAAGCTGGAAACGCAGTTTCCAGCTCGGTCTGACTCCCGCGTCGAGACCGTTCACACTTACCACGAGTCCGACCTGGCTTCCGTGCGCCGGCTTGTCGTCCGAGCAGAGCACTGGCAACGGCAAAGAGAGATCGGAAGTGGGTCATACGGAAGGGTCTGGTTAGAGAAATGCATCAAGGGCAGTCGCGCTGTCGAGGTTCGGGCAGTCAAGCAGCTTCCAACACACGGCTACATTGACTATCATCGTGAATTGGAAGCAATGACGAGGTTTTCGCATTCAAAAGTATTTCATCACTCCACCAACTTTCAAAACTGGGTCTAAAGACGACAGTATGATCGGTGTTTTACCACGTCCTTTGGATGGTTCGAAACTTCTACCCATCTTTTCATCGCCATGGAATATCTTGAACAGGGCGATTTGCTGGCCTATTTAAACCACGGACCGCCCCTCTCAGAAAGAGATGTCAAAGTGATCGCGTCCCAGATCCTGGAAGGACTTACTATGATGCATGGGAATGAATTCGTGCATGGAGACTTGAAACCAAACGTGAGTTCAATGCATGTTCCAAGGTTGAGATTTCTGCAAGCAAGATTTGCCCTCCTTTCCTATTTTGATTTGACATGTGAAATCTAGAATATCTTGGTCAAGTCACACCCACCAGATATGTGGTGGGTGAAGCTCTCTGACTTCGGCCTCAGCAAGCGTATCGAGGAAGCATCAGGGGCTTCAACACTTCTAAAAGGCACGCCCGGATACATAGCCCCTGAACTATACGAGCTCACCGACCGGGGTACTCCATATGCACCTGATATTTGGGCAGTTGGCGCGACGTTGTTTCTCATGCTTGTCAAAAGACCTGCTTTTGAGAGCCTAGGACGGCTTGCCAAATACGCAACGAGGATTGAGAATTTCCCAAAGAGCTCGCTTGATGCTGCTGCTGTAACAGACCTTGGTGTCGAATTCATCAACTCTCTGATGCTTGTTCGTCCTAGTGATAGGCCTACAGCCGATGCCGCTATCCAGCATGAATGGCTCAAATCAAACTCCAATACTCTTAGCGAGACGAGAACAAATGTTCCACCGCAGAGCTCGCAGTCACCAACAACTTCCGTGATGGACTTGTTCACTGAAGAATTTGCCTCCTGGGACACTGTGCCGTCCTTTCCTGCGTTTTCCAGCACTGTCAACCAACAAATTCCCAGCCAGACCAGTTCGACTTCTAAAGAAGAAGTTGAAGTTTCAATACAAAGAGAGGCAATCAATGATTCTGGTGGAAACATTCGAGTGGCCAAACAATTTCATCACCAAAATCGTCAAGGCGAAGTGGCTTTTTCGGCCAACAGCAAAATACTAGCGATCGCTGGGTCGAAGAATCCCATTAGACTCTGGGCTCTCTCTTCCTACTCCGGACTCCCAGGGCTAAAAGGAAAGCTACGTATCGCTTTTTCGCCGGATGGGAACCTAATGGCATCATGTGGTATTTTCAACTACCTCCAGTTATGGGATGCTATAGGCCACACAGAGCTCGACTCCAGTAACCTCACAGATTATCCCCATTCTGTCATCTTCTCACCAGACAGCAAGATGGTAGCGTGCGTGGTCAATGATGCTGTATTTTTTCGAAACGTCACCAAGGGATCAAAACTCCGCAAATTCAAATACAACATTGCCCCAGAACGATGCGATTCATTGAGCTATCTTGCCTTCTCCTCTGATTCAAAAATCATCTGGTGGGCGTGCATGGCGAAGTTCCAGAAGCTGGAGATTGAACAGACTGCCCTGAACCCTTGTTTTAAACTACCTCCTGGGAGTGAATCATTGGGGCTTTCCACAAATGCCCAGTATTTAGCTTATCTCGATGCTATGCACAAACGGCATACCTGCCTTCTGGAACTCTCGACAAGACGTGTTGTTTTGGAAATAGAGAGCTACCACACACCCTCAAGTGTAGCTTTTTCTTCCGACAACAAGCTGTTTGCGGTATCTCTCAATAGAGGTAATTATAATGAGGGGATTTTGACTTTATGGGATATCGGAGCAAAAAAGGAACTGTCGGCGACTACATACCGCTCCAGGATTCAGTCCATGGCCTTCTCTCCTAATGGGACTATGCTTGCATCAACAAACCGAGATGGCACGACTACACTCTGGGTTGCTGACACGGGAAGTCAATAAAATTATCATTCATGGATATGTTTATTACGCAGATGGATTGGGAAGGGAATGCAAATTGATTTCCGAGGCTCTGCCTGATTCTATAATCTGACTGATGATATCAAAATAAGTTGTTACTTGACAAGAAAGGCGCTAGTTTATTTGTGAATTAATTTGAGTCGCCGTAATTTGAAGGTGCTACCGTCTCGTTATTCGAAGAACCCCATCTCAGCTGTAAACCCACGAGATCCACAACAATACCCCAGAAAGTCGGAATAGGCCGATGCTCACGCATTAAATCCCACGTGGCAATGTGCTCGGATCGCTGATCGCTAATGGTCATTAGCTGCTTGCATGGAAAACCCGAGCGGCTTTCCCGAGTCGTGGGGTCGGTGTTTCCGGGGCAGAGCTGAGCGCGCGTGCGGAGATTAAAAATAGTAAGAACTCCATGGACTTTATCTTTGAGGTCTCATTTTAATTACTGTCGTTTAATCACGAGAGAAAAAATATTGCGAACATGGTGTGTTGCACCAAAGGCCCTGTCAGTCACAACTAACGACAATAGGTCTCCGAAGAAGCTCGCCTCCGCATTGTGATTGTCGGTGCCGGACTCAGTGGTATCGCCGCTGCAGTTTCCTCCGCGCTATCAGGACACTCCGTCGAGGTCATCGAGCAAGCGAAAGAATTGGCGGAAGTTGGAGCAGGCCTTCAAATCACACCCAACGCTTCCCTGCTTCTCAAGCATTGGGATCTTCCACAATCCCTGTGGGATGCGGCCGCCGAGCCAACCAAGCTTACAGTGCATCGATACTCGGGCGAAGTCCTAGCGCACGAGGATGACTTCAACAAGAATATCCGCGCCAAGTATGATGCACCATTTGTCGATTTGCACCGTGTCGATCTCCAGCAGGCGCTGTTTGCTCGAGCTCGGGATCTGGGCGTGAAATTTCATATGAGCCAGAAGGTCGATCGGATCGACTTTGATTCTACGACTGTTCACACACTCGCTGGGGACCGGTACTCGGGCGATCTGATCATCGCTGCTGATGGGTTATGGTCAAGGTGTCGGGAGGCTTTCGTCGGGAAGAAAGATGAACCAATTCCCACGGGTGATTTAGCATATCGTATTGTGTTGAGCACGGATCAGATCTCTGATCCTGAGCTGAAGGCACTCGTCGAAAACCCGGAGGTGCATTTCTGGGCTGGGCCGGGCGCTCATGCGGTTGCTTATTCGCTGCGTGGTGGAAAGATGTTCAACATTGTTCTTTTAGTGCCTGACAATCTTCCTGCTGGTGTATCAAGACAGGCTGGATCTGTTGACGAGATGCGAGAGCTTTTTGTTGGCTGGGACCCGATGTGAGTAACCCGCAGTTTCAGAGTCGGAATTGTACTAATGAATCAGCTTGAACCGGTTTTTGAACTACGTGACAAACGTTGACAAGTGGAAGCTCATGCACCATGGTGAAATGGAACGCTGGGTCAATGACACTTCGAACCTCGTCTTCATTGGAGATGCTTGCCATCCCATGCTTCCATATCTAGCACAAGGTGCTAATTCATCGCTGGAAGACGGCGCCGTGCTGGGTATGCTCCTGGGGAATATGACGGATAAGAGCCAACTTCCTCGCATCCTGCGATTGTATGAGAGCATGCGCAAGTCCAGAGGAGAGGCAATCGTGCGAGAGACATTCAAACAGCGACACGATTTCCATATGCCCAACGGGGAAGAGCAAGAGAAACGCGATCAACTCTTTCTCTCTCAGCTTGGAAAGGAAATCAAGGGTGCTTTCCCAAGTCGATGGTGGGTCCATTCGCAAAAACGACACGAAGAAGTACTGACAATGATAGGACTTGTCCCGAGGTGCAGCCCTGGCTGTATGGATACAATGCAATCAAGGAGGTTGAAACGGCAGTCTTGCAAAACCCAGAGGTTTTCGCAAAATCTGCGTCATGGGGTTGTCAGATTTTATAATTCATACACCAAATCAGATTGCGTTATAGATACTATGTCTAAGAGTACAAAATGGAGCTGTGTAGACTATTCATCCAACATGGGAAGGCCACCGACATCGTCGAAAAGCCGGGCAATTCCTTCAAACGAATAATCCGGGAAGCCGAAGCCGTAGGCCCATTCCTATTGGTGTCAGTCAGGCACGCGAATGAATGTAAATCACATACCGGCACTTCGAACCCTTGTCCCGGGGCCGTTTCAACTGCGGGGAGTTCTTCTTCTCCAGGCTGAGGGGCTCCAGTCGCTCGGAAATCCCTCAGGTACTGTCTTATGATCTCGACCGACTTCCGGGCCACCACAGATTCTTCCATGGCTTCCAGAATCTCCACTCCCATTTCTACGGACCGTAGCAGCGGCATGGTCTCCGCGGACATGCCTAGTTTTGACATTGGGAGGAGCAGGGTCGATGTAGCGAACATGACGTATGTTGTATTATACCACCTATTGGGTTAGAATTGGTCGGGATTTTAGGGCAAAGACTTACCAGCAGCGGAAGAAGGTGTGCACACGGTAAATATCGTGCACTACCTGGAGCGTTTTCATAGCCGAGTCCAAACACTTGTCGATGGTTTGATCCAACTCGGTGGGAGGATGCCGAAGCTTGCGTGTAAAGTGGCTCAGGAATGGCCGGAATAGCAGCATTTTCACATTATAGTACCCTGAAGGGTCAGTGGAAGATCTCCAAGAAGAGCAATTGAACTCACGGATTCCCAACACAAGTCTCTGTCTCCTTGCCCATTTGGGATCCCGCAGGGCACTGCGAGAAAGTCTGTAGCCTGCAATGTCAGGTTTGATTTTCTCGGGAAGTCTCGCTAGCCAGCGATCCATTTCCATTTCGATCTGCAAGGCAATCTGCAGTTTTTCCTGTAATGAAATCCGAGAATGGTAAATCTGAACAGAAACCCTTCGAATAATCTGGGCAAAGTCAATCATCCATGGGATGATGGCAAACTCGGAATCATCTCGTGGTGGGATGCTCCTGTTGTGATACTCATCCATTCCGAGAGTGTCGGGTCTTCCGACAGAGAAACTCATCTCACTGAATTGTGTTAGCACGGGTAAAAAGCGTTGAGATAAATTTCCTACATTTCCAATGAGAATAGTCCCCTTTCTTTCGTTAGTGTTGCACGCAGTCTCCAGGTCTTTGGCACTTACCACCAGGTCTTCGAGATCCAGCCCGAGCGCTGCCCATTATCCCCTGGGGACGGCACATCCCGATTAAACCCAGCAGAGAGGCACGTCCGCACTGCCAGCCCAAGATACATATAGGCCACTAGCTTGTTAGCTGTGAGTCAATATTCATCACCAAAGGGTGATCGTACGATTTGGGTTAAGTTCATTCTGACAAACTTTGGCCTACTAATGTTAGCTGGGCTTCATCAAGTGCAAATTGGAACGAACCATAACATAGAGGCATTGAACCGTTTCAAGATCATTTGAGAACCTCAGATGGTTCAAATAGACTTGCGCCTCTGCGAAAAGCTTCCTACTCCATTCGAAGCGCCCTAGTCCAGCTAGGGTTCCTTCATCCCACACGCGCACTAAAGATCCGACTGATAAAATACTCAGATAGAGCGCGACAAAGCTCGGTTCGGGGGTGCGCGATCTGTTGAACCATAAATCATTCGCGCGCAACAAAAAGTCTTCCTTGTCAATGAACGGGTGGACAAAGTGAATATTTTCAAAATATCCATTCATGAAAATATGCGCTTGATCAAAGTAGTAGTTGTGTTGTTCAATCGATAGGATCTGTCCCGGTGCGGCAACATATGCCGGTGAAAAGCTTGGATTATGGAGCGTGGATATAAGTGAAGAGCAGTCCCCGGATCGAGGATGCGGTTCCTCGTGACCTTTAGGCTCCCGGGCCTTTTTGAGAAGACCGATGATTGCAGCTGAGGAGGTACTTCCATGAAATTCAACGCCGTTGGTGTGGTGATTGAATTCGTTGATTTCATTCTCGCCGCTGTCGGCGGATTCTGCGCGTGTCTCGGGTATCTTTGCCATCTCCTGTGGCGTGGAAGTATTGGGCATAGAACATGGCGTTGTCTCAGCGGCTGGGCCACGTGGAGATGCGCCTTGTGTTGACTCTGAAGCACGAAGTTTGGAGGTCAATTCCTCAACCTTTTTCTCGAGATCGGTTACATAGCTGGCGATGTCAGTGTGCACCGTGATCGGCCCGAATGGCGACTTACTTTGCAGAGCGGCCGCTTTCACGTTCCCTGTAATTGCCCTGGTATACGCAGACCAGGTCATTTTCTGTGAGGTTGTCAGATGTTGTCGTTTGTTCATTTTGGGTTCCTTAATTCCTTACTTTTACAATGTAGGCAGGGATACTGCTCGTCGCACTTATACTTTTTCAGCCGACATCGGTCGCAGGCTTGCGCCGCGCGTGGTCGTTTCGCGCGTTTGGCCGCCGGTGTATCAACGGAAGCGAGAGGTTGATTCTGCATCATGCAGACATTCTCTGGTGATTTCCAGTTGATATATCGATCTGGAGCGTTGCGCTAACGGTGGAGTACAGATGAGGATTCAATGAGGCCGGAAATTCCGGGCACCCTGCACTCCACGTGATTGAACCATAATTGGAACTGAGTCTGGGGTTTTGGTCCTTAGTACATGTACCTAAGTGTGCATGATGCGGGATAATAAAGGCCAATTAGAGAGCTGAAAATATCTTAGTTCGCTATTCAATACGGTAACAATATTCGGCATCTATAACTATAAGATCGCTTCAAATCGCAATATTGAGGCGTGCCGCAGCCGACTCCACATCCACTTGTTTATATTCTGGCGCCACGTCAGGGAGCACAGCCCCCTGGAAAGGTTTACCGGCAGCATGGATCAAAGACTCAATGCCATTGCCATCAGTGAAAGAGTGGAATTTCACAAATTTGCTCTCAAAACCAAGTGAGAAGGCTTGTCCAGCAGGAATCACAACAGTCTCGCCCTCGCGGAAGACAGCGTCATCTGCACCTTGCAAGTTCACTCGCAGTGTGCCCTCCATAATGCAGAAGCAGTGGTCGACATCAGGGAACGTCATGTATTGGGAGAACACTGTCTCGCCATAGTCCTTGGAGGACTCGATGCTGGAAATCGCACATACGCCTGTGCTCTGCGTGGTAGTCACAAATGGGCGGGACAGGACACCCCCAAGAATCCACTTGGGACCGGTATTGGCCCGCAAAAAGTAACCCACTGAGCCCTCTGGCAGCTTTTCGTCCTCTTTAGACCATTCGCTGACCTCTGGGGGCACGTAGTGGGGCTGGAAAACAACGTCGAATTTCTCCTTGGCCGCCATCACCTTGGGGATCAGAATAGATTTGAGATCACGGTCATCACCTTCAGGGACGATGACGCCTTCAAATGGTTCTGACACATAGCGGAAGAAATCTACCCAATCGCCGGGGGTGATCAAGCCTTGAAGCTCTGTATGCGGACCCATCATTTCCGGGTTGTGAACAACTTTCTGCGGAAGTCAGCTCAGTATTGCTTTTCAGACTCTCTAGGGTACGTACTGGAGGAACGTAAGCAAAGTCGCCAGGGCCCATTATCCGACACTGGTCCCCATTCCATAGCTTCAAGAAACCCTTTGTAACGAGGAACACATCGTGCGCATGGTTGTGGTAGTGAAATCCGGGGGCATCCGACAGAACAGCACCACTGGTAAAAACAGCCATCAACCCGCCAGTTTGCTTTGCGGAAGTCAGGATGCGGAAGACGCCTTTGCTGCCGGGGATTGTGATGCGCTCACCCTCCAATTGGGGGATGGCATACGGCACCCGCGACGCAGGCGGTTGGTTGGTGAAAGTCAATGACATTGTGAAGGTTGGTTGGCACAACTCCCCGCAATGCCAGCGGTTTTAAAGCTCGAACGACGACATGCGGGGGAAACTTGCCGGAGAAACCGCCGGAAGATCCGAGTCCTCGTGGAGGCATTGCCGCAACCTTGAAGTGGACCACGCCAAATACTGGGGTGGAGGCGCAATACCATCGCTCCTCATTTATATGTCTGGGAGATTATTTGATCCATGCAGTAGCAAATTCGCGTGCAATTGAATTTACACGCCAGCAATATGTACTCCGCGCAATGCACCAATTACATGTGACGGAAGAAGATACGCGGTATCGCGGTATGTGCGACGCGTCCAATAGCCGGTGACGCGACTGCTCTACCTCTACAATCTGGGAGGACGGACCAACGCCCATGGGTCAACTTCTAGTGCAATTGGCTTCCCTCCAGGATGAAGTATGAGCAAACAGGAGCCGGCTTGATAAATTGGTTTCCGACGCATCCGGATTGGCCACCAGGGCCAACTCGTCACAGATCTGGCGGGTAATTCCTTTTCCCCTCCCCACGAGCGTGGGGAAGTTTCTCATGTGGGGTTGGAGCTATAACACCAATCTCTTGCGCTTCTCCTCTTCTCAATTGACTCTCTTTGCCTCTATTAGACACACAAAAATGACGAATACATTGGAAAAGCCAACTGGCGAGTATCGTCAGTACCTGCCGGATCTCAGCCTGGAGCGCTTCCAGGTGATGTGCCAGCAGGATGCCCACGAGTACGCACATGCTTTTAAGACAGGCCACCAACCGCCGTGGCTACATGCATTGTATATGCACTGGCTAGAGTTGTTGCAAGAGCCTTTCAAGGGTGTCACTACCGACGGTATGTCTGGCGATCCGTCGCCGGTTCCATCGCTAACAATTCCCAGGAAATGTCCGCCCGGGCCTATTTACACTACAAGAAGAAGACGTTCCAATCCAGGATATTGTCAGCGCAACAGAAGCGGTCACAGCTCTGCTTGAAGACAAACAAAAAGAAGCTATCAACTACCACATCGATTCCCCACAATGGCGCACATGGTCCAACCCAGAGTTCTTGCTAGCGCACAAGGGAATCCGACTCGACGAAGTCAATTCGCAAACCCGTGACGCTGTCATGAACGTGCTGAAAACAACCCTCTCCCCCGAGGGTTACGACAAAGCCGTCAGCGCAATGCGAATCAATCATTTCCTTGGCGAACTGGTCAAGTCGCCCGCTGTGATGAATGAATTCTCTTATAATTTCGTTCTTTTCGGTCGTCCATCCACCACCAGACCCTGGGGCTGGTCCTTCTATGGCCACCATCTATGTCTGAATATTTTCCTGTACAAAGGGCAGATCGTCGCGTCGCCATGGTTCACGGGCGCAGAACCAAATGAGATCGACGCGGGTCCACATGCCGGCACGCGTATCATGCAGTTGGAAGAAAAGCTCGGGCTACAGCTTATGCAGTCGCTTTCGGCCGAACTCCAGTCCTCGGCGCGTGTCTTTGCTCAAATGAAAGATCCCGCCATGCCGCCCGGTCGCTGGAACAAGGATGATCAACGCCATTTGTGCGGTGCGTACCGAGACAATCGCGAAGTGCCCTATGAGGGAATTCTAGCCTCGACATTTGACTCCGCACAGAAGAATCTGATGTACGGAATCTTGGAGCAATACCTTTTGTATTTGCCAGCGAAATCACGGGCAATGAAAATCGAGCAGGTGCGTGCTCATGAAGAGGAGACGTACTTTTCTTGGATTGGAGGATTTGGGGACGAAGATCCATTCTACTATAGGATTCAGAGTCCGGTTATTCTCGTTGAATTTGATCACCACTCAGGCGTGTTCTTGAACAACGAGGAGCCGAAGAAGTTCCACATTCACACACTTCTTCGGACACCGAATGGGGGTGATTATGGTCAGGCACTGCGTCCTCTCATTCCGGCTGTTGAGGGTTTGAATGGGAAGGAAATTGTCTGGTAGGTCGTTTCAGTCTAGAGGACTATATGATGTATTGTATGAGATGAATTCATGAATATTGCTGTCATGCGCATATGATTGTTCTTCTATCGCTGATTTCACCAAGGTCACCAGTACGTTTGACAAAATTATAAAGCAAGATTACTTCAAAAGACCATGGAAATTCATGAGATCGTTAGAGTTTGGTCAATTTTGAGACCAGTGCTCCGAGTCGAGTGTCAGAGCTCACAGCTATTCTTCTCCCAATGTCGCCACCCATACCTCACATCAGCCATCTGATGGCAATACGGCAGTTCAGACCATTAATGGTAATGAGAAAATATTTCAATAATCATTGTCCAATCATTCCTCGGCGATATCGCTAAAGAAGCACCTTGTCAAAGTGGTCCCGATCCGCATCCGAGCTACGTCCACCTCCACGGACATCCCGAAAGGCCTGGGGCGCTACCCCGGACATGCCAAATCCACGCTACCAAAGTATTAGCAATACCAGATAGGAAAGGCTTCATGTCTAGTGCATCCACTTAATCATAGAGAGTTTGCGGGGAAGGCTCGTGTTGAGACTTTGATTACTTGATATGCCAAAGCTACCAAACAGCCGAAGTCTGGGGGAGGGCTTTTATATGTAGCCATAGTCTCCCTCTTGATCTCCTGATGTTTGCATTAGCATCTATTCCTCCATCGGCCCCACATCATACCTCAGCATCAGGCCACAAGATGTCGATAGACCCTAGGGTGAGTAACTTGTGCAGATGTTGATTCACAAGACTTTCCAGCTAAAATTCGGGTAGCTGTTCCCCAAGCGGGTCACATATAGTGCCCTGCTCACAGTCAATGTGTTTGTATTCATGGGCAACATGTACTCGGTACGTCGGCTTGCCCCAGCAGGCAACATTGCTAACCTTCTCAGTCCGGTATTGCCGTTGGCTTCGAGTCACTGGCTGGTGATTTGCATCTGCCTTTTGCGAAATTATCAGAGCTTATCACATACTCTGTTCTAGCCATGGGACTATCCAATCTGGTTTGGATGCCCCTAGCTCTCATATTTGGGAAACGTCCTATCGTCTTGGTATCGATGGCAATGTTCCTGGGTGGTATCATCTGGAGCGCCGTTGCAAAGGACTTCAACAGCCTCCTTGCCTCACGGGTCTTTGCTAGCTTTGGTAAGTCTTCTTTCCGTTGATATGGGCTTTCCTTGCTAATCTGGTCATAGGATATGGCTCAATCGAGTCCCTTGGGCCAAGTATCCTTGCTGGTAGGTGAACCTCCCATCTCTCAATTCCCAAGCTGACAAGCTAGATCTATTTTACGAACGAAATTATTCAAGTGCAATGGCTATATACGCTGCGTTCTTGTCAGGTGGCTCACAAATCGGTCCTGTCATTGCTGGTTATTTGATTCAAGCCAAAGGATGGAGATGGTTCTTCATCCTGTGTGCCATCATTGCTGCCGTCAACTTCATAACCACGATATTCCTCCTCCCCGAAACTCTGTACGAAGTCGAGCCAGAGCCCGAAGTCGTTGACGATATCGAAAAGGATGTTAGCAGCCATGTCGAGACCGTTACGCGAAACGATACTCGCACAGAGGCTCGTGCCCAAATGAATTATGGAACTTACTGGGAGGATCTGTGGTCTCTCGGGATCTCGAAGGAGGCAAAGGAAAAAGGCGTTCTCAAGCACTTCACATACTTGTTCATCCTTCCTTTCCCACTCCTCTTGGTCCCTGGAGTGCTGATTGCGTCTGCCATGTATGGCGTTGTACTTGGAGCGTGAGTACCCATGTGCACCAGCTTGCGGTCCAGCACTAACGATCCGCCGTAGTGTTGTCAGTATCTCCACAATTGCGCCTGATGTCTTCTCTCCGCCACCATACCTATTTTCGTCTGCGGATCTCGGCCTTTTCACTTTTAGCAGCTTTGCGGGAATTTTGATTGCTGCACCAATCGCTGGACCCTTGACAGATTACTTGTCCCGCTGGTTACGTGTTCGCAATAATGGTGTTCACAAGCCCGAGCATCGTCTTCCGGCATTGATTCTCCCTTTCCTCATCTGTCCTGTGGGGCTGATTGTTTTCGGATACACTGTCGCAAATCACCAGCACTATGTTCGTCCTGCTGTTGGTGCTGCAATTTGTGCTGCTGGACTTACCCTCGTTCCATCGGTCATGCTGTCATACGTCGTGGACTCATACCCGCGCACCAGTGGTGAGGCATTGGTGCTTGTGAATGCCTCTAAGAATGTGGTTGCTTTTGGTCTTGCTAAAGGTTCTTATTCTTGGATGACTCAGGAAGGCTTGGAGAAGATGTTCTATGAATTTGCTGGAATTGAGTGGGCTGTATTGTTTCTGGCTCTCCCTTTGTATATATTTGGACCCTATGTGAGACGGCGGACTGAGCATCTGTTCTAATCCATGGACGAGATCTTGACTTATGGTTCCTCTATTTCTGTTCTTCGTCGTACATTGAGCATGAAAGTGGGTGTCTTATGAAAACATGGTGGCTCAGGATTTCCAGCGCCAGGATGACCTCATACATGGATGTACTGCTTTCAATGTTGAACCAAAATCATGTATTTAGATTGTCTACAGGTGGTGTATTATATGCATCAGTTGACACAAAAAAGACTCATGAGAGTACACTCACGAAGCTTGGTTCTTGGAATGCACACAAACTGCAATTCCACCAAGAACCAGCCCCATACCCAACCATGTCTGCTTCGCAATCACCTTGCGCTCGACGTACCATTCACCAAGAACGGTAAAAAGGAAAGCACTCGAATTGATGAGTGGGACGGTAAGGGATAGTTCTAAAGTAAAACATCAGCCTGGAGCAAGACAACGGTATCTCAATGAACAAACCGTGTTTTCCAACAAGTAGGAAGAACCAGATACTACCCGTAAGGTTGATGACCAATGGAATCGCATAGGCAGGTGTTCGTAGCAGATTCACAACTGTCCAAAAGATCGAAATGACCTTCGTGCGCAGCCAGGACTGATTCGCGGCAGATCCACGCCTCCAAGCAGGCATGGGTAGATCGTCCTCGTCTTCATCCGCTCTTCGGGGATTGGAGGCTGTTCTCCGGGCAGAGCCTTCATTCTCCAGCGAAGCATCTGCACCCGCAGTTCTGGATTTGCGGTTCACATCAGTTCGACTGATGCTCCGGTCCCGTACGCCCTCTGGTCCTGGTTCTGTGTCCTGTTCATCCTGGGAAAGCAATTCCTGGTCCTCGCCTGCATCCGTAAGCCCTGTTTCTGTTCCTCGTTGTGACCGTGACCGAGATCGTCCGCGGTTCGATTCATTCGCTTGCTTCTCTTGTCGGGCGTTGAAGTCTGCCGCGGCGCGTCGGATAAAGGGGGTCGTGAAGCCCCATGCTACACCGACGAGAAGGAAGGAGAGCACGTAACTGAACACCGAGGGTTCAGGTTCGGTCGGTATGCTGGCATCGGGATCCATGGTTTCTGGGAAGAGAAGGGGAATGATGTCGCCGTTACGTTGAGGTGCATAGGTGGTCTGTGCGCGGGATGTGGATCTTCGAAGTATACGGAAGTAAGGTCACGAATTCTGCGATTCTTATTCTCTCAACATATCAATAACATCGTTACATTAGGAATTGATCATTTGATTCTCTTAGCTCAAAGCCTAGCGATCAAACATGGCCACCATCAAGTGAAAAAAAAGGGGGGAGGGGAAGGGGGGAAGTGTTTGCCCTCAGTAGTCAAGCGCGAGCCCTCAGCTTGCCCGGCTGTCCCAGAGGGTGTCACCAAGTCCGATGGATGGAGAACACCGTCTTAGACTTTATCATCATCGGGCTAAAGCCAGTCACCATCAAGGCAAAAAAGGGGAAAAAGGGAGGGGGGATTATTTGCCCTCAGAAATCAAGTGCGAGCCTCCGATCAAGCTTGCCCGGCTCTCCCAGAGGGTGTCGCCAAGTCCGATGGATGCGGAACATCATCTTAGACTGTATCATCATCGGGCAAATGTGTCCCACCACCCACCAACTCCCCCGAAGCCCACCGCCAGAGTCCACATTTCCAGAAGAAACAATCCCCTTATGTTCCGTTGCTTAAGCATCCACCGAGGCTTGAGAAGATGGTGCCCACTGTGTCCGAGGAAAGAGTCCCGGTGTGCTTCTTCCTCTGGCGCGCCCAAAGTCAGGTTCTGAGGCCTGCTGCGGCGTACCCCCTCGTTCTCTCACCAGGAACCGTTCCTCTTTTTGTCCTGTGCAGTACACATAGAACCCGAGTGACAGGATATAGGAGATAAGACAAGATGGGGAATAGAAGTGACAGAAGATGAGAACAGACAAGACAAGAAGCAGAAAGATAAGAACCAACAAGATGAGAAGCAACAAGACGAGAACCGACAAGACGAGAACCAACAAGACGAGAAGCAGCGGAACAAGAAGCAACAGTAGACGAGAACCAACAAAACGAGAACCGACAACACCAGAAGTATCAAGATGAGAACCGACAACACCAGAAGCAACAGGACGCAAAGCAGCAAGACGAGAAACAGCGGAACGAGAAGCAACAATATAAGAGCCGACAAGACAAGAAGCAACAAGATGAGAACCAACAAGACGACAATCAGCAAGATAAGAACCGACAAGATGAGAACCAACAAGACGCAAAGCAGCAAGACGAGAACCAACAAGACGAGAACCAACAAGACGAGAACCAGCGGAACGAGAAGCAACAGTAGACAAGAGGCAGTAAGATGAGAACCAACAAGACGAAAAGCAACAAGACGCAAAGCAGTAAGACGAGAACCAACAAGACAAGAACCAACAGTAGATAAGGAGAAATAGGAGGAAGATGAGAAAGAGGGGGGAGATGAGAAAGAGAGAAAGGGAAAAGAAAAGAAGAGGGTATAAATTGTAAAGCGCAGATGCCAATTTAGGAAGGAACCCAGGAAGGTGCACAAAACCTGTGTCAAGATTAGAGGATCGCCTCACTTGCTTTCCCTAGCACAATCCTTTCTTTGGGGCTTGAAATACTCCGGTATAGCCCCTTCAGGCACCTCATTGAGACCGTCTTTTGGTTGGAGATACCTGATCTAGTATCTTGACTGAGTGTGTATATATCCTGGAATTTTTCGAAAGTATCTACCATCAACAACATCAAAGCTGCTCAAGTGTTACTAGGACTACATCGCCGAAAGGGAAATTGATATTGTGACAGATGATTCATTCATCTATAGATCGTCTCAATTCCGTCCCAAAAGTGCCCACTGGCAAGGGGTAATCAAACACACCATATCTACAGATAGAGTACAAAATTTCCCACCAATAAGTTAAACAAGCAAACAAAAATCCAAGTATGCACGCGTAGATATGCAGAGGCACAAACACGATGAGGATAAATGGATATCAAGAAAACACAAACCCAGATACACCACGATATCATTTCGCATGTCACCAAGGACGAAAGCGTATCAAAGTCGTCACGCATATTAAAAGAGACCCTCGTTTTCATTCCCATTTACCAGACCGGGCCTGCCGTGGTAGTCATCGATTTATAGTATCGCATTGGAAGCATAGTAATGTTGAAAGCTCGCTAAATCAAACGCCACGGAACTGGAGACAGTTAGTACACATGAAAACGCACGTTGGAAACAAAAACAACTCACCATTCTGACAACCAGGTACCACATGGCGCCAACGAACTTGAACATTGAAAGGGCAGCGACACTCCACAAAACGACTCTCATGTAGATCATAGAGCGCTCGCTCTGCGTTGAATCCTCACTGCTTGAAGACTTTTCGTCAAAGGTTTCGAGACCAGCGGCGCTGAGGACGACCGCACCAAGAGCGAAGTTGCAGAAGACCCAAGCAAGCACGACAGCACTGCGGAATCCCTTGTAGTAATCTGCTTGCTTGTCCTCGTCGGAGATGACCGTGATCTCCTTCGGGGGCTTTGAAGCGAATTTAGCGATCTCGGCTTCGTACTGCGCGTTCAGATCTCCGTCGTCTTGTGGGATGTTCACATCAACCTTGCCACCGGGCTTGAGGTGAGCAGAAGGTAGTTTCTCGGCCTTGTCGTCTCCCTTGGTACCCCATGTGATATCATGGGTATTACAGAAGGCATAAATATTGAGAACGTTGATGTATGTTGGTGTGAGAAGGATGTATTGGATGAACTGAGGTGGTCAGTATGTGCTTTTTTTTTTCTTAGTCAAAGGAGAACGGGGAATACTCACACTTGTGAACATGTGCCATGGGTCCAAGAAAATGAAGGAGGCGAGGAACCACATCACGTAGGTCGATCCAAGGGACACAATGATAGAGAAGAAGGTATCATTGGTGATTAGATCGCTAGCCGTGAAGCCGCTGGTTGAGACCTCAGTTTGGATAGATTTCACCGTGACGAAGATCGCCGCGAAGGCAAGATAGATCATGATCACGATCCAGAAGTATACCATCGTCATGTAGAATTTGTTGGAGCCACCTGGTCGGTTACCCAACGCTAGGACGAAACAAGTAACGAGAGTTGCCAAGTACAGCCATTCGAAGACAATTCCCAAAACCTTACCAGCAGTACCCAGTAGATCATCTGATCCCAAGTATGTTGTTAAGATGTGGAAGACCAGGAAGAAGTTTCCAATACCGAACCATGCGAAAATCATCGCGACCGTTTGGTAAACAAACTCAATCATCAACATGAACTTGCGGAGGAAGCTGTGGTCACTGCGGAAGATCTGATAGAAGTGGGCAATGGCATACACAGCAGCGAAGAAACTACCGTTCAGCCAACGACGGCGCTGAAGAATGAACTCAGCCATGCGATCCGGTACATCAGTCTCACCAGTGGAAGATTTGACGTATTGAAGGAGCCATCTGCACTTCCTCTTGGACACAATCTCGAAACACAGAATTCGATCCTCAGCAAGATACATATTGGCTGTGAAAATACCGGCATTGGCACCGTGCATCTTCTCACCCATGAAATACCTCTCCAGGGGACCTTGGCCGTTTTTGTCGTTCTGGAGTGCCACAAACCGGTAGGCAGAGAACGCACCAGGCAACACAGTAATGAAACCGAACGAAGACTCAAGCGGCTTATCCAAAATGTTACTGAGCTTGTACTCGAAGTTCTGACCGGCAACCAGCGGATTCAGCAATTTCTTGCCGTGGGACAACATGACCTTGATCTCACCACATGCACCTCCGCACATGGGTTCGAGATCAAAAGCCTTCCACAGGTGATAGATCGAGTCCTTGCCAGGCTTGGTACCAGCGTCCAGAAGAACACAGATGTTCGGGTCCAAAACACGACCGAAAGCCTGGAAGAACCATCGGTGGGAGTTGATTTTCTTTTGATTTTTTTCCTTCAAACAGAAGATCATCTGCACCGGGGGTCCAGATCTGGGTTTCATGTGTACCTGGGTTCCCTTCACTTCCAATCCAACCTGGGTGGTGTATTCATAGATATGGGCGGTCACGTCCTTGCCATTGACCTGTTGTTTGGCGATTCCATCTTGATAACAACCCAGACCCGCGAGCACAGCACGCGTACGAGGATTAATTTTCGCACGACCATCGCTGATAACACATACCACGATCTTCTTCCAAGCATCCTTTCCCCAGGTTTTGCTGCTGGTGCGCGAGCACATGTGATCGATGTTCTTGAACACGCCGGACATGGTGCGCGCAAAGAGGAAGTCGTCCTCGTTGTACATGGTTACAGCGATGAACAATTCAGTGTGACGAGGCTTTGCGAAAAGCTTCTGACGCAGAGTGAACCGTTCCTCAAAGAAATCAGCAGGATCGCAAGTGGCTGCCGAGTAGCGCATGTGAGTGAACTCGTCACGTCCTGGTGCTTCGGCGTGGGGAACCTGGCTCAGCAGTCTTGGGGCGATGGGACAATCGAGTACCAGGTTGCCGTTGAAGAGCTGCACTTCCTTCACCGTTTTCCAGCGACGAATCGGCTGTGGGCTAGGGGTCGGGCGCACATCGTCCTCGTACTCGTGCGGGTCAGGACCGAAGGGATTCTCGCCCGGGGCAAGCATGGGCTCTTCAACTTGTTCATAAGGAGTGTGGCCAGGTTCGGGGTATTGGCCAAGGTCATAATCGTCATGAGGGGTGTGTGTAGGTTCGTACGGTTGGGTATAGTAGGCATCGTGGTGGGCTTCAGGGTCTACCGCATAATCATTACTAGCGTAAGGATGTTGAGCGCCGTAGTTGTCGCGGTACCCGTATGAGTTGGAGACATTCTCTACCGAATAAGTGGGCTGTTCGAGCAGATGGTCGCTGGAGGGCATGGGAAGATGCGACTGTTGCGCATATGGATTGTCTTGGAGCTGGTAGCCTCCGGGAGAAGGAGTGCGCGCACTGTATCCTGTGAGATGAGATGGGTTCAACATGGGAGTGCCATGCTCATCCGCGAACGGGTCTGGTCGCGACATGGTTAGTTTTGGGTATTTCTCAATGACAGATGAAGTCGCAAGAGCTTGACGGCGCAAATGGTACGTCAACCATTAAAATCAATGACCCGCACTGGTTTGAATGGGTTTGACGTTTCAGATGAGACCGCGCGGAGCATATAGAGGGAGAGAGGTTCCAATAAAGAAAGAGCACTGACCGTTACCGACACGATTGTAGGCCATGGCGAGCCTCGGGTAGAGTTAAAATCTGCCGCCTAGAATTTGGAGCAGGGGCTGTTGGAGATTGCGCCAGGAGCGCTGGGTGGAATGCTCAGCGTCAGCGGGAGAGATTACTAGTCCGATGGACGGACCCGAACTCTGGGCGTTGTTTCAGGTATGAGGTTGCAGATGAAGTCTGTTATGGAGGATGTATGGAGTTGTCACACGATTGCGAAGAGGGTGAAGAAGTGTAGCGATCCGAAAATAATGGATTCAACCCGGGTGCCCCTTCTGTTTGGTGTTTACGACGCCTTTAGCCGATCCCAGCAACGATGACGGTGGAGATGGGGGCGAATCAGATGTGTCTGTGCTAGGCTCCGCACTGCCTTGTGGAGGTGGTCCTCTGATGCTGATTTGACCCGTCGTATAGACACCCGTGGACGAGAGGCTCAGGGAAGAAACGAGGAACAATAAGGGTAGATTCTTTTTTTTCGGAGTAATAGAAGCCCAATGAGATTACAGTGTTGAGAATCCAAGGTCAGAAACATTCAGAGCCACGGATTGTTTGAATGAAGTTCCACTGCTTGTGTCGTTACTGGGCCAACTGACTGGCACTCAGCCACATCTCTTGGCGGGGTGGCTGATATAGCGTCATGTCCATGGTTCGCTGTTTTCTTTTTTTAGTCACCCTGTGGCTGGAGCTTATTCATCTGCTTTTCACTTTTAGCCCTCACTTCTACATTGAAAGTATAGCATTTAAACCGCTGCCTGTTCCATGAATAGATGACTTTCTTTAGCTTCAATGGAGACGGGAGAGTTTTTTCTTTTCTATTTTGGTTGATCTGATCTTCATTTCCTGTTTTGGCACAATATGCCATGCACTATATCCTACGACGTAATGCAAGGGCAGCAGGTGGGGTTTTAGGGTCTGTCGATACTCCCCACCCTCACGCCTGTAAACCCCCTCTCTCCGACGATACAGCTGTATCTCACTTGCTTCCATTTCTTGCATAATCTCGTACGGCTTTCAATTGAAATCTCACAGAGTCAACCCCACCATGTCTCACCAAGATGCTCGCACCAATGTGCTTTTTGTCTGCCTAGGAAACATCTGTACGTCATGCGCCACGACCATTACGAGTCTCTCGTCGCTAACCCCTCCAGGTCGCTCTCCAATGGCTGAAGGTGTATTCCGGGACTTGGCAGCTACCCACCCCTCTATCGGAGAGATCGACTCGGCCGGCACAGCCGCCTACCACAGCCTCGAACCCCCCGACTCCCGCACCATGTCCACTTTGCGCCGTCACGAGATCACCGAGTATGAACATGCGGCTCGCAAAGTGACCCGGGAGGACTTCCTCACTTTCGACTACCTGCTTGCCATGGACAAGTCTAATCTGCGCGAATTGCTGGACACTCGCGACTCTGTCATCGCAACACTGCAGAGGAAGACCGATAACAAGCCAAGCTCAAAGAGTACCCGCTCCCATGTGGACGCTGCAATTGGCGCCTACAGTCCTGATACCAAGGTTGCTGATGTCCGCTTGTTTGGTGACTTTGGCAAGGGTGGTAAGCTGACGGACCGTGTTGGGGGAGGCGAGGTGGTGAAAGATCCCTACTATGGAGGTACCAATGGCTTCGAGGAAGTATACCAGCAAGCTGTGAGATTCTCCCGGAACTTCCTGGATCATGTGGAACAGAGGGCGGCTTCAGAGTAAAGCCAACACCACCATGATTCCAGATTCAGCGGAGTTTTTCTTTGATACCCTGCGGGCAAAAGATACCGTGACTACGAGGAGAACTCGACTGCAAAATATAGATTGCGAAGTAGAAAAATATTGTACAAAAGGGCTAGTCAAACAGATATATCTTAGCGTCGCGCGCCAGATATGATCAAATCTTCTCACTGATTTTAATAGCAGCACGACATCCAAAGCGGATGACATCCACGAGCGGATCATAGGGTTTGGCTTCCTTAGAGTCGTTGGCCACGGCATGGTCGAGATGTTCCAGTTCTTCGTCCCGAATCCTCCGGAATGTGGCAAGCATTTCCTTAAGCTCCTCGTCCAATTCCTCGCCTCGACGCGCAGCATCAGCCTCCCATGACAAAATTTCCCGTACCTGTTCGTTGTAGTGTGATCCAATCTCGGTTTCAACAGCTTCGGTGCATGCCATTGCTGCCTCGCGACCCAGCGCCGCAGTAGACCAACCCAAGAATGTAGCAGCAACTTCCCATGCTGGGTACATGGCAGTTGGACGGATTTGGTGCTTTTTGATAAGGCCGTTGAATGTTTTCAGGTGCCCTGCTTCTTGGTCGTACATGTGTTTCATCAAGGGCCGGAGGTGCGGGTAGGAGCGCACAATTTGGGGGGTTTGTGCAGTGTAAATGAGAGTCGCAGCTAGTTCCCCAGCTTGGTTTACACGAAGAGCACTGTCCATGAATTCTCGCTGTTTTGTGCTCAGGACATATCGAGGCTTTGGCTCATCGGAGGTGGCGGTTGAGGCGTTGCGACATTGCTTGTGTGCCAGTGCCGACGGGGCAAGGAAGTCGAAAGTGACTGGGAATGGTGTCTTGAGGGCTCTCCGGCAAGATGTAAGCGCACATTGGCGCAGAATCGGTAATCCCATTGTATACAGCATGGAATATGGTGAGGCCGGAGTGATGAAGCTCCGCAGTTGCTTAGGCGGTCAGTGGCTTGGCAGGCATTAAACGTCATGAATTCGCGGCAAAGGCCAACTTGCGACGACCACTCGCGCGCCTTTCTACGATACCAAATCTCTTTGACTCTTATCTCTTTTTCGAGAAAGGCTGATTGTTTTTTTGAACGTTCTGCAACGAAAGGCCACGTTTTTGGACCTTTTTGGGACAATTTGGGCATATCTCGTCAGAGCGTCCACCTCCACGACCACTCCTTGTCCGGAGGGAATAAATCACTGAAAGGTCGATCAATAAGGCCATTCTGAAAGTGTTTGAAAACACATTCATATATAAAGCGTTGTTAAACGGTATATCTCTGTTGAGAACGATTCACAATGGCGGATGATTTGGATGCTGAGTTGCTCGCTTTGGCGGGTGACTCTGAGGAGGAACACTCACCTCCCCCAAAGTCCCCAGCACACTCATCCTCCTCTCACAACCAAGATCGTGAGCATTCACCAGACGCCATGGGTCGCAAAGGGACCGCCAAACCGGTTTCCCGCCGGGCTCGGAAGCCGAAGAATGAATCTGAGGGAGAAATGTGAGTATCCCACTCCAATCACAAAGCCTAAAGCTAACAAAATAGCTCCGACGATGGATCCCACCACTCGCTCCAATCCGCACCCATGTCTGAGTCCGAGGCGGAATCAGATAACTCTGGCGACGATGAGGATCGCCCAATCTTCCCATACGATAAGCTGTACTACTCGGCGCAAGATAAGAGAGACATCATGGCCATGCCTGAAATCCAACGGGAGGAAACCTTGTCTGAGCGTGCGCAACAAGTCGACCGACACCATCAGGACCTCGCTCTTCGTCGCCTGCTGGCCTCTCGATCCCGGGATGAAGCCCGAGCTGCTAAGAAAGCGAAGCGTAAGGCTGGTTCAGCTGGCTTAGATGAGAACCAGCGCAAAAGCTCTCGCCAGAAGACGACCCTCGGTGGTCGCAAGGTTGGAGAAACCTCTGGGGCCATCGAAGCCTACAAACGCCAGCGTGAACAGAAGGGTAAGCGGGATGAGCTCCGCCGCCGCGACCCAACCCAGTCACGCCGTCGCTCTCGCTCCATGGGATCAGATGTCTCGGATGAAGACGCTGATGCCGAAAGTGATCTCGAACTGGATGACCGTGTTGGGCGTACCCCCTCCATCCCCAAGGACGACCCTCCCGCCGAGCTACGTGACATTCAGCGCGCCCGTGTTGGCCGAAGCAACTTTGCCCAGGTCTGCTTCTACCCCGGATTTGAGGGTGCTATGACCAACTGCTACGCCCGTGTCAATGTTGGACCTCACCATGAGACCGGTCAACTGGAATACCGCATGTGCCTCATCACTGGTATCACCACAGGAAAGCCCTATGCCATAGATGCTGCCAATGGCCGTCCATTTGTTACAGACCAGTACGCCAAGCTGGCACACGGAAAAGCCATCAAGGAGTTCCCATTCATTGCATGTTCAGACTCTCCATTCACCGAGGTTAGTTGGATCATTTTTAACAATCACTTAAACAGGAATATGCTGACAAACCCAGGCTGAATACAATCGTTACCGCAAGACTCTGGCTGTTGAAGATCTGAAGATGGCGACCCAGGGAAAGCTTGCTGCAAAGGTCGTTGATATCAACAATCTTATTAACCACGAATTCACTCGGGAAGAGCTGAATGAGAAGCTACGCCGCCAAGGTGCTTTCGATCAAAAGAAAAATGTGCTCAAGCGCGTCGATGTCGAGCGGGATCTATCATTCGCCAAAGCCAATGGCCAAGCCGAAGAAGTCGAGCGACTGGAGAAGGAACTGCATGAGCTCCTCAACCCTAACCTCTCTTGGGGAACTACTTTGGTCAAGAAAGAATCGGACACCAAGGTCCTTTCGGAGGCTGAGCGTGTTCATCAAATTAATATCCGCAACCAAAAGCTCAATTACGAAAATGTCCGTCGTGCCCAGATTGAGGAGCGAAAGGCCGCCCGCAAGGCTGCAGCTGCAGTTGCTCGCGGAGAAGCTGTTCCGAACCCCTTCATGCGAGTTCGAACAGTGGCGAAGACTCACCACGATGTCAATGATGCATCCAAGACCGACAGTCCTGCTGAAACTCCCGCAGACGCCTCCAAGGACCCTGCTAAGCCGAATGGCAGCTCAGCACCCACAGTTAAGACCACCCCAATCAAGCCCAAGAACGGCTTCATGATCAGCTACCGCAACAATGATGACGAAAATATCGCCGCGCTTGATTTGGATATCGACATCGAAATCTAATCTTTGCTGTTTCGTCCAGCTCTATCAACTTCTCGGGGATTGCTCCTGGGGGTGACTTGACAGACCTCAATGGCGTCTTTGTGATTTTACTTTTTCTTTTAATATTTTTTTTGGTCCAACTTTTTGCCCCAACATTTGCGAGAGTCGAGGAGTTCGTGGACGGAGGCCAATCCAGAAAATAGCATCAAGCTTTGTATTATGAAATCTGGGCATTATGGGCACCTGGGCAAGGATAGTTTCTCAAGGTGTATTTCAATGTTCCAGGGAAGGACGAGTCAAATAACTATCTATGGAATGAAAAAATTAACAATATCCCATTCAAACTCGGGAACACCTGGGCACTGGCCGTCATACTTACGGGGTACACCTGAGAGGGCGCGCTTTGCTCCACAAAAAAGCATCGATCCTTAGTCGCCTATTCGCTGTCAAATCGCCCCTTGCACTCTCCGATCAGTGTATCGCCCTCTGATCTTCGTAGGATAGGGAAATTCCGGTAAACTCTCCGAATTCTATCCACCGACGGCGGGCAACGAATACTCGATGAAATTACAGGGAGATCAACGAATTTTGCAAACGCTTGGATTGGTGGTCTAACTAAGAATAATTGAGGGGGGAAGCAGAGGTTTCTGGAAGGACCCTCCTCGGAGAGAAAGGGCAGAAAACTCTCCGTCAACACCCCATGACTTCACCTACTCGTAGACCCCAATTCTTAGGCTAAGTTTTGGGTATGTACGTTGACGTTGAGAAAATGAAAATGTAACGTACATTTCGCATGTCCACCTGGGCAGGTGTCTATCAAATGCACTGCGACTTCAGGATGAGACATCTTCGAGATCCTTGGCAGTGTGATCGTACTCCAGCAGTTTACAATGAGAGACCCCCGCTGTGTGGTAGGTGGACTGAACTTCTTCCGATTCAGACAAAATTACCGAAGCTGTTCCCGAAGTCTGCAATAGTTCACGGCGCCATTGGTGACTTGTGGGCTGCATATGTAAGATCCTCCTCCCCTCTGCCGAGTGGCATAGTCAATCTGGCGCATCTGCAGACTGCATGTGAAACAATCATTATCCTATTCGGGTTGAAGAAGATACCAGGCGTAACTATATGTATCGCGAGTGAAGATGCTTCTTGAATGCGTACATTTACTCATGTAGTCAGCAGGTGTGTTTAGAGTGCAATTGCCACCATTCCAAGGTTGATGGTTCAAGATCGTCGTTTTTAAACCTTACGATGTACGAGTACTCGTATGTATACATTTCGTATCCGGGAAAATGTCGATCTTCAAGTTTTGGCGAGCTGAAAAAACAATTCTTCTGCGCTCCATGAGCACCATTGGCCCCAAGAAGATGGTGAATTCGTCATCGCGCTGCATGTTCTCAAACTATGTCGATCACATAGTCTTTAGGTCGGTACTTATACTGCGTAGACCTGGAGGATTTCAGGGCCCACTAAGTACTAAGTACTGCAATAAACCAAGGATCACATCAACTTGCACCAAAGCTCTTCCTGGCAACATGAAATTTCAACTCGACGGCAAACGATACTGGGACGAACATAAATATCCCCCGGGATGGGTCTATGAGGCCATGGGAAAGTGGGCGATCTCACAATTATCCGATGATAAACTGTATTGGTTCTTTGGGGATGAAGGAGAACCCCTGGGATATCCCAGAAGACACGGATTTTGGGGGGATCATCACGGTTACATCAATACTTGGTCCCGCGATTACCATGTTTATACGAGCAATGCCTCCTTTGATGAAGTACGTGGCCAAATGTTGGCTTGATGTGCGCGAGTACTCCGTACTCAGCTAACGAATCCTAGGTTGTCGAGAAACTAGGCTCTGGAAACATCTGGAGATTCAATGGCGAGAAATTCGACGAATATGGGACCTTTCTCCGAGATAATTGTCATGAGTTTTCGTCGTGCAGTGCCTGAAAGGCTATGAGGAAGGCTGTCTGTTGCCACTGAGGAAAAGCCGGACGGAGTAAAGAAAGAGGGGGAGAAAGGGGTGGTTATCTGCGTACACTGGCTCAGCCTGGCTAGTCGCTGCGCTCGAACGACAAATATGTTCCGTCAGAAAGGAATTATGGCCGTACACCACTTTGTTCATCATCTGTACATAATACCTACTGAAGGGTAGTTCCAACGTTCTCTCCAGGGCTTAAATTGAAACGCGATAAGATAAGGATAAGATAAGGATCACGTGGGCTAACGCGACGCGCATCGCGTTCGGCCCATGCGCCCTTGGTCCTTGGTTCTGGCGATCTACCTGGCTTGGAAATTTAACTCCCCAGGTCGCAGACCAGTGTCAAATGATTTTGAGAATGATTATTGAACCCCAACAACATTTCTGATCAACAAAACACCCACAATGTCTTCACCATCTACACCACACTCGACGCGTTCCGCATCGCCGGGCGACTCTCCGAAAATCATTACACCCGGTCAGAAAATCAAGGCCTTGATGGCCGAGTTTGACAGTGATTCAGAAGAAGAGACCCAAATTGCTAAGTCAACAAGTGCTGTTTCCAAGCTCAACCTCTGTGAATCTATATCCTCTAAGACAAGCACCAACCGCCTTGCACACGACTCGGGCTCTGAAACTGAAGATGATGTCGCCCGGCCAAAGGGCCGTATGGCGGCTCGGATGCAGGGTGACAAACAGACATCACCTCAGTCTCATAACGACTCAGCGATTCCTCATGCCCCTCGGACGGAGAATGCTCAAGCCACAGAGGAAAGAAAGCTCGAGGTTGAAGTGACAACCAATGAATCTAGCGACGACGATTTACCCACGGCAGGTCCGAGAAGAAGAACCAAAGCGAAGTCGAATTCGTTGGAACCTGAAGCATCCCAAACTCCTGCCCGATCAGAATCGCCCCTCTTTGTATCCTCTCCCGGCGAACCTGATGGAGAGTCAGACAACGAAACCAATAATACTGAAAAGACAAAGGCAAATGATCGCTTCCTATCTCTGGTCGCCAAAAAGCGCAAGGAACGCGAGGACCGGGAAAAGGCGGAGGCTGAAAAGAAAGCCGCAAGAAGATCTCAGATGGAACACTTCAGTTCTGAGGTTCTCTCCGGCGAAGAAAGTGGCGCTGAAGACCCTGGATCAGCACACAAACTTTCACAGAAAGCTCGCCAGCCCCGAAAGGCTAGCAAGAAGGCATTGGATGAAATGAGACAGGAAACTCAGCGCATGAGTCGAAACATGCAACTAGCTCATCAGGCCCAGACGAAAAAGAAGATCACCAAGGAGAGTCTTTTTGCGAGGTTCAACTTCATGCAACCTGAACCTCCAATCGGCCAAGCCGGAGCGAATTCGTCGATAAATAATTCACAAAACACGTCCGATGGAGATCTACGCACTCAAAACAAAGAGACCCCGCAAACGTCTCCGGCTCGCCTCTCCGATCAAACCAAAGCCAACGTTGATTCCGAGAACTTACCCGCCGACATGGACGTGGACGACGACGACGAAGATCTCTCCGACCTTAAGGACCTCATCACACAGGTCAGGCAAGATCGCTCTGATCCATCTGAGGTACCTATCGCTAAGGATTCATCCAATGAAGCGAATGCCGCCAAACCCAGGCCAGCTTCAACATCCACCCAGCGTCCCTTCCGCGTCAGGATATCTCGACAGCAAATTGCGGAGAGGCAGAAGAACGATGATTCGGACGAAGAACTTGAGATTGTGACTTCTCCTGGAAAGTGCCGCCGACTCGCTGCTTTTGAAAATCTCCCCACCCGACAAAAGCAAGAGAGTCCCGCCATGCTCAAGCTGAAGGCCTTGGCTCACTTGACAAACAAGAAGGAAGGAGATTCAATGAGCCCCGCGGAGCTTTCGGCAAGCCTTTTACGGCGTGCCAGACAACAAGCTGTCAAGGAACGCAGGGAACGCATCGAAGAGCTCCGAGCTAAAGGCGTTGTCATCGAGACAGCCGAAGAGCGTGCGGCTATGGAAGATGACATGGAGAACCTCGTGGAAAAAGCACGCAAAGAAGCCGAAGAGATTGCCCGGTTGGAAAGAGCCTCCAAGAAGAAAAATAATGACGATGACGACGAAGATGAAGATGACGACTATCAGTTGTCCGGCTCTGATGACGACGACAAAAACAACGTCGGCCAAGAAGGGGATGAAGACGATGAGGATGATGAGGACGAAAACGACAGCATTAATGGCGGCGAATTCGTTGAGCAAGAGGCGGACGAAGATGACGACGAAGACAGTGATGATGTACCTTCAGATGCAGAGGTGCCTTCCACCAGGCGAAAGCGCCCCACCCGAGTCATCAGCGACGACGAAGATGAAGAACAAGTCCATGTACCATCAACGCCCGTGAAAGCGCCAAGTCACACCTCTCGTTCGGCTGAACGTCCGAAGTTCCCTGCCGGAAAGGGAACTCCTGGAGATATGTCTCTAGGTCTGACTCAGGCCTTTGCTTCCACATTGGATGGCGATGCTTTTGGCAGTCAACCTGGCTCTGCAACGATACCATTCACTCTTCCTGATCCCGGCCAGCCTACGGCACAACTTCGTAAGGAGGATTCCGAAATTCTTGCACCAGATAGCCAACCCCTGGTTCATGAGAAGGACTTCGCCGACAACTATTCGCAGAATGTGACTCGTGTATCAGAGTCACCTGCTCCTTATGCTTTCTCGGAGTATTCCCAGTCGCAACTGCCTGATCCAACTCAGGATGAAGGCTTTGTATTCTCGCCATTTGACCCCGCTAAAAGGTTCAGAGACACTCCGCCAATGTCTACGGTGGATACCGTTCTCGTGGGTCAAACCCAGTCGCCCGTAGCAGATCGCAAGCGCAAGATGCTGCGCCGAGGACGTGCGAATGAGCTGCCTCAATTCAATGAGAAGGAGGATGATTTCGAAATCAACCCCACTGCTTTTGATGTCATGAAGAAGACGAAGGCAAAGAAGAAGCAAGCCGAGAATTATGACAAGAAAAACAGCAAGGCCAAAGACATCATCGACGAAGCTGCGGAAGAATCTGAGGATGAGTATGCAGGTCTTGGTGGTAACAGTGACGAAAGTGACGGTGAAGAAAATGCCATGGATCAACAAATGATCAATGATAACAGCGGCGAGGTGGTTGATGAGAAACAACTGGCTGCTCTCAATGCGTATGTTTCTCCCCCTTTCCTCTGACGGGCTTTACTAATGTCCACAGTGTTCATGATCGTAACCGCGATGAGAAGGATGTTGCTAATTTGATGCGAGACATCACTACAGGAGCCCTACGCCGTCGCAAGAATGCAGATGATGATCTCGATCTTGACGACTCCGATGATGAGCATCTAGCGCGTCGTCGCGAGAAGCAACGCGAGTTTGCCAAGATGCGTCGTGCTCTGCTTGCCGACGAAAAGATCGGCGAGATTGCCGAGAACCCCAAGAAAGCAGCCTTCTTCAAAGCAGTTGAAGACCGCGAAGTGGAGGATGATTTCAATATCGACTTCCTCGAGGAAGAACAGGACGGGTCCCAGGAGATGTCTCAGGACGTGCCTTCGGAAGGACAGTCAAATGATGCAGAGAACAAACTCAAGCGGCCTCTCGAGCAATCCACTGAAGATACAACAAACCGACCACCGCCTCATCTACGCCGCACCCGCCCCAGCGCAGCGTCCAAGAAACCAGCCACTTTAGCCGAAATTCGTGAAACACTATCGTTCCTCACTGAGACACCTGAGTATGACTCCTTCCGTGAGGATGCATCTCTCGATGAAGGAGAACACGAGGAAGGCGAGGATACGCCGTCAGAGGGTGCAACCGAAGAAGATCCTGGCGACAACACCTTCGCCAAACCGAGCAACCCTCGCCGCACTCGTGGAGTCGTCGTCGACCGTCTCGCCCTTCTTCGCCAAGCATCATCCAATTCCGCGAACACAAATCCCGGAGCAAACTCCAAGGTTGCATTCCACAATGGCGGTGGTGAGGGACCCATTGGATTCCGTCCACCTCAACTGCTACGCCGCGTTACCACCGGTAGTTCGTCTTCCAGTAACTCCAACTCATCCAATCGCGTTTCCAAGGCTCCTGCTTCTGGTCCAAAGAAGGGCGGTGCTGTCAATTCATACACAGCGGCGCGTGAGCGCGAGCGCGAGAAGGAACTTCGCATCAAGGAACGCAATAGCGGCTCAAACATTGCCAAATTGCTGGGCAAGCATACTGGCGGTGGCCTAGGTGCATTGGGCAAAGGTCAATGGGACTGAGATGATGTATTGTGATGTTTGTTATTTTGTACATGGCGCCGGTGGTCCTTTTTACATATCACGACGTAATGTGTGCTTCTAAAGTTGTATGTGCTGGAGTCTTGCCCCGGTGTGAGATCCGAAATTAGATCAAGAGAATTAATTGCTAGTAATGAGCAAAAATGTTTGATTCTCCAACCATCGAGCGATACTCACCTTTACTGGAGCTTAAGGCAAGCCCGGGGGCTCCCGAGGTCGGGGGCGCCCAGCTGATGACAAACTTTAGAACACCCTACAGAAATGACAGTGACCGTTTGTACTTAAGTACTTGAGTGGCCAAGCAGATCCGGTCCGAGACCGGCCAGTGGGGTGGTGTCAATCTACTATAAACAGCCTCTCGGTAGGCACCATAAGGGGGCTTCTGTCGAGATGGACTACCATTGCAAGTACGAGGAGATATGTTCCAGAAACATAGTTTTTCCAACTAATCCTGTAGACGTGAAAAATCGTTTCCAACCTTGAAAATCAGTAGGAGGACAGATTTGACTTTGCAGGATAATATGCCGAAACAGAAAGGATTCAGGAGCCCATTTCGCATAGAGATGGGTTCCAACAGATGTTGACTCGCTGTGTTCTCGGACCTGCTCCGAAAAGACTAGACTCCTAGTTGAAATAGGTTTGAGACATTGGCCGAGGATATTTTATCGATGATTGTCGGCGACAGACGCCAGCTAGTCTGGCGCTACTCGCATTCGCACTCGCGAAAACTTTAGAACCAGTGAGTACGAGTAACAGTGCCCGTCATTTGATTATGTAGCAGGTATGGCTTGCCCCGCGGTTCCGCCGGATCCCACTCAGCCTCGTTGGTCATCAGCGGAAAAATTCCGGCTACAGGTAACGCGAGGAACAGGATACCCTTATGCAGGAGTACGGTTTCGTAGCAGAGTTTATGAGGACGCCAGACATGCTCTAATACATAGAAAATTGCATAAAGTACTTGGAATTTGTGCATTTACAGTGGGCAAAAACGTCATCGTTGCTTGCGGAGTACTCGGACGTAGGTTTAGAGGAAGAGTCTGCAGAAACACAATGATTATGCATGCTTAGTGGATGTGGGTCCTCAGTATTCCATTCGAGTCCTTTGCTTATTCCATGCTTGGTAAGAAGGGTTTAGTATCCACCCTTGGCAAAAATCCAAGGTTTCAGTTTGCTGCCTAAAAGGAAAACACTGGAACAGTGGCTGAGCAAGAAACAGATGTGATACGATCCTGAGCGCCTCATCTGTAAGATAGATTGAAGCGTTAGAAGTGTATTAAGCTTTCGATACGTCAGTGGCATGGGTACCAGGGAAAACGCTTTGCCGGTAGGAATAAGGTGAATCTAAGGACTTCTAGGGGCTAGGCTAACGGGCGGGTGGAGGCCAATCCTTGGGCTCGCGTGCGCCGAGACTCCCCAAACCTCCGAAATTTGACCGCTTGGCAAACATAACCCTGTCTGGTTCGAGGGTGTTGTTTCGAATATTACCTTAAAAACTACTACATAGTATAGATATAACATGCACGATCTGACAGACAGGCCTGCAACAGCTGCATAGCGCTGATGCAATGGGACACTAGTCAGGAACGAGAAAACTCAGTTCGTCTTATCTGATCGCACTAGTCCCGATTAGGTACATTCGACGAAATGAAAGCCCCTGCCGAGCCAAGTTTCGCAGAAAGTGTTCCCGTGTCGAAGGCGAAACGAGATTCCGATGTGGTTCCACTAAACGCTCATGGCATTTCGGTTGAGACTGTTAAAAGGGCCCTGACCCCCGGAGATTTGTTGATCGGCATTCTGCATATAGATCTCATTCACAATCACCATGAGATTCCTTCAGGCAGGTCCTTTGACAGCTGCGCTGTCCGCCGTTGCGGGAGTGGCTTCTGCTTCCGTTTTCCAGAACCACACCTATGACTACATCGTGGTCGGTGGTGGTCCCGCTGGTATCATCAGTGCCGAGAAGTTCGCCCAGGCTGGAAAGAAGGTTCTGCTTCTCGAGCGTGGTGTTGGCCCAACTGTCGCCACTGGTGCCAATGAGACCCTCGTTTGGAATGATGAATTGACCGCAATCGATCTCCCCGGCATGTCTGCCAATGTCGGTGCCCTCGATGTGTGGAATGAGTACATGTGTACGGACACCGAGGGAATGGCCGCCTGTGTCCTTGGCGGTGGTGTCACTGTTAACTACATGGTTTTCGTCCACCCGCCTGCCCGCGACTTCGATGACAAGTGGCCCCAGGGTTGGAAGTGGAAGGATGTCGAGCCTGCCGCTGACAGACTCTACAGCCGCAACCCTGGCACCTTGTTGCCCTCCGCTGATGGAAAGCGGTACGACCAGGTTCTCTACGACGTGCTGTCCAAGTTCTTCAGTGGCCTTGGCTGGAAGTCCGTTGATATGAGCGCCCAGCCCGATGAGAAGACCAAGGTTTACAGTTACCCTGCCTGGAACGTTCAGGACCAGAAGCGCGCCGGCCCCGTCCGCACCTACCTCCCCGACGCCCTCAAGCTCGACAACTTCCAGCTCGCTCTTGGTACAAAGGTCCTCCGACTGATCCGTTCTGGTAGCAAGGTCACCGGAGTTGAGGTTCAGAACGCCGCTGGTCGCACTGAGATCATCACCCTTGGCTGTCACGGTCGTGTTGTGCTGGCCGCCGGTGCTCTGAGCACCCCTCGCGTTCTCTGGAACTCTGGTATCGGCCACAGTGCTCAGATCGAGACTGCCCAGAAGAGCGGTGTCGCCGTGCCTCCCAAGGCTCAGTGGATTGACCTTCCCGTCGGCGTTGGTGTCAAGGATCACCCTATCTTCCCCATCACCTTTAGCGCCAACAGCTCATTCGGCCTCGTCGACTACGAGGGTGTTCTGAACGGATCTGACACCCGTGATATCTCCCTGTACGAGAAGAACAGCGGTGTTCTGACCCAGGGTAAGCACCGTATGATCTTCTTCACTTCCGAGGAGGTCGATGGCCACACCCAGTACTTCCAGGGCTCTTGTGCCCCTACTGCTGAGGGTGTCGTCACCATCACCAGCTACCTGACTCACGGCCTTACCTCTTCCGGTGTTCTTGGACTTGACTCCACCGGAAAGACCGTCTTCGATCAATCACCTTACCTCCAGAGCTCTTCTGACCGTAAGGCTGCTCGCATGTTCGTCCAGAAGATGGTCGATGAGATCACCGCTCCTTCCACCGGATTTGAGCTCCAGACCAACACCAACGTCTCGGCTATCTTGAACGCCAGAACCTCTGGTAACCACTACACCACCACTGCCAAGATGGGTACCGATGACGGCCGTGAGAACGGTACTTCCGTTGTTGACACCAACGCCAAGGTGTACGGTACCGACAACCTGGTAAGTAATTTGGAACTTTTGACCTTGATATCCTTATTAATGGCCCTTTTTTTTTAGTTCATTGTCGATGGTAGTATCCACCCCGACCTCCCCACCGGTAACATCCAGACCACCATCATGGTTGTCGCTGAGGTTGCCGCTGCTAAGATTCTTCACTGTTAAGATTCTAGACATTGCTCACTTCTCTATGAGCCGTCAGGTTATCAACGGATTGCATTCGTTGCATCAATAACTTGATTTTGTATCACGTTGTATAGAAGCCCGATATCCCTTTCAAAATATATCCGAAGTTTTACAGTTCAATCCATCCATCGCAACAAGATAATTGAGAACTATGGTTACCTTGCAAGGCTTGCCATGTCTTGGTAATCACACGAGCTAGCACACCACAAAAAAGAGCGACCTTGGAATAGCTGCAGCTTATTTTGAGTTCGAGTTGTTTACTTCCTACTTGCCTACGAGTCATCAAATAAGGTCTGACGCCCCAAGGAAATGCGATTGGGTGTTTTGGTCCTGTCCAACACGCTAGGAGTACTCCACGTGGGTCCCATAGCTGTCACTTTCCGAAAACGTGTTTACCCCTGAGTTCCCCGGACCCAACGTCTTTTCAAACCCACACTCCGCGGGATCCAATACGAGTAACCTGATCTTGACGACAATCCCTAACGGCATTCAAAATATCGGTTTCCCAAAATTGGGCTTTTGCTTCAAAGAATTATGCATCTTATGACGTCAATAACTCCACGTCTGATATCATTCATTTCGACCCCATGCAACTGAATCATACACACAAAGCAAATGCCTATCACCCACAGGCACCATTGGTGGATATGAAACTTTAAATACGGAGTACGCCAGAGGCTAAATATTCGAATTACATTCGCCAATCCTACCTGTGTGGAGCTCAACGTTCTCACCCCGCGGTCTTAGCTCAGGATTCAAACAGCCATTGGGACCAATGCAGGGCAAACCTTGGAAGTTGTTATTTCCGTGTCGATCCCGGCCCAACGCTGCCTGAGATATGAGAACTCATACGAGTAAGCCTGAGAAAGTGAGCCCCTAGATGCTTATCTGGATCTTCGGATGTTGACAAAACAATCGATTTTCCTGCCAATTGGTGATCTTTCGCTCGGAGTATTCACCAGAACACCTAGAGAAGTGGTAAGTATTCAACATGAAATTGGTCAACTATTACAGGTGGAAGATGCAGCCCCTCTCAAAGTGATGATCAGCAGCGTGGTTAATTGGGATGGGCCTCACAAGAAGCTTAAAACGCAACTAAGCGTCCTTTGATTTCGCCGAACTTCAATGTGGCGGCGCCACTGTCAGCCACTCAGAATGAAGCTTATTTCTTGGTTGTTCCTTCTACATTGGACCACTTGCGTCCCCTGTTCAGGAGGTCGACGTCAAGGGTTCCGGCGTTGAGCGCTGGGCTAAACTAACAAGGGCTCAATCATCTATTTAAAGGAGCTTTCCATCCATGAGACCTGTTATTTAAGATTTTCATGTCATTCCTTGCCCAGTTGCTTTTTCTGACCGGTTAATACCGTCCACTCATTCTTTGCTTTTCAATTTCAGTCGCTCTTTAGACAATATGAAGTCAGTCGTTTTCTCTGCCCTTTTGGCCTCTGCCGTGGCTCTGCCCACCAATGTTCTTTCTGGGCTCAGTGGATCCCTCCCAGCAGGACTCCCCGCCTGTCTGCCTTCCGGCATCATCCCCTCGGACCTTCCCCTGCCCATTGCATCCTTGATCCCCACCTGCTCCGGCGTACCTTCTGCTTCGTCGTCTTCTGCCGTGGCCAGCCCTACCAGTGCTGTCACCAGCATGACCAAGAGCGCCGGAGCAGGCCAAGTCTGGAGTGTGCTCAACCAGGCTGGAACCTCCAACATCAAGATGATGGCTGAGTCGGAACTTCAAGGTCTCATGAGCAAGCTGCCCCTCAGCACCCTCGAGCAGCCTATTGGTCAAGTCATCCAGACTGCTCAATCCGTCGACCAACTCGACAGCAGCACTGGCTCTGGTCTTACCCAAGTTACTGCCCTCCTCGAAAATGGCAATGCTGCTCTCATCGAACTGACCCAGGATGTGGTCGACCTTCTCTCCAGCCTTGGTCTCGGTCAGGTCGGTAGTCTGCTAGGCTCTATTGTGGGCGGCCTTGAGTCCGTCACCGGTTATATCAAGCGAGATGAGCCTCTATCCTCTGCCCTTGACTCCGTCAAGACTTTCACTTCCAACATTAAGCGTGAAGACCCTCTCGCTGGCCTGTTCTCCGTCACCGACTTGAACAACGTTGCCGGTGGCCAGAGCATGCTCTTCCAGCTTGAGCCCACTCTTCTTGGTCTCCTTGGTGGCCTTGAGCCATCATCCATTCAGGGTCCCGTTGGAAATCTCGTCGCTTCTGCACCCTCCCTTTCTGGCCTCCAATCTCAGATGCCTAACATCCCCGGCGCTAGCTTCATTGTCGTTCAAGCTCAAGATCAGGCTTCTGTTCTGCTGATCAAGGTCGATTCTGCTCTCCAGGACCTTCTTTCCAGTCTTGGTCTGGGTAGTGTTGGCACCGTTGTTGGAACCGTTGTCAACACTGTCCAGGGATCTATCTCCCAGTAGATACGCCACCTTTGGCAAGCTTGGATCTTTCTCTTGTATTTTATATCATATATTCTTCATCCCAGGGGATAGACCCTGTCTCTTGGTCTAAATAGCGGCAAATGAGTGAACACAGCGATGTCTCTCCGGCTGTTCTTCGGCATTTACATTGTTTATCGTGGGATCTACATACTGCCATTTAGACAGGGATCACGATTGAAATGCTGTCAAATTTAAACAATAGTTACAAGAAATGTTTCTTAAAAAGCGGATTGAGCAACGAGAAAAACGAATTGAAAGTTCCGCAAAATTAGTGGTGGAATCCACCCCAGTAACTTTCACCTCCCTGTCCAAAAGGATTATCAGCATCCTTACATCGAGGGTGCTCATAATCCTCCTTGGTCCCCATCGGCCAGATAGGCACAACACAAATCTCGTTCTCGTCACAGCCCTTGCACTGCTTCCACGTTGTCCAATCCAGGTACTCCATGAGCTTATGGACCTCCTGAACAGCCTTCTTGAGGCTCTTCTGACCATGAGCCTCAAACAGAGCCGAGCAAATCCTCTTTGTGACTCCGTAAACTGCCCCGCCTGCCACACTATCTTCAGTGAGTGCGTGGTCAGGCACGAACTGGAATACGCAACGCTCGATTTCTGCTTGCGAATCTCGATTTCCGAAATCAATGAAAGGAGCCATCAGCGTTTCGATCTCGTCTTGCAGATCTGACATCGATGCGATTTTACCAGAGGCAAAGTATGCAAGCTGCTTGCTATACCGGGTGACAACCATATCGGCAATAGCTTGCCAGTCCTCGCACACTTCAGCGGGGTGGTAGGTTTTGATCATGTATGTTACTTCGTCGCGCAGGGCAGTGAGTTCCTTTTGAGTGAGACTAGCTAGCCTGGGAAGAGTTTTCCCCTGGAACAGATCGGTATCGTAAGAGAAAGCCGATACAAAGTGGTCGAAGTTGAGAGATACTCGGTTGCCGCCTATACCGTGGTAGCGGGCTGTTACTGCGCGCATCCAGCGAGACGAGTCGGGACCTTGACCTGGACCACCTGGACCGCCTGGGCCACCGGGGCCACCGGGGCCACCGGGGCCTCCTGGACCGTGTCGTCGAGTGTCATCTTTTCCTTCGGGTCCGTGGGCATCATGGCGCATCTTGCTGTCCTTGCGTGGGCGTTGACCATGGTGTTCTGAGTCTCTGTCCCGAGGTCCACGATCATCGCGCATACCATGATCATCTTTCCGGAGGTCACCGTGGTGAGGCTTCTCCATCGGCCCAGGTCCACCAGGCGGCCCATTTCTAGATTCCTGCTTGACCTGTATGATGCGTACCGAATTCAGATCCCGCTCAAAATCGCAGAGGATGATCTCAAATCCAGCTTCCATACGAAGAATACCATCGATGCGACCCTCCCACTCATTTGCAGCAAGCTCACATGCAATTTTTGCTCGCTCGTTTTCCTGGAACCCGCCACGAGGAGAGTCATCCAGGCGACCATTGAACAAAACCAGGTCTTGGGAGTCCAGTGTCCCCTTGTCGGTTTTCGCTGCGGACATGCCATCCACATATAGAAGACGGAGATCCTTCTTTGCTGTATATGTGTGCAAGTAGCCGGCTCTGTTTTCCATATCCTCTAGGGGATGTCCATGGGGCGGGCCGAAATCTTCAAAGCCCTCGCGCTTGCGCAACTCTCTATGACCACCCTCTGGCTCGGTGTCATCGTGTGGAGGAGAGGAAGGAGGGGGAGGACCACGCGGGCGTGCAAAGACCATCGCATGCTCAGGCTCGAATGCCAACCATTCGGTGCCAATCACTGGGGTGTCCTTGGAAGTTCCATGGTAGAATTGTGTCCCCGCGGGAACCCTGGCGAGGAAGTATGAAACACCGTTGTGATGAAGAGAAGAGCCCCATTGGCGCATGGAGTCTTGGATTGTGTTGAAAATGTGATTTGCGTTCTTAGTCTCATTGATCGGCGTGGAGAGGGCGCTAGACACTCCGAAGAGCGGGAGGAGCGACGTAGGTCGCATTTTGGTGACAACACACTGCAAAGTGCGAAAGAGTCGAAATTTTCTTATATGTTCACAAGCTAATAGGCATCAGCGAAAGGTTTTCATCTTCTAATCGTATGCCTCTACAGGGCGACGACGAAGACGCGTCACCCGGCTCTAGAATATCCGCTTTGCGCTTTTCAGTACTTTACTCCGACGCTAGTCGATAAGCTACATTTAGTGCACCATCAGACTTACATCCTGAAGTGGTTCTTTCTACTTATCGCCCCATTATTCCTTGGGGGCAGAAGCTATGTCTCCCAAGCCCGTTGACTGCGGTCAACTGAACACGGGCTCTTTGTGCCTCAAAGAATCAAAGAACATCATGTTAGTCTCTAACACGACTTCTTTGGAAACAATGCCATTGAAAACAGTTGAATGGCCCTTTTTACTCGGAGACTCGTCTGCACACTAGATATATATAAAGGGGACATGTTGCCTCCAACAGAAACATATCAACTTCTCATTTCTACATCTAGTGAACAAGCATCGAGCTAACCTCATTCAAAGCCTAACACAATACTCACATCTGCAGCACAACGTGAAACTAATACATCAAAATCACTATGACTTCCCGCAGCAACCCTTCCCGCAGCATCCCTATCCGCGGCATGCCTTCCCGCAGCGCCCAAATCCCCACGCTCCTCGAAACACGAAGAACCATCTTCACTAGCCCCACCGGCGTACCCGTGAACGACATTCATAGCAATGAGCACCTTTGGTGGGTCACTGTTCCGGTCTACCCTGCAGATAAATCCCTTTCTGACGAGAAGCTGCTAGATGAACTTCTCAAGCGCATTAAAACCGGAGATTTTACCGTCACCGAAGAGGCGATGCACACCGTTCAACCGCGCTGTGTCTCTTACCCCATTCTCGAGAACAACGGGACTACTGAGTACCCGATCTCTTGTTTACGGGCTCATCAGCGGGACCTGGCTAAGGGGGCATTCCGAGTTGACCGCGAATATCTTTTTAAGGATCGTTCGTCTTAGTTGTTCGAGTAGCAGTCTTGGGAATTATAGTGGTGAATAGAAAGAAAGGTGTCGCGGTAGGGGCAGTTAGTTAAGAAACAAAGAATTGGTAAAAGGTACATAAGAAAATCCATAAAAAAGTTTTTTGATTAGAGAGCTGTTCTTTTTTTTAAATTGTTAAGTAATAATATATATAGATCTGAGTGCATTTTGGTTGCAAAAACGTGGTTCATTTATAAGTGAAATCGTAGAATTGAGCTTGAGGTTGGTCCGAGGTGATCTGAAACTGAGGTCTAGGGTTATCAGCCCTCTATCAACCATGGGGAAGCTAGAAGCTGGCGGGGTGGGATTTTGAGATGACTCTGGCATACTAAGAGATCTGGACCTCGGAGGTACTTAAGTACTAAATTGTAAAGCCGAAGATTAGAAGAGCCGGTCCAAATGCCGTGGCGTTGATTGGTTGGCCTTCAACGCAATTTCATCCGCAGATACCTATAGATATATCCCACATGGACGACCAATGATCACTGGTACAGGCGGATAAAGTCCAAGCAGGAAATGATGAAATAACCCCCATACCCGAGGTGCTCCCCGGACGTCCTTTGCGATGTGTGGGGAGAATGTGGGAGCGGGAAAGACTTACTCCGCCGTGGCCATACGAACCAACAGTTGCCAACGGGGGGCTTGACCGGTAACATCACTCGTCTGGTATTTAAGACTATTAAAGATCTCTCTGGATTGGTTTTTGCTCTCTTCTTGAACATAGTTTGATTTTCTCCCCAGAGCTTCCCCGCATAATCTCAACATGACGAAGACTCCCCAGGATTTGAATATCGCCATTTTGGGCGCAGGAATGGGCGGATTGACTTCTGCCCTTGCTCTCGCCCAGCAGGGCTTTAAGAATATCGATGTCTACGAAAGTGCCAGCGATCTTGGATTTGTTGGCGCTGGTATTCAATTGGCCCCCAACATGGCCCGGGTCCTGGATGGACTCGGCGTTTGGAAAGGAATTGAGGCCGAGGCTGTTAATATTGAGGACACATCAGTGCGAGGTGAGTCAAAATAGATATTTCATGCTCAGAACTTGCTAACCTTTTCGCGAAGATGGTGCAACGGATACTGAGCACGCATACGTCGATTTAAAATATATTGAAGCAACATACGGATATAAGCACATGGTTGGTCATCGCGCTTCTCTTGCCAACGGACTCTACGAGGGCTGCAAGAAACATCCCTCCATTAAGTTCCATTTCGGAATTAACGCCGACAATGTGGAATCTTTCGGCCCCAAGCCATCATTCACTGCGAACCCGCGTGCCGAGGGGGCCGCTCCTTACAAGGTGGAATGCGACGTTCTTCTTGCAGCCGACGGCATTAAAAGTGTGACTCGTGTAGAGATGCTGAAGCGTCTGGGTGTCGATGTAGGTGTCAAAGACACCCAACAGGCAGCATACCGAATCATGATCCACAAGGACCAGATCAAGGACGACCCCGAACTGCTTGTGCTCATTAACAGCAACCGCGTTACCAGATGGATTGGCGCAAAGCGTCATATCATCGCCTATGCAGTCTCCAACAACACCATCTACAACCTCTCCACCACCCAGCCTGACACCAATTTCGCAGCCGCCACCAACGCCACTTACACAACGAAGGGTTCAAAGCCCGCCATGATGGGCGTATTCTCTGATTTCTGCCCCATGGTCCAGCGCATGTTGAACTATGTCCCCGAAGGCGAGGTCTGCGAGTGGAAGTTGCGTGTCCACGACCCTCTACCTACTTGGGTGCACGACTCCGTCGCTCTGGTCGGTGATGCCTGTCACCCGACCTTGCCTCATCTAGCTCAGGGAGCCGCCCAAGCCATCGAGGATGGTGCAGTTCTTGGTGTTGTTCTTTCTCAACTTCCCGACACTACTCCCGAGTCCATCAACAAAGCTCTCCGAGTTTACGAGAAAGTCCGAAAGAGCCGCGCCGAGGCGCTGGTGGAAATGGCCACCGCCTCTGGCCGTGCTTTGCATTTGGGCGAAGGTGCTGCCAAAGAGGAGCGCGATAAGCAGTTTGCTGCTCTTCGCGCTGGAAAAGGCCCTGTCCCTGATAAGTGGGCTGACGCTGATGTGCAGCGGGAGATCTACGGCTTCGACTGTACGAAGGTCGCCGCAGATAATTTTGATGAATATTTCTCTCAAATGTAAATGACCTGCTCTTTTGAGGAATTTCCATTCATGTCTTTCTTTGTCATTTTTTCATTTCCACTTTTGTACAATCATGTTCACCTTATGAAATATCAACCTAAATACTTTCATGCTCTGGAGATCGGACGTCTTTCAGCGTCATCAGATAGAATTTATTTGTCGCTCTGAGCCCAGACAGCACAGAGGCAAAAGAAAACGAGCCCCATCAAGCCTTTAGAAAGAGCCATAAGTAACCAAATTTCAATTGATAGTGCCCCAATGCAGTGACATAAGATAAGCACCCCGAGAGCTGTCTACAGCCCAATGTTTGGGATTGACCTGAGCGCAGTTCAAGATATCCTCATAGTTCTGCCCATCACAATTGAATGCCGACTCATTCGCGCCCAGCGCAAGAAGTCTCTCTATGGCATACAGCCCGCGGTTTCTCGCTGCTTTATGAAGCGGTGTCTCCAGAGTCAAAGAATCTCTGGCATTGATCTCAGCGCCATTTTGAACGAGTATCTCCACACCCGGAATCCAGCCGGCAGCAGCAGCCAGGTGAAGCGGCGTGATATCCTCATTCATCGGTAAATCTGGATCAGCTCCAGCTTTGAGTAAAATCTCCATTACGCGAATGTTTCGTTGAACCACGGCCATGTGGAGTGGTGTTTTGGAACTTGTCAAACGGGCATTCAAGTGAGCACCGTGGTCAACTAAGAGTTCAACCATTTCGATGTTATTCAAATAAATAACCTCGTGTAGAGGCGACCAGCCCTATAAAAAAAACAGAATTGATTAGTTTTCACATATCACTTGCGGGCGTGGCCCATAAACATACATCAGAGTAAGCCTGGGTATTGATGTCCGCATTTTTAGACAGCAAGAACACCAGAAGCTCGTTGTGACTTGCAGCAGCAGCTTCTTGTGCGGGCGTGCGTCCAGATGTCGTTCTTGCATTGGGATTAGCGCCATATTGTAGAAGCAGCTCAACAATGTGTTTGTGTCCTTTCATTGCTGCCCAATGTATTGGGCTCTTTCCGCTGTCACGATGACTGATGCTGAGACTGTACTGCCGGGTCGACACTAGAGCGCCCTCTTTAAGTAGCAATTCGGTGATTTCGAAGTTTCCAATCTCTGCCGAGTGTGACAATGCAGTCCTACCCGCTTGGTCTCGGACATCCACGTGTATCTGTTGAAGGAGGGCCTCCATAACAAATTTTGACTTGCTCTTGATTCCAATTTTGAGCTCTTCGGCAAGAGCTGGGTCCGCTAAAACAGCTGTAGTTGGTTTGTTCACTTTGGTAGTGAAAGATTCCATGGATTTGTTGGCTGGTTCATTGTCCCCGAAAACGGAGTTTGCGTAAACATTCAATGCCGACCCAGCGTCTTCATTGAACTTGTGCTTGTAATTTTTGGCCTTTTTGTCGTCCTTCGAGCTCGCGCCTTTTAAAGCCAGAAGCCTGTCGTGTGTAAGTCAATGCATTCAGAGAGCTATGCAGTTGAGTATAGCGAGTTTGGAAGAAAGCAGAGTCAGAACTCACATGGTAATACTGCCCATAGTAGCCCCAAATGTCGCTTTAGTTCTTTCAAGCTCAATCGCTGTAGCGAATACCTCTCTCCTCCTAAAGTACCAGCTCACGTTCCCACTTCTCATTCGCAATCTTTCAACTGAGATAGGATTGCCACTTTCGGAATCTTGGCCTGAGGCTTGAACGGCAGACACATCCGCTTTCAGGTGTGGACTGAGCTTATCTTTCATCCGAGTCAGGACTGCCCGGCAGTTCTTCATAGGATCAAGTAGAGTCTTGAGTGCCATCTCAATTTCAGCATCACTTTCAACCGCGGCTACAACACTAGGACTCAATAGTGACGTTGCCAAATTGTTGACAAGCATGTAAAATGCATGCACGTCCCTACTGATCGTGCGGATCTCTCGAGGGGCATTTTGGATCACAGAAAAGAAATCGTGGACTTGGAGCGCGGTTGAAGCCACTGTTTGGGCCAGCTGTAAGACCGCTGCCACGGTGCCAACCAATTCGGCCATATCAGAGGCACGAAATGTATTCAACTGAGGGCGACTTTCTGCTTGATCGTCTGCTTGATCGTCAGCAAAAGTCAGCGAAATAAATATTTTGAGGTCGGACTCATGTTTTGAAGTTAGGCCCTAAATGTACAGGCGTGGGCTTACGGCCCCTCCTTGACCCCGCCTCAAGACTTTTACAGCCTCAAATATTATGAAAAAGCCATGACATGCTAGCCTGTACGGGCAAATAATATTTCGCTGATAATTATGTACGCTTATACGGCACCTTTGATCAAATCAGCCGCCCGCTCCGCTACTGCATAAACAGCGGACTGGATGTTCCCACTCGGCTCAAGGGGGAGAACACTGGCATCAACGACTCGCAGGTTTTTTGTTCCATACACCTTCAGCTTGGAGTCTACAACCCCACCCTGATCCCTGGGTAACATGGCACAGGAGCCTGCCGGATGGAAACAAGTGAACAACCTATCCTTCACGACCTCCTTAACTTGATCTAAATCACACATGTCGCGTGTGATTTCGGGCATAGACTTTCCTGGTTTGAGTAGAGTGGAGAATGGCTCTGTCTCAACAATGCGTTCGGCAAATTGCATTTGTCTTGCCATCATCTCCAGATCCAGTGGATGCGAAAGAAGCTTGGGGTCGTATGTTGGTTTGACCTCGCTTCTGTTGGATGAAATATGAACTGAACCACGAGAGAAAGGATGACTATGCAGCATCAAGAGGGAAACGTAGTTCTCCGGTAGGGTTTTGGCCAAAACATCTGTCAGAGTGGTCTTGCCGGGGTGCATGTGGAGCTGTGCAGGGAGGAAAAGGAAATGTGACGATGAAACCTCAGGATCGAGAATCATGCGGCGAATTTGGTCATATTGCAAACGCAAGTTGGATGGGGTGCCTGCATTGTCGAGGTGTTTGGCGAGGAGAGTTTCAACTTCTTCCCGAGGCACCAGACCATCTCCATCCACGAATGGAAGATAGGCCGTGCTGAGTGGCATGCCCGCCAGCGGGCCTCCATTTGTCTCTTGATACAGCTTGATCACCGCTTGGACAACATTGGGGTCACGCATTATATCACCCGAAATCTGGCCATCTGCGACCTCGAAGCTGATCGTGGTGAGCGCGTGGTCTTGCAGATTTTCACCTACACCGGGATTATCAAGTAAGACGGGGATTCCGTGACTTTTGAGAAGAGTGGCATCTCCAACACCTGAAAGCTCAAGTACCTGAGGTGAGTTCAGACTACCGCCACACAACAGGACTTCATTTTTCGCAGCGATTTGATACGACTCGTCCCCGGTCTTGACCATGACACCCGTTGCGACCAGTTCCCCGTCTTCCTGGCGGAATTCGATTTTTTCAACCATCGTCTCTGGGAGAAGTCGCAAGTTTGGCCGGGCTGCAACCTCAGGGGAGTAATACGACGCCGCATACCCTCTTTTTCCAGTTTTAGAATCCACGGTCAACGGGGAAGTGAAGGCTCCCAATTTCCGTCCCTTGATAGGGTCGGCATCAGTTTGCCAGCCCAGCTTGGCAAAGGTCTCATCCCAAGCTTTGTTGAAAGGGCCATACACATCCGGAAGAGAAATCGGCACAGGTCCATCACATCCCTGGTTGTCTCTCTTCATATACCGAGCCGTATCCAACAGCTCTGCCGTGGCCTCGCTGGGTGCGGTATAAGAATGGAATTTACGAAGGTATGGTGCCATATCCTCGGAACCCCACCCTTCATTGCCCAATGCTTTCCACGCCTCGAAGTTTGATTCTGTGGGATACATGGCCACGGAGAAGTTCATGGCGGAGGACCCGCCGACGACGCGGCCACGCGGTTGACCAATTTGGCGATTCTTTGCATGTTCCTGTTGTTCTCTGTTAGCAAAATGATTTCTCATGGCATGCATATGGTGATCAAGTGTGTACCTGAGGAACAGTCATGTAGTCCCAGTCAAAGTCCGGGTCTCCATACTGAGTGCCCAGAAAGCCGGGTGTGTCAATGCGAGGATCGCCCATGCGGTTGGCACCTGCTTCGATGAGCAGCACTTTGACGGACTCATCCTCACTGAGGCGATTTGCCAACACCAGGCCACCAATCCCTGCACCAATGATGACATAGTCATATTCATCCATATTGAAACACAATTCCTTCGATGAAGAGTGAAGCTTGGGGAATTGCTTGTTGAAAATGCCAAACGCAGTCACCCCTAGGACAAAGGGGCCATTCGAGTTAAATTCATATTCAAACGTCCTTACTAGGCCAAAATTATCCCGTGTTGACACCTCGGTGATGGGCCGGAAGCCTAGTGTCTGGCGCTAGAGGTGTCAGTGTGGGGCGGGCGATTCTAGCCGACTGCATGGTGTGGAAGTTGGTCCATGCTAAGAAAGGAGGCGTTTCCAATGACACTTGATACATGAAGCCATTGGGGGCTAAAATGATCCTTCGGCCCGCTCTAACGGTCCGCCACAATGGTCGCCCATTTCCGTACCTGCCGATCTGTCCCTCTGTCGGTGTTAGCATTGAACAATGTGAAACCTACTATTACTTCCAGGTTTCTTGACAAGCTTGCCCATGACAAAAGTACACTGCCGAGGATTTCTTCAATTCTTCACGCTATTTATCAGCCCTCCATGCAGGGGTCTTAATTTACAGTTCTTCAGCCCATGGCACTATGCAACTATACAATGTCTTCACCTACGCCATTGTTCGTGATCAGCTTGTCGCCAATACCGTGTTAGTGATCCTAGCTACTCTCATGGTCATTCTTCGAGGTGTTTCACGGAAGATTCGACAGAGTGCAATTGGCTGGGATGATGCATGCTGTCTCGGCGGGCTGCTGCATACATATGGTATGCTGGCAATGCAATATCACTACGCACGAGTAGGGATGCGGAACCATGTCATGGACATTTCTCCGGATAACACGGTATTGATTGCCAAGATGCTCATCATCTATCAAATTGTTTATTACAACGCCATGGTTCTTGCGAAGTTCTCATATCTTTTCTTCTACTTGAGAATCTTCGTGAGCAAAGAGTTTCGGATCCTGACATGGATCTGCATGGGTTGTGCAGGGGCATATTGGACTGGTAGTGTTCTCCAGGTTTTCCTGATATGCACACCTTTCAAAAAGAATTGGAATCCATTACTTCCCGGTCACTGTGCGAGCCAAAATGTGGCCTTCTCGACAATTGGTGCATTCAATCTTGTCACAGATGTCATGATTATGGCCCTGCCTATGCGGTTCATCTGGAAATTGCAGATGTCTACTGGGACCAAAGTGGCTTTGTATGGAATCTTTGGTTTGGGTATCTTGTATGTTGTCCAGGAGTCCTGTCATGACAATCGTAACTGCAGCTGACACAGCCTACCAGCATCTCTTCGATCACGATAATACGCATTCGCGTCCTTACGACAGTTGATTTCAACGACCTTCCCTACTCCATGATCTGGGCGGCCTTTTGGAGTGTGACCGAGCCCGCTCTGGCTATTGCAAACGCCTGCGCACCTATGCTCCGGCCCATCCTCAAGGCCGCCTTTCCGGCTCTGTTTGCCAGTGCTAAAGCCGGATATACAACTCAGCCGGCGAGTGGGCCGATCTTGAGCAAGAACAGTTCGTCGAAACGAACTTTTGGCATGGACGAGATGGACAGTGAGTTTCCTCTCACAAGATTAGACCAAGAGCCCGGGTTTGCAGATCAAAGGTCAATGAACGACCATTCAGAGAGAACAGCGTCCGGCCTGGGGCCCCCTCGCCCCCTGGGGTCATCCGGTCATAGCTTCTAAAATTCATTGTATTTCACTTTACCGATTGAAGCTGACCAAAAATGAGGAATAAATATTCCTCAAGAGCCTTAAACATCAACGTAGAGAAAAGGTCAATCTATTGGGCTTGTTGTTCTATATGGAGTGATTTTCCCAGACGGGAAGGTTGCTTGTGTACGATTGAACGTGTCATATGTCGAGTGGTGCAAATTAAAATGACGGGCATTGAAAATTCTCAGCGCTGTCACCGTTCACTTTTCTTGGTGCAATCATTGAGGTTGAAGCGTTGATAACATCGCTATTTAATTTGTCGAGGGATTGAGGGGGAGAGCTTCACTGAGTCTTGGAATATCGAATGTGTGATACTCCTACTCTACTTCAGGCCAACCCGTTCATTGTTCTTCATTCTTCTTGACTTCAATCTCCATGGGAGCATCTGAGGTGTACAGCAAAACTCGGAGATGGCGTCAAAAACATCGGAGAGTGGCCCGTGTACCTTGAGCCTCAAGCGATTCTGCCCTCCTCTCCCGCAAGTACAGACTCGATAGTACATTCTGCAATGTTCTCGACGTTCGGCTGAGATGCCTTTTCCGGCAGTAAGTTCCTGATCTGATTCTTTCGTACATCTAGCTAATCAGTCCGGTTCAAGACGCCACCAATCCGCCTCTCCAACTCATCCGCGCATCGCAACCGTCCGCAGTTCGCCTCCACACCCCGATTTTTGCTGTCACAGAGTGCGACCCAGACCAATGAGGATCACGATATCATAGACGATGTTGAACCGCATTTAACGCATCATAATACGCAAATCTTTCCTGCTTCTCAGGCTGCTCGCTCGCGCCAATGCGAAGTGATTGATGACGTCGATCATGTCGAAGAGATAAGAGATGGCCTGTTTGGGGTCAGAGAGGGAACGAACGCACCGGACGATGTCATTGACAGCACTCCGCCCGAAGAAGATGAGTGTCCTGGATGCCCAGACGCGGAATTGGATGCCCTTTTTGCGCCTATCAGAGACGCAAACAAACGGCGCCGCGTGGAGAGAGACGCGCCTTCGACAAGGCTAACACAGACTGATACAATATCATCATCACCACCTCAGACGGCAGACTTACAGTCTGATGCCATCCATACACCGTATGTGCCAAGACACAGCCCCGCAAACTGGCAAATGGGCGCAATGAGAACACCAGCACCTAGTAGTGCACGTCCGCTTGCACCTCCTGCATCTACGCCAGGTGATGCAAATACGCCCTTTCGAGGCCGTCCTCGCTTTATGCTTTCTTCGGCAGTCAAAAATCCGAGCAGTCAGTCCGCCCCTAAGTTTAAACCGAGCACACCAGCTATATCACCGCCGGAGAGACGTAAACCAACGTTTGTTTTGCCGCGCTCGCCATCGCCTAACCCCGACGCAGAGGACATCCCTGCACCATTTTCTCCCACTTCACGGACGCTTAATCGTCGCGGCCGAAAACGCGGTGTGATGCCCAACTATGTCCCGGGTGGGATGGCTGCCCAGCTGCGCAGCTGGGTCTTGGAGATGGGAGCCAAACGTGAGCAGCTGCCAAAGCCTGTATTAGCCCAGTTGTCAGATCCACAGGCAGAGATGCCTTCCTCAGAAGAATTGGCAAGGTATCTAGTGGCTGCCCGTGTCACCAACATCAACCACACCAGGACCAGCGGTTCCAACTCTGTGGCTTTTGTAAAAGCCAACCCTGTTGTCGGTGATCAAGTGCAGGATAAGGATGCTAAGGACAGTCTGAATATCCTGATTATGGGACCTCCACGCTCAAAGCCCGACTTGTGCCCCGGCTCTCCTGGATTACTACCCCAAAAAGGAGATCTCGTAGGAATACACAGAGGACTTACATGGACCTTGGAACTGGATCCTGTTCCAAGTCAAGTTCAGAACACTAACGACACTCCCATTCACATGTCCCTTGATGCTTTACCGGCAGATCAAGGGCAAAATGATCCAAAAGAATCCTGGCTTGTGGCCATGGAATGGGATCTGATACATGTGCCGGCGAGCTCCTGATACGCGCGCACGCATTGATGACGGGGAACATCCCCTACATGTAATCTATTTGAAAGCTCATGACGCCCTTATACCCATTCCATATCTTAGATTGATTGCAAAATAACGTTTTTGCTCTGCTGCCCATACTTCCAAGGTTGTTATCAAAAGGAGAACTTGAGATGATTGGCTGTATGAAGCGCACACATCTGCTGAGGATGCCATCACCCTAAGGGCCAGACTAAGATGAATGCGTTCAATCCAAGTATACTCATCGATGTCCCCATGATGCTTCGGAGAACGTTTCAACGTGTAGAGGGAAAATTATAAGCAAATGATGGCCGAAATGAGTAGCATAACAACGTGGGTATATTCTATATGCAGTACAATGCAATCCTAGTTCGCCACGGCCTTAAGGGCATCCGCAGCAACATTACATCCCCAGCGAACAAGCTTCTGATCATCATCAGAAACAATGTCACTCTTTGCGACGACCTTGCGCACAAAGTAAATGAGGCCCTTGGCAATCTGCGGTGTCTCTTTGACACGCAAGAAGATTTGCATCAAAGCTTCCTCGTTCCGGGGCTCTTCCACCTTGGACTTCTTAGACTTCTTCTTGGACTTTTGAGATTGTTGCATGATGGTGATTATCAGCACCTCCAAAAAGGTTTTCGTCTTGGGTTGAAGGTATGCGAAGTTGAGGTTCTTCAAGATGCTCAATGTCAGGCTGCCATCTACAATAAGATAGCTGTACATCTTCGCCAAGTTGACCACGGACTTCATGCTGACGCCGTTTTCGGGGTCATCAGGGTCCACATGTTCGTCATCATCGTCTTCCATGTTTCCTCGCTCGCCCATCCTTTTAAAGATGTTCCAGAGAGCGAACATGAAGGACATCTTGATCCGACGTCCCATATCACCGCAGATACGACGTGCAATGAGGGAGTAGTATGGGTTGTGAGCCTGCTCTTCCATAGCGCAATGGAGAAGAACACGAGGAATCTCGAATTCTTGGGCACGCTTCAGACGCAGCTTCATGAGTCGAACATGCGCATCCTGGAAGTCGTTGGCGGACATAATGGCAACGAAAATAGACCGACGGACATCAGTGTTCATGCGGTGGGCTTTGGCAAGATCTCCGAAGTCAGGCTCAGCGTCACTTTCATCGTCTTGAACTGGTGCCTGCATGATCGGGGCGTCCTTCATTTCACGCTGGGCAGCTACAAGGGGATCTTCCTTCCAGCTTGCACCGACTAGCCACCATTTACCCTTCTTTGAAGAATTGTGAATATCGTCGCGGGAGATGTTGATAGGCTCAGATGCACGGATAACCCGAGAATTGTTCAAGGAACCCAGAATCTTGCGCATTTTGGTGATGTGTTCAGTGGTGATACCCGCTCCAGCCGCTGCCGCAGACTTAGAACGGTTGTTCTTCAAGTCAGTGATGGTGTCGATCATGAACTTGGTTCGCACGGAGAGGGAAGCCTCTCCAACATTTGATACTGCTGGTTGAATCAAAAGCACAATGTCCTTCAATGCGGATGGGTCATCTAGACGAAGTTGGGGGCCAGAGTCTGTGTAGATGTCAGTAAGATTCGGTGTGGGGGTATGGACGAGGTGGCTTACTCCTAATGACCTTCAGAAGAAGCTCGGTATTAGTTTCGGTGATCTCTTGCACGAAAAGGCGGACGTAATCAAACATCAGAGAAGAGCCGATGACATGGAAGTTGTATAGTTGTGAGAGGAGAGAGACCAGGTTGAGGATCTCTTTTCCTTCGAACTTTCCGCGTTCGTCTCCTCCAGCATCCAAGGTTTCCACAACTGTTTGTACAATTTCTGCACCGAAATCCATTCCCAGGAGTTTGTAGAGTGCTGAGATGAAACCGGCGTGCAGAATGAGGAATGTGTCGTTCAGGGCAGCTCGCTCACAGATGAGGCCCATCAGCAGGCCGATGAGGGTAGATGTGACATGCTGTCGAGGGTAATCGCGGTACAGCTTTTCAAACTCCGCAACAATTGAGAGCATGTTAGCTTCGGACAACTTGTTCAGTTGACCCTGGGCCTGGCGCTTGAGTCTAGTGAGGTTTTCGCTTTCCGGATCAAGGCGTGCTCTGAGTGAAGGTGGGATGTATTTTTGGGCTGTCGGTTCTGCCTTGGTGACAGGAGCAATATAAGGATTCTCCTTCACTTTGGGTTCTTTGGGCTCGTCGTCAAACCCGTCAAAGTCACTGCCGTCGGCAGCTTCATCGTCATCGCTTCCAAAGACTTGCTCATCGAGATCCACATCCTCTTCGCTGTCCATTTCACTGTCCTCCTGTTTAGAGGCCTGCGCTTGCTGGGCTTTGGCCTTTTGTCTCTTGGCCTGGAGCCAATCGTCGGCCTCCCGCTTGCGCTTTCGACTTTCATCTTCTGAGGCATCACCACCACCGCCACCCAAATCTCCAAGGATGTCGTCCAGTCCGTCATCTTCAAATGCTTTGGACTTTCCACCCTTCTTGAGCCCAAGCTTCTTCTCCAGTGCAGCGATCTCGGCGTCGTCTTGTGCTAACTTAGACTTAACCGAGCCTGAGATATGGTTCTCAGAAGGCTCATCCGCAGTCTCTTGATCTTCATATTCATCTTCATCCGACTCTTCATCCTCGTCCTCCTCGCCATCTTCCTCGTCCTCATCCTCGTCCTCATCCTCGTCGTCGTCCTCATTTAGATCAATCTCCGATTCGAGCTCAGATTCAGCCTCAGATTCGGACTCGGACTCAGGTGTGACTTTAGCTGAGGCCTTCTTCAGGATTGACTTGGGCTTCTCGGTGGTCTCTTTCGTAGATTTCAACTTCTTCTGCAGAGGACTGGGTTCCTCATCGAGGTCCATATCGTCTGAGTCGTCTTCATCCACGCCATCTCTGCCGTTCCGCGACTGATTTTGAGGTCGCTGAAAGACCTTTTTCTGTGGCGGTGCTGCGTGTCGTGATTTCTTTTGCGTGCGTTCATTCTGGCGGCGTTCTTTGCGCGAGGCAGGTCCGTTCAAGCGGCGCTTCTTGTCGCCATAGGTATCACGGATACCCAACTCAGATCGAAGGTTCCGAGGGAGAGCTGTTGTATTATGCCGAGGGCGTGGCATCTTGGCGGAGGCTTATGGTCTGCTATTGAAGACTTCAAACAGACTTCAATCTCAGGTACCCCCAGGCGGTCGGGGACTTTTTTCACTTTTCTGCCACACTAAAATAAAGGCGGACAAGCACCCACAGCGGAGTTTCCTCCCCCCACCGAGCAGTTGTCCCCAGCTGTCAATTGCATATTGATCACTGCTCCAGCTTCCAGCTCGGTCAATTATTGAGCGCCTTTCAACAGCAATTCCAAATATGGCGCCGCATATGGGACAAGAAGAGGTAAATATCCATTCCTGTCTTACCTGACCGCTACACCTGTGCACATGCGACCAGATCGCCAATCTTGAGCTATGACACTAATACCTATCACCTCTAGTTCTTCTCATCGCTCGCCGATCTACTTTCCAAGACTTCGCAAAAGACCCGTGGATCCGTCATCCTTACCCAAAAGCCCTTGATTGATGTTCCCGGTGCCACAACCACAAGCGCTCAGCCATCAATCCTCATCCGGGCCACAGATGGAAACACCAATGCGCCCAACCCCAAGTCCGCAAGCAAAGACGGAAAAATAACCAAGAACAAGACAACAAAGATAAAGCTCTCGACAGTCGTCAACCCGGACGATCTCGAGGCCTTTTACACTCGCTATGCCGAGGTCTGCAAGGGAGGAATGACGGGGTTGAAGAAACGAGACCGCCGTGGCCGCAAGGCGAAGACCAAGGGCGGAGCTGCTAAGGCCACCAAGGCCTAGAATTCCCTCCTGCCTGTTCTTCCATATGACACCATCGACTTCCGTTCACGTTGCTCGGACCTGACATGCGATGTGTTGATGGCTTCAATTTCTCATGCATTAGCTGGCGTTCGAGGGTGGTTCTGGTTCCCTTTTTGCTCCCAATTCTCGATGAGGGCTTCTTCTCAAGTGTACATATTCCCCTGCACTTGTGTTATACGAGCGCTGTCATTGTCCATACATTTCTCCTCCAAAAGTAATATGGCCACTTTTGAGTGCTGCAGCCTGCAATGACATGCACGACTAGGTACCTCGATTTTCTGGACGTGGACGATTTAGAAAGTTACAGACTATCTTAGCTGGAGTTCTCGGCTAGTAAAAGCATGGTTGTATCATTAATGACTTGATTCCGATATGAGCTTTGATCCCTCCGAAGATACACGAGACGCTATAGCAGAAAAAGAATGTCCCGTAAAATACAAAATATGACAGTATGTCCAAACATGAGTCGTCCAGGCTAGTGTTGAATATTCATGACAAGAAAAACATTAAGATGTGTAAGGGCTTGGGTAAATAAGGGGGAAAGTACAGGGAAATTAATGAGGTATAGGATGGAAGTATGATCACAAGGTGAAGGGAAGATGGAGGGAAGACGAAGGGCAGAAGCTGGTAATATTGAGAGGTGCAAGACTTAGTCCAGGTCCCAAGGGTCAAGCTTCCTCGCAATCTCGGCATCCTCATACTCCGAGGAGCTTTGAGGTTCCAGCGGAAAATCGAAATCATCACCAGAGGCAGGACTTCGGTTTGGTTTCCGAGGATTGGAATTCGAGCCACTTGGTTGAAAGCTGACAGCTGGTTGAGCCGGCGGGGGATTGATCACAACTCGAGCGGCGATGTGGAGGATTATTATGAAGAGATAGGCAGGGGGGATTAGAACGAGAGTTATAGCCTTGGAAATGAAAGACTTGGCGTCATCGCCGGGAGATGGTTTGTACAATGCCGAAGAATGAGGCATCGGTGATACTTCGCGTTCTCTGGTCGCTTGAGCACGACGCCGAAATTCTGTGCTCATGTGGTTGAAATCTGTACTCGATGCTGGAGCTTTAGAGGGAGACTGAGATGGCATCTTGGTTTCCAGTGACATGTCTTTGGTCCGAGTGGAGGGAGTTGCTCCGCTGATGTGAGCCACGGACGAGGATGCATCCAAGGTTTTATTGAAAATGGCCTTAGGTAGATCATTCGGACTGAGATGATCTGATGTAGAAGTGGGTATGTCTGTATGGTTTTGGTCGACCGTTGGAAGCGTCGACTTCTCACACAAATGATCTGACACCAACTCCGATTCATTGATTAAGTCCTTGGCACTGGGAAGACTGAACATATCCGTGGGATCCGGCAAGTCATGACCTCCAACAGAAGTAGGGTGTGTGGAAACGGAGTCGGGTGACTGAGGCTCAGCAGAATGGAATGACTCGGGGCTGGAGTTGAATGATGCATCATGGTCAACCTCCAAGGTAATTTCAGCGAGGCTTTCTATCTTATCATCCTCGGTCTCCTCCCGTAGCGGCTCATGAAGTTCCACTGCAATTTGAGGTTCAGTGGAGTTGATCGTTTCTGTATCGAGCACACTTTCAGTTGGGGCCGTAACTGTACTCTCAGGCCATACAGTAGTTTGTTGTTGTGAGGTAGTTCCAAAGTCGGGCTCGGCTTCGGTATGTGGCTCCACCTCGGCTGGGGATCCAGCAGTACCATTCGATCCGGGAGAGCTTCGAGTCACCTCCTCGGCTGGCAAGAGAGGCGCATCATCCGTCGGGGTAGCACTGACTTCAACGCTGCTTGAAATTGGGTTCTCGACATTCTGTGGGGGGGTTGGTTCTGGTCCAGACTCTGAATCACAATCCTCTGGGAGTGGTGTGGCTTGGAACTTTGCAAGCAGACTGGTGAAGGTCTGTGGTGTTTCCGACACCGAACGCCGAGAGATACTGTGCGACGACGAGGGCCTCGGTGTGTCGGCAGGAGACAGATGATGGTTATCATGTGAAAACTCCGAAATCGTGCTGTTGGATTTGTGCGACGTGAAGCAGCTGTCATCGGTCAGGTTGCCATCTGTATCATCTCCGGTGCTTGCAGAATCGGCCCACTCCGACCTGGTTGAGGATGGCGAAGATGCCTCCAGGGGTAACTCCAATACTGCGGGAACACTGGGTCGTTGGTCTTTGGGCCTCCAAGCCTTCTTACGTCGCGGCGCGATTAAACTGCTAGGCAGCTCGACACTAAAGGAGCGTTTGAAAGGACATGGTGTGACTTCATATCGAAGCACGGTGGGTAGGGCGACCTTAAGTTGCTGTACCGAACTCTGATCATCCCCTGTCTCGTATGGAATTTCGATGCGATAATATGTGAGAGGTCGAATGCGCAAAACAAATTTGGACACCCCGTCAACACACCAACACTGCGAGTTCTTCAAAATCGCATGGACGACATTGCCACATTTCAGGAAAGCGGTAGATCCTTGGACCTTCTCCAGTCGTAGCGGCGCTGTTGCGACCGTTCGCTCAGTAGCAGAGCGCCAGGGAAGTGTTTCGATGGTGTCCACGGGGTAATCGAAGTCGGATGGGGTAGAACTGGATGGAATAGGGGCGAGTGCTCTTGGAGAAAAATGAACGATTTTCGCCGACGGGTGATAATAAATTACATGCTCCGGGGTATTTGGGACACTCGCGCGACGCTGCGAGAGCGGATTTAATTTGACGGGAAGGGTGACGGAGCGACGAAGGGACTGTATCTGACCTAGCTCGCTTGGAGACTCAGGCATGGTTCATGGATGCGATCAATAGGAGGGAGAGTATAGATAAATTAAAGGGACATGTATGTACAAAGATAATGCAAGTGCCTGTCCGATGCAGGAGACGCGGCTTATCTGCGGGTTTTGCGCGGGGAGATGCATTTTGGCCTCAGGCCACTGGTCAGGTGACCATGACGCAGCGCTCAATGGGCTAGGCATCTGTGATTTCGCTTCTTCAAGAATGCAGGGTTGCTAGCTCCTTGAGCTCTCATTTCATTCTTGGCGATATTTGCGTCCTCCAGGAATCTTGAAGGACATCCACAATGTCGAACTTTGAGCCAAACGCCGTGATCCGCGGCTTCCAGCTCACAGTGGTAGGAAGTATGTGTCCCCAATGCGTTTACTGCTGCTTTTTACCCATTTTGAAGGGTTTCAGATGGTCAAATATTTGGCTTCAACGGCGTTGACAGATCACTCTGTGTGCTATTCTCACCAGACATCCGAGATCCGCCAAGCCCCGGATCAAGGAGCTTCCTGTGCCACATCTATCCAGCCACCATTCACCACTGCCCAGCTGGCCTGGGAATGAAGCTTGGGATACCTCGAACCTTTCTTTCCAGCTGCTAACATTTTTTGATAGCGGTTCGTGCATTGACCAACCCTGAACTCTTCAAATATGACCACTTCCGCCAAGCAGCTCTTGCTATAGCCGTTGGAATAGTCATCCAGTTGATCATCCAGATTCCGGTAATATCTGAGAAATTATACATCATATGAGATGGCGACTAACTTTTCATTCAGATTTTGAGTGTGAAATTCTCTATCTGGCTATTGTCATGGGTCGTCAATCTGGAAAATGCTCTCTGGGACGATAAGCTTTTGACTGGCTTGGAGTTCATGTCCAAGTCAGTCCTCCAAGTGCCATTCATGCTGATGACTCTGATGAGATATGTGACACCAACTCTGGATGAGATGTATGTACCTCGTCCCACCTTCAATGTCGTTCCCTCTGACCATTTCCAGCTTCATGCAATCGATCCAGTGGGTGGACATGACATACATTCAGAAGCATAAGACAGAGGACCCCAATCAGCTTCGAGCTATGTACTATCCCCACCTTACACTGTACTCCAACAAAGGTGGTACCAGTGGCTCCCGCCCCATTCCTGAGGCGCTCATGGCGTTCTTCCATCGGTACGCAAAGAAGATCGGTATGATGCTTGGGCTCTATCTCCTTTCCATGGTCGTCATCGTTGGTAGGTTTGTGATGCCTGCAGCAAGTTTCTACACCTTCCGAAACCACGTTGGCAGTGTTCCAGCCGCTGCCATCTTCGGTGCGGGTCTTTTCCTCCCTAAAACATACATCGTGACGTTCCTGCATACCTACTTCTCTTCCCGCAGTCTGATGCGTGAACTTGTGAGTCTGACATCTCTCTTGAAATCAACATCATTTTAACCCTCGTCTAGTTGGAGCCTTACTTCTCGCGTGTCAAGTTTACCCCCGAGCAAAAGCGCCGGTGGTTCCGGGATCGCGAAGGTGTTCTCTTTGGATTTGCCTTTGCCTTCACGGTCGTCATGCGAATCCCCTACATCGGTGTGCTTATGTATGGTGTTGCACAAGCATCTACAGCATACCTTGTTACTAAGATTACGGACCCTCCTCCACCCCCCGCTGAGAGTGAGGGTTTCGCCGAAAGCCAGGTGACTTGGGCCAATAAGCATGACTTCTTGCGCCTGTCTCTTGACAATCTCGATAAATTCAATGTTGAAAAGCAGCGAGCCGACACTGGCTCGGGCTCCTCTGAGAAGAAATCCTCTTGAAGCCCTATCCGGATGACAATGATGGAGTACGGCTCTCATTACACTTTGCATGCCTGGGGTGCATTTGTCAACCGCGCACATACACTTCGTGCATTTCAGCTTTTGGGTGGGCATCTGCGAAGGGGCATAGCGGCCAGTGTCGGATGCGATGTATTTAGTTCTTAGTGCCTCGATTAGCCTGATTCTATGCCGGCAGAAAGCTTCAATACCCGAATTACCATTTTACATATTCTAACAAGTATTTTCCAAGTTCTAAAGCACTTGCTTAAGAGGTTGTTAGATCCCATCCTCTTTTCCCCCTCTTTCTCTCTCTCTCTCTTTTTCATATACCTAAGTCCTATATCTGTATGCGTACCTATCTACATAACTACCTATCCCCGAAGTAAACTATCAAAGCACGGCTCTTACAAGTTACAGCTTACAGTACGTGGTATTGGGCGGTATAAAAAGCGGTCCAAAATTCAGGCGTTCATTCCCAATTGGGACAAGAATCGACCAAATGCACTGTATCCGACACTGGCCGCTATACCCATTCGCAAGCATCTTGCGTCCGGTGTGAATCTTGAAATGCCTAGGTGGCTTCAGTGATTTGAACTCATCTTCACCAGCTTCAGCATTGCATTGTCAGGGCTGAACCAGCTTAGTCGTCAGGCTCGCTCTCATTCCTATATCTCTAGAGCTACGGAAAACAACTCAATATTCCCAATCCCTTTCAATCACATGGGCACTGGACTTGGAATCAAATTGAGTATCAGCCACAGCGAGCAGATGGTTCTAGTTTGACCTCGGGTTCCATCGATGATGGATGGGCCTGTTTATCCGGAGTAGACCCCTGAGACAGGACCTGTGTATCTACTGGCTGTGAATCGGGATTTACATGAAATTTGTAGAAATAGATAAGCTTTTGCACACTAATTGCGCATGTGCGGGTCGATATCAGGTCGTTATTCCCCTGTGAATTCCAAATGCCGGACAGCAAACCCCGGGGACATTGGTAGCTCCCACGTTATCAGACCAGAACTATACGAGATACAGTGATAAGCACGGTTCACGCACCATATATCTATTATTCATGCCAACGTCTGAATGGACCAAGTATGCGGGGTAGGGCGTTATCATGAGGGGGTCGAGGACATATATCCGTGTAACCCCCGACTCCAGCCGTGAGAAGTTGGCTATTATTCCCAGTACGTCTCCATTGTGTCAACATTGCAGACTTTACAAGCGAACCCAATATTGGAAACCAGCTTTGGAATTGTATCAACATGGGTATCAAGGGAATTCGAACGGCTCTGAAAGTTGACCTCAACAAGCCTGCGCGTGAACAATCTGGCTTACATGTATGTCCTTATCTTGCTATGACTGCACATCGTTGCTAATCCTCCAACTAGAACAGATGGCATCCAGAAGGTACTTTATCGTCTTGAAACTGTATATGCGAGCAACAGCTTACGATCTCCAGTGCCGGCCGTCGGGAAGATTGCCAACAACGAGGTTGTCAAGATCGAATGCCTTGATTGGACAGGGGGCCAGATCGGAAACAACGACTCAGCAGACGATCTCAGAAATGTAGACCTAACTCAGATCCACTACCTCTCTGGTCCATTCGACATCGAGACAGCAGAGCCCGGTGATGTCTTGCTCGTTGAGATACAGGATGTCCAACCATTTGAAGATCAACCCTGGGGATACTCTGGTGTATTCCACAAAGAGAATGGAGGCGGGTTCCTTGACAAGATTTACCCTGAAACGTATGTGCAGTTGATATCGCACCATTCTTTATACTGACGAGTCACAGTGCTAAAGCAATTTGGGACTTTGAAGGGATCTTCTGCTCTTCTCGACACATTCCGCACGTTCGCTTTGCAGGATTGATCCACCCTGGGATTCTAGGCTGTGCTCCATCGGCAGAGATTTTGGCTGAATGGAATCATCGCGAGGGCGAGCTCATTGCAGCGAATGCTGTTGCTGACCAAATTGTCGCCCAGCCACCTAATCCCACGAACGCCCATGGCGGAAATGCCGCGGGCGATGTACAAAGCAGGATTGCCAAGGAGGGGGCTCGGACTATTCCAGTAAGTATGAGCTAGTCAAATTTCGTTTCTGCATGTTGATCTCGATCAGGGACGTCCAGAGAATGGTGGCAATTGCGACATCAAGAACCTCTCGCGCGGATCCAAAATTTACCTTCCCGTCCACGTCCCTGGAGCAAAGTTCTCCGTCGGCGACTTGCACTTCTCCCAAGGCGATGGTGAAGTCTCTTTTTGTGGCGGTATTGAAATGTCTGGTGTGATTACACTCAAGTTCACAGTCATCAAGAATGGCATTGCAAAGCTGGACATGAAGTCTCCGATATTCCATGCAGGCCCTGTGGAGCCGCAATTTGGTTCTGGGAGATACCTGACCTTTGAAGGATTCTCGGTCGACGAGAACGGAAAGCAGCATTTCTTGGATACAACCGTTGCCTATAGACAAGCTTGCCTGCGCGTGATTGAGTATCTTCGGCGCTATGGGTACAGCGACTATCAGATTTATATTCTGCTAAGTTGTGCACCGGTGCAAGGGCATATTGCGGGAATTGTGGACATTCCAAATACATGTACCACTCTTTCGGTGCCAATGGATATTTTCGATTTTGACATTCGTCCTGAAGCTGATGTTGTCAAGAAAGAGATGGCCAACTGCGCTTTTGCAAGCAAGTAGGCGGTACCAAAGGCACTATCTGATGGCCCCAGTTTCGTCTTGCTCTCCAGGGCTATGTACATATCAGCAATACAATACCAAAGATGTTCTCTGGGGCATTGCTTTGTGCGCTATGCAATGTTTGTCCACTCGTCATCCTTAAGGTCTTGGAAGTTCATCAATTTATCCGGTCCACCGATCCGATTTTGTGTAGACCACCAGTCTCGATTGACTGCAATCTCGGGTCGCCATCTGAAAACATCTTTCACCTCCTTCTGCAGTTTTCCTTCTAGAGCATCAGCGATGAAACCTCCCATGGAGGGCATTTGCATGGCTCCAAGGCGTGATCCACCGACAGCCACGACAAGAGAAGCATATTCGGGGTGCCTGTCAATCAGGAATGCTCGATCTATCGTATCCGTGTCCCAGCAGATGCGAGCGAAGGAGAAAGGTCGGTCCGCTAGATGCGGCATAGTATCACGCAGAAATCCTCGAGCGCGGCCCTCAGCCTCTAGGGGAATCTGCGTTTTGGCAAACGGAACACTCCGTATCTCGCCTTGATGATCTGGATCCATCACAAAATTGCAGTATCCCGGGTGTTCATCGCAGATTTTCAGCTCATGATTATCCTCGTCAGGTTCAATCAAAAACCCCTTTGTAACGTTGTACAGAACTGGGAGATTGCGATGTTTCTGGGCTTCTTCCGGTGTCAATTGAATGTGGCCCAATGTCCACGCAGTCGGGCGCAGCTGTTTCTTGAAATCAAGCAATCGGTCACTTCCAGCACCTGCAGTGAGAATTGTTTGTTGAGCATAATGGGTCGTGCCATCTTTGGTGAGAGCTCCAATGACATCGCCGTCTTCATATACTAGGCTTTTGACATTGCCCTGCAAGGGCCCTGTCAAGAAGCTCACACCAAGTCTCTGCGCTTCTTTGTAGGCGGAGACCATGGCTTTTGCTGCCTGGATCCATCCAGCCCCAGATCGATTCATCCAGCCTTTCCAACCAGGAAATTCACCAGTCAAGATTCCGGGTGGCATTGTTCGCTGAAAGTCTCCAGCTGATTCTAAGAACTCGAAATCGCCCTGAGACTGATCGATCTCTGCCTCTTGGATCAGCTGGATTAATGCAGGGGTATCACCTGCAACTATAAATCCAGTCTCGTGAAAGTATGGCATAAAAACTGGATCTGTCGTCCATCCTACCAGTGCCGCCCTGGTGCATGCAGCATAAGCAATGCTTTGAGCATCAGTATTCGACTCTGGTTTTTGTTAGCCCATGGCTTTAATTTTCGATATTTTGAAATCAAAAATAAGGTGGGAGAGTATCATATTTCATGAGAAGGAGTGATATTTTACCTTTCAACTCCTTATGCTCCATAATCTTGTTGATGTCGTTTCCCGCAGCGATGGGCGACGGTACTGGATGAGGGTCCAATACCTTGACATTGGTATAACCCCGACGAGCCAAATGAAGAGCTGTAGAGCATCCCCAGGTTCCAGCTCCGATGATTAGGATCGATGAAGTGGGGCTGAGGTTGTTGTTGGCCATGACGGTTCCTGAATGCTGAATGTCAAGAGGGGATAGGAGACAAAGAGATCCTGAGAATCCTGGAAAGTGGTGTTAGCCACAACCTAAGCCAGATTTAGCAAGGCCTATTCGTCTGTAATTGGTGTGTAGATATCCCTGTACAAAACTTTCCAGGTCGAACGATGCCCCTGAATTTCTGAACTATAAAAAGTGCCATGGAGTTGTCGTCCTGTTCATACTCCCGGGGGCCATTTCCGTCTTTGTCTCGCCAGTTGTCAAAAATATTCTACTTGATAGCATATATGGACTTTCTGCTTTCCTATCCTTTATATTTGTGTCTGTTTTGATACTCATTTTCCATATACTGTCGTTGAATTGAGAGATGATCTGAGTGCCAAAACTGCAGTGGATAGCATGAAAGGCTGTTTTTTACCTTTTTTTACTTTTTTTTCCCTTCTTAGACAGAGCAAGAGAATCGTACCTAGATACTTTTTATATTGACGCAGCAGTCCAAAAAAGCAGGGTGTAATGCGTTATCCAGTGCCAAGGTGCCAGACGTACAGAGTACATACAGGCGGAGTGCGTGAGGGCGGGCACATGGAAGCTTCCTGAACCCAAGGTATTCTTCCCCCACAACGCGACGACTCGCTTTCTGCCCTTTCACTTTCGCTCACCTCTTATTTCCGACTTCGTTTACTTCTTCTCTGTATCTCTTATTCCGGTTTCAACACAATCATGGCTACTCAGCGTGAGTGCAATGCGGGGAAGATCTGCCCACTTCCAAATCGCTAATATCGATAGGTTCCCGCGTCTTCTTTGACATTAAGATTGGCGATGCCGATGCTGGTCGGATCGCATTTGAGCTGGTAAGTCTCTCCATCATTCCCTGGCTCTGGGTTCAGCTCCCATCTAACAGGCGCAACACAGTTTGGCGATGGTACGACCCGATTTTCTCTACGATTGGAACCCGACTAACATGAGCACCAGTCGTCCCCAAGACTGCCGACAACTTCCGCGCTCTGTGCACTGGAGAGAAGGGCATTGGTATCCAGGGCAAGGAATTGACCTACAAAGGCACGCCTCCCATACCCCGCTCGCATTGAGCTCCCACTAATTGCTCTGTTTCTCACTCCAGGCTCAATTTTCCACCGTGTGATCAAGCAGTTCATGATCCAGGGTGGTGACTTTACCGCATTCAACGGCACCGGTGGAGAGTCCATTTACGGCGAAAAGTTCCCCGACGAGAACTTCGACCTGAAGCATGACCGTCCCTTCTTGCTCTCCATGGCCAACTCCGGCCCCGGCACCAACGGCAGCCAGTTCTTCGTCACCACCGTTCCTACACCCCACCTCGATGGCAAGCACGTTGTTTTCGGAGAGGTCATCAACGGCAAGAGCATCGTTCGCAAGATCGAGAGCATGAAGACAACGAACGACAAGCCCGCTCAGAATGTGACTGTGGTGAACTGTGGTGAGCTCACCGGAGAGGACTTTGAGAATGCCAGCAAGCGTGTTGCGGATTTCACCGGTGATCCATATGAGGATTTCACCGAGGACTACCAGGGCGAACTTACCGCGCCCCTTAGCTTCAAGATCGCTTCCGACATCAAGGGATTCGGTAACGCTGCTTTCAAGAGCGGTGACCTCAACCTGGGTCTCGACAAGTACCAGAAGGGTCTGCGCTACCTGAACGAGTTCCCCGAGCCCGGTGATGATGACCCCAAGGAGCTCGGTCCCCAGATGAAGGCTCTGCGCTTCACCCTCCACTCTAACTCCGCCCTGCTCGGAAACAAGCTTCACAAGTACCGCCAGGCCCAGAACTGGGCTACATATGCTCTTCAGGTCGCCCAGGCTGCCCAGGCCAAGGATGCCGACAAGGCCAAGGCTCACTACCGCCGTGCCCTTGCCCACGAGGGTCTGAAGGAGGAGGATAATGCCCTTAAGGATCTGTTGGAAGCTGAGAAGCTTGCTCCTGGTGATGCTGGAATTGTGAACGAGATTGCCAAGGTCAAGAAGACTGTGAAGGAGCGTTCGGCCAAGGAGAAGGCGGCTGCCCAAAAGTTCTTCTCCTGAACCTCTCTCACCTGATTTGCTCTTTTGTCATGTTCCATCACGATTCACGACGGGACACGCTTTGTCGCCAATGACCCATGATGTACCATACCTAGTATAACATCAATATATGTTGCTAATTTGACGATAATGTCACTTTCATGAAGGAGATTGCCTACCTCTAAATTTTAACCTGATGCGAGAGCTGACAGGAAAGACCTGAGGCTTCATAATGCCCTTTAGATATGGGAGGCACTAACTGACAAGGTCCCTTGTACGAACTTCCAAAGTTGTGGCCCGTTCTATGTTTTCACCATGAGTAAATGACATTAGGGTATCGATCTATATATGTACATGTTATTCTATCTTTTATGTCTATTGCCCTGTTCTTTTCATTGTAGTAGCTCAGCTGGAATTTGGAACTCATATGAGTCCTTAATCTCATGCTCATCTGGCTTCTTCTCGTCTTTCTGCTCCTTGGGTTCCTTTTTGGGGAGGTTGGTGTTGATCTCGATGGTAACCTATAATTCAAACCAGTCAGTATGGGGTATGTAGCGGCGCGGAAAGGAGCCAGGAAGGCAAAATGTACCGCCGCGTCTTCGCTGCAGTAGTCTACACCCACCGGCCCGTCATTCTTGAGTTCAACCTCCATCATCGCCTGGAAGACACCATTCTTGACCCGGTCCGGTTGATAACCATCGCACATTTTCGCATAGAAGTGGTCATAAAGCTTGCGTGCTGTGTCGGGGCTAGCTGCATCGTGGAAGTCGGGCTTGTTGCCTTTTTTCATTTTGCCGTAGAGGGTGAACTGGGAAACTAGATGCATGCCAACTATTAGGATTGCACATCAATATGGATGGGAAAGTTCAAAACATACCACATAGAACCTCTCCCTCAATGTCTTTGACGTTCTTTTTCCACTGCGACAAAGTCAATTACTGCTTCCATGCATGTAAAGCCAGTGTCATACTTGTGCTCCGTTCTCATCGGGCCAGAATTTGGCCTTCAACACCTTGTTAACAAGGTTCTCGGCCTCCTTCTCACTGTCCTCTTTGCCAATGCCAGCAAAGACAAGCAGCCCTTTCCCAATAGATGAAATCAACTCCGAATCAACGGTGACAGACGCTGACTTCACTCTTTGAATGACAACTGGGATATATTAGTAACATAGACGTAGGCCATGGCTTCCTGATTCCGACCTTTCATGGTGGCGATCTATAAGAGTAGGGCGTAGGAACTTAGGACAGGGCGGGGTGGAAAGGCGGGGGAACGCACCCGCCGTCTTGGGTGTAGAGGGAGAGACTGTGTTCACTTGGCAAGATGCTCCTTCCCAATGAGAAAGGATGTTTGTGCAGGGTATTTTCCAAATGTGGGAATCCCGCAAACTTGGACAGGAGCCTCCAGAGGCTCATCCGCCCTCCGCCATCGCAGTGGAACACCGCCCGCCGCCACCGCCTACCCATTACGGTATCCAGAGCTTTCCACTAACGCGGAGAGGGAATCCACTGGCCTTTAGTACATGCGTCTGCTGTCAACCCAGCACTTTCACCCACCTCCGTTTACCTTCTCCTTTTTTCGATTGTGGACTGCTCATAGTCCAGGTCGAACTACCTCCAAAACTCCGCGCCCGCCAACCTCAAACCGCCAGTGGACGGCTCGGTCCACGCCAACGCATTCACAATGGCAGCAAGGAAAACGCAACAAGAAATCGATAAAACCTTCAAGAAGGTCGCTGAAGGAATCCAAACTTTCGAAGGCATCTATGAGAAGATCCGCCAAGCCACGAATCCAACGCAACGGGATAAGCTCGAAGACCACCTTAAGCGCGAGATCAAGAAGCTGCAAAGGTTCCGAGATCAGATCAAATCATGGGCCGCCGGAAATGAAGTCAAGGACAAAGCCCCGCTTATCGAACAGCGGAAAGCCATTGAAGTGGTGGGTTTGCGACTGGGACATTAAAAGTCTCTCCGCTCAAGGGGACAATGCTAACCGCCTCGGTAGTGCATGGAACAATTCAAGGCCGTCGAAAAGGAAATGAAGACCAAAGCGTACTCTAAAGAAGGTCTATCGGCAGCGTCCAGGCTAGACCCAAAGGAGAAGGAGCGAGTCGAGTGTTCCGAGTTCCTGTCGAATATGGTCGATGAGCTGCAGTTGAAGATTGAAGCCCTGGAGGCGGAAGAGGAAACACTTCATGCGCAAATGAAAAAGGGCAAGAAAGACACCAAAAAAGCGGATCGAATGGCCGATATCTCCCATGTTACCGAACGACATAAGTGGCACGTGAACAAGTTGGAGTTCCTCAATCGCTCGTTACAGAACGGCAATCTGGATGTCGGTGCGGTCCAGGATGTTAAGGAAAGTATCAAATACTATGTCGAGGAAGGAGGCAGTCCTGACTACTCCGGGGAGGATGAGACCCTCTATGATGACCTCAACATTGGCGAGGAGATCGAGGCGCAGTTCGGCATGGGCGGCGAGGGTGATCGCGTATCATCACAAGACGCCCAATCCGTACCAGATGAAGAGCCCGAATCCAAACCGAAAGCCAAACCAGAAGTCGTTGCTCCTCGAAGACCATCCACCCAGATGAAATCCCCGCTTCCCGTCCTAGCCACTCTCCACCCGGCTGCTTCATCTAGTGCAACCCCAGGCATGAAACCCGCTCCGCTACCCACCCGACCCCCTGGAGAGACCCTCAAGTATGCCTCTGCCGCCGCCGCTGCTGCTGCGAGTGATAAAAGTGGTGTGGGGATTCTCCCCCTTCCTCCCCCACCTGGTCTGAGCCCCGCTCTTTCCGTGGCTATGCCCGTTCCCAAATCATCTACTGCTTCGCCTAGCGTGACACCCGCACAACCAGTTCCCAGGTCAACACTTCCACCTGCTGCGGCTGCTGTGTCAGAAGATCTCGGTACCATTGGACGATCCAAGATCCCACCCGGTATTAGGTCATCGCCCGCACCAGCTAAGGTGGAAGCATCGACGAATGGCAAGGCAGAGACAGAGGGCCCTGAAAGCTCCGAGTCGATATATCACCTTCCTCCGGGCCTCCAAGACCTGTGCCAATCATTCGAGGTGACGAAGACTCGTGCATCGGCAAACCCGTCGCCATCTGTGCAGCGCCTGCTCGCCACATCCTTGACAACATGTCCGGAGGCTGGCGATGCTGAAAAGCCCCGTCATTACAAGCCCCAGAACCCGTACAGCACCCCTCTTTACTACCCACAGGAACCCCTCTCAATATTCGATGATCCGCGATTGTACGATACCGGCAGGGTTGAGACCGACACTCTTTTCTATCTTTTCTACTACCGTCAAGGCACCTACCAGCAATATCTGGCGGCCAAGGCGCTGCGCAATCAGAGCTGGCGCTTCCACAAGCAGTACCAAACTTGGTTCCAGCGCCATGAGGAGCCCAAGACTATCACGGAGGAATTCGAGCAAGGGACTTACCGCTTCTTTGACTACGAGAGTACATGGTCAGTTTATCATTTCTTGCCCAACACGCTGTGCAATAGAAGAACTCCACACTGACAGAAGACTGAACAGGATGAATCGTCGCAAGGCCGATTTCAAATTCGTGTACAAATACCTCGAGGACGAATTATAATTCGTTCTCTTCCCCCTGAGCAAACCGACCCTGCACAGTTGACTGTTTTCTTTTGTTTTGTATTTGCCCTGCATTTGTCGAATTTCTTTCTGTTCGGGAAATTTGTGGCCCGACGCTATGACCATAGACTGGGCTGGATGTTTGAGGCTATGCGGGAGGGAACTTTGAACCATCTGTCATGGGATTCGGGCTGTTCACTTACTGTTTTCGCAAGGGCATCGGGCAATGAGTGCAATGAATGGGCCTCGGTGGTATGGGCGTTCTGTTTTTTTTTTTTTTCGATTATTTTTCCCTCTCGGTTCTCTGAACCCTACAATGATCTATGCATGTCATATCTATGTCGCGTAATACGAGTTCCAGCCAAATCAAATCAGAAGTATCTCGCACGCCTATGCGCCCATGTTCCTTCTTCCAGATCGACAGTACCTGAACTAAGCCCTGCGTTGTGTATTGACCCAGGTGCTGGGCTAGGATCTGGGGTTGTCGATCCGTACGTGGTGAACAACGCAACCGATGCACCGTTGCCCGAATTGGGTCCATGCAGACAAGTCGCAGGATCAAAAAAAAAACAAGAAACCCAGAAAATCCGGGGACGGCACGGCTGCAGGTGATTCCCTTCCGTGAATCCTCAGGACCTCGGAAGTTAGGTATCGCGTCTTGCTTGTGTGTATGTGTAAGGTTGCCCAGCAGGGCCCGGGGAAGCAGCATTGGCGCCCGCGGAGATAAAGCATTCAAATATGATTTGCTTCGGGACCGAAAGGGGCATATAGCGCGAGGGTCCGATATAACGTCACAAGGGAAAATACCAAGGCTCAGTACGAAGCACTGCACCAAGAGCCGCTTGGCAAGGCCACTAATCTGCGGGATTTTTCCCTTCTAGAAGGAAATGGGGGACTGGGGCTGGGATTAGCGAACGCTAGTAAAGGGGCTGTGCGCGGGGCTATACATCATCGGTCGATCTGAGACCCCGGATTGGAAAGGTTTGGTTCAGGATCGCAAGGCTGATCATGGACTCGGCACGATTGTGCCGATTTGGGCTACGTCAATGTTTGGGGATTGATGATCTGGCACCTCTCTACTATCATCACTCATATTATGGATTATTGCCCAGGTGGTTATCACATCGCTTCCCAGCACCAACCAATTTATACCTTTACACAGCCCAGGAAGACCCCCTTCGCGACCAGTCAAACTTGACCTCATGCCGTACTTCGTACTCCGACGGAGGACAAGGGACCGAAAGCAGGAAAATCACGAAAACAAAGGGAAACTCGGCGCTAGAACAGCTAGAACAACGCTAGAAAACAAACACCCCCCTCTGGACCAATCAAAAGAGGATCGCCCGTGAGGGGAACTCTTTAAAGTGGATTTTCTGACCGCTGGTGTCTATCACGACGCGGGATTGGGTCACTGAGCCCCAATTCACACTCTGGACACCAATCATCGATTGGCACGGGGGACACTAGAAGGGCCGTGGAACTTTCCGTCAGCACTACACAACGGCGTCCCAAATTCCCGCAATGTAGGTGTTTCAACCTGTATCCAGTAGTCTTCTAGAACTGCAGCTCACAGCCATTCACAGCCATTCAGAGGAGATGGACTGTCCCGTGTCTAACTAGTCGCTTTCTCGTCATGCGGGCTTCACGAGTACAAAGATAAAAGGAACCCCCAGGGTACCTTCGATTCCATTACACCTAATGAATCCTGCAATTGATTATTCCCTCCCCAAATAATTCTGAGCTTCATAATACAAAGATGGTATGTGGGCATGTATACGGAGTACATTGTACTAGTCTGAGCTCGTAAACTAACTTCCATAAGACTACAATGCCAATTCCCATGGCGATGCCCCATCGCTCCTTCTCCTCAACCCCAATCGACATGCAGTCCCCATTCAGCTACTCCGACTCCTTCTCCTCCTACTCTTCCTCGCCTGGAGGCATGGATTTCTTCTTCTTTGGCGGCCAGCCAGTCTACGACTCGCTCTGCGACCTCGACTCTACCCCCTTCCCCATGCAGGAAGTGACACCCGACGTCTACGGCATCACAAGCAGCCCATACACCTACACTTCGCCGCCTGAATACCCCATCTTCGATCAGCGCATGGTGCCTCAAAGCGCCCCCAGCAGCTGTGGGAGCAGCTACAGCAGCAGCTTCAACTTCCCTGCCGAAGATCTCTCATTGCCCCCATACCCTATGACCAGATGCGACTCGGGATGCGACTCGCCAGCTCCAACACCTTCGTCCTCATCAAAGTAAGTAATGTCGATCACCTCGGAAGGGGGAAAATGTTAACATCAATTCTCAGGCCTGTTAAGCCTTTCGCATGCGACGACTGTGGTAAAGGGTTCACCCGCTGCGCCGACCTCAAGCGCCACCAGACCAGTGTCCACTACCCGGTTTTCCGCAACTGCCCCGTTGACCACTGCTCGCGGAAGGGTAGCAATGGTTTCCCTCGACAAGATCACCTCGTCGAGCACCTGCGCTCATACCATCACATGGATCTGCCGAAGCGAAACGGCAAGCGATCCGCCAAGCACATCTCATGATCGCCCATGCATCATGCACTACTCATGCCACTACCTTCTATCGACAGTACTTCGTACGCAGCACCTTTCTTCAACCTTCTTGATGATATCACGACTTTTGTTACTGTTCACTCGTTACTTCGCGCCGCATCCTCTTTAGACCGCACCCTTTCAATTGGTCGGTCATGTATAGACGATTTGCTTCTACGCTTTATTATTTGTTTCGGCCCTCGAGCCCGTGTTCTAGACGCTAGACAGGCGCCCTTTTGCTATATGAGCTATGTGGGATGCCTTCAATGTATGGTTATGATTACGGCATATTGTCTTTCGTATTTTTCTGTTCGGCATGACCTTTTTCTTTCATTAATTAACCAGTTGAATTAGCTTTTTTATACTTTTTTTGACCATTTTCTTTGTTCTTGCACCGGGTCTGTTTACCCAAGTCCCTCGGGTGCATACATGTAGTACAACTTTCGAGTCAGCACTGTGGTACGTCTGCTAATTGCGTGGTAGTGGCGTGGGAACGTGATTGGAACAATGTGCAGCTATTCCAAATACTCGGCATGGACAGACGCAAGGAATTCCCTCAAAGCAAACCAAAAATCAAGGTCAAAAGGCTTGAGGGAAAAGCTATTCAAATTTTCGTAGGAATACCCCTGACCAAACCAAAAACAAAAAGGCCAAGATTGCTTGCTTTGATCCTTTGACTTGGTACTCCGTAACGCCGATCTCAATCCTACCTTCCCACTTTTCAAACTCAAAGATCTGCGATGCCAATGATCCATCTAGATCCCTGCCCCAGTTTCCACCACCTGACCGCCACGGTTATACCAATTCCAATCATCACAATTCTGTTTCATCGTCCTGCCATAATCCCACCATCCCCCAGATCCACTCCCTCCTTCAAACATCCTCCTGACCTCGGGCTCCCGCTCAACAAACTGCAATGCAAATCCCTGATCAAGGTGCCATCCTATATGACAATGCATTAACCATGCACCGGGATTATCGGTCCGGAAGGCCAGTACCAAGTGACCCAGTGCGGGGAGTAGAGCCGTGTCCCGTTTTGGGAGTGTGCCAGCAGCGTACTTTAAACGTAGATTTTGAGAATTTGTGTTCCATGATCCATTGCCCTGCGCGACAATGAGAAAGTCATGTCCGTGGAGGTGGATCGGATGAGGGGCTTCCATGGTTGTTTCAATAACTACCAGGACCCATGTATCTGCTTTAGGGATGGGGAGGACGGCGCGTTCTTTCTGGGTATTGTTCTGCGACTCTGGTTCTCCATCGAGATATCCTGGCCCGCTGTACTCGAAGAAATCCAGTAATGTTGGCTGAGACCATGTGACGTGCATGGAGGTTCCGTTGAGATACCAGCGGAAGAGGGAGTTTTCGTTGAAGGAACCCGTAACCGGTAGATTCTCGTTATAGTAGAAATCGGATGAAACTAGAGAAAGTTCTTTGGAAACGATCGGAATGAGTTTTGATGTTGGCTCATCCTCGCAGATATCTGTCAGGGTGTAACCCGTTGTGCTGGGGACGAGGGAAGAAGGCTTGCGCGAACCCCCGGATGACTTCTCATAATATATTATACCTCGGATGTTATCTGCGTTGTTGTTCAGCGAACAAGATAGTTGTGGTGTAGCGCGGAGCCAAAATGATTCCGCAACTGCGGCTTGGTCTGCTTTCACTATTACATCGTAGCGCTGTCCTGTTTTCAATTGGCATTAATAGAAAATTCCTTGAAGCTTGCTTTTCGAAGACTCTTACCGATTGAAATATTTATTGCAGTGGCTTCATAGGGCTCGATCGGAACGAAGTCCATCGCTATGACGGTTAAAGTGTGATGATCTATACTGAACTTGAACTGAGTATCGCATGCAACATTCGTCACACGAAGCCGGTATGACTTCCCCGAGACAAATGAGGTGCTGAATCTGCTACCTGTCTGGCTGGAGGAGTCGTCGTCTCCAAAGACATTGTTTCCGTTGATAAGACCAGTATCCAGTTGCGGGGAGCCAACTGTCTCCGCCTGACCCCAAAGCTCGTCAACAGTGTTGATGTCCCAGTCAGAAAGTAGAATGACACCCGTGTCTTGGTCATAATTCCTACTCGCTGGTCCATTGATAATCACGCCTCCGTAGACGCCTTCCCAAGTCTGGAGTCCTATATGAGAGTGATACCATGTTGTGCCGTACTGGGTCGCTCGCCATCGGTAGGTCATGGTGTTGTCCGGTGCAATAGGACATTGCGTGACAGAGACTACACCATCCATGGGATTTGTATAGTGTTGACGCAATCCATGAATATGTAGACTTGTTCCATTTTTGACGTCCTTCAGATGATTTCGAAGGTGTATTACCACCGTATCGCCCCAATTCGCTTTGATTGTTGGTCCTGGTAAGGTCCCATTTATTGCGAGCGCCGATCTCGGTCGTCCGTCGGGTGCTAGGGTTGCCTGGTGTACATTGAACCAGAACTCCCGGGTAACTCCAGTGTCAGGAACGGTGGATGTATAATCTGTGTATAGGCTGTACTGGCACCATTGGTCTCTTGTCATGGGTGTATTCCCTGGGCATGCTTTGGGATATACTTTAGGCTGATCTGAGACAAAAATCGGAGGAGTAAATGGAATCGTGGCTTTTTCAGGTGGCTCAAAAGGCAGTGTTCTTAGGAATCCACTTGTCGCGGGAGTTGATAGATAGTATATCATGTACCAGAGCCAGGTACGCATCTTCATGAGAAGGGTAGGTCGAGAGAAAGTTCCACTTGTAGGGGAAAGCTTTCAAATCTGCAATATGGACTGATATCCATCATCAAATTCCCATCAAGCGTCGATGAGTTTGAGTAAAATGTTCGAGGGGTGAGTAACAGCGCAGAGCATTCATGATAGGCTAGATAGGCTGGTGAATTGCTTGAATGGCCAGTTCAAATTGGAAGGCTTCCAGAGTATCCTGGTACCATCAAGTTGGCTCTGAGAGGATGTGAGATTGCTGCAGTCCTGAATGCATCCTTTGCCCGAGAATTAGGGACTTGCGTCGAGTTCTAGCTTCGGAACTGACTGTTAGCCCGAGTTTCGAACCCATCTGGGCATTTGCAGGCCACCAGCACCTGATTCTGGTTGCCTGCTGATATTTCCTTCGTAAAGGCATGATGGGATTGGTGACTTGAGAATGTTAGCAAGCGCACACATTCACAGGCTGATAAGAACCCGTTGCCTATATAGCGAGAATGCAAAACGGGAGCAACCAATAAAATACCACTATTCAATAAAGTGAGTGAACAAACAACAGCTCTGGAAACACATCCAAAAGCGCATGAAACATCCAGCGGTCGTAAATCATCCAAATTAATCCATCGATGTTGATGCCATCACTTCTTCCCAAATTCGACAAATTCTCTGAAACAGACCCCGCTCACTTTTCCGTCAACAAAAACGACACCCTCTTCCTCAAGTCTTAGACGCTTTTCTTCACAGAATCCTCCGCCCGCTTTATGTCCATCCACCTTCCATTCCCCCTTGTAGCCACCAAGCGTCCCATCCGCCGCAAGGACCCGATGACACGGTACCTCTGGGGCAAAGGGATTACTCCGCATTGCATTTCCCACGGCACGGGCGCTGGATCCTAGATACGTCGCCATGGCTGAGTATGTAGTCCAGCGACCTGGTGGGACAGAGAGGAGAACACGATAGACGCGCCGGCGGTAGGGGGTTAGTGTCGGATGAAGCGATATGCGGTGTAGATACTTCTTGGTCTGAGTTGATGGTTGGGTATTTTTATCTGCTTCATTTGATGCATCTCGTTCTGGCCCTGGTGTTGTTCCTGATGTTGGGGCTGATGCTGAGGCGGGTGGGCCTGTGGACTTCACAGGCACGGTCATGGCTTCCATGTGTGCAGGTTTGAATGTTATAGTCTCAACCGCTTAGGCTCGGTATGCAAGGTCCCGATTGGATTCGGAACAGGGGTTTTCCTTGGATAAGGATGGCTGTGTTTGTAATTAGCTAGGATCACTGAGGTACGGCGACGCGGTAAGACGCGTGCTCGGAGTTGGGCTTACGGCGTGGTTTTGGATTCTTGGGAATTTTTCAGCTCATGCAAAATTGATTTTCGATTATTTGGTGATAGTTGATAGAATGAAAATGAAATTGGAAGGCCAAATGGTCAATCCTTGCCGTTTACTCCGTACTTGATGTGGTTGTTGTCAAAGTGACCAATCAGAATCCCATCCTGTCACCTCGTTAACGCCCCCATACAGAATGTCATGAGTTTAATAAGAGAGTTGGGTATTTTGTATTTCTAAAGCTCCTATCTCCCCAGTTATTGCAAGCGGATTATAAGCATGCATTATACTTGGGCTTATTAGCCATTAAAGCATCATTCGTGACTGATTCACTCAAAACACACGATCCAAATCTAGACGCGATCAACATGCTCCGCTCCTGTCGCATCATCGCCTGCTTTAGAGGCTGCAATAGCTGCAGCTGCCCCAATAGAAATGTGGTTTCCAGTTTCAGGGTCCACTATGCTGCCCTTGCGGCTGAGAGTCTGGACCATGCCGGGATTCTCAGCCTTCAGACGCGCAAAGGTCTTTTCGGCGTCCCAAACCCAAGGAGTCTTAGCTGCGAATAGAAGATCCATATCCTCAAGTGTGCGCTGGTTGCTCTCTGGGTAGAGCGCCCAGACCATGGGAATGGTAATCACATTGCTGGCAGCGAAGACATATAGAGTCTTCTCGTTGATGGCGCTGAACATCACGGGGCACAAGAGGGTCTAATGAAGTCAGTATGAGATTATAATGGTAGGATTGAATTACTTACCAGCCATCCATTGCCAATACTCCAACCAACCACACCGAAAGCGTTTCCTCGGGCGCGGACAGCCAGAGGGAAGATCTCAGCAGGGTATACCCATGGCACGGTCAGCCACGTGGCTCCGAAAGTCGATGTGAAGATAAAAATCATTGATGCTGCTGCAGCACCGTATGACGATGCTTTACCCATGTCGCCAACAGCCTTGGCATCAATGGCGAGCCGGGAGAAACCACCCGCGAGGAACATAGCGATTCCCTGGACAACCGAGCCCCAGTACAAAGTCCATCGTCGACCCAGACGGTCGATGGTGAAGACGCAAACCAGTGTGGCAAACTGCATGGATACATTAGCACTAATGCTCCCTCGTGTGAGAGGTAGAGTCATACCATATAGAACACATTGTTCAATCCGCTAATCCACTGGCTCTTTGTCGAATCAAATCCAGCAATGCTGAAAATAGTGGGTGCATAGACCGTAACACCCGCAATACCAACCCATTCCTGCATGATCTGCAGCCAAACGACCAGCTGCACTCGGCGACCGATATGGAGATCTCCAGACTTATAACCAATAAGCATCGACCAATAAGAGTCTGCATGATCGACGGTCTTTTCCATCTCAGCGATGCTCAAGATGTCCTGGAACTCAGCCTCGGCACGGATGAGATCCTCTCCACTAGATCCGCGCAAACGCTGCAGGATGTACCGGGCCTCTTCCTCGCGGCCAACTTTGACGAGCCATCGAGGTGATTCAGGGAAGAACCAGACTGACCCAAAGAGAACGATCAAGAAGACGATCTGGAAAGCGATGGGGAATCTCCAACGGAAAGCAGATTCTCCATTATCAATGAAAGACAAACCACTGCCACAGATTAGACAAATTCAAAGCGAGGGTAGAAAAAGAGAAGAGGACGTACAACTCGAGCCAATAGGCCAAGACAACACCGAAAATGTTCAGTGTGAACTCAATGGCAATGAATTGTCCACGCGAAGTGTGCTCGGCTGTCTCAGTGGCCCAGACAGGAACAATGGCGTTCAAAATGCCGGTTCCGATCCCGTTAACCATGCGCGCTGTACATGTCAGATGGGCATATTGTTTTGAGCTAAATTTACTCACCGCAGATCATCCAATTGTGGTTCATGGCCGAGCACTGCAGCGCTGCGCCTACGATAGCCCATATAGCGCCCACGCCAATGGTCCTGATTCGTCCCGTGCGATCTCCAAGCCATCCTCCGAAAAGACCACCGACAAGGGTTCCGAGGTAGTATACCGACACGATTCCTCCTTGTAGCAAAGAATTTGTGACCACGGGGGTGGGTTCACCGTCCACCATTTTAGTGTACCCAAAACCCATGAGATCGATATAGTCTTTCGCATTGTTGACACCGGACATCATTCCTTGATCGTAACCAAAGAACAGAATTGAGAGCGCAGCGACGCAGTTAATGCCGATGAGAAGCGAGCGCTTCTCCAGCCTGTGGACCAAATTCCATGAAGGAATTTTATCGCTCATTTTGATTGTAATCGATGTAAAGTATAATAAGTCGATGTGACTGGGTCACAGTGAGCGTGATTAGATCAAATAAAAGGATATATGCGTTTCGTTATTGCATCTGTAGAATGGCGAAATTAGACCGATGATAGCAGACCAACCTGCGGGGTATTGAATAGTAAACCACGAATTTCAAGTCGCGACATCAGGACAGCGCATCAGGGTTTTATATGGCCTGAGCCCCGCGCAAACACGGCCAAAGTCCGAGTCATCTGAAAGGCAACTTCTCCACGAGGATCGGCCGAGAAACTAGGAAAAGTCAAGGGCGACACGTCCAATCCGGTTACATCCCGGCGGAACATGACTAGACGCTCGCGTGGTCCGATGAACCAGGGCCAGAATCCGGCACATTCACACTGAGAATTGTGTCACGGTGGGGCTGAATCTGGGGTGGCTTTTACCCGGACGCTGGATTCGGCAATCCGAGGTGAAGAAATTGCGGGACGGCTTCTCTCCAGGTCGCGGGGTTGGCAGTGGCTATTGGTCATTTTCATGGGCGTGCGGCTTCGACCGGGGCCCGAGGAACTCCAGACCGATTATCAGGTTGTGATTTGGGTGGGCTGAGCTTGCACCTCCCTAGGCAGGTTAGGCTAAAAGCGCCGAGGGCCAATATCTGTCGTCCATGACGGAGGTGGAGAAGGGGGAAAATGGGGAAACACGGAGAAGATCCCCAGACTTCGGCAAAAACGGCGTTTTGGCCGTCCACGACAATTTTATAGTATCTGCATCTTTAGATTGTTTTAAATCTTATTTTGCTTGAGGATTTGCGATTCCACAATCTGATTAAGCCACCACTTCTGGATACTACTCCCACCCCTACTCTGTACCTGCTGGGCGTCTGCAGCACCGACCCCGGCTCGGAATTTAGCCGAGCAGTCCGCGAGTTCTCCACATCCGGCCATGTCTCGTCTTGTGGAAAATCTTGGCGACGTTCAACTTATATTGTCACCCAAGGATTAAAATGAACCAAACAATTTTTCAGACTACTCAGGCCACAAGAGGTCGCATTAAACCGGCTCGTCACTTGACGCCATTGGCATCTGGAGAATCAAGCATGCTGTAAATCTTATTTTTGCCTTCCAGGCGACTTTGCAAAAGCGAGCTTTCTCAGATCTCTCGACGCTTCTCCCACAAAGCAGAAGAGCTACAGTATTGGAAGCAGTACTACAGCGACTTCAGGAGAAACCCAAACACCCCACTCTATGTCAAGGTCGATCCATGGATTTACACTGTTGGAGCATTCATTATAATCATCTTGTCTGAGGCCAATGCTCAAAGCCACGGCTTGTGTGTAGAAGAAACATTGCTGAAAGACCATGCCTCGTGAGGCTGTTAGCACTGATTTTCCGCTGAAGGTCTGACTGAAGGCGCTGATTGTGAGTACCTCACTGAGTGCTTTAATATAGAGTATAGCCAACGGACTCTGATAAGGCTTTCAACAAATTTCAAAATCATGTCAACTACCCTCCGTACTAATAGCACAGTTGGAAGTGTGAAGTTGACCGTTGAAGTGTCGAGCAAACAAAAAGCCGGTGCCGGGATTCCTAATCAGATGGCGGCCGCTCCGCGCACACTGATTCGTCAACTTCACCGGAACCGGGATCCGAAGTATTGAAGTCGGGGATATCTTAAGCAACTTCCCAGAAACCACATGGTGCGGAGAATTTGGTTCTGAGTTCCGATAATGAAGGGCAGCATGGCTTCACAAAACGAAGCCGACGAAGCCAAGACCCCCGATGAACTCGATCCACCGCGCGATGTACAGTACTCGCAGTTCACTGTCAACACCAAACGCTACATCGTGGTCATGGGATCCTTGGCCAGCTTCTTTTCGCCCCTGTCATCCAGTATCTACCTACCAGCCTTGACTACCATTTCAAATGATCTACACGTCTCAATCTCTCAGGTCAACTTGACCGTCACCACCTACCTGGTACGTTGTGCTCCTGCCCGAGCATATCACAGCAACTAACCCGGCTTCTCTAGATCATGCAGGGTGTGGCTCCTATGTTCACAGCAGGCTTCTCCGACAGCGCAGGCCGCCGACCTGCCTACATTCTCTGCTTTACGGTGTACCTCGCAGCCAATATAGGCCTAGGTTTACAGAACAGCTATGCTGCTATTCTCGTCCTCCGATGTCTCCAAAGCGCCGGTAGCAGTGGAACTGTGGCACTTGCAAATGGACTGGTGGGCGATATGATCACGTCTGCAGAGCGTGGCTCCTATGTTGCCTTTGCTTCGGTCGGGAGCATGCTGGGTCCCTCGCTATCCCCAATCATCGGCGGTCTTTTCGCTCAATACACAAACTGGCACTGGATCTTCTGGTTTCTACTGATTTTTGGCGGTGTTTTCTTTCTTATTCTTTTGCTCTTTCTCCCCGAAACATGTCGTAAAGTCGTCGGTGATGGCTCAATTCCCCCACCTCCGTTGAACAACTCGGTCGTGGATGTGATTCGCCATCGCAGGCGGAAAGCTCAAGGTCTTGTGCCTACTCCGGAGGAGGAAGCTGAGGTTCGAAAGAACTACTCGCTGCGTTTTCCGTCACCCGTGCCGACATTCAAAATCCTCTACGACCTGGAGACCTCAGCAATTCTACTCACCACGGGACTACTCTTTGCGGGATTCTACGCTGTCATGACTGGAGCCTCGACCTCTTTCCACCAAATTTACAAGTTTAACAACCTCCAAGCCGCTTTGATGTATCTTCCGATTGGCGCCGGTGGTATTATATCGGCTTTCACTACCGGTAAAATAGTGGACTGGAACTACCGTCGCCATGCGCGACATGCAGGTCTGGCTGTTGTGAAGGGTGTGCGCGCAGACATAAGCAACTTCAACATCGAACGCGCCAGGCTGGAAGTTGCCCTGCCATATTATTACATCAGTAACATTGCAATGCTAGCATACGGCTGGGTTATGGGACGGGACATTCATATCGCTGCTCCTGTGATCATACTTTTCATTGCTGGATGGACTCTTATCGGCACTTCTCAGGTGTTGAATGCTTTGATGGTTGATCTTTGGCCGGGCAAGTCGGCAACAGCAACAGCAGCAAACAATCTATTCCGGTGCGAGCTTGGTGCTGCAGCTTCAGCTGCGATTAGTCCCATGGCTCTTGCAATGGGTCAAGGTTGGGCATATACCACACTTGCATTGATCTCAATCGCGGTTTCCCCTTGCTTGTGGGTCGTTGCTCTTAATGGGATCAAATGGCGACAGAAAAGGAATCGAAAGGAAGAGGAGAAAGCGTCTTCTGTCAAAGACTAGATCGTGGTTCTCAAGTTGCTTCCAAGGTTTGCGTTCTGAATTCCCTTTTGATTCCGATGAAAATACACATACCGAGATTTACTTCATCGGTGAATGGCTTTCGAATAAACTGGCTAGTTGATCATGATGTTCTACGGATTGCTCTCATACCCATGTACTGGATACTTGACTCCATTTGTTGTCACTCGCAAGCCATACCCAAATCGGTGTATTTACTTGCTGCAAATCACCAATGAAAATTTCGAAATCTTTGAATAGATACTACTTAAGTACAGCTTACTACTTGAGTAGTGTCCAGGTAGTGCGCTCTTCCAAGTTTCTATCTGACCGTCATTCGATAGAACCTTGGAATTAGACCCAGGGAGATTGTACATTAATGAATGCAAACTCACCCTCCAACTACTACTTAAGTCTTTCTCAAGTTTTGTTCGATCACCAAGAATCGATGTTTCGTTTGTCGCATTGCGCATAGACCGCTGAGTGAGAACCTACTTCGCCAATCGCGGTTAGAATGCATGTTGCGGATGGGATTGGAGATTCCAATTGTCTCAAGTCTTTGATAAGAGATGCTTAAGTATATTATTGTGATTCGGGTAGATCACTTAGATCGAAAATCTCTTCTACGAGTAATAAACCCCCAATACGAGTAAGCAAAAAGGGTAAACAGGAACTGTGATGTCAATGCGAGTGGGTCAGCCAAGATCCCCAACAACCACAAGAACTGTGCCAAACTGCCAGATTGTTCCTTGCAAGGGTTTGGCCTAGACCTGTGTCCGATTATAACCGCCGCGGAGTCCCCCGAGAATACTTCCCGAGCAAAGGACCCGCGGGTAGGCATCTGGACAGAGTATGGGGGAATCGCCGCTAACTGGGAAGATTAGTTGGGTCTCCCCGGAGTAGTCCTGTGCGGACGGGAAAGAACATGTTGCGACCTGTGGGTATTTGCACTTGCATAGGCTGCGCGATTTAAAAAGGGGGGTTGTAATTTTCAGGCAAAGTTCTAAAGACGTACTCATAGAATTAGGGATTGATTGAATTCATGTAAAGTAGATAGGCCGATCTCGTTTGAGAGATTTGATCCCTGACGAATAGGTAGCCGGGAGATTGAGATATTGAGGCCACAAACTCTTTGGCGGCATCGTTCCCGGTAAACCTGGTTGGGAATGTATGGACAGCTTTAGCAGCCATTTGGAACTATGCTCCCTTGCCGGCAGAAAGGCAGCTCTACGCATCAGCGTTCAAATGGCCACAAAGTTCCCATTTTGGGACAAATACAATTTGGAGCAGATCATTCATTCTGTTTACAATGTCTTTGGTCAATCATCTTTCACCTATACTCCATTTCTTACAGCGAACTGTTCCACTCCTGGATGTCAAACATCGACACCTAAACTATGAGGCATGAGTGCGTGACTGAGAGCCAATATAGGAGACTCCAAGGAAGGCGGTGAGCCTCCATCGACAAATTCCTCATGGCCGCTGGCAACGTCCGTTTATGGCCTCCGTGCCAACCGGGCAACCGACCCAACCCGACTGATGACTAAGAATTGACGGGCAAAGCTCAAACTGCAAAAGGTCTTTCCTTCCATTAATCGAATCCACGTCTCTTTGCGCCTCAACACCTCCAATACTGTTGGAATTGGAGGATTCTATCTGATTTCTTTTTCATATATCTTTTATCGTTTCCCTTTTCGTTTCGCCATGTTCCGCTCTGTATTGCCCCGGGCTACGCCGCGGGCTGCTCTCCGTCATGTTGCCCCCAAGGCCAACTTTGCTCCCCCAATGATCTTCATTGGCTCAAAGCGTGGCTACGCTTCTGAAGCAGGTAAGTTCATCTCTCTCGCGCTGTTGCGGAGTGCCCGGAGAGGTATCCCATGCGCCCCGAATGCGATTGCTAATCTCCGCCTTCCCGACAGGTGACCACGACCTTGTTATCATCGGTGGTGGTGTCGCCGGTTACGTTGCCGCCATCAAGGCTGGCCAAGAAGGCCTCAAGGTGCGAACGAATCTCATCCCCAGCGTTTCAGTTGTCAATTGATTCGCTCCTGTCGCCGCATTATGCTAACTGGAAATTCCCAACAGACCGCGTGTATCGAGAAGCGCGGAACCCTCGGTGGTACCTGCTTGAACGTCGGCTGCATTCCCTCCAAGTCTCTCCTCAACAATTCCCACCTCTACCACCAGATTCTCCACGACACCAAGAAGCGCGGTATCGAAGTCGGCGATGTCAAGCTCAACCTCTCCCAGATGATGAAGGCCAAGGACCAGTCCGTCGAGGGTCTCACCAAGGGTGTCGAGTTCCTCCTCAAGAAGAACGGTGTTGACTACATCAAGGGTGCCGGCTCTTTCGTCGATGCCAACACCATCAACGTTGCCCTCAACGATGGTGGTGAGCAGACCCTACGCGCTAAGAACATCCTCATCGCCACTGGTTCCGAAGCTACCCACTTCCCCGGTCTCACTGTCGACGAGAAGCGCATCATTACCAGCACTGGTGCTCTCGCCCTCACTGAGGTCCCCAAGAAGATGATCGTCATCGGTGGTGGTATCATCGGTCTCGAGATGGTATGTTTGGTACACTAATTTATAAGCCCCGAGAACATACTAACAACTCATTAGGCCTCCGTTTGGTCTCGTCTCGGTGCTGAGGTTACCGTTGTTGAGTTCCTCGGCCAGATCGGTGGCCCCGGTATGGACGCTGAGATCGCCAAGCAGGCCCAGAAGATCCTGGGTAAGCAGGGCATCAAGTTCAAGACCAACACCAAGGTCGTTTCCGGTGATGTCAGCGGTGCTACCGTTGGCCTCAACGTCGAGGCCGCCAAGGGTGGCAAGGAGGAGACTCTCGATGCTGATGTCGTCCTTGTTGCCATTGGCCGCAAGCCTTACACCGAGGGCCTTAACCTCGAGAACGTCGGTATCGAGAAGGACGACCGTGGTCGTCTCGTCATCGACCAGGAGTACCGCACCAAGGTTCCCCACGTCCGTGTTGTCGGTGACTGCACTTTCGGCCCCATGCTGGCTCACAAGGCCGAGGAGGAGGCTGTCGCCGCCATTGAGTACATTAAGACTGGCTACGGTCACGTCAACTACGCTGCCATCCCCAGCGTTATGTACACCCACCCCGAGGTCGCTTGGGTCGGCCAGAACGAGGCCGAGGTCAAGGCTTCCGGTGTCAAGTACCGCGTCGGTGCTTTCCCCTTCAGCGCCAACTCCCGCGCCAAGACCAACCTCGACACTGAGGGTACCGTCAAGTTCATTGCCGATGCTGAGACCGACCGCATCCTCGGTGTCCACATCATTGGACCCGGTGCCGGTGAGATGATCGCCGAGGCCACTCTTGCCATCGAGTACGGTGCCTCCAGCGAGGATGTTGCCCGTACCTGCCACGCTCACCCCACTCTCTCCGAGGCCTTCAAGGAGGCTGCCATGGCCACCTACTCCAAGCCCATCCACTTCTAGATTTGATCTGTCTGATTCGATATCCTCTTTACCCCTCCCATGTACTACCTTTACCCGCTCTGAGCTAGTTCTCTAGCAAATCACAAGTAGCATTTCACGCATGTACTCATTTTCTATGTTTTTTGGAATTCACATGCTGCTACACTCATGATCTCTGTAATCTACGAATAATCGAATCTTTGTTCAGAAAACGACGTTTGCTCTCTTCCAGTTCATCCAAGTCCATCTGGACAAAGCTATAGGCTTGATGGTTTGTTTCGGTGATAACTACTGCACTTCCTCAATGGTCTTTGAATCATGAATTAACAGTCTATCTCTATAGTTCTATGCTTTTTCCTTGTTTTTATCTGTGATAACAGATTTAAGCAACGGTGGCCTTCAAGAAAACCTCACGGATCTCCTTGAGGTCCTTCTTCTCCGCCAGAAGCAGACCGAGCAGAACTCGGGATTGTTGCGGGTTGTACATGCCACTGGCAATCTGGGTCTTGGCGTTATCACCCATGATATCAGCGGTAGGCACCTCACCGTTGACAGTACGGTGAGACAGAACAACGGGAATGTTGTGCTTCTCGACAACGTCGACGATGGCAGCAGCGAAACCAGTGGAAATGCCTCCGGCACCCTCACCAGCAACCTAGGAACTTATTAGCACTGCCAGATTCAAATCTCGAAAAGAAAAATGGATGGTAACTCACAACAATACCCTTAGCACCGTTCTTGACGGCGCTGGTAAGCGAATCGGTTTGCATATCCTCGTACGCATACAGGATGTCGACACGGGGAACAGTGTCGAAGTCAGTTGCGTTCACGGTGTGCTTGGCATTAGCCTGAACGGCAGGGTAGTAGAAGTAAGGCTTGTTGGAGACAATGAAGCCCAGGCTTCCCTGCTCATAAGCCTTGAAGGTATCCATGGTGTTGGCGTTGGTCTTGGTAGCCCAGAAGGCAGACACGATACGGTCGTTCAGCACGACCAGGGCACCACGGTCCTTGGAGTCTTCGTCCGCGGCAACAGTCACACCCTGCAGAAGGTTCATGGGACCATCGGCGGAGATGGCGGTGGAGGGACGCATGGATCCAACGAAGACAATGGGCTTTCCGCAGTTGACGGTAGCGTCGATGAAGAATGCAGATTCTTCGAGGGTGTCGGTGCCGTGGGTGATCACGGCGCCGGACATCGTAGGGTCGTCACAGACTTGGGTCTGCAGGGTGTGGGTGAGGTTCAGCAGCAGGGAGGAGGAAACATCTCCGCTGTTGACGTTTCCTTCTTGCACGGCGGCAATGTTGGCGATGTTGAAAATGTCGGGAATTCCGGACAGAAGCTTGTTGATGCCCAGTGCGCCGGACTCATAGCCTGCTGTTGCAGTCTTGTCATCACTTGTACCGGCGATGGTGCCGCCTGTGGTTTTTGTTAGATCGTTTTCTTGATGGGTTGTATTGGCTGATACGGACCAGTGGCGAGAAGGGTGATATTGGGGAGGGATCCATTGAAATGGTTGAACTTGAGACCATTGGAGTTGGTATAGCTCGTGTTGCTTGCCCGGGAGTTAATCAAAGGAGAGGCATAGCCGGTAGCAACCAGCGCTGAGAGAGCGAGTGTTTGGAAAGAGAAGCCCATTTTGTATAACGTGGCTTTCTAGGGTGAAAGGGTACTTATTATGGAGGATAAATTAAGATCTGACTGTCAACGGCTGGCATTGTGCCTTCTTATATACTGCAGACTCTTTCGTTTCAACTACGCTGTCTCTGCCGGTTCGGTTTCTACAGTTCCGAGCCCTGATTTTAGGCACCTTGGTAACGTCGATTGACTTTACTTGGCGGGCTTGTCGTCATTAGTCTGTTAGGTGAAGCCATAGTATAGCGAGTCCGGGAGAAATGTGGAGTTGGAGAAGGGAGAGTTGGAGTAATTCCAGTGATCGACATTGTCCTCCATTTACTCGGAACTGTCGGATTCCTGTGTTCTGGAATTCCCCTAGAACTTTACAGAAGATAAAGTTGAATCGGAGCTGCCAGGAACATTGTGCATTTGTCGATCTATAGAGCTACTCATATGTTTTCCCTTCAATGTTGTACATCATACTACTGACCATACATGTGCTCCGTCCAGTGGGGTACCACTCGTACTTGTTCCCCAGGTTCTTGCAATTGTCGAGACTATACTCCGTTCTCCATAACGCATTCCCCATCCCAGAAAAAGCCTCATGGATCCAAGAGTAAAAGTCGAAAAAGGCCTCAAACCATGACTAAAATTTATTAAGTCGTCGCTTGGCACAGATCCAAGGCCGGGCAGTGCTGCAAGGCCCCCAAGACCTAGCCAAGCGTGGCTGTTAAAAATCATCGGCCCATCCTCGGGAGAATGTGGCACGGTAGCCATCCCGAGCCTTCTATTCGCTGTTGCACCCGGCCCGTTCGGTCTCCAAATGCGCATGATGGCATCGGTTTTAAAGTCACGTAATTCATCACCGAGAAGGGCCCGCTATACCCCCCCCCCCCCCCCCCCCCCCCCACTCCCGTGGAGATCCCGCCAAGCTCCAATTTTAAGTTAACAGATGTTTACCTTAGATTGTTTTCCTGCAGAATCTGCACAGATACAGATGTCGAACAGATTGGAATACTACGCTGACGTCTATGTCTATGAGGTGGGAGATTTGAAGACTGACCCCGCTGCGCTTATTCCATACTCTGTACTTCGTGCTTCGTATTTGGTCGAACGGTATCCCTGGGGCTATGCATCTTGGCACCGGGGGAATATGGTTCATGGACGGTGCTATCTCTATGTGGCTGCCTATTCGGCTTGCAAGTTCTTCAAGCATGCCCAAGAGTAATCCGAGTATATATCTGCCAAGCAGCTGCTAAGGCCGGATGATCTTTGATCTTCTTGGTTCTATGGTTGGCTAAAGAGCCATTTTGGAGGTGGCGGTATTGACTTCAGGATGATCTTGGCCTCAGATCCTTCCTGAAGTCATCTGTCGTGTATGCACTCGCAAGTCAAAGATCATACCTAGCTACACCAGATTAATTACTGATGGGACAATGATACGGACTGGTAAGGGGGTAAAGGATATGGGCAGCTACCAAAGGCGCGCAAAGGACTTCGGGATCACTGGAAAAGTCTCGGCGAGATCGATTAAGCGCTGTAAAGCTACCCGGGCCGCCGCGCCCGGTGCCCGGGTATTTGGCCTGGTGTCGCTCAACTGCAGTGAGATATCTACTTGTACTCATGCATGGTCCTATGAACCACAGTGAGGATAGCGATAGTTTCACTTTTACCATTGCTACTAAGTACTAAGTATTTCCGTCCCAACTTCTTTACCATTTACCGTTGAGATCTGCTTTCTTTCTATGCACCCGAATGTCTGCGTAATAACATCTCGTACAACCAAAAAATACGAGTATGTAGCAGGGGTATCACTACCCCAACAGGTGCCCCACTTGGCGATTCACTAAATGTGATCTCATTCAACAGGAGCTGTCTAACTGGAACCCCTTTGGAGCCATTTGGTGTGCAGACCGCAATGGTTAAATCCAAAGATACGTCTCAAAGTCGGTTGTTTTTGTTATCACTCATATCGCTGTCTATGTTCACCTGGGCAACATCTTCACTCAGATAGGAGATCTTGCAGGAAAAAGCAATTAACAGGAGCTGTGAAAGCAAAAGTGAGAGCAAACAGACCAACAACAGGACACCGGAGAGGACCGAGAGGACTTTCAGAGATTCCTTTTTCGGTATTCACGGCCTTTGTAACTCATTTGATCTCTATTACCATCTTCAATTGTCATCTACAGCTGAACAGATTCACACCATCCCATCAGCCACAGCCGAAGCTCTAAGTGGACCCATGTCCCAATGATCAGCCATTGGGTTTGGTCTGGATGCGGGTCTGATAATGAAGATTTATCGAGCGTACCTGGAGGTACAACAAACTCGGCCAACCAAACCTATGAAGCCAAACCCTACGACTGGAATATAGTGTAGATGTATACTCGTACGTGAGTGAGTCTGGCATTGGTTTTTTCGCCATTTCACGAGGCACACCGCCCGAATGTATTCTGCCACGTTGGTGGCAGCGTCCGGCGGTGTCTCCACGTCATCGTAACTCGATCGAAATGAAATCTAGTTTGGCATTGACGCGCAAGACGCGAAGTGGCTGCTTGACTTGCAAGTATGTTTGAGAAAATTGGCAGCTTGAGCGTTGATCACGAATGACTAACGTGTCCTAGGTCTCGGTAAGTATATTCAAACCATCAACATCAGATCCGCCTGGCTGATACAGAGTACCAATAGGCGTGTCAAGTGCGACGAACAAAGACCCTCTTGCTTACGGTGTTTGTCATCAAAGCGTATATGCGAGGGCTATTCTACCCCTATTCAACCCAATCTCACCTTCGAATCATTAGGTGACGAAGAGCGTCGAGCGTTTCTCTATTTTCGAAGCCAAACTGCTCACCGGATTTTTGGCCACCAGGATGCCAATGACTGGATCTCGACTCTGTTACAATTGGGCCATAGTGAAGTTCCGATCAAACACGCCTTGACGGCTATCGCATCGTTGCATGAAAGCCAAGAACCCCTTGGCGCTTCTGTGTCAGTCCGACGATCTGAAAAACATGCCCAGATAAAAGCCCAAACGCTCGCTCTGAAACACTACTCTGCAGCAATTAAATCTGTGCAAAGCGAGTCCCCTAATCTACCATCCAGACCAGAGATCGTTCTTGTCCTATGCATTCTTTTCATTTGCTTCGAGCAATTTCAAAGTGGCGATGCAGCGTGTCTGCTTCACCTCAGGGCCGGCCTGAAGCTGATATACTGGTGGAGGTCTCGCACTAGCACATATACTAATTTACAAGAATACTCGCGGCCCACCCTGGATTTAATCAACAATCAAATAACGTCAGCATTTCAACGATTGCGTGTGCAGTTTTCCCTATGCATGGATTCTCGTCATATCTTGCTGAATCTTGGGGTCCCACTTTGTCTACCACCGCCGAACGTCCCTTCATCATATTCATCCTTTATCTCTGCTCGAATTGACTTCGACAGAACCATGAATTATATTTTTTCGTACCTGGAAACGAGCCAGTGCTCCGACACCACGGGTCCTACACAGGCCTCTATGGACGTTTTGTGTCAGTGGAAAGCCGCCTTAGATACTTCCATCTTCTCAGAAGAGCGCTTGACACTGCAAATGCGCACTCGCAACTTGCTTGAAATGTACTTTCACGTCTCGGCCGTGATCATTGAAACATATCACGCCCAAACTGAAAGCATTTTTGACCAGCATACTCCTCGTTTCCAGATCATAGTCGATCTCGCGGAAACCCTCACCCACACGTGTGTTGAAATGTCGGAAGATTACAGCTTGCTGTTTAGTTTTGACTTGGGGATCATACCCCCTATGTTCCTTGTCGCCTCTCGCTGTCGTCATCCCACAATTCGCAGAAAAGCAATCGCGTTGATGCTTCAGTCCCCAATGTACCACGGTATATGGCAAGATCGTTATTCTGGTCTCTGTGCCCAGCGGATCATGGAAATTGAGGAACAGAATACGGAAATCATTATGGACCGTATCACGGTACCAGAGGACCAACGAATACGAAAAGTCTCTGCCGACCTGCAAGAGAAAGAATCAGAAATCACCATGCAATTTGTGCGATCACCTTTTGCCGCTAATTCGCAAATATACACCACTACCGTTTCGTTGGGGTCCTAGATATTCATATATAACTCATCCAGCGCTTTGTACCAGATGGGTTTTGGTTCGAAACCTACATGGTCAGGCTCTAGTGAATCTAGGCAAAATATCGAACTTACCATCAAAAGGGCCAATTTGTTCTACATTCGAGCGCTTCGACTGAATTCGGGGGCGCTTTGGAGTGGGGTTCTGACACCACGGTTTGTGGTTCGGGAAGTCGGGACCTCCCGAAGTCGAACTTTGTGAAGCATGGCATTTGAATGTTTAATGCGACCCCTTAGCAGGACTGGAAACCTCCCATCTTGACATCAAAAAACATGGAGTATTCATCATCTCGGGTCGTCTAAGTCGTCCGTCTGTCACTGCCCTACGTCATAGGGGCCACTCGTGCAGGTTCAATGCCCTTGAAATAAGGATTTGGGCCTAACTTAACGCCGCATCAAGTAATCCACAATACCAGAACTCTCTGATCTTTGCTTGACATGATTTGCAGCCACGCTGTCGCTCCCCATTTTTGTCATGCTTGAAGGAACTCATCGAGTCTATAGTGGGGCCCCTACAGAGAGCAGTGGGCCCGCGTGCATACGCGATCTAATATGGAGTCCAAGCTGGACCAGTCAGTGCTCTCGATGGTTGATGCTAGCCGACAAATGCTCCGTTCGGCTGAACACCCCCGCTCACACCTGGCGATTCATGTTCGCCGCAGCCATTGGTCATTGATTTCCGAAGCTGCATTGACAGCGGATGTCTCAACTATTCTCAACCTTTGTTAACCATGATGGAAGGCGAAGTTAATCGGTGTATATGACCCAAGGCTGGGATAATGGAGTATCAATTACCCTTCACGCAGCCTCAAGCATCCGTGTATGTATCATTATTTGCCCGTGCAAATCGAACGTGGATCACCCACTTAGGACGGGAATATCATAACCCAATCGAGTGGTGCAGCTGAACTGTGGATTCAATGCCAAATTCAGGGAAGACACACCTACCCCTCCCATTCTTCATTCTTCATTCTTCTTTTTATCAGTCGACATCACTGGGTTGATGTGCCACAGAATCTCGGGAAACCCACAGCTCAGTATCCACACGCCTGTAGCCAGGAAGTGAACTAGAAGATGTTCGACAAATTGAAGAACAAGCTCCGTCGCCATAAGAGCAAAGGGAAGAAAGATGAACCGAAGAAGCCTGTAAGTCGAAGTTGCGACCCAGTTTTACGCCAACCGTATACTAATCTCTTACCTTCAACAGGCTGAACGCGAGCCGGAGAACGTGACCGAAGCCCCAGCTCCAACACCGGCACCGGTGCCGGCCCCCGCGCCAGCCCAGAAAGAAGCCCCGGCTCTCCCAGATGCTTCGGCTACAGCCACACCGTCGGCTGGCAAAGGACCCAGCGATGCAGAGCACACCCCCACTCCCGCCGAGACTTCAAAGGAGGCAGAGACTCCTGCCAAGGATCTGTGGGCGATTGCTCTCAAGCAGTTGCCCCCGGCCAAGCAGGAAAAGCTGAAGAGCCTTGGACTAGACAAACTCAACTCTGGCTCTGTTGAATCGGAGATCGAAGATCTAGTTGGGCTGGTGAACCAGAAACAGGCTGAATGCGAAAAGAAGTTTTGGCGGGTATCAATTGGAGACAATGACATCGTTCTCCGGAATTACACCACCAAAATTGTTGGATGGTTGGAGAAGGCCGGAGATATCGCCATTCAATTTGCCCCGCCTCAAGCTAGTATGCCATGGTCTGTTATCAAGTCTTTGATGCAGGTGAGTGATCCATATATCTTCGAGTGACCTGACAACAGGAAGGCTGACAATGTATCACAGATTCCCGTGATTGGTGAAGAACAAATGGGAGCACTTCTCGGCACAACCGAAAGTATCGTTCGAATTGTTAGTCGCGGTCAGGTATACGAGCAGGTTTACCTCGTCAATAGCTCTGAAGATGGGGGCAAGCTTTCGCAGGGTCTCGAAGGAGCCCTCATCGGTATCTACAAGACTTCTTTAGACCTGTTAGCCGACTCGGGCAGCTTGTTCTCACAGAACACAGCTAGACGGACTCTCGAGGCAATCCTGAACCCGGGTAATGTCTCAGGCGGTCTTTCGTCGCTTGCTGCACAGGAAGATGAATTGCTGCGTGACGTCCAAGCCTGTGAAACTCGCCGCAGCGCAGCAGCCGACGATCGAATGATCGGAATGTTGGATTGTCTCAACACTCCACTGGTTCGCGTGGACGAAAATGTGCAAAAGCTTCTTGACAAGACAGACGAAGAAGAACGAATGAAGCTCCTGCAGAAGATCTCACCCCTTCAATTTGGAAAGCCCCACGACAATGTGAGGGAGACGAGAACCCCTGGCACTGGCGAATGGCTATTGCAAGATGGAGAATTCCGTCGCTGGGAGGAGAGTACTTCCTCTGGTATTTTCTGGCTTCAGGGATCTCGTAAGTTGTACAAATCAAATTATCATCGTTTTGAAAAAGCTAACGCCACATAGCTGGTACTGGCAAAACATACCTCACATCTAGAGTCGTTGATCTCATCAAGAACGAGCTTGAAGACCTACCGAGAAACGAGGGATTTGCGTATTTCTACTGCAACCGCAATGAGAAAGACCGAGGTGACTCGCTCGCTATCATTCGCAGCTATGTGCGCCAGCTTTCGACTTCAGCCAGCAACCCTCAGTCAGTGCAGATCAAGCTGAAAGAACTCTGCAAAAAGGCCGAGGAGTCAGGAACCACCCTCAGCTTTGATACTTGTCAGGAGCAAATTGTGACTTCACTGAACCTTTACACGAAGACCACCCTTGTCATCGATGCATTTGATGAATGTGATCAAGATTCCCGTGACAAACTGATTGAGATGTTCAACTCCCTGCTGGCGGAGTCAAAGAACACCCTCAAGATTTACATCGCAAGTCGTCCTGACCCCGATGTTCAGCTTCAGCTTCAAGAAGAAGGCAGGACCGGAGTGACTATTCAAGCAAGTCACAATGCTCCTGACATTCAGCGCTTCCTTGACCAGCAGCTGGATAAGCTTGCCAAGAAGGCTGTTTTCATTGGTCGTATGAAGGGCAAGATCGTTGAGAGGCTGCTCGAACGCTGCCAGGGAATGTAAGATATCCCCAAGTTATTTTCTCTGATTGATCGACAAACTAACACAAGCAGGTTCCAATGGGCATCCCTGCAAGTCCACCAGATCACTAGATGCAGAACCGAGTCAAATGTATGGAAGCGTCTGGACAACCTACCTGAGGATCTTCAAAAGGCCTATGATGAGATCTGGAATGAGATCGAGAGCCTCGGAGAGCCTGACAGCACTTTTGTCAAACGAGCTTTCAAGTGGGTTATGGCTGCGAACATGCCTCTGAACAGCAATATTCTTCTATCGGCCATTCGTGTGGGCGCACAGGAAGAAGGTGCTATCTCATCCGATGAGATTGATGAACAAGGGTTGCTCTCCTTGTGCGGAAATTTCCTCGTTGTTGATCCCGAATCGAATTGGCGCTTCTCACATCTGTCGGTCGTTGAATATTTGGAGTCTGCGCATGGCTGGAGCTTGCCGCAAGCACACTGCCACATCGCAATTTCTTGTCTTTCTTTCTTCATCTCCGCGTATGAACAGGAAGAGTTCCCAGATGTGGTGAAGGAGTTCTTTGATGATGACACCATGTCTCCCGACGCAGAGGTCGATTACTTTGGCAGTGAGAGAAAGTATTCGTTGCACTTCTATGCGAAGCACAATTGGGTTATTCACGTTCATGCCGCACAGGCAACAGAGGACAGTGACCTTGCTGCGCATCTGAAATCTTTCCTTGGCGCACCTCATGAAAGCAGTGCGCAGTACAAGAGGTGGTTTGAGCGGATCCAAAGAGATGGTAGCTTTGATGAAGTTATCAGAGACACCTCGCCATTCCAGATATCAGGGTTTGATGGAAACGACATCACTCTTCGAGAGATTGATAACTCCTATTCCGCAACAATGCAATGGTGCAGCGAATTGGATCCACCTGATCGCCCTATATTTGCAATGTGTCGGTTTGCGTTCGACGCCATATTGTCAGAGTGGTGGGAAAGCCCATCCATCGATGTGTCTGAAACAAACGCCCAAGGACACAATCTTCTCACTGTGGCCGCAATCGCAGGATCTGTCCCCATCTGTCAAAGGTTGATCGAGAAAGGAACGGACGTTAACCAAAAGCTTGGACCGTTCTTCGGTAGTGCATTGATTGCAGCAGCTTACTGGGGACATACAGACGTTGTCAAGTGTCTTGTTCAAGCCGGAGCCGATCCAAACATTGCATTGAACACCAAGGATTTCGACAGTTATGACGACGATTATGATAGTGATGGCGAAGTAGTTCCGAAAGAGGACGATACCTACCGCTTTGATTGGGATGCTCCCAATAATGGCTGTTTTGACAGTGCACTCACTGCTGCAGTCACCTTGAATCGCGCCGAAGTTACCAAATACCTGGTCAACGAAGCAAAGGCCGATGTGCACAAAAAGCTGATCCTGAACGGTCAAGGCACTCTTCTTGAGATCGCATCCACTAATGGAAATCCGGAAATCATCAGATGTCTGATTCATGCCGGCGCAGACGTAAACAAGCCACCACGAGACCCAGCACAGGGGAGAATCGTCGATCGAGTACTGGCCCATGGAGACTTGGGTACTATTCGCTTCGTCATTGAGGAAGCCGGTGCTGACTTGCATGCATCTGCGCCGGGGCATGACTTGAATGTACTTGGCGGCGTGGCTAAGAACAAAAAGCTCGACAGTCTCAAATACCTCGTGGAAAAATGTCATCTCGACATTAACCAGGGATCTCGTTGGACTACCCCCTTGATATCAGCAGTCGAAGGCGGTGATCTGGATTGTGTCCGCTATCTCGTTGAACGTGGAGCCGACCTTCACAAGCTGTCTGATAATGAGGAAAAGAGTCCTCTCATTCAGGCGGTGGATTGTGACCATCTTGACTGTGCTCGCTATCTCGTTGAACAAGGAGCCGATATCAATAAGCCAGTCCCACGATTCACGGATGGTAGGATTCTGGCTGCGGCTCTTGATTCATACTATCTAAATGAAGAGATGGTGATCTATTTCCTGGACCATGGAGCCGATGTCAATCTGTTGATCGAGGGTGAAACCAAAACATTGCTTTCCGTGGCCGCCGGGAGAGGGAATGCTGAGATTGTCCGCCGAATGCTTGAAAAGGGAGCCAATGTCAACCCGCCGAATGACGTGCCCCTAATTGGTGCAGCTGTGAGCGAGAGCTTGAAATGTGTTCAGTTGCTCCTTGACAATGGAGCGGATCCGAACTGGACTGGTGAAAGCCCCCTTGCCCGAGCAGCTTCAAAGGGCTGGACTGAGTGTGTTCAGCTGCTTCTCAAGGGCGGAGCGGAGGTAAATCCAGCCAGTGGAAACCCTTTAATGGAGGCAGCTGCCGAGGGTCACCTGGGGTGTGTTAAAATCCTTCTCGAGGGTGGTGCAGATGTTCACAGGTCAGCCAGTGATCTTCACGGCAGTGTCCTCGCAGCGGCAGCATATGGGGGCTCAGCCGAGATCACGAAGTTGATCCTGGAAGCTGGGGCGGAGGTCAACGCTCAAATCCCCAATAAAGATAATGGCAGTGCCCTATGTGCAGCTGTCGCAAGCTACAACACCAACGAGGCAACGGTCCGCTGCTTGCTTGAAGCAGGAGCTCAGGTTGATATGCTGCTTGAGAATGGGGAATACCCATCTGCTCTAGCGGCTTCGGCGCACAGTGATCTCTCGTTCGACAGGGATGGCGCTATCACCAAGCTCTTACTTGATGCAGGTGCCAATCCCAACTTGCAGCTGAATCGCGAGGACTTTGGCAATGTCTTGACAAGCATAGTGGGGGCGGATTCATATAGTGATAAGAAGCCCATTGTGAAGATTTTGTTGGAGTCAGGGGCCGATGCCAACACGAAGCTTGAGAGCGGCCGCTATCCCAACGCTCTCGCTGCAGCCGCATCGCGTGGAGATGGTGACCTGATCCAGCTACTGGTCTCCCATGGCGCCGATGTCAACGCGCAGGTAGGTGATCATGGTAGCATCATCACATCCGCAATCTCCTCTGGTACCTGCGAGGGTGTCAAGGTCTTACTGGAAAACGGTGTGGCTGCCAATTCATCTTTGACGGGCGATCTGTCGGTCTATGGCAGTTTTCTCACGTTTGCCGCGATACTTGGGCAAGAGGACATCATTACCACCCTGATTGAAGGTGGAGCAGATGTCAACGCAACCCCAGTCGGGAAATACGGGAGCGCCCTCGTTGCTGCGGCATACTTTGGGCAAAAGTCATGTGCTGAGAGGCTGGTGAATGCTGGAGCGAATGTTAACCTCCAACTCGAGAATGTGCGCATGCCTACTGCTTTGGAAGCCGCAAAGGCACCCATCACGAAAGAGGACTATTTGGAAGTTCACCCCAAGGCTGGAGATCGACACCTCAATTTTTACTGTGGTGACACACTGCCGGAGGAGAAAGTGGAATTGTTGGAATTCCTTGAGCAGGTCAACCAGGCTTGAAGTAGGAAGAGTGGAAGAAAGCAAGGTTGAATATCCCGTGTAGAAGGTCTCTTTACGTCGGGTACTGCATGAATAATGGAAATAGCAGATTATCTAAGGTGATGCTCTAGTAGACCAGGGCTCTTTCCCGAATTTTAGTACTTTCCAATACCCTTGACTACCAAACTGTTTTTCTTCTCTCTTGAATAATCTCTTGAAGCTCATCAAAATTGCTTGACAATGCGAAATGGTGGTTTTCAGCTTCTGAAGGACAAGTGCGCATGGTGACGAGAGCAAGAAGGAGAGGAGCAGGCAAATCACGTCTCGATGTGTCTGAACGCCCAAGGACACAATCTTCTCACTGTGGCCGCAACTTTAGAATCGCCGGATCTGTCCCCATCTGTCAAAGGTTGAGAAAGGAACGGACGTTAACCAGAAGCTCTTTCTACAGAGCAAGCGGTCACTTCCCCTCTGCTTGAATCATTCTACCTTCACTTCCACGTTGTCTCTGCCAGATGATGATACTTTCATCACTGACACCTTTTCATCAACCCTTTCATCTGCAGCCGCCCTACTCGTTTGCTGAAATCGAAATGACCAAAATTTCAGCCGGGCAACAATCGTTGTTGCGATTGTCGCTTTGGTCCTGGCCTTTCCGGCTTCTACCTGAGCTACCATACAAGTCTGGGCATGGTTTCAGGAGCAAAGGGCTGAATCAGGGCCTACTACAGACGCTGCAACCGTGGTCAGGACCCAGGATAACGGGCAACAGACAGAGTAAATCGAAGTTCAGACACCTACTTAAGTAGCGATGGCGCTCTGATGATTCCTTATTGTGTTTTATTCGATGACCCTTTTCGACCTCTCGAGATGCAAGACGTTGTATTGGACGAAGAGGATCTTCTTTCCTTGTTGAACCTGTTTTCCCTTGATCGTTAGTCCTGCTCAAGTGGAAGAGGTCCATGTCCTCACATCTTCATCCCTTAATGTATCTATAGTTACATATCTTTTCAGTTTCCGAAAATGATGATGTTGAGTTTCCAAAGGACAAGTGCGTTTGGTCACCCTCATATTTATCAAAAAGATTAATATTAGCTTAATCTTCAACTTCAATCCCCCATGGGTTGATCCAATTGATTAAAACCGAAGCCTAGTAAGATGAGCTCCTGAAGTCTGGCAGGCCCAGATTACCCCGGGGCCCGGCCTACAGACATGGAAAACAAGGGAGAAATGTACCTATTGATTTCTAAATAGAGTGAAGAAGGTCCTGCCCCAAACACGACACACACATCAAAACGTCCACACGATGCCCAAGCATCTAGTTCTCGAAAACGGGAACAACATTAGACCAGGTTCCCCTAGCCCTCTCCTCCCAATATCCATCCTTCCCACCCTTCAAACGCCAAGCGTTTTCGCCATCCGCCTCATCTCCAGCCCGCGTGAACCAGCGCGGAGTCCAAGTCTCGCCGGAATCCTCCATCGCACGTCTCCGTGAGCGCTGTCCCTCTTCAAGTTGTACTTTCACTTCCTCTGCGCGGTCAAGGTCTCCCTCTTCCAGAGCACGCTGGTCAGGTCGCAGTCTCGAGTCTGTAGCTGGGAGATGCTTTTCTTCGATCGGGGTGATCTCGTTGAGGGTAGCGGCGAAAGAGGTCAAGCCGTAATGTTTAGGTGCGGAGGGGACGAGAGAGCCGGCGGTCCAGACAGTGTTTCCGGTTGGGTTGCCGTCGCGGGTGAGTGTCAGCGAAGAAGGCCAGGTTCCTGTCAGACCGAGGGCAAGTGGGTTGCCGTTGGAGTCCACGGCGCGAGTGGAGACTTCTTCGCTGCGGCCAGAGAACATGCCGCCGGCTTTGAAGGTGGAGATTGAGCGTTGTCCATTTGATTCGTTGGTGATGGAGAGTTCACCAACTGGTTCCACGTATTTCTCGCCTGCAATGATGTTGCGAAGGAAAGATGATGCGGGGGTCCAGCTGAAGCGGTCACCAGTTGAGTGGAGACTGACGCGGACGCGGCCCTCGTAGGTGATCTCGGCGGATTTACCCCAGAATTTCTGGCTGGGGAGAGGAGAGTGCGAGAGAGACCAGTCTTTGCTGTCGGCTTGGTACGCGAGTTGGACAGGACGGTGGGAGACCTTCTCGGCAATAAAGCGGAAGCCACGGTCCTCACGAACAAGCTCGTAGGTTTCACCTAGCATGGGGTTGAAGGGCTTGCGAATTGAACGTTCGCGAACCCGGTTAGCCGAGAGGGAGGACACTGCGAATGCAGTCACGAGCATCAACCGCTCGACAGGGTCAGAAGACTGGCTGGCCTTGTCCAAAAGGTCTGAGTATTCCAAAATTTCCGCTGCACGTTGCAGGAGAGACGTTGGCTCGTTGGCCGAAACGGGCATTGAGATTGTAGACAAGTCCTTGCCGACATTCTTGCGCAGGAAGCCAATCAAGCTTGGGGGCAGGACGGTGGGGGCAAGAATGGTCGCACGGCGCTTAACAGTGTCTAAAGGCAGTGGGATCAATGACTTGGGTTTAGTCGGGAACAGCCCCGCGGCACTGCCGCTCTCCTGTCGAGTTGCTGTTGCATCAGATACACTGTCACTATCCGAGGGAGCATCATCCTCGACTTCTGCGACAGCTGAGCTAGGTCGATCCTCCTCAGGGCCCTCATCATCGCTGTCTTGAATGGTCAAGAGGGGAGACCTGTCCCCAGCACCATCAGTTGCGTCAAAGAATTCTTGCGACATGTCCGACTCCATGCTCCGCCTGGGAACCATAGAAGGCTTTGGAGGGGTACGTCGCTCCCTGTTCTCAGCAATCAGCGTAGAGAACTCAGAGACAGCATGATCAAGATCGCGCAGCACCGCCATCAGATGATCATGAATTTCATCCATGTTGTCGGAATGACTGGTGATACTGGCAGGCTTTCCCTTGACATCTTTAGATGGCACCACAAGTTGCGACGAGTTCGAATTCGCAGTCACAGCCGATGGGCGTTTGGTGCTAGTTTGCGACTGGCCACTCGTCTTGCGCTTCCAAAAAGGTCGCTTGGTCTCCTCACTAGGAGCAGCGTCCTGGGCACCGGGCTGGGGGGTAGGCTGAGGGCTAGGAGACCTACCGCGCGAGCGAGGCCGGTCGATATTGACATTGGGGGTGGATGAAGCGAGATATTTGGGGTCGGTATCCTTGGCAAGCCGACGGATCGCATCTCGCGACCCGGAGATCTGGCTAACAAGACTCTGCACCCGTGTCCATTCATGCTCCTCCGCCGGAGAAGACTGCGAGGGCGCATATAGTCGCAGCTCGGGAGGAACACCTAGTCCAGAATTGCTGTCCTTGGGGGCATTCTTAGAAGAAGCTCTCTCCAACGCTTGCTTCCACGCGCCAAAGTCATGTTCGTTACTGGCACGAAGATGCCAGATCTCAGTACCAGAGTCGATTGAAATCTCTCGGGTCTTCTCGTTGGTCGCAACGGCCGCTAGAGAGAGTGGAATCGCGCCCCGCAGTGCGGCAGAGTTACGGTCGTGGTAATAAGATAGTGTGCACGAGGTGAAATCTAGCGAGAAGTACCGACGCGCCCAGCCTTGGTGGCGTTTTCGGCGGCGCTTCTGCAGCAATCCCGTGTGGAAATTCTGATTCGACGTGTCGATCTGGGAGTTGAGAGTAGCGCGACTGTTACCCCTCCCCCGAGTCTTGGGCTGCGGCAAGGAATCAGTGGATGCACCCGGTTGAGTGCGTCCGGCGGTATTCGAGGCGGAGGTATGAGGCGGCAGGCCGGTCGGATAGGTCAGGAGGACCAGCGTCAGGGTCTTGGATATTTGTTTGGAGAAGGTGTTGTCGAACACCAGCGCGTAGTTGCCCCCCTCATTGAGCGGTACATCGAAGGTACCTTGCGTAATCTTGTCCGCCTCGCATTTCCCTGTCCATTTGATGGTCTTCAGACCAATCCCGGTCAGCTTCTCGATTACGGCGGACTGTTGTTGTCGCGCGCCGGCCGTGGTTGCGGTTGCGGGGAGATTCTCGGTGGAATCGGTGCTTTGGGAATCGGAGGCAGGGATCTGAGAACTCAGAGTAGGCGACTGTCCGGGGTGTTTGAAGATGCCGAAGTTGACAGACTTCTTGTGCGGCTGAATACTCCACGAGATGGTGTGGTTGGCGTTGACATTGATCCAACGAACAAAATACGACTGCCAGGGAATTAGTCCGATACACCAGAAATATATCGGGATCGTACCTTGCTGTGAATCTCCAGCTCCTCCATGGCCGCCATGGTTGCGCAGTGAGGGGTTGTACAATGTCAGAACCTCAGTGCCTCAGTAATCTAAGCCGACGCGGTCCGGTGCGGCTGAACGTGGCGATGCGGAGATGCGCCACAGATTAATAGCGGCCGGGGATTTATATATAGAATAAAAATAGTATGCAGAATTCAAGATTGTAGAAATATAGAAACTTATGGAATTGACTAAATTGCCCAATATTAAGTCCTGAGTCCCTGAAGCCAAGAAAATAGAAACAGGTTGAAACCGAGGCCAAGCCAGCTCACATGTGTACTTCGTACTCGTGTTCTTATACAGCCTTACGGAGTACACACTACACACTAAATATTCAATACTACCGAGGTATATCATTGGACAATATTATTGTGTACATCGGTGTGTATCAAATTAGAAAAGAAGAAATTTCCATGCAATGCCCTGGGGCCCTTTTTCTGCTGATTTCAATGGGGAAAAAAAGATAGTACACTATACAGACGAAAATAAAATGGCAGACGATCACCTCCGGCCTTGGCTCATGTTACTGAACATCAGCTTGAAGCCATTGCAAAGGGCATTCATGTCGGGGTAAGGGTTCTTTTGTAGTTCGTAACCCTGAGGAATGACCTTGACGGGCCAGTTCTGGAGTCGCGCATGCTCGCCGGCCTTGAAGCAAAGGAAGAAGTAACCGGGGTATTTGGGGTTGGTACAGAAGGCATAGGCCGAGCGACGGGGGTTGGCCTTGGTGTAGGTCTCGAGCCATTGATCTGGAAGAAAACGTTAGAATCTAGGAAACCAATCTATGATCTCTCAAACATACCTGTCTCAGCCTTGCTACTGCCTTTGCGGAATTTTTCGTGACACATCATTTCGTCCACCTTCTTGGCCATCGCCTTGACGTGGTTGACGATCAGGTCATCCAAATCACTGTAGCTGTAACGACCACCGACCTTGAGGACACGGCCGACGGAGAACTCGTTCTCTTTGTCCAGCTCAAGAACATCAATGTGCTGGTACACACCTTGGGCCACCTTCCAAGTGACTGCTAGATGATCGTGGCCCCGAGACGATGGCCGAATGACAACATCACCAGTGCTCTGGGAGCCCAGGAACTCTTCAGCCTGGGTGGAGTTGAAAGGTCGGAAGAGCGGGTGCTTGATAACACGCATAGCCTGACCGCCGCGCTGAGTCTTCTCCTGCAGCGAATCCTGGTCGGCTCGCTCTTGCTGGTCATCCCAGTCGCCGAAGCCATGGTCGGGGTTTCGACGAGATGGATGGCTGACCTGGTCTTCACGCAGAGAGACGTTGCAAGAGAAGCCTTTGCGGTTCAGGAACAAGATCTTAGCTGGGACAGTCTGATGAGGCTGGTATGCATTGCGCACGGGAATCTCGGCGGGAACACCCAATTCAGTCTCGGCAACAAGCACCTCAACTCCACAATCCAACTTAGCTTCAATGTGATCTTCGAACACCCGCTTGATGGCAATAGGAACCACCATGCCTAGTGTGAGGGAATCAAGCGTTTCACCGGTGAGCATAGTGAAAATGTCATCGGTGCTGAGGAAGACGAATTGCTTTCGCAGTTCTTCGTATGGTTGTTGCAATTCAGCTCTGATTGTCTCAAGCGTGGCACGTTTGCGCTGGTTGAGGTTCCTCTCCAATTGCTCTGCATACTCCTCCAGAATCAGGTCGTTAACACGGTCCTGTGCCTCCTCGCGGAAGAGCTTCCGCATGATGGCGCCAGTGCCGTTCTCATCAGTCTCGGCCTTGATATCTTCCTCGTCCAACTCCAATGCGTCGGCAGCCATCTTACGTGCAATATCGTAATCTTCGGGGTGCACACGAGTGTTGTCCAACGGATCGGCATCGGGATCGGCATTCTCAAAGTCAATGTAGACAAAGCTGGCACAGTTGTTCCAAACTTTGACACCCATGGCCGGGTACTGTGCATTGACACCAAGCAATTCCACTCGGTTGTTAACAACCCCGCCGTTCATATTCACGATCTTGAGTAGATGAGCGGCCTTGCGAGGTCCAAGACCACATACGTACGGCAAGAGATTAGCTGTCGCTGTATCGCCCACTGCTTCGTTAAGATCAACACCGACAAGGTTGACCATGTCAACCATAGCGGTTTCAAGCTGTTTGATGAGAAGGTCCTGGGACACTAGCTGCTGGCCGGGCTTGAACTGAATGGAGACGATGTCACGGCCTAAGGACGCATATTCCTTGAGGGGGCTCTGCAAGTAACGGCCCAGACCCACACAGTAATGAGTGAGAGGCCCGAAGCCAGGGTTGTCACTTCGGGCGCGAGGGCTGTTGTGGTACAACCGGGCAACCTCATCATTGACGATAACCACCTCCAGAGGATCACTGACTTCATCATCGCGGTCATCTGTGTATGATGCACCCCGCATATCTTTGAACTTGACGAGGTCCGAGATGGCTGAGTACAAACGGCGAGTGTCTGGTGTCATACCTGAGACACCAATGACATCCGGGCGACGGCGATCGATCAGTTCCACAAAGGCAGCTACATTGGCACCGTCTGATATGCCTCGGCTCTCGTCTCCCACTGAAAGATCAAGGAACTTGCCATTCTCCAGCACACGGCCGTCTTCTTCAGTGTAGGCCCAGTGAATGGGATCCCGGCCGAATTGTCCAGACCCTGTGGAAAGAGTGAGGACACGGGGGACAGTACCAAGAACCATGCCCTTCGGTTTGTAAGGGGCCTGGTCTAGACGCTGGGAGAAGGCTTCGCGACACTCCCTGGCCACATGATTTTCACATTCCTGGCGAATATTCTCTTTGACGCTGCGATTAATCAACTTTTCCAGTTTGCTAAGGGCAAGATCCAAGACATCACGACGGACGCGGTTCCAAGCGTCGGCAAGCTCGCTGTAGTTGTCGGACTCGATATCAGCGTATAACCGCGAGCGGAATTGATCGAAGTTCTCGAAACGGACGCGAACATCCATTAAACCTTCTTCCTCGGCCTTGAGCATACGAAGGAACATCTCTGGGCGACGGGCAATATCACTGAGCTGTTGGTTACGCAAATATTTGAACTCAGCGTATGGGTGCTGCTCGTCAATCCGGCGAAGTCCTTTCTCCGTGCGGAAACAATCAACAACTCCGTTCATGTAGTAGGCCTGTCGAATGACCTTGCGCATCTTAGGGCTGAGGGCAAGCTCCTCGGCAAACATGCTTTTTGCTGCCTTCAGAACGTGTGTGCTATTAGAGAAGTCGTTGTCAACGAATTGATCCGCCATCTGGTCGGGATGCTCAGCGGGATCCTCTGTGTATTGCCTCCGACCCTCTTTAGAAGCATTTTGAGCAAAGGCATCAGCAGTGATTCCAAAGGCGCGCACCATGCCGTAAGCATTTCCGTTTCGGACACGCTCGAAGAATGAACGACCAGTTGCCTTGCGGCGTTGAGTCTCTCCGTTAGCTTCGCCATTCAGCTGGCTCAGATCACGTAGCTGAGAGGAGTATTGGAAGTGAATGTAGTCTTGCACGTCCTGAAGCTCTTCCATACTAGCGGCGGCAGCTAGCAGATCCTCCACGTTGGAGTCGCTGACATTGAACAAGTCACGCAGGCTATCATATGACTTTTGGATTGTACCACGCTTATCAATCAAGGCGCGGAATTTGAGGTCGTGGTCGAAGATATCCCAGAGATCCGTCATGTTGAGAAGCTTCTCGGCGCGGATGCTATATTGCGCAGAATCGTCGTCGGGGTCGGCGCCATTGTCCATTTCCTTGACGGCATGAATCATATAATCCTTGCGGTGTTGGAAAATGAACGGGACCTCCCAGTCATCTGTGATCAAGAATTCCAGCATCTTGGCGACAGAGCGCTGGAAAGGTTCTCGCAGTTCTGGCTCCATGCGTTTCTTCAACAGCATTAAGTTAGAGATCCAAACGGCTTCCTCCCGGAATTGATCTTCTGTCAGGGTGACATGCTTATACGGCTTGCGAGCGACTTGGTGGCGTTCGGGTTCATCGAGGAGACGGATCTCATTATCATCTTCAGTCAACATCCGCTCGGCGAGCTCGGATGGTTCAAAGACGTCCTTCAAGTCGAGATGACGCTCTTCGGTTTGTTTTTCTGCGTCTTCCTGTTCTTCCATTTGCAGTGCAAAATCGTACTCTGTGCCATCACCAAAGGCAGCGCGCATATCCTCGAGCGCATTTTCGTCTAGACCCGAGGTGTCGGTAGGGATCAGTCCGGTCTTATTGACTCTGGAAGCAGGCGCTACCTCCATATCATCCCGCTCACGTTGAGCCTCGTCGTCGGAGAAGGTATCTTCCTCGATGAAATCATCCATCTCATCGCGCATGACGCGGCGCTGGCCTGGTCGGGCATATTGCTGTGCTTCCTCTTCTTCATCGGAATTGAAGATATCATCGACGCCATGGGACGGTTGGTGGCTCTCGCGATCTTTGCCTCGCTTCAAGCGCTTGAACTTTGACTGGAACCGGGTTCCTGTTAGCAAAACACTGGTTGAAATTGTAGATTACATACCTCTGTAGCTGGCCCCCGCTGTTGACTGGGAGTATGTCCAATGAGCTCCAGATCGTCTTCATCCAGATGTTCCTCTTCGCGAGCGGCGCGTGGGCGTTTTTTGTGTCTGCGATGAGCGCGCTCATCTTCTTCGTCTTCGTCGACAATGAAGCCTTCACGAACCTAGCCATTATAGTTAGCGCTGACGGCCATCTTCAGCTCATGGCACCTAAACTTACAGCGCGAGCAGCCTCCTCATCATCCTCTTCTTCGTCCTCTTCCTCGCTGGAGTCATTGTAATGGTTGGTGGTGCCTGCACCCTGACGAACCTGACCCTCGCCATCATAGTCGTCGGCAACTTCTTCGTCGTTCTCATCATCGTCCATGATTGCCTCACCCTCGACCAGATCGCGAAGACTCATCTTGCCCGAAGGTGAAGATCCCTATTCCTTGGGACCGGAGAGGGATTGGGAAGGCAGTGTCGGGTGAGTGATCAAAGGCTAAGGGGCGCAATTATGAAGCCTGATGGTGACTTGCGTTCTGCGGCGGGGAGTAGAGCGGGGAGATGGTGAGATTGAAGCAACAAGTTGTCAGAAGGAAGAATCGCGGCCATCGGCGAGGGAGGACGCGGGTGGCGGTGATTGGTCGATGCTAGTGTGGCTTTCACCAGCCACATTCTGGGATCAGCTGTGGCTTGATACTATGTCACGTGACTATCACGGTGCCCAGTGTCAAGATGTGTCCTGCCCAGTCCGATCCTCAATCAATGCATATTGGCGTTATTATTACATTGAGCATATTGACATGATTCTATATTACTATTGACTGAAAATTTTCTTCAATGACATCTACCGTAGAGGCTGAAACGTCTGAATATCAAGTTCTCAACCCAATTCAGCCCGAGTGGAACCCCCCAATTGTTTCATTAATAGTAGCGGGCTTAGTCTGAAGATCTCTGGAAAATTCCTCCTTAAACCATCAGTGACCATCAGTTTGGCGCCGAGTATATTTTAAGTCTCTAGTTGGTCGAATCGACGCGCCCGCAAGGTCCAATCAGCGTCGCCAAGAACATCGCAAGGTGATATCGGCTTCCCCGCTGTTAGCTCGGCTTGTCCTGACTCTAATCCCCATCGGTTTGGGAAACGCGCTGATACTCACTTTCTCCGTTCTTTGCTATCCTGCTTTTTTTTCCCCCTTTCGCATTTTGCCCGATACATCTTGTCTGAAGCGCCATGGCGGACCCGTTCAAGGCCCGGACGTTGAAACGGAAGAACGTCAAAGGACTTGCCCTCAATGCGGCCCCTAAGCCTGCCGCCAACGGATCCGACGGTGATGCACAAGTCCCTGGGGCGATTGGAAACAGCGAAAGCAACCGCACAGACACCCTTGAAATCGGCCTGGAGTTCCGCCTCGATCTCCGCAGTGAGGACTTGGTCACATTAAAGGAACTGGGTGCTGGAAATGGAGGCACCGTGTCCAAGGTGATGCACGCATCCACCAAGGTGGTGATGGCTCGAAAGGTACGGACCCTAATTATTGTGCTCCCAATCGTCCATCGTCGCTAATCCCGCATGTCCCCGCAATAGATCATTCGTGTCGAAGCCAAAGAAAATGTGCGGAAGCAGATCCTACGAGAACTCCGAGTTGGACACGACTGCAACTGCCCCAATATTGTCACTTTTTACGGTGCATTCCAGAACGAGGCGAGAGATATTGTGTTGTGCATGGAATATATGGATCTCGGGTAGGTTTATCAGTGTGGAAATTGTGAAGGACGTAAGCTGACATATCGCCAGTTCTCTGGATCGTGTTTCTAAGGACTTCGGTCCTGTACGAGTTGATGTGCTAGGAAAGATCACCGAATCCGTTCTGGCTGGCTTGGTCTACCTTTACGAAGCCCACCGCATCATGCACCGTGATATCAAACCCTCCAACATTTTGGTCAACTCTCGTGGTAACATCAAGCTCTGTGACTTCGGTGTCGCTACCGAGACTGTCAATTCTATTGCCGATACATTCGTTGGCACTTCAACATACATGGCCCCTGAGCGAATCCAGGGAGGCGCCTATACGGTTCGATCCGACGTATGGAGTGTGGGCTTGACAGTCATGGAGTTGGCTGTTGGAAAATTCCCATTCGATCACTCAGACTCAGCTGCTGGAAACCGCGCGAGCGCAGGACCAATGGGTATTCTTGATCTTCTCCAGCAAATTGTTCACGAAACCGCACCTAAGCTGCCCAAGAGTGATGCTTTCCCGCCTATCCTGCATGACTTTGTTGGAAAGTGTCTCTTGAAGAAGTCCGAGGAGCGTCCAACACCTCGTGAATTATATGTAAGTCAACTTCTATGTTTTTGTATTAAAATGATACAGGACTAACATCTTTCAGGACAAGGATGCTTTCTTGCAGGCCGCCAAGCGCACGCCTGTCAACCTGGAGGAATGGGCAGTCAGCATGATGGAACAACACAATCGCAAATCATACCTTGGACCGCCAGCACCAAAATCACTACGAGACGCCCAGACGCCCACCTCGAACTCTAACTCATCTCCCGTCGCAGCCCCAAGTTCAGCGTCTAGTAGCATTGGCAAGCCCCCTCCTATCAGCAAGTCCAGCCGAACACCACAGCAGTCGCCATACCCCTCAAACTCCGCATCAGCGGACATTCCTCTGAAGATTGCCAACGATCCCTCATCTAATCCCCGTTACTTCAACTCTCAGGCTCAACCCCAGCCTCAGTCTTCCCACTACTACTCATCGTCTCGATCCACGAGGTCCCCGCCCCCTCCTTCCCTTGAGCACCTTTCGCTGGAAGCAAACGACGACGACGACATCCGTTCCGGGCGCCGCCAGATGCGTCAGCACCTTGGCGACCGCGACCCTGTCTCGGCTGTTGATGCCCCATCTCGTCCATTCATGAGCCCACGGTCCGCGAGCTCCAACAACTCTAACCCTCGCACAAACCTGCAATCAACAGCGTTGCCTCTACGTGCCGCTCCTCCGACTGGACCTCCTCCTCCTCCGCCAGTTTCAGCGGGTGGCAACTGGCGTAGCCAACCGGGCGCAATGCCCCGATAATTTGATTGACCGATGTGCTTCATATGAATCAATCCTTCGGCTTCGCCGTCTCCCTCATGTCATGTCTATGCTCAGATGTACTTGCATATATGTTTTGAATCCGGGCTCACAACTTGATGCCGATCACGATCGTGAACTGCCGTCTAGCTTGACTCTGTAGCCTTTGGTGGAAGACGATCATGAAGCCAAGACAACACGCCTCGATACCAATTTCTTACCTTCTCCCATCTCGCTGGAGATATCTCTTTCTTTCTTTTTATTACATTTCTTGGTCATTTTCTTCTCGATGATTCTGCTTTAACTGGAATATCTGGCAACAGCCCTTTTTGTGTTTATTCCTGATTTCATCTTTTGCCTGCTGGGATATCTTCCTGCATTACATGGCGTACATATTTTAACCCAATCCCATCTTTCCATAAACACCAAAATACACATATCAAGGTACAATAAGATTGAATCACATATCCTTTAGATGAGGTCTATCCGCTCTCATCTCTATATGCCAGTTTTTTTAGAACTACACGTAGTGGGCGTTTAGAGTCTAGCTGACATTACAGATAACATGCACTTGTGTGATGAGCTTCTTCAGTGACCGACTTTCATTGTAGGGACGATCATAGAGAGATGAAGCCACTCGTAGAATAAATCAAGGTATACGTACAGAGCTCATAGGCTTACAGCAGCAAACAGCTCCAGGGCCGAACAAAAAAATAAAATATAGAAGGGCACCCCCAGCTCACAAGCAAAACGATAGCGGAAAGTAAGATGAAACTCCCAGTCCCAGCCACCATGAAGAAAACACCACCCATGAAAAATATATCAAGCACTCTGTTTCATCATCAGCTCAGGGCCAGCCAAGGGACTAGGACCCGGCGGTGCAGACGGGTTACTCGGAGTTGAGGGCGTAGGAACGACGTCCGGCGTTGATGTGGGGGTGGTAGCTGAAGCCGGGGCTGTGGCTGTAGACGAGGTCTTCCCGCCCCGAGTACTGTTACTACCACCACGACCGGAGCCTGAAGCTCCGCCACGGCCACCTCGTCCTTCGTGTGCGGCGGAAGCAGTAGTGCCGTTACGTTCGGTAGTGTGCTTTTCACCCTCGGTCTTCTTACTGCCACGTGCGCGACGTGACGTACCACCTCGAGAACCAGGTCCTCGCAGTGGCAAACCTGTATCCTGCGATATAGGCACAGCTGCAGCAATCGGAACGTGGGGATGTGAGGCCAATGAACGTCCACGGCCTGTTCCTCGCCCACGTCCACGACCGCGCTTGATCGTACCATCCGCTCTATAGAGGAAAAAACATGTCAGCTGTGTAATGGAGGGTGCAGAGAGGAAAGTTGGGTCATACCGTTCTACTTGAATCTTCTCTCCCTCTGGGACCAATGGCCCGCTGTAGACAAAGAAGCCGTCTTTACTGGCAGCAGCCTGCTCCTGCCATACCATCTCACTGTCATCCACAAACGGATCGTCTCGGTCATATTCCTCAACCTTCTTGCGACGCTTTTTCTTTCCATCGCTTGCCTCGGAGGGTGCGCCATTGGTTCCTGCGCCGGTTCCACCCATGGCTACATCCCCGTCTACATCGCTATCACCACCTGCGTCCATGCTCAAATCCTCGTCGGCACTCTCGCCGGCAGAAATTCCCTTGGCGTTTTTATCGTTCTTTTCCAGAGCAGCTCCTGCGGCTGCAACTCGAGCCAAGCGTGCTTTGTGGGCAGCTAGGCGAGGATGCAGAGCAGCGAATCCGTATTGTTCCTCCGCGAGACGAGCAAAGTTAACAATCTGGTTGCCCTTGTTCAATGGAACATGGACGATAATGTTGGGTGTGGTTCGCGAATCTGGCGACTTGGCCGCTTCTTCTGCTCCACCGAACAGCGCATTGGTGATCAGACCAGAGCCTTGGGGTATGTGAGCGGGTTCCTTCGCAGGCCGAGCCGGCTTCGGAGACGAGGCTTTAGATGTCGGCGTGGCCGCGCCCTTCTCTTTTTTGGCGCTTGGAGCCGACTGCTCCTTAGGTTGCGGCTTTGGATCAACGTCCATTGCTTCAGATTGCTGTTTTTGCGGGGTTGGTTGTGCGCTTGGCTCTGCCTGTGTGGGAGGCTGGGGCTGGTGCATCGCCGGCGAAGAAAGTTCCAGTTTCGGTGTTTGTGAGGGATTCTGCCGCTGCTCGGTAGGTGGGTATGGGGTTGTGTAGTGATTGGAATGCGCCAACGGCTGTGGGGTGTGTACAGCTCCATAGGAAGGAGATGAGGCTGGAAGAGGCGACGGAGCTAATGATGGATGTGATGGTGTAGGAGCCATTGCAGGCGCCGCCGGCGAGGCGACACGTGAAGCCTGACCGGAAGAGGTGCGTTGAAGCGGGGTGTAGACATGTTGATTTTGCGTTGGCGGGTCGATTATGCTCGAAATTGCCGGTGATGCACTAGCGCGGTAGGTGTTGCGTGGGGACAATGCACGAGCGGGGGGACTATATGCGGGAGCTGGAGATGGATTGTCAAACGCAGAGCGGATCGGGTCGAAGTTCTGTCCGCTGGTTCTTGGAGGTTGCGATACTGGGGTTTGGGATTGCTGGCGCGGGGGCTGCAGTGGTTGTGACAACTGGTAACTACCTCCGGGAGCTGAAGGTAGATGCGGGCTTTGAGAATATGAAGTTGAAGAGGGCTGAGGAGGTGGAGCAGGTTGGGCAGGTTGGGCAGGTTGGGCAGGTTGGGCAGGTTGAGCAGGTTGAGCAGGTTGAGCAGGTTGAGCAGGTTGAGCAGGTTGAGCAGGTTGAGCAGGTTGAGCAGGTTGAGAAGGTTGTGAGGGCTGCGACTGAGATTGCGGCGCCGACGGGGCTGGGGCGTCCGGAACAGGAGCCCCAGTAGTTTGTTGCGCAGGATCCAGTTTGGGTTTCTTCCGTGAGCTCGTGCTATTTGTAGTGGATTTCTCCCGGGGACGACGAGGAGCACGGGCCGGCTTTTCCTTAGGTTCCTTGTCCTTCTTGGCTGACTTTGTGTCAGGGTCGTCATCCTTCTTACGACGCGACCGCCTGGCGGTACCGGAGGCCCGTCGGGCGCTTGTATCTTTGGCTTCGTCGATAGTTGGCCCCTCGGCCTGAGGGACCTCCGCAGTAGGCGGATCCGTGGACATAATTCCTAGAACAATTTAAATAATCTCACAAATTGATGACTTCTGGTCAAGTCACGGTGTGGTGGTGATGGACTTGGATTGTGGTTGAAACGGTCGCGGAGACGTGTTGGGAAAGCAAACGAATAGAGAAAACAGACGATCCGAAAGAAAGTGCACAGAAGCTCAAATGGGGAAATGCGGGAGAGGAAAGGGGTCCAAAAGGGAAAAGGGCAAGGAATAAAGGCAGAAGGGTCGGAGGGTAGAGAATCGGAGGGGAAAAAGAAAGGAAAAAAAAGAGGGAAAAAAGGGAAGAAAAGGGAAGAAAGGGGAGCGCAGGAAAAGAGTATTGAAACGGGTTGCAGTAGAGTGCCAAATCGATATGTCCAAGCTCCTTTTTATACTAGAAAATTACCCAAACCCCAACACCAGACCTCCCCTAGAGACTAAAGACGTTATTTTGGTCAAGTCAGGTATCAAGTTCAATTTTTGAGGACATTGTGTAATGTTGGGCTTCTGAAATCTCTCCCTGCCACGACTGAGCGTCGTACCCCAGGTACCTTGATGTCGGTACTATGTAATGCCTCTATACTCCGTACAGCCAATGCGACCTGGTCATTGTCCCTAATTATGTATCTGGAGAACGACCAATATTTGGGATCGATGGTCTCATTCTGTTTTTAGCTACTACTACTTCTTGCCTTCAACAGACTAACCAAGGTCGCATTGATTCAATTTGTGTATCCCCATTGAAGCTTAAGACAGGTACCACCCCATAGTCAGTTACCCTTGACACGAAGGTAAGGGTCGAGAAACTTCGTGAACAGATGTTCTCGTCAATAAAAAAAGTGGCGAGCTCACATGATTTCCCACCAGAAGCTTGATTGATGGAAGCCGATAGTATTCTTGACTTACACATTGCCGAGTGGAGGATCGACTGGGACAATGTATAGCACGGATGTTAGGAACCCGATTGGGACTAGCATATCCGCCATCTGCCACTAGCCCCTTTCGGTTAGATCATTCTGCAGCCCCATTTTTTAGCTTTGGGAGCCGCATCCCCGCCGCGCTGACATAACTTTTTTCTCTTCTTCACATCACCCCATCATGGCTTTTCGTGGAGAGCGCTTCGTGCTTAACCTGGATGATGACTCTGGGACACCTGAGATTCCCTCTCAAGCCCCATTCTCTCTGATCGGGGAGATCCAAGAACGTCCTGCCCCCACCGCTACTCCCCCGCCGCCCAAACTGCCAACTCTCACCTCGACCGGATTCCCAGCGCCTCGCCCACGCAAACCTTCTTCGTTCAAGCAGCGACGAGCTAACCAGGCTGCACCGGGTCCCACCTTGACTCCACCGACTGCTCAGGATGACAAGAAATCTATCGACGAGGAAAATCGCCGGCACCTGGCGGCAATGTCGGATGCACAGATACAGCAGGAGCGCGAGGAGTTGATGGAACAGATGGATCCAGACCTTCTCCAACGATTTCTTCGAAGAGTAAATATTTATGATGACCATCAAGCCGACGGTTTCACATCAAAAGCACCTGCGCCCGATGAAAAATCCCCCAAGCCGAAGAAATCGGTCTCGTTCGATGTTCCCGATTCGGCACCAACAGCGTCCAAATCCACAACACCAAGCGCGCAATCTCATTCCTTGCAAAAGCCAGTATTGCCGCACCCTGGAAACGAAGACCGACCTCCATCCACACTCCCCAAAGACCTTCACCCCGCTTCGCAACGCCCCTCCCTCGACCCGGCAACTTTAGAAACTTTCCACTTCCCCCAGCCGGCCAAGCCAATGCCAGTCCTTGATCCATCTTCACCTTCTTTCCTGTCAGATCTACAGTCCCATTACTTCCCCGAGATCTCGCAAGACCCATCCACTTTGTCTTGGCTCCAGCCCCTCTCTGCAGATGAAGAAGACCCAGACTCAACATCCGCCTATCACCCAGCCAGTAGCGCAATCTCACTGGCACCATCAGCGATTCGCTTCTCGCTGAGGGGAACCATTCTCGCCCCTGAAACTTCTCTGTCCCTCCCGACAACAATGGGTCTGCACCATCATGGCGACGACCCCCATGCTGCGGGATACACAATTCCCGAGTTGGCCATTCTCGCCCGTTCCACATTCCCCGCACAGCGTTGTATCGCGTGGCAGGTAATTGGTAGAATTCTGTTCCGTCTTGGTCGGGCAGAGTTCGGAGATCGAGGGGGGCAGTTGTCTGAGGGTCTATGGTTTGTGATTGAGAAAGAAGGCATCGTTGCCGGCATGCTTGCTGAAGCCGATGGGAATGCTGGTCAGACCGAAGGCCGCAGCAAGAGCAAATCTACCAAGGATCAGAATGATACCGAGGAAGGCGGAAGCTCTCTGCCCGTTGCTTCCGGCGTTGGTCGTCATGCCAGCGCTGCTGCTTGGGCCGTGGAGGGCGTCTGGCTCTGGCAGAAGGGTGGTGGCGGTGACCGCGGCCTGCTGAAGGAAGGCCAGCACAGGTCGACATAAGGATCTTCTAGCGTTTCATTTTACCATTTTTGGGACTAGTTTGGGAATGCATAACAGACACATACGCATAGAAAACAATTCAATGATGATACGAGTCTAACCAAGCCATAAGTATTTGTAGTTGTCCAGTCCTAAAGGTCTTAATAGAATGTCCCATCTGGCCCATGTTTACTTGCACCCAACTATGGCCACCTCCAACCCTTGCCTACCACAGCCAGCAATGTGAGGACCGTCAAGAGACAGATTGATATCAGTGGTAGTACAGGACAGATGAAACCCAAAGTGTGATGCAAGCATTGCAATTTTCAATTGCATGGGGCTCGTGCCGTGGCACTTGTTTGCAATGGTTTTTGATATATCGCATCCGATACAGAGCTTATTCACCCCCGAAGGAGGAATTTCAAGGCATGATTCTCGCCTTGCGCTCCACCTTACAGCGCGAATGGGTTCTAGTTGCAGAGAAAGAAAGTGAGCAGAATGCAATGACCAAGGGGGAAAAGAAGGAGGAAAAGAAATCCTATTGTGAGAAAATGGGTATTAGTTTTAAGCAATCATCTAAAGCTGGTCGAATGCCCTTTTCCATATCAGACGAAGGTACGAGTCCGTTTCACCGGACTGCCCATGCGCAAAGGCACATTTCCACTTCCGTTGGCCATGCCATTGAGTAGACGACCCATTCCCTCCACGTCAAGCTCGCCACGTTGGAGCATGAGTTGATCGGTTTCGTCGGTATCTTCTTGCTTCACGGCGTTTTGATTCTCTTCGAGATCAGACTCCTTTAATCTTGGGGCAAGGATCGTTAGCTGATGCTCTGCTGCCACCAGCACATCAAATGTTTGCCTTTCAGTTGCCCGAGAGCAGCGTGCTGGTGCCGGCAAATGGCCAATTGCCTGGAAGTTCTGTCCCATCAGATTCACGTCTTGGAAGGGAGATAGTCTGCAGCGGTTGGAAGAATCAAAAGTGCCTGTAGTCTTCACAGCATTCCGCCACAAAGACAATAAGCTCGTAATTACAGCGCTCTGACGGCCGTGACGAAGTAGAATTGACTCATCGGGTAGGACATCCGACGAAGGATTGGTCTGCAACACCGAGATCTGACCACGGTGAGACGGACTGGCTGTGTTCAGAGAGCCCTTGAGCAAACCATCTTCTCGAACACGTCTTGTGGAAGGAGTCATGGGGGCGAATCGGGGTCGCTGCTCCACCTCAGAGCTGCTGGTGGAGGGCGGTGTCATGATGCGGCCGCAGACTGCGTATGTAGTCAAGGAGCCGCCAGTGACACCCTGAATGCTCGCTTGACGATGGAGAGGACCCTTTGCGGCGCCAGGACCAGCACCTTCAATGTCCCATATACCCCATTCGCCATCCTCAAGGAGTACGATCACTGCTTGACCGCCTAGAACCCACTCTGCATCAACAATTGTCTTTCGTCGAGGAATACCAGTGGGACCTTGCTCAAATCCGGGATGAAGGGTGATCAACCACCGACCCTCTGTATCGATAATGTCGTACTCTTCTTGTGGCAGCGAAGCTCGCCGGGCAGATTTTGAGGCCTTCTTGACAGAGAAGCACGAGTAGATTTTAACACACCCACTGTGGAATGCAACAAGCAGGTTAGCATGACGGACAGACGGCCATGCTGAGGGATTGAAGGAAATCGTCTGCGCGGGCGCGGGTAGGAGTCGTCGTTGGGAAATGATTTCCTCGTCCAAGAGACGATATGATCCTGAAGTTTCGCGGATAGGAATACGGTGCAACAAAAGGGAGCCACAGCCCTCCGCAGAATGGGTAGCCACGAGCAGATCCCATTTCCCGTAGGTTCCAAAGCGACCCCGCGATTTCCGCTGGTCTTGTTCCTCCTCAAATTCATGGCAGGTGAAGGTGAGAGATACACCACGGGGGATATCTTGGTGCGTCACAGTCCCGGTAACAGTGATAGTTTGAATCTTCCAGCTCTTGGAGTCGGTCTGTGCAGGGTGTGGAGGAATGATTGGCAGGGTCACGACCTTGGTCGATAGGTCTGAGCATACGACAGAAACAACAATGGTTGACCTCAAGATAGGTGGGAAGGGATCGAGGGGAGATCGCGCTTCTTCAGGGAGGACGCGAGGTACTGCCAGATCTAGCACTCGGCTTCCAAGGGGAATATCGATTTGTCGCAGAATCTCTTCGTACGGAGCCGCGGGGTCAACTTCGCTTTCCTCAGTACCAAATTCGACGCTGGGCTCCTCCTGTACTGGCTCAGGTTCTTCATCTTCATCGGAGTCAAGGATCATGACTGAGTCGTCTGCATGCTTTTCGGCGCCTTTCGATCGCCCTTCGGGTGCTTTTGTCTTGAGTTCTGAGAAGCGTCTTCCACCTCGCCAAACTACTTTCAAGCCAGTGTCGTAGCCATAGATAATGATCGATGATCCATTCGGAGCTCGAAGTGGGTAGCCCTTGGCAGTGTGAATACGATGGGGGAGCGGGTAGCTAAAGATTTTTGCACAACGCAATCAGCATCAATCCAAGCTAAAATGCAGGAGCGCATTGTTCGTACCTGATCTGAAGGCCATCATCCCTGGTCCGAACCAGGGGAGTTGTCGGGAATGAGGGCATTATGCTGAATGCGATGCTTTCGAGCTACTGCGAGCTTGAAGCACAGGCGCCAACGGGGGCACCACAGTTGAGATGAACAGTCGGGGACTATTGGCTGAAGAATAAATTCAATAGCTATGCGCTTCTCGTCAGAACAGAAGCAAAGCGAGAGGTCGACGTTGGAAGGGGAGAGTGGAGGGTTGAGTAGATGGAGAAAGGAAGTTGTTTTGGTCGGGAAGCAAAGAAAGTCGATCCAATCCGCGTTCCAGCGCGCTCTCCAACTCTAACATTTCACCACTCGGCATGTCTCTTGAGCGATACACCGTGACTTGAGCCGACAGCTACGATGGAAATTACCAATTCAAAAGTTTCGACCGCAAACCTGTTTGTAAAAGCGCACTGCCACCACTGCTGCTAAACAGCCCACCATGGCGTCCGTACGCTCCCTCGGCGTTCACGAACCTTCAGCCGTCTCCTACCTAGTTTCAGAGGAGATTCTTCCCCCAGAGCCCTCAGAAAGTCTTTACACCTGGACGATATGCACGGACGAAAGCGGATTGACTGGCCCCGTGGACGACGAGCTGGTATGGACGAAGCACTGCGTTGTATGGTCTCGTGCAGGGATGGTCAAGAGAGTCTTCCGGATGGATCCTGAGAAAGAAGAGATTCGACATGCTCTGTTCACCCAATTTGCTGTCGACCATATCAAGCACTCCGGCAATACGCCTCTCAGCCGCCCTGGAGGAACCACGGGGACACAAGGTGCACGAAAGCACGTTCAACGCAATGGAAAGCCGTCAGCACCGGAGGCTTTCTCGACCCTGGATCTGCATGGAGATGCGCGAGTAGCAGTCGTGGCTCCTCAGCAGTCCAGTGAAGCCCTTTCCAGAGCTCTCGTTGTGGTCCTTAAATCACAAGCCCACATCTTCTTTGTTGCGGGCAACAGCCATACTATCCCCCTTCCATTCGAGGTTGATTCTGTCTTTGCAACCCCGCGGGGCCTTATTTTCCAAAGAAAAGTTCTAGACGATGATGCCGGCCGTCAACCCCCAACTGCGCCACCTAATTCCTTTATGACTACTTCGCTATTTGATCCAGGCGCTTCACAGTCCTTTGGCATCCCAAGCGTGAAGAAGAGCAAGCGCCCTTCAACGAAGTCATCATCAACAAAATCACCATCAAATCCGGTATCTTCCTGGATACCAAAACCGAGCTCAAGCGCCGACCTCCCCCGAGTCTTCTCTCTCATCAATCCTCAGTCGGAGATGGGACTGGTTGTAACATCACAGACCTCCAAATGGCTCCAAAGCAGCGTGGGCAGTGCCAGAAGAAGACCCTCCGGGTTAGAAGTGTTGGATCCAGTGGACGAGATTGTATACATCTCTCCAAAAGACGAACTTTTAGGCACCAGCAGAGGCCCACTGAATGGGACTCCTTTGATCCTGGTAGTGACCGTCAACACGAGCACAGGAATCTATACTATTTGGACTGCGCGCTACAAAGACGATGAATCTGGAGGCTCGATGAAAGAGAAGGCGAGGCGAGAGACTGGGGGCACTCGATCAGTTCGGCGGAGCTCTCACTTCGGCATGGCCACTGGTGCAACAACCCCTGCCGCTCGCTCTGTGGCAGCCAGGGAGAGCTTCGGGCCGTGGACAGAAGAGCGGCCCTCCGCCCAACCATCTCTCACACGCACCGATCCCGAGAACGATCTGGCCTCGAGGGTAGCGCAAGATTTCGGGGATGTTGGTGTTCCTCTTAAAGCATCCAGACGAGTTAGCTCGTTACTTGCTCGTACCGATCTTGCGACAAGTCAGGACCGCATCACGTTTTCAGAGATGGCTACTGGCAGCCAGTCTAGCACCATGCCTCATGGTGTTGGACTGAGACAGTCCATTGGAGGAGCGAGCACGCGTGGTAGCTTTGGTTTCAATCCTCGAGGATCCCTGCCACCGGGCACAGGATCCGTGTATAGCACTGCAGGCAGTTTCCTCGATGCCCCCGTGGATAAGCTGCTCGAAGAGCTGAACAGCGATGGCATTTCCTCTGGATTCGAGAATACAGCACTGCGCGAATCTGCCTCAGGTCTCCCTGAAGAGCTCTTGTTAAACAAAGTTGAGAGCTTCTCCTCGCAATTCTCGGGTCCGGGAATTTTCCAAAGGTCCACTCAAGCGCCAGCATCCCACCGAATGAAAGTCTCTACATTGGCTTCCACGGACTATGGAGGCAATCAAAAGGGTCACACGGCCTCGTTAGCAGTATGTATTGTGGACAAGGTGTCACGAAACATGACGATTGTGAACTTGAGAGCAGATCGAGAATCACTCTCTAAGAGTCAAAAGAAGAAAGCTAAGTCTACTGGACAAAGCTCGGTTCTCGTCCGCGCGGTCAGAATCCAGAATGTGTCGAACGTCTTGGATGCTTGCAGGATCACAGATGGAGAAATTTCACGCATTATTTCACTGAGTGAAACCGATTCCAAAACCCGTGAGCTTTCGTTGCAAACCCTCTGGGGTAGCCCCGTGAAAGTGGAGGTCCCAGTGCCGTTACAGCTCTATGAACCAGATGGGATTTGTGCCAATAAACTTGAAAAGCGCCCAAGAGAAAGTGGTGTCCACCGAGTTATGGCCGATCCAGATCTAATCTTTAACAAATTTGATCATGGCTGCTCTCGAGGGAAAATTGACCTCGTAGACACAGATCAGCAGCGGCATCGACTGCAAATCCAGCTCGAGCCCCGCAATGACCTGGTGAAGAAAATCCTCAGGGTTTGCAAGTTTGCCTTGCGTGACTCTGATAAAGCAGGCGATGGCCTCATGGTTGCTTGGTGGGAGGTTATCAAGTGGCTTCAGGGCAAGGAGGACCTCGAAAATGACCTCGAATGGACCGCCATGACTGTTGTCTTGTTGAGTTTGGCTGTTCCCTTTGTGTCCCCTCCACTAATGCCAGCAACTAAACGAACTCGTCGCAAGAAGAGTCTCCTTAGGTCGAGCAGCGGAGGAAACCTGGACCTGGAAAGCTGGGAGACCATGCTGGATCTGGAATCTGGTCCAGCAGGCGTTGTAGCGCCATGGATGATGGAGAGCTCTTGGGGATGGATCGTTGAACAAGATGCGATTGAGAACCCTCCAAAAACGGCACACAAAGCAGATGCCCAGGCCAGTGGGAGTCTCTCTACGTATCGCCCCAACTCACATTTACTCCGATGCATCGCCCTCAGTCGTGAATTCCTTCGAAGCCCTCAGGGTGCTCGAGCCGTTGGCCATGACGGGTACCTCCCTATTTCAGAAGCGTTTTCCGAGAACACAAGATGCACTGCTCTGTGTAGCGTTGTTGTGGCCCTGCACTTACTCCGCGAAGAACAGAAGCTATCCATCTGCGATTCAGAAGAGTCCAGGAGACCTCTGGGATTGTTGGCTCCTGTCCTCGCCCAGCTGGGCGGCTGGCTAGGCTGGGAATCCTGGAATGGAACCGATGATGCCTACTATGGTACAGAGATGACCAGTATGGAACGTTGGCGGTTCGAAGACAACACCTATATCTCCGGGCTCAAGATCCCCGATGAGCCTTTCCCACCTCCATCCATCTTTGAGTTCCTCATGAGCGCTGCTTCTCATCGAAATCCTTCGCCGTTCATTTCGCTTCTGGACATCGTGAATGCTTCTGAGCGAACCCCTCGAAAAGGTCGAATGTGGCGTGAGTGTTTCAACCTCACGCCAAGGACCTGTGCATTGAACGGCTTCTTTTCTGAGGTTCATAGTGTGTCGACGCCATTGGAGAAGATCAAGCTCTTGCAGCGCTGGGGATTCACCAAGAGTGTCATTGATAGCTTCCCTGAGGGTGTTGGTGCTCCGCTTTACGAAGCGGTGCTACAATGTCAAATCGAGGCCTCGACGTCTTGGAGCGCAGCGCTCCTGGAGCTGATTGACCGTGAAGACCTTTACATGTCAATGAATTCGGCTCAGGCGAATTCAGTGGCAGTACCACAGCAAACCGTGCTATCTCACGATGCCATACGTGATTTCCACTACATTAGTAGTTCTGCATTGAATACCGATGCCATTAATGCCTTTGAGGCATCCGCGGAGGCGGATCGGTTCTCCGTCACCAGGCTAATCTTCAAGGAAGACAAGCGGTTCCACGAGGCAGCCAGACTCTTAAACCAATCCAAGGCACCAATAGCGGAGTGCATTGCCGAGCCTGGTTGGAGAGATCAGGACCTCTTGGACGCGCAAAAGGAAATTGTGCAGCTTGTGACAGTCCGAACACTGTCAACCCCGACTGGTCGTGCAATGCTCACGTTTAGTGGTAGGTTACCATTGTTGACAGAGAAACTTCCTATTCCATCTTTTTCCTTGCAGTGCGTCATGAAGCCGGACAACGTGACAGTCGGCGCGGACAGAGCTTTGTTCTCGGAAGAAAAGGTCTGCTGGGCCTTTTTCCACAACGGGGTGTCTACCGGTCTTGCGATTTCCAAAGCTTCGAAGGGCATTGATACGTCATGGATCTTGTTCAATAAACCAGAAGACTTGACGAATCGACATGCTGGTTTCTTGTTAGCTTTGGGTCTAAATGGTCATCTCAAATCACTGGCCAAATGGGTTGCTTTCAAGTATCTCACGCCGAAGCACACTATGACATCCATCGGTCTCCTTCTTGGACTCTCTGCCTCATACTTGGGCACAATGGATACTCTCATCACACGGTTACTTTCGGTGCATGTTACAAGAATGCTCCCCTTTGGGGCAGCTGAGCTGAATCTCTCGCCATTGACCCAAACTGCTGGCATCATGGGTATTGGTATGCTATACTGTGGCTCTCAGCATCGTCGTATGAGTGAGGTCATGCTTTCGGAGATTGAAAACAGCGAGCATGACGAGCAAGCTGCCTCCCAAGAAGATCTGCGCGACGAGGGATACCGCCTGGCTGCAGGGTTCTCCTTGGGTTTCATCAACCTTGGGAAAGGCGATGACTTACGTGGTATGCGAGACATGCATATCGTTGAGCGTCTACTGGCTATTGCCGTGGGGACGAAAAACGTGGACATTGCGCATGTACTTGATCGCGCCACGGCTGGCGCTACCATTGCCCTCATGATCATTTTCATGAAGACGAATGACGCAGTCCTAGCCAAGAAAATCGATATCCCTGACACCACTGTGCGCTTTGATTATGTGCGACCAGATTTGTTCCTGCTGAGAACATTGGCACGACACATCATAATGTGGGACAGTATCAAACCTACTGCTGAATGGATCAGCCAGAGTCTACCTGAGGTATACCGAGGACGATCTCGGCTCACAGATGTACATCGACTGCGCAGTGAAGACATGCCATTTTTCAACATCATTGCGGGTCTTTGCTTTGCACTTGGTCTCCGTCATGCTGGATCAGGACAGGCTCAAGCAAGAGATCTGCTGTTGTTCTACCTGGATCAAATTATTCGCATTTCCAGGCTACCCGTCCGAAGCTACGATGCTAGACTCGCACGCAACTCGGTACGGAACTGCCAAGATGTTGTAGCCCTAGCTGCTACTGCTGTCATGGCTGGCACGGGTGATATTGCACTGTTCCGCCGTCTGCGTTCGCTCCACGGCCGAATCGACGCTGACACGACCTATGGCAGTCACATGGCGGCGCATATGGCGATTGGTGTGCTCTTCCTCGGGGGAGGCAGTTACACGCTTGGGACATCCAACCAGGCTGTGGCATCGCTGATCTGCGCCTTCTATCCCATCTTCCCAACCACTGTCCTCGATAATAAGTGCCATCTCCAGGCTTTCCGTCACCTCTGGGTTCTCGCTGCAGAGCCACGTTGCCTCGTGCCTCGTGATCTTGATACTCGCCGCCCTATCTCCATCCCTATAACTATCACATCTCACGACGAGTCTATCCGCACCGTCGGCGCCCCGTGTCTCCTACCAGACCCCAGCGGTATCACCCGCATTGAGATCCGCGGGCCCGATCATTGGCCTCTTGTTCTGGACTTTAGCCAAAACGACACCCTCCGCGATAAATTCCTCCGCGGTGATCCCTCTGTCTACCTCCGCCGCAAGGCAACCTACAATCCAGCAGGCTCCTCGACTTCTGTTTTCGCCTCGACTTTGACTGGCCTCAGCGAAGCGCAGGATATCCTTCCAACGGCCACCGGCGGGGCCTCAAATCCAGCCAAGGCACCTCCTCCCTCGGCCTGGCCAAACCGTCTGGCTTTACTTGCCGGTAAACAATCCGCATCGACGTCACCATCCCAAAATCCCTGGGACTGGGTTTTCCACCTGCCATCTCTACAAGACCTCGATATCCGCGAGCGTTCCCTTGTCCTCCCCTCATCCTTCCCAATGCGCTCGGCTCGAATCACGAACGATCTTGTCTCGGCACCCCCATGGCTACGGAACTCAGCTGTGGATGCACGTCTCGCATTGTCCCATACTGTGCGCAATATTGTACAATCAGCACGCGGCCGTGGTGCTGATCCCGATCAGATTCGTGATCGGATCTGGCAACTTCGCTTGTTGTTTGATTGGTTAGATCGCACTCAGCCTGGCGAAGAGCGCGATCACCTCTCTAGGCAAGTGGCTTCTCAGGGAGATCAAAAGCTCCAGCGTTCTGGACTTTGGTTGCGAAGAGACTTCATTGAAGATGCCAAATGGCAGATTTGGGGAGTGCAGGTTGGCGATCGAGTTGAGGGCTCATAATTAGCCGTGTAAGGTAGATTTATTCTAATATTTCAACTATCTCTTGTACTCTGCGTAAAGACTTAAGACTCAATATTATCCACATGCGATAGCTCCTCCCCACCCGCGGTGGGGGTCTCCGGGTATCTCTCCAATTTCCATCCGCCCTGTTTCTCTTCCATCTCACTCTCTTGCTAAGCTGACTGTAGCTCTCTTCTTGCATAACTCTTTCACAGGAACGCCAATTGCATACCATGACCCAGGAAAAGCGACCCCCATCCCAGCGGGGTGAGTACCCAACTCCAAAGCCAATCGCAAACTAACCCTAGACTCAGTATGGGCTTCATTAATCACCAACCTCTCCTATCTGCCCGGCTTATTGACCCTCCATCACTCCCTCAACAACCCAGCACCAGACTCTCATACCGCAACAACCTCACCAACTGCTACCCAAGCTACGAAATACCCATTCGTAGCCTTCTACACCTCCACCTTCCCAGCAGAAGGTCTGGACGTACTCCGGGCACGCGGCATTAAAGCACAATTGGTTCCCTCCGTGACGCCAGCCATCACAAGGAAATACGCGCAAGACCCGCGCTTCGCCGAGACATGGAATAAGCTCATTGTCTTCTCTTTGGGGGAGTATGACCGCATCGTACTGCTCGATGGCGACATCATAGTTCGCCGGAATATGGACGAGCTCATGGACTTACCGTTAGACGAGAGTGATGGACGTGTCTTTGCAGCGGCGCACGCTTGTGCCTGCAATCCCATGAAAAAGGCCCATTACCCCGCGACTTGGTATGGCCCTCCCCACATTATTTCTGTGGCGCGACATGTCATTAGACCGTGAAGTTTAAAATACAATGACTGACAACATCCAGGGTCCCAGAAAATTGCGCATATACTACGCAACACTCCGCGGCGACGGCAGCGCAGAAAACGGCTCCACCTCCCGGGGCTGGAGTCGGGATGCTCAATAGTGGTGTGCTTGTTGTCCGGCCGTCGGCTAGGAGTTATAGTGAGATCACATCTGCGCTACAAGAGACTGAGCGGATTGACAAGTACGATTTCCCGGATCAAGAGTTGTTGTCGGATGTCTTTTTGGGACGGTGGGTTGCCCTGCCGTATGTGTACAATGCGCTGAAGACACTGCGTATGGAGGGGGTGCATGATGCTATTTGGAGAGATGATGAAGTGCGGGCTGTGCACTACATATTTGCAACGAAGCCTTGGCATGAGACATACAAGGAAGGGGAGACGGAAGGGCTGGATGAGACAGGGATCTGGTGGTGGAGGGCCAATTGGGAGAGAATGGCCAGGGAGAGGAAGACCGGTGTTGAAGATCAATTCTCACGGTCGTCGATCTGATGGGGCTAGAGAATATTTCTGGCATTGAAGTTGGGAGTAAAGATATATTTGCCTTGGTTTTCATTTCTGGTGTACCTGTATATAGACGACTTTACTTGTACATATCAACTTGGATGATCGTATTGATATTGACAGATAGTAATAGTGATAATGATATAGATGTCAGATTGAACGGTCCCGAACCCGGGGCATATCTGCAGTTCAATCTGACTATATCCCAGGGGCCATGCAACCATTTGCATCATCGTAACCACCCATTTCATTTGTACAACTACTTAGCCCTCATATCCAACAGCGGACAGGTCTTTGCGCACTGCATCCTCGGTCTGGATCTTCTTCATCTGCGTATCCTCCAGCTTCTCACCACCGGCAAGGCGCATCTTGAGCTCATCAATGGCACGGATCTTCTTAAGAAGACCACGAATCTTCTTGTCTTGAGCAGAAGGGTCCTCGACGGGAGCGGCGGGGACGGGAGCGGGAGCAGGAGCAGGGGCGGGAGTGGACTTAGCAGCACCGTTGCCGTTGGGGGTGTTCTTGCCTCGACTGCGGCTGCGGTCTGGGCTAGGACCAGTGGGCGCATTGGCAGGGGGAGCGTTCTCACCATCCTCCTTAGACTTCTTGGCCGCCTCGCGCTTCTTCTTGTTCTTGGCGGCAGACTTGGACAGATTCTCCGAAGGCAGGGCGACGCCACCACCGGGAGCGGCTCCAGGAGGCAGGTACTCCTCAGTGGGCTCAGCACCGGGGATCTCACGACGACGGGGCTTGCCGAAGCCGTTCATGCTAGCGCCAGGAACGCCATCACGAACGAAAGCGGCACCACCTTCATCCTCACGCTTGAAAGCGAGGGGAGTAAGCTGACCACGCGCACCGGGGGGACGGTAGGCGCCGGCTGGCTTGACAGGAGCCTTGCGGGTGCCCATGTAGGCTGTCGCAGAGGGGTGGGGGGTGGGAAGCTTGGTGAGCGGCTCACCCAGCGGGTGCTGCTCGATGCTCTGTGGGTGCCAGGTGACGTCGTAGAGCTCGGTCATTTCTTCGTTGTACATGAGTCCACCGCTCAGGTGCCAGATGCGCACACCGTTGTCGACACGCAGACGGGGGCTGGTAGTCGCAGTCAGAATGTACTGTCCATCGGGCGACCAGGCACACACGCTGGCGTTGGAAGCTTCGACAGTGGTGATCTTGTGGTAGTTCTTGTCCATGTCGTAGAGATCCATCTGTCCAGCCAAGTTACCGAAACCGGCGACCAGCACAAATCGACCGTGCGGGGAGAACTGGATGGTGTTTCGGGGGGCGAGGGGGAAGTTGTGCTTGGGAACACCACGGAAGTTGAAGATGGTGGTCTTAGCAGGCATGTAGCCGTATACAACACCAAACTCCTTCGAGTTGGGGTTCCAGCTAACGTCGTGGATAGGTCCTTCCTTATCTGTTGATCGTCAGTAATCAAATTCCCAGCGTATAATACGGGGGAAATACATACCGAGGTCAATACGCGAGTCGAATGCACCGCTGGCGCTCAGCAAGTATAGAGTGGTCTCGCCGTAGTAACTCTTGCCAGTACGGTCAACCTCAGTCTGCGCAAGAACAATCAAGGTAGTTCCGGAGGCGTTCCACTTCAGCTGAACCTTGTCACCCTTGAAGAAGCTCTTCTGGGAGACAGGCGCAGAGAATTGAGGCACAATGAACACCTTGACCTGGGCAGGCTGACCCTTGCGCTCAGGAATGAACACTGCAATCGACTGAGTCTGACCAGGCGAAAGTGCAAAGTCCGACACACCCTCCACACGCAACTTGTTCCAGACAGTGGACAGATTGTCACTCTGGTAGAACTGGACCTCATTGGTGACGGTGCGAGCGCACAGCTTCTCATCGGCAGAGTATTGCAAGTTCCATCCGGTCTGCGACTTCTGGACGAAGCTACCCACAACCGAATGTTCATCTCCGGCCTCAATGGCACGCCACACCTTCAAGTTCTTGACGGCGTCTCCGTTCGCATCCTTAGACGTACGCTGCCAGGTGATCACGTAGGTACCGAGCGGGGAGAAACCCAGCTCGAACACGTTATCAGCCGGGATGGTCCCGACGACATGGCCGACGGAGGGGTCGACGATGGTGACCCTAGTGAAATATGATATTAGCACATGACGTGAGAACAGAGCAAGATCAGCTTACTTCTCAGGCGAGGCCCAGGCGTAATACCGGCCACATGGCGAGTAGGCGCTACAGCGGAGGTTACCCTCTGGTCTGGCGGACAGGTCAGTGATAGTTCCTCAGAAGTTTTAGGCTGAAATTCCTACCTCTCGAATCCCGAGAGAGGCTGGTAGACGGGCGCGGCATCCATGATACCAATGCCCTTGAGCGTGCGGTCTGTATGACGAATCAGCGATGATTCCATGACACATGGGAAGTTGGCATCGACACTTGACCAGAAGTCAAACACAAAGCACAGGGAACAATATCACGCACAAGCAAGTTGCGTAGGAGCTGCCATGTTGATCTTAACTCGCGAGTCTTGAGAAAATCCACTGAATGAACGATAATCGAATGCTATTCCAACAGAAGCGCAGGGAGAGACGGGTCTCAATATAAAGAGGCGCGGGTCACGGAGCGATCTGAAAGGGCCAAAAATAACCTGAGAAGAACGGTTAAAGGATCGTGGAACAAAGCGTATCGAAACGTCGAGAAATCGCGGACGCGTTCACAAAAACGGTGATAATAGGAATTGAATCGGAAATGAAGACTGCTAGACAAGTCAATGCCAGCAAAGGGTCGAAGAGGGTGGGTTTGGAGGGGAGGATGAAGAGTGAAGAGTGAAGAAAGAAAATTCGGGTGTTGTGAAGTGGCTCGGCGGCATGCCGTCATCTACATAATCAAGGACCACTTCTTTATAGATCTATATCTATCACTTCTTTATGTTTTATATATCTAGTCAGTATCACTATCACTCTCAGAAATGAGAATGGCCTGGTGAGGTCTCTCTGCACTTGCGGCGATCTTTACCACTGTACAACGTACTCAGAAGACAGGTGGCAACGTGGAGGGGAACGGGTCCAACCACAAAGACTGCAGCGCACGCGATCAGATGTATTGTTCTCGTGGATTGAAGAGTACTGCAAAAGGTCAATTGTGATATTCGTCTCCATAGTTCATTCTTTTAGAATTACACACAATTGGAAAGACTCCAGGATACAATTCAAAAGCCACAAACTAAACGCCATCGTAAAAAAGTCCTAATCTACTTGATGGAAGTAGAATCTAGTCCCGACCCGGTGAGCCAAATCCATTACTACCCAACGGCGTAGCCACTCGTGGGGTTCGAGCAGTGGTATCAACAACACCCGAATCAAATGTCATCCCATCAACCATGCGGGCATCCTCATTCAAAGGTTCGGGAGTACTCGAGCCCGCGGGCGAAGGTGAAACCATCGATCTTTCACCAGCATGATACTGCTGCTGTTGCAGATACGAAGCGAGAGCATTGGGACGACTGACATTCGAGCTCATGGAGGGCGGGCGGTTACCGTGACCGGACGAGATGCGATTCAAACCCGGGGGGCGCGAAGTCGGGCCACTGATCGTACTGTTTGCGCCTTCACCGAAGCCGACCAAGCTGGCATTACTCTCACTGATATTGCCGACGCTATCGGTCTCGTCGTCGTGGTCTTCACTCATTTTGTCAGCGTCGTAAACATCGCTGCTACTGGCCCAGGTTGTCCGGCCACCGAGACTACCCGTTGCACTGGCGCTGCCGACGGTGCTGCGCTCTTTCAGCGGCTGACTCTCGAAGTAGCCCGGGGCATAAGATGTGGGGACTTGGCCGGATGTCTGGTTGCCGGCGCGGGCTGTGGCGACTCGCTCAAGACCAGCGAGTCGCGAGATGCGATCTGCTCGTTCGGCTTCTAGGGTTGTGGCTGATGAAGTGGAGGAATGGTGAGCGTGACGACCATGGGGGAAGTGGCCCTGGTGGCCGTCTTTGATGGCTGTGGTCGAGAGGGCGGAGAGGGATGTAGTTCCGGAGTTAGGGGTGCCTCTGAATTCCCCCACCCAAAGTCAGTTAATTTCCTTACAGATTCACATGGCGGAGTAAATTGAAGGTCTTACGGTCCCATATCAGACGGGGTGACCGGGTCCGATGGGGGAGGCGGCAAGTTGATTAGAGTGGGAGTGGTCATGATGTTTGTAGATGGAGAATTGGAAGGAGTGAGAGAGAGAGAGAGAGAGAGAGAAAAGACAAAAAAGAAAAAAAGCAACTGGGTCAGAGTTAGTAAATTATCAAGGGTCACAAATACAGATAAAGTGAAAGGAGTCACGGAGGCCAAAATGTCTAAATAATTAATCCCGACGTCATGTTCCGTGTCAGACCAATAATCTTTGTTTCAGCTACGGTATTTCAATTACCTGGTATGGTTACTGCGATTCATACATTCGTATACAGAACAGCCTGCTGTTCTCCTTCACTTTCGATTCTCATAGTGTCCTCGCAGATCATCCACCTCTTTCTGCAACTTGGTGAGGTCCGCCAGGATGTCCAGGGCGTTGGAAGGAGGCTGGTTCTCTGGCTTTGGAACCGGTACACTATCACTACTACGGATCATAGAGTCTCGCGTCCTTCGTGGTGGTGGGGGTGGAGGTGGTCCTGTTGAGCCTGCTGCACTCCCCGAAGTGCCGTAGGACGAAGCTCGCCGTCCGGCCTTCAGGGAAGCTGGTCTAGAAGTAGTAGGAGGGGAGACGTTCAAGGAAACGTCGGCAAGGGGGGTCATCGGCTGGAAACCCCCCGAAGACGGCGGGGGCATGCTGATTCTCTTGTGCGCAAGAGATCGGGTGGATGGACCCGGACTGGAAGGACGAGAGCTATGATTGCTATCGGAGTCGTATGAAGACAGTGTTAATCGGTTGTGTTTGGACTGTGTGGACTTGGATCTCTGCATTTGGCTACGCCGTCGACTGAGCGGTGGTGTTGGGGGACGCTTATTCTGAGAGTGACTGCGTGTGAGCGAACCCGTCGCTTCCGTTGCCCTCTGGTCGTCCGTTGAGGCCGACAAGTAGTCGGCAGTTGATGGCAGCGACACCGTACTGGGATTTGAAGCACCAGATGTTACACTGCTAGGGAAGCCATGGATCGAGAGACGGTTTGTAGACCGAGACCGGTCTGCCTGGGCTGGTTCTGTGCTTGTAGAGCTGATCCTTCGCCCATGATGGCTTTTTGGCGGAGGGGGAGGCTTCCTGTCTCTGCGGTTGGGAGGACTAGCACTTGTTTCCAGCCTTGGGGACGGCTGTTCTGTCTCAATAATTGCGTGCTGGAAGGTGTCCGGGGACGCGTCAGGGGCTGCACCCCTTATTGACCGCATACTGCGGTCGGGCGAAACGGAAGATGTGGAGGATCCATCTGGTGATGGAGCTTGGTGTGGAGCAGGCCCAAAGGATGCTGGGCGATCATCGGATGCTGTCCAGTGGTTTGGCCGATTGTCTTCATCGCTGTCGCTGGCCGACACGTTCGGATGGAACGGGTTTGTATCTTGGTCGGAGCTCGAGTCGTCCACCTCGCGCTCGAGGGAAATTGAAGACTTTCCGTAACCGTTCGGGGCGGCTGGTGGGGTAAACTGCGACTTGGATAAAACAGGGGCAATAATGGAGGGAGGCAAGCCTGAATCGGGGGTTCCTGTCTCACGGTCCCATTAGCAACATGCCATCTTGACTCGGGATGAGACGGGGACAGCAGAGCCAATGCACAGGATTTACTCACCCAGATTCCTGGCGCGAAAAGGATTCGATCCGGCCATCGCAGAAGGTAAATCACATCCAACGACCAGAGATGGGGGGGAAGAGGAGTGGTTTCCCCGCCATGTTCTGTTCCTAGACGCCGCTTTTCCGTTCGAGGCGTCCGGCTGTCCCGGTTGTAACTACACAGTACATCGGCCTGAATATTAATGTAGTGTTCAATTTGACTTGTCCCTTCCTATGGTACAGGAAAATGGGAAGATATGATACAGAAAACACGCTGCTCAAAGTCCGATATGCTGGCGAATAAAAGATAAAATAACCTCCCCTTATGCCCAGAGTTCCATCAACGCTCATGATACACATGCCACGTCTCTTCGTCCTCGAAGAACTTATGTGCTAGACGCTTGCCACTCTCGGTGGGCTGGCTGAATGCGATTTGGTCCTTTGTTATTTCCATGCCGTAGATAAAGTTGATCACCACGCAATCGAGGAGATCCAAGGCGATTCCCTTTCGCCGCGAAGATCCGGAGGTCCAGATGCGAGACACCCCGACAATCGCCGGGTGGACTTCATCCTTGGTGGAGACAGAAGAATTGTTTGCGCCATTTTGTTCCGTGGCGACCGGTCGCGACTCCCAGATGCGTTCAGTCAGACAGAGGCCAACACAGCGACTGTCTTTCATATGAAGGAACACCCGGTAACGGTCAACCTTCTCCGTAGAACCGTCTTTTAAATGTTCAGGAGGTTCTGTCTGGCCCCAGAGAGTCTCATCGTCAATCTCCGGTGATGAGAGCTCCTTACTGACCACCTCGAGAACCTTCTTCGCCTGGCTCTTGGCGCTCGGTGACGACTTGCGATCGACAATAACCACGTATCCCTCATCGAATCGAGTCGCTTCGTAAATCCAGCGAGAGGCATTTGCGCGTAGGAACGCCTTGCCCAGATCAATTCCCGTCGCATTCATCTCGTGGAACTTTTTATGCAATGCCGCGTCTTCCGTGTTTGACGGGATATATTCCATTCCGCAAGTAGCGCAGGTCTTTCTCGTGTCAGTGCCCAGATCAATCTGCATCTGGCGCATGACCGGTTGCTTCTGACCCTTCTGCTTGGGCAGGTCGGAGGATCGCACACTGTTGGAGTTGACCTCCGTCAACGGCGAGCCGGTCGGGGCATCCTTATGCTTTCGCTTCATAAAGGAGAAGGTTGGCTTGCGCGTATTTGCTGGTGGTGGGGTTAACCGTGGGGGTGGCGATGATGGTGGTGTGGTGAGATCGTCTATATCGTCGAGGGTGCCTTCTGACAACACCACGGAGTTGCGACGCGATGGGCTTGATAGCACGGCAGCAGAGGACTCGCGGATAGCATATTGTAGGTTTGTTTCAGCTTCATCCGACTCATCTTGCACGCGTCGCTTTTTAGCGGCGCGCTCGTCATCATAGACGCGCCATGTCGGTCTTCCGTAAGTTTTCATAAGGCCTCTGAAGTGGGATTAGCTTCTGCGCAAGGGAGAGTGGGATGATACATACCTCTTAAATGAATTGGTCACTGTCCACGGCATGGCCCTGTATTCCCAAAATTTTCAAGGCATTCAAGGTGGGATGAAGTTGAGAAATTGGCAGGTTTACACCTGACGGCACGCGCGGGACGCTAATCTCTTTTAGGTCATATTGTTTCGGTGACCAACGGCGCACTTACCAGCTTTCTTTCTCTTCTGCAGAACTCCAGTGGAGTTGAGTATCAGAAATAGTGGATGGATAGGGATGGTTGAGATGTATGTTAGAAGGAAGAAATTAATGGAGAGTATGGTGGGAGTTGGGAAGATGAGAAGACGGGCTGGGCAGATACTGGACAATAACAGCTCTCGCCACCGGAAGTTGTGAGTAAGGGGATTTTATAGAAATGAAGATGAAGCTCTTCGTTCACCAGCCATCTCTTTGTAATGTCAAATTCCTGAGTTTGGTATGCTGGAAACATTTGCTCCCCCTTTCTTGTGTCAATGTTGCAACTTCCAACAACTTTTCGGAGTGCTACAAGGTCAAACAGAATCATATACGCGAACCCAACAGGCTCCAATCCCCCTTTCTCGGCCAATGGGGCTATTTTGTAGTGAGTCTACGGAGTACGGGAGATTAAAATATGACGCCCTACTGCTGCTCCCCCCCTGGCTGTGGTGCCAAGGCATAGACTTCTAACCCGTCTGTGGCCAGTAAGGCTTCCCGCGGTGTGCTCCGTAAGGACGCGTTGATTGACAGCTTGACTGCTATTTCCCGTCACAACGCTGCTCTGCCCACTGTGCATCCAGCTTCACTGTTCACAGCCCACTGGGGGCATTGTCTCCAAAGTTACCAATTTGCCGCCGCGCCGGGGCCAACACGAGCGATTTGCTGATTGGGTCAAAGTCTGTGAAGGATCATCCGTCCTCATCCACTGATTGGTCTTCGCGGGGACATTAGCCAGCAGGTTACGAGGACAAGAAAAGGCCCCCAGATCCCACCGTGCATGGGTATACAGCATAGAGTTCACTGGACTCGGTGGCGACTCGTGGGCTCTTGGCCTGTCATCTGGGGAAATCAACGTCTGCTGCAACCCGGTCGCTGGACTTTGGGGTCGAAAGGCGTCATTTCCTCTGTCTCTGGGAGATCTTGATGTCAGATCCAACATAAGCAGGCCGTTCACACCGAATGGGGTTTCTGCTTGTCCTGGGATTTGGTCCCCTGGCGCTTGTATCACCTTGCCATTCAAAATCATCGATGGCCACTCATGGCCTCTGGAAACATGCTGACACTTCTTATATCACTGGACCAGAGGCTCTCATGGGCTCCGAAGAGACGGACAGGAACCAGTTGGATTGGGTTGCGCAAGGTCACCAACGCAGCTGGCAGTTGTTACACATCCTCGTACTCACTATTCTAGGCTATTAAGTCCATGCTACAGAGAGTTCCCCAGATCCAGGCTTTCCAAGGTTGGCTACAAGCTGGTTTTATTTTTTTATCTTTTTCTATTTTTCAAATCATATCTGGGTACGGAGTATGCACTATGCTTTTCATACCGTTGGACAGTATGATTATTCGAGGGTACTGAACAGAGTGCTACAGATGTAGCTATTCTACCGTGTGCCAACCTGGTCTGGTACTAAGTAATATTTCAAGAAAACCGTAAATCGTAGACATGGTGCCTGAGAGACTCCTGGGGTATCTTGAAGACGATCTTACGGAAGATTGACAACGGTGCCTGGAGCTAGTGCTCGCTATTTTCTTAGCATCTCGGAAACCGTTGGTTCATACGTGGTAGAGCGACCTCAAAATAGAATAAGGCCAGCAGTCCAAGAGTCCGATCAAAGCTACTCCGTACAGAATACAGAAGAATATTTTGTAAAATGGAGTTACAGAGCTGACAATGTCGGTTGCATGCACTCGTGAACTCGAACTACATGTCAGACTCCGCTCCGTAGCCCGGCCCGACCTTTGCCCCCAAAACTTTCTGCTTAAAACTCTTCAACTTCAGTCACAATCATTCAAACCACCACAATGTCGGAACAAGAGCAAGCTGCTGGCAAGAGAAAGCGTGCGAGTAAGTGTTTCTGAATTTCCTCATGTCACATCTCCTTTTTCTTCACATGGGCCAACCCTTGCTTGCACACATGTCGGTCGGACATTTGGACGTGCTCCGCACCTACACTTGATCCGCCTTGGGCGAAGCAAAATTTGCACCTGTCATGACAAGGGGGTTTATAGTCAATACTTGGCTTCCAGGTCAATAGTTCTCAATTGGGCTACGTGTGTGACCTATCGGGCCCAATTCCCCCTTGTCACTTCTCTGTTTTTACCCCTCCTGCATACTTTGCCTCTCCAAATGTCTAACGGTCTATCTACAGGGACCCAGTCGTGCCCTCCTCCTGAGCTGCCCCAGCTGGTTGCGGAGCAACATCTTGCCATTCCTTCTCACGACAAGGACACTCAGCGCCTGATTGTGGTTCTCTCCAATGCCAGCTTGGAAACCTACAAGGCGGTCTCCAGTGGCCGTAGTGGCACCAAGGATGAGAAGTTCTCTTTGCTCAACAGCGATGAGCACATCGGTATCATGCGCAAGATGAATCGTGATATCAGCGAAGCTCGCCCCGATATCACTCACCAGGTACGATTCAACATCGCCCGGGTCATCTGAAACCACAAGAAACAGACACAAGAGACATTGTAAATCTAAGAACGTCTACTAACCAACCGCAGTGCCTTTTGACTCTGCTTGATTCGCCCGTCAACAAAGCCGGTCGCCTCCAGATCTTCATCCACACCGCCAAGGGAGTTTTGATCGAGGTTAACCCCTCTGTCCGCATTCCCCGAACTTTCAAGCGGTTCGCCGGTCTCATGGTTCAGCTGCTCCACCGCCTCTCCATTCGCTCCACCAACTCACAGGAGAAGCTGCTGAAGGTTATCAAGAACCCCATCACCGACCACCTCCCTCCCAACTGCCGTAAGGTGACTATGAGTTTCGAGGCACCCTTGGTGCGCACTCGGGACTATTTAGAGTCTCTCAAGCCCAACGAGAGTGTCGCCATCTTTGTCGGTGCCATGGCCAAGGGTCACGATGACTTTGCCGATACTTTCAAGGATGAGAGCATCAGTATCAGCAACTACAGTCTGAGTGCCAGTGTGGCCTGTAGCAAGTTCTGCCACGCGGCCGAAGAGGTCTGGGACATCCTGTGAAAAGCCAGATTGGAGCGGCAATCGCGCCTACTGTGTGCGCGTCATGTGTCGTCGCCGGCGACACATATTACCTTCCGGCTCTGGATTTCTCACGGGCGGAAATGAGATTGCACCCCAGTGACCGCCTCAATTGGTCTTGGAGTGTTATTCTTTTGAGTGTTTCGGGTTTGTTGTTTTCTAAAAAAGCCCACCTCTGCCTTTTTATCTCTCTGTTTTGTTTTAGGAGAATGCTACATAGACGGCAGCTACCAAGCGTCGGGATTCATCCCAGGTCGCTGTGTTTGTCTGCTTTGGGGTTGAGAGGACTGTCGAGAGTCTTCTCCCTCATCTCAACACACGGGTCGGATGGCATTTGGTTCCTTTTCGCCAATCCTGAACCCTTGATCTTCCATTGTTGGTTTCGACTGCGATGCGTTGACCAGAAAAAGTGAACAGCACATAGATCGGGGCCATTGATTTGGATCCTGAGGAGCACAGGTTTTCGAATTTGTGTTCAATATTATATCATATATCCACATTTTGTGCTTTGTACCGGGTAGATTTTGTAGCGGTCTATCCCTCTACACCATACTCGTAATCCATACCTAGGTACTCCGGTAGAACTACTCGTATAGTCGATGCAGTCATTGTACATAGTTAATGTCAATAGCTCAAGAGCGCAGATAGCGTAACGGCCATGTCCTCCGTAGTCCGTCAAACTAGTACTAGGTATAACGTATCTTTGTCGACGTGGCCACGCCTCACTTTGAGCCCACGAATCGGGTGGACTAGTTCCATGCACCTCTGCCCATCGCATTATTGCAAAAGAGAGACTAAGTTTCTAAGAATATGACACCCCTATCAAACATTGAGAGCCCTGTACTCCGTAGGTACTCCGTACTGTAGGTACGCTGCAAATTAAAATGACTGAGTCATTTAAGAGTAAGTCAGCAACCCGAATAGTGGCGGTCAGCACACCTACAATCTTGTAGGCCCTTCGGACGAGAAAAGAACCCACCTCGACAAGAATTTCCTTCTGGCCCCTGCACTACCCCACTGCGAGGTCGCTATTTGCTCTGTGCAGGACAAGTAAGCCAGATGCCCACTTAACCTTCATAGGCTCCTGCACGGCCTGAACAGACGCCCCATCCGCCATGACTAGAACCCACTTGGACTCCCCGCGATGACCTGGCAGCAGGGTTCATCCAATCGCTGGGGTCACAGGCGTCTCACCATTCAAACGGAGATTGGGCTGCGCATCCGAAAACAGCCAGGAACAGGAGACCCTTCCTCACTGCCGATATGGGCCTATGGTTTCTTTGGGCCTCATCCCGTCGCCTCGTGAATGACTATCCATTGGAGTGGTGTTTCAACCGGCGCCGATCTCTCGATCGGGACTGTACATTGTACAGCGTATCTCCGTACTGGACAATGAGTTGATCATGTCTGGCCAATCGTGTCCCACTCGCCCCGACTCCGTACAGGAAACCGGAAGTTCCACCTCGTTGGAGGGGCTGGGCTCTCAGAACATGCGGTGTTCTTTGACTTGGGCAGGATTTCAGGAGATTGCTACTTTTGGATTAGAGTCACACGGCGGTTCGCACTGGCAAGCTTCGGCCTCGTGGTTGTGTCATAGTTCCCATACACCCTCACCGTATATATCCTCCTTGCCTGCAATTTAATCGTCCCCTCTCTCTTGCTATTTATCCATTCAACTCTCTCGTTCTTTTTTGCAATCCAACACAATGCCTGTCTCACACATCACCCTCACGGTCTCTCACCTGCCGACCTCAACGTCCTTCTTCTTATCATGTCTGCAACCATTGGGATACCAATTCATTGGGCGGCATGACGACTACATAGGTTTCGGTCAGAAGCAGGGGGAGCCTGCTGACTTCTGGATGACTGAGACCAAGCCTGGGTGAGTCGAAGCGGAATTTGATATTCCCAGCACAAAGCTAATCACGATATAGAACTCCTCCAGGTGCAGTTCATGTCGCCTTCCCAGCCCCGTCGAAAGACGCAGTAGGCTCGTTCTTCATAAGCGCTCTCAAAGCAGGCGCGAAGATACATGGGGAACCCAAGGAGCGAGATTCGACTTCTGGGTACTTCAGCGCAGCCGTTGTCGACTTCGATGGTAACAGCATTGAAGCCGTGTACCGGCCCGAGGTGTCCTCCGCTGCATCGGCGGTCAGCGGGCCCACGATGGCTCTGCTGGAGGATTCCAATCGATCTGTGGTTTCGAAGGCAAGCAGCCGAGCTAGCACCGTCAAGGCAGAGAGTGTCGCACCGAGATCCGAAGCAGGATCCGTGGCTAGGTCCGTGGCCAGATCTGAGGCCAAGTCTCGTGCACCCACGACCGTTTCAAAGGCACCTACAGCCGTTTCCAAGGCGCCTACGGCCGTTGAGCGGTCTGCTCCAACTGTCGTTTCCCGCGCTCAACCCCCGCAGACGTCGTACATTGTGCAAACGGTCCCGGCCCCAGCCGACGACGGTAGCAAAGCAGCCAAGACAATCGTTGGTACGCTCATTGGCGCCGCTGCTGGTGCTGCGATCGCATATGCAATGGTTAAAGGTGACTCGCAGTCAACCGAAGAGCCAAGGAGCCAGCCTCAGCAATTCCCTACGGATTTCCCACAGATCAAGGCTGCAGCTCAGTCTTTCTTCGGTGCTGGCAACAACAACAATAATGCCCCCCAAGAGCAAGAGCTCCAGCAGTTCCGCGCCATCGAAGCACCACCACCACCTCGCAGCGTCTACTCGGCTGCCTCAGGCCCGCGGTCTACGATCTCTCGCAGTGTGACTTCCAAGAACCCACGTGCCAGCACCATCTACGAGGGCACCGAATTCCACGGTGACAACATGCGCCGTGCCTCCGAGGGCTCAGTCTACACTATCCCCGAGGACGCCCCGCTCCGCGCTATTGAGTACCCGCCCGCCAGCGCCGCCTCCCAGCAGCGGTATCCTTGTGCTCCTTCGACTTTCATCAGCAGCTACCACGAGGATATGCCACGCCATATGTCGACCGGCAGCGTGCATAGCGCGCATAGCGCCTCGACCGTGAAAGCCGGCTCTGCGACTCGGCGCCACAGCACCGATGACAGGGACACCTACTCATCCGTCAGTCACCGCAGCCAAAGCGTGCACAGTCATCACAGCCAGCAGTCGCACCGCTCGGTTCGCACCTCCTCGCACGCTGGCAAAGACAAGGACAATGCCAGCGTTGCGTCATCAAAGTCTGCGCGCAACATCCCGCTCCCGGTGACCTCGACACCCAGCTTCTACTCTAGCTCGAGCATCCACAGCAAAGACATCGCTATTGGACCTAAAGACTCCTACGTCAGCCCCAGTGACCACTACGGGCCGAAGGATTCGTATATCTCCGCACGTCATGTATTGCTGCCCGAAAGTGTGCTCGACGTTGATGTTGAATCCAATGTGTCGCCCGATGATTCGATCAGCCAGGCTGGCGGACGATCCAACCATTCCCACCGCTCGCACCGCTCGCACCGCTCTAGTCATTCCAAGCGGGAGCCTAGCGTGCACTCCAAGTCCGGTTCCAAGTTCGATGAGGCTGTGAGACCCGCTGATTCTGTTAGTCAGGTGTCTCGGGCCTCTCAGCGGACTGTCAAGGCTGAAGGCAGCAAGGCTGGCTCCAAGGTTGGTGGCAGTCGTCGTGGTAGTCAGGTTGCATGATCTGCGCTGCAATACTGCTTTTCCCTGGGCTATACATATTAGCCCGGTTGCGTTGGCACCTCTCTCTTCTCTCTTTCTCTCTCTCTTCGCCGAATTTGCTTAGACTTGAACTAAGTCTGGTATGAGATTCGGTTACAGGTTTCCATACGACAGATTAGATATTTGATTTCGGAGTTACAAACATTTTGGGTTGCTTTGCATTTACACAGATATATACATACATTTATGGAGTTTTGACAATTGGAATGCATTCTTGAATCTGCAATATAATCCCACCTTATGCACCTTTGATCTAACCTACTGACAGCCATCATCTTGCAGCGTGGTGTTCCTAATTACCGGCCATGGACTCCCGACCTTGGAAGGCCGTAGTCTAACGAATTAGGGAATCAGCTCGCGTGCTCCAATTGCATAGGGGAGATTTCATTTGACATGACGATATAATGTTCATGTGCAAGTCCCTGTTTACTTCAGATATCCTTTCATCTCAAACTTTCTAAAGTTTCGAGAGTATGTTCCGAGCCTCCTGAAGTCTGACAGAATCCCCAGTCCGTGCTCTACATCGCTACTCGTACAGCTTCCTACAATCTTCAAAAGGAAACAAAATCCTCAACACAAAGACGGGCCTGCCTGGATTGTGCTATCTGTAAGAGCAAAAAGAGAGAGAAAAAAAGAAAAAAAGACGGTCCCCAAACCGCTCGACACACATTTCGCAGCAATCTCAAGTCGATCTCTGCAGTTCTGCCAGTCTATTCCCCGACTTCAGGAGTCTTTCACATATCCCCCGAGCCCTACGAAACAGCGAAATATCCGTAAAGGGAGTCCATTTTTTTTTAGTTCTCAGCAAACGCACCGATTGTAGTGTTTGCGAAAGAAGCACAAAAAAAAAAAAAACAGAAACCATAATGCAGCATTTGGTCATAAGGATCGTTGGATATGAAATGGCCCCTCAACTCAACCCGACACCGAAGAAAAAAAGAAGCCCCGCGGACAAATGGAGCACCCTAACAGCGCAAGACAGAATTGAAAAGGTGCAAGAACCAGCATTTGAATTTTCGAGACAACAAAAAAAGGAAGAAAATACACCGTTTCTACGACCACGGGTACGCCAGGCTTTCGCGACTGAATCTAAGCGGGGAATGGAAAGCGGGAAGATGCAGAGCGGCTTTGAGCCGAGAGAAAGTGGTCGAGCGAGTTCAGGGGACCGAAGGGGTTATTGAGGACAGCGAGAGCGAAGAAGGAGAAATGAGATTGGTCGTTCACATTCAGATAGCGTACTTGCGAGTCCACTCGCGAGCTGTGGCCTCGTACCGGGGTCGGTCGGTCTTGTAAACGTGCGCGATTTCGGGCACGAGAGGATCGTCCGGGTTGGGGTCTGTGAGCATCGAGCAGATGGAGAGCAACACTGTGACAATATTAGAGTTAAGTAAGGTGACGAGATGCGATTTAGGAGATCTCACCCTTTGAGATTGTGAGAGCAGGGCTCCATTGGTCCCTCAGGATATCCAGACAAATGCTGCCGTTGGAGTTGATGTTGGGGTGGTAGATGCGGGTGGTGAAGTTGACCTTAGGAGGCTTGAAGGGGTAGTCGGTGGGGAAGTGAATGGCAAGGAAGAAGACACCTCCGGAGTATGGGGAGTCACCCTGATCGATGTGTTAGCATTCTGAGCGATACTTTGTTCTCTCTGGGCCTTCGCGGGAAGAATCATCTAACCCCAAGGTCCCCAGAGAAGCGATCGAGGGCAAAGAGGTACTTACAGGACCCATGATGGTGGCTTGCCAGTGGAACTAATACGGGGGAAAAGACCAGAGTCAGTGACGGCCCCTCATTGATATCAAGCAACTGGCGGGGCGCTTGTACCCCGCCATATCGGCTGTGAGAGAAGCGACAATACATACCAGGTCATCGCCAACGGGACCAGCGGAGCAGGAAGAGGGAGGATCACTAAGAATAGTTAGAGTCTGAATGAGGATCTGGCGATGACGGGATGGGCTTACCGGCCGAGGTCAGTGAGTTCCTTGTTAATGCGCTTGAGAGCCATGACGAGCAAAGAGTGCAAGTTGCAGAAAGTAAATAGAACTGATAGGGGGTTAGTTGGTGGTTGGAAGAGATGTCCAGGTCAACATACGATTACGTCTTTGTGTGGAAAAGAGAAGAGAACTTCAAAGAGAAGATTATTGAGAGAGGGGAAAAGTGGGCGGAATCGATTCTTTACTGCCCAGTATTACTGGCTGATACCGCCACAGCCCGATGACACATCTGATGATTCAGCCCTGATTTTCAATTCATTGTCATCTTTGACTATTTTGTATGGCTTGGTTTCTTTCTATGTGGCCTTTTGGAATGTTTTGGCCTCTTCAGCCTGGCAATCCGGAGTAGTGTTAGGTGTATTTGGCCAAATTTAGTATATACCGTTGATTAGGGACACAGATATTTGCACTGGCATAGTTGGATTTGCGACTCATAAGGAAGTCAGTCTACCCCTGGAAGAAGGTAGACAGGCATTGCTGAGATTCTGGTCTTGTTGTATACTCCCTCCAGTAAGAAACTCATACTTTGTACTCCGTAGAGAGGCATTTGATACATCGACTCTGTACTCCGTAAATGGCCGGGCTATGCGGTACAGGTATTGAAACGGTATCTGAAACTGCCCCTCATGATGTCACGTGTGAGGTCCCGCTTGTCCCGAAAGGGAAGTTGGATTGTATGTCTTTGTGTACGGGAGCCTCAACATGGCTCCATTTACTACTTAAGTATTTCCAACTGGGATATATCTATATACTCGTACAATAGTACAATATTCTTTTTAAACAAATGCTTGAACGCCGGTAATAGCTCGGCCCAGAATCAATGCTGTCGGAAAGTATTAGTCTCAGCCCGACGTCATTAGGCATAAGGCATAAAGGTATCAACTCACCATGGATATCGCTCTGACCCTCATAGGTCTGCACCACAAACAGGTTGGCCACATGACGGGCAATATGGTACTCATCGCTCGCAGCATTACCGCCAAACACCTCCTGCAGACTGAAAGTACCGTCAGCAATGGAAAGTCAAATCAAAAGGGAGAAACATACACTCGAGAGTTAGCCAGGGCACGATCACAGTTCTGACGCTTGACCATCGAGATCATTTCGGGTGTCGCCTTGCCGGCATCCTTGAGCCGAGCTACTTGGACAGCAGCCAGAGTACCATAGGCAGCGTCGGTGGCAGCATCCGTCAGTTTCTTCTGGATGAGTTGATACTTGGCGAGCGGGTTGCCCTTGAACTGCTTGCGCTCCAGGCTGTACTCGCGTGCACGGGCAAGACAGTCCTCCAGCGCACCCATACTGCCAAAGGCGATGCCCAGTCGGGCACTGTTCAAGCACGTGAAAGGCCCCTTCAGACCCTCCACATCGGGCAGCATGTTCTCCGCCGGGACGGGGCAGTCATCCATCTGAATCATGCCGGTAATAGAAGCCCGCAGGGCGCTCTTATTCTTGATAGCGGGGGTCTCATAGGAACCCGGCGTGGCACGCGAGCGCTCAACAATGAATCCCCGGATCTTGCCCGTTGACTCTAACTTCGCCCACACGAGCGCAAGATCCGAGATCGGCGAGTTCGTGATCCAGGTCTTGCTGCCGGAGAGCAGGTACATGCCTTTTTGTGTGGGGTGTTCGCGAGCCACGGTCTCCATGGATCCAGGGTCGGAGCCGTGGTTAGGCTCGGTCAGTCCGAAGCAGCCAGAGGTTGTGCCCTTGGCCAAACCTGGGAGGAAGCGCTGCTTCTGCTCTTCTGTGCCGAACTCGTAGATACCGGTCATGGCAAGTGAGCTCTGTACCGACATGCCTGATCGGTATCCCGAGTCTACCCGCTCGACTTCTTTTGTGATGAGGCCAGACGCCACGGTACTGACACCAGCGCATCCGTATCCCTCGATCGATGCACCGAGGAGACCCAAGTCACCCATCTCCTCCAGGATGCGGCGGTCGTAGTCCTCGTTGCGGTAGGCCTCTGTATACCCGGTGACGTCAGATCAGCCTGTCGCGGCAGGGACGGGCAGAAGACATACCTAAGACTCGTGGCATAAGTTTATCCTGGCAATATTGGCGTGCAGTATCTTGGATCGCGAGCTCCTCCTCTGTGAAGAGCTCCGCGGCAGCTAGGGGGTCTTCCCAATTGAAGACAGCCGAGGACGCATAGCGACGGCCTGCGACAGAGGGAGAAGTAGCCTTGGCCGAGCGCGTAGCTGCGCGAAGAATTGAGCGGCTCATCATTGTCGGTGAATTGAATGACAACGGTAAAGTGTGGGGGAAAGAATTAGAGTGTCAAATTGTTGCGGGGGAGTTCAGTCAAATAGGCCACTAAAGATGGGGAGACCTCGGCAATCTGGCCTGGGGTATATAAAATCACCGAGAACAGTCAACTGGTGTCTTGAAAATCATCCAGTCGCTGTACTAGCTTCTCACCCCTTGATTGGGCCTAGAAATCACGTCGGCTCATCTGATTCGACAGAGTGCCCGAACAATTGATCGCTTGGTTCCGTGAGTTCAACCGACTCGGACTTTTTCGGTCTTCTTGGAGTCGGCGTCCGCTTCATGATGTCAAACGCCGAGTCATCTCATTACATTGTTGATTACATCCTTGGCTCAGTAATTAATTGTTCTTTGCTCTAACGATATATGTTCTGGGTGTCCGTATTTACATGCAACGATCGTGGTCGTTAATCGTGGGCCATTAATAGAATGTGCAGAGAGAACAATCATGAGGGCTTCGAAAGACAACATGACCGAACCTGGAATTAATCATGCCGGCATCTGACTCTGGAGGAAATCGAACACTCCTGTCGGGAAGTAATCCTCATCGAACCCCCATAGATCCGCCATCATAGGGTCTACCGAGCCCTCCGACAGACCTGGCTCCTGCTTGCCTGGGGCAACTGAAGGCTCAAACCCATTGCTGCGTTCAGCAGACAGCGGGGCCACTCCAAGCTGTGGGGGCGGATGGCTCAAAATAGTGTCACGTTCTCCGAGCATTGGAGCTCCGGGTATGATGACTGGCTTGAAGAGGGAAGAAGGGTCCTGCGAGACCGATCCAATCGATTGCTGGGTGCCTGCAGCACGCTTCTCCCACTTCTCCAAACCAGTCAGCATTTTACGGAGACCCCGAGCGATGTGATGACTGAGATGGCGCTCGCTCGCTCGTTGGCTACATGACACCATGATCTCGACGACCCTGCCCACAAGGACACGCACGTAGCTGACGTCGACCTGTAGACCCGCCGAGGCGATGGAGGTCTGTTTCCCCTGGCTTCCGGGGATGGCCCCGTTGGAACAGACCTTGGCTGCGATTTTTAGCAGGAACACCGCGGCGAATGTGATCATACTATGGAGATACAGCGGAACCCCGACCAAGGCACGCTGAATATCTCGCTCGTCTAAGCAAACCTGGAGAGTAGCGATAGCCGATTCAACTGCTATATTGGCACGTTTTCGGCGTTCAAAGGACATTTCCCCCGAAGAAGTGGATGAGTGATATGTGCGCAGGGCAACTGAATTGAGTTGTAGGCGAGAGAAATGGTAGTGCATGTACACGGCCTTGTATGGGTATGCGCCGACGTAGCGACTTCCCGCTGTGGTAAAACGTTAATCGATGATTTTTGGTCTTTCAAGTGGTCGACTTACCAAGTCGAGGAAGCCATGAGGATTTCCAATTCCCTAGATCATTGTCGAATTGATCGATCTTAGAAAAGTCACTTTCGGGGACTTCTAACTCGACATCAGGGCCAAATGCAAAATATATACGGGTGAGGATTATGAAAAGATCAACTTGGCTGTGAAGTCGAAGGTCTCCTTGTGAAGTTGTCGGGTTCTGTGTGAAGATATTGTGTTGAGTGATGCTTGCATCTTCATGGATCATCGGTGGTCGACCGTATGCAATCGAAAAATGGTGTTCCAATGTCTAGAACATGTCAATGATGGCAAAACCACCTATTTCCAGGGCGACTCACATAAAGAAGGTACCATAGTCTCGCCTGTTCGAGGTGTTCGGGCGACCCTTGCATGGCTTTGCGATAGAATTGGTGTAGGTTACGTTCAGTTGCAATGCGCACGGCATACCCAGAAAGCTTCCAACTGACATCTGCAAGCCAGAATGCACCAATACATAGCGCGCGGATATCATCTAATGTATGATGATGGCCCAGCATAGACTCTGAGGCCAATTTGGCAAATTCGGTGTAGCATGTGTCGAAGGTGCGTTCCTTGTTTGGCATGTGAAGCGCAGTGACGGCCAGAATTGCGGCGGACAGCATTGACGATGAACATCGGGCTGATGTCAAATCTTTGTGTGCAAGTAATGCCCCATCCCATAAGTACCGATTCAGAACTTGGTCAAATTGATAAAACAGCTCCTCCGCCTCTTGAACATCAACCACGCCACGTGAGATGAAATCAGTGACTAATGTCTGATCGGGGGCAAGCTTTTGACCAGGTGAGTTATCACGATTCTCACTCAGCTGCGTCACCTCGTACAGACTCCCCATTGGCGCTGTGACCAAGGAGGCAGCGCCTGTCTCCTCCTGGTCTAGCGAATACTGCGGTTGCGGCTTAGGGAAGTCGTACTTCGATCCCGATGCCACCGCATTGTGTACTGGTTGTTCCACTGGCGCAGCCCGATTATGTGTAGGCCCGTTGCCATCGGTCGAAACAGTAGAGCCTTTCCGGTTACTCTTCTTTGAGGGCGTCTCGGTCGAGCCACCGCCTGCTTGATAGTATGACAACTCCGGTAGCTGGGACTTTCTGAGTAAGTCTGTCATTGCCAATTCGATCATGGATTTCCAACTGTCCGTCATAGTCAATATACGCTCCTTTATATGCTGAGGTGGATACTCACTCGGCCTCGTCTTCGAGTAACGTCTGGAGACTTTTGTTCACAACACATTCCAGTCCCATGCGCCGACAGCGCGAGCAGGTCGAATCGGTTGATTTCATATCACAGCGCACCTTGTGTCGTTTACATTCTGTACAAGCGCGTATGCGTCGAGAGATCTTCGGGACATGGTGAGGCCGCTCCTCTGGGGTGAAGGCACCTTGCGGGGGAGACACGGACGAGGCCTCACCATTGGCCTCGAACTGCATGCGATTGCGCTTCATGTTGATATGAAGGCTAGGTTATCCTCCACATGGCGCATTCCGGGGAAGAGAAAGGCGGGGTCGGGGCAGCTGCGCGCCGGTTCTCGACCGAATTACTCATAAGCCAGGTAGCCACCTGAGGCATCCATGCATATTCAGGCATGAATAAGGCACCACTTTCATCTAAAGCTCCGCCGGTCACCTGATTTGGTACCACGCTATTCCTGTTTGAGCTTAAGTAGGTCACGCCTGGAAAGCGCGTTCGCGTGGTACGACAGGCCTAGCTCCATTTTCTACGCAGCATTCCACCCTAACCGCGAAAACCTCCAAGTCACAGCAAAGATGGGTATTAAACGTGAGTCATAATTCAAAATTGAAATTAAGCTTCTTACTCATTGAACGCCAGATCTATACCAGGTCATCTCCGAAAATGCCCCCGATGCGATCAAGACGGGCGAGATCAAGAATCACTTTGGCCGCAAGGTCGCCATTGTAAGCTTTGTGCACACTGTGCTGCCAAATACTTGCTGCTATCATGCTGACGTGAACTCTCCGCCAGGATGCGTATGTCACCACTACCTCGATTGCTCAGGCACATTAGCCGCTAACCCAGCACAGGTCGATGAGCATCTACAGTTTCCTGATCGCCGTTCGCTCGGAAGGTCAGCAGCTGATGAGCGAGTCGGGAGAGACGACTTCCCACTTGATGGGTATGTTCTACCGTACGCTCCGAATGGTGGACAACGGTATCAAGCCTCTTTACGTGTTCGACGGTGCTCCCCCGAAACTCAAGTCTGGCGAATTGGCGAAGCGTGTTGCACGTAAGGCGGAGGCTCACGAAGCTCACGAGGAGGCCAAGGAAACCGGTACCGCCGAAGACATTGAAAAGTTCTCTCGACGGACGGTCCGCGTGACCCGTGAGCACAATGCGGAGTGTAAGAAACTTCTCGAGCTGATGGGAATTCCTTTCATCAATGCGCCCACAGAAGCTGAGGCTCAATGCGCTGTCCTGGCGCGTGCGGGCAAGGTATATGGCGCTGCGTCTGAGGATATGGACACCCTATGCTTCGAGTCGCCAATCCTCTTGCGCCACCTCACCTTCAGTGAGCAGCGCAAGGAGCCCATTCAGGAAATTCATCTGGATCGGGCGCTTGAGGGCCTGAACATGGATCGTGCACAGGTGAGTGTTCCTACGCTTGATTTTGAGATGATACAGCAGCTGACCATATCTACAGTTCATTGACCTCTGCATTCTTCTGGGCTGTGACTATCTGGAGCCCATCCCTAAGGTGGGAGCCCACACTGCTCTCAACTTGATCAAAGAGCACAAATCTATTGAGAAGGTCCTCGAATTTATGAAGAACGACCCGAAGAAGAAGTTCGTGGTCCCCGAAGAATGGCCATACCAAGATGCACGGGACCTGTTCACCCACCCGGACGTTCATCCTGCAGACCACCCTGACTGTGACTTCAAATGGGATGGTCCTAACGTCGAAGGCCTCATTGATTTCCTGGTCAAGGACAAGGGATTCAACGAGGACCGTGTGCGCAACGGTGCGGCGCGCCTGTCTAAGCACTTGAAGGTCGCTCAACAGTCCCGCCTGGAAGGATTCTTCAAACCCGTTGCCAAGACTGAAGACCAAAAGGCTTCCCTCAAGCGCAAGAATGATGAGAAGCTCCAGCAGCAGAAGAAGAAAAAGAAGGACGATGCAAAGGCGAAGAAAGATTCCAAAGCCAAGCCCCGTGGGGCGGGCTAGGTTCTCGAAGTCTCTCAAGGCTTTTGTCTTTCTTCCCAGGAACTGACGACATAAAATTATTCCCTGATCTAACATGAGCTGGTCTGGCGTAGGCGTTTTGTGGTTTCTTGATTTTCTATTGCCAATGCATCGCTTCCGGGTCGGAGAATCCGTCCAATTATGCCGGACTCGGGACAAGACATGAGTTTTTTCTTGTAACATACAACCCAAACGTCTGTTTAATAACAGACTTGACTGCAAGGTACCCCTGTTCTTCTGGATTATCTCCGTAAACTTTTTCCAGCCCTTGAGCCCTAAGATCAGTCAGGATCAAACCAGCCACCTGTGATCACTCTGGCTGATCTTTACCGCCACGGTATATGGGACGATTTAAAAAGTCATCAAGTAGAATACTGGCACCTTTCTCTATCATTACAGGGCATCGAAAGTCTCCGACCCCGAGTATGGCGTTGCTGTTGCAGAAGATCAATCTCGCAAGCTGGAGTAGATCCCGAGCCAATCCGGGCGCTCGTAACACCCCGACGAGTGATCTCGACACTCAAGGCCACCATCTCCTTCATTCTGGGACTCTTGTATGAAGACTACATGCTAGAAATATATTACCTGTTCAAAAATGCAGAAAACACTCAGGTGGTGTGGGATCAGCGTGTTGAACTCGACCCTTTGGCCGGTTGCGGGTGCAGACAGATGATCCCCCCGTGCCCTGATCGACCAATGAGTTCGGGAGGATCATCGATCCCACTTTGTACGTCTAGGCCCTCAGAGTGTACTGCTCAAGTGTCTAATGACATGCGAGCGCTCACTGGCGATCGCCGGGCGTACTTAAGTATGTACAATCCACCTATCTGTAGGTATCAATGAATACGATTTCTGTACTCGAGTCTAGTAGTATATTCACTATACATAGTCTACTCGTATACTCTCCGGGTCCCCACTTGAGCACTTGGGCTGGGCAGCTCGGGTTATGTATCGGGATCATACAGCTTCTAAAGTTCTTATTGGTTCTGGTGCAGTGGCGTTGCCAGACCTGAGTTTCCCCTCTCTTGGAATCTATCAGAGTTTCTTTTTGGGTCATTTAGTCCATGGGGCGCGATAGTCACAAATATATCTTGGAACTTGGGAATGCATCAACGTTGAAGTTAGAAGGACCAGGCTGGGCCTGTGGACTCTGGGAACACGTCTAGTAATTTAGCCCACAATTTAACAACTACATATACATCAAGGAAGCTTCTAAAGTTCAGAATTCTAACACGCAATTGTGAAACTCAGTGGCGAAGACCCCAAAGCCAGCAACAAGGAGCATTCTCGGTTATCAGGATACGCTGCGCAGAATAAATCACTAAGCTGTCGTCAAAAGAAAAGTCTAGTAGTCAAGGTACCGATCCAATCCAAAGCCAAGCGAGTCAAGACATCATCCATGGGGTTGGAACCAGGGAAACCCATCACCGGACACCTAAAAATGGGGGAGAACGTGACTTTGCACGAGGTGATGCAGGTCCACGCAAGGAGGCTTCGATAAGAATATCATGAAGCTTGCAAGCTTGAGACCACGCGCAGTTGGCTTGCCAAGCAGTCATGGGCTGACCAGTATAATGGTACACCAAACATGTCAGTATAGCATATCTGACTGAGAGATCTGGATTCCGTGAAGGAAGGGTTTGCCAGATCCGGCTCCAACAGAGAGAGGGATAGGATGATCATCACACTGCCATTGGAATGTGCATCTCGGTCTGGAGATATGTGCCAGAATAAGAAGGAATTCTCCCATTGCTCATTTCTATGCGCGATTTCTATGGAGGGGAAGGCGACGCGCCGGAGACTCAGTCTTCAGCACTCACCCTTCCACCTCATGGATGTGGTGGATATAGCTGTGATAGTATGATGACCAGATACTTCTTCGAATATTGAAAAGATATGATATGAATTCATGGACAGAAAATAATGAACCACCGCAAAGAAGAGTAAAGTGTGCTCACCAGGGCTCAAAGTATCGCAATTAGAAGCAAGGATAGATGGGTAAAGAGAAACACCAGAAACCCAGGATCCAGACTCAAAACAACCCAAGAGATAGAGAGTGTAAATCCAGCAGAAGATCAGGCAGAAGACAAGGGAAGAAAAGAAGGTGCTTTTTCCCCCTGGTGATCTTGTGTCAACAGCTCCGTCGCCTATAAATCACGGATGCCCCGCGGCCTACCCTTTCCTTCTGCTCTTTTTTTTCTTCTCCTGCTTTCACCCATTTTTTCGATTTTCTCATCTCGACTTTACGTCTCTTTCCCTTTAATAAACTATTATAATCTTCCATCATGCCTCCCAAGAAGGTTACCAGCGCGAAGAAGTCCGCGCCTGCTCCTCACACTTCCTACCGTGGTATGTCTACTCTGATCCTGAACGCCCACCTCATCGCGTAAACGCGGTTTTGGGATGGCTACGGTCGCGAGCATCTGCTGATCAGAACGATATAGATATGATCAAGGATGCCATCATCAGCGTAAGTTGATTACTGCCGGCGCGGGTTGTTGTGATTCGGGTCGCGCCCGACCGTGACACGTCTTTGCCTTTGGGCACAGCCACAACAATTTGTTTGTTTCTTGTCTCTTTTCTCATGGCTGACCGGTCTTTTTTGGCTTTTAGCTGAAGGAACGCAATGGTAGCAGGTATGTTTCCGGCTGTTTCTGGCTGTTTCCCCTCCGCGACTGGCGTCGGCCTTGTCGCGCTCATAGCAATGTCACTAACGAAAATTCCACTGTAGCCGTCAGGCGATCAAGAAATATGTTCAGTCGAACAACAAGCTTAACGTCTCTTCTCTGAGCACCTTTGATGCCCAGTTCAACAAGGCTATCAAGTCTGGCGTTGAAAAGGAGGAGTTCACTCAGCCCAAGGGTAAGTTTTGCATTCCCCAAGATTTCATGCAAATTTCCCCCACTACCTCCCCCCCTCCCTGAATACTGGAATCCCTTCAATTTCTACAGCTTGCTGTCTGTGTCTGGGAGAATTCTGCTCTGTCATATGACCAGTCAGCTGACACGTCGTGCTCTAGGCCCATCTGGACCCTTGAAGCTTTTCAAGAAGGAAGCTCCTGTCAAGGCTGCCGCTAAGCCAGCCGCAAAGCCCGCCACCAAGCCCGCTGCTAAGACTGCTGCTAAGACTGCTTCCAAGGTAAGATTCCATGGAATACAGAAATCCTGTGCATTGCGCTGATTAAATCCGAAGCCCGCTGCTGCTAAGAAGGCGGCTCCCAAGAAGGCTGTCGCAAAGACCACAGCTAAGTCTACCGCGGCCGCGGCCAAAAAGGCCGTCCCGAAGAAGCCTGTCGGCAGGCCCCCTGGTAAGGCTGCTAAGACTGCCAGCAAGCCTAAGGCCAACTCGGGCAAGGTCCGCAAGACCACTACCGCTGTAAGTAGCTGCATGCTCAGTACCTCTCTTTTGGACAGCTCACTGACCGACATACCAGGCTCCTGCCATTGTTGAGCAGCCCAAGATTTTGAGCAAGACCAAGTCTGGCCGTGTCATCAAGACCACTGCTCCCCCGCCCAAGGCAGCTCGGGCCGCTCCCAAGAAGCGAACCATCAAGAAATAGACGGCTGATGTCTTCCTTTCTTCGTGTCTCTTTTTGACCAGATTCCGCTCTCCCTATCTTTTCACGAGCGCATTTCCCGGGAGAGCAGCTGGTGCTATATTCCTTTGTCCTTCTCCTGTAATTTCTTTTTGACTGATTGATCTCTCTTTTTGACTGTCTCTATGTGCTTGTTTGCTATCTTTTTTTTGGGACTATCTTCGTTATGATGACTTTGCTTTTTTCTCCACAGTCAAATGGATGGCGTCCTGCGGTGGGGTTTACCTTGGGGAAACTGGGCTTTCTTTCATGCTTTTTATCTGATTCAATTCCACGTCAAGTGAACTCGACCTCTCTTTTTGGCGCGGAATCCACCGGAGACCGCAGCTTGAGTAGACGCGTGCACGGGTAAACAAACTGTAGATCTCTCGGATCCAGCACATTTTTCGCGTCGAGAGTTCTCAAGACTTGGGGCACTTGAGCAGGCAATTAGAAAAATATGCTTGCTAAATTGTACTCCGTACATGAATTGATTTGTGTCTTTACTATATGCGGTGTGGGCCATGACTAGGGTATACATGGCGGAGATAGCTGTCTTCCTTGCGATGTACTGGACTGTTTTCCCTAATAAGTAGCGGCAGTTGCGTATCATTCTTGGAATAGAACAAGGAATACTCGAGAAGGTCCGGTCTGGGAAGGAGATTCCCAAGTCTCATTGTGCTCTTCGCAATCTGCGTTCATGATAGTATGCAAAGTGTTTGTCAAGTCAACTTTAAACATGGTATTGAACCCGATGATGAAATTTGTTAAACCAAATTGTTTGATAGGGGCGCGTGAGCTCAGAGCTCAGAGTGGGAGGAGAATCTCGAAATGTCCCTCCAGGCCGCGTTGGTGATGGCATCATCGCTGTATTCATTTCCTTTTTTTTTTTGGCCAGATGCTTCTTGGCGAGCTATTTCAAGCGTTTGATCGATTCAATATCTAGCAGGTACCCGGAAGATCTTCTAAACGGCATTCTTAAATCGATTAGTGACTTCATGGTTTCATTCCACTTACTTCCCTTTGGCGCTTCATCGGGACATCTTTTCGATTCCGCACGGGGTACTCCGTGCAGTCCACACAGTTCCATGCCCACACATGGCCCTCCCACCTGACGATTGAGGTCCCATCCGAGTATAGTGGCAGCATGCAAATCTTTTCTCCTGTCGAGCGACTGATAATCCACATCTGCTGATAATAGTGCTCTCGGTGATGTCGATTCCGTGAACGTAGATGGGCATTCTCTCCCTTTTCTCTCTCTGCCTCTCTTCATAGCAGTAAAATGGAGTGATTTCGCTGTTTGGTGATCCTGACAGCATCATTCCAAGGTTGATTAGTGTCGGGATTCACTCCAGCCTGCTTCATGGGGTATCTGGCTCCTTACGCGAAGAACGGCAAGGGCCCCCAAGGAACTGACGTGATGTAGGAAATTAGCATGTAATATTTCAAAAGATAAGTGTATATATACAGTGAGTGAATTAGGTGATGGTTCATCAATAACCAGCTCAATATCCCGTTAAGTGATTATCAACAGACGCCATGCGTCTGGACAGCAGTTGTATACTTCAGTGGACATGGTTTATTTATATCTCTCTTCATTCTTTCTTTTTACCTCTTCCAAGCTACTTAAGTACTAAGTAAGAGTAGCTCATCATTTCTTGTCTTAACCATATACCGAGAAACCTTTTACAGAAACCCGATGAGCCGTGTTCAGAGAATCAGAGAATCAGAGACTCAGGAGTGTCTGGAGTATACGGTCTTGCGGTGTGGGGCCTTACCCCGAGGTCACGTGTCGGGAGTACGGGAGTAAAGTTAGCCGTGCTGAATTTTTATGTCGCAGCCTACTCCGTCCTGTGTACGAGAGAAGAGTGATATTTACGGGGTGATCCATTGAAATAAACTTAGAAGCATATAGTAAATTACTTCAGTATGTATAGTATATTAAGTATAGAGTGTTTTTGAATATATTCAAATACCCATTGCATTATGTACTATCTATCGTGATATCAGAGCTGAATGGTGGAGCCCGTCCAGTACGTGTCGTAATTCCTGTAAGTTCTTCTCTCCCCGACAACCATTTCCCCTCAGGTACCCCCGACTTCCAAGCTGGACGGACCATGTACATCTGAACTGTGATCTGGCTGCGGCTGTTTTTTGCTTTGCTTTTCTTTTAATCTTAGTTTTTCCCCCTTCTCCCTTTGGATCGACTCGGTTCCGTTCCCAACTTTCCTGAATCTCCGCCAATAAGGGTGACTGCCGTCATTTCGGGTTGCCGGTCCTGAGTCCACAGGGCACGTCAACCGCAATATGCCCTCCTTTTCCAACGACGTCTCCTACCAAACCGCCACTGCCACTGCCACTGCCACGGCTACCCACCCTCGCTCCTTCGAATCCTCCCGCAAGTCGCACGATAAGGCTCCCGTCGGCAACACCTTCTTGTGGACCAACTGGCCCAACGGCAACGGCAACGGCGACTCCGACCAGAATGACCGACACCTGTTGAACGACCTGAAGAACGGAAGTGCCTACTCATTGAATGGCCCCCGCTCCAGTGTCGGCTCGTACACGCGCGATATTCAACCCCCCAAGGACGGCAGCATGCACTCTATAGGCAATGGATCCGCCAGGGATCTTCGCGAAAATGGGCGCCCGTCCGCAACGCTGGATCGGAAACTTTCCGAAACAGGCCCAGGTGTCGTTCCTACATCCTCTGTGTCGAACCAACCCAATGGCACTACGAACGGTCGGCCGACCCCAGGGAAACTCACAGTCAACGGCGATGCCCACCGGCCCTCTGGTGATGAATCAGTCTCGCCATCAGCGTCGCTATTGCAAATCCCTCAGTCCGACGAGAATGGTCGACACACCCCAAACTCCGATCGCTTGACCCCGGACGCGAAGGCTGGACCCCATCGCCACTCCTCTCCTCCCGTGCCATCAATGCTCGACACTGCCCCCGGAGCAGAATCGCAGAATTCGAGTATGCGGCACCGCCACTCCCTGCAGGTCCCAAGAACGCCCAGTGTGCGTCGAGATAGCCGAGAACACCCCGAAGATGCGGCCTACAGCACTGGCCGTATGTCACCCACGTCGGGTTTCCGTCGAACTTCAATCGGTCTGATCAGACGGGCAACGAAGACTAGCACCCATCAGGATATTGGATTGGAGGACGCACCGCCAGATGAAGATGCGGCCCGGTGGGCCGAAGCCATCAAACAAAAGCGAGCCTCGCGACGCAGACGCGAAGAGGAGGACGATGAGCGGGTCATCGTGGGCACTAAGGTGGACCAGAACCATGTCAACTATGTTACAGCATACAACATGCTGACCGGTATCCGCTTTACCGTGTCGAGGATCAATGCGAAGATGGATCGGGAACTAACCCCGGCTGACTTCGATGCTAAGCACAAGTTCTCCTTTGACATGTACGCCATTCTCCCTGCTCACATTGAAAAAATGGAACAAGACTGACATTAGCAGCACTGGAAATGAACTGATTCCTTCCGCCAAATACGACTTCAAGTTCAAGGACTATGCTCCTTGGGTATTCCGGCATCTACGCGCCAAGTTCCGCCTTGACCCTGCTGATTACTTGATGTCCCTCACGAGCAAGTATATCTTGTCCGAACTGGGCTCCCCTGGCAAAAGTGGAAGTTTCTTCTACTTCTCACGAGACTACAAGTACATCATCAAGACCATTCACCATTCCGAGCATAAGCTTCTCCGGAAGATCCTTCCGGAGTACTACCGGCATGTGGAGAATAACCCGAACACGTTGATCTCGCAATTCTACGGATTACACCGTGTCAAGATGGCATACGGCCGCAAAATCCATTTCGTCGTCATGAACAACTTGTTCCCGCCACACCGAGACATCCACCAGACCTTCGACCTGAAAGGCTCGACTATTGGTCGTGACCTGCAGGAGTCAGACCTCGAGAGAAACCCCCGAGCGACCATGAAAGATCTCAATTGGGTTCGTCGGAACCGTCATCTAGAATGTGGACCCTCAAAACGAGATTTCTTCATCGAACAGCTGAAGCGTGATGTGGTGTTGCTACAAAAGCTGAAGATCATGGATTATTCACTTCTTGTGGGAATCCATGATGGGGGTAGGGGCAATGAGGAGAAGCTTCGTGACAAGACTCTCCAGGTCTTCTCCCCTGGTGGTGACCGTGAAGACGAAAACAGTCCAAATGGTCTGATGCGCACTCCGTCCAAATTGGAAAACGAACGCAAGGCCCGGGAGCTACGCATGCTCATCAAGCGCGAGCGGCCCATCCCCTTGGATAAAGCAGCGGCGAAAATGCCCGATGAGATCCTGGATGAACGGAAGTACCATGTATTCTACGCCGATGATGGTGGTTTCCGCGCAACACACGAAAATGGGCAACCTGGCGATGAGATCTATTACCTTGGAATCATTGACTGCTTGACCCATTACGGAACTACCAAAAAGCTTGAACACTTCTTCAAGGGATTATCGAGCGATCGCACACAGATTTCCCCCATCCCACCCGAGGGCTATGGAGAACGGTTTATCAATTTCATTAAGGGAATCACGATGTCCAAGGAAGAAGCCGAAAAAAGACGAGACTCAAGAGTCTCCGCTTCTGGCGCTCCTCAACAATCAACGGAAAAACGACGTTCAAGATCATCCTCCGTTGAGCGTACTATGCAGGCCGCAGAAAAGGAGGCCTCCAAGGACGTCTCCGTTACTCATCCCCGGACACTAACCACCGTTTGGGACCCAGCAGACGCCGGTGGCCCTGGCCCGACGTCGACTTTGCCCATCGTGGATGAAGCCGGCGAGGCGAGCAGCGTTGGCGGCCACAGTTCACACAGCCGAAACGGTCATCCTGCCGCCGACAAGGAGCTCCCTCCTATTCCCGGCGATGCTCCTCCGCCTCCACCCGGCAAAGGCAAAGGAGTTGATCGTCAAGACTTGAACACCAGCTCACCTCGTCGTTAATCTAGGCCTCTGGCCTGCGATGCTTGTCATCCTGACGATATCCCCCATTCGTCTCTTTCCTTGTTTCTTGTATTCAGCGAGATATCCCCCCTATTGTTGTTCTTCCTCCTGCGCTTGATAGAACCAGAACCACTTATTATGTTTCAGCATGGTCTGCGCGAGGCATCTCATCTTTCGTCCTCCCTTACTCCCTCTTACTACTACTGCACTTTTGCAAGAAACTGATGTTCACGAGTGACATGTGTATAATCCCTTTTGAATGCTGAGCGACTCATCTCTCCATCTCTTCGTGTGTTGCCTCTTTTGTTTACCTCGGGTGTCGGTGCAATCGTCAATGCCCAACATCGACTTTGACTTTCCTTTCCTTTACCGAATGTCTACATTCTCTCTAGCCCTGCTTGCAAGATCTGTGCCACAAACTGTACAGCTCGCCCCCGTTGATTGACCGAACATATCGTCCACATTCTCTATATCATAACCATCCCCCCATCTCCAGCCCAATACCGTCATTCCTGTGCCAACCACAGTGAATGACTCAATCTTTCACAAGTCATCTCTCTTTTTTCTCTTTTTGTTTCTTTCCTTCACCAGAATGTTCCCGAAGAACTTCCCAAGACTCTCCAGCGCCATATCCTGGCCACAACCTGTTCATACGAACACATTTCCTTATTGTCTCTGTCTTGTGCATTTCGTGCTTTTTCTGCGTTCAATACTGCCCGAGTCCTCTCCATACCCTGTACCAATCACTATACCACATGTTTACTCTTGATATTCGTGCTTCTATTTGCTGAAAGAGATCCAAATTAGCAGAATCCAGCGTGTGAATTCTTTCCTGTTTCTTGCTCGTAAACTCCTGCGCATAACCACTAGAACTGTTAGTGTCTGCAGTAAATATTAATCGTAGCATCCATTGCTCACACTATGTCATCTTCCACATATTGCAACCGAGTCATACATCAAAAAGAACTCACCGGCCTCTTACAATAGTAAAATTTGTACTCTTTACTCTACAACATCATTGAAGGCCAAGGCCAAGGAAAGGCAATTCATTATTGGTCTCGATAAGGAGCTTTGAAAGCGAAGAGTTGATTCAAGGGAAACTCGTAAGAAAACCCACCCTTCCATCCATGGGAGAAAAACGCAAATGTAAAAGACGTCAAACCTGCCCGTTCATCACAAACGCCGTATTGTCAATAGACATCCGAAAATAACAAGAGAAAGAAGAGCAAAGAGAAAACGCCCTTGGCCATCAGCAAATCCCAAGTCTAAGTAGACCAGGAATCAAAGCGCACGACCAAGAAAGTGCCATGGAGAATTGCGCAATGCTCACTCGGAGCGGCCCTGAGTAACCTTCGCAGCCTGGATGGCGGACATCTTCTGAGTCCAACCTTGGGTAGGCTGGGGTTTCTTGACGGTGCGAAGATCGTCCGTGGAGAAGCCAGAGATACGCATGTTGTAGTTACGTTCAAGGACGAGCTGTAGATCACGGAGCTCAAGAGTCGAGGAGGGGCGGAGTTTGGCGAGACGGCAGGCTTGAGTGATGACTTCGTCGACAAAGTCGTCGGCCATCTGAAGGATGAACTGTGTGGGGGTTTTGTAAGTAAGATGATAGAGAGACGGTGGTGATTGGGATATATCTCATATGGGACTTACTTCTTCGGAATCTGGAGTGAGCATTTCGCCCTCGCCGCCACCGGTGACTTGACGGACGAGAATGTCGAGCATCTTCTTGCTGAGGACTCGTTGGCCTTCGCCCTCGAGGACGTAGCCAGGGTGCTTTTGAATGGCGGGTTGGCCCATCATACCCATTGCACCGTGGCTGGGGCCACCGGAGAGAGAGGGACGTGAGGCTGGCATGGAGACGGGTTCGGGGGTGGAGACGTTTAGGTTCTTGGGAATGGCCATGTTGATGTTGCGTGATGTGGTATCGGTAGAGCGGTTGGCGAGATAGCCTTGTGGGTGGGCTTGATTGTTGACCTGGGCTTGTTGGTTGATGGTCGTGGTCTGCTGGGGAGTGGGGTTGGTGTAAGTCTGCGCGGCTTGTGAGATCGCAGCTTGGTGGGAGAGGGGACGTGGTGGGCCTTGGTTCACCTGTTGGGGAGGTCCTGGGGGTGTGGGTGTAGAACCGTCAGGATTGGGAGTTTGACTGAAAGTCACTTGCGTACCCGGCGTTCCTTGTTGGGAAGGTGCCTGAGGACGTTGGCCCTGGGGCTGTGGTGCACTGATAGGGACGGGAGTATTTCCCGCAGATTGAACAGAAGCCGGTTGTCCCGGTTGTGAAGCTGACGGGGATATCGCCTGGCCGGCTTGGTTGCGTGCTGCATTGACAGCAGAGTTGATGGTGTGGGGAGCTGGGGTTGGAGCCTGGCCGGATTGCATGTTCGTCGTGCCTGTCTGAGTGTTTGGCACAGTCTGTGTCGCAGCTGGTGGTGCCGCTCCTCCAGTCTGGTTCATACTCGCCGGTGGGTTCGTTTGTCCCGTCTGGTTCATCGTCTGGTTCTGGGGATTCTGCTGCGACTGCAGCTTGAAGCTTTCCTGCTGTTCTTTAAACTTGTTTAGGAATTCACTGCCCTCACGGAACAGTTTCTCAGCAGCCAACTGTCGGTTTTTGAATTCCTGCATTTCCTCCTGGCTCATATTACCCGATGATTGCCGTTGAGCATATGAGGACCGCAGCTCGGCCATACGAGCGCGCCCAACTTCCTGTTTCTGCAGCGCAATACCATATCGCAGCCGTGCCTCTGGAATCCACGTCTGAACCTGCTCCGGGGTGACGTTCGGCGGCAGGAAAAAGTTCAAGGCACTCACACGCGCCTGGATTTGTGGAATGAGCTGGTTGATTGCTTGGGGGTTGTTGGACTGTGTTCGCTGGACTGGTTGCCCCTGTGTCCCTTGTGTCCCCTGTGGCGCTGCCTGCCCTTGTTGGGGTTGTTGAACTTGTTGTCCTGGTGGGATCTGACCCTGCTGCACACCGACCGCGCCCTGGGTCTGCTGATGCTGTTGCATCGCTTGCTGGCGATTCTGCTGGAAAATGCGCATCCCCTTCATCAGATTTTGGGACAGCTGAGAAAGCTTTGTATGCGCCTGTTGATATTCATGGGTCTGCGGGTCGCGTGTGTTCAGCATCTCCCAGAGGCTGCGGACCAACTGGGTATGCTGGGCCTTCTGCTGATCGGAAAGGTGTGGCAGCTTCTGTACTTGATCGGTTCGGATGAGGTTTGAATGTTGCGGCTGCTGTGGCTGCTGTGGTGCAGCCATTGGCTGACCACCTTGACCCTGAGACCCATCCATCGCTGCGTTGACGTTCCGTTTGGTGCTTGGAGAATCGGGGCCACGAGGGGTCTTACGGCGAGATGACGTCGAAGTAACGTCCTGCCAGGATGTAACAGGAGTTGTGATTCTCTTTCGAGTACACGAAGCTAGAGTTTGCCTCTGTTCAGTGGTGTGATAGGGTTGACCGGAAGTGCTAGCTGTGGTATGCAACTTTTGGCTGTGAAGTTGCCTGGCCCGGGCTCGGTCTTGGCACGCGGTCCTCCAGCTTTGGATTTCCTGTAAGCCGGTCCAATTTTTTATGAATGCCCTTGTGAAAAGATTGATTTTGACAGCTATTTAGTGCTGCAATTGAACAGTCAACCAATAAGCCGGGTAATTATTCTAAGGTTGAAGGAGAAGCACAATGAGTTTCAAAGCTACGGAGTATGTAGTTACAAGTAAAGCATAAGAGAGATGCTGTGTAGACTTGACCCTAGCTAGAGGGAGATATCAGTTTATCAAATTGCCATCTGAAGTGTATTAAATAATCTGCTGTCATATTGTGGATGAGCTCGCCTTTAGGTTTGATCTGAAATGTCTCTGGTCAGTCACCAAACATCAGGAGTATCAGATGAAGATATGATGTGAGAGTGGATTGATTGAGAGACAAAGATATCTAGGTATATAAATAAAAGAGTGAGAGATCTGTGAGAAAAACATACAACAGAAGGAAAGAGGTGCAGTTGTATACTCCATGGATAGACGTCTGACTTACGTGATAGACTCTTCACGTTGCCATTTTTGTAACACATAATGGAAGTGGGACAAGATATTAAGAACAAGATAGCAAGAGAAACGGAAAGAGAATTTCTGGCCACATGAGCCTAAAGTAGGAGTTGATATGTATTCAATCATCTAAAATTTCTAAGTATACACAAGCATCTGAAAGACGGCGCAATGACCCATGCAAAAATGGAGTCGGCAAGCTGAAAAGCAGTATGTTTACATGGGAGAAAAGGATTACTTTCTCCGCTTCATTGTCTTCTCACACATCTCAATAAGACCGGCCTTGGCCTCGCTATCAGGGAAGTCACTGATGGCAGCGATGGCCTTGTCAGCGTATTCCTGAGCCAAAGCACGAGTCTGCTCAACACCGTTGCTTTCGTGGACAAGTTCACGGGCCTAATTAACGGTCAGTATTGAAATATTAAACAAGCTTCAGAATCAGCATCACATACCCGCTGCACATCACCCTCTTGGTTGAACTTTCGTCCAACCAGAGGACCAAGTTCCGGCCTGCTCTTCCAAGCAAAGAGCAGTGGTGCAGTTGCCAGGCCCAATTCCAAGTCCGCACCAACGGGCTTACCCATCTCAGCCTCGGTGACGGTGTAGTCCAGCATGTCATCCACAAGCTGGAACGCCAAGCCTAGGTTACGACCATAGGCGTATGAAGCTTCGATCACCTCTGGAGCGCTGCGGCCCAGAACCGCAGCGGAGCGGCAGGACTTGCTGATCAAACTGGCTGTCTTCAAGTAGGTCTTCTGAAGGTAGTAGTTCAGGGTATCATCTGTGTAGACGGGCTTCGATTCATCCTGCGCGGTGTTCTTGAGCTGCATGAACTCGCCTTCGACCAGGTTGGCAATCACAGTAGCCATAAGCTCTGTGACTTCGGGGTCGCGCAAACGAGCCAAGGCCACCGAGGCACGTCCGAGCAAGAAATCACCCGCCAGAACAGCCATCTTGTTTCCGAAGGCCGTATTTGCGGAGCTGTTGGCGCGGCGCGTCACCGCGTTATCGATGACATCGTCGTGCAGCAGAGATGCTGTGTGGATCAGCTCTGTAATTTCGGCCAATCGCCGCTGGGAGGGCAGGATGTTGTCATCTCCTGCAATTTCATATTGGCTCTCGGCCTTCGGGGCCACGAGCGGGTTCATCTCGGGGTTGGCGTCTTCGAGGATTGAGGGCGCGCTAAAAGAGGCATCGACGGGACTCGGTTTATCAGAGTAGGTGTGGTGCTTGCGTGGGTCCAAAGCCGTGGCTTGGGACATGAGGAGGACAAGCATGGGCCGCATGTGCTTGCCTTCGCTGTGAGTGTAGTATTTGGCGACTTTGTCTAGGGCTGGGTGACCAGACCCGAGTAATTGACGAATGTTCTTAGAGAGGAACTTCAGCTCTTTCCCAACCATTCTCAATGGGTCGACAGAGACGCCTGGGGGCGCTTTAGGCATGCCCTTGAAGATGGCCTGTGCCGCCGACACGGCGGCTCCAAATGGCGACGCATCCCTCCGGCGCGTAGGATGGTATTTGCGCGTTTGAAGGGCAATATGCGTCAAACGGAGGTCATCGCGGAGGCATTGGGAGCAGATGGAGGTGGAGGTCGGTCGTGATGAGAGGATCAGCCCGGTGGCCGATGCGGTGCGAGCTCCCATGCTCGGTATATGGACTGTTTATTTATAAACAGATGAGACGAATGGAAAATGGGGACAAGAGCATGAGAACCCCCGGTGTGGATGCGAGGTGTTTGCGGAGTAATAAGGACAGGAAACAATCTTGCGGGAAGATTTCGAGCTCTCGGGTCGGCACGGACCCGGTGTTACATGGCCCTGTGAGAGCTCAACCACCTGGGCCTAGGTCTAACGCATGCATCCCAATTACTTGTTTTATTTTTTAATTTTTTTAAAAAAAGGCGCCTTAAGGAAGTTGATGACAGCCCAGACTATACCTTCTACATAGACATCTACGACATTTCTGGGTACCCAATGCAAGAAATCAATCCAGTATAATAAACACAGAAGACCGCGCCGACCAAAGCCCAGCGCATTCCCCCTACACTTCCGAAAATAGAACAACGATCCAAGAAAAAAGAGGCACAATTAACACACAGGTCGAAGGCCGCTACGAAGTAGTGACCTATCAGGCCGGTGCGGAGGATGAAAAAGTACTGTATCGATTTATGGAACAACCAGAGCCTCCTCTTTAGATGCCATCGAGATCACCTCCAGCATCCTCATCGTCAATGTCACCCTCTTGGATCTCCTTGGCAAGTTCACGCTCCCGTTCCCGAGCCTCTTGGGCACTCTTGAGCTCCAGACGGTGCTGATTCATGGGGAAGCGCATAGCCTGCGGAAGGACTCACGTTAGCAAGGCAAACATATTCATACCGAAGATCCAACAACATACCTTGACACTCTCATCGTGAAGGGCCAGACAGGCGCGGATACGCTCATGGAACGCCTCACCGGGCTCTCTGGTGGCGTAAATATCACCAACCTCCTTGCTCTTCATAAAGCCATGCTCGTGATCAAGTGTAGCCTCAATGACACCGTCACGAATAGCCTTAGCTACAATATACTCGGCAGACTCCTCGCTGTCAAGGCCTAGACGTAGGCAGATATCCCGCAGAGAGATGCGGGAGTAGGAAAGTGACATCATACGGATGCCTGTCTTGATAACATTCTGTCGCAGGCGCAGAATCAGGGTGTAGGTGCCATCCTTGCGGAAGGTCTCACTGTGAGTGTTGACAATAGTGAGGAAGCCATCCAAGTCACCAACACTGACTGCTTGAGAAAGCAACAGGTAAGGATGCATGGCACGTTCCAAGGCCGGTTGGCGGAAGACTGAACGGTCTGGAATATCACCCATCAACAGTTCAACAACAACCAGCAATTTGTGGGAAGCCTGGTAGAAGCCACGAGCGATAGGGCTAGCGGGCGACTTGCGGGTAGCCCCAATGAGGTGGCTGTGGGCCTCGGTGTACTGCAGCTGGATAGCACGAATGCGGCCGAGATAGAACATATACCGGGCAATCTGATTGTTGGATGCAGCGACGGGGAATGGGTTGTGGGAGATCAGAAGGTCTGCCTGTGAGATGTGAGACGTAGATAGGTAGTTGCGGAGCAACAGTGTCATCACGGTGGCCTGTGTGTCAACATCTTTCCGAAGCACAGCGGTACGCAAAGCCACCAGCAATGACTGGCGAATAGTCGTAACGGCTGCGGCAGGGGAAGGAGGTAGCGGGGCAATTTGTTCGAAGAAGAGAGAGTAGTAGAAGTACACGCGTGCGGCAAGGGAATCCAGTGTGCGACGGTTGAGGGCCCGCAGGCGCTCAATCAACTCTGTTGAGAATTGAGCCCCCTTCTGGATCTCCCGCTGATCAAACAAGTAAATCTGGACGAGAATCGAGAGATATGCGTCCACCTCGGCAAGTGTCTCCTTGGGGGCGGCCTTCTCCGAGTCGACCTCCATCTGTGAGTTGGATGGGGCGTTCTCGAAAGCATTTGCTTGGTTGAGAGCTGCCAGAAGGAACGAAGCCGTGGAGCTAGACGGGGAGGAGACCTCCACAATGACTTCGGCGAGGACCTCCGGGGTGAGGTGTTTCCGCATCGAGGATATCGACCGTAGGACACGGAGGGTGAATCTGGGGTCGAAGTGGGCAACGGCTCGCTCGAGCAAGGTGAAATTGGTTTTGATGTCTATGTTCATGGAAGAGCGAGGTCGGTCTGGTTAGAAAACCCAAATACTGTTGGCTGGAGAAGAGAAGTTGACAAACCTTGAATGGCCTTAGTTCTCGGGTCGACTTCAGGCTCGGTGTTCTCGGCCTCGCCGTCTTCCGCACCTTCCATTGTCACATCCTCTTCCTTGTCTTTGCCAGATGATCTGGAACCCTTGGTCGGGGGCACTACAACAGTCATCTTCTCGTCACCTTTGCGGTTCTTGCTGGCGTTGAATGAGGATGTAGGCGCACCTGCCGTATCCTCTCCCATCTCAACATCTTCAGATCCGTTCACACCGTTCCCGGTTGACTTGGATCCATTGGTATGCGACTTATCATCCTCTCCCATCTCGCCGTTCGATGCGCCCTTTGCGTCCTTCTTGGGCTGGGTGGACTTGGCTTTGTTGGCGGCAGCGCGTGTGGTAGGCGCCTTGTCTTTCGCACCCGAGCTTTGGGAGTCTGAGCGTCCCTTCTCACCGTTAGCAGATGAAGAGGTGTCAGATTTGTTGTTTGATCGCAGAGAGCGCCTTTCGGCCGGCATCTTTCTTAAGCTGTCGAGCTCAGTCGAGCTACCAAGCTACCGGAAGAGGTAGGGGGGCGAATGAGCACGATTACAAGGTATGAAGCAGAAAGGCAGATACAAGATAGCCAAGCTGCCCGTATCACAAATATGATGACAGAAAACCGGTGCAGGGAGATGGATGAAGTGGATGGGTGATGTGATGTCAAGAGATGGGATGAACGGGCGCAAGAGACCAGATGAGTGATTAGTCACCACAGGAGCTTACCCGGCCTTAACTCAGTACGATACTCTTTTCTGCAATCGAAGCTACCAGAAATTTGATACAAAATATTCAAAAAGCCTGAGATCTTATCACTTGTCGAGCTGAGTGTAAGCCACTGGATTGCTTGTTGGGTAGTCAAACCCAGTGTGGTTGCTGATACACAGGCGCCTCTGGATCTAGTGCCTCAGGCATCAACTGCAGCTCGGAGTAAACAACTGCGGTGCAAGAGTCATCCATTTACTCCGTACAACTTGGCTATTCACCACAGGTACATACTTGCAAAGATGGGGCTTCTTGACTCCCACATGGAGCAGATCACACTATCCTCCAATGCCATTGCAGATTTACCGTCAGACCTCCCATGACCCTTTGACCTTGTTGCTTAGGCTAACGCAAATGTCCAGATTTCCTCCCCCGCGCATTTTTACCACCGCACTGTTAGGCTCTCATGACATCACAGCCTTAATCCGAGATACTGAAGCTCACGAACGAGCGCTGTTCCAAGTGGACCCTGCAGCCAAAGCTCATGGACCCCAGAGACGTGCAACACGGCGCGGGACTATGTTCCCCGCCGAGTCTGAGCCCGAGTCCATGGCAAGCCGGATATATTCAGCACGCAACAACCGCAATCAATCTGCAGTAGCCAGAGTTCTGGGCCACGACATGATGGAAGAGATTAAGCGATCCGCAGGCACTTCCACTCGAGGACCTCGCGGGGAGGTAAACATTGAAGTCCTTCTCCGGGGTGCTGAGATCTTGTGCGATGTCTAGTAAGTAGGATGAAACAAACTAAGCAAGACAGATCATGTCTAACCGGGCCAAAGCCCTGTCGCTGGAGCACAGGAAAAAATAACCAACCTTCGCTATCGGCATCAGATGATATCTGATTCTATAGCACGCTTGGAATCCAGAGTTGCCACAAACAGCGCAGAGCTTGATCAAATGAGGAGCTCTTACGGAGATGAAGAGGATGAATTCCAGACTGCGCCGGTGGCACAGCCTGATGCACCGGAAGTCACCGATGAGGACATTGAGCGTGAAATGGCGGAGATTCGAGATCTAGAGCGGCGGAAGCGAGGCTTGCAGGAGAGGGTCACCGGCATGGAACGAGATCTTGGTGGGTTGGTTGGCTGAGCCTTCCATGCACCGTATATCCGTTCTCATATTGTGAAGGTGTGCTCTATCAATGTTCCTGGGCCGCCGTTTCATCCACCAGAGGTCGCAGCAATGGCCTCTGGACTTTTTCAACTGGTCATATCGAGGTTTTCTCGGTCCGACGCGCTTGTCAAATAAAGACTGATCGTACCGTTTCTGGTGGTCTCCTGCCAATGGCATCTCAAAAGGTGATGTTTGGAGACAGTCAGATGTCAGCACACTCTCATCTCCGGTCCCATCCCGCAGCACACACATAATATGGCTTTTAAAGAGTCCCTTTGTGGCCCCTTGAAGCTCTCTCTGTGTGTTGGATTCGCCCGATGGTCGTTGAAAACGTACTCCAAGAACTTGGCCCAGGCAGTAACCATGGGCAGTCCCATCCCCTGGAAGACATGCTGGTATAACCTAGTTGTTTCTTCTCATCATAACTGATTTCTGATTTTACACCCTTTACGATAGTCATGAATGTCAAGATCTTTCTGATGGGCAGCTCAATTCCTAGAAACGAGCTACCTCGTATATACTTTCTCTCAACAGTGATCCTCATAGCCGCAGCTTAGCTCGTCTTTGTGACCAGAGCAGGATGTGAAAGTAGACAGTATCTTCAAAAGCCTGATACTTCCAAGTACACTAAGATCCCAATCACCACGTTCCCCAGATTATGCTCTGTATGATCACGCTGTAGAGATCGGCGCTAACGGTCAAGGGGGCCAAAGTTCCGGTTGCACAAAACCCCGGGGTGCCAGGCTCTCTCTGATCCAGCCCAGGCGAAACTGTGCTCTTTGGCACGGACTGAAGAGGTCAATCTGGTAACGGGACCCGATCACACTTCCAAGGTTTCTTTGATGTTCCTGACAGCTGGTCGGATCAGGCGGGGTACTAACGGCTGTACCTGTAATGATACGGTATGTAACATATATCAGACATAAGTACAGGGTAAACACCGCTTAAAGCAATGAGACTGAGCGAAATACAAATACAGGACCTGTAATGCCGAGGCACCCAGGTACCTCCGTCATTCCACTGTGCTTTTAGCAGCTGCAACACCTTTGCAACATCTCTTGCGCGCTCTAATCCCTCGTCCATTCCAGTCGCTATTGCTGTAGAGCCGGTCTCTTGCTTGGCGTCACTTTTGGAGGTCACTCTCCCAAACTATGGAGCTTTCGACCCTCCCGCATTGATCTACTGGTTCCCCATGGGTTCGCTCAGTAGCTTCCTCTTCGTCTACGCCTTCGGTGGAATCACCTTCATTCCACTCATTTTGTCTTTGATCCTCCTCTACGCCTATCTGACTCTCCCTTCCGTGCATGACACGCAGCAATCATGCCAGAAACCAACCGATCCCCTCCGCTTGCCGACCGATGACGACTTGAGTCCGAAGTCCGGCACCGACCAACTAGCAGAGAAATTCCACCGCACCCACGAGTCCGATGTGGCAGCTGGATACTTCGCTGTATGCCGAGAATATGTCCCTGGAGGCGTGAATGGAAAGCCCCCCGAGAGAACCACCCCAGCGGGGGAGGTTGTTGCGGCCGAAAGTCCCAGCGTATACCAGACCATGTACCGCAGTTTGTTCGATCGAAAGCAAGCGCCGAGTATTGAGCCCAGCAAAGCGAATGGGAAAACGACAAAGCGGGCCCGAAACGTGTTCTTCATTGTCCTTCGGTGCGGATTTCCTCGTTCTGCTTCACTGATATGACCTGAGCTACGATTGCTGACAATGAATCTCATATTCCAGACACGGCCATTTGATGCTCTATGATGATGTAAATCAGGTAGAAGTACGCTATGTCATCTCGCTCGCTCACCATGATGTTACCATATATGGTGGAGAGGGGGACATCCCCGAAGGAGAGTTGTGGCTCAAAAGGAATGCCATCTGTCTCTCCCGGCGACTTGAATCGCTAGGTGACTTAGGAGGGCCGACTCCGCCATTCTACCTCTTCTCAGAAAACTTGTCGGAGAAGGAAGACTTCTATATTGCCATGCTGCAGAACCAAAATCGGCTGTGGGACTCGACCGATCGTCCACCCAAGCCCCAGGGATTTGAAACAAAACACATCGTCACCTTAGTTCAACGTCTGCATTCCTCCGAGGAACAGTTGCAAACACGCTGGATTAATGCTTTGCTTGGAAGGTACTTTCTGGCGCTGTACCAGTCTCCCGAGCTGGAGGCATTCGTGCGGAGCAAAATTGTCAAGAAAATATCTCGAGTAAACAAACCAAACTTCATCAGCAAGATTGGGCTGCAAAGGATTGACATGGGTGAAGGAGCTCCGTTCATAACCAACCCAAGGCTGAAAGACCTGACGGTAGACGGGAACTGCTGCATCGAGGCCGATGTTCAATACACCGGTAATTTCCGCGTTGAGATTTCGGCGACTGTCCGTATTGATCTGGGTCCTCGTTTCAAAGCGAGAGAGGTTGATATTGTTCTTGCGGTTGTTTTGAAGAAGCTTGAAGGCCATCTGCTGGTTCGGTTCAAACCTCCACCCAGCAATCGCATGTGGATGTCCTTTGAAACCACGCCGAAGATGGAAATGGATATTCAGCCTATCGTCAGTTCGAAGCAAATCACATACAGTCTGATTCTTCGAACCATCGAGAGCAAGATCCGCGAAATGGTGGCAGAAAGCATCGTTTTACCTTTCTGGGATGACGTTCCGTTCCATGATACTTTGGGCCAAGCTTTCCGCGGTGGAATTTGGCAGCAAGGCGCCCCTGAGCCAAGCGCCGAGGTAGAAATACCTGATGAATCTGGCGAAGCTCCTCAGCTCCCGAAGAATGTTGGTGGGGATCCCATTGAGGTACTCAAATCCAAGGATGATCGCACAATGAGCATGCCCACTCTTTCAGAACCTGCTGCAGCCAAGCAAAGGCCGCGCAAAGGTCTGAAGTCAAGCCATTCCGATTTACAGACAGCACAAATTTCGACTGCAACTTCTACAGGAATAGAAAGACCGGAAAGCACACCGCTACCGCGAGCCATTCGATCACAAACAATGTCCCATGCCGCGGACCCTGTTGTTACTCCTGACAATGCGAAAGTTGACAAGGCTGTTTTGGACAACAAAGGCGAAGAGAAAAGCAATGCCGCCAGCGCTATGTTCGAAATATCGAGCAGGTCTCCGCCTGCCTCCCCAAACCGCACCCCCGGTACCTCGCCACCCTCGGTTGGCATCACGATGCCGGAAATTGCTGTCCACAGTCGTGAATCTTCGATTGTAGATCCAATTGAAGGTCCTAGTCTTGGCAAAGATCACATAATACAAAGGCCCTCTTCCACTCGCATGGAGAGCGGATCTTTTTCCAGCTTGAGAAGTTCTCGGGGCAGCTCTACCACCTCGGTTGTGAGCGACTCGAGTCGGCGACGTAGCACCATCGAAACCATCACCAAGTCGTTCACAACCAACACTTCCTCTGAAGATAAGTCTTCTGGCTCCATAACCATTGGATCAGCTACTGCTGCCGCCAAGAAGTGGAGTATGAGTGTTTTTGGGAAAGGCGACCACACTCCTCACCAGGAGTTACCACGAGAAACCCCTAGTGTCCCCGATCAGCCAATTGGACGTGGACATCCCCATCCACCACCTGGAACCCCATTGCCTCGCCCCGACAAATATGCCCTGAAGAGGAATGCGGGAACGACGGCCAAATCGACCCCTAAGCGAAAGCCAGTGGCAGCACATGCGGCCGAACGTCCCAAAACTGCAGACAAACAACACCCATCATCATCTTTGCCCCGCAGGAAACCCATGGCACCTGGAGTGCATGTTGACGAAGGCATTGATGAATTGCTTGTAGTAGAGGCACTGCACGACTCTGAGCCGAACAGCCCTGCCCCCGGTGATTTCGAATCAGATCACCCCCCGATGACCCCAGACACGGTCGAACCCGATACTGCGTTGAAGGAGAAACAGCCCGTGGTTGAGAATGAAACGCCAGAAGCTCCTGATGCTGAATCACTGCGCTCTGTTGACCAGATGCCAGATTCACCTATCGACATCCCCGGGGTGCCGACATCTACTGGAAGAGCAGAGGTACCCTCATCGTGAAAGCATCTGACTGCTTTTTCTCATGGAATTGGAAACGAAATCCCATCCCAGGAAGTCAGGTCATCCGCTCTGCCGTCCCATGTGACTCGCAATGGTAGAGAGTCTCTGAGCTTTTCAATTCCCTAATCATACCGCACTATGGTACTGGAGACTCCATGCTGGGCTGGCTCTTCCTGCATGTGATGAATCTCCACATAGAAAGGTATCGGTGTGCACTGTGTAGCTATCTTCTCCCTTTCTGTTTGTATGCGATAATCAATGAAGTATATCCACTCCTCTTGAAATTGGCCCCCAGCAGAGTATTTCCACCGTAGGCTGAAGTAAAAGGATATACCTAGAAGGTTTAGTAATGGTCAGAAATGCCATCTCGTGATACTTTTGCTTCTGTACATCTACTAGTATACACCATTTTATCGTAGGCAGCCGTTTCCAAGGTCACAGTTCATGTATTGCGACTTAATGCTGTAGTGTGAGAATCCAGTGATGACGCAGTCAGTTTCCAGCTTCGGATGTCTTACGCGTACTCTGTACTCACAGTGGTAAGGGATGAACCCTTGAAGTCGCAAAGTGCCCAACCCGGATCAGCTTAGGCGTCGCCAAGACTCCCCGACAGGCGCCAGCTTTCCTCCCGATCAACGTCATTGCTCCTCCCACGTGTGACTATTGCTTCACCAAATTCCCCTTTCTTTCGCGACTCGATCCATCCGCTTCATCCGGTCGGCGCAAGCTCACTCAAGTGTCTGTGCGCTGTCCGGGCTCGACATTCGTCAACGCGAACCTGTCCGATATCCATCCCCCCCTGAGCACACATCCAGTGCACCCCAACGGCCACAATGAGTCGGTGAGCAAGACTCCAGTGGAACTTGTGGAAACCTGCTCTGACAGACCATCGCGCAGGACCGAGGCCGATTTGGCCATTAATATCCGCAAGGCCACCAGTATCGGTAAGTGGGAGACCGGGGACGATACCAATGCGAGAGAGGGGACACGATTAGCTGACAATTGAACTGTTAACAGAGGAGACTGCTCCCAAACGTAGGTTCTGACCATATTCAATTGTCCTCATTGAACCCGATTGATGTCACGCTGGGCACAATCCCCTCCGAATCGAACTGACCATCCCCCGCGCCTGTAGGGAAACATGTGCGGAGTTGTATCGTCTATACGTGGGACCACAAGTCGTCGGCGGCTTTCTGGGCGGGCATGAAAGTGTACGTTTCTGGCACATCCGGCGAGCGTGAAAGGTTTTGGGTTCTTCTGAAGGTGGCTGACATGTTCTCGTCCTTCTCAGGCAGCCTGTCCTCGCCGACGAGGTTCAGACATTCAAGGCTCTGATCACGATACACAAGGTCCTCCAAGAAGGCCACCCCATGGTTGTCCGTGAGGCACAGCAGCACTCGAATTGGATCGATAGCTTGATGAGAGGTGTGGGTGGCGACGGTATTCGAGGTACGAATTGCACACGGGAACATTGCGCATGGGTCCAATACCCAAGGAGTGGCAGCGCACAGCATGGGCGGGTCGTTAACTGCTGAACAGGATATGCGCCGCTCATTCGGGAATACGTCTTCTTCCTTGAGTCGAAGCTGGCCTTCCACCGCAATCACCCCGAATTCAACGGTATGTTGTCCGCTGTCGATCAGCTCTTTCAATCAAAGGTTTCTGATGACCGTAGGTCTGTTCGAGTATGAGGAGTACATCAGTTTGAAGTCGATCAACGATCCAAATGAAGGGTGTGTACATACCGGTCATGCGCAATCGTAAATGGATTGACATTAACGGTTCACAGATACGAGACCATCTCCGATCTCATGGCCCTGCAGGATCAAATTGATTCTTTCCAAAAACTCATCTTTTCGAACTTCCAATCCGGCACAAACAATGAATGTCGAATCTCAGCATTGGTTCCCCTTGTGCAGGAGAGCTATGGTATCTACAAGTTCATCACCAGCATGCTCAGAGCCATGCACACAAGTATGTTGGCCCCGACCTGTGGGATATGTGTTCGATGATCACTGACTAGTATTTGCTGCAGCAACCGGAGATGATGAAGCACTCGAGCCACTTCGAGGTCGTTATGATGCCCAGCACCACCGCCTCGTTCGGTTCTACTACGAGTGCTCCAACCTGCGCTACCTCACCGGTCTCATCACCATTCCAAAACTGCCTCAAGATCCACCCAACCTGCTTTCGGAGGATGACGACCGTCCAGCTCTTCCTAGGCGCCCAGCGAGAGAGGTGGAAAAGCAACCCTCGCCACCACCCAAAGTTGCTGCGGAGCCTGAGCCGATCAACGACTTCTGGACCAACGAAGCTAAGCGCCAACAAGAGGAGTATGAGGCGGAGCAACAGCGACTGCAACAGCAGTGGGAGGACCAGCAGCGCCAGCAGCTTGCTGCGCAACAACAGGCACAGCATGATTTCGAGGAACAACAGCGTCTGCAAGCGGAACAGCAACGACTGGCACAAGAACAACTTCTCCGTGACCAGTATTCAACACATACACAGGGTCGGCTGGCAGAGCTGGAGCAGGAGAACCTCAATGCTCGTGCTCAGTATGAACGGGACCAGCTAATGCTGCAGCAATATGACCGCCGTGTCAAGGACCTCGAGGAGCAGATGAACCACCTGAATTCTAACCTGAATATGCAAAGTGCCTCAAAGGATGAGCAGATTCGAGCTCTGCAGGAGCAGGTGAACACTTGGCGGTCCAAGTACGAAGCATTGGCCAAACTGTACTCCCAGCTTCGACAGGAGCATCTCGATCTCCTTCAGACCACAAAGAGCCTCAAGCTCAAGGCCGCCTCAGCCCAGGAGGCCATCGACCGCCGCGAGAAGCTGGAGCGTGAGCTGAAGACCAAGAACTTGGAACTTGCTGACATGATTCGGGAACGTGATCGTGCTACGCATGATCGTGATCGCCTGACGGGTACCAACAAGGATGAGTTGGAGAAGGTTAAGCGCGAACTGCGCATGGCGCTCGAACGTGCTGAAAATGCAGAGCGATCAAAGGGCACCGAAATCTCATCCATGCTGTCTAAATACAACCGCGAGATGGCTGACTTGGAGGAATCCCTTCGAGTCAAGACTCGAGCCCTTGACGAGCATTCCAGCCGAAACAACGACCGACAGGGAGATCACGATTTGGCCCTTGCTGAGAAGGACGAGGAGATTGAGGTGTACAAGTCAGGAATGGAGCAGGCCCTCATGGAGCTTGAGGAGCTGAGAATGGTAAGGAGAAATCCAGGCGCCAAATGAAATCGAACGCTAACGATGCTGGAATTTAGAACCAAGGAGATGTCGACCATGCGCTTGACAGCCAGATTGACACAGTGCTCCACGGCGCAGTGGCGAAGATCAACGATATTATCGATTCGGTGTTACAGACCGGTGTGCAGCGTGTTGATGATGCTCTGTATGAGTTGGACTCGTCCATGCAGGCCGGTAACCAGAATGCCTCGCCACCATATGTTCTTTCGCAGATTGAGAAGGCATCGGCCTCTGCGACCGAGTTCTCGACTGCATTCAACAACTTCATTGCTGATGGTCCTAACAGCCCTCATGCCGAAATCATCCGCACAGTTTCTATTTTCTCTGGGTCTGTTTCGGATGTTTTGAGCAACACCAAGGGTCTCATTCGCTTTGCTAATGACGACAAGAGCTCGGATCATCTTGTCAACGCTGCTCGCAAGTCTGCCCAGGCGACCGTGCGATTTTTCCGTGGCTTGCAGTCTTTCCGCCTCGAGGGTCTAGAGCCACTGCAGAAGACTGACGTGGTCATCAACAACAACCTGGAAGTCCAGCGTGATCTGCAATCGCTGTCGAAGCTGGTCGACACCTTCGCTCCCAAGAATAGCAAGATCAGCACAAATGGTGATCTGGGTGACCTTGTCGACCAAGAGTTGCTTAAGGCCGCCGATGCCATTGATGCGGCTGCCCAGCGTCTCGCCAAGCTCAAGAACAAGCCTCGTGATGGTTACTCGACCTACGAGCTTCGCATCAACGATGTCATCCTTGCTGCTGCAATCGCCGTCACCAACGCAATCTCCGAGCTGATCAAGGCCGCCACGGAAACTCAACAGGAGATCGTTCGCGAGGGTCGTGGTAGCTCCTCTCGTACTGCTTTCTACAAGAAGAACAACCGCTGGACAGAGGGCTTGATTTCTGCTGCCAAGGCAGTGGCCTCTTCAACCAACACACTGATTGAGACTGCTGACGGTGTCATCTCCGGTCGCAACTCTCCCGAGCAGCTCATTGTCGCATCCAACGATGTGGCAGCCAGCACTGCCCAACTTGTTGCCGCCAGCCGTGTCAAGGCAACCTTCATGAGCAAAAACCAGGACCGCTTGGAAACTGCTAGTAAGGCCGTCGGTGCTGCCTGCCGTGCCCTCGTGCGACAGGTCCAGGACATCATCAAAGAGAAGAACCGGGACGGTGACGACGCAGAGGATTATGGCAAGCTCAGTGGACATGAATTCAAAGTCCGCGAGATGGAGCAACAGGTATGTGACGCCCCCTTCCCCCTTATGGTAAATCCACCCCATACTCATGCGTATCCTCCAAACAGGTCGAAATCCTCCAACTCGAAAACGGTCTTGCCCGTGCGCGCCAGCGTCTCGGCGAAATGCGCAAGATCTCCTACCAGGAGGACTGAGGAGGTTGTCGCATGTCTCTTCCTTTCGCTCATGGATGTCTGTGTATATTCCGCATCTAGACCTCGACGAGTGTTATCCGTGTCGCGCTTCGTGCCCTGTCTCATCTTCTCGTTGTTAGTCTCGAGTTTTGAATTCCCATAGCGAATGCAAGTAATTCACATTTCCGATCGCGTATTCTGCACAAATGCACCTGTATTCCAACCCAGGCCTTGGCTCCAATAGATACCCTTGTAAAAAGCACGGTCGCACACCCGTTCCGCGGTCGCATTGCGGCAACTCCGTCGCTGCATGCCAAGCCTTGCCCCCACCTCTGACCAGTGGATCCTCGAGCATGGCGCATGCACGTCCATGGGTCGGGCCGACTAGCGGCGGGTACAACAAAGAATATCAAGACGTCAACTCGTGTACGCAGACAAAGAACCGGGGTGCCACGGCGGTTCTAGACCGTCGTAACTTCGAGATCAAAGCGTCATGGAGGCCGAAAAACTGCCTCAGTGGATCTGGGATGGATCAAGTTGTATTTGGGAGGCCTTTGGGCGTAAAGAAATGTTTGGGAGAGCAAGTCTAGAGAATGTGAAGACCTGCGACCATCTACCGACAAAGGTGGCATACTCACCGTGTCTGGCACCACAGATTACAAGAGAGTAGGAATTTTTTCAAATTCTTCATTAACTACCTAAAGTAACCGGGAGAGGCTGAGGTAAAAACATACGAAAACCCTCAGCTTGCCGGCACTCGGCTAACTATCCTCCCCATAGGACTCGAGAAAACAAATTCAACCGCGAAAACATATTGAGTCCTATTAACTGTTCATAGCAAATTCAAATCCTCCATAGCAAATTCCAAATCTCCATATCAATATCCGAAACCCAAATCTCAAGCCCAACCTGTCCGCTGGGTAGTTGATCTCGGGGTCTCCTGGGCAATTCTTCTGGGCAATTCTTCTGGGCATATCTTCTGAACGTAAATCGTGAATGTGGTGTGGTCGAATAAGTGCGGAACTCAAAGCCCGGGTCGAAACCCAAGGGCATATCCTCGTAAACGAACTCAACGACTAGGCGAAGTAAAAGACGGTAATTGTACAGGGTATTGTAGTAAAGGCACCAATGTCGGTTCGAGAACACAAGGAGCTGAACTCGTCAGGTGAATCAAGGTATGAGGGGTAAAACTTTTTTTTGTGGTTTCGGTTTTCGTCCGTTTTTTTGTTGTTTTCTCATTTTCAATTCCAATTGTTTTTGTTGTTTTTTTGGTTGAAAGGGCCCTCGTAGATTGAAAGACGAAGACGTAAGGATAGACCAGACGAGTGAAGTTGTGTCACCGTAATGTTTTTTGCAGAGTGAGCGATTTAGTACTGCTGAGTAGAAATTTCGATGTCATCGAGGAACTCAGTATCAACGTTGAAGGGCGCTTCGGGTGCGTTGTCTCCAGGGAAAATATCAGCGTCGTCGTCAAAGGCGAAATCAGCTGGATCGTAGACAACGGGCAATCCCTGCGCGTCCACTTGAGAGTACATCTCATGGACGTCAAACTCTTCCATGGGCCACTGAGGCACGTCCTTCCGAACCCAGTTCTGAGGCTCGTGGACAGTTCCCTGATAAGACTGCTCCACAGCAAAGACCGTGCCGCATTCAAGAACGTGCTTGGGCCATTCCTCATCACGCGCCTCCGCAAAGCCGGCCTCCAAGCAGTTCTCAACAACCTCCTTGACGGACAGAGGGTTTGGCAAGAACACTGAAGACAGAGTAGAGTTTTTAACCTTCACCAGGCTCATACTGTTGTCCTCAGAGTGGATTTCCCAGCCGCACAGGTCGAGGTAACCTTGGGCATTGGCAAGACCGATGAGAGGCACGCAAATTTCAACGAAGCCTTTGAGGCAGGGTCTGCGGACAAGGAAGTGATCACGAAGGATGGTGTAAGCCTTGGCCAAGATTGCCCACTGAGACTTGAGAGTGTCGTCGTCCCACATCTGGCTGATGACAATGGACTTGATCTTCTGCGGGATGTTGGGAAACAGAGGTGAACAAAAGCCTGTTAGACTTGTTAGTAGTGGACTAAGTGATGGCTTGATTGTAACTTACTTCGGAAAATCATGAAGCTGTTCAGGGGACGCAAGCGACGTTGAGCCACTGGGGCAGGCAAGACAGGAGTCGCAGCCAGCTCCCGACCGACAAAGCCAGTGGTGGACTCGCGGTGAAGGATTTGCATGGGAAGAGCCTTATCAACGCGGCACAAAGACAGGCCATTGGCAGTAAAAACAAATCGCGGACCAGTTGGCAGGAGGCGAGGCTGCTGAAAGTAGTTGCTCGGAAGCTCCCTGAGGACCTGGGCAGCGTACTCTCCCGGAGGCGAGGTAGGAGGCCAGCGCGAGAGCACCCTGGAGGCATGGTGAATCTCAAGGGTTTCGATGTAGCGGAAAAGCAACATCTCAAGATGAGCAGGCTCGTATTCAACCGGAACGGGAACACCGGCCGCAGCCGACATCTTGGATGCGGCGACCATCTTGGACACAGAAAGGGCGGTTAGGGAGGGGTTGGAAAAGGTTAGAGGTGAAAGGGAAGGCGAGGGGAAGTGAAAGACAAGCAAGTGTGAAGGGCTTGCTTGTCAGTGTTGGTTAAGCGGACCGAGCAGCTGTCTTCGAAAAAACAGTAACACAGAAGCACGTTAGAAATATGAGTGACCCGAGAAGAAAGACAAAGAGGGGTGGGAAAGGGAAGAGAGAGAAGGAGGGAGTAAACAAAGAAATACAGATCAACAGGTCAGGAAGGTGGGCGAAGAAATGAGATTTCTTTGTTCTATGGAATGGGCCAATCATTAACCAGTCTCAGTTTCTTTGTCTACCGAGTTGTCAACAATGGTGGGGCTTCTTAGCTTCATCCTATTGTCCTATTCATGCATGAATAAAACAATGAAAGTCCTAAATAGGACAATCTAATTACAGAACAATGGAGGCACAGAACAATGGAAATAGGCTTCCCTACCTTGGTAAAATCAATGGCAACACAGAACAACCTATGCAACATGTACCTTCTCAACGATCTGGTCATGCACGCTTGATTCAGAAAAGGTAAACACTGATTTCCCCCCCTACTCTTGATATATAGCACTTCATCTTCGCCTTAAAATTCTTCATTGAAAGAGATTTTCAGTGCCAGAGTCTGCAGGTATCACCTGGCATCAACGGGATGTGGGCAGCACCACGTGGTGTAGGTCTGTAGATCCGGGGCTTACCGCCCCACAACCTTAAAGGTTGCAAGTTGCACAGCAGCCCCACGGTGACCTTGAAGTTACTAAGGCGATCTACTACTCTGCTCAGGTACGCTGGTTCAGATCAAGGACATCGTGGTCACAGAGGTACCTATGCTCGATGTTCCTCTGCCTCCCAACTCCCATCCCCTTTTGGGAACATCGATGATGATGATGATGATGATAATAATAATAATAATAATAATAATAATAATAATAATAATAATAATAATAATAATAATAATAATAATAATAATAATAATAATAATAATAATAATAATAATAATAATAATAATAATAATAATAATAATAATAATAATAATAATAATAATAATAATAGATCAATGGAAACAAAGAAAAAGGAAACAAAGAAAATCAAATCCAAAATCCAAAATAGGACATAAAAAACTAAAAATTAAGAGGAAGAGGAAGAGGGCACCACTGCCCGATGCCGATGAAGGCAATTCCCGAGAGCAGATCCCATCAGGGCAATAAATAGTGCCTAGGTAATTTATATCAAGGCTTCGCCCAGTGACAGGATCTACCTATTCTATGGTTCAAGTCAGCCTTGATGGACTAATGGCTCTCATCAGGCATTTACATCACTCCGTCTGATAAGTGCTGCCGGGTATTTAGTAGTACATTGAGCCCAGTAGAGCGATATACACAGTGAAACGTGGTCTTCAGGTTTGAAGGACTCACAAACCAGATGGATCAACCATCAGCCTTGCGTTGAATAGGGTAAAGCACCTGAGCAAGTTGCTCCAATTGAGTTTTTTCATTGAGTCTAATAGAATGGCTGAGCAGTACTATGAGACAGAAATCCTGGAATGTCAGTGCGGTGATGATGCAGATGAATTCCATTCACTGGCCCAGATAAAGGTTGAACATCGCCATTGTGTACCCTTCTCTTTTTCCCCGCTGGGGCCCAATGGTCGTGAGCAAATCCAAAACAGGCGTCCATGGTTCATCCCAGGCTTTTTGGTCGTCAGGCTAATACATGGTTCTTGGTGTCCGTCACACGATGGGCGTGGCTTCTTGGTGAAGAGCTTCGACCAATCCTCCTTGCTGGCAATTGGATCGACAACAAAGTCATCGGCAGATAATGGATCAACTGTCAAGTGGACATGTTGATCGCGCTCCCTTTCTGTCGAGCTGTCGTTTTCAATTTCCGGAGAGCTCTGAGAATCAGCGAGAGATATGTTTTGGGTTCCATGTGAGGGGCTTGATGCCGTGGAGTCGAGAGGTGAGGTCTGCCGCCCCACAGATGCTCCATGTGATAGAGCAGATGCGCCATCACCCACAGGTTTTGGCTTGAAAAACCCCTTCAATGTCTTCTGACCTCCTTTCGAGACTCCAGGGGTTGCCGAAGTTGCTGAATTGGCGGTCTTCGGTCGTTTGAGGGATATGACAGACTGAGGTTGGGGGCGTTTGCGTGGACTTAGTTGGGTATTTTTGGTGGTAACTGCGGTGACCCTCTGTGACGAGTCCGGAAAGTCATGATTTGTAAATGTCGACCTCATAGCTTCAGTCCCAGGGGTTTCAGCTGTCGAAGCCGTCGTGGCAGCCTCGCGTTCCAATTTCAATGAACCAGGTGCGGGTTTGCGTGAAAACATATCCTTGATGCTTATGCGTTTATCGAGATCGAATTCTGGCAGCAGACGCCCTGATGCTGGCAGCATGAATTTACCCATATACTCCTGTTGACGCTCACCGTTCTTGAACATCCCCGGTGGATTGAGTATATCCCGAATACACGTCTGGCTCCCAGAGAGATTAACAGAATTTTTGAACACCACATAGACAGGGCAGTGATCCGAGCCCTATTGAGGATTTGGTCAAAAAGGCAAAACTGTAGCAATTCACCGAGGAATCATACCATTAACCCTTCTTGGATATCTGATTCCGAGAACCAGTCCTGCATATCCAAGCTGCACAGCACATAATCAATTCTCGATCCGAAGTTCCCCGGCCGAGCATTGAGCTTCTGGTCCCAACATGTATACATGCCGGTGCGATGTGGATGGAAATTCCTGCATACATCAGCAAGAACTGGTGTTTCCCGGCCTTGCTCGCGCTCGCCGATAACCACGCCATCTGATAGCAGTTGGTTGAACAACCGCCTGGCGGGGCTGGATATAAAGTCCTCAGCTGAAGTGGCAGCTTTGCGTATGCTCTCAAGCCCGTGAGCACTGTCTATGGCCTGCTTTGAGATATTGATGTCCCCAGTCACGATCACACGTTTTCCCATCTTAGTCAAGTTGCGGACCCGGGAATCGAGTGCATTGAGGAAATCCATGCGAAAGCTATCCCGAGTCTCGTCACGATAGGCAGGGCAATATACACCAATGAGAACAAATGCAGGAAACTCCAGAATGACACAGCGGCCTTCAGAGTCGAGAGTCGATGCATCTATTTTAGCATCAGGTGCCAACTGCAGGTAATCTTCCTCTTGTTCTGAATCAAGGGTGCCTGGAGCCATGTTTGGCCTGGATAGCTGATCATTTGTCGGATATCCTCCTATCTGCTGCTCTTCCGGAAGGTTGCAGAACGGCACAGATGAGTTCGGTGGGCAGAGAACTCCAGTAATGCCTTCCTCTACACGAATAGGAGAGCATGTGCCGTTGCGTGTGTAAATCACAACACCCGAGTATCCTGAAATCCGTCAGAACTGATTGTGAACAATACTAGCTTCGTAGCTTGCCTTTCTTGACTCGTGGAAGACTGAAATAACAGTCCCACCCTGGCACTAGGACCATGTCGTCACGTAGATCTTTGCGTTGGATCTTGGTTTCCTGGAGAACAACGATATCTGCTTCCAGGATCTCAAACATGGACTGAAATTCAATCAAAATCGAATAATCTGAAGAGGCAAAGGGAAAAACACATACCTCAAAGGTTCGCCTTCCCCTCCATGGCTCATAGGAGAATGGGTTTCTTTCAGATATGTTAACACATGTCGATCTTGACTTGTAGAATCTCTTCATACCGAATACCATTCACTGATCACTCGGTTGTTAGCATGCACAGGGATCACTAATCATTATCAACAGATCAACCGGAACTCACCATTCCATGTTGTCAGGCGGAGCCCCATGATGAACAGCTAATGTACCCAGATCGAGCACACCATTTCTCACGCGATTGAGGTTCAAGACAAGTGAAAATGCAGCATGTCCAAGGTCACCGAGGAGAGAAATGTCCTGGCGTCGAATCAAGGTGCATACAATACCCGTTACCGTGGCGTGACATCAGGTTACGTAAGCGGGAGATCACGGGAAGCCGCTAAAGGCGGTTTGCTGCAAACCCACGACATTCGGACCTCACACCACCAAAGAACCTCTTAGCACCAGTCACCATGTTCTCTCAGCGCATCATCGGTCGCTTTTCTCAGCGCGCGTCGCAGCAGATGCGTTCCGCTCCGGTCCGCTCCACCATTCAGCGCCGTGCCAACAGCACCGAGGCCAAGCCGTCCTGGGCCGCCGACAACGAGTTCAACCGTGAGCGAGCTGCCGTCAAGCACCATGCTGCCTCTACCAGTGGTCAGTCGTGTCCAACTCAATCAATTGATAATTTCTGGTCAATTAGGCACCGCTTAATATCTCCCCTACTAACACTGTCATTACCCAGACCTCTGGCGCAAGCTGTCCATCTAGTATGTTCCTTATGGAGACAATCCATGAGCCGAGCTCAACCAGATAAACTAACCCATCTGTAGCGCGATTGTCCCCTGTCTGATCGGTGGTGGCCTCAACGCCTACAACCTCTGGTCCGAGCACTGGGAGCACTGGTCCCACATGCCCCCTCTCGAGGAGCGCACCGAATACCCTTACCAGAACATCCGCTCCAAGAACTTCCCCTGGGGAGACGGTGACAAGGTATGTTAATCCAGGCCCCACTATCCCAAAACGATCGCTAATCATTGTCTGACGTTAGACCATTTTGTGAGTTTGGACCCGCTTGTTTCCCTCATCCTACACACTTCGATACAAATTCCGATTTATGCGAGTTTCGATTGGGCACTGCCCCTATACGCTAATCGGCGAATCCACTGATATCTGTCTCGTCTTTACACAAGACATGGAGATCTTTTGACTGACTCAACATTCATAGCTGGAACTCCGACGTCAACTACCACAACAAGGACAAGGCTACCTAAGCAGGGCCTTTCCGCGATCAAAACACACCTTCAACCCCTGCCAGGAATCACTCATCGCATTGTTGGGCCGGGTATTCCATGTACATCTATTGCACTGTCGTTCTAGGAGTCAAACACACAGTCCCTCAATTAGAGTGCTGAAGGTCTAGTTGACAGAATGAAGCGAAGCTCACCCTCACTAAGCAGTCAATCCTATCATCTCATTTGTTTGATATCAAATTTGAAACGTTGGTTTAGTTTGAAAATAAAGGCCTGCTTTAGCTGCCCACGAAGTAGACGTTGATCTCAAAACTTCCAACAAAGTCTTTCTCTATGTGTTTGTTCAAGGGAACCGGGAACTTGACTGTGTATGGAGAGCGAGGTCTTGGTTGCCCACGAAGGTCTAAATTTCAAGAGCATCACATTCTAAAGTTGGCAATATGGGCGGTGCGAAGGACAGAAATCCCGGTCCAGACGAATTGGCAAATCTATCTCGACCAAGAAATACATGGGAAGCGGGTCGCAGATATTGATCTTGGTTTACACTCGTGGTCGATCTCGCTCGATGATCGTTCCGAGATTCCACATATCTTGGCGGAATGATAGTACAACGTCAGCATGGAATGCTGAAATTTACCTGCTTTCCATGATCTCATGTCACTTGTATAAATCAGAGTCGCTGCAACCTTGATCTTGACTTTTTTAAGGACTACGAAATGCACTACTTCTTCCCATCCAACTAATTCCGACATCTTTCGAACCACGCTGACGTGGTATATCGACTATATATCACCTAGACACGCCCCAAACCCATAGGCTCGCGTGTTCTAAGGTTATATTTGGGATACATGTATCGTTACGAGATTGTGAGTCTTGTTCTCATCCACCTCTAAAGCTCCTGGTATAAGCTCTTGTCAGACATCAAGATGACTTGATCACCCATGGGTACAAAGTACTAATTACTGACCCTAACTAGTGCTCAAGTGCAACATTGAGAAATGACACTCCCTTTACCGGTGAATGAGGCGAGTGGCACGCCTCGATCACGACTGCGTGAATTTCTCAGCGAAGAGATCCGCGAGGACCTTCTTCTCGAATGTGAGCTTCTACTTCTGTCTTTCGCAACCGGCATACAGGATGCAGCTGCTTGGCCTGATTATAGTTGCTTCGCGTCCAATCAGACTGGAAACACACTGTTCCTAGCGATTGGTGTTGCGGGACTCACAAACGACGCTTATAGCTTTCCCAACATCGGGATCAGTCTCAGTCTTTTTGTGGCAGGTGGATTCGTCATGGGACAAATTGGAAATTATGTTGGTGTACGACGACGGCTTTGGCTTCTGACAAGCAATCTCGTTCAAACATCCCTGGTGTTTGCTGCAGTTGCTATCCAGTATTCGTTTCCAATACAAAGGGATGGTCCTGCTGCCATGGCCGTGATAGCTCTTCTGGCATTTTCGTCTGGGGCCCAGGTCGCCATGAGCCGTTCTTTGAAGATCACCGAGATTACGACAGCCATGGCAACGGCCGCATTTGTAGACGTGGTTATGGACCCCAACTTGGGAAGATTAAAAAATCGGCTGCGAAACCGTCGAGTCATGTTCTTGGTCATGCTGACTGCTGGCTGCTTTGTGGGTGCCTTCGCTCAGCGTGAAGTTAGTTCGAAATTTCCTGTCTTACTGTGTGCTGTTGGGAAGTTCATGGTCACTGTAGCCTTCTTGTTCAATCGGTCTATGACTACGGAGAACCTGAAAGATTGATAGATGTACTGCATAGCATAGGAAAACTCACTTAATATAACAGCCTAGTTCTATTTTTTTCTTGAAGTCGTAGACTCCCAGGAAGGGAAAGTGTCCAAACCAAGCCACAGCGAATATAGAACTTCTGAATGCAGCTTCTAAAACGCAATACAGCCATTGGGCTAAATAGCTCTCATCAATTATCCACGAACAGAAGCGAGCAGTGAAAAGTGGAAGTGAATGTCGGAAGTTTGAACCATAGTTCAAGTGGGGGGCGCCGACCCGCCGACCCGCCGACTTTAAATCACCTTTGTTTGCCTGACTTCTCCACTCTCCACTTCTCTACTTCTCTACTTCTCTTTGATTTTTCGCGTTTGTTTCCTCGTCACTCTCTTTCAAACTTCATCTTATCTCCAGCCATGCAACATGCCGCGTAAAGACTTTTTGCGAGATCTCGAGCACGCTGCAGCTCCTGGCCGCTTCTCCTGCATCTCCGATATCAGAGCCGGGGATTATGACGGATCGATTTCTTTCAAGTTCACTGACTCTCAGCTGAACTTGGTAATTGAGTTCCAGGCTATTGTATCCGGTAGGAAGATCTCATGATTGACAAGACTTGACGCTTTATTGACCAACGAAACAGATTCCCACGATTATCCCAAGGAGCACAGTTACTTCGTTTTCGCAACTTCTGAAAACTGCCCCTCAAAGATCACTTCCAAACTGGAGAACCCAGGATCTCTTTTTGCAGGCTCGACAATCCATGAGCTGTTAAGTAGCTTGGCGGACATCATCACAAACACCCTCATCAACACCACTTCCAAATCCAGCTCTTCCGGCAATGACAACACATCTGATATTGATGATGACGAGTCAACCAATGATACTGGTCAGCAAGAATGGGACTCCGATGAAGAGGAAGGCATGTTTGGCCCTGTTCAAAGCGACAGCGAACTACAGAAGAGGCTTCGTCGTGACTTGCGTCTTGTCAAACACGCGGGCTTCAGGGTGGGATACCTGGGCTCGAAAAATAAATCTATCATTGTGTCAGTCTCATGCCGCATTGCCAAGCTTGGTATCTCAGACGAAGCCATGGATGCCTGGAACGTCAACCCCTCGGAATACGTGGTGTTGCTGATCCGCTACGTACCGACCTACGTTGACCTGCAGGGAATGCTTGGATTATGCGGCAACATAGCCAAGAACCTGGTCCAGATGCACGTCGGTACCTGTGACTCATACAAACCATCCCTTCAACAGGCCGTGGAGGCATTCCAGGGTACACGAGATCTCCAAAAGAAAGACGAAGACGCCATTCCGGATACAGCAGTGACCGAAAGCTCCCTGCGGTCTCTCTTTATAGGGAGATCCCTGAACTCAGTTCTCGAAAAGCGTCTGTTTGGAATTATTCAGCTTCGTTTACAGCATGGATATTCATGGACAGGGGCAGAACTGTTCTTCAATAACAACCAGGGCAAAATTCGAAGTGGATCTGACACTCCCCAAGAGGAGTATGATCAACCGGATATATGGGCTACCTCGGCGCCGAAGTTTCTTGTGGCAGACCATCTGGCTGAAGCTGACCGCAACACCTCTGAAATATCTTTGCCACTCTTGGCCATGCAATTTACCCTGCGTCATTTTGTGAAATGCACAGAATTCTGCCTGGTCTGCCACTGCAAGATAAATGGGTCTTTTGAGGCACTCAAGCCTTATGTATGCTCGAGTGGACTGTGCTTGTACCAATACATGGCGCTGGCAATGGGCTCCAGTCTCGAATATGAGATTTACTCACAGCCACTGGTTGTTGAGTTGTTGATTAGCCTTGCATACTCTGCAGCAATCTCAGAGCAACTTGAAGAGGTTCCAAATGGTCTGAGGCTGCAAGTCCCGGCAAAGCTACTTCAACTTGACTCAGGCGATGAGCGTTTCTATACTGGAGAGCTGAGTGCAGCCAAGCTCGATCTCTTGACGACCGCGCGACTTCCTCTCAAGGCTGGTGATTGGGTTGTCATTTGCGTCGGTTCTGGTCTCAGCCAAGGTGGAAAAGACACCACGGAGGAGTGGCACTGTCGTGTTCAGAACACAGAAGAATCACCTGGTCACATTCTTCTCTCGGGGCTTATCTGCCAAGGGCAGCAGTTGCAGCACAAAAGTCTCCCGAATGAATACAAAGAAGTCCAATTCACGATCTATGACACAGATTTGGATGAATTGACGACACCTCTGAAGATGAGGATGATTTCTGTTGTTCTTGGTACACTTCCTAATGTCCAGGAGATGTATTCATTCATCAAAGGCAGTGGTAAAGAGAACCTTCTCTCGGCATGGAAGCACGTCATCTCTCCTACTGCATTGGACCTTTTACGTTGGGTTGTTGCCTCGAATCGATCTTTGATCAAACAAGACGATCAAAACACATCACATCAAGTGACTGGAATAAATGGATATGTGCAATTTCGCCAAGTTCAGGGTGCACCCGACAAGGAGAAACGTTTTCTCAATGCTGTTAACTCTGTCTCCCTGGGTAAGAATCCCCAATATCCCACAATTTTTGCATGGCATGGGAGCCCCGTGCAAAATTGGCACAACATCCTGCGTGAGGGCCTTCACTTCAAAAAGAAAGTCCATGGTCGCTCATATGGTGATGGTGTCTACATGTCAAAGCACCTCGAGGTTTCAAAAACCTACACTTGCCCTTGGACCCACTATGACTCTTCGGTGTGGCCTCAGTCTCGCCTGAAGATTTCAACGATAGTCTCACTGAATGAAGTAGTCAATTCAATTGAGGATTTCGCAGACCACAGGCCTCATTATGTTGTGCAGCAGCTGGATTGGATCCAAACGAGATATCTCTTTGTCCAATTCAGCATTCCTGGGGTTGCTGCAAGATACCCTTTGAAGTCTTCTACTTTCAACAAGCAGGACGACGGCTTGTTTTACGAACAAAACCCATTTCACCTTGCCCGTGGTCTTAACGGAGTTCCAATCGGCATTCCAATCTCGATACTGAAAGGCCAGCGAGGCAAAATCCATCGGACCAATGTTCACTCCAAGTTATGGGCCGAAGGATTTGATCTGTCCCCAAAGAGGCGCAAACTAATTGTGGAGGGCGAAGGGAATGAAACCGAAGAAAATATCGGTGTTGGAGAGAATGACAACGACGACAACGTCAGTGTTGGAACCGAAATGGAGGATATCAGCATTCTACTATCTGACGATGAAGCACCCAAAAGCCAAAAGAAGACAGTGGAAAATTCTGACCCCAAGACCGATTTCATCCCTGGGACGCTACAAGAAGATTCTCTACCCATGCTTGGCCATCCGCGATACGCAACTACACCGGCGACAAAGATTCTCCAGCAGCATCTGGCTGCAACTCTCAAAACTCAGAATCAAGTCCCGTTGCAGGATCTGGGTTGGTATGTTGACCACAAGTTAATCAATACAGTCTACCAATGGATTGTGGAGTTACACTCCTTCGATTCCGAAATCCCACTAGCGAAAGACCTTCAAGCTGTCAATATGCAGAGCATTGTACTGGAATTTCGTTTCCCATCCCAATTTCCCATGAATCCCCCTTTCATACGAGTGATCCGGCCTCGTTTCCTTAGCTTCGCCCAGGGAGGTGGCGGGCATGTCACCAGTGGTGGTGCGATGTGTCTGGAGCTTCTCACGCAGTCTGGTTGGCTCCCAACTGCCTCGATAGAGAGTGTGCTGTTGCAAGTTCGCATGGCGATACTGAATCCCGATCCCCGACCTGCGCGTTTGTCGCTCAATGCTAGCAAGATGGACTATTCAGTGGGCGAAGCGGTGGATGCCTACAAAAGGGTTTCAAATTCCCATGGTTGGCAAATCTCCAAGGATATTGAGGAGCTCGCTTGGTCAACCTACTAGTATCCCTTGAAAGTCTCAGCGGCCCGCAGTCGGCCTAGCTTTAGTCTGAGGTTTTCTCTTTGCTGAGTACTGTACGGAGTAGAACAGATCATGTCATGAATGAAGATAATTGCTAATGCTCTTCCTGTCCACGGAGTAATGAGAATAGAACGTATTGGATTAGCATAATGAAATGTTTTCTTCGGAAAAATAGAATCGATACTAAGTAACTATGGCTCTGGATGATCGGCCCAAGAAGAAAAATCACATTCAGAAATGAGAACATACACCATCCTGTCCACCATGGAAAACAAGGGCGCATGAAGTGACTACAGCATGTTAAAATAGAAATGAAAACCTTGGAAACCATTCATTGTACATTATGTTGATACTGGGGAGATGAAGTAAAGAGACCCAGATTCTGGAGTCCAAGCTGGCATTTGATCAATTCCAGCTTTTGGGCTCTTCAGACAGCCTCGTCCTTCTTCTCTGATTCACCGCCAGTTGATGGCTGATCTGGGGCTTCTGATCCTGCTGACGGCTCGGCCTGCTCGTGTAAAGTCGGAGTGGGTTCTTTCGTGGGAACGGGGTCTGCAGAAGTGGGAGGAGATACAGTTGTGGGTTCAGTAGCTGGGGCTGGTTCAGCCTGTGGGGTCTCCGCTGCTACTGGTGGTGGTAAATGTGAATCTGAAGGTGCGGCAGGCTGTGACTCTGGCGCTGTGGGCGGTTCCGGCACTGGGGGGTCTTTCGTTTCTGGCTGGATTGCATCACCCACGTTCGTTTCAACCTCTGGACCCCCCGCGGGATCAATTTGAGCGGGCTGGGAAGATTCTGGAGGCTCTTGTGTGCTGGGCTGGTCTATTTGCTCGCTTGAACTCTTTTGGGGTATTTGTGGTTCAGCTGACACAGGAGCCGATTCAGGGATTGATTCTGATTCGGCGACTTTTTCTGTTGACTCTTCAACCGTTTGTGGTTGCTCCAAAGGGTGTGGATTCGAGGGTTGTTCGGAATCCACAGATGGCGACGGCGCAATCGCAGTCTCCTTTTGACTGGGCAAGTCGGACTCTTCTTTGGCAACGGGCTCGGCGATGGGTTCTGTGACATTGCCTTCTTGTGGTTGAGCTTCAGAGCCTTGGGCTTCACCAGCTTCAGCTGAAGGCTGGGGAGATTCATTCTTTGTCGTGGTCTCTCGAGGAGGAGAGGTGGGTGCCTGGTCAATTTCCGAAATTGTGGGTTTTTCCTCCTCTTCAAGCTTTTCTGTAGGAGCATCAGTGACTGTTACATCGATACCCTCCTCGACAACGGGTTGAGGCTGAGTTGTCTCGTTCTCGGCCTGGGGTTGTGACGGTGTGTCATTTCCGGCCGATAGAGATGGCTCGGGTGCGACATCGGGAATATCATCTGTCATGTCGACATCGGCATCAACAGACTGCCCAGCAGGTGTCTCCATCGAGGGTTGCTCCGCAGACTCTGCACCAGACGGAGGCTGGGGGGTCTCGGGGGTCTTGGCGTCCATCATAGACTCATCACCCTCATCACTCTCGTCACCTTCATCACCGTCGTCCTCGTCTTCGTCTTGGCCTGATTGATCAACAGACATCTGGGACCCATCCCGTTGGCCCTGTCCGTCCTGAACAGTTCCATTTGCGCCTGGGCCAGAGCCCACTCCGTGGACTGTTACGGCATCGGCCCCTTCACCGGGAGCGAACATAACCTTCTTCTTCCGGCCTTTACCAATGCCCTTGCCCTTGCGTTTGGGAGGGGGCGGGCGTCTCTTTGGAGGTGTCATCACAGCAGCTGAGCCAGCTTCCGCAACGACAACACCCTCGGCGTTGACGATGCCCACACCCTCAACAATCGTTCCGGGAGCAGGGGCCTCTGGCTTAACAGGGACGTCACTCTGCTCAACAATTGTCTGCACGTCACCAGTAATCTCTCCTTCAATGCGATGGCCCTCTGGTACCCAAGCTTCGTAGATGGAGATGTTGCCAGTCTCTGGATCAACTTTTTTGAACTTGGTTCTTCTCATAGGCCCGGATGCCGCGGTGGTTCCGTCAATGCCAGCAGCAGCCCCGTAGAGGGATGGTAGACCAGGCCGCCGCTTGGCCAAGAATTCCACTTCCACTGCCTCTAAGTGCTTAGGAACAGCCATCCATTTGCGTGTCGTAAAGCTGCGATCGGCCATGTTTGAAGATGCGGTCGGATCCTCGGGGTCGACTGCATTGTGCTCTTCTTCATCGGTGGGCCGTACGCCTTGGCGAATATGATTGCATCCAGCGCGGGCTGCGCGAAGAAGTGCGCGACTGGTAGGCGGCAAGAGCCCGCTGTCTCGTGGCATGGGAAGCTCTGGCAACGTTGGCCCTCCACCTGGGCCTTGAACACCGAATTCAGAGTCATCGGGCTTAGGCGCCTGGGAGAATGTGTGCGTTTGTTTGGACCACCGCCGTACTGGCAAGCCCTCAAAGACATCGTGGTCAATCTGGCCGGTTCGAGTGCGGTTGGGCCCCCCGTCGAGGTGTCGCCCTGAGCGCGACGCCCTGAACTGTAATCCATGTTAGCCCTGTAATCTAACCATCTGGCATTGTTGGGAATTGGCATATGGCTTTGTCAACCTAGCCCCGGGCCAGATGAGGTAGGACACGGGCGCAATCTGCAACGTACAGTAGAGGGCATAATGGGTGATCCTCCCGAGTCGGCCTCTAATTTGATTCAAGTGTCTGGTTCGTACGTTCACAAGGGTATCAATGTTTGGCTGTGAGCAATGTTGCGCCAGATCGGGTGTGGAGTGGCATTGAGAGGGTGAGCTCGCGCCGAGCTCGCCGCGACGGCCGTAAAGGGACATCACGTGAGGCATCGTATACAGTTCGTACTTAGAACAAGATCACACGTTGGCGAAGCCGGTTATGATAAAGTTGAAGCAAGCTACAGGTATATACAATTGAGCCTCTCTGAGAGTCCAAAAGGTGACCAAATGCCTATAGAAATCAGGAGTGGAGAAGTATTTTCGACAAAAGTTGCTACAGCCACGCTGGTAAAAATACAGAAAGGCTCGAAAGACCAGTGGGTCAAAGCAAAGAGAATGGGATATTAGAAGGTATCAGAGTTACAGAGTTCCCATCCAGTGTTAAATCAGGCCCAGCTTGGACAGGTTAGCGAGAACGTGACGGAGGGGGTTCGAACAGCTTACCCAGCGTCCTTCTGACGAACAATATCTCCATGGTCTCCAGTCTCCTTGCCCTAGAATGGCGTTAGTTTGATTCGATAGGTTGGCGAGGGTTCTGCAGTCTTACGGTCTTTTGGCCTTCCACAACCAACTTGTCCAGCTGGAAGAACTGACTGATGATTGTTTGTCTCTGCAGAGGCTGTCAGCATTGCTCGTCTATACAACCTGCGATTGGAGTCTAGGCAAAAGAAAAAAGACAGGGCGGTTCTCATGCGAAAGACCACGAGGGAGTCGCTCAAGTCCAGGACTGATCAAGTTTTGCCGGAACACCATTCATGTCCCACTGACCTTCATCAACCGCAAGCTCTGCAAACCCTCTTGCATCAATTCTTGTACCCGGCGTTCCTCTGTCGCATTCTGGTTCTCGCGGAAGGAGTCCCTTGTCTTTCGGCGAGCATACTCTCGGAAATTGTAGTTGGAAAACTGGCCGGAATATCGCAGCAGGGAGCGGAACTGAAAGCACAGCACGTTAGTCTGATGCTGCCAATATAAGCGCGCCCGACCGATGCGATGCACACATATCCAAATCCGATTACTTACCAAAGAGCGTGCCTGGAAGGCAGTCTCACGGTTCAAGGATGCAACAGACATGATGGCGGGTGAGATTATGTTTTCGGATCGACGAGTGGAGGTGTGAAACTTTCCGACTCTAGATACCACAGTATCTGAAATGCGTCGATAATGTGGAGGGTTCAGTTGATTGAGTATCGGAGAACGAAGGCGGGCAATTCTTTTTCGGAGGGAAGAACGGAGATACCGGGGCGGCGAACGGGGATAGTGGCCATCGTCGGATGCCATGCATTTGGCCTGTATTCTTGACCGCCCTCCATACCGCCCTCCATCATGCACTGTAAAGTCTCATAAACCCTCAAGCGTGGCTTATTGTTATGGACATGGTAGGTAAGTGGGTAAGTGGGTAAGTAGGCTAAATGAATTTTGGCTTGGCGGGTGTTAGGAATTAGAATAGTTCCAAGGTTTCCAAATCTTCCAAGGTTGCAGGCAAGAAGATAAGCATATAAGCAATTACAAAAGCAAGCACAGGGATGAAGGTGAGATGTAGATGTACAGTATAAACAAAGGAACGAGACGAACGAGAAGGGAGTATATAAGAGGCCACAGGCATTTGAGATTCTGAATAGCTTCATGTTTAAGAGGTCTACGGGTGATTTGGGTACTATGGAGGTGATTGATTTATGCCGGCATAGAATCAGGCCAATTCAGGCACCAATGACAAAATGCACTGCATGGGACACTGGCCGCTATACTCCTTCGCACCGGGGCCGAGCTCCCTTTCCGCGTTGATCGCATCTCTCTTCCTCCACACCATCTGCTCTATGGCCCAACTACTTACCCCGCCAACGTCGCGAGCAGGTTCGGAGTTTCCCGACTCCAAGGCTTCAACAGAATGTCTGGACGAACTTCTTGAGCGTTATCTGTGCCTGCTAGATCAGCAGCAAAAGCTGCAATCAGAACTGGCAAAACATCTGTCATCGGTTTGACTTTCTCGGTCCTCAGGAGAAATATTACAGGCTAACGTCCATTAGGGATTTTTCGCTCTCGCCCAGGCTAACTTCACCTGTCCACCGGGCCGCCGCTATGGGGCCGATTACTATGACGAACGGATGAAAGCGACTAGGAGGATGTCAGTCTATCAATTCTCGGGTACCAGCTTTTATTAACCGGTTGAACTTGCTAGGTTGATCAAACCCGAACAAGAATCGAACGCCTCCACAGAATGTTCGCAAGGAATTGACGGAACCTCCAGTTTCGCCGACTCTACCTCCTTGTTCTCCGTCGAGCTCTCATCGAGTAGTGTACCCGGCGATACCAGCGAAAATGACAGCGAAGCCTCTCAATCACCCCAGAAGTCAGAACCTGAAGCTTCGGAGGAATCCACCGCGGGTGAGACGACAAGCTCGGGATCTTCTGAACACGGGGAGTCCTCTACTCAGGCCGAAAAGCCCGAGGCTCGCAAAAAGTTCCACTCCACCGATCCAATTCATTGGTATGGAATCTTGGTTCCGCAGTCGCTGCGCAAAGCCCAGGCATCTTTCACTGCCGTGATCGATGATCAGGTGCCTGACCTGGCCAGCACAACAATCGAAATGCGGGCCCTGGAGCAACAGATCCGCAAATTACAGGTTCAATTAGAACCTGAGTCTGGAGAAATCCGTTTGTGAGCCTTTCGTCCAACAGCGCTTAGTCGACAGCCAGATATTAGGAATCCGCGGCGACACAACGCTGTCTCCCTGAGATAGTGTCACCTACACCTACCAGACAGCATTGAACCTTTGATGCCTGCCCCAGAATTGAAATAGATTAGATGGGAGCACTGTGCAGAAATTGTATATGATCCATGAACTATATGTATGGGGCTGATGGGCCTCGTCCGGCACTATTGGACGTGGTCTCAAGGTCCCATAATTAAAAAAATCGATTGCCGTAGCCATGCATTATCCAGAGTGGATATTGCTGCTATTTTCTTTCAGCGCCAAGTACGAGGCCCAAGGTGGCACTGCTAGCCCGAACCCTTAGCCTTCAGTCGCGACGCCCGTTTGCAACAGAATACCCGAGCCGCTGGAGCCGACTTTGACTCCACCTCACGGCATTCGACATGCGTTTCCTCGCACGCTTCTCTCGTACTCTTGTCCACTGTCCATTTGCAGGCTGTGCCTTGTTCGAGCTCACATCAGAATTCATCGATTACAATATGTGAACCGTCTCAAGTTTCAGGCTGGCCGCTCGGACCACAACAGTCTAAATGTGAGACGTAGCGTCCGGGGCCACTCTCCTGGAAAAGACCCCACTGGCACAACATCCTCGAGATTGGATACTCTGATTCGCTCGTGGTCACCCGATTTTACCAGGTGATTCGCCCAGGGTCTCATGTTTAGGTGACCCTCTGCTCATCGCTTAGAGAGATCTCTCACCTTGGGAACTGTCAGTATTGGCAGATCCGAAACTCACAAGATTACACGGAGCATGGCCCATTTTGAGAAAAGACAAGTCGATAGTGTCGAGGAGTGTCTAGGATTGGTACTTTGCAGCCGGATTAGTCTAACGTTTTAATCTATTTATCCATTTTGTGCCGTTTGAGGACCCCCCCAGCCCCGTGTTCCTCATATTGATTTCTGTCTGTTCTCCTTTCTTCCCTTGGACATATGCCTCTTAGAGCTTGAGGCTCGTCCCTTTTTCAGTTCTGTAAGTATATTGGGTGTGATGGGCGAGTTTGCAAGAGCTGTGACTGATATGCATGTCTAGCTTTGTTTGGACGCCAGTTTGATACTAGCGATCCCCTTCTCTCGTTTTGAACTCTTTTTTACTGCTTTGACTTCGGTAAGTCTATTATGGAAGAGCAATCCAATGCACTTGTTCTGACCCTGCTATTCAATAGAGGCATTGAGTGCCCTATTCATTCTTTCGCAACTTCGACTCGATCCTGTGGATCTCAAATCTAGTCCAGCCCTCTCTACTGGACCTTAACTTCAATATTCCGTGCCTTTTACCCAAGTGCAATCCTGCAAGGCAATCCTATTCACTCTTTTCATACGTCTATCGCAGCAAAAAGCAGGCGATCATTCAGTCTCGTTTGGCTCAAGCTACTACCCAGCGTTCTTCAGCTGCACCTCCACTTCACCAAACTTGATGCATTTCAAGCCTTAAGTTGCCGCCAGTCATTCAACGTGCTTTGGTTGTTCGGGCTTTCTTCTTCGGTTAGCTAAACAGACTCGCAATGAGCGCAAATCCCCAAAACCCCGAACCCTCCGAGGGGCTCGATAGGCAAGGCTCTGTCAAAAGGGCCAGACAGTTGCTGGCAGCCGGCGTGCGTCCAGAACGAGTCTTGCCACAACATCAGTTGAGACATCCTCCACTCCCTAGGAATGTATCACACCAAACACAATGGCCTCTTCCTGAGTCCGGGCTACCACATCATCCTATCAATCACCATCCTAGATTCTTGGTGCCGCGCGGTCCTCCACCGCAAAGACCACTTCATCCGAGTGAAGTTCCGCATTCGCCCTCTATCTACTCAGAAAGAGATGGCCAAGACTCAGAGACAAGCTCGCAATTCGCACGGCCTCCCCGATCTTTCTCGTCGCTGCAACCACCTCCGCCGTTGCAGCTACGCCGCCCTGCCATGACTGATGCCCCAGTTAGCCCTACCAGCACCGTTGACATGACTCCTCGGATATCGATTGCAACCGATGACCTTTTCAGACAATCTACGGCTTCGACCATGGTTTCTGTTCCGGATGTGCCTCCGTTCCCACCACCAATGCCGGAATCCGAGCCCCCCTTCCAGCATGACCCAAGGCAACGAACAGCAGGTCTTGTAGCACCGCCAGCCACTCAACAGGCTCCTCGGGCTCGACGTTCTTCTGTCTCCCCAATACCGGAAGAGCTTGCAGATCCTCGCTTCACCAAAGGATCATTTGCGTCAAGTCGAGCGGTCCCTTCCAGCTGGGGATCCGGCCCGGCCGAATCTGAAATACTGGGAGCATATCTCGAAATGGAGTCAGACAACGAACACCCTGAACCGAGCACACAGGAGAATGGGGCCCTTGTCCGCAGCGCTAGTCTTGGTAAACGAGGAAAGCCGACAATGCGTACTATTTCGAAGTCTAACCCTGTATCCGAGGTCCCTATCACGGACACGCCAGGACCTAGCAGCCAAGAATCCCCCAAGAAAACGGCCGTTGTTCCTATCGCGATGGGCCCTCCAGCAAACCAAATGCTCCATCCACCAAGCCAACTGCGCAAAGGATCTACTTCCACGGCTTCCACCGATTCATTGCAAGGTCTAGATCCCGAAAAGCCACCCTTTGCCCAAGAAAATCGGCCTTACAGTACAGGCCTCGAAAAGGAAATCGAAATCTTTGGTGCTTTGCCAAAAGCCGCACCAACTATGAGCGACAAAAGGCCTTGGGGTCGTAAGCCTGCTGCCCTGAACATACATGCAGTGCGCGACGCAGAGGCCCGCGGAAGTCTTTCCAGCTTGAGTGATTTAATTCGACGTGCCACCAAGCTCGCATCAAACCTAGATCACGGACGAACCGCTAGTCGAGCTGATCTGTTCGGTGGTGGAGAGGCTGAATTCAAAGCCTCCAAGGGTAAGTCTCGCTACGATACCAATGCACGACCCATACTGACTAAACTCCAGGCAATCGTCCTCGCAACTCGGGATCCATCTCGGATATGCTTGCCTCATTCCCTCCACCAGGCCTGGCAACCCCAGAGAGTCGTGGCTCATGGCCGATTTTCTTCGGCCGGTCTAACCTGCGTAATGTCGAGCCACTTCACTCACATGACGATGATCCGAATGCAGCTCCCCGCAGGAAGATGTGTTGCGGGATGCCCCGCAAGCTGTTCATAGCTATGTGTATTATCATCTTCATCATTGTCATTCTTGCGGTTCTGCTGCCCGTTTTCCTCGTGGCTGTTCCTCGCGAGAAGACAAGCAAAGACACCACATGTGCGACGAGCAACCCCTGCCAAAATGGAGGAGTGAGTGTCTCAAGCGGAAGTCAATGCTCATGCGTTTGTTCCAACGGCTTTACTGGCTCGCGATGCACCATTGCCAATGACGGTCATTGCACCACCTACCTCATCGAGGATAGCTCTGGTACCAAGAATGCATCCATGGGCACTTCACTTCCGACTTTGCTCGCGGTCTCCAAGGAGACATACGATCTCACACTCGACCCGGTTACTATCATGGGACTATTCAGTATGAACGACATCTCCTGCAAGACGGAAAATGCGCTTGTAGCGTTCAGCGAGGTCAAGACGAACGGCTCCAGCAATGCCCGTCGGTCCCTCGAGGCAGACCCGCTGCCGTATGAAGATACACCGGAAGTCCATGCTCCCACCATCACCACTGGGCCCACTCCCATCCTCGCAGCTCGCGCGGAGGCTACGATGAATGGCATCTTGTACGATGACTCGGGCGCTAGCACACTCAGCGGCACGGCCTCGGCCACCCAAACGGATGGGGCAGTGGCCGCCACCAGGATTGGAGCTCAAGCTACTTCCACCGGTCAGGCTTCCACCACGACGGCGAGCGTCCCTGATGATGTCGTGGAGTTCTCTCGGATTGCGGTGTTGTACATTCTGCAGAAGACCGGATCCATGGATACGGCAATGTCGTCGGAAGATGACATTGAGTCTTTCCTCACTGGATCGTATGCGAGCGCCGCCTGGCCAACGCAGAAAGTGGGGGCATTCACGGTGGACTATGTGAATTTGACCATCACGCTTCCGAATAGCACGGTCAAGGCAGGATAAATGTAATATAATAAGTGTGTACACTATGTTAGCGTCTTCAGTAATGTATGAGGTGATCGCCGGAAAAAGCACCTAGAACATCCATGGATGTCCTGCAGCCTTTGAACGTGCGGCATTTAGGGTTTTCCATCGATCCTTACCCGATTAGGAAGGGCACCCATGTCGTGATTCTCCCCGGGGGTGACGTGCTGCGTCACGTGAGCCGCATGTATGGCGTATAAGGCTGGGCGATTTCTATACTTCGGAGCACATCTTTGCACCATTGGGATGATTGGGGAACCAGCTGTCTTGGAGAGTCTTGGAAAGTAATACAGAAACTTCATTCACCTATCTTGCGGGGACTCTGTACGCGTACGAGTAATAATATCCCCCTGAATATCTGATGATCTCTCTTCCTCCGCGGAAGCGGAGATCGGGGATGTCCTCAATGGAAGTGGACCGAATCTTGCAATACGATAGGTGGGAAGTCCATTGTAATGTAAAGAATGGAAAGCAAGGAACATCCGCTTAAGCCTGGAACACAACGGTCTTAAAAACGAAACAAACCGAACGTACGAGTCAAGAAATATCGCGAGCCAAGACCTTCCACGGACTCCACTATTGACGACTACGCTTGATGGTCGTGTTCTGTGTATGCGGCCCCTCCCAAATTTCTTGATAAGCACGCCTCTTCCACTTTTTTTTCCCTTCTTCTCTTTTTCCTCAACTTCGATTTCTTTGGAGTTTTCTCATCCCTAAATACACAATGGCCAACACTCCTCACGGTGGTGTCCTCAAGGACCTTCTCGCCCGCGATGCTCCTCGCCAGGCTGAGCTCGCCGCCGAGGCCGAGACCCTCCCCGCCGTCGTGCTCACCGAGCGCCAGCTGTGTGATCTCGAGCTGATCATGAACGGTGGTTTCTCTCCTCTCGAAGGTACGTTCAATTGAATACAAACTTGCTTGCCAGATCCCCAATGGTCCAACTATCCATGGCGGGGCGGCTCGGAAATAGAGGGGCAGCGGGCTAACGCCGGTTTTCGCAACAGGGTTCATGAACCAGGCCGATTACGACCGGTATGTGTGACGAGACGAATACATTCTTCATGCGACGTGTGCAGCGCTGACAATGTGTATAGTGTCTGTGAGGACAACCGCCTTGCCGATGGCAATGTTTTCTCCATGCCCATCACCCTCGATGCTTCCCAGCAGCTCATCGACGAGAAGAAGCTCCAGGCTGGTACTCGCATCACCCTGCGTGACTTCCGTGACGACCGTAACTTGGCCATCTTGACCATTGACGACATCTACCGCCCCGACAAGTGAGTTTTTGGCCCTTGATTTTTGATTTTGATTTTTTTTTTGGATTCATTTCGGGTCGCACTGCCGATCCCCGTTCCGCATTTGGATATCCATCCTTGGTCTTTTTTCTCTTTTGAACAAAGTACATTGAGAAAGCGATCTGTGACGATTGACGTCGCATACTATGAATCCTTACGCAATCAAAAAGCAAAAATGGCTCGTGCTCTAGTGGGGCTTGCTGACGCGGAATTTCCCCTGATTTAGGACCAAAGAGGGTAAGCTCGTCTTCGGTGGTGACCCAGAGCACCCTGCCATCGTCTACCTGAACAAGACCGTCCAGGAATTCTACATTGGTGGAAAGATCGAGGCTGTTAACAAGCTCAACCACTACGACTATGTCGCTCTCCGCTGTATGTTCAAGCCTCCCACAAAATATGAGAGAAAAGGACTGATGAATTCTAGACACTCCCGCAGAGCTGCGTGTCCACTTCGACAAGCTGGGCTGGTCCCGCGTCGTCGCTTTCCAGACCCGTAACCCCATGCACCGTGCTCACCGTGAATTGACTGTCCGCGCGGCTCGCTCCCGCCAAGCCAATGTCCTGATCCACCCCGTCGTCGGCTTGACCAAGCCCGGTGACATTGACCACTTCACCCGTGTCCGCGCCTACCAGGCTCTCCTTCCCCGCTACCCCAACGGCATGGCCGTTCTGGGTCTGCTCGGTCTGGCCATGCGTATGGGTGGTCCCCGTGAGGCCATCTGGCACGCTATCATCCGTAAGAACCATGGTGCCACCCACTTCATTGTTGGTCGTGACCACGCCGGTCCTGGTTCCAACTCCAAGGGTGAGGACTTCTACGGTCCCTACGATGCCCAGCACGCCGTCGAGAAGTACAAGGACGAGCTCGGCATCGAGGTTGTTGAGTTCCAGATGGTCACCTACCTGCCCGACACCGACGAGTACCGCCCCGTTGACCAGGTCCCCGCTGGCGTCAAGACCCTCAACATCTCCGGTACCGAGCTCCGTCGCCGTTTGCGCTCCGGCGCTCACATCCCCGAGTGGTTCTCCTACCCCGAGGTTGTCAAAATTCTGCGCGAGTCCAACCCCCCTCGTGCTTCCCAGGGTTTCACTATCTTCCTGACCGGTTACACCAACTCCGGAAAGGATGCCATCGCCCGTGCTCTGCAGGTCACTCTGAACCAGCAGGGTGGTCGCTCCGTCTCCCTGTTGCTGGGTGACACCGTCCGCCACGAGCTCTCCTCCGAGCTCGGCTTCACCCGCGAGGATCGCCACACCAACATCCAGCGCATTGCCTTCGTTGCCACCGAGCTCACCCGCGCCGGTGCCGCCGTCATCGCCGCCCCCATCGCTCCCCACGAGGAGTCCCGCCAGTTCGCCCGCGACGCCGTCAGCCAGGCTGGTTCCTTCTTCCTGGTCCACGTCGCCACTCCCCTCGAGCACTGCGAGAAGACCGACAAGCGTGGTATCTACGCCGCTGCCCGCCGCGGTGAGATCAAGGGCTTCACCGGTGTTGATGACACCTACGAGACCCCCTCCAAGGCCGATCTCGTTGTGGACTTCTCCAAGCAGAGCGTGCGCAGCATTGTGCACGAGATCATTCTCGTTCTGGAGAGCCAGGGCTTCCTGGAGCGCCAATAGACTTGCCGCTCATTTCCCTTCGAGTTTTGCTGGAGTCGATGATTTGTTATGATGTATAGAAACCTGGGTTGGCTTTCAAAGGCCGTTTTGTTGGATTCCCCTGGCTTAGGAATAATTTCAAATGTTCGCTGCCAATAGATTTGGTTCAAGATTGTTTTTCAAAAGACTTGCTACACATCCCATAAAAAGAAACCGTAATGCTACTCCTAGATCGAGATAAACCATACCTCAAGTGCTTTCGAAAACCAGCACTCTGTACGAAGAAATGATATTTCTTGTGCTTCGGGAATAGTTCGTATTCGTACCTTTTCCCGAAAAAGGATTGCTGCATGACAAACGAGACAAACATGACAAACACTCTACTACCATCAAGTTATTCAAGGCTTAATCCAACAACTCCAGCTTTGAAGCAGCCCAACCATGTTGCCTCCGCGAAGCGCCGTCGGTCGAATACCGAGTCACATTCGACCGGTCATTCCGGCCCGAATCCCAAGTTCAAATATTCAAATGCGACCATTTACTCACCGCACACGCCTACTACTTCTCTCGCCGGCGCCCGGCCGCCCCCAACTACCATTCCTATCACCGCTTGCACCTACTCGCCCAATCCCCCCTTTGTCAATTCACCTGCGCCAACACTTTGGTCGCCTGGTATCCACTGCAAGTCGTGAGAACTACAAACGGAGAGTGTCGCGAGGTCTGAAGCTCGGTATTTCGTTCTACGCCATCCTTGTCTTGTTTTCCGCCATCAAGCTCGGTGTTTACCAAGAAGATATCGAGCATTCATGGCCCACACCACCAGAATGGTCATGGAAGAGTCGTTGGTGTCTCCGATCCGCGCAGGCACTGCAAAACCCCGAACAGATTGGAAAGCTGATGACCAATTGGCCCATGGTTGCTGGTTATCTCCGTGAATTGTTGGAGCGACTGGAAGATCTGGAAGGAGAAGGCCAGGGTATTCTTGAACAAGACGAGGGCGGTTTCCTGGTCGAAGGTGTTGGCCGTACAGGACTCGATGTTTCCGCAAAGAGTGAGCCATGGCGCCGTGGATATTTCCAGGCTCTCATGGGATCCGCCAAGGCTGCAGAGAACCTGGATGGATGGCTGACGGACCGCAAACAGCGCATTTCTGCGCCAGCGGAGTATGTCGTCGGTCCCTCCAATCCCCGCCCAAAGCCTATGCCCGCAGGTCAGAAGAAGGTTCCACAGGAAGAGGATTGCGAGCGAGCTTCCCCATCTCCAGAAAGCTTCTACATGAAAATTTTGACGACCAAGGGCTTTGATACAGGGCAAAAGCTTAATGCGGCATTGGCATATGCTGATTGGCTTGATTTCAAGGGTCTGGGCATCACCGCGGGTGATATGTATACCTGGGCCTTGGACATCGCGGCCAGCGGTCTGAACGGGGATGCTAGCAAGATCATTGACATGAAGAACGGTCTTCTGAAGAATAATGCTGGAGACCTGCCTTCAGAAAACATACTCCGTGTCTCTACAGCACTTGCTGTGCACAACGCTCGTCAAGGCAATCTTCCCACAGCCCTTTCCCTATTCACCTCGGTCCTCAAGGCCCGACGAAACCTTCCTCTGGCAGCAGACTCCGATCTACCTTTCTCTTTCACGCCCCCCTCTAAATCAACGAACGACCCATTTGCCTCACTCTTCAAATCACTCAAAACTGTTCTCATCCCCGTGGAATACCCAGCCCCTCTCCCCTCAGGAGATGAGCCTCCACGCCGAACAGCGGCATCCGCCTGCGAAGAAGCAGGCCTGATGACCTACATCGGCGAGATTCTCTACGCCTCATCAACCAAGGAATCCGGTCTCGCCTGGACCCGTGACGCAGTCGACATGGCCGAATCCACCATGGTTGAACTTGGCAACTCCAGTGACCGTGCCGCCCGAACTCGCTGCGCCCAATGTCTGAAGGTTGGTCTGGAGAATTGGAAGACCATGGTCTCTTCCTTAGTCACTCGTGCCTACAAGGAAGAACAAGAGAGCAAAGAGCAGGCTAAGAGCGCTTGGTATGGTGGTGAGCGTCATGCACAGGCCAAGTCGCTGGAGCGTCGGCGCTGGGAGGCCGAGAATACCATTTTGGAAGATCGAATTCGCAGACTCTTCCCTCTCCTGGAAGGTGAGTCTGGGCTGGATACACTGGCTCCAAACAGTTCTCTCTTCGTGTAATTTTATCTTATGCATGGATTGAATTGGATCCTGCATTATTGGAGACTGGCGTTACCTTCTGCGGGTGCTGTACCCATCCGCACGGCACATTTGCGATCCGCTTTTCCCAATATATTCTCATGTATATACCACTTTCTCAAATCAACAATACACATCTGTTCAATGATGGCTATATCTTCAAACCTCATGCCCAGGTGAGTCAGGCTGTAGATGACCCGTGGACACCACTCTGATATCTCGAAAAGGACCAGGTATCCCAAATGTAAGCCAATAACAGTGCTTGATCAAAATTCCATAGCTTGAAAATGAATATTCAGAAGTTTTAATGATCCATTTCGCGTGCAACTTCGCTTTGCCCGGTGAACATAATGATAATTTCAGATGCACAGTGTCGGAAGGGTTTCTAAATTAGGAAATCAGCCGACAATCTTGAACTACTTAGTAGAAGCTCATACATCCTGAAGTCCACACTTATTCGAGAAGAAGAAACCTTTTTCGTCCTAAGATCGATGGAGCTCGTTGACCAATGCTTTAATATGTAGTGTATTTTCCAAACCCAGAAACTGTGCCGATCTAGTCACTTCGGTCTTTCAGCTACTCAGATAGATATATATCCATAAGTAGATATAAAGCTGAGAGATTCTAAAGTTCTTGAGAACTTTATAAACACACCCCTTTACTTCCAAAGTTACATAGGTGCGGTAAAATTACAATACCCCAAGAGCCTATAGCCTCCCAAGGTCAGAACAGACCCATGGCTTCGTGGCTATTGAGCTGCGGCCGTACAGCAAACAAACCAACTTATTTTGATATCCGGTAAGCCCAGCAGATCCATTTGCCTTCCACATCTGTGAGATACTAATCTGCTTGTCGACAGACTTGAGCGCAGCACCCTAGAGCTAAGAGACGACGAAGACACCAGTTATGGTCACCTCAACGGGACCATTGTGCTCTGTCTAAATAAACCACTTCATACAAAAGATATCAAACTGCATTTGAGAGGCAACCAGTACGCCAAGTGAGTGTTTCTAATATAATATATTCCGCCGATGGCTCATTTAACACCAAGTAACAGACTGAATCCGAGAACACTAGCTGGGCAGTATACAACACCGGCGTGTGGAGAAGCGACATTCCACCACCAAGTATGGAACTTCCTCTGGGGATCGAACAACAGAGAAGTGCTACAGCCAGGCAACTACGAGTTTCCTTTCTCAATTACCCTCCACAACACCATGCCAGAGAGCGTCGAAGGACTGGACGACTGCTATGTTCACTATGACTTGACGGCGACAATCAACTGTGCATGGGGTGTGATTCAGGAATCAACAACGCTCAAGGTCACGAGAACCCCGGATTTTCTCTCATTTCTCGAGCCACAGGCAAGCTAGTCCCACCATATTTGATCTGCCTGAGATAAATGAAAGAAGCTGACCGAAAAAATACAGAGCATCGAACAACCGTGGCCCGACAAACTCATGTACGAAATTTGCATCCCTGGAAGATCATTCAGCCTCGGTGACCAAATTCCAGTAGAGTTCCGCTACATTGCTCTTCGTAAGGGCGTCCATCCTTCGTCGATTCAACTACAACTTGTGGAAAGCCATACCCTGAAACCAACAGGCCCAGGCGCCAGCCCGCTACCACAGACGCGCTCCAAGATAAGAGTCGAAGACGACTGTTCATACGAACCATCTTCGGGGACGGCTCTTACAACCGAGGATATGGAGGAATGGCGGCTAATATCACACACGCTTCCACTCACGACGGGCTTGTGTTTACCAAGCTGTCAGACTATAATTGTCGACGTGAAACATTCATTGGATATTACGATCATGATCCAGAATCCCGAAGGGCACCTCTCCAAGGTCAGTATTGAACTGACTGTCCGAAACATTTCGAAATTCAAAGTGTGTGGATTTGCTAACTATGTATTCCGTTTAGATTTGCGCCTCTTTCCCGGTATCCCTGTGCCTGCCATCAGAAACTAATTCAACTGGGCTATCTCCAGACAGCCTCTGTGAATATAATGCCGAGCCTCCTCCTCCTTATACCGAATACCTCCGGGATGAGGAATATTGTCCAGCTGCTGTGAGGGTTTGCTTCCCTTAGCATGTTTGCTTGGAGTATTTACTATATTAGATGCTCCCCGTTTGCATAGCTCTTCTCTTCTTCTACCCATACTGAATGTCTTCGTGCTTCGAACCTCTCCCAAGACCTAGGTGGAGAGAACATTGCCTACCGTCTCATCATATCCAAGATCCTCACTCCGCATACAGTTTGCTCTACAGGCGAATACTGGCACTGGGCAACGGGACCACAGCGTACAACCATACAGCCTTTCAATATCGTTGGTTTGATAGACCTTGCCACTCTTGAACCCCATTTTCAACCCCGTTTGGGCGATCTGGTGAAGCCTTTTTTTCATTGGACTGTGATACGCAAGAGGGATCGGATCGCTCCAAGGCAAATACCACGCTGCGGCAAAGGTTCTTTGGACTCACCTTCTCCATCACCTTCTCCATCACCTTCTCCATCACCTTCTCCATCACCTTCTCCATCATCTTTTCCATCATTTTGAATCACCTTCCATCATCTACCATGGACCCTACCCTCCACGACACCATCCACGCTCAACACCGAGCACAATACTCATTTCATCAACACTGTTGAAGCTCCACAAACAGAGACTGGCCTTACACCAAGAGCGTCAGGCCCAATGTGACCGGATCACCCAAATACAATCCGAGCTTACGAGACGACCATGACCCTCCCTCCAAGATCCTCATGAACCAGGTGGTGCGTCAACCAATTCGATACCTGGGATGCAGCTGTTCGAGCAAAGCTGACAAATGATAGACCCGCCATTGGCAATGACGCTGCCCACTTTGACTGCGTCTACCTGGACTTGGCATCCTCCGTACAAACAATGGTACTGCCTCAACTTGTCTTGAAGCCTACAGGCGAAGGGAGAAGGGCGGAAGGAATGAATCGATTCTAGCTCCCGGAGAGAGAGAGAGAAGAAGAAGAAGAAGAAGAAGAAGAAGAAGAAGAAGAAGAAGAATAAGAAGAGAGGAGTCTATCTACAGGGTTGGGGCGAACTCCTTACGACCCCATCGAAGATCCTAGAAGCTGGAGACCGCCTGCTATTGATCAAGCAAGATACCACCGATACTACGATTGCATACATTACCAAATTGTAATGTATTCTGCATGAAGCACGTAGCAACCAATAGCCATATGTTGACAAGATCTCCGCTTGGTATAAAGGCCTCAACTCCACAATCAGATCCCGTCTTTCGCAACAGTCCAACCTGCCCCGAACCTACCCCGAGCTCGTGAGGATTATACAACAGCTTACCGGTCAAACACGAACCTCCAACGCCCTACAAACCCTACCTATCAACACGCTTCTGACAAAATAGATACCAATGTCAATGTGATCAAGGGACTAAGCCGAATAATGATTGCAAACCCAAGAATAGTTCCAAGGTTGGATTGGAAGCGGATGACAATGACGATGACGCGGAAGTTCAAATTCGTTATTAAGAGTAGTAGTAGTAGTAGTAGTAGTAGTAGTAGTAGTAGTAGTAGTAGCAGTAGTAGTAGTAGTAGTAGTAGTAGTAGTAGTAGTAGTAGTAGTAGTAGTAGTAGTAGTAGTAGTAGTAGTAGTAGTATTTAGGGGACAGATGCTGATTTTTTTTCCCCGGGGGATAATGTGAGGCTTTACTTCCCTCAGCATGTTTGCTTGCTTCCAAGGTTGGAGCATCTACTATATTAGATGCTCCCTATCATAGCCATGGAGCTCTTCTCTTCTTCTATCCATACTGAATATCTTCGTGCTTTGAACCTCTCCCCAGACCTGGGTTTAGAGAATATCGCCTACCGTAACAGCTGCGTGGGGGAAACCCTGGAGAAGCGGTATCAATCTCAGATTCTGGGATGGATACTGATGCCGGCCTTGATGATCTCCTCATGACACCTTGCTACGATATAGGAATACCCCCAGGGACTCTCAAAACCAATGGCAATCCTCCTTATTCAGGCATTGGTGCTGGCGAAGTGCAGCAGACTGGAGCAATGAAGTGACTCCATGAACCAGAGAATATAAGTTTTGGGAAAACCATGTTGAATTGAGAGTGGTATCTACCCCGTTATATTGAAGCCGATGTCAAACCCGCGCACCAAGCATGCTGAACACCCAACATCGGCTCAGAACAATCTCTTACTTTCATGACCATGACGCATAAATCGAATCGGAGACCAGGGAAACATCAAGCCAGAGCAGCAAAAAGGCGAAAAGAAAAGAAGAGAAAAGAAGTGAAAGAAAAAAGATGAGTAAAGGGAAAACCCTCAGACACAAAAGGACAGGAGTGAAAGCACAAACACCATCTCTCAAAACCTCGAGGGGATGTCGCACAGGGTGAAATTAGCCAACGTATACGGATGCTAGGAGTCAAGCAAAAGCAAGGATCAAAGAAGATAAGAATTCACTGGAATAAAGAACAGAAGGATATTATGATGTAGAACTGAAAGCGTGGCCGGCAGACGAAGATTGGTCAGATGAGAAGTGTGCAAGGAAATGCTGCAGTAGTCAAGGCGAGCAGCGCTGGTGACGAATGGTTGAGCAAAGCACAGGCTGTATTATTTCTTTGATCCCTTGACAGCCTTCACATACCGCCGAGCAACGCTCTTGACGCCCTTAGCAAGGCTGTCCTTGGCGGAGGTTTTGGGCTTGGCAACAGGCTTTTTGGGCTTGACAGGACTCTTAATAGGGGCCTTGCGTGCAGCAGGCTTCCGAGGAGAAACCCCAGAGCCCTTGGAAGCAGCAGCGAGAACTTTCTTCTTGGTCTCGGCGGATGGTCGCTTCAGCTGAGATTTCGTTTTGGCAGGAGAAGCTGGCGCTGCCTTGGTTAGTTTATTTGGCTTAGTTGACTTTGTGGCCTTGGTTTCCTTGGCTGCTTTAGGAGCTCGCACAGCAGCCTTGACTCGGCCTGTGGTCTTGACCGCTGGCAGCTTGACAGCAGCCTTACTAGTAGTCGTTTTCTTTGTAGTCTTCTTGCCACGAACAGTTGCAACGACCTTTTTCACTCCAGCCTTGATTGATTTGGTTGTAATCGTCTTGCGCCTTTTGGTTGGGGCGGGCACATCGGAGTCTGAGTCGGAATCAGAACTAGAGTCATCAGAATCATCAGACTCTTCCCCGGCCTTTCGCTTTTTTCCAACGACCTTCTTGGCAGCAGCCTTCTTGGGGCTTCCCTCGGCCTTGCGTTTGTCTTCAAGTTCTTTGGCACGCTGCTGCTTATCCTTGAGACGCGGACCAAGGAATCCTCGGCAGTTCGCCGACCCACAGCGGCATTGTTGCACATTCTTGTTGGAATATGGGCTGGTAGAATATTAGCATGAGAGCACTAGATTCTGATTGTGGGGCAACTCACTCGAAGTTGTAATCATAGCTCAGTTCCTCCCCAGTTGAGACTCCGCGGTCCCCCGCGAAAAGAGCCATGCGTGGCTTGCCAGCAACTGTCCATTTTTCCATACGGCAATTGGGCTCACAAGCGTGGTTAACAAAGCGAGCAATCGACCCGCGCGTAGCATCAATGATCATGTTCTGATCAAAGTACATGAGATAATAGCACTAAAAGGTCAGCAACCGAGAACTTAAGCCGGGGTAAGAGGCGTACATCGTTGTTCTTGTAGACCGTTCTCATCCTCTTCTCACACTCCAGTTGGGTGAGGATCTCTCCGGTGTACTCCACAATAATTTGGTTGGGGTCGAAAGAGCGATTGCTGCGAACGCCATATCCACGATCTGCCGTCTTGATGACTTCAACACCGATATTATACTTGCCTCCAGCCTTGGTTCTGTGCTTGAGCCCCTCGAAGTTTCGGTTCCCGCACTCAGGACCAAGCCTGCAATTCCCATTGTCACACTCGTAGAACATGTAGCGATTCTGGCAGTTTTCATCGCACCCAGTATCTTCGGTACACATGCAAAGTGACAGCTCAAGGTTTTTGTTTGCTTTCCAGAAACTTCCTGCATCACCAACAAAAACATCTAAATTGCCTGTCAGTTTTCGGAACATTATACAAGAAATGTATGTAAGCCTTACTCTTGTTGGTCTTACGCCACTCGTCTGGCTTAGGTTGACCAGGAGGAAGGGGCGAGAAGATGTCGAATGGTAGCTGGAAATCTCGACCATTCTTCAAAAGCCGTGAACCCTTGAACATTGGCATAGGAAGAATCGTACGCTGCATTGGACCGGTTCCGGTTTTCTTTGAATTCTTACTGCGGCGCTGTTTAGGCGGCGAGTCTGAGGGTTGCTGGCCTGTATAAAGCCCTTGAGAGAGCCAGATCTTACGCTTGGGCCGTGGCGAAGCTGGTGCTGGTGTTTCCTCTGGTTCGGAGTCTTGATCCTTAATTTTGGAAAGATCACTCTCCGAGACTCGGCGTTTCTTTGATGTCGGCTCGTTAGTCGTCTCTGTCGAAGGGGCGATGTTGCGAGGTCGCAAACTAGAACGCCGGCCGAGATCCTTGTCAACCAAGCCTCTTGTGCGCTTCCCTAGAATACTGCTGGCCCTTTCGACAATATCAGTGGCCTTGTCCAGAAGACCTATGCGACCTGATCGCCGAAGAGATTTACGAGAACTGGTTCGAGGCGGAGCAGGCTTAGCCGCGTTCTTCTTTTCATCCTGAGTCAATGCCTTCTCCACCCGGTTTCTCAAAGTTCGTTGTTGAAGTGATGTGTTCATATCCTCAGATTGGATGTCTTGTGAAGACTTTGATACCGGGGTATCGGGGGCCATTTCATGGTCATCGACCGCGGCATTTTCGTCGGTAGGCGTAGCACTCCACAAGGAGTTTTCCATTACTGCGATACTGTGGCGGAGTGAGGAGTGGGATCGTTTCGCCTTGGCAAGGCTGTCGACATAAGCCTCGCTAGACGAAGCTGCGGGTTCCTCCATCTCGGGTGTGTCGTCGAGTGGCTCACCAGCCCGTAAAGATGCGCGTGCAACCCGTGTTGACCTACGCCGTCCAGCGGGTTTTTCGTCGGTCAACGCGTTCTCATTGTTGCTCGATGTCTCCGAGCGACTGTTTTCGGGTGTCAAAAGTTGTTCAGGCACATCGAGGCTCATTCCGTCATCGGTAGGTTCGTGTGCCTGGGGATCGGGAGCCGCGGACGCGAGTGATCGGGACATTCGGGGCGCCATTCTGAGGCAACCGAGAGGAAGAAAAGGACAATTCCACCAGGAACCGCCTGGATCTGTCGAGGTTGAAACAACTGGCGCGCGTGGTCGGCTGAGATGGGGAGAATATCAGGGGAAAGAGATCAGCTACCCGCGTCTTATCAATTTAGGGCGAGGTCTGACGCGTGCAACGCCAACACATCGAACACTTCAAACTAGGCAGAATTTTCCCCCGACAGGCGGATTTATCACACAATAAGTGGACAGGAGATGCAAGGGCGAAGGCAAAGTACATAAGCCCTGGCAGCGCTAAAGGCGGGCAAGGATTACCAAGTCAGTGGAATGCCGAAATTCCTTCGCATGATACTCAGGATGTCTACAATCTCAAGATCGAGTGATTCTACATCTGCAACTATGCGAATTTCGAGTGGAAAATAGAGATATAGTTTCCAATAGAGAAGTAATATGGATAAGAAGGCTGGTTTCGAGTAGGGTTGCCCAATCCCATGTAGTCACACAAGTCAGATAGAACATAGAAAGAGATTGATCATGGTAGATCAGTGGAAGGACAAAAATTATGTCAGTGCCGGATATGGCAGAATAAACAGAGGGGATGGCTAGAAGGGTATGTATAAATGGGATTAGAAAGTGGTAGATGGGAAAGGGAATTCGAGAAGGGAAGAAATCATGGTCATCATCTTCATAGGTCGTAGCGGACAAAAAGCCGACAGGAACAAATGACTCCCTTGATTGAGAGATTTTTCTTTTTTCTTGGTTTCAGTCCTGGTGAGGACCGACATGTTGCATCTCAATGGCTTGGGATTCAACATCTGGGACACGGTATTTCCGCTTTTGGGTGCCCAGGCGCTGGTCACCATCCTCATACTGCTCCTTAAATTGCATGTAAGTAGGAGGCCGAGGACGCCCAAGAACAGCAATCCAGTTCTTGATGACATTGCCTTGAGTAAACGGTCGATGCCGGTCAGACTTGGCAAACTTGTGCGAATTGAGGTATTCTCTTGTGGTTTCGCCTCTGCCGACCAGGAAGAGATGATAGGCCCAAAGAGAAGTTGGGTACGGCACTGCGACGATGCCGTAAATAACCATGGCCCAAGGCACTCTCCATTTGGAGATCGCAGCTCCGAAGGACACACCTTCTCGGGACATGTAAACCAGGATATGAGCCAAGCTCGCGCCAATCAAAAATAGTGCGAGGAGGGTGCAGAAGCTGACAAACGTGAAGAAATAGCGATAGTTTCGGCGACCAACACAATTGTTCAGCCACACGCAGTGATGATCAAGAGTTTCGACGCAGTTGTTGCACACCCGACAGTGATAGCAACGAGGGGGTCGCCAAATATTACACGTCTTGCAATACTTTACAGGTACATCCATGGCAGCTACATCTGAGGTAGCAAGCTTGACCATCACCCAGTCGTTGGTGGGGGGACCAAGTACCAATGGATCACCTGTAGATTCTGAATGGGGCATAGGATGAACATTGCGAGGCATAACCTGGTTTGTCATGTCAGTAACTTTGATGTGCAAGGTAAGACCAAGCTACTTACTCCGGGATCGACAACAGATGCGTGAGCAAAGGACGAAAAACACACGTAGAAGACATAGGCATACAAGATGGGAACTGCGGGGGAAATGTTATGCCATAGCCAAGGAGCCCTAAAGTAAGTGTTAGCTATGGGACCCCAAAGTACATGTGAATTATACATACGAAAAGGCAAAAAACAAGGCAGACGGAATGACCACCAGAAGACCGGTTGCAATGTTAACAGGCTTGTCTCGAGAGTTTTGGAGCCGTCCACCTCCGCAGAACAAGGTGTTGCCGAGGAAGTATTCGTAATTTTTGCCTAAATTTGTTCTTGGTAGCTGCGGTTTCTTGACATCAAGAGGGCTCGGAGAAGACCCAGCCGAGGAAAGGTGTTCGTGCCCTTGGTGACTCCGCGAATCGTGATTGCCGTGTCCAACGCCCCTATTTTGCAGTGACAGGAACGAAAGGGGTGATTTGGGCGGCGGTGCCTCTTGTGCAGCTTGCCCTGTGTAGTTAGCGCCTAAATTGAGACGCTGAGGCTTTTCTTTCTGATCTCGATCCCGCAAAAGTCGGACACTCTCACCCAGACTCCGGATAGTTGTATTACCCGTAGGGCTAGCGTTCGAGGTGTTGCGGTCTGGAATTATGGGATCGGTGAACTCTGTCCCTCGTGATGGCGGGACTTCCATCTCAGTCGGAAGAGAACCTTGTGGAACTGTGCTGTTGGAGATCAAGCTCCCACGGTGTTGGCTGCCCTGCTGAGTCCATTCGTCGGTGGATGAGCCGGTCCCCTTCGTTAAAGGTCGTGTTCCTCGGTGTGCCTGCAATCGTTGCGAACTCATTGGTCGGAAAAATCCCTGTGCGGTCAGGGATGGAATATGCGACCTGCTGAGCCTGCTTCCCGAGCTTCCAGGTCTGCTGGTGACTTGGCTGGTGATAGAGGTCCGGGTTGGAGGCGGACCACGACGAGAAACAGATGACCGAGACTGGTGCTGAGGGGGAGGTGACGTATAAGACGGGGTTCGCTCTCCATCATCATCTGTCACCCGGGAAGAGATTCCTCCCACGGAAGGAGGTCGAGGAATTCCTAGAGCATGTTGCTGTGTTGAAGCCTGACTTGTGGCGTATGTGTCTGGGCGATCTGAGGGGGTTGACATGGCGCCGGAAAGGGGGGTTTATCAACAGTCGGCTAGATAGCAACGCGCACTCTCATATTTGAGTACCAAGTTGTCAATGGTGAGAGACAGGGAGCGGATTGCACGAAGACTTGGGCAGCTAAATTGAGGAACAACCAGCAGTTTGAGCAAAAAGGAGTGACGATGGACCAAGACAAGGTTAAAGAGTGAATCAACAAGTCGATGAGGGCCCTATATCCTTGTCAGTATCCGAGTAACTTTGTCCGAGTCCCACCAGCAAACGCGCCGTAGAGCTAGGGCCAAGATGGAGCCCCTGATGGAGAAAACTGGAGTGAGTTGTACCTTTGGTGTGAACAGCAATCGCGTCAGGGCCGATTACATCACAGAGATAAACACCCTGGAAATGATCGTATATGCGTCAGCAACCTGGATATTTCGAACCAAACAATCACACCCGAAGGGAGCTCAATAGTTGCAGCCCAAGACGGCGATGTCACATGACTTGGTCACATGACCAACGGGCAACATCATACTACCATTCATGATTCTCTCGCACTACCCGTGACTAGATCTCCGCTCACGAATTGTACCCCAACGCACAATCAATTTGCTGCAACCATGTCCTCCATTGCTGCTCTGGCTACTCGCCGGGCTCTGACCCGCCAGTCCCTTCTCCGCGCTCCCCCGCGCCGCTTCAACTCTTCTTCCAAGCTTGAGGAGTCCAGCCTTGACAAGGCCCCCAAGCGCGACCCCGAGCTCTACGTACGAAACTAATACGCCCTTGAAACACAAAGGATATCCCGGTCTAACAATTGGTCGCTCAGGTTCTCCTCGGTGTCATGTCTGGTGCCTTCCTGATTGCCGGATGGTGAGCATCCCTCCCGAAATCACCCTAAATCGCCTCATATCAACATTTCGCCCCATTTGCGCAATTGTGACGTGCCATTCCTGCCATGGGAAAGTTTCACGCTGGATTTTATTACTCAATTGCCTACAACGTCAATATTCACACCAAATCGATACGATCGCTAATTCGTTATCTTTGCGATAATCTAGGTACTTCGGCCGCAAGCCCACCTCTGTGAACTCTGAGAGCAACGTTCGCATCGCCCAGAGCTCCATGCCCTGGGAGCACCAGTCCGAGGATGGCAAGGTCTACAAGTACCAGTACCACCCCCACGGTGACAAGAGCCAGCCCCTCCGTGCTGCTCCCAGCGCCATGAACACCGTCATTGTGCCCAATGTCACCCTGCCCGAGGTATGAACCCACTGTACTACCTGATTTTCGCGCCATGCTGGCTCCCGTCGATATCCGAATCGGGATTCAGGAGCATCGCATGATCGCCGAGTCAGTCGTTTAGTCATACAATGCTGACATCACCTCTCTTCTGATAGGACCTCCACGAGAAGTTCAACAAGTACGGCAAGGAGGAGTGGGACTACTAAATGCTCATTGCTGAGCAATAAGAAGTGCCTTCACAAGTTGAATGAAGCAAACTGCGGTTTGGTTGCGGCCAACCGCTGTATACTAAGACTGCTCCGACCGGGGGAGAAGGGGTGCGTGAACTTGCCTTGGGATTGCAAGAAATTTGTGCATAGTATCCATTTTTCAGATAAAGAGTCAATTGGGCATCAGTCTCTTTTTTGCGCCATAACTGTTTCCTACCGTATACCTTCATCTATATAAATCCCAGTGGACCAGATGACTGACCATTTAACCTACCGTGGAGCACATCACAGCAAGGCCGACAAAAATATTACTTTATGAACATCTGTGTTGGAATATCATGTTGGGAAAAAAAAGCTAACACTTGAAACGAACAACTACTCTATGAAGTCTCATTATACATGGCAGTATCCCCTCGCCTTTTACACATCCACACGGCCACTATTGAGTAGCCTCATTCCCTTCGCTGGCAGGCTTAGCTTCCATAGAGCTTGGCTTCTCAACGGAACGCTCGTTGCCCTCAGCCACAGAGGCAGGGCTCTCTGGAGGCACGGAGTCCTCAGGAGCACTACCAGTCTCAGGGTTCTGGCCCTGCACATCGGGGTGCGGTGGTGCGAGCTGGCCGTCAACGATAGGAACTTCGTGTGCATTCTCCATCTTGTGGCCAGGCTCATAGCGAGTCTCGAACTTCACTTTGCCCTCCGCCCGGAGCGAAGCAACGAGTTCTTGATCAAGAACTTTACCGTTCTGATCACGGTACTCAACGCGGGCCATGGATCCTTGAATCTTAGGTGCGGTGACGGCTGCAGGGTCAGAGGCCTCGGCAGCACCAACAGCTTCGTTGGCTGGGGCGGGCTCTTGAGCCTGGACAGGTGGTGGCGGGGGAGGTGCTTGGGCTGCAGTTGTGGGTGCAGCTACAGGCACGTTTGGCACGTATTGAGTGACGTACTCGCTCAACTAATTATTGAATAAGATTCCATGTTAGTCATGGTCCAGTCGTGGTGTTCAATAGCCTCGTCGTGGAGGCCTCCATTGTGGAACACTTACGTCGCTGTGGAAGGTGTTGCAGTCAAAGTCCCATGATCCCATAAGCTTCACCTTGTTGCAAGCATCCCTGGTCCAAGGGTTGCCGTACACAAGAGGAGCATAAAGTGTGAACACAACAATGCTAAGGCCCAAGAAGGCTGCCATCAGGGTCTTGCCAATGGCAGGCTTAGACACCAGACCAAAGCTCTTGATGCGGTTGGTCAAGAAATCGAACTCTTGGCAGAGAACCATGATGGCAAAGTAGAGCGCAGGGAGATAATGGTGCAAGAAGAGCTGACGGGCCATGAGGTAGAATGGGAAGTAGTGGAAGAACCAACCCAGAACACTGGTGCCCACTTCGTAGTCAAAGCGCTTGAAGGAGACGTGCTTGTAGTCATTACAGCTTCGCTGCCAACGGATGACGGAAAGAGCCTTGAAGACAAAGTAGATACCAATGGCCAGGGTGGTCGACCACCAGATGAGGGGGTTTCCGAGGAGGTAGATCTGACGGTGGTCCTTGCCCCAGAAGTTGATACCACGAAGGAGAGTGGGCCAAGAGGGAGGGCGGGAGTCCCAGGCGTGGGATTCAACCAAGCCGGCGTTGGTGGTCCACATAACCTTTTGCAATTCCCAGAACTTGCCCAGGAATCCGGGGTTACGGTAGTTGACCTTCTCAGCGTCCGCGGGCATTGCGGGGTGTTGGTTCTGCTCGATATACCAAACACTGTTGGGAAGAGTACCGCCCTTAGCGCAGGTCACTTCCTGCTGTTCCCATCCCCAATCCGGGAGCTTGACCTTGTGGGAAAACAGAACACAGCCGGTCATGACATGCACCAATCGGAACTTGGACTGAATGGTTCGCAGTCTCTTCTTGGACTCCGGTGTTTCAGACATGGATGGAACAATCTCAACCTTGAACAGATCATTGGCATCACCAGCAAAGCCCTCATATCCATAGGCGGAGACCTCGTACTGCCAGTCAGCCTCAGTGACTGGTGGGCGCTCGTCGTGAGAGTGAATTCTTCGGTGAGTGATTGAGTGATAAAGTCTGATGATAGATCCGTCTACAATGAAACCAGGATCGGTCATGTTGTCCCATGCATATGGGCCCTCAACCTCTCCGTAGGGACCAAGGGGCTGAGTGGTGTTTTCCAAAATGAACAGGTTGTTCTCATCCTTGTGGGGGTATAGTGTGATTTGCTGCTGCTTGCTGCCGGTTGGGTACATGTGAGGGTGAGAGTGCAGGTATCCGCCCTGGGTGTTCAGGTGGCGCAGGCTGACTCTGGATCCGAAAGAAACATCAGCGGGAACGTCTTGCATCGACTTGGAGTTCAATGTCGCCTGGAATTCCGAGGACATGAACCCGTCACCCTCTCCGGGGTTCACCAGACACATGAAGTGAACACCAAACATAGCAAGGTAGAAGCCCACGGGAATGACAATGAGGCAGAAAACCCGAGAGAAGAAATGCTTCAACCACAGGCGTGGAGTAACAGTCTTGTTGTCACCCAGCAAAACCCACAATTGGAGAGCTGTGAGGGAGCCTACCCACGCCATAGTGAAGAGACCAACCCACTTGACGCTCAATGTCGCGCCAAGAGAGAGACCGGTAAAGACTAGCCAGAACCACCACGGTCCGCGGAAAGCATAGGCGGGTCCCAGCTCTTGCTGGTTTGTAAAGCAGTTGAATGCTAGAGCCGTGAGAGCGGTAAAGAAGATCAATGGGGAGTCGAGAAGAATCAGACGGGATTGAGTAACCAAAGCATTGTCAAAAATGACAAGGCCAGCACCGAGGGCCGCAGTCGAGCTCCGGCACCCAGTCACTCGGAGAGTAAGGAACATCAAAGGGACCGTCAAAACACCCAAGATAGCTGGGAGCATGCGCATCGCCACATAGGGCACGCCGGGCTCCAGGTAGTCTTTGCCAATATCCTTGAAATCGAAGTTGCCATCGAAACCGGCCAGCCAGCCAGCCAGTGTGAGCAGCAATTTAGCCAGCGGAGGGTGAACATCCATAAAGAACTTTCCCTTGATATACTTGGATGCAAATCCACCGAAGCTGTTAAGTCGTTAATATACGTTCTTCGCCTCAATGGTGGGAATTCTTACTGGACTTCATCAAAGACCACGCTTGTGGGTTGATAGATTCTGAACAAACGGACCACAGCAGCGATCAAAGTCACCAGGACAATGAGCTTATAGTCAGATCCGGGGAGCTGGAAGATATCATTGTTCTTCACTCCCTCCGAGGCATAGCTCTGGGGGGCCGCCGAAGGCTTGCTCTTGGGCTTGGGCGAACGACTGCGCGAACGACCAGAGCGGCTCTGCGGCCGCACGGACAAAGTATCTTTCGACTTCTGACCCATATTGTTTCAGTCCGACACAGACGCGAGACGACGTCAGCGATTCAGGAGATCGGCGCAGGAACCGGAATGTCGAGTGTCGAATGGAAACGAGAGTGTGATTGTGGAACGATTGAGTTGTGGAGTTTGCGGTAAGGAGAGGGAGGTGTTTCAAAATCCCCAATGGACGAACGTCGAATATCGAAAGTTGTTTCCGACCTCGAGCTGTGAATTAATGGCTTTAAACACCACACCAGTTAATGATCGTGTAACAATGAGGAGAAAGGCCCCATGACAGGGAAAGAAAAATCAAGGTGAAAAAGAAAAATGTCGCTGGAGGGAGAGTAAGAAAGATTGGGGAAAAAAGGGAACAGGTCGAGAAACAAGAGGTGAGCCCCGATGGACGAAAGCGTGCGGTTCCGTCTTAAGGCCAGATCGACGGCGGCTGTGGAGGACAACGTGAGCGGCCCCCTTAGTATTGGACCCTACGGAACACAGAGTACACAGTGATTTTTTGTACGTTCTATAGTTGTTTTGTTTTTTTCGAGAGATTACATCCAGTCTAAATATTCTTTCATATTGCTTTTCAACCAGCCACACAGCATTGATCAGATTCGGAGACACAAGAGGCAGAGTAAACAGCGGGGAAATGCAAAGGGGAAAACAGATGGTTGCAGCCACACCGCCACAGTTTCACACTTGCACACCGCCCTGTGCGCCACATGTGGCTGGAGCTTCGTAGTCAGCGGATCACCAATTAACTCTCCCCAAACCTACCATCTCTTCATCCTCAACAACAACCATGGAGTCAAATGGACAAGCACTCCCAGAGGAGGCCAACAAGCCGCCAGAGGGTGTGGTTTTACCCCCAAAAGACATTCGGGCCATTGTCGAAAAGACCGCGGGCTACGTCGCTCGCAATGGACCAGTCTTTGAAGATCGTGTCCGTGAGAAGGAAAAAAGCAACCCCAAGTTCTCTTTCCTCGTCGAAGGTGATGCATATGCGCCTTTCTATCAATGGCGACTTGTCGAAATCAGGGAAGGCCGAGGATCAGCTGTCGCAGCAGGACGAGCTGGCGAAACAGTCGCAGAACCCGAGAAGCCCAAGGGGCCACCCGAACCGGCCGCATATCACTTCTCGGCTCGCATGCCGATCATCAACGCCCAGGATTTGGAAGTCGTCAAGCACACGGCCATGTTTGTTGCCAAGCGCGGAAAGTCTTTCATGACCGCGTTGTCCCAGCGCGAGGCACGAAACTTCCAATTCGACTTCCTGCGACCCCAGCACAGTCTTTACCAATTCTTCACCCGTCTAGTCGACCAATACACTATCTTACTCCGTCCCGAGGGAATTGATGACGCAACTTCGTCTAAAAAGATCATTGCCGAATTGGAGCAAAATGTACAGAACAAATACCGCGTCATGGAGCGCGCCACACAACGAGCGGAGTGGGTGAAATTCCAACAGAAGCAAAAGCAGCAGAAGGAAGAACAAAGTGAACAAGAGCGAATTGAGTATGCTCAGATTGACTGGCATGACTTCGTGGTTGTTGAGACAGTGGAATTCACCGAACACGACGAACACGCGGAATTGCCACCGCCAACATCTCTCAACGACCTGCAGTCAGCCTCCCTGGAACAAAAGGCCGCTATATCTCTCAACACAATGCGCATCGAAGAAGCCATGCCCACAGACCTCGACAACCCAACTTACTACAACGCCTGCCCAACACAACCCGTCTCAATGCCTCCTCCTCAACAACCCTCTGTCTCGCCTTACCCAGCAGGCCCCTACCCTCCCCCTGGGCAATTTACCAATGCCGAAGAGGATCAGCGCATTCATGAACGAACTCAAGCGCGCGACCAAGCCGCCGCCGTTCAAGCTGCCGCACAAGCCATCCCCGGCCAACAGCCAATGCGCATCCGTTCAGACTACGTGCCACGAGCCCAGGCACGCCGCCAACAAGCAACTCAGATGGCAATCTGCCCTTACTGTAGCCAGAAAGTTCCGTCTACCGAGTTGGACGAGCACATCCGTATCGAGCTTCTGGACCCTCGTTGGAAGGAGCAGCGCGCCAAGGCTGAATCTCGCAGCGCCACCACCAACTTGTCCACCGTCGACGTGGTCAACAATCTCAAGCGTCTGGCTAGTCAGCGCAGCGATGTATTCGACCCGTCTCCTATTGACCCGGAGGAGGAAGCCAGGCGCAAGCGCGTGGCTGCTGATCCCTCTGTGCAAGGCCCGCACAATCCCAATGCTCAGAGTACGAACATTGAAGACCAGCTCAGGCACATTCACCAACTTGCCAAAAAATGATATCCCCATGCATAGTTCCGCAAGGTGTTTCAGTCTCAAGGGTTTTTGAGATTGGGTCTATCTAAGCGTATTTGTTCTGCCATTTGGAGTTTGGGAGGGATGAACATGGATGATGTGCTTAATTTCAAATTTCTGTACAATGTATTGATGGGATCGTAACGCCTGGAATCAATTTTTGCCAGAAATCCACGAGTGGACATCCAACGATAGGAATTCAAATGCAATAAATCCAACGATTAAAGGTTTCCAAAGGATGGTACATATATCAGTAGCAACCCTTATAGATCCAACAGGTCGTCATCGTCATCCCAGCCACCTTTGCGGCGGGAGATAACGATCTTGTGCTCTTCCTCCTCTTTGCGCTGGTTCTCCGCAATAGCGCCCAACAAATCCTTGAGCTGTTCCTCTGTCACTTTTTGCCGCAGCTGCCCGGACTGGGCCAGCATGATGAGTCGGTTCTCGATGTCGGTCGCACGCGATTCCTTAACTAGGCGAATACGGCCCAGGCGATCGGCGGCAGCGGGGTCCAGGATCTGGGTCATGATTGAGGCGCGCTGCTCAGCTATTGGGAGTGGAAAGTTAGATGGGCGATGAATTTCGTGGAACGAATCTCCACGCTTTCAGGCTAAGAAGACCTACCCTCGGCTTGCCTACTCTGATTAGTGCCCGATTATCCCATAGTTGATTTCCCAGTACTCACTTTCTTTGCTGGGCTTGATCGGCGCCATCTTGACCAGCTGGGCCACGTGCGCCCTGTTGCTGCTGGAGCTGCGCGAGACGAGCTCGTCTGATCTGGAGGGACAGTCAGCAGTGATTGGCCAAGTGCAGTCGATCCGGTCATACTTCTTCTAGCTCTGCGTCACCCATGGCTGTTGGAATGGTCTGGTCAATCGTATGAAGAATTGACGATATTCCGCGAACCCCACTTTCGCCTGAGGCCACCACGCGGGGGCAATTATGCACGTGGATTGTTACACTAAGGTACCTCTAAGGTACCTGGGTAGTACAAACGTTATCTACTGCTTGGCCATCGAGATATCTTGTCACGAAAAAGTCGACAGCTTGGAACTTGGAACAGGGGTTGTATCGCTGCAGTCGAAATCTGTATCCGGCTTCTATTGAACCGGCGCATATCGTATTCGGATAGGTCATAGGCAAGTATACACCGGTATCTGTTCAAGCCATTGCTTCGGCCCTCCTTGCGATGTGCATGCTACCTATTCCGTACAATACTGACAGCGTACTCCCGTACTCGTACTCATTGTACCCCAACTGCCTAGGGTGAAACAGCATGAATTTGCTGGGGCCAATACCACCACTACTTGTTTAGCTTTAGACATCAGGCCGTGTGAGGGGCCAATGATCTAAATTTTAGAGTAAAATACCCGAGTCGCGATTGTGAGCTTCAGGTTAGCTTCGACCTAATCATCCTTGCGTACTTTCACAGAAGCGCCCGGGGTGTCCGGTCCGTCTCCGGGTGGCCAAATTGGAGAATTTCTCCCTGCACATGGCTGACACCTCTTAAACCCCCCCCCCCCCCCCCCCCCCCCCCCTGCCCTCCCCCTCCCCCCCCTCACACCTCCCCACCCATTCTTTCCCCCTCTTCTCCGCCCCGCCCCCC